CCCGGGCGCAGCCTCCCTGTTTCGGCAGTTCTGCGGCAGCCTGACTCCCGGCGATCATTGGGCCTGCTGGGGGGAATGATTCCTTGGGAAGGGTTTGTATATCGGATCCAGAACTAGAAGTAAATCCACGCGCGCAGGGAAAGCCAGGTCGCCGGCCTAGCCCCTCTCCCCCGTTCCACTCGCTTCTACACTCTCCCGGGATCTGGGGACGAGAACCAAACAGCCCGCATGAGGAGAGCGGAGGTAGCCTTGCGCCTGGGTAGAGCGCAGATGCGGGGTGGGTATTCTTTTTTTTTTTTTTTTTCTTTTTTTTTTTTTGGTTGGTTAGAAGTACGGAGTACCTGGATGAACAGGAGGTCCGGGAGGAGCGCGGGGAGGAGGAGGAGGGGAAGGAAGACTTGATAACGAAATGCGGGGAAGCACCAAGGAGCTAGGGCGCAGCCAGAAGAAGAACAAGAAGAAGAGGCAGGCCTGGGGGGGTGGTGGTTGATCGTTAGTAGTAGTAGTAGTAGTAGTTGGATGAGAAGAGGAAAACAGGCGGCCTCATTTTGAGGGCATTATTAGTATTTTATTTTTTTTGAGATTCTCAAAACCAAATATTCTCGCGTAACTAACTAATTCCTTGCCCGGCCCCCCGTCTCCCAAGGTTGTTTTTTTTTTTTTTTAATTTTTTTGTTTGCTGCGGTCGTGCTTCTGTTACAGGTATATGAGTAACTACGGAGTGCTCCGCACGGAGTAGTTACTGTAAAGGGAATACCCAGTACGGAGTACCGATAACGGCCCAAGACGGACGACACGTTGCTTATTATTTATCTGGAGGTTGCCTTTTTTCCTTTCTTTTCTTTCATGATTCAGGACTCGGGCTCGTATGCACCGCGCCGGGCTGCAGGGCGCGGTGCGGCCCAATCACGGCGGCAGCAGGCGACAAGACGCCGGGCGAGGCGTGGGCGTGGGCGTGGGCGTGGGCGTGGGCTGGGGGAGGCTCGCAAGGTGGTGTTGCTTTTTTGGTTGTTGTTGTTGTTGTCGTGTCGGCTTGGCGGGGATTGTTGTTCATCAAATGGGAATTGCGAGAGCTGCACCACAGTTGGGGCCTCGCGTATTTTTTGGGGTATGTAATTTGTTATTTTTTATTTTTTTCGGAAAAGCAGGGCGCAGGCGGGATGCAGGGAAAAAAATAAAGAACGAAAAAGCCAGACCAACGACAACGACCTTCCACACATGCCCTGCCTGTGACCGCCAGTCTCAGCCCCGGCGGGCGGCGGCGGGCTTCGCGCGCGCGCACCCTCGGCTCGGCCGCCACACGCCCGCGAAACAGCGCTCGCGGGGGAGTCTAGGCTAGGTAGGCAGAGGACATTGAGTTATGTTTCAAGCAGACAGTGCCAGACATGCATAAATAAATAATATTGCTATCTTCCTGAACCCGAGAACGAGCAGTAGTAGTACTAGCTACCAAGTAGTACACTGGTTACCTGGTAACTAGCCTGCCTAGTGCCATCGCCTGCCTGCCTGCCTGCCTGGCTTGTAGCGGCGAGCCCGCGCCGGCGCGCGCTTACATCGAAACCTGGGCCGCCGCCGCGGGAGCCGGGCGAGCCTATGAGCGCGCGGCGGCAGGGCACGCCGGGTGGGGAGCGCGGCGAGCGCATTGGTGTCTGATAGGTTGGTTGGCTGGTTTGGCTGGCGTGCTGGCGCGCCGGCATCACGACACAGCCTCGGAACTGAGGTGGTGTAGTAGTAGACCATGATGGTTTGATTCCCCACAAAATGTTGTCGTGCTTTTCCCAGCAAAGCTCGACGACCTAGCTAGCTAGCTAGCTAGCCCCCTTAGTTAGTTACCCCGGGCAGGAGGACGCAGGGTCCCTGTGACGAAAAAAAATAAAAAATAAACGAAGAAAAGCTGCGACAGCCGACGCCCGTTCTCGTCTCACTCCTGGCGCCCGCCGGGGAAATATTATTTGTTATCCATCACCGCGGCGTCGATCCTTGACAGCGCAACGCGCGAGTGTGGCCTCATGTCAGGCGAACTCAAATCATCATCATTATTATTATTATGACTGATAAAATGGCCCTCTTGCGTGCATATCCGTTGCTTCCGCCGGCCGCCCCACCGCCCGATGAGGCGTTCGTTGTCTCTCTCGGATGCATGCGGGGGATCCTGCTCAAGTTATGTCAGAACCTGCTCTGGGAAGAGACACAAAGACAGGCCGCGCTCGCTTGTTTGCTTTTGATAAGAGCGTCGGAGGAGGATGGGCCGCGATAGCTAGTAGCTAGTACTAATTTTATTTTGGTGGTTGCCTGTGTATCGGGGGGCTCCGAAGTTGCCCGACAGCGCAGCGGGCCCCCCCAACCCAAAACCAGCCCCCCCCCGATCTGTTTTCGTGGGCTTGGGGGTTGGGTTCGAAAAGTAAAAGAAAAGAATAATTAATCGGCATAAGAATACGGAGTACTACTACTGGTACTGTTAAAAATAAAATCCAAAAAAAAAAAAAAAAAAAAAAAACAGGCAGCCCGGCGGCCAATCACGCCCACGGGGGCTCAGCGAGGCAATTTGGGGCGCAATTTCGCGCACGCCGCGGGCCTCGGGGTGGCATACTAATAACTACTATAGAACTACGCAGAACGAACGGTGGGCACAGGATTCGGGGGAGTCGGGAGCATGACGGCATGCTGAGTCACGGGCTTCCCCCACAGGCCAGCCCAGGGGGAAATTTGACGGGTTCCCCGTGGGCGGCTTGGCGGCAGTCACATGCAGGCGCCCTGTCTGTCTGTCTGTGTGTCTGTCGCTAGTGGTTGCGTAGTATAATAATAAAGAATAATAATATGTGCGAAGGGCGAGCCCGTGGAACCGCCAGCCCAAATCCTGCCGCGCGCGTGAAGAGAGATCCTGCGCGCGTTGGTGCGGCGTCCGGCGTGCTGGTGTGGCCCGCCGTAGCTACTACACTACTCCATACTTCGTGGTGGCCACCACGCGCCCAGCGGCGGCGCTGCGATCGGGCACGTTGCGGGCGGCGGGCAGCGGGGGGGGGGAGGGGAGGGGAGGGGGGGCGGTGGGCGGTGGGCCAATCGGAATTTAGGGTGGGCGTACGGTATGTATGGTACGTACGGTACAGTACAGGCTTGCCCCGGATCCGCCCACGCCCACCGCTGGCCCTACGCAACCTCGTCATGGGCCCCGCCCGCCGCGGTTTTGGTTTTTTGGTATTTTTTTTTTTATTTTTTCTCTCTCGCTCTCTGTCTTTTATATCTGCCCCGACGCCCGCCCGCCCCGTGCTGTGTGCTCTCGCCCAACGTCATCCCATGCATCGATTGACCACCTCCCACACCACTACTACTACACTACACTCTCCCACTGTACGTCTCCCCGCTCTCCTCCTGCTGCCTGCTGCCACCTCCTTACACTATCCTCGACAGTCACAAGCTTCGCTGCTCGTCCACACCCAGCACCGTCGCCCTCCCTCACCACTCATCCATCGCCTCGCCTGACCCGGATCGCGCCCCATCCGGCTGCTCTGCACCGCTGTCCGCCTGCATCGCCAGTCGGTCCACGTCATTCGCCCGTCCGTGCGCGCCTTCCACCGCCTGTTGCCCGTCCACCGCCGCTGTTGCTGCTGCTGCTGCGGCCGCCAATCTGCCCAATGCCGCGTTCAACGGCCGTCGACTTCGCTTCCCTCTTAAATCCCCCGTCGCAGCCCGCCGACGATCGTCACAACCAGACTCCACCACCGTCCACCATGGCGTCGCCCTCGTCCTCGACGTCGCCCTCGGCCACCTCGACCCCCACCAGCGTGCTGCCATCGCTGGCGAAGGGCCAGCGCCCCGCCGTCGACGAGCCCCGACAGGAACTGCCGCGCCCCTACAAGTGTCCCCTCTGCGAGCGTGCGTTCCACCGCCTCGAGCACCAGACCCGCCACATCCGCACGCACACCGGCGAGAAGCCGCACGCCTGCCAGTATCCCGGCTGCTCCAAGCGCTTCAGCCGCTCCGACGAGCTGACCCGACACTCCCGCATCCACAACAACCCCAACTCGCGCCGCGGCCACAAGGCCCAGCAGCTGGCCGCCGCCGCCTCCTCCATGACTGGCATTGTTGACGCTGGCCATGCTGCTGCTATGATGCCGCCGCCCAGCAAGCCCGTCACCCGCTCCGCCCCCGTCTCGCAGGTCGCCTCGCCCAACGTCTCGCCGCCGCACTCGTACATCAGCTACACCGCCCACCTGCCCTCCAACCTCAACCCCTACGGCCGCCCAGCTGTTGCTGCTGCTGCTGCTGCCTCCGCCGCTGCCACGACCCCGGACCGTGCCTCCATGATGGACATGAACATGCTGGCCTCGGCCGCCTACCACGTCGAGCGGGACGACCTGTCACCCTACCACTACACGTCCCCCACGGCCCCGCGCTCTGCGCCGTACCCGGGCGGCCTGCGGCCCGGCCACCACGCGCACCACTCCATGCACGCGCCCAGCCGCTTGCTGCCATCGCTGTCGGCCTACGCCATGTCGCGCTCGCACTCGCAGGACGAGGACGACTACGGCCACCGCGTCAAGCGGTCGCGGCCCAACTCGCCCAACTCCACCGCGCCGTCGTCGCCCACGCTCTCGCACAACTCCCTCTCGCCCACGCCGGACCACACACCGCTGGCCACTCCCGCCCACTCGCCGCGCCTGCGTCCCTACGTCGCCGGCGACCTGCACCTCCCGGCCCTGCGCCACCTCTCGCTGCACCACACACCCGCCCTCGCGCCCATGGAGCCCTCCACCGAGCCCCCGAGCCACTATGCCGCCGCCGTCGGCCACGCCCCCACCGGCCCGTCCATCTCCGACATCATGTCGCGGCCCGACGGCACGCAGCGCAAGCTCCCCGTGCCGCAGATCCCCAAGGTGGCCGTGCACGACGTGCTGCACCCGGGCAGCGGCCTGTCGTCGGGCAACTCGTCGATCGCCGGCGGGGACCTGGCCGACCGCTACTAGAAGAAAACCATGGCCTTTTTTTAAAATACTTTTTTTTTCAGCACTCACTTGCATTGCTTGGCGAGGATAAGCGAAGAATTACGGGAACGGGGTCACGGCGGGGCTATTTTCTCTTTTATATTGATCACCTGGGACTTTGTTTGAAAACAGATTTAACTCTATAGACTGGACATCGGGGCTTAATTTGATGGGGTTTTGTTTTCCCCCTTGAACAAACAAGAAGAATAAAAAAAAAGAGAAGGCTATTTTTTTTAAAAAGAATTTCATTTCAGCTCGGTGGTTTTTTGGGAGAGGCACTCTACTCTTTTTTTTTCATTTCCTTTTGCTATTATTAAAAACACACTCTGCTTGGTAATTTTCCTTTTTCACTTTTCTCTTCTTTCTTTCTTGCTTCTCCAACCGTTTTGGACCAGAGTCCCACTATTAGACTTTTTTCTTTCTCATCTTGTTTTCCTTCCCCGCACTTCCTCTTTATTCCTTTAAACTACCTGACAAAAGACAAGCAGAAACAAAAAAAGTCTCTCTTTTTTTTAAACAAAGCTACAGATAGATCGTTGCTGGAAAGTCATTTGATTTTTGAACCCTCTCTTTCTTTTTCTTATCACCTTTCTTGTCTTTCTCGAATAATACACTACAGCCGGGCAACCGGGAGGGTCTTTTGGGGGGCGGGGAAAACCAACAGCTATCAAGGCTGTTTTTCATCTAAATAATCGGAATTATTTTTCATAATCCTTTGCATTGTCTGTCTCATCGGAATACTTGGTAGACGAGAGAGAGACACTCCACTTCTATTCAACCCCATTCGGACGAAAAAAGAAGAAGAAGAAGACGAAGCAAGAAGGTAGGAAGAGTCATGCACACACACACACGACAAGCAGAGACGAGGAACACGCCAGCCAGACCAGACAGACATCCCACCTTGGCTGCCTGCTTTTGCTTGGTTCCGTTTCGACAGCAGGGCGGGTGTGGAGTGAGTGAGTGATGGGGGGCCGGGAAGGGGGGGAAGGCAGAAGAAGAGATTTTGCGTGAGGGAGCGGGATGTGGGGCCTAGGGGTTTCTGACGTAGTTAGTTTAGGCAGATCAGTGCGTATTCTTCTTCTTTTTTTTTTTTTTTTCTTCTTTTCAAGCTCCTGGCGTGATGGCGGGTGGGTGGGTAGGGAATAATATGTAGCGGGATGGGGATTGTAACTACGGAGTCTTAGTTATGTGAGAGCGGATGTCGGCTATCCAGCGGTATGCAGCATAGTTACCTTCAACCGAACTGACTCAACTTGCTCGTTTCTTTCCTTTTCTCTGCATGCAAGAAACAGCCCACACGCGCGTCCCATCACCAGCCAAACTAACGAACTAACCAATGACTTGCGATTTGCTGTCTCATCTAACTAACTACATGCCCATGACTTCCGCAGCAAGGAATCCGGCAAGTTTGCCAGCTCCCTTAGTTAGTTACATAACGCCGGCCCCTTGCCGTCCGCCAATGAGCGCGGCCCGCCTCCGCAGCCCTTGTTTCTTCTTGAACTTCTTCTTCTTCTTCAATAGCCGGCTCTCTCTCTCTCTCTCTCTCTCTCTCCCCTAGACCGCCGCGCGCTCGGTCTCCCAGGTGGAGATCGCACAAACGTGTTTTCTTTGGCCGTCAATAATACAGGGGATTATTATTGCGCAAGCTGCGATGATGTTGTGTGGAAATGAGTCAAGGGGCAGTGAGGTTGTGGCATTGCTGTTCTCCCAGTCGTTAGTAACTTGCAAGTTTGGTTGACGTGGTATTATCCCTTCCCCGGAGCTAGGTTTCGTGTTCTCTTTTTTTTTTTTTTTTCCTGAAAGGATCTTCTTCTTCGTTCCTGTGGCGAATAAATTCATGGATCTGGGAAAAACGCCCCCGGGGAGAAAAGAGCATAATTTTGGTTTGTCTTTTTTCTTTCTTTGTAGTATACTACTGTGGAGTAATATCCGTATGTCTGTTTTCGTTTGCGGGCTGAAAATTTGCCTCCCTTCCGCTCCCGTCCGGAGTCGTTAGATTTCACTCAACAATTTCAAATCTAGCGGGTGTTTTTTTTCCTATTATTGTACTTTCGGTCTTTGCGCGATTCCCACTCCAACCGAATAATAGTCCAAGAATTTCGCTCATCGCGGGCAGGATGGATGATCGTCCGCCATCACTAACATCGTCAGTTGTCGTGCATAACGGCATCACGCACACATCCTGCCTGTCGTTCAATCCCCACACGCCCCAATAGCCGATTCCTGGTTTCTTGTTATAAAAATCTCATCTCTCTTCTTCGCCGAAGGGGCCCGCCTTGGAAGCAGCGCGCGATCTGGAACCCGGGCGGCGCGCGCCCACACACATCCCCACTCTTTCATCATGCCATCCGCAGTCCAATTTCGAAGACTGCCAAGGGGGGAAGGGAATAATGAATAATAATACAAAACAGAGTCTGGGTCAATTTTTCTTAATTACTCGGTATTTGTATGGGGGGGGGGGCCCCTCCCCGAGTCTTTTTTAATGATTATTACTGTGTTCTGTTCTCCTGGGGCTCCTCCCCCGGCCCCCGCCCCCTGTCCCTTCTAGAAGCCACATCGAACGAAAAAAAAAAAAACTCTGAGTACCAGGGGGGATCATAGTACTTAGTACGGAGTACTCCGTACTCCGTCCGGAGTCGTCGTGCTGGCCAGGCGGCGACGTGATAGGCTGCGGAGCAACACAAAGGGACGATCCCGATCATGCATGCCAGAGTGTGGGAGGGGAGGGGGGCCCTGTTGACGCGAGAGCGAGGGAGATTTTCTTCCGTCTCTGGTTCTAGGATTGTGGAGGGCCCGTGGTGCTGCCGCTGGGCGGGCTGGTGATGCGAAGGGCTCGAGCGTGCGGCGCGGGTATTGCAGGCTTGCACGCAGTCTAGACTCTGGGCCGCGCAGCTCTTTGTTCCCCTGCCATTCAATCGTCGGCGGTGCGGATCCTTCGTCGCAAGAAAACTCTGTGGGCTCACATGGAGCCGGTTCGGAACGCGGATGGTCGGTTGGCAGAGGAGCTCCCCGGGTCATGCATGTGCGAATCACACGCCGTCGCCCGAATCATAGGAATAATAATGCACCACAGCGCTTTGCCAATAATACGGCAATAATAAGATCATCATCATCATCATCACCAGCACAGCTCGCCCGCGCCAGCCTCGGACCACCCGCAGCCCTTTCGGTACCCCCTGACGTATCGTATTTTATGCCCGCGTTACGCCGTCCGATACCATACGCCGTACCAACGTATTCGGAGATGAGATAAGATAACCCGCTGATCCAGGCACGCGCGCTGATTGGCCGCCTTTTCGCCCGCCGCCCGAGGTACCTCGTAGTGCGGACTACGGAGTACTAAGTACTGCCTACGACTGTAGCTACTAGTACTCCGTACATCTCCCACCCGCGCCACACCGAGCCCCGGTCACGTGCGGTGGCCGTCGGCCAGGCTCCCCGCTGCCGTAAGCAGCGCCGGGGCTCACCTCATCCACGAAGGATGACGCTCAATATCTCCTCCATAATAGTACCATGGTTCGATTTATCCCGGCCGTCATTCTTATAGCATCGTCCTGGTATCAGCCCAGTCGGGTGCTTTCGTCCCGGTGCGGCCAGCCTGGAACCTGCGGGACTCGGCTCTTTCTTCCTGCGGGGAGGGTTTGTGACGGCGGGGTAGGATGGTTGTTATTTCTTATGAGCCTTCGAGGCTACCTCCAATTTCATTCGTTGTGCCATCAGCTTCCAAGGCTTTTGTGCCCTCGGCCAATTTGCGCTCACCCCAAGAGTCTGACGAAGCAGCAGTCCAGGCAGGCATGCTTCGAATTGATTGACCGTTATCTTCATACATACGGCCGTAGTTCTTTCCGTGTTCCGGATACACATGGTACCGAGGAATTAGGTAGTGGTAACTAACCGGGCTGATGGCTGGCCGGGAAGCTGCGTTGTTGATCTGGACGATTTGAAAGCAAGAGCAATGGCCGAGTGTGTTGGCGCCAGGCGCTGAGTCATAGCCAAGTCTTAAAGATGTTCTGTAGCTCCGCCGTATTGACATGGCGAGAAGCCTTTGAGAGTATGCAACGGTAGCAGAATATCCGTTTTTCAGAGCCGCGTAGTAGATACGACATCCAAGGCAGCCTCAAGCTGACGGGGACATGCTAGGAGCTGCAGCAGTAGAGAAACGACTGGCCCAAAACCAAGCCTGGCACCCGTGAAGCCCCGTCCGTCCGTAAAGCTGAGGCGTTGAAGCGCGTTGAACATTCGCGGATCAGATCGGTTCCTGGCCGCTAGTCCCAACGCAGGCTAGCGCCGAGCCGATGATGCAACCCGCCGTTGAGCCGCCGGCGCGCCGAAAGCTTCACTCGCCTCGCACGCATCACCCTCACCTCACCTCACCGCACCGCACCGCACCTCTACCGCCACTCTTGTCCTTACCTGCCTTCCTTCCTTCGTTTGCTGTCGACAGAAACACTCGCGCCCAATGCCGCCGCCCAGGCAGCGCGGCCCGCCCGCGCCCGCGCTCGACGACTCCCGCTCCGAAGCCTCGAATGGCCCGCGAGAACGACCGCCGCTGGCCACGAAGGGCCGCCGCTCGGGCCTGACCACCGCCACGCTCGCCAGTAAGGACCTGAAAGCAGCAGCAGCGGCGACACTACCGCCGCCGCCGACCGCCGCGGCGGGCGAGACTGACCTGCGCGCTGAGAGCACTGGGGTATGTTCAAGGCGACAGACCTTTGAGACTCTGCTCTCATATCCTCCCCCCTACACCTTCTCACCACCTAGACTCCGTCACTAACCTCCATCCCATTCTCCCAGATCAACTGGTCCACCATGCCGCTCACTGTGCTGCACCAGTACCGCTACGTCCACAACCTGCCGTGTCCCAGCTCCTTCTCGTCGTACATGAACTCCGTGCTGCTCTCGCGCGGCATCGGCCTGCGCTCGCCCACCGCCATCGCCCACCGCCGCGCCGCCAGAAGACGCCCTACCGCCGCCGTCCACAAGAATAACAACAACAACAACCCGTCGCCGCCCGCCTCGTCCGCCGCCAAAGTCTCCAAACGCTCCAAGGCTGCGGTGTCCGCGCCGCCCGCGCCCACGCCCGTTGCTGTGGCTGCCACGGCCGCGGGTGCGGGTGCGGGTGCGGAGAGTGCGTCGGCGTGCCGCGCGCAGGGCCGTGTGTCCAAGGAGCAGCTGGCCGCGTCCGTGAGGAAGCATTTCAATAACACCGCGATATCGGAGCAGGATGCGATTGCGCGCTTCGTGTACAAGGTCTGCGAGGAGAGTAAGGGGAAGGAGTTTCGGTTGAGGTTTCGGCCGTGACGGTCGTGGTTTGGTATTCAGTAATAGTTGGGGGGCGTTTTTAGCGGGATTCTTTTTGCTACTGATATAGAACTATTTTTTGGCGGGGGGATATTTTATTGTTATTGAATTTGCTTTGTTTTTGAATGCCAGTTGGTTCTCTCCATTAGCCCTAGGCATAGGGGCTTCCTGATCCCGAGATCTAGAAAGACTGTCCTATTTTTACTCCCTGGAAACGAGTTCTGATGCTTACATATGGAAAATGAATCTGAAATGACTTATCTCAAGAGTACTTGCAGCAACATCGATGGTAGCTGGATATATATCAGAATAAAATAAGTATATAAAAACTACGACAGATAAATATCACATATGCAGATACAAGACTAGCTATATGGCAGAAGCCTCGACAGAAACAACATTCATTTTTGGGAACCAAATCATAACATATGTGAGTATATCCAGCTCTAACCCTAACCCGTCGTATCGAATATTCAATTCCCAATGCATCATCACCGAGTCACCCAACGCCAGTACAAACAAACAGCACTTTCAGATTTGCCCGCTTCGCATAACTAACTTTCTTTCCAAACAAAACCCCCACAAGACCAGCGAAGAAATTATCGATATCGTGCTGGCGCTGCTAGGGGGCCACTTTTTCAGCCTCGATTTATTTATTTATTTATTTCCAAGCATTCAGACCCGCCCACGGATCGAGCGCATTCGCATTCTGCGTCGAAGCCGGGCGCTTCGGCCCGCCGTGCGGCTGGCTGGGCGGCCGCGCCTGTCCCGGCCCATAGCCTGCCGGTCCGCCGGGGCCCGCGTACGCCGCCGCGCCGTTAAACGTCAACGGCGACTGGTGCGGTCGTGGCGGCGGCGGCGGCGGCGGCGGTGGCGGCGGAACATAGGCCTGCGGCAGGTACGGCGGCTGGCCGGCGTAGCCTGTGAACGGCGATGCGGCGCCGGGGTTGAAGTACTGCTGGTTCGGCGGCGGGGAGGTGGGGGTCTGGTAGAAGTAGGACATGGGGTTGTAGACTTCGGAGGTTGGATGTGGGTGATGATGTTGTTGTTGTTGTTGTGGTTGGTACGGCTGGGAGGTGGTGTATGCGCCCGATGCGGCGAGTTCTCCGGGAGGGTAGGTCGGATAGAGCAGATTGGCGGGTTTCTGGTTGTTGGGGTTGGGGGTTTGTCCGCCGATTACAGCGGCGGTGCTATGGCGGGGGGAAATGGGTGATGATCTCGTCGCCGAGGAGGATGCCTTGATCGCGCCGGGCCTGGGGTTCATTGAGGAGGGCGACGAGGAGCCTGGCTCCATCGATAGTCGTTCCATGAGAAGCTTTAGCTTCTCTCGTTCCCGATCCTCATGGCTAGATGAACTTTTGTCCCGCTCGATTTGGTTGAGCAATTGGGCCCCTTCTGCTCGGCGGTTGTTGAGAAACGTGTCGACATTCTTCTTCAGGTTATCGACCGTATCCTTCATTTGCATGTAGAACGCCTGAGCCTGGTCGAGGCCTGACAGCAGCTCTTTGAAGACTTTGTGAACTTTGCGGTATTTTGACACCACACTGTTCCGTTGGCGCGAGAGCGTTTCGTATTTTGATTGTTCTGCCCTGACACGTTTATCTTGTAGTAAATCTCCGTATACTTTAGCCAGTTCCTTCATGATGGCAGTTTGCTTATGGTTGGCTTGGAGCAGCCTATTCTGATGAGGCCTAAATTTCTCCAGCTCTGCCTGGAAGAGCTGGTCCTCTTGGTTGACTATCGACTTTTTGTTGAGGATAAGTACGTTGGAAATATCGTCATTATGGACCTGTATAAAGTATTAGCATTAAGCAATCTCGAGACAATCAACAAATATCAGCTTTACCTTGTCTTTTAGATCTTTCAGGGTCTGGGTTCGATCTCTCTTAACAAGGTTCAATTTCCGCAACAGCTCTTCAACCTTTGCGATTTGCTCCGACATGGATACGCCACCTTCACTCAAGTCCTCATCTAGGAGATTTCCCTCAGGAGCACCAGCGTAGGGACTGTTGCCTTTTGACTTTCCATATTTCGAGCCCGCAGCAATCATGGCCTGTTGAAAGAATACGTCCACTTCCCCTGATGACCCAGCAGTACGCATATCGTTAAATTCTGCCTCATACTGTCGTAAAGTAACCAGAAGCTGAGAATCGCTGGCACTTGCCTCATCGATTGTGGACCGATAGTTCCTAATATCACTTCGCAAGGTCGAGGTGAGTCGTGAGCTTGGTTGCTGAGTCCAATCAGCGGCATATTTGGACCGCATCTTTTCACAGACCATCTCCTCCATATCGAGCTGCTTAGAGCATTGTTCAAGAGTGCTAAGCAGAGTGATTTTGTCCTCTTGTAAATCGTCCAAGGTTCCGCGGAACGGCTCACGTCTAGCAATCTCTTCGCACCATGACCGAAAGTCGTCGTCACAAACGGTTTCTTGGTCCATGCCACCTTTTAGAATGTTCAAACTGCCCGGTAATTTCAAGAAGTCAAGGCTAGCAGCCATCTCGCCATTGGCAGCTTCCACCTTTTCCACTTCAGCCCGCACAAGTTTGGCCTTTTCTTCGTCGTATAGACTAGCAGACTCGGTAACGGACATTGGCACGATCTTCTGGAAAATATCTGGGCCAATAATTCGTTGTATGTCCTGTCCCTGGTATAGCTCACTCACAGGAATAGCCTTGGCGGCGGGTAGTTTGGCAATCATTGATAACGCAGCTTCCGCAGGAACAGGTTGGTGGTAGATAAAATCATTATCCCTTACGAATGAAACACATTTCTCCTGGACATTGGCGAGGTGGCGTCGAACAATCTCTAGCAACATCGAGCCGGTTTCTGATATTAGATTGGATCCCGACGGCACGGAAGAAGGAAATGATTTAGCCAAGCTAACAGCAGAAGTGGATTGCTTTTCTGCCAGCCTCAGACGGCCAATGGAGATACCGTGTATGCCGGTTTCGTCGTCTGCGATTGCCTGATAGTATCCCGCAACTGAAGATAGATGGGACGCCTTTATTAGGACCAGGGTGGCCCACACCTTCTCAAATGTACCTTTATTGACATTCTCCTGAACCCCTTCACTAGCCTGCGAATAAAGATGGGCTGCTTGGCTGGCTAGCTTCGCCAGGAACCCAGGCTTCTTTTCATCGCGAATCTGCTTCTCGAGGAAGACCTCCTGCGCCTGGGCTAGCGTGATCGCTATTAGGGTCTTGACAGTGTCTCGGCTAAGATCAGTGGAGGGCGCATGGAGGAAATTATCGTTGATATAGGTGAACATGCCGGCGGAGGCTTGAAATGAATGGTACGCTGTTTTTAAGCCCGTATCGTCCTCCCGGCTCTGGTTTGCGGCATGGCACGATAAGACAGCAGAGATGTTGAATATTATCGAAGCTTTCTCGTACGCCAGAGAGTATTGGGAAGTAGCTTTATGTGTGAAGGCATCGTACCTAAGTTGAACATACAAGTCAGCTCGCGGGGCTCTCCCCACCATAGTGGCACTCTTACCATGTGAACGAAATCTTGATGTGATTTTCATCGACTGGAAATCGTAAGTCAAGCAGCTCTAGCTGTCCATAATATCTGTAAAGAAGGTCTCGTCCAGTGGCGCTATCCTTGCCCGCACCTCGCATATCCTGTCGGAGCCTGTTCAGGGTGGTGCATTCTTCAGAATACCGCTCAGGATCATCGCCATATGTGTGCCTAATGTAAGACTTCAGCGGCTGGATCCAATCGATCTCGTTTGTCTGTTTGAGCGGACACGATATCATCGGCGATTGCACCATGATGACTGAAGGCTTCCGGGAGCCGTGGCCCGCACCGAGCGCAGTGAGAGCGGCTGGTTAATCAAGTGTCGGAGGAGCTGCAGGGCGTACGCAGTCAGATGCAGTGAGGATCCCGAAAAATCTGCGATGGTGGTCGAGCTTCGCGCAAGTTGGGCGATGGGTGGAGGGATGATAGTCCTATGCTGAATTGAGGCGGCCTAGGCGGAGACGGGGGAGCGGCGATCTCATTAACTATCGCAGACAATGGTGGGCTATTCAAGTGCGTCTCAGCTATCAAGGCAGAAAGCAAAAGTGATTGCTTGCCAGGCCCGCGGCTTCGGTGTCGTTGATAAGAAATGCGAGCAGGGTTCCGAACTGCGAGGGGCTCTGGGTGGTGTGGGTGGTGATGACGCTGCGCAGCCGCTGAGGAGTGCCCAACCAACCCAAAGCCACCAGCAATGTTTGATATGGCTGGTTTGCAGCCAAAATGCTCGGTTAGAAGCCAGAGTGTGGGCACGCGGATTGAATTTGATTTGTAGCCGCTTGTACATATTTTTTATTTCAACTTTTCCAGCAACACTATTAGCTACCATACATAAGCGCATGCAGTGCTGCAAGGGCCAATGCGGACGCCAGAACATTATTTCAACCTCGGAGCAAGTGGAGATGGGCCCGCCAAATTAAAATACACAGGAAGATACCGTTCCAGTCTATATGAAAGATTGTAGCTGTGTTCCCAACATGCAGGTTAAAGCAAAAGGGGTTGGATTTTCGCCAAAATATATTACATGGAAGATGGAAGTGATGCTTAAGAACGCTATGACAAGAGTAAAATATTATCAGAAGAGCTAGATGTGGTGGAGAATCTTTATCCGGAACCAGACGCCTTTTTCGTGTTTTTCTGGTTGTCGTCACTGGAATCTGATTTGGAGCCGGGGTCCTTGCTCTGGCTGGCTTCTGGGTTGCCATCTGGGCTGGAGTTCACTGGCTTGTGGTGTTGGTTTGTCAACTTGTGCCAGGCGGCTTTGAAAAAGCCTTCACCTTTGTGAGGGTCGTCTGCTGGTTGGGAGTCATTGGAAGCAGGTCTAGAAAGCTAGTGTCAGCTGGGTCGGCACAACCATACACTAGCGCTGAAGGCCGGATTACCTGTCGTTCTTGAAGCTCATGACTCTCTTCGCAGTTGTGTCACCCATCTCCTCGGCAAGGACCTCAAGAATAGTCCTTTGGTTGGAAGTCAGGGATTTCGGCATGGCAACCTTGAACTGAACTTTGAGATCGCCATTACCTCCACGTCGGGCTCCAAGTTTTCGCATGCCATGTCCGGACAGGGTTACCTGATCTCCGGTGCCCGTTCCGGTGGTTACCCTAACTTTGACCTCACCGTTGAGTGTTGGTACTGTGACTTCTCCTCCGAGCAGCGCTGTTGTTAATGGAATCGTTGCGGTATAGAGGATGTCAGCGCCGGATCGGCTGAATCGCTGGTCGGGAGCAACGCGGATAGAAACGAAAAGATCACCGCGTTGTTTGCGGGAACCTGGCTCACCCGGTGGCACGTCGCCTTCTCCAGTTACCTTTAATCTCATGCCATCCTCGACGCCCCCTGGAATGTCTACTTGAACCGTTCGTCGCTCTCTCACCACTCCATTCCCACGGCAACTGGAGCATTCTGACCCTCTGGGTATTGAAGTTCCTGCACCATCGCAAGTTCCGCATGTGCTCGCCATCTGGAATCCTCCCATGGCGTGGATAGTAGTTCCAGTCCCTCCGCAGGCGGAGCATTTAGATCTCGTTTTTCCTGGCTTCACGCCGTTTCCTTTGCACGTATTACAATTCACTAATGGCGTAAGAAATATTTCTTTTTTGGTTCCATTTGCGGCCTCCATGAAAGAAATATTTGTTTGGACTTCGATGTCTTCACCAACAAACACCGTTGACTGGAATGGTGAGCCCCGCGCCGTTCGGCGTCTCCCAGCGCCACCAAATGCATGGGCAAACAGGTCTTCAAAATTGACCTCTCCACCGAATCCACCGAAGCCGTGGAATCCGCCAGCTGAAGCGCCTGAAGCGCCTCCGAACCCACCGCCAAAGGGCCCACCGCCAGCAGCATGTGGATTGAAGCCTCCATTCTGGTCAAAAGCTGCTGATCCAAACTGATCATATGCCTTTTTCTTTTCAGGGTCCGAGAGCATCTCGTATGCGGATTGCGCTTCCGAAAATTTGTCCTTTGCGCCTGGGTCCTTATTTGTATCCGGGTGATACTTTTTAGCCAGTCCATAGTATGCACGTTTAATCTCCGAGGCGGAAGCACTTTTGTTTACTCCGAGTACGTTATAAGGATCTCGAACCGTGGCCTGGGCGGGGGAAGACGAGTGAAAAGCCTATACTCATAAAACACAAATATGTTAGTCTAAAAAATGTAGTGATGCGAGCTGGGAATGAGAGGTGTACCCTGCGGGGCTGAGAGCGCGCGTTAGACGGCCGAGTGCATGGCCCGCGCTCCTGGCATTGTTTGCTACCACTTTGAAATGACCGCGATTGAAATTGTCGCGAGATTCCCGAGTACTGGCTTGCGCAGCACCGGGAGGAGCGGAGTAGCTGGGAGGGGACTGCAGCCGCCATCAGCAATCGATAAGAACGAGACTTGTTCCCAGCAAAAATGAGATATCAGTACGTGGACGGAGTATATCAGACGAAAATCATGTATATCACAAGAAATAAGAGACGGCGAGGAGTGAGAAGCAAAAATTATCGGCGGGTGCGTCTTGAAGATTCCAGAAGGCAAAAAGTTTCAACGGAGAAACATTCCGCCGAACGCCGCTCCGACTTATGGAATTCTCAACCGCAACTAAACACTCACGAGCCAACGCCGACACGGAATTGCTTGCTCTACGTTTCTGTTTTCAGACTGTTTGTGATTTCCGCTCGTTTCTGCCTGTATAATAGGAGGTTTTCTGCCGTCTGAAGCGTATCCGCTTTCTAATACACGCGCACATCCCCCGGCTGAGAGGATGCTTCGAAGCTCAAGCCTTCCCTGGAGGGCTGCACTACTACGAACATCCCAGCCTACAGTACGCTCTCCTCGGGTTTGCTTTGGGAATGCTGTCCGGACATCGTTAGAGCTCCGTACGTCCGTTTTCGCGAGATCTCTTCCCGCATTTACCCAACCGTTCTCCTCCACTTCCGCACGACGAAAAGAAAAGCCAACGCCGCCCCAGTCAAAGAAGGAACGCGAGGAAGGAACGGACACAGAGGTTGATCGTGAGGAGCGTCCTAAACCCGAAGAACCGACGGAGAAGGATGGAAAATTAGAGGACACCGGCCCCTCACCTATACCGGCATCGGCTTCGCCGGCAGAATCACGGCCTAGCGGGGCGGGCGCGGGAGCAAGCTCAAGTCAGTCAGGAAGCGGAGAAGGTGGAGGTAAAAGAGGACGAAAGAGTGCAGCTGAACGCGCTTTGCAAAAACCGTCAATCCCAGATGTGTATCCCCAGGTGATGGCCATTCCAATTGCGCGGAGACCTTTGTTTCCTGGGTTTTATAAGGCAATTACTATCAAAGATCCTAATGTTGTCGCTGCAATTCAAGAGATGATGAAGAGAGGCCAGCCTTATGTTGGTGCTTTCCTATTTAAAGATGAGAACGCCGACAAGGATATCATTGAAAATATGGACGATGTTCATGATGTTGGAGTTTTTGCACAGGTCACAAGTGCATTCCCTGTTCATGGTGATGAGAATGGTTTGACAGCTGTCCTTTATCCGCACCGCCGGATAAAGATGTCATCTCTGATATCGCCACAAGAGACCGCACCGAAAGAGGAAACAGAACCGCAAGTACCTAAGGAAACGCCACAAGAAAAGCAAGGGGATGTTGTTGCAAGTTTTGAGGAGGCTGCCGTCGAGCAAGCTTCGAAGAGCAATATTTATTACGAACCCACTTCATTTCTCCGAAAATACCCTGTCAGCATCGTTAATGTTGACAATCTTGCAGAAGAGCCGGTGGATAAGAAAAGTCCCGTAATTCGAGCTGTTACAAGCGAGATTGTCAATGTCTTCAAAGACGTGGCCAATCTAAATCCACTGTTTCGTGACCAAATTTCTACTTTTTCTATGAGTCAATCCGCTGGCAACGTGATCGAAGAGCCCGCCAAATTAGCCGATTTTGCTGCAGCAGTATCTGCCGGTGAAATAAAAGAGCTTCAAGATGTTCTGGAAACAATGAATATTGAAGAGCGCTTGTCTAAAGCTCTTGTGGTCCTAAAAAAGGAACTAATGAATGCCCAGCTGCAGTCTAAAATATCAAAAGATGTGGAGGCAAAAATTCAAAAGCGCCAGCGAGAATATTGGCTAATGGAACAAATGAAAGGTATTAGGAGGGAGCTTGGCATCGAGTCTGATGGCAAAGATAAGTTGGTGGAGAAGTTTAAGGAGAAGGCTGAAAAACTGGCGATGCCGGAAGCAGTGAAAAAGGTTTTTGATGAGGAATTGAATAAGCTGGCGCACTTAGAACCAGCAGCATCCGAATTCAACGTAACCCGAAATTACCTTGACTGGATCACCCAGATTCCATGGGGAAAAAGAAGTGCAGAGAATTTCGGAATCAAGAATGCGATGACAGTTCTGGATGAAGATCACTATGGCTTGAAAGATGTTAAAGATCGCATTTTGGAGTTTATTGCGGTTGGGAAACTACGTGGGTCTGTGGAAGGAAAGATTCTTTGCTTTGTTGGTCCGCCCGGCGTTGGCAAGACCAGCATTGGGAAATCCATTGCTCGCGCTCTTAACCGACAGTACTATCGGTTCAGCGTCGGTGGCTTGACGGATGTCGCTGAAATCAAGGGCCATCGACGAACATACGTCGGGGCCCTCCCAGGACGTATTATCCAGGCTCTCAAAAAATGCCAAACGGAAAACCCGCTTATTCTTATTGATGAAGTAGACAAGATTGGGCGCGGTCATCAAGGAGATCCAGCGTCAGCATTATTGGAACTTCTTGACCCTGAGCAGAACTCATCGTTCTTAGATCATTACATGGATGTTCCTGTCGACCTGTCGAAAGTTCTTTTTGTTTGCACAGCAAATATGACCGATACAATTCCCCGGCCTTTGCTGGACCGTATGGAGTTGATTGAATTATCTGGTTATGTTGCCGACGAGAAGATGGCGATTGCGGACCGTTATTTGGCGCCTGCGGCGAAGGAGATGAGTGGACTGAAAAATGTGGACGTGAAGCTCGACGAAAGTGCCATCGAAGAGCTTATCAAGTCCTACTGTCGAGAGAGTGGAGTGCGAAATCTGAAAAAGCAGATAGAGAAGGTGTATAGAAAAGCAGCGTTAAAAATTATCCAGGACCTGCGCGAAGAGGAACCTACCGAAGAGGATCTGGTGAGGGATGAAGTCCGCACGGCACAAGAGGCAGTCAAAAATGAAAAGGTGGTAGACGAGCCGAAACAAGAACCACCCTTGCTTCCAGCAAAGGTGCCAGACGATGTCCATGTTACTATTGCGAAAAACAACTTAAAGGATTATGTTGGGCCTCCGGTCTTCACCTCCGATCGACTATACGAAGTCACTCCTGCTGGTGTTGCCATGGGTCTCGCATGGACCAGCATGGGGGGCGCAGCTCTATATGTCGAGTCAATCCTACAAGCTGCGCTGACGAACTCATCCCAACCCGGCTTTGAACAGACGGGTAACTTGATGACAGTAATGAAAGAGTCGACTGTCATCGCATACTCTTTTGCTAAATCCGTGGTAGCGAAGGATTTCCCAGAAAACAAATTTTTCGAAAAGGCAAAGCTTCATTTACACTGCCCTGAAGGCGCTGTTCAAAAAGATGGTATGTTACCGACGATGACCCTCTTTCCACTGTCTGTTCTCCATACCTGCTAACTCAGGATTACAGGTCCATCTGCTGGGATAACTATGGCCACTTCTCTTTTATCTCTCGCGCTTAATGAGCCGATCAACCCGACTATTGCCATGACCGGGGAACTCACCGTCACTGGAAAAGTCCTCCGCATTGGTGGCTTGAGAGAGAAAACGGTTGCTGCCCGCCGTGCAGGAGCCAAAACTATCATTTTCCCTGCAGATAATCTCTCCGATTGGCTGGAACTCCCTCAAGTATTTCTCCCCTCATACCCCTTTATGCCAATCCACCACCGCCTCAAGTCAGTCTGCTAACTAGCCTTGTGTTTCCCAAATAGAATATCAAGGAGGGAATCGACGGCCATGCTGTTAGCTGGTACTCGGAAGTATTCGACCTCGTCTTCAAGAATATTGATCATACCATGGCCAACAATGTGTGGAAAACTCAACTAAGCGACCCAGAAAACACCACCAAAAAGGAATGATTGGCGTCACGCGCGAATAACGGTGATACCTAATTCATTTGCAGCCACACTAGTGCTCAACCCTGTTTTAACGACTTCCATGATACTTTTTTCTCTGTAGTGGACAGAGTGTGCCTCTTAGGCCGCCCTCTCTTCTTGGCATATATTTGTGTTTTATCTCTCACTCATCTCTTCTGCATATGGTGGAGTTTCTTCTTTTCTTTTTGGATGCTGTGAACGGTTGACTATATGTACAGTATGCATTGTCATTGCGCTTCATTTGCCAACGGTCGCTTAGCAGCCTCGGTTTTCTGTTAGCTGCAAGGACATAGACTTATTGCTTCATTATCTTACTTGTTTTTTATTTTTCTGGGATATTTTGGTTAGACCCCGCCCCAGTTTACGATGATGCCGGGCGCATGCAGTGGAAGAAGATAGTGTGTTTCCATAGGGCGAAAAAGTCTCGACTCCACTCGTTCCCCAGGCGCTCTTTTGGCTTTTGGTGATACATGTTTTTGTGCCTTAGCAAGCATTGTCATCTACGGATGAGCAATTAAACTGTAACTTTTTTTTAAACAAAACCTCCCCCATAAGGTGTTCTGATTGAAGAACGAGTTTCTGGAGTGCATGGGGTTGCATATTACCTGCAGAGGTGGTTGGAAACTTAAGACATGTCTGGTGGGAAAGCTGCGATGACAGGCTGCGACGCACTCATGGAAATATCCTTGCGAGCCATAAGGTGCGCAGGCTGATGAATCAAAATCAATTTCTTGTTGTTTAGATGAGTTGCTGGGTACTCTTGTGGCCATTTCGAGTCAGCCGACTACCTGGCTAGGGAGCTAGAAGGGTCTATGAATTGGGCTGTACGACTCTATCAAGTATCGAAAAAAGAACATTACTCCGGTTCCACGACTTATCCTTTCCTTTCCAACCAATGATAGTTGTACTGCGCCCCGGAATGGGATATCCCAATGCTTCGAGCGCATGTGAACTGTTTGTGGAAGAGAAGGATCTTACAAATGGAGGGGACGGTGAGGTGGCCCAAATGATACTCAAAGAGGGCTCCATGTCCGTGAGACGTTTGTTGAAGAGAAAAGTAGGGCCACCTGTCAGATTTTATGAATTGCAAGCCCGGCTACAGAGATCCATAGAAGAATCGCACGACCAGATCGACTGGAAGACAACAAGGCAGGGAACAGAGCCCTTATCGGCCAAAGCTGGATGGTCAATTGGAGCCAGCAAGGCAATCTTCTTGCATTGAGCGTTTCTGTTTCGAGGCTTGCTTTGCCCTAGGTTGGCGTTCAATGGCCAACAAACGAGCAAGGGATTCCGACTAAACGCCCGCTAATGCATGCCTAGAGTTTAGGCAAGGCTATGGGTCGTTTCCAAGGGCGCCTTGCGAATGCAACCGCCCACCCAGCAGGGCAAGGAAGAGAAGCATGCTGGCTTCTGCAGCCGAGTCGCAGAATCTCGAAGGGAAAGCATCCGAGCAAATCACAGCCGTCGATAGTGGAGGGGACGAGGATACGGCGTCCTGGGGTTACGAGATTCTGTGCGGCGTACTTCAATAATAATAATGCTACGGATGCGACTGCACAGGAGGCTCCAAGGGGAGGGGGGCGAGGAACCGCTGCAGGCCCTGCTGGAGCGGAGGGGAAGCGGCAAGACTCCGAGCTAAATGACGATTTTATGTGACGCTGGCGGCGGGAGGGCTTGATCTCAGCGGCCCTCGGGTTATTTAGTGGACACTCCGTACTGCGCAATGACTGTCTCGGGGGATAATAATGCCTGCGCCGCAGAAACCGTTTGACGCTCACCTGAATGCCAGTCCTCGTCTGTTGGCCGGTCAGGAGACGTTCTGTATAACGCGATGCCGAAGTGTCTCCGGTGGAAATCCAGGCGCTGTGTCTTGCAACTAAAACTTCTTATTCTGGGGGCGACTTTGATTTTAATTAGTTACATGCTCCGAACACACAGGCAACATATTATTTAACCCTTCGTGATTGATCTTCTTAGTCCTCATTTTCTTTTTTTCAATTTTTTTTTCATCAAAGTCTTCCGTTGGCGGTGAGACCACCTTGTTCGCAGCCAAACCATCGAATTTTTTTCTTCATCCGAACAAACAACAACCAGCGCTGCGTTCTCTGCTGTCACACTGCTGGATACCCGCAAACTCCTTTTTCCCTCTAGAATCGACAGCAAGCCGATCTCGCTTCCAGATCGACGCCCACAAAGAGAATTTGCACCAAAAACCAAAAAAGAGGGACCGCAATAGAATGTACTGTCTATCCTCCTCCTGTCCGCCAACAAGATCGAAGAGCACAACTAAGCGTCTTCCTCTCTTCCTCCTACACCAGGTTCCGGCTCGTCCTCACTGCCTCCAATTGATGCCCGCTTGACGGATATATCGCAGCCCCTGCAGTCCATTCTACCTACCTCTTCTGCCGGTTGTCCACCACCTGCTTGGTCTATACTGCCCGCAGAAAATTTTTATCATATCTGTGTGTCTCTTATCGGCGGTGCTGCCGCATTACACCGAGAGGCAGGATACCCCTCCCCGATTTGAAAAATATGCAGGTGGCAGCCTCTGAAACTCAGTGAGCGAATAAGTAGAGGCCTTTTCCCGCCTCCAGCGCTTCGGCCGCCCGGTTGGGCCTGAGGAAAGACGAGCCGTCAGGGCCTTCTCTTATGGAAATACCGATCTCGTCAAACCGGTTGTTGTCCTGGCCAGCTGTAACGCGGCTGCCGAGCCCCTGCTCGTCTTCAGTCGTGCTGCATGGCCATCTCACTTGCGGACACTTCCGGGCCCTTTCTGGACCGTCTATTACCGATGCCTGACACTAAGAAACCCGCTTCAGGCAAACTAAATTTCCTGCATCGACTATCACTGCGAAAATGGCTAGCCCGGGAGAGTTTTCGTCATCTAAACAGCTCTTTTTCCAAGCCTGTTGCTTCTCGCCCGCTTCCACTCTCGCTGCCCGCCACACCGGTTCCACCACCAATTACACCCCCTCGCCCTCTGACCCGGTCAAGTTATGATAACGGCGACTTTGACAGTGATCGCGCTGACAAACATGACCTGTCTCCGCCTCAGAGACGGTCTGCCAGCACTGTTGATCTCAGTCTCCCGCGCGAAACTCCACTTGATCCGAATACGCCTAAGAACGAGGAAATTCTGGCATCAGACGAAAATACGCAAACCGCTGCTAGACCAGCTAGTCCTGGAGAACATAATAGACCGACTAGTCCCCACAAAGGAGATTCTGCGCCCGACCCTCCTGAGCCCCAGCCTAGCACACCGAATGAACAACCAGATGATGGCGCTCTGCAGGATAGCCCTACAAATAATGAAAAAGAGGAGCCCGTAGCCCCTCCCAACGAAATATCAGACTCTATAGCTAGGCATGGGGAGGAATTCGAAAAAGTTATTATTCTTGAATTGGACAGAAAATGGATACTGAACTTGAGTATGCGGTTTCGGGACCCAACAGACAGTGAAAAGTTTTTCGTTACGTATGCGGAGTCTCCTTCGTTCTGGCGAAAAGTTACCGTAACTTGCAATTACGAGAATATCGAACAGGAATGTCTTGAGCGAGACCTTAAAGGGCTACGTTTTCAACGAGATAAGAATCTAAGAATTTATGAAGCCCTCCGGGAGTCTATGGATGAGATTCAATTTTTTGATACAGTGACAAATCTAAAGCTGGAGACGGAGCAAGGACGTCTACACGTTCACGTTTCTGAAGATGTGAACGAAATAATTACCTATCCCTCTGTTTCAACCGTTGCCCATCTGAATCCACCTTTTATTCCAGAAAGCCTTCTCACATTTCATAGCCACCTATCTGGCTTCGTTTACCATGTAAAGCTGAATGGAGAAGACTATGTGAAGAAAGAGATTACCGGCCCAGATACCGTGGAAGAATTTTTATACGAAGTTAATGCATTGCATGCCTTGATAGAATCGGACTGCGTGATTAAATTCAAAGGCATTCTAGTCGACGACTCTGTGACTCTCGTGAAAGGCCTGCTTCTCGAGTATGCAAGCTTAGGCTCCCTCGCTGATATATTCTTCGATTACAAGGGTGCCGTCACATGGGGCAGACGGGAGCGATGGGCACGGCAAATTATCCGGGGCCTTGCAGACATTCACGAAGCAGGCTTCGTACAAGGAGATTTTACCGTGTCAAATGTCGTCGTGGACAAACATGACGATGCTAAAATCATTGACATAAATCGACGTGGGTGTCCCATTGGTTGGGAGCCGCCAGAGTTTACAAAGAAGATTGAAAGCAAACAAAAGATATCTATGTATATTGGGGTGAAGTCCGATCTGTTCCAGCTAGGAATGACTCTCTGGGCCATGGCTATGGAAGATGATGAGCCCGGACTTCAACCCCGTCCCCTTATAATCCCCGCTGACGCAGATGTACCAGGATATTTCCGGAACGTCGTCCAGATATGTTTACATCCGAGTCCCCAGAGACGTCTATCTGCCAAGGAGTTACTAGTACTGTTTCCACCAGATCACTTAGCAGAAAAACTGTTGGAGTATCCGAAACAAGATTCTGGCAATTTTACTGCTACTCAAAGATATGACTTTGTGGACCCAGACTTTCGTTACAATTCTCACCAACAGGACTTTGAGGCTCAGCGTGCTGACAGCATTTATATCGATAGCTTACCTAACTCGAATCTGAGTATGGATAGAGACACCCAAAGCCATGTAGCTCGACCTTCATTGAGTAGTTTACATCCTATCTCACATGATTCTGACACTCGAGATATAGAGATAGAGAGTGACTTCTATCAAAGTGACTTCTTGCCGTCTTCTCCGGATGATCCATACTGCCTAGATGATATCAGTCCATCTGCTGCCTTGCCTGGTGTTCATCCTTTCCTTGAGCAGTTGACACAGTACGGCCTGGGCCTGGCTAATCCCGGAGATTCAATTCAGTACCAACCGCCTCTAAGTACAACATCCTACTCAGTAAATCCAAATATACCCGTGGATCCACTGGAGCCTGAAGACCATCGTGGATACCCTGGAAGAGCCTTACATAATGTGGAAGATATCCCTGAAGCCCTTGCTTGTATAGGCGACCATATGTTTCTTCCATCTGCAGTCCCATACATTTCAAATACTGGTCTGGTCCTTGAAACTGACATACTGTCTAGAAATTTTAATGATGAAGAAACTTCAAATGCTGAAGATTATAGTGGTCATAGTTCTGGTGATAGGTCTCATGAAGCTGCCCAACAAGCTCTGCGTGAACCTGATCCTAATGACTTGATTCAATCAAGGCTACCTATCAATCCTGCATTTGTGGAATGCTCCACGTCAGTGCCAATCAACCGGTCATCAAGTGCCACGAGGCTTGCATCCTCGTCAGGGGATGAATCTCGCTTGCCTACAGCACAGACCCATGCACCTCTAACCGTCAACGACTTCTCTGAATCAAGCCAGGCTGCACTTTCAATAGCCGAACGACATTTTGAGCCAATACCGCCGGGCTATGATTCATTGCTCCCGTCTCAATTGGAATTCAACACACCCTCCCTGTCGACATTACGTTCGCTTGCGATCAACCAACAACCGGATAATTCTTCATCCCTCTGTATTAATTTAGAATCTGAACTTTCATCTCCTTCAGTTCTTTCTTCCGACGATTTATTTACTTCGAATCTACCAATCAACCCTGCATACTCCCCGTAATCATGGAAGGCTTTGTGACATCGAGAAATATCAGGGACAACATACCAACTTCACTACAGCACCTTTCTCATAGGGTACAAGACCTTATTCTCAATTCCTCATTCCCTCACCAGTTGCCTTTGCTACCTGATTATTCCTTTTGAGTGGCCTCTTACGGTATCATCCCGCCATCACCGTCCCTTGCAAGATCTTCCTTTGTTATTACGGCATAGTGCTAATATAAATTATGGCGGATTTGTTTGACAGTATTGTCAGGGTTTTTTGTTTTCGAGTTTTTGTTTATGTTTATGAAATTTCTCGGAAAAGCTTTGGTGTTTTTTTTGCATATTATGAGCGATCCTCCTGTTGTCTTGCCGGCTGCTTCATGTATTTTCTCGAGTTTTTAGGGCGTTTTTTTAAGGAATGGGCGGATAAAAGAATTGTCTTGATGCCTTTTCCTTGGATTATTTTGGAGGCCATAGCATATCATGGTGGCTACATTTACATTGTCATTGATATCTCAGGCGTAATTTCAACAAAGTAATATTTTGTGTTATGTTTTAGCCAATAGCGGATGCTATGCTATCTTTACAAAGGCCAGGCATTTGTTCTTTGCTTCTTCGGGAGTTGTTTCCTCTACTAACTGTGAACAGGCTATTCTCTCAGAACATATTCTATGATCAAGATCTCACAACAATGCTCTGAAATTAATAATAGTAATTACAAACTCTATATACCAACAAACCTCTTCAAAATGTATGGCCACCATAGAGTACAATCTGTAATGAAAAAAATCATTTCTATCATGAAGATAATGATACATCCAATAAGAAATAAGAGCAATTATATCGAATGGCTCCAACCCAGGAAGTTCGTCAGTCAAAGGCATTAACATCACACTACTTTACAAATAATTTCTGCATATCAAGCTTTCCCTTCTTTGTCTATTTCATCCTTATCTTCTGGAGGCGGTCTTGACTGGGATTTTGCTTCGATGTTGGGTTGCGAAGTTTTTTTTTCATCTGTTGAAGATTCTTTGGCCTCTTCAGCCTGTAGCTCTTCCTTCGGGCCGTCTTGTAGCTTCTTCTCAGTTGTTGCACTGTCTGAAGGTCCTTTCGAGGACTCGTCATGCACCTGATATTCTGGTTCATGCGCTTGAGAAGGTTTTGTTTCATCCTCCGCGGCGGCTTCTGGAGTTATGGCAGACTCTGTTTCTGATGTCGAGGTTGATCCTTGTTCTAGCGGCGGCTGTATTGCTGGGTCTGACATCTGTTGCTGTTCTTTCTCACAGCCTTCCTTGCTTGTCAGTTTAGAATCAGAGTTTGTATTTGTAGTCTGGATTTCCGGTGATGTTTTGGCTAGTTCTTCATGCCCCTGGTGTTTTAGGCGCAATGGTAGTTCTGTAAGAATATCGCTCCTGGAGAGCAGTTGTGGCGAGGATGATGACGATGGTGACGACGACGACGGCGATGATGACGGCCAATTATCGGTGTTATCAGTATCAAGTTGTCCTTCAAGTTGCCGTTGCTCGCTTGGTTCTGATTTTAGTACAGTAGTAGGAGAGCTATCCGTCTTCTTACTGACTTCCTCATCTTCGGCTGTCTCAACTATAGTACTGACGGCAGCACCGGTCGATGGGGTGTGGCGGTGTCGTCTTGTTGCAGCGCCGGTGCTAAGCGAGGAAGAATCTAAGATTGAATCCGGACGAGATAAGTCTTCTTTGCGTAATAGCATCACCCTTCGATCTCCCTCTTCTGGTTTATTAAGACGCCGCTCTTCTCCCTCCGCCTCTGGAGGAATAGTATAATTATCCAGTGGTAGCAAATCATACATATCACAGACTGTTTTGAAAAAGACATACAGTCCATCATGTCCTTCCACCTGCCAGAACACATCGCGATGCTGAAACCATGCATGGGCGAATATGCGGTAAAGTCTTCGAAAGATATTCGTTAGGTGCTTCATGCCGGCCTGCGGGCCACCAGAAGCCTCGGTTCCCAATGTTAGTCTGCTCGGAAAGAGTTTTGGTGATGTTAAAATATTTGTTGCCCAGTCCAAGGTGTGGCAAGAATAGTCAATTGCGCAACATGGCCTCGGCGGCTCATGAACTGCACAAAGGTATTGCCATTCGGACGCACGCATTTCGGGGCAAGTTTGCGCAGAGCATGGTGGATTCTCTGCAAAAAATGCAATGATGATATTATTCACTTTCATTGTGAGGAAACGACAGAGTTCATATAGCCATAGTGAACGCTCAATACCCTCGGGCGGTTCTGCAAGTTGTCTTGCAATGGAGTGGGAGATGGGGATTATGGTGGAGGAGCCAGGAGGCTGAGTGTAGCTTTGGTAGGAGGCTTTGAGGTGCTCTTGAAGCTGGAATGGAGACTCAAGCTAGAGAATGATATTATTAGTCGCAATAACAAGCTGGATACTTTGGTACTGGAAACATACTTGTGACAGAGGGATGAGAGGCGGGCCGGAAGCCATATCAACTGCCTTGGTTCCGGGGCGAATTCTTCGTGTTGAGTCACCATCTTGCGCTGGCAAAACGCCTATTAGACTCTCATCCGTGGTTGACGATTTGGGTTCAATCTGTACTTCAGGGAATGGGGGCGGGCTAGGTAAGCGCGGGGAGCTTAAGGGCGACGACTCAAAGCCGGCCATTGTAGATCCGCGTAGGTAGAAAGCAGATTAATGGGAAAGGTTGCGTCTTGAGGTTAGCTTGGGCAAATGCAATAAATTGATACCAAGCTAAGAGGTTAAGTGGAATGGAGAATTGTCGAGAACTTGTTGCGAAGTACAGTAGTTATATGTAGGTGTGTGCATGCATACATGTGTACGAGCTGAGCTGAGCTCGCTCACCACGCCCCTTGCCCTGTTCTTAGGGTCGTATTTTGTTATGAAGAAAGATATCACGAAGTGGCTCCGGCAGATCCTGGCCAACTAGAGGGAAGGAGGCCAAGCAAAAAGGTCTATATTAGTTACATAAGCAATTATTAGTAAGGGCTCAACCAATCATGGGAACAGGGCCGTAACTAGGGCAGGGCAAGCAGTAGAATGTAATCGATCGTGAAGAGTAGCCGGCAGCCGGCGTGGGCTTTGGATCAGCTGAGAAGGGCCCTGGGACAAAATGTTTATGGACGGTCTTCCGTTAGGCTCTTTGCTATATATAGGCGCGCACTAGGTTAGAGTTACGGAACGGAACAACTATACATGGCTTGGCACAAATAGAAGCCTCGAAGAATAGTTATGGAGTACGGAGTACTCCGTATCGATATTCTACAACTCCTTTTTTTGTTGGCGGTCTCTAATTTTCAACGGAGTTTGCAGGCGCAATGAATGTTGTTGTACCTAGTGGGCATGGCCAGACTCTACGAAAAGTGATTAACTAACTAATCGGTTATCAAACGTCGTTCAATTGGCTTTTGTCTAAGCGGTATGTTGTATGATAATACTTCTGCTCTCACGGCTACTTGGAAATTTTCCGGAAAGAACAATGAAAGGAAGTAAATAAAACTAGAACTTTCCAATGGAGACGGTTAGATTTATTTTCGAACAGAATTGACGGTGTTGCACGCCAAGTGCTTTTTATATGGAGTTGCAAGGAGCCGAGGACTCGGAGGAAGGAGAATCCAAATCTCCGGGAAGCATTTATTTAGGTGGGCTGTTCGTATACTGTCCGTAGGTATTCCTTGGTCCATACTCTACAGGTTCTTTTTTGTTTTCCGTAATGGACTGCCTTGACGAGGACGGCCCACCAGAATTGGTATCCCTGGAACCTGGTACTCCGACCAAGCAAACGCCTTCCACAAATGAACTTCCTAGAGTTCCCATCACGATAGTTACAGGTACTCATACTATGATTGTCATTCGCCTATTTAGGTGCTGACGGTGTTTCTTAGGCTATCTTGGTTCTGGAAAGACGACTCTGTTGAATTACATTCTCAATGAAAGGCACGGAAAGAAAATTGCTGTAATACTTAATGGCGCGTGTATTTCTAGTAACAAGTCTTGATCTCTTCAAAGTTTATACTGACTATATAAATGCAGAATTCGGCGACTGTATGTTACAATGTTCATTCTAGGTATGGGAAGAAAATCTACCTGACGGAACCTAGCTGTCGATATCGAGAAGTCTTTGACTGTGAACCAGGAGGGCCAGCAGGTGGAAGAATGGCTAGAGTTGCCAAATGGCTGTCTATGCTGCTCTGTGAGGTTTGTTTTTTTTTTTTTTTTTTTTTTTTTTAATTTTCCAGCACAAGTGATAGAGACTTACGTGGCTTGTAGAGACACGGGTGTGATTGCCATAGAGTCACTGATGAGTCGACGCGGAAGCTTTGACTATATTCTATTGGAAACAACCGGCCTTGCTGACCCAGGAAATATTGCTCCCTTGTTCTGGCTTGATGACGGCTTGGGGAGCTCTATATATCTTGATGGCATTGTAACTCTCGTGGATGCGAAAAATATTTGTCATCTCCTTGACGAACCCGCGCCCCAGGAAGTCCAGGAGACCCCTGGAGATGCGGTTCTTACCACAGCCCATCTACAAATATCCCACGCTGATGTGATAATACTGAACAAAAGTGACCTTGTTTCGTCTGAAAAACTTGAGCAGGTTCAACAGCGGATTACTGGCATCAACGGCGTTGCTAAAATCCACATCACCGATCACAGCAAAGTACCTCAAATTGAAGGGGCCTTACTTGAACTCCATGCCTACGATAACTTAGCAAAGATCGATTTTACTGAGAAAGGACAGAGTCAACTTGACCCTGTATGTACTCGCTGTCTTGATAACGTCCGGGCGGTCTAACATCTCGCCCTAGTCTATTTCTACTCTCGCATTTACGATTCCCGATATACCGGAATCGAAACTTACCGTTGTTGACGAATGGCTTCGTTCGATAATGTGGGATCAACGGCTTCCATCATCGTCGAATGTTAAAACCGAGGAGAATTCTACACCTGAATTCGAACTTCACCGTCTCAAAGCCATCATTCGTCTAACTGATGGAATTACTAGAATTGTTCAAGGCGTTCGGGACATTTTCGAAATTTCTGTCGCAGATAGGGAGACTCCTCCATCTGTTGACTCCTCGAAGTTTGTTTTAATTGGTCGAGGGTTGGGAAAGGATTGGGATATCTGGCAAACTAGTCTCCTAACTCAGCTTGGAATGACAGACAGTATTTCATAGGGTAAGCGTTATACCCATTCAAGCACGATCTTATGTACACATAAGAACTCTATTTCGATTCCTCAAAGAGTGAGTCTATAAACAAAAATCTACAACAGCTTCACGGAGTATTGGAAGGTGTATGGGGCTAATGTTCACCGGTCGAGTCCTCATATTCGTAAACATTAAACATTAATATCTCATTACATATAGGCCGTCCGTCTGCGTATTGAAGGCGAGTTTTGTTCAGCGAAAGTAAGGGAGTCATCCCTTTCGTCATACTCTGCGTCTGACATTGCATTATGAGGTTCGTTCAAAAACAACGGTGCGTGCACGGCTGGTGAATGAATTGGACTCGTTGCAATTTTTGGTCGACTCTTGAATACGCTAGCATACTCCGCGTCTTCATTGAAAAGGTCTTCTTGCGGAGTAGTGGTTCCATCAGGAGCCTCATCTTTTGACCCGCTTTTACTGTTTGGGGTTTGAAATTGATTCACAGGAAATTGCTGCGAGTAGCGTGTAGTTTTTGATGAAGGTTTTGATTTCCGCGGGCGAAGGTCCGGAACTGTTAGTGCCGACATGGATTGCCGAGTGCGCTCAAGAAGTGTAGATGAAAGAGTGCCTGGCACGGAATCGTCGGCTTTCCCTTTAGAAAGTTGGCTATTTATTTCATTAGGCCGATAGCTCATCAGGCCGTCTAAGCTATCTTCAGAAGGAGCAACTGTACTTGCAGGGGAGCTCAGAGGTTGCTCGTGGCTGTCATTCCGAATTTTAGTGGAATGCAGCTTGGAGTCAAGGTTTGTGTCATCACGACTCAAAGGTAATTGGCTTGTTGCTATCGATTCACTTCTCTTTGACTCTTTCATCCCAGAAATATTGGCTATAGACTCTTGGAAATCAAGTAACAGAGATTGGTACTCAGATAACTGCGTATAATCGCTCAAAACAGAGAACTTTGTATGCGCAAGGGAAGCAACCGAAAGTGGTTCATGGTTGCGAAATTTCATTATATGCCTTTGCTTAGTTGACTCCACACTGTTTATTTCAGATTTCTCCTCTGTTAGTGACTTCCTAAATTCCCGCCATTGTTTTAAGCGTGATTTTTGCTGAAGTACTCTATCATCCAGATGTGCAAGAAGGTCAGATGATGTTTGTGATTGCATAGAACGCAAATTGTCACTGTTTGCCAGAGAGCGTAACTGTAGGAAATCCACTTCTAGAAGAGGGTCTAGCTTTAGCTGTAAACCGCCATCTATAATAGATTTTGCCCACCCTTCGTTTCCATGCCACATGGAAAAAATATTATTATGCATTCGATTCGATTTAGAGACATCACTGATTGACTGTGAGCTTTCTGCAGAACGAATAGAAAGTTCACCTGCTTTGGTGAGAAGATGCTGATTGAGGTTTTCATAAAAACCGCTAAGGCTTATTCTTTCTTTGATAGTGCATGTCAGGGAGGATCGGAGAGAAATTATCAATGGCAATATGTTTTCTTGTTCAGGCTGTGTTAGCTGGTGAGCAATAGCCAGATGAACAACATGGCCTTGATGATGATGGTGAGAGAGGAGTGATTTTCGAAGAACAGCTGTAGAAAACACAGCTAGAACATCTTCAAATCTCTCGCCTTTGCAGTCATCAAACATCGTCTTTCGAAGGATCGCATCTCGTCCCAGTACGCCACTTTTTTTCAGGTCTGAGAGTGAGCGGAAGAGGGCCGCTCTTAGATTGACAGATTGCAGTGGCTCGAGAGGAGGAAAGAAAGGTTGTAGTTTCTAAAAAAGATAATGTCATCATTCTCGACCCCATTGTGCAATACGATAGTATACTGCATACATTGTGTGTCTCAGTTCTGTCCCAGAGGAGAAACAGGTGGTACAGGGACCATTCCACTACTTGTATCCGCTGACGAAGATTACTTTGCGTACCGGCAAGGATAGTTGGTGAGATATCTGGCCAGCCTGGCCGGCGGTCTAAACCAAGGAGCTTCAAGTTGCGAATGAAGATAACGAGAGGTCTTGGGCCGGGCCATGTTTCCACCTTGGATTTGGTAGGTGAGCGGGTGGAAGAGCGCTGCATTGAGCTGTATGCATGTTCTTTTTGGTCTGATAAGCTTAACAGTGTTATTATTTTAGTACTTTCGCATTTTCATTCAGTGCGACGATGTGTTGTCTTGAGACAGTGCACCAATACGGTGGTTTGTTTGTTTTGTTTGCCTCCCAGCTCACAGCACGTGCACTGGCACTAACCTTATTAGATGTTACTAACCAAAATAGGGAAAGCCCCAAAGCTAGGGCATAGGGTAAGGGCAGGGGCTTGGCTGCGTATATAATAACAGACCCTCCATGGCCCTCCAGCCGCCACCAGACTGAATGCGCCTTCAAATCGATCCCAGACTTTGTCGTGACTGATTACTCTCGCCGGTCGAGACTATGGGCTCTCAGTCTGAGGACTCCACACCTTGGTCGGTATCATCTGGTACTTATTCGCTCTCATCCCAACTGCCCTGCCCACACTAAAACCTGTTCATCAATCCCGACGCGTCAAGCTGTTTTTGCTAACAACTATTGTCTGTTTTAGTGATTGCTACATTTCCCCATCGGCCACTGGAAAATGATTCCTCTCCAGTCCCATTTTTTCATCTTTTAGAGCGTCTGAAGACTACCAAGCGAGAAGGCTGGCGACGGTTCGATATTAATCAAGGAGAATCTATCTCTGACCATATGTATCGCATGGCTATAATGACCATGCTGGCACCGCCATCTATCGCCCGCAAACTTAATATACCGCATTGCACGAAAATGGCCCTTATTCACGATATGGCTGAATCTATAGTTGGGGATATAACGCCAGTGGATACTAGTGTAACGAAAGCCGAAAAAGCACGTCGTGAAGCCGAGGTCATGACCTATATTTCGAAATCTCTGCTTGGTGGAGTGTATGGTGGTGCTGCTGGGGAGGACTTTCAATCTATTTTCCAAGAATACGAGGACAACCAGACCTTAGAAGCAAAATTCGTTCATGACATCGACAAGATGGAGCTACTGCTACAGACAATCGAGTACGAGCGATCTCACGGCGGGCAGATTAATCTTGCAGAGTTTTACAGCGTTATGGAGCGAATCCAACTTCCGGAGATAAAAGAGTGGGCGCAGACTGTTATGAAAGAAAAGGAGCTATTTTGGACCAGCAACGGTAACTAGTGGTTCCCTCTGGAAGTTGGTCGTCATAACATTTATATTTGTTTCACTATTGTGACATGATACTGGGCCCAGCAATATAGTAGTGACCTGTTTTTTGAATGCTGAATAGAATCTCAGTTGGTGTTAATGGGCGAGTGAGTCCCAGGGAGGTCTAGGTTCTGTATATATAGGGTTAGAGCTTCGATTTATAGATTTCATAACACAGTATGACTGTCGTATTTATTATAAATATTTATGTAAATCTAACTATTGCCTCATGGAGCAGTCGATACTTGGATTTTTGTCTTTCTAGATCCACACGCGTCAATCCAATGCCTCTTTTTCCATTTCTTCAGCCAAACGTTCTGCTTCCTCCTTCATTTCCTCGTCACTTCTCGGCATTCTACTCTCATTATCTACCGCTGGGAACTTCCGATGATTTCTCCTCTCCATTCTTTCCCATAAAAACCTCGCAATGTCTCCTTCATCGCCATCCAGCATGCCATAAATGGCGTCCGAGCCTCCTTTATGATCCAAATCTGCTTTGTGGCGTGGAACTATATGAGCATGGACATGCGGGACGCTTTGACCGGCATCGATACCGTCCTGAATCGCGATATTTAAACTCGAAGCTTTGAAAACGCGCTCTACCATTCGGCCCACCCGACGCACGGTAAGAAATAGGTCGGCTGTTTCTTCGACCGTAAGGTCAGAGACACGAGGCACATTGCGAATAGGCGAGACAAGAACGTGTCCGGGTAAAAGAGGCTTCAGATTCACGAGTGCAAAGCTCAAAGATGTCGTAAAGAAAACCTGGTGAGGTTCTGTAGTTAGCTATTAACCATTGACCCACAAGGTAAATAATGCTCGAAGATAGGATATTGGGGGCAGTACGTACCTGTGAAGTCACCAGGAAGGGGCCGAAGTAGACAGGCTTCGGTACCAGAGCCATATCCACCGTCTACAGCCCACGGCTCCAACGAACGAGTGACTTGGCGAAGTTCTGGAATCAGAGAACCCCACCTGGGATACAAAGTATGTACATCTGAAAGGAGATAGAGAATTCCGGTCAGAATCCCCAATCACAAGGTTGGGCCATAAACAGGTGTTTTTAAAGGGGCGCTTAAAGAGAACTTATTGTTCCGAAACCCAACTTTGTCATGTTTATTATTGGAGGGGCGAAAATGAATTTACTATCCTCTCCATTCACCGTCTGAGATGGACTGTTCAAGTATTTATTATTTATCTCTTTAGAAGAAAATTCTACTCTGTGTCTTCACAACTTAAATATTATCAGTCTGAGGCTGAGTGACCCTACTTACTCCATGCATTGTATGGGAAGACATAGCAACGGAGATTAACTATATAAGTGGAGCAAAGGCAGCTGAGTCAGTTGTAGAAGCAGAAGCCCGGCCGATGAGAGTGAGGCAGTACTCCATACGAAGCGTAGAGTAGTCATATGTACTTCGTACAGAGTAGACCCAGACGAGTACTCTGTGCATGGAAGGAGGAGGCCGTAATGTCAGTCAGAAGCATTGACTTGTTTTCGCAAAGTCTATGCCATCGATGTATGCAATAGTTAGCTATTGAGGGTTGCCGGGAGCCCATTGAGATTAGGTAGCTGCAGAATTAAAATAAGCTACCTCAAGACGGTGAGGATTCAGGGCCTTCGACATTACTGAGCTCGGAAAGGCTGTCGCTATCTAAGGCAACCGGCAGCTCTTTGCTCCCATGATTGTGTGCCTGGGCCACCAAGTCGTCATAGCCTACGCAATCCCTATCCTCTCCAGTTACCAAAAAGCCCCCAGCTTGTTGGGCATCGAGATCGTCTCTGTTCGTTGATTTCGGGATGTTTCGTTGGTTGACAAAAGGGTTATGCGACTCTGTTTCCTCAGTGTTACCGTATTCTTCTTGGATACGTTCTGATATCCGAAGACCCATGATAAATTTTCTCCAAGTTGAGAGAATCAGTTTCTCCTGCTTCAGTCGTTCCTTTTCACGTTTCTGGGCATCTTCGACCCGCCAAGCGTCTTTGACAACGGCCTCGTTTTCAGAAGCCACTACCACCCCTTGAATCACCGGGACCGCCATCTTGCTACCAAACTCGAACCCAGTCACAGCTTCTGCATAATCTATACCTAACTTCTTGCAGACTCGAACAATGGCAGGCCATGGGATATGCACTGCTCCTTTGGGAATCATCCAAGGAGTGAAGCAGTCGATGTTTCCATATTCATTCTTGGGAATTTCTCCATTTTCTATTGGGTCAGGTATTATGTATTCTGTTTGATGAAGAGCATATAGACCCTGTTTGGGCTTTTCTCCAGTTTCACGTTCCATTTCATCGACTTCGCGCTTTCTATTTAGGGTGACGGCTCGGATAGGAACGAGTTTTAATGGCGCTTCCCCTAACTTGACTCGTCGACCCTCTTTGTGCCAACTCTCTGCAGACAGACACTTTTGGACATCTGATCTCTTGTAAACTTTTTCCTCTTTTTGTTTTGTGCCCTTTCCTGAAATAAATGTTCTGACATGCTTCGCACTGGGTCGAAGTGCTTCCTCTCTGCGTAAAAATCGCTCCAATACAAAGTCCTTTGATGCCTTTAAGCTTTGCAGAGTATCACCTTCTTTCAATGTCTTTCTCTCTGGCTGATTTGCTATTAAGGTTAAATCCTCTTTCTCATCGACGGGTGTTCGTTTCTCTCTTGGGCGGATGTATCCTCTCATCGTATCTCGGAACCAGTCATATACGTAGGGACCTGTGCTCAATCCAAGATCAACCGGCTTTTCTATAGGGATTCGGAACCCTTTCGTCTTCCCGGGCCATGTTTTTCGTCTAAGATATCTAATGGTAACATCTTTTGCGGTTGCATCAGGTGAGTATGCGACGACATAGGCAATGACTTGTTTGGCTTTCTCTGCTTTAGCACCCCTGGGCTCAAATGCAGCAAGGAGTTCCGGGGTCATGGCGACGGAATTTGATAACACAAGCGACTCAACGGGAATAACTTCTTGGGTCACTGGGGATTCCACTTCAGACCAATAAATAGGAAACGTCAGGTCCTGGTCAATTGGCTGCGGTCGAGCCTTAGCTCCGGCCTTAGATTTCTTTTTGGGGGCTTCAGACGTATTCTCTTCGTCCGTATCGCTTGATGCTGATTTATCTGTACTTGAATATGTCTCGGCTTTTGTCCATCCAAATCCAATGGGCTGTAGACTTGCAACCATTCTAGTTTCGAGGCCCAATGATCTCAGTAATGCCGTAAATAACTGCGCTCCAACATCACGAGACCCAGCTAACCGACGGCCATGCTCACGAAATTCATCAAGGTTCTGGATTCTTTCGCCGAATGAACTCCTATCTTCGCTGCTACCATTGAAACCTTGAATTTTTTCCTCCAAAGCTTTTGCGGACCTGTACCCTTTTTTCCTTAATCCGGGTGACGTTATTTTGAATCTTTGTTTCCAATGTGCCGCCAGAATCCTTAGTAGAAGAAGCGTGGGATCTCCTTGACTGAGATCTGGCTGTGGTTGTCCAGCATGGCTCGAACCTTCACCCCAGTCCCGGTTTCTCTTCCTCTTCTTAGACGATTTATTTGGGGTATTTTCTCGGGTTTCAAGACCCGCTGCAACCCTCCATCTTTGAACCTCTTTCTTGATGCCCTCTGGCAATTGCTCCCGTAGAATTTGATGGAGATGGGAATCATTCACCCAGGAATTTCTGATCGCATTATGAAACAGAAGAAACTGGACATGCATGCAATGGGTTTGAATCCGAATGAAACGCTCAATTTTACTTGGGCCCTTTTTGGACCCAATTGACTCGGTCAGTGCACTATGGTTCTTTTCCAACGTGATATCTAGATCTTTTATCTCACGAGCGGCAGTGGTAGGGGCGACGATAGCATCCTCCCAGGTCTCTTCATCGTCGTCATCTTCATCGTTGCTCTGGTTTGGCCTGTCAGACTCTGAGCTCGAGAGGGAACTCAAAGATGAATCTGCGTCTGTCGATGTTTTGCGCGTCCCCAGTCTATCCAACGGTACTAATTCCTCAGCCGCATTGAGGATTTGCGAAGGCTTCTTTAGCGGGATATTATCGTGTGTATTCTGATCTTTGCGTGGAACAAACGGCGGCATTTGGACTGAGGGATGTTGTCTTGTCTAAGAGGAATATTATTCCACAGTTTAAGGGCGGATGATGACATCAAGGTTGACTAGCAAGTTAGTTAGTTAAACTAGATGCCTAACTAGTTAAGGGGGCCTGTGACGCGATTAACTAGTGGTTAATCATCCATGTCTGTGCTGTATGCTTCAGACTTGTAAAATACATCTCAACTTTACATCTTCGCTACTCCGTACTGCTATTTAATGCCCTGTGGTACTAGAATTGCCAGGTATGTGCAGTAACTTAACATGATTATACACGGTGAAGATCTGTCGAGCCACTTTGCAATGCTCAGAGGCTGTTTATCCTAAGTTGAACTAACTACGTCCTGGTAACAAGCATGCTTGACACCAGTAATTACCAGTTTGGGCGCCTGTGGACCACGCGCCTGGCGGCCTGGGAACCTGTGAACAGTCTAAACATTCCCTTCAATTGCCAGTTACTGATTCTAAGAAACATGCTTAGTTGACTTTGGTCTTCTACAAATTATGTTTTTGTCATTCAAAAGGTGTTTTTTTCGAGTGTCTCAAATCACCCTAGACAACTCAGCAAGAAGCCTTTCCATCTACTGTCGAGGTATGGTTGAAAAGACCTAAAGACTTGAATTCTTCTAACCTAGCATATCGTAGGGAAGCCTATTAGCCACCAAGAGCTCTTCGAGTACACCAACGGCCGTTTTCTCGTAAATGAGAAATATGAATTCGCCAAGCGCTATCTTAAATTCAATGTCAGCAAGCTCTGCGAGGTTGTTTCTGACTTACCTACCGTCTCATCGACGGTGTTGAGAATCGATAAGATAGAAGGCGGGTTCAACAAAGCTCTTCTTTTGACTATGAAGAATGGAATGGAAGTCATTGCAAAGCTACCTTGTCCGAACGCTGGCCCGCTTAGATGCAACACGGCTTCTGAAGTCGCAACTTTAGAATTGGGTATGAGTAACTAGGTCATTTTTAATCCAATGTTACCGTACTCATATCTATATTCATAGTGAGGACTTCAACTTCAATTCCCGCTCCGGGAGTCTTAGCATGGAATTCGGACCCAAACAACCCTGTGGGTGCTGAATATATTATTCAGGAAAAGTCTGCCGGAAGGCAGCTATGTGATGTTTGGGGTGATATAAACGAGCCCACAAAATTCAGACTCATTCGAAATCTAAGTCGCCTAGAGGGAGAGCTCGTTTCTATTAAGTTGCCAGCGTATGGGAATCTTTACTTCAGGGGCCAGAGTCCTGGAAACTCGCAGTCATTAGATGGCTCAGTTGACCAGGAATCAAAATTTTGTGTTGGCCCCAGTTTTGATGACAAGTGGCCTGGCGAATCTTTTCGAGAAACCAATGAAACAGCCGCTTTCGCAGGGCCATGTGCGTATTTCCAAATGTTTCCCTCCCTTCTTTATTTTCTTTGTTTCCCTTTTTAAATTCTCCGTCCGCCCCGATAAATTACATTTACTGACACGCCTGGTGGTATTTGATATGTAGGGACTCAATTAAGCGACCTGGGAACTGGCCTGGCTAAAAGAGGTATATGGCATCTGAACAACTCTTCTACTGTCGTTTCCCGAGGACCCTATCATGGCTCTATCCAGGAGCATGAAACAATTCTTGAGGATGCCTTGAAGATAATCCCAATCATATCAGTTACACCACTAGTCCAGCGTCATGCGAAACCCGTACTTTGGCACACAGATCTTCACCTCGGCAACATCTTTGTGGCAGATAATGACCCAACAGAGATCGTTGGCATCATTGATTGGCAATACACTACTGCTAGACCATTATTTACTCAAGTCCGCTGGCCATCATTTCTAGCTCCACCTGAAGGATATGAACTAGGAATGATCAAACCAGAACTTCCCCCAAATTTCGAGGACATGGATAATGATCAGAAAGCGTTTGCTCTTGCAGAAAAGGACGAAGCCACAAGAACTAAGTGCTACGAGTCCGGGCTTGCCAAATTCAATTCTCCTTCGTTCTTTGCTATGAATCATATCGGCGATATGATCCAGGATTTCTATACCAGATGTGACAAAACATATTTGGAGGGCATAATTCCTCTTCGCGATTCCCTGATTGAAGTCTCTGAAAATTGGTCAAAATTAGGACTAACAGGGGAGTGTCCGGTGTCATTCAGTCAAGAGGAGATCGCCAAACACCTAGAAGAACGATCTCAGTACCGTGATTGGCTCCAATTGCGTGGGTATGCTCAACAGCTACTATATTCTGACGATGAAGGCTGGATCCCTCCACAGTTGGATTTTGAAGAAATGAGAATCAAACACAAGGAGCTTTTTGAACTTTACCTCCAGAAAGAAGAACTGTCTGAAGAAGAAGGAAGAAAAACTTGGTTTTATTCAGAACGGGCGTGATTTGGTATTCTAGGGGCAGTAAGAAAACGTAGTAGAGGAAGAAATATCTAGCTCTCTAGCTTGATATTTCGAGGGAGAAGGAAAAAAAAAACATCCCAATAAAAGAATCATTACTAGTCTTGATCTGTATTTCTAAATAAATCCTTATGTACCTGACGGTCGGCTGAATAAGCCTGCGAAAAGCAGCCAGATGATGGAGAGGAGAAAAGTGGCAAGGTCGGACACTGTGGCCGAGTGGTTAAGGCGCGGGCCTGCTATTGATATAATAACGGAATAGCCCGTATCTTCGGATGCGTGGGTTCGAATCCCATCGGTGTCGCCATCTTTCTTTTTTGCTTATTTTTTTAGTTTCTTGACTGTCAATTGAAGGTGCTCTAGGGCAGATGGGCGTGATTCATACCGGCGGGGTTTTCCGTCGATAATAGTAACGGTAATCCGCGGTATGAATTCTATGAAGTGATGAAGATGCAGGGTGGAAATAGGCGCCTTGCGTTAATTGATTTCTCGGTTCATTCAGAATCATCATACATGACATATGCTACCTACAATAATCTAGTATCAAAAAGGAATCGTCAGGCTTCGTGGCTTCGGGTTCATTGTTGAATTGGGAAGCATAGAGTTGGGTAAAAAGTACAGTTCAGCTCACAAACTAGGCAGAAAACCAGAGCCAAAGGGAAAGTGGGGGTATAGTATTGGAATTGTAATCAAGATCAACGGAATTGCGACGCTCAAAACAGACCGAAAAATTTCATATAACAACGTAGCAGGTACATGAGCGGTGTGGTCCACAATATCAGCGGATCCAGTATAAGATCAAAATGAAAACAAGATCGTTCATGGATTAAAAAAACGTATGCTTGCACAACAATTTGGAATCAATCGCAAGAGAATTTGCGGGTATTTGTCCTCTCCAATCGACAATAAAAATAAAGAGGCCGTTAGGAAGAAAAATCGGTTTGTGAGTAATCTTCAATAATCCATATCCATCGTATCAATTTCAACTTCAACTTTCGTCTCCAAAGCTTGCTTTCCCTCGCGAATCATGGCTTTAAGCTGCTGATGCAACCGCCTAATACTGGCGTCTTCTTCCTTTTCTCTCCGGCGTATCTTCGCGGCATAGCGCTGGGCATCAAGAGCTAAGGGGCTGCTGTCTTTCGGTGTCTTTGGGCGGCTATGGGAGGCCGGAGAGCTGGTTGGCAGAGGCAAACTAGACTGTGTTTGGGTATACAGGGAACCAGGTCTCACGGGAATCAAGCTGGGCCTTTTCGGAATAGCTATGGCGATCGGTCGCCGAGGAGAAATGTGGTGTGAGGGCCCACCTCCTCGACGAGGGATCTTGCGAGGAATGTATGAAGGTGACTCGTTCTGATCCTTCTCGTTTTTAACTAGCACCCAGTCCTCATCCATTTTCTGTCTATCGAACGCGGTTGGGGTGTTTATTCTGGAGCTTGCGGACTTGAGGTGCTGACCTGCTCGACCCATCTTTTCCCAAGAACTATTATCAAAAGACGGGGCGGTTGGCTGGTCTGTGTCTGGGGCATTCAAGTCGTATCCTCTCCCTCCGCCGGCATAGAAACCACGGAAGGCCCCTGTCCAGCAAAAGTCCCAAACCCTCCCAGCGACGCCGCCAACCAAGTTTATCACGGCCCTGCCCCATCCGATAGACGTGGAAGACGGTGTCACTGCGTGATGTTCCATATCATCTCCAGAAGAAGCGGGTCTTTCACGCTTTCTTCTGTTCACTTCCCCAGACAATATCGGATACACAGAATATCGACTAGGCCGATAATCTATCTCCGCTCCATTATCATCATGCTCAAATGCAGTACTGGCGGGCCCAAGAGATAAACTGGATGGCTCCAACCCCCCATCAGCCAACCGGTAGTCTGTACTCACGAGCGGAGCAGGGCTGGCTGGGTCGCCGAAGGCAGCGGGCTGGTCGTCTGGCCATGCAACGCGGCTCTCAAAGCTTCCAATTTTCTGATGACCATCGAAGTCATTATAGCCGTATCTTGCACGCTTGCGGCTGCTGAAATGAGCCGGGGATGTGACGGAGCGACAAAGCGACGATGTCGCCGATGGAGTGCGAGGAGACCGGTAAAATCGCGATCTGGCACCAGTCAGGTCTAATTTTGGCGGTACCGGGCTATCAAGGAAAAAATCGCTAGCCATCGGTGATTCTGAGACGGTCATTATCACTGCAAACGACTGCGTCAAGGTTTGTTTGCACAGTAAAGAGGAAAGTAAACAAAGGCTGTGAAGGCAGAAAACGACAACTTTTTTGAGCAAACAGTAAGAGCCCGTCAAGAATTTAATTCTCAGCTGCGTCCTCTTGGCTGAAGAGGTAACCAAGAGGACTGGCTGAGGTGTTGTTTTTGTGACCAAAACGGCCGTCTCCGCGAGCTTTGTAGCAAACTAGTTTTTTTGGGGGCTGGGGCTGCAAACAAAGCTTCATTTTCCTCGGCCACTCGCAAGCATCACTTGGATAGTTAACACTAAAATGCCATTCCATTCATCCTGCAGGACACTTTGGAATAATAAGAGAACTTATTTACAAAAGAGCTATAAAAATGCCAGCCAAGCAACTACAGTTTCTGCAACGTCCAGTCAACGCCCGCCGCCTGCAAACCGTCCTCGCCGTCCACTAGCACGCACCAGCCCTCGTCTCCATTCCCACCATCGCCCCCAATCGCCGCCTGGAAGTGTTGTTTCGCATACTCCAGAATCTCGTCATCGAACGTGCCAGGCTGCAGCCACACTGCGGGAATATCGAGAGCCTGGGCCTCCTTCAGAATCTCTCTCGTCACTTTAGGCGGCGTGACTATGGACAGGGAAGTCTGGGCGGGGGACGAGAGCTCCGAGGGCGATTTCACAGTGGCATAGGTCTTGGATGGCAGTTTGATTTCGGGCGACCTGGGGTTCAGCGGAGTAACGGGCAGCGAATGCTGGTGGTACCACGCGAGCACTGATCGCCTGATCAGAACAACCATGGACGTAATGGATGGCGTAGAGTTCGAAGGAAGCCGGGAGGAGGGAAGCGCTTACATTTGTAGCCAAACTTGCTTGTGTCCGTACTGGCGCCGGCTACGGCGAAGCGGGGAGACGAGAAGAAACGCTTAACGGCAAGCTCCATGTCGCTGGAAGACATTGTTTCAAGGTCTAAAACGCCCTGCTGTTGGTATCCTTAAATAACCAGCGCCAGTGGCCGCGGAAGAGTGCGTCGGCGGCTTTATCTGGTGGAGAAAAGATCTTCGAGGCTTGTCTGGCGGCCACCCCGCCCCCGCAACCCCGGATTGCACAAGCTCTGCGAAATATGATTTGTAGGGTTTGATGCATCAAGGCCCCAGTATTTAGCTAATTAGCCTCTGTGGTCTAGTTGGTCATGACGCCGGTCTCATATTCGCTTTATGACGAGCAGGAAACTGCTTGCAATCCGGAGGTCGCCAGTTCGATCCTGGCCGGGGGCACTTATTTATTTTTTCAACATCAAACAAATACCCTTTTTTTTTCAACATCAAACAAATACCCTTTGTCACGGCTATGTACATTCCCAAATAGCTCAGTACCCATAGTAGTTAATCAAACCTGACTCATCTGTCGCTCTGAGTCTCTTGTTCTCTCGTTTCAGCAAGAACCTCATCCACCAAGCACAGAATATCGACAATAACGCAAATCCCGCCGACGAACCAAACCCAATGGCATATCGGGGTGAATCGTAACTGGGCCATACGTACGCCCCGTAAATATACCCTATTTGCCCACCTACGTTTGTCATTGCGAGAATAACCTAATGGTTAATTAGCCTGACGTAGCAAAAAGCATCAGAGGAGGAAGCAGGTACAGCTCGTTTTTCTCTTGTCTGAGACAGTGTGGATGAGGCCCAACCGATGATGACGGAATTCACAGAATACGCCCCAATTGGGAAGATGAAGCAGGCGATGTACCGCCCGGCTGTGTTTAATGTGCATGCAGCAATGATGAAACCAACAATTGCTATCAAGAGGCCAACAGTAATATGCCAGGTCCGCTCATGAAGCCGACCGGAACTATACCCAAAGAGAATACCAGCTGCGCCAGCAAAGATGAATGGTGGGCATGTTAGAAGCAGTGTGATGGTTGTGTTGAAGCCAATTGTCTTAACAACTCTGTTGTGAAGTGTTAGTTAGATGGCAAGCCGCCTCGAACGTGATGAAAGGGGCACCTCACGTAGGAAAAAAACTGTTAAATGCACATGCTGATAGATGGAGGTTTTGCATCAAGCAGAATATCCATGTTCTCTTGTCCCTGCACGCCTGTCGGAGCCCTTCCATCATTGATGCTTTTTCTGGCTCGCCCATTTTATCTCTTTCGATTCTCGCATGAGCAAGCTCGCGTTCCTCAGGTTTCAGCCATCGTGTAGTACTGGGTGTATCGGGCAGCAACCAAAACCCCATGAACGCAATGGCAGCAGTCACGCTTCCTTCTATGATAAACAGCCTAAAAGTCTCCTTTAGCAACCAAAGAAGATACAAAGAGACTCTCGCTCATACCATCGCCACCCTGAAAGTCCCCTTACATTGTCTAGGCCATAGAAGACACCCGCAGCAATAAGGCCGGACACGCCCGTTGCTAGAATCTGGGCACAATATAAGACCGCAATACGGGTAGCAACCTCTATTTAGACTGGTGGTTCAACGCCGCTAGACTATCAAAAAGGCTGTAGGACGTCGTACCTTTGCGAGTATAGAATATAGACAATATATAGGTGGCTCCGGGGTAGAACTAGAAAGCATCAGGAGATCTGGTGGCTAATATCTTTTGTTAGGATGGAAACTACTTACGGGGGCTTCTGTGATTCCTAGTAGAAATCGACAGACCACCAGCCCTGAATATGATTGTACCAGGGCCGTACAAGCTTTGTAAGATCAATATCATGGACTTTTACCTGGAATGGGGAATATTATTTCGCACCTGAGACGATAGCCCAGATCACCATCCATGTACTCATGTAAATACTTGGAGCTATTCTTGTTATCAACATGTTACTTGGAACCTGAGTCAGAATATATCCGACGAAAAGGATAGAGATTGCAGTATTAAATTGGCTCCCATGCATTCCGAGTTCTTTTTCAACCCCATTGAGTCGAGCTTGTGCAAGTGTATTCCTGTCGACGTAGTTAAGAAAGTACATTGCAAATAATGTGGGCTAAAGGAGAGTAGTCAGCTGTCAACTTCCGCTAAGGGGGTTATAGACAGAGCAATGCTTACCATGATACGGTAGTCTAGCTTTCGTACAAGCCGAATTTCCTCTGGATCAGTCTTTTTTACAGCGCCAGCGTAGTCACGCTTTTGCTCCTTCGCTGTTGCCTTTTCATTTCCCTCCACCACTGTCTCAATTTCCACGCGGTCAGAGGCTGGGGAGTTCCCAGGCGGAACCTTTTGGTCACTCATATCGGCCATAACCCAAATGAGTATCCTTTGCCTCGTTAGAACGATTGAAGGGAAGGCGTGCGCAAGATGTTAGGTGAGAAGAAGACGTCTCGTAGAGAGAGAGAACAGTCTCTCCACTACTTTATTTGTTAGTTAGTTAGCTGGAACGGGATCGACGGTTTCTCCATGGGCTGCGGGCAAATGCCTGTTCATCCTTTTGCAAGGAGCAGAGGTGGCAATCATTGGTTGCCGAATGACGGCGATCGACGCTGAGCTTTCCATCGTTGCGCTGAAGACACCCAAGACAAGGTAGAGGCATGAAGGAACTAGCTGCTGCGAAGCCAGTTGCTGTGCGCGGTTCGGCCCGCGATTTTGGCACTGGCCGCAATGATAGCATCCCGAAGATACCATCGTCCATCTTCATATCAGTCACTATCGTCGAAACTTGATGGACCTTACCCATGCTTCCCCCGCATTGATTAGGCTGCCCACTAGTTTAACTCGTTGGTCAGAGCATGCACTGCTACGCCGTGCATTTTGACGAACTAGGGCACTGGAGACCCATGGTTCTTGGTTGTTGTAGATCTTTCCAACCACTCCGTAGTTATTTTGGTGACCTAAACACCTGTTGACCGCTAGCCACTTTCTGTCGTGACCGCCTTCTCTCCTTCTCCGCCAACCTCGGTACCACCCCAAGAAGATGACAGTAACGCCCATACCTTCACTTCCTCCACTTCCATTATTCCTTGCGGCTAAGAGACAGGTGGAGAATGACTGCAAAAAAGTCGCAATAATCGATACATCCAGGGATGAAAGCTTCACGTATACCCAACTGCTTTGTGATGTAGCTTGCTTAAAAGCAAAGTTCCTAGAGGAGTCGGCATTGGAAGATCTGAAAGAAGAACGGGTAGCGTTTCTCGCTCCGTCAGGGTACGATCATGTTGTCTGCCAATGGGCGATATGGGCTGCTGGTGGAATTTGCGTGCCCCTTTGTAAGACGGAAATATGTCCATAATGTGTAGAGATCTAATACATTCACAGGCACAACGCATCCTTTGAAAGAGCTTGTATATACACTTTCTGATTCGGATCCGTTATTGATTATTCTTCACCCTTCCTTCAGCTATTTAGAAGGAGAATTGAACGAATGCTGCCCAAATACCACCTTTGTGCATTTGAGTCCAATCGCAACATCCAAAGAAGAGTCACTAACACTACCCCTGTTCAACTCACATTTTGATATGTCGAGACGAGCGCTGATGATTTACACTTCTGGTACCACTGCAAGCCCAAAAGGGTGTATTTCGACTCACAATAACATCGATTTCCAGTCGAAGTGTTTAGTCGATGCTTGGAAATACTCACCTTCAGATCACCTTGTACATGTTCTTCCACTACACCATATCCACGGAATTATCAATGGTCTCACAGCCACTTTGATGAGCGGCGCAACCGTAGAAATTTACCCTAAATTTGACCCTGGAGCAGTCTGGAAGAAATGGTCCGAAATCGGCGGATCGACGATGTTTATGGCTGTCCCGACGGTGTACGCAAGGCTGGTAGACCATTTCGATATGCACATCAAATCAACGGATCGAGAGTACGCTGCTAGAACTGGTGTGGCATCGTTGCGCTTGTTGGTTAGTGGCTCCGCGGCGTTACCAGCCCCAATCAAGCAAAGATTCTATGAAATAAGTAACCAGATCTTGTTAGAACGATATGGAATGACAGAGATCGGAATGGGATTGAGCTGTGGGCTGGAGCCCGATAAGAGAATTGATGGTAGCGTCGGTTGGCCGTTACCGGGAGTTCAAGTCCGGTTAACCGATCCGGATACTGGGAGCATGATTTCTCCAGGATCAGAGAAAGATGGAATGATAGAAATCACGGGTCCTAACGTTTTTTTAGAGTATTGGAGGCGGCCTGAAGCAACACAAAAAGAGTTCACACCGGACGGCTGGTTCAAAACCGGTGATGTCGCGAGAGTAGAAAAGAATGGGGCATACTTTATTCAGGGCCGCGCATCTGTGGATGTCATCAAATCAGGGGGCTATAAGATTTCTGCCCTGGAGGTAGAAAGGAAAATGCTAGCCCTGGACTGCATCCAGGAGGTTGCGGTTGTCGGGCTGCCAGATCAAGAGTGGGGGCAGCGAGTTGCGGCAATAGTCAAGCAAAATGGGGTAAGTAATAGAATTGCGTATACTTGAGTAAAACGCTGACTTCTAAATAGACTCAGCCTTTGGAGTTGAAATCACTCCGTACCAAACTAAAAGCAGAAATGGCGCATTATAAGGTGCCCACCGTCTTGAGAGTCGTGGATAATATAGAGAGGAATGCAATGGGGAAGGTCAACAAGAAAGATCTGGCCAGAAAATACTGGCCCACAATCGATACCTAAAATAGTGGAATATAAAATGGGCGGCTAATAAAGCCCATGGTATCGAAACGGCAATCCAAATTTATGAAACTCATTGTGGGAGTCTGGGAATCTGGGTAGCAAAGTAGTCACACGGACCTCTGCTAATGATGGGCTTTTAGCCAAAAAAAAGGCGCTTTCGATGCCCCTGCCTAGATGTGTCTACGGGCTTCCGTTTTATCCCCAACGTGGACCCATCGTCCATCAAAGTTCTGTTCACTGCCTCCTTAATTGTTTCCCTTGAAAGGCAAAAATCAACATGTTGATTAAAGGCCAGATCGTCAGCAGATTGTGGACATGAACAAACTGGGCAGATCCATGTTGGCCTATTTATTGGTAAATCTTTGCTAGGGAACTCCTGGGGCACCGCACCGGCTGGGTCCATAGAAGTTTTCTTATCTCGATGCGAGGATTCTGACTGTTGACTCAGACTTTCCAAGGTTTCAATTTCGTCCCTTTCTTCTTCGAGAGCAGCAGCCTCAAATTCTTCCTGGGTCGAGGCAACTGATTCATTAGAAGCGTCACGTGGTTCTTGTATAGATAAAGTGGACGAATTGTTATTTTTCATTCCAAAAAAATTACTATCCATTTTTTTCGTGCTCACAAGATTAGTACAGCGGAGCCCCATTAGACGAATTTTCAAATTCGGAGTCTCATTATGTAGTTTTGTAAGCAGGGGCAAGGCGTGCTTGTATAATTCGTCCGCGAGGTAGACAGGTCTTGATGTCACTACCTGACGTGATATAACTTCAAATGTATGTAACTTTACTTTTAGCACCAAAGTTCGGCCCTTGAATTCAGCTTCACGCAAGTCATTTTCAAGCCGAACTGCTGTCAACTTGAGCTTATCTTGGAGATTTGGAAGACCATCCAAATCCCGGAAAGTGCTTTCGGTACCAACACTTTTCCTTTGGCGTTCTTCGGCGGGCGCAATGTTCGTCCTCCCAAGGCCCAGGTAGCACTGAATTAAAAATTGGAAGGCTTTCTGACCAAACAGGGGAGCCAACATGCCGCGGAGAGGATGTATATCGCTGCAGGTCTTGACTCCTATAGCATCAAGCTCCCTTTCAAAGACCCGTCCAACTCCATTGACTTTTCGGAGCGGGATACTTGCCATAAACTTCATAATTGCCTCACGCTCATTGGAAACATAGAATTGCCCATTTGGTTTGTTCCAGTTAGATGCTATTTTAGCAATCTTGGCATTTGGCGCGATTCCTGCCGAAACAGTAATCTTCGTCTCTGCATGAATCTCATCCCGGAGCTTTTGAACTGCATCCTGTGGCTGCATATCATTAGCTTTGCAGTATTGTGTGATGTTAAGATACGCCTCATCGATACTAGCACTTTCAAATCGAGGATCGTAATGGGAGATGATCGCTCTAATTTCTTTTGCTTTGGCCGTATACTTTTGATAATTCTGGGGTAGACAGACCAATTCTGGACATAATTTTTTAGCAACAAAACTAGCCATACCACTTCGACAGCCATATTTTCTCGCAGTATAATTGCAGGTTGTCAAGACACCCCTCCCCACTGCCATTGGAACGTCTCGCAATTCTGGTCGGTCCAGCTCTTCCACAGCTGCAAAAAATGCATCGCAGTCGATATGAACGATGGTCTGAGAGAGATCACGGCTCAACTCTAATTCCGAGATATACTCATCTGCTCGACGAATGTTTCCTGACAAGTTCTGTTTCCTTAGCGCATCCTTTTGCACCAAAATCCGCTGGATTTTCTCTGTCAGGGCTTGATCACGAATCTTTTCGTGGTTGAAGAATTTAGACCCCTTAGATGCCTCATAAATAATTTCAGAGACCTAGGCGATAAGGGTGAGTTCAAACCTGCTCAAAAATAGAGATCTCACCCACTGCCTACCCGTTCTTGGTTGACGGCGTCTTGTCCTGCTTTGGTCAAAGATGGACCCAAGAGCTGGTATTTCAGCGTTCCATCAAGTCCCGCCTCCCCAAATCCCTGCTGGGGAGTTATGTTTGGAGTATTCTCCCCAGTGTCTGACACATCCATCATGGCTTGGATATGATGTCATTTCTATTTGACATGAAATAACCCATAAATAGCTGCCTAGTCAATCTAGCCATACGGAGTAGGATAACAACATTCAGAGCCTGACTGGCGTACTCCGTATGCTTTTTATAGCATTGAACGCGAAGAGTTCGCAGTTTTGCTAAATAGGAATTCACCTGACTTACAAGGCTGCAGTCACGTGCTCACGCGTCAAATCCATGAAATCGCATTCTGAAAATCATTTCTCTAGAGCTTCAAAGTAATTTAGTATGTCCGATATTCAAGCAGCTGGCAAGGTTTCAAGATGTGGATCTTGTCTTCAGACGGTGATTTTCTTCAAGGTCCGTACCATGCAAGTACTCTCCTCTATCAGTTTAACTCACTTTCCATTAGGGAAACGAGTATGGTTGAAACCTGGAAAACGATACCTATTTGGTCGTGTGTCCCCTAACGGAGGTAAGTCTAAATTCGCTGAACTTTTTAAGAACTAGGCTAACAGCGTTCTTAAATGTCCTAGCCGGTCATGTCATCAAGTCCACCACCATTTCCAGGCACCATCTAGTTATTGAAGTTGGACGTGTTCAGCAAGGAGATGGGGTAGGTGCAGGGAACGCTATATTTTGCAGGCATAGGACTAAGAAAGTCGCAGGCACATATCCATGCGAAATCTAAACTCATTGTGGCGGACCAAGACACAAAATGTGGCAGTGTCGTTGATGGCGAGAATATCAAAGGAAAGACAAAAGAATTGAGTGCTAGGGATGAATATTCAATATTTCTGGGCAGATATCCCTATGCATTAAAGTACGCAAGGCCTTATAACCTCTGCTCTGACGTACTAACACTATCCTTTCAAGAATAAAATGGTGCCCGGTCGTCCTGACCTTTTCCTTCTCCGAGTTAGATGAAATTTCAGAAGACCCATTAGCCAATGCTCAGTCCAGGCTCGAAGATTTAGATATCAAAACTGTGTCTGCATATGTCGTGGGTAAAACAACCCACGTGGTTCAGAAAGGGCGTGATACAACTAAAGGTTTGCAGGCAATTATAAATGGGAGATATATCGTTGATCCCTCCTACATTGAACTGCTTCTATATGCTGCGACTTCGGCAGAATTGGAAGCCGAGGAATCCCTCTCTCCACTTGAATTGGATTTTGACGCAGCATGGCCGGATCCTGCTACTCGTTTACCGCCCCAAGGGAGGGAGAAAACCAAACTACCCGATTCAGCCTACGAGCCTCGACAAGATCGGTTGAACGTATTCGAAGGGTACACTTTTGTACTTTTCGATGAAGCAACATTTGAGGAGCTGCAAGACCCGATTTCCAATGGCCACGGGAAAGCATTGTTATGCGAATTTGAGCCCGAAAAAACAAAGGCGCAAGATATTGTAGACTATGTGGCCAAAGCCTCAAGTAATAAAGCATTTTCCCACGATATGGATGGCAATGGCGGAGTGTTACTAGTGCAGCCACAACGAAGAAGTAATTTGAAATGGATTCAAAACTTTGAAACCGAGGTTAGTGGTCTAATAGGGCAGCAGTTCGTCAATAGAGACGACTTCTTAGATGCAGTTCTACGGAGTGATGCATCGGGGCTATATAAATCATGTCAGCTTGCTCCGGCTCCGCCAACAGGCCAGCCAAGGGATCCACCGATGTCAAACACTTCCGCAGCTTCAATAAATGCTACCCCTATAGCGGACTCCCAAATGCTAAGTAGACCAGCTAAGCGCCCACGAACCCAAACTTATGTTCCAAAATTCAAGGACTTTGATGATGGATTTGACATGGAGTCCATTCCAGCTCATATCCCGGACCAGGATGAAACCCCCGAAGGGCTATCCCAGGGTACATGCCCACATGGTGATCAAACATCACACGAAATAGTCTATGAAGATGATGGCGTCTCCGAGCTTCTCCCAGGGGCCACTGCGATGAAGCAGCATTTCAACAGTCGCAATCGTCAAAAAACGCCATTGCCAACGGAGCCGCAGCGAAGAGCAAAGAAACCAAAGATAGATATCATCGAAGCAGCTCGACAGCATCGAGAAGCAGAAGATCGGGCCGCCGTGGCGCGAAGAGAAGAAGAAGAAGCGGCAAATATTGTCGACGGCATGGATCTCTCCAAGATCCAGCATCTCGCCATTATCGAAGACATGGAGATCCGGAAATCGTCAACAGACATGTTGTCATTGGACGGCAACAGTGGCCGATGGGATGAAAGGTGGAACGGTCGAAAGAACTTCAAGAGATTTCGGCGTAAGGGCGAAGGTGGTGTGCAGCACAGAGTGCAACCTATTATCGTTCCTCTTGAAGAAGCCAGGAGAAAAGATTTTGGTATTGGTGATGATTATTGGAATTTCAACGACACAAGGTCAGAACGAACCAAATCTGTTACGCAGGAATCCAGTGGGACGATGTTGGCGTCCCAACCGGCTTCACAAGCAGCCAGTCCCTTGACTATCTCTAGACCAAGCAAGCGAACGCACCCCGCGGATTCAGATGATGAAGATGGGCTGACATTCCGCTTCCGGAGGAAAACGCGAAGGTGACTGTAAAAAACACGGTACTCCTTTTCCATGTGCCATTGTCATCAGTTTTTCGTTTTTCAAATATCGGTAGACCATTCGCTCTTGCATTAAACCTCGTGCTGTTGAACGGCATTAGCTTGAAGGACCCTCTGTTGGCCAGTTAGGGGCGCTTAAGAGTGCGTGGGAATCGAAGGCTACGTACAGTACATTCGCAGATATAAGAGCCACTATAGTTGTCTGTGGCATGGGTACCTGCTTTTGAAGGAGCCCTGCGCCGAACAACAAATATAAAGATTACGCGTCACTTGATTCTACGGCGTCCCAGAATATTACCGTTCCTCTTGATTCATCTGCATCTCTCCGCCCTCATATCTTTTCATGTCTGTTGGAAACCTACGAAAAAGGGCTATATTTCACGGAGCGGGACATGCCATCCAGTACTACGATGGGTGGATGGAATGCTCTACGGCCTAATTGAGACCTCAGCACAAAGTGAAGTTTAATTTACAAGCTAATATACGTCGCATACATGCCAAATCAACTCAACCCTATTTATATTTTGTGGAAGATGTAAAATCATTCACATCACCCTATTTTCAATACCAACCAATTTCAGACTATGGCAATCAAAGGTTTATATTCGCATCCTCTGCACCCCATACCCAACTCTTCCACCTCAAGCGCTCTCATCCAACTTTGCTGCAGCAGGTAGTTCTCCTTTTTTCACTACATCTGCAGAAATGAGTGTTTGTTCCAGCTTTGCCTTCTCTTCCTCTGTGGCTGCAGTGACATCAACGGCTACTTCTTCGCCAAAATTTTTCGCAATCTCTTCCAAACTAAGACGTGCAGTTTCGGGGAAGAAAAAGTAAATCACTAGATATATTAACAGAACAATGAGTATATTGTTGGGTAGAAAGCAGACACGGTACTACTTGGGTTTGACGTACCTGGGATGAAAAGAACAGACCAGATGATCACGACGAGGTAGTATTTCCACCCCACATGAGCGAAACCAATAGGTGCTGTTTGAAGGAGGATAATTGTTGCTGTTATATGCTATTAGGCGGGTAAAACATACGAGGAAAGATAAAATAGAAAACTTACATGCAAACTGGCCGAAGAGGGAGAAGCCCATCCCAATTGGTCGAATTTCCGTAGGGAAAATCTCAGAGACATAGAGATACATTGTCGTGTCACAGAATGTGCTGACAAGCATTTCTTAATCAAGGATACTCGCTCTGAGTAGGAGGGGGCTACATACCCTTGGAAAGCTAGGTATAAGAAAATGAAGAAAATACCAAAGCCATTTCCTACCCGATTCGTTGTGCCAGCGTATTTCGCAGTCATGGCGGCCAGACAGGAAGTTGTGATAACAATGCCCACAAAGCCAATGATGTACATTTTACGACGCGAATTTACCTTATCATGGAGCCAGGCCCCTAGAGGATTATATACCAAACCTAGTACGTTGTTAATAAAAATTTTCCTTTTGACATAGAGAACTAAATATACCTGCAGTTGTTAACCACAAAGCACTGAGAAGGAGAGGCATGTGCCCAGTCATTCCAAGATTGGTGTACAGAATTACGGCATAATTATTCTAGAATTCATGTAGAGTTAAGTCAGTGGTTCAAGAAAATAGTAGAAAGGGGTCAGAGATATACTCACAATGATCAAGGGGCCACCAAACTCAGCGCCCCACTGGGTCAAGAAACCAATGATCATTCTTTTCCTATACGATTTCTTTTTGAACACTGCCACCCAAACGCTGTACCCAGTCGCGGAGAGTCTCTCTGCTTCAAGCTTCACTTGTTCCTTGCTCTGGTAGAATTCTTCCTTTGCAACTAAGTCTTGTGGATCATCCTTCGACTGCCTAAGTCGTCGAAGAATCTCCCAGGCTTCGTCATACTTACCTTTCGATATCAACCACCTAGGTGATCGGGGCAGCCATGGCGAGCCTAGTAACAGGAGCAGTGGACTCAAAATCTGGAGGCAAAGAGGAAACCTCCAAGCAAATGACGGATTTGAACCAGTTGCGAAGTAGCATGCATAGCCGATCCATCCAGATAACATGTATCCAAAAACAAGGAAAATAGCATGGTGTCCAACAAGCCAACCGCGCACGAAAGGACTGGACATTTCTGCAAAGTACATCGGGCAAACAGTGACAAGGATGCCAATGGAGGTGCCCGACACAAAACGACCAGCTTGAAACATTCTTTTGATGAGTATTAGCCCAGTTCCACTACACATTCAACCCTACGTCAAAATGTATACACATACTTCAAGTTTGCTGCCCCTCCTTGTAATGCTCCACCAAAAACCGCAAGAAAAGAACCGAGTTGGATATTAATCTTACGGCCCCATGCTTCACAAGACCACATCATAAATAGCGAGCCGGCCGCACCTCCGGCACTGAAGACACCATTTGCCGTTGCTATAGCATTTGTAGTCACAGTATCATATCCAGGTTTGCCCTGGGTGGGCAGGTTGAAGAATGAATACCATCCTGGCTGGCCGATTGTGCTACCAATGACAGAAGCACAGAATCCATATGTCTAGAAATATACCAATTGTCAGTATTTTTGGAAATAGAAGATATCCGATAAAAAGACCGTGTTCGATGTAAATTTAGGCGTAACGCAACATACCAATGACCCTAAAGCAACGAAAATAATGACAAGTCTATTATATCTACTCGTTTGAGACCCAAAGTTGGCCATGGTGGGCCAGCAACAGAAATATGAGGTATCAGGCGGCAGCAGAAACCAGTGGGATTTGGGGCAAAAGAAATCGCGGGTTTAGGCAGGAACTAGAGCACGAGCATGAAATAAATACGCCGGAGGGACTATGACCATTCCCTTAACTATATCAACGAGTCATCTCATTCTTGCTCTCCGTCTTAGAAAGTAAAATCGAGTCACGCACTCTCACTGTAGCCAAGAAGGCTTGTTCCGCAAAATCGTGGTTTAAGCATTGTGAAGGAGTGCTTCATGGATCACAGCAAGCCAGAAGCCAAGGAATCGGCTAATGATACTTTAACGTGGTGACACAAGCGCCGGGATAGCATAGTGCTAGACTGATTGGCTCATTTCAATGCTAGTTCCAAAATAAATGGGGTGGAGCGCTCGGGTATCTCTATGCCGACGACGTCTGTTGGTAGAAACTATTATAAAGCGGGCTTTACCCTCCCTTCAAACGGAAGTATATTTATTTTCTCGTTCCTGTGACCTCAGCATCTGAGACGTCAAAGATTTTCGCATCGCAAATCAAAACATCATTAATAAATTCGGATCTGGAAATGATGCTGAGAACTAGAATTATTTTGGGATCATTTGTTTTCTGTACTGTAATATGACTATACTGCCTTCTTTCGGCCAGCCAGCCGATGTCATGGCGAACAATGACAGGGGAAAGCTTATCAACAGACCCGAGTCATGCAAGAGGTACCGGACCGTCCTAAGACAGCTATCGTGACAATGATTGCGGGGCAACGTTGGTCTAGGGCTGCTGTTCCCGCTGGCCAAATGGCTTACATCCAAACCCCATATCGGGTGGAAGTGGAGAAGCTCTGGCCGCGCCATTAAGGCTTCAGTCAGACCCCAAGTGCTGTCAGCAGGGCACTGGTGAAGGACACCGATTTCGGAGACAATCGGGTCTCCTGAAATAAACACCGTCATTTGTGGTATTTCTTACAAACTGTGGCTCCCTCGTAGCCGAGATAGTGCTCTTAAGGGGAATTTTGGAGTTGCGACCCAGACCAGAGAGAAGGGCCGATAGCCGACGCAGAGCATGCGCTAGGCTCAAAGCATGCACACATTACCCCGGAATAGACTAGTGCTGGCGCCAACCTAAACCGTAATTCTGGGATTAGGCGAACGACGGAGCCGCTCTGTCCCTAGAATCAGCTCATAGAAAAGAAGCGGATACACCATTGGGGTATGGTCAAACCCGGGTGTCTAGCGTTATGCGACGCCAATTGTTGAATTCAGAGCCGAGTTTCCGATCAATGGGCTGTCGACGAATTCCGCGTAACTCCGATTACCGGAAGTTTTGAGTAACACTGAAGAATAATTGCTTAGCCGTAACGTGGCCCAGGAAGCCGAGTATCATTGGCTATCACATTTATCTATCCGGCACGGATAGTTGGCAATGCCATAAACACGACCCCGCATTATCCAGTGGCGTAGGAGAGGAAGCGCCTCTGTTGTCTAGCACGGAGCTTCAAAGACGGGGGAGTCTAAGTAAACAGGAAACCCGTCTTCAAAGGGCCTTTATGGTGTTAAAGAAAAATACTCAACTGTCCCAGAGTATTTGTCTATAGCAAACAACCATCATGACCTCACCCCAATCTCCTTTTGATGTTCCTTTTGACAAGCTCCCAAATCCAAAGCAGGTCTGGGTCGGAACTCCGGGGAGTAGCGAGGAAGGTCTGGGAAAACTCGCTCTGCTTACACCGGAGGTAGTGATAAATGCAGCAAAGGAGATAAAGACTGGTCGTCGTGTTACACTAGGATGGGAAATGACAAAGCTGGAGCTAGCCAACCTCAACCGACACCCATGTCAACACCACATTATCTCTCTGCTCAACGGCCTCGCATTCGACGATGTATATGTGTTCAATCCTCGTAGGTACCCAATTAATGGATCTTTTTATAAGAGCTATTGCCACCACTTTCGGGTGGTTGGGAAAGTCTGTCGCTGACCAATTCAACCCAAGAGCAAAGCAGTCAATGGGACGGCCTTCGACACTTTTCACAACAGGTACCAGCGACGGAAGATAAACCGTCACACAGAGTCTTCTATGGAGGGACCACTCCAGCTGAGGTATTAGATCGATCCACAGATCGCATCGGTATGCAACACTGGGCGCGTGCAGGTATCACCGGTCGCGGGGTGCTGATTGACTATGCCTCCTGGGCGCAGGAGCGCGGCATCACATACACAACGTTCTCCACGCACCAAATCCGCCTCCGCGACATTCTCGAGATCGCGAAAGAGTGCAACATTACCTTTCAAAAAGGCGATATATTATTCATCCGCATCGGCGTCACCCACGAATGGGACTGTGTTATGTCAGACCAACAAAAGCGAGAATATTCGCTAAATCCCAATCCAGAACACGCAGGCGTTGAAGCCACAACATCTATGCTCCGTTGGCTCTGGGACTGCGGCTTTTGCGCAGTAGCGGGCGATGCAATCAGCTGGGAGGTTAGTGCCACCCATAGAGGCGTCATGCAAAGACTAAAGCTAAACAGGTGCTCTAGGTATATCCTCCTGAATGTCCTGACTTGTTCCTGCACGAGTATTTGCTTGCTGGCTGGGGGATGCCAATTGGTGAGTTCGCTGCCAAGGAGAACATCGTGATGATGCGAAGCCCTATCAATCTAGCCCTAGCAGCGTCCAGATTCGGATGTGAGCTAACGTGGATTGCGCCCAGGAGAGCTTTTCGACCTCGAAGAACTCGCGCGGACCTGTAAAGAATTGGGAAGATGGAGTTTCTTTGTTGCGTCGGTGCCACTCAATATGCCTGGCGGAGTGTCATCCCCACCGAACGCAGTGGCGATATTCTAGGTAGCAGCCAAGTGCGTACTCTGTACTTCTCTGCTCAAACTCGTCGGCTGGAGAAAATAACTGATAATAAAAATAGAAGAAATGAAATACCTACGGAGTACTCCGTACAGGCAGCTCTCCGAAACTGCTACGGGAGTTGCTCATTGCTATTGACGAATGACGCCTGTCGGCCCCAGCGGATCAACTCGATTGGCGACAGCCACCGACAAGATGCGCGTCTACAACCTTCCTGGACTCTCGATCCTCGATTCCCTCCTTTCGGTCTGTCGTATTGTATATAGCGTACCCTGGGCCGATTACCACTCGGCCAAAAGGATGGTTGTTCTTAAGGCCGTATGAGCTAATGCACTCCTCCCGGCTCCGAATGTTGTTCTCCAGCTGGTAACTACATATGGCCGTTTTCAAAACACGCTCTGCAGCCATACCTGGCCGTCGTATCGATAAACAACCCTCATCGTACATGGGGGCCATAGTTCTTTGGCTTAAAGATTCCGTACAGAGTAGTTACTATGTAGTTATGTAACTTCAAGAGGTCGCCTATGCAGGACTGAAAATTTGTCGACAACTCTTGCCCATTATCTAAGTACCGCTTCAGATCATCAAAGACGGATGAGACACAGTGGTGTTACTCGGAATATTGCTGAGAAGAATTGCTAGAAATTTAGTTTGAACTTATGTTTGGAATTAGCCGCGATGGCCCCTGTTTTGCCGAGGCAGCGACGGTACGAGATATGTAATGGGTTTTCAATTATTTTAGATGAAGGCAATATACGGATAGTCCAGGAGCCAATATCAGACTCACTACGACTTTGTGATACCCATCGTGCCCTCATATTCGTAGAAGCCGGCGGTGTCCAATATTTCCCACCGACGATGCCCCTCTCTATCCGCCGGCTATCATCTCCAGCCGACCTGTCGCGAGCCGTGGATATTCAATCTACTACGTTTGCCAACAGCGCATTTTGCCGCACTGTAGGTGCCTCTCCCGAAGGCAATCCTCGCAGTCTTTCGCCATCAGAGCGACACGCCATCCAAGTCTCTCGTCTTCAGGACGCCCTTTCATCTGATCCTACCTTCCACCTACTGGGCGCGGTCGACGATGAAACGGGCGAAATCCTTGCCATGGCTAAGTGGTATGTCTTCAAGGGAGACGATTCATTAGAAAAATGGAAGAATGGCGTTAGATCTGACGAAGCAATGGAGATCCCAAATGGGGTCGATGAGGACGGCTATCGGTTTGCGAAGGGTAAACTGTTCGACGCCAAGAGAGCTTGGTTCGGGGAGAATGGAAGGGAACATTGCTGTAAGTTTTCCATTATCGTCAATTTGCCATCCACTTTTCCCTAACGAGTATCTATCGTATAGTCCTCGGTGTTTTATGCACCCTTCCCACTCACCAAGGCCGTGGTGCCGGAACCCTTCTTCTTAAATACGGTCTTGATATAGCGGATGAGCATGGCTTAGAGTCGTATCTAGAATCATCAACCAAAGGACGCCCGCTTTATGAAAGGCACGGGTTTGAAGACATTACTCTTCCTAATGGGAGGCCTGGGCTCTTGGAATTCGACCTGGGACACTTCACCGGTCGTGGCGGTGATCAAGGCGACTGGGTACGCTTAGCACTTATGGCCCGTAAGCCAAAGCAAAAAACCGAGTGCTAGTGTTTTGAAGAGTCCATGATGTGAAGCAGCGGACCAGGTATGCTTATTTGTTGTTTGTTCTCCCTAATCAACTCTTGTCTTATGGGGTTAGACTAGAATTTAATTGGATATATTATGTACGGGGTCAAGAGGACCTGCTATTACTTGGAAGAATACATGAATTCCAATGCAATTTGTGCACACATTTGACTGTACGGCGTAGGTAGTTCCGCCGTTTCTACTTTTATTTTGCCGTCAAATTAAAGTTTCGGCTTCGGCTCGGGAAAAAGAAAATCCTCAAAACTCTGTGGTGACGTCAGCGCCGACACAACAACGTCAATACGAGGAATTGTTGTTTCTCCCTTCATCGCAAGGCACTGCCCTCATTACGCTCAAAGTTGGATTCTATTCACTCCATTAATAAGCTTGGCTTGTGAAAAACTGGCACCAAATAGCTGAGTAAAAGAAAACAGGAATAAAAACTCAAGCCAACTCAACCAGCCTGGTACACCGCTGGACCAGCAACAATATGCGGGTTCAATAAACTCAAATTAAACGGTGTAACGAAGGGATTTGCGTCAGTAATTGCCACAAATATTGTGCCGTTAACACCTGGATCTCCTGCAAACGTTTCAAATCTTGGCTGCGTAGCTTGTGCCGAAGTCCCATTGGAGCTATTACTGGCACCGGTGATAGGAGTGTACGTGATGTTCAATTGGGTAACCCACGCCAAATACGCCGGTTGTTTACCCATAGATGTTGTGGTGTAGCTGTTGTTAGGGCCAATGCGCATTCCGGGTTTGTCCCAAGACAATTTCACGATCTGGTCTGGTTGTGACAGCGGAGTGGTACGGTTACTGCTGATTGACGGCGTACAAGTTGAATTCAAACAAATCGATTGAGGTGGGATGGAAGAAATATTAGCAGCACCTAATCCGGGGCCCAATGTTGTGTTCGTGCCAGCAGTTGCGTTGGACGAGAACGGGTTCGGTTGGTTGATGATTCTGAGAGCTGGAAAGTTCTGCCACACGAGCCTTGGGTTGATGCCAGGACAGAAACTCATATACGGTGCGATAAAAGTCCACGCCCAAGCCTGAGGAATGCCTGTCTCAAACCATACCGGAATCGGAAATAACCCCTCGAATTGACGAAAAATTAATTGTTGGCGAGCTGTAATAGCAATCGCCTGCAATAGTACCTGAGCAGATCCTCGGGCATCTAAATGCGGTGCAAAGCCATATACTGTTGATTCTATGACTTTGGCCATCTTTTGTGAAAAGTCATTGAATTCGGGTAAAGTCTTAAATGGATACCGATACGCGCATCGAGTGGGAGCTGAACTTCCCAAGATATTTTTCAAAACAGTCACCTGTCCCAATACTTCACCTCGCATAAATTGGATCAAATTGAAGTCATTGGCAGTTAATCCGGCTTGTAGAAAGTCCTGCTGGGAGAATTGAGACAATCCGGTATCGAACAGGTCGAGTTGGAGCCAGCTGGCGTAGAGCAACAGTGCCTGAATAATTGCAGATTAGCACAGAAGTGCGTTGTAAAAAGAGGCCAAGATTTCAAGCATCGACTTACAACTGATTGATAGTCATAATCACTCTGCACGTTATAGGCTGGCATTGTTCCATTGGTACCAAGTCCTCCTCCAGGGACATATGGAGCTGGCTGCGGATCGTGAAGCCGGCCATCACTTTGATATCTTGTGGCCTCAGGGCCGGGTGGCCTTCCTGAAATCGCGGTCCCGCGAATAGAACCCGTCAATGCTCCTGTCGCAGTAGCTATTCCTGTATAAGCACCCGTAGCACGAGAGAAACTAATGCCACTTGCTACAGGCGCTGTTGCCGGAAAGATTATGCCACTGGCATATGTGAGGTCTGCTGGCTTGCCATATACGGACGTATATAGCAGAAGCCCGGTGAGGCATGGAAAGAATAACATCCCGATGGGCTGGAAAATTTTTGATCAATTCCGTTTGGAAGGAGCCCGAGGTTGACTTGTGATTGCTACAAATAGCTGGATTGAGGGGGAATTGTGAAGGAAATATGGCTAGGGCAGATGAGCGCTCTAGGATTTGGAATGTTGTTGTCTGACGCAATTCCATTGAAACCTGCTGAAAATAAAGCCTATCCGAATCTTCCACGAAGGTTTACTTCATCTTTTGCCCCCAGGGAGGGGGGAGGGGGGTATAGAATTTCTAGACTCAGAGCGTTGCATCGGTTGATCAACGGCTGGTATGTAACAAAGTCAATTCAATATTTGGAATGACACCATCTTGAAGACTTGGAAAATAAGTTTTGATGGTTAAGGGGTCCTAGCATTTTGAAAGCAAAGCAAATAGGACAAATAATCAGACAAGCGGGCTCAAAATGAGATAAGGATTAAATGATCTGCAAATTTTATTGATTATCGGAGTAACTTTTAGTAACATCGAATTCTATTGATTTCGTCATTCATCATATGGGGGTATTTAATGGTTGCTGGGATATGAAATAATTGAAAATGCCATATCAGGCCCCGGCAAATATGGTTGTAGAATATTAATCGGAAATTTCTTCTGAGCTTCCAGCTTGAGGAGGCGGTAACTCCTCCATGCCATCTCTATTATAGCTCGGAAGCCGTTGTTTTGCAGTGATTGTGGGACTGGTACGCTCGAAATATTGCAACACACTTGCATATCCAAGACCTTCACTAAGGTCTGCATCCGTATATGGACGGGGCTTTTCGTCAACGTGGCGGGCCAGAGAGGCGAGCCACTCTTCTCGAAGCTCTTGTACTTTCTGTTTATAGTCCAGCTCAGCATCGTAGTGTTTACCAACACCACGAAACCGCTCCCAGAGCGATAGATGAGACGGGTGCACGGCCGAACCGTGATACTCGTCTTCGCGCCCATTGCGAATATAGAACCAGCGGCGCTCTTGTTCTTTTAAATCAAGACCAGTAGTATCTGGAAGGAATATAAATGTGAGAATCATGCCAGCAAGGCCAAACCAGGGTACGACATGGAATTTTTGGGTTGTGGATATATAGTTGTACATGACCGCAGCCACTAGCGCCCCAAGCTTACCAATGGCAGCCGAAAAACCGTGGGCTGTAGCGCGGATCGGGGTTGGAAAAACCTCGGCGGCGACCAAGAAAGTCACGGAATTTGGGCCAAACTGGTTGAAAAAGCTGCTTAAAAAGTACATAGCTTGGAAGGCGCCAATGTGTTCAGGCGAGGTGTAGTACTTGAAGTGGTATGCCGGAATTATGAAGAAAATAAAGTCCATCAAAAAACCAATCATCTGCATCCATTTGCGTCCATACAGCTTGTTGTCAATGAGGAGTGCTGTTACTCAGTTAGATTCCAAATATGTAATCCAAGGAGGAAAAGGCCGACTCACAAGCCAAGTAGTACCCAACAAGAGAAACACCGACATTGAGGAGGTTATATAGCCATCCGGGCATGATTGAGGTCGTATGTGGGTTTATCACGGATATAAACTCGCTTTGAAACAGCTTGTTTCCATAAAAGAAAATGTCATTTGCAAACCACGTACCAGCAGTGGCTAAAAGACGAAACCCAAAATACTTGAAAGTAAGCTTGAGGGAGGTAGTATCGTAGCCGGTGACACGGGATTTAGCCTTTGCAATGGAAAGCTGCTTGCTAGCAGCCTTCATTTTGTAGTATCGGTAGTACACCAGCCACAATGTACCTACCGCGGGAATTGCAAATGATACTCGATACGTCCATTGCGCGGAAACTGTAGAATAGGGGGGGTTTCCACTGCCATGATGGAAGATAAGAAGCAGTATAATCAGGAGAGCCTGATTGAAAAACTGGCCCCAGCCCTGCATAAGGAATGCACTTGTGACTTTTCTACCCCGATGTAGTCGATCTTCCTTAGTCGAAACCTTACCTGAACCGACAGCATTTTCCATGCCGCTTGTAGCAGTCATTGGATATTCACCACCCACCCCAATGCCATAAATAAACAGGGACCAAACATAACATATAACCCAACCATTCTGCGTGACACCCCACGCTGCTGTCAGCATGATCAAACCTAAAAGCATTATCGTGGCATCTTGAATCAGACCCCATCGTCGACCAAGCCTAAAAACCCTCATTAGGCAGGAACCAATACAAAACAACAAAACAGTGTACACACCAATCGCCGAGAATTCCCACAAGAATCTGACCAACAATAATACCACAAATTTCGAGGTATTCGACAGCCGCAATCCAGGTCGGGTTGCAAATTTCTTGTTTCTTCCAACACTTTGGGAATGTTTTTTCGAATAAAGGTTTGATGTTGCCGATGGAAAACAAAACATAACTAGAAACTGTTTCAACAACCGCGGTCAAGTGACGTTGGAGCAAAATGAAGGCTCACCCCTCTAGACCCAGCCCGGCACCAGGCAGAACCATGTTTCGAAAATAATATGACACCGGCGACAAGGGGTCGGCTTTGAACATTTTGCAAACACCAGAGAATTCTCTTGCAGCTTCTTTCATATCATATGCACCGACAAATTTTATCCTCTTTAGTAGTGGCAGGTCGGCCCAATAGACGCCATCTGGAGTATACGAATCATCCGGGCGAATGAGACTGTCGAACGCCTCCTTTTCGTTCAAGTTCATCTCCTGCAGCGGCTCATGGGTGCCGGACATGTCAGGCCCATGCGGGGCCCGAGGACCATAGTCAGTCATTTTCTCGCGGTGATACGGGATCGAGGCGCGTGAGCGCGGGGGGTAGTATAGTGTCCGCGCGGCTAATGGACCTGTCGCTGTAGATCAGCATCCAAAAGGAACAAGTGCAAGCGCGAGACGCCGCCAACACGCAGCCTGAAAGCCAAGCGGCGCCAACGGATCCCGTGTGCAGCCAGGCTTCGGATCGTAGCCGCGCACGTTCTCCCAGGCGCCGCTCTGACTGGCCCAAAGATGACACCGGACAGGCAGCGTAGGGAAGCTTAACCGCATCAAGCAATCCACAAGCGACGCAACGGCGTTTCACTCACCTATAAAGAAACCCGAAGAGGCCCAAGCTTCGTTTCCAGATGAAGTAGCCCAAACGGGGCAGTTTGGATGGAACAGACAGTCAGAACGTAGAGGGGGACGATGGAGTTTAAAGGGCGAGCGAGAAATTCTCCTCCTTCTTGCTGGCGCCCCAGTCACTGCTCAGGTGGCCGGCATGTGTGCGTTCTCTCGTTTGCGCAGCGAGGTGGAACCGTAAAAAACAGCGTGGTATTGAGCCGGTATATGGGCCGACAGACCTGCGGTGTGCCCATACGAACGTGAGGTAACGGAATGTTTGCATTTTGGGTTTGTGCGCAACAGGGAAAAGCGGGTATTCAGCGGCGATCGGTAGCCGGCCAGACCAATCAAGGGTCGGTTTCTGTCACACGTTGTGATGATGATGACCAGCGAGCGGGTTGAGCTCGGGCTGGGCAAGAGATCTTGTTGCTTATATTGCCGCCGAGACGCCTTGGTCCACGATCATTGATTCTGCACCAAGCCAGCGCCGTTCATGGGGCGGTAGACGACGGCGGGGATTGAGCAGAATAAACCAGCCGCATATGCCGTGCTTCCCGCAGATAATCTCCTGTCATATCTGCAGTATGCGCTGGTCACACGAGCACCTCCTCTCAAGTGGCTCAACCTACTTGCAGCATGGCCACCTGTTTGCGGACGGAGTACATCGTATATGTAGGAACAAATTTTTTTGGCGATCATCATGGATGATGTTTCGTTTCGAGGCGATCAGGGTTGGACGTTAAGCATGCGGGGAAGGTTAGAGACGGTGGTCGCATTCGTATACGAAGTTTTCGGTACGGAGTACAGTCCACCGTGTATCGTTTTACCGTCGAGTACCGATTTTGAAAGGTAGCTATTCCTGTCGCACCATGATTAGGAGTCATCCTGTAGTGAGCAAGCGGAAATATGAATGGTGAGGGCATGCGTCAATCGATATACTGATGTTGGATAGAAGCAGAGTTTTTTGGAAGTGATACCGCCTGGCAACCAAGTGGTCCCGACGTTCACCTCAAAACAAACGATCACGCAGTCCTGTCGAGGCATACAATGGTGTCGTGGCATTGTGTCATTCCACCAAATTGCAGGCACGACCAGGTGTGAGACGTCGCGGTACATTCAACTTATGAGGGGCGGTAGAATTGCGTCGTTGGCCGTAGCACGACTATTCAAGGGCGGTGAAGAAAGAACGCCCAGGTTATGTAGTTGTCCAAAAGGAGCCAATGACTATTCCCAATAAGCAAAAGTGTCACTGAAAATTGTATCTATTGCGCTCCGTAGATCTTGTAAACTATATTGTTGTATTTATTCACGGAATATATTTCTAATAGGTTCGACAATGAGACCCATCAATATTTCAAACGCGTGTCCAATGCAGTTTTTGTTCATAAAGGTAATGTTAGTTGGCAAAATCGTCTTACCACGTTTCTGCTTTGGTTAAAAATCCAAAGTCACTGCTGCTTCCAGGCCTGCTGAGTGACAGCTGCTTTGCAATTTCTCGCACAACCTCGACGGCGCCGATCACTTGCTTGCCGGTCGCCCCAAGATTCCTACAGCCAAAAAAATGTCTAGAGATATACCATTAGTGTGTGCGGATCGGTAGGACGGGAAAGATTGCAACCGCACCCTTTGGCCTGTGGCGCAACATTATCTGCCAAACAGCAGACAAACTCCATCATAACAGTTTCCATCGGGTTGAGAATTCTCATTTCGCCCATGAGTTCTCCGTAAACACTCCGTATGGCAAAGTCACTCAAGTCTCCCCCAGAGCTTTTCCCCATATTGGCTAAGATTCGGTCGGTGTGGTTAGAATATATTTGAGAAAAGAAATGCTTTCCGCGTTTAAGTTTTTCCTCAAGTGGCACGGGGGCACGAAGGGATACGTCTTTAGAGAGAGCGGGAAGAAGGTCCGGCGAATTGGTTTCGATTGAAGATTGGAGCGAGGACAGCGAATTTATACCCTACAGGTCAACGTTATTAGATGAATAGTCCTGTCACGAAATAGCTCTTTGGCTAGAAAGATGAAATTACTCGAGGAAATCCAACAAGGACACTAGCTTTCAAACAACATTCTCGGATTCTTCGGGCAATCGCGATTTTTGTGTCTTCATTGAGGGCGCTCAGATTGTTGATATACTTCCATAGTTCACCAACAGCGGGCTCCTGGTGGAAGGACAACAATGCTGCGGTTGCAACGACGTACCATAATGATGTTTCGGTAGTGTTATTTCCTTCACTGGGTATGAGGCGTGGAAGCGCGGAAAAATCGAGACGTTGTTGCTGATCGGTAGCTTTGAGAGCAGGGGACGGCGAGGAGGAGGAAGATGTGGACGCAGATGATATTGCCTTATTCTGCATATGGCTCTGAATGGCCCGCAGGCGCACTACCGCTTTGGAATCTGGCATTTCAAGATATATCTTCCTTTTTAGCGAGCTCTTCACTTGCGCGGAGCAGAGAATATGCTTTTGCCGAATTATCGGGGAAGCCGCACTGCCGCCAACTATTGATTGTCTGCAGCTTAAGAGCGAGAAATGCTTGCTCCAAATGCCTCTGAGGATTAATGGGGAAGGGACACGCATACCTGAGGCATGAACACCGGCTGGGATGGCAGGCGGCTTTGCCTAGGCACAATCCTTAGGCGCCCCGGTTCCCCGTCGGTGTTTTGGCTCCTCATAGCCGGGATGGTTCACGGCAACCTGGGGCCGATGATGCAAACCATGCAAACCACTTAACTACCCAGTTGAATATTGCGGATGCGGAGTAACTATCCTGCCGACCATCGAGCAAGCTTAGGTAAACTGAGCCTTGAACCTTATTACAAAGCTGGAGGCAGAACTTCGTGGCAACGATCTGACCAAATTAGGTAAAGCTTCTTCGCAAGATTTCTATGATTGGACCAGCAAACCAATCCAGCTTCTGATAGAACTTCAGTGCCGCATTTTCGGCTTTTACCTTAGAACGTCCATGATCTCGAATTTTATCATCTACAAAAAATTGAACCGCCCCGGAAAATAGTTTCAGTACTTAACGTCCTTGTCTTGAAGGAAATTTTGGGGGAATCCAAAAGTCCAAGAGTAGCCAACGAGTATTTCTTAAGTGACAGCGGCCTCCGTTTGGGAAAGAATGGCTATAGTCTAGTAGTAGAAGTATGTATTATTTATATACCTAGCACTATTCGCCTATGCCGTAATATGGCACCTAAAGCGAATACACCAAGTGCCGTCTCTGTTATCGCCGGAGATGAAGCCAGAGTTCCTTTGAGTTTAGCCGCCTGTCCCGTGTCTGAAGAGGCGCTAAACCACTTTAGGCCCCATATTTACATCGCCAGAAATAATGACGGCGAATCGTGTTGTCGCGGCCAGAACCTCCGTTTTCTCCCACAAATCCTGTCATTCTGCCCTTTTTTGCCTCCAACGCTCAACCACCAGGCCGTGGTAGTATATTAAACCCTCGGCTTGGCCCTGGCCATCATGGTTTTGGTTTTGCCGACCTTCTCACAATGTCAATGTACGCCGATTGTGCCATACGCCCATGATCCTCGTCAAAACAACAATGCGACCGTTGGACAAACAGAGCAACCCCCCGAACAAAGCATTTATTTCTACAAGTGCAGCGTTTAATAGACCTAACCGAGCACCCTTAACTCCCAAGCTAGCGGGGTACAATCCTCCCCATCTCACCCATAAATTCCAACATGCCGATACTCCCAGTCCCCACGTTACTCGCGTTGCAGATAACCCACCAACTCCTCCAGCCCTAAATGCAAACATCACACCTCGCTCTGGGCCAAGAAACCTCCGAAGAGATGGTGTTTCTTCCTCTTCACCCTTGGTGACACCGCCCAACGTGCAACATGCGCGTTTATCTCAAACTTCCAGACCATACCCCGCCGACTCAAGTCTAGGCCTTCGTGACAACAATGCCCAAACTCCACGTTTATCAAGACCTAAGAATATAATAAATGGTACCCCACATAACAGGCCTGTTTCCAACCCTGCGCCGCCAGGGAGTACTTCCCCTGGGAACCCTATGTTCTTTCGCGCAGCCGACGCCCAGTTATCGACGTCATCGTATGATGCAGATAACAAAGGGACTCATGCACAACCAAATACTCAAAAGTTTATATACGCGAATGGGGTGACTGACGTACGTACTTCAAGCAGCATATCGCAGAACTCGGTCCTCGCGAAGACCAAAGTGCAGAACACGGGACTTCCTTCTACGGCTGCTCGGTCTCCAGTAGTATCACCAAGATTACAAAATGCACAACCCCTACCACCTTCACCCAGGATTCCTGTATTCTCCGGTCGGGGCTCTAACCGATCAAGCCTTCAGTCAACTCACCCTCAGGAGCCCACCATACCCCACGCTTCTCGGCCGCCCCCAACGCTTGCTGATGCTCGACGGCCTTCGCACATAAAATCACCTAGTGTAGATGGATCTCAGTGCTTTCGTCAAGCCCGGCCTCCTTTCTCGAGCCCTCCTAGCTATCCTGGGTTCCTTTCAGCCGAACAGAGCGGTGCTAGTTCTCCAAATCAAAGCCCAATTCCAAGTAGCAACCGCTCTTCCTCATCCGGGGATATTCCGCAGCCTCTCCCACGGATTGGCAGCCCTTCGAAGGAAGATTTGGTTAATAACCAGCCAAGACCTACCGAACTGGCATCCAACGCGCGCACAGAACGGAAGGTGTTGGACCTGGAAATCAGCAACTCCTCGTTGCTGGCTATCAACCGTGCTTTAGAAAGGGAAATGAGGAAGCAGAATGCGGAATTGCGGCGATATCGTAGGCTAAGCCGTAGTGGCCGACTGTCTATGACCTCCTCTCGTCGTTCCATTTCCGGAGGCATGCTTTCCGTTGTAAGTGAAACGGACGGTGCAGCTAGCGAAGAATCTTATATCGCACCGAATAATATGATTTCAGACTCCGAGGATGATTTTGGCTCCTCTGACGACGAAAACGCGAGTGCTTTTGATGGCACCGAAAAAAACGAAGATGAGCGAGCCTGGAACGAGAACAAAATTTTTGCCGATTTGGCTCAACACCAGCAACTCCTCATTGATAGCCAAAAGCTGAACCATAGCCTACGACGTTGCCTTGGGCGGACAGAGAGTCTGATATTAGAAGGCAAAAAGGCTCTAGAGTATAAAGTCCTAGTCAGTGACATTGATATTGGAGGGAGAGTTCTCGCCCCAGATGACCTTGATGCAGAGTGGGACGGTGGAAGAGGGCTGCTCAGTCCGTCTATGGAGATACCGAACTTTTCTGAAGATCAGTCATTTCTCGATGATGCTATTTTGGCGGATCTACCCTTGTCAGACAATGGGAGTGAACCAGGAACATTTAACAGCCATGATATTCCAAATAGCTGAGATATATATAATCCGCCCTGAACGCGGATATTCCTCCACCATCCCCTTTCCAACCTTAATTCACGACACTAAGACCGACTTTTCTACCTATTTAAGCTCAACTGTGCTAATTTCTTAATGATTATTTTTATATTTCTGCATTTCTCGGCATGGCGTACTATTAATAAATCGGGGGCTAATTCTGTCTTGTTTCGGTCTTGGTGAGTCTGGAGATTTGAACTAATAGGCGTTCGGGTCACTGGGCATCTATGCATATTATACACGGATCAAGGAGTCATTTTCGACATTCACTCAGGACACTCGCAACTCTTGGTTTCTTTCCTTTCCCTTTTTTTCTTCCTACTACTTCGTTACTGGGCTAATGATGAATGTCGGTTTCCTTCCCGTTTGCTCAATATTATTGTGCTTTCTCTGGATGCTTTATATGGCTGCAGTGTCCTTGTTGAAACAAGATACCCCCGATCATGTATATCCTTTCTTTTCCTTTTCCTTTGTCAAGTCAAGAAGAGACCCTTCTAGTGAGTAAATAAATAGAGTTGGATATTTCCTTAGATGGATAACTTGTCACTTTGTATGTACATACATGAATGTGGCTTGGTTCTATTTGCATATCAACGTAGCAGAAGGGGGATCGTACATCTCAGTGCATCATTTTAGCATTCAAAAACAACGGAAGAAAGTTGCCCAAAACCAAAAACACTATTTCTATGGTGGGATATAGGTAAATTAAACATATCATAAACATAACTAAAGTAGGACAGGCCGTGTGTGTTACCCCACACCCCCTGAAAGAAAAAAAAAAATGTAGCTCCGCGTTTCTACGCGGGAACTTCTTCAGGGCTGCCTTCTGGTTTGGCTTTCTTGTCCTTCTTTTTGTCATTCTTGTCGTTTTTATCCTTCTTAGACAAGCCTTCCGCCATCAGTTGCTCAAAAGCCATGTAATCGCCCTCTTCGTCCGGATCACGTTCAGCCTTGAAACAAAATGATTAGCACGTAGTTATTTAAAAATAAATGCATGTACGTACCATCTGGAATATCTTTCCGCAGATCACGAGTGCATGAGCTCGTTCTATCCGCTTCTCCAATTTCACAGCTCTGTCGTTAAGTATCTTGTCGCAGACGTCACGAAGCACACTTTGGATCTCGAATTTACTACCACGCCAGGCAGCCGCCAAAAGCTTTCCTGTGACTTTCTTTTCGTATTCCGCTCGTTTCTCGTCAGTCCAATCTTCACCCCCTTTCTCTTCCAGTTTTACCATCTCTTCCATGGTCATTTGTGCATCAAGGGCTGTCGAAATGGTGGTCCAAGTTTCCTTGGCGAGGGTTCCCTTGTCCTTCAATCGCGAGAAAAATCCAGAAATACCGAGGAATTTCTGGGATTTGAGGAACGAGGTGGCTTTCTGGATGTAAGTTGCACCAATGGCGTGAAGAATTTCAAGTCCGAAAGATTCCATTTTGAGGTTCTCAACTTCTAGACGCGTCTTTTCCTGGAAAGCAATTGTGACATCCGCACCTTTATCTGTCTCTGTCCATATACTGAGGCGATCAACCAATTTTCTTGCGAGAGTATCGACTCGTTCTTCCCTTTGCTTCTTCCGTTCAGCTTCAAAAGCCGCAAGTCTTTCACGCTGCTCTTTAGTTAGACCTTTCTTCTTCTCCTTCTTTCTTAGCTCTTTTTCTTCCGCAGTCAGACCAGCAGCATCCATTCTTGCGTCCTCTTCTGATTTGTCCATAATTGCTTGCTGGCCCCATACTCGCTTGGGAGTGCTGGTGCCAGATGTAGCTTCTGTTGGCTTTGCTGGTTCGGTAGTGGGCACGCTTTGCTTTTCTTTATCTTCGGAAGAGACAAATGGCGGAGGGGGTGGAGAGGCGCTGGATTCACCTGGGGGGTTTTCTTGTTTTTCTTTCCCACTGTCTTCATGTATATTCAACTTTTCCTCCGCGGATTTCGCAAGCTCTTCTTCTTCCATTTCTTGCATTGTGATGTCCATAGTTCGCGTTAAATCCTTCATAAGAGATATCTCTCCGATCAAATCCACAAAGGCATCGCCTCCAAATATCATGCTAAAAAATTCGGCCGGGTCCTCTATCAATTTGTGTTAGCAACTTAATAGTAGTTAAGATATCCAGGGAAATGCATACCAAAACCACCTCCCGGAATGGCCATCTCCTTGCCAAATTTATCATATTGCTTGCGCAATTCCTCATCACTCAGAACTTGGTATGCCTCACCGATCTAAGACGAGATCTGTTAGATATAATTGAATGATACGAGATAGAGACAAAGTTAGCATACCGCCTGGAATCTCTCATGGGCCGTCTCATCACCCGGGTTTTTATCTATTATCTTGTTAGCTAAGGAGGGAAACAACGAGGTCAGGGCCAGCTGACCTGGATGGGTGGTGATGGCAAGCTTGCGGTAAGCTTTTTTAATTTCAAGCTCCGTCGCTGTAGGCTGCACGCCGAGAGCGTCGTAATATGTCGTGTCCGCGACCATGGTGGTGGCCGTATCAACGTGGGGCAGATGGTCAAAAAAATGGCTTGAGAATTGTAGGGTGTTGGAGAAAGTGGAAAACTAGGCTACAGCGTTGAAAATCTTATAGAAAGCTCGGCTGCAGTAAGCGACACAATATCTGGCCAACTCTTGCACAAAGCTGGCGGGGTTCAGCAGATAAACAACGCAGCCTGGGACTTGTTGCCGCGATCGTCATTCCACCTGCAAAATCCTAAAGTTCAGCCTCGTGCTTATATAAGAAGCCACGCCGCGGAGTGGCGCAGCGCGGGTTTAGCCACAGTCGTTTGTTTTGTTTGCTTGGCCTATATCGAAGCTGGGAGCGAGTCGAGGCGGCCAGGGGGAGGCGGTGGACGGCCATGGAGAGGAAACCCCCAGTATAGAACAGCTCGTCACCCTTGAATATTCCTCGTATTCAGCGCCATCTCAACTCCGTAGCACTGAACAGGCACTGCTTATAGTTTCCATACATCGAGAAATAGCCGTGCCAAGGCCAGTTGATTAGAGTGCCTGGAACACACTCGAAGTCAGCCAACGCTGAACCAAAGGCCAGAAACCCGGAACCTTCGGACGTTGTTCCCTGCAAACCTGCTCAGCTTCTTCGCGAGACGACAGCCGCTTAATATAAGCAACCCAACAACCCTCAGCTGCGATCAGCAACATCCCCTGCTCCGCACGTCCGTCCAATCAGCGCAAGGCAGCCCTCAGCGGCTTAATAAGCTTCCGTGTTCCTGAGCTCGCTAACAACCCGCAAAATCCAAATTCCCTCCGAATCTTCTCTCCATCCTCCCTCCTCAACCTGTACATTATTCCGTGCCTGTTTTGGGTCTCTTCTTAAACGCTTTCTATTCTTCGTTTTATTCTTTTCGTTATATATTTTTTTTAATTCTCGTCAATGATTGTGCCGTTTCTGTCTTCTTACGCCCCCTAACCATCTACTCCTCAACCTCAACCTTCCGTTATCTCCTAAGACCCAAAGCATCCATCAGCCACCATGGTTTCCTTTTCACAAGCACTCTACCTCCTATCTCACCCCCAGGAGCTCCGATCAATCATTCAATGGTATTACGGGCCCGTCTTCGTCCTTGTTACACGTGAACTAACATCTTGCAGGAAAGTATGGCACGAGCCTGTACATGCTAGAAATACAGAAAATGAAACAGAGACTGAAAAGAAATGCTATCATTTCCTCAAACTTACCAGCCGCAGTTTCAGTGCGGTCATTATGGAGCTACATCCCGAGTTACTCCTTCCAGTCTGCCTATTCTACCTGATTCTTCGTGGTCTAGATACTATCGAAGACGACACATCAATATCTTTAAAAGTCAAGGAGCCACTTCTCCGTGACTTCCAGAACTTCTTGGAGATCGATGGGTGGACTTTCGATGGCAATCGCCCTGAAGAGAAGGACCGTGAACTGCTGGTTCAGTTTCATAATGTCATAACCGAGTTCAAAAAAATAAAACCAGCCTATAAGATCATTATCAAGGATATTACAAACCGAATGGGCAATGGAATGGCTGACTACTGTCGCAAAGCCGAAGTTGACACAGTAAATATTGAGACTGTCGAAGATTACGACCTCTACTGCTGGTATGTTGCTGGCCTCGTTGGCGAGGGTTTAACAAGGCTGTTCGTAGAAGCTGGGTTTGCACGCCCGCAGCTTCTCGAACGCCCTGAACTCTACAAATCTATGGGTCTATTACTTCAAAAAACCAATATTATTCGCGATGTCCGAGAAGATGAGGATGATAACCGCCGCTTCTGGCCCAAGGAAATCTGGTCCAACCATGTCGACAAATGGGAAGATCTTTTCAAACTTGAGAATCGTGAAGCGGCTCTCAACTGTGGGTCGGAGATGGTGCTCAACGCACTCGGCCACGTTGAAGATTGCCTTTATTACCTCGCTGGTCTAAAAGAACAGAGTGTCTTTAACTTCTGTGCCATCCCTCAATCTATGGCGATTGCTACTCTTGAACTATGTCTTCGAAACTCCACCATGTTTGACCGTAATATCAAAATCACAAAAGGCCAAGCATGTCAACTAATGTGGCAGTCAACACAAAATGTCCGTGTTCTTTGTGATATTTTTCGGCAATACGCCCGGGCGATTCATAAAAAGAATACACCCAAAGACCCAAATTTCCTCAAGATCAGTATGGCTTGTGGGAAGGTCAGTTTTTTCCTGCAGCACATTTTCGTTTACGTTTCTAATGGCATTTCAGATCGAAAAATTTATCGAGTCAATATTTCCATCGCAGTCCGCTGAAGACGCCCAACGGAGACTCGATAATAAACAGAGTCCTGAAGACGCAGAAAAAGCCGCACAGGCCGCCGAAGCCAGACGGGATACCCTAATTATTGTCTCCATACTTTTTGGCATATTAGTAATTGCCTCTGGATTGATGGTATGTCATCATCTTCCCGCCTCACCCTATATGTATATTGCCTGCTAACACACCTTGTACAGTTTGGCGTTGCTTGGATGCTAGGTGCTCGATTTGACATAGCCTTAGAGGAGCTCAAGAAGGGCAACTTTCGCCCCCCTGGGCCGCGCTTGACGCATGGGGAGCTGTAATTTTATAGAGGTGTTGATACATCTTGTTATATCTGATTCTAACATTCTTTGGTGTGCGGATGCCACCAAGCAAGTATTGCGGTATTAATCTTAAACCCCTCCAGGAAACTTAATCACCAAAATACTACTGCTAATATTATGATTTACTACCATCAGTGTGATCTTCAGCTGTTGCCAATCATTTCTGGGACAATCTTACGCCGCACCGTCCGGCCTCGACGGGTTCGCAAGCACTGATGTCAAATTGCAATCTAGCCTCTCTTCATGGTTGTGGTTGTGCCGAAGATGTGCTGAGATCAAGATGCTGATGCATTTCTCCAAACGTACTGGATGCTCGTCCCTCTGCCGTTGGTTCGCCGGCGGCTGAGCATGGCGCGTCTCTATTGAAGCTTTGGAAACATTCTTCTCTGCCATTCGTAGATCATCCCTGCACTGGCGGGACGGGAGCGGCGGCCCAATAACCGACACGGTACGACGGCCCAGCGCGTGTCTGCGCGCTGCCTGGATTCATAGACTAGATATAATTAGAACAGTCGAGCAATCAAAGAATTCTTTTTCAACGAGCGCAACAAAGAAACACCAGGGTGGCCGTGGCGCCCACGCTGCAAGAGTCAGTCGAGTTTCACGTTTGAATTCCCGACCGGAGGCGATCCCTGCAGCCCACTCGCGCACTGACAAGAAACCTCCGTGAATGCAAAATATCCGTCTTGGTCCCCGCAGCCTGGTTGGGCCTCGCTAAACGGGCGCAGCGCAACAACGGGGGCGGCCGCCAGCGCGACGCCAGACGGAACGAAAAAAAACGGTCGAGCGAGCCAGCAAGCTAGCGAGTTAACTAGTTACATAGTTAGCTTTCGGCTATCCAGACTCTCCGAGCCCTCATAGATCTCTTCGCCAGCTGCTGTCGCCTGCCGTGCCAGCCCACCCGCCCTCCATCCTGACTGTTACCCCATCCCAGCGTCCGATCCGTATGAGCGAGGCTCCCGTCGCGCCGCCGGCGCTGCCTACGACTGTTGCTGCTGGTGCTGGTGCTGGTGCCGCTGTGCCTAACCATGCCACGCCGGCCGCCGAAAGCCCGCCGCGACTACGCGCCGCATCGGCGTGCGTCGCGTGCAATAAGAAGAAAGTAAGTGCCTCTCCTGTCTTTAGCGAGCTCGGTCCGGGTCTCGTTTCCTGCGGACTGTCTGCGTGGTGGCAAGTTGCTGATGCGGTGGTTGCGCAGATACGGTGCATTTACCCCGAGGGAGGACTGCAGTGCTTGAACTGCGCGCGGAACCACTGGGCTTGCTCGTGAGGCGTCTCCGCTCCGTTTCCTGTCGATGCAGCATACCCTTCTGGACGTCGATTGCTGATTCTTCTTCTTCTTCTTCTTTGCAGCCCTCGAGAGCGCAAGCGCAAACGTCGAAAGATTGCCGTAGATCGAGACGATGCTTCCTCGGCGACAACCACGGCGCAGACAAAGGTTGAGATAGGCCATGATATCGCCGGCTTGGTCGCTCCTCGACGCTCGAACTGGGATTCGAGCCTTTTATCGTGGGACCAGCGCCGCCCCCTCGCTGCCGAAGCTCATCCGCCTGCCCCTTCAGAAGCCTCCGCTGGTGCCCGGACATCCGCCCAAAACCAAACACCACCAACGTCTGCCTTCCACGAGTCGGACGGTCCTCCGCTATATCCGACAACATCTTCATCGGGACCACCCCGGCAGTCGCAGCCCCAGGACTCGCGTGCGTATGGACCCAGCACGCCGAATTCGACATTTCTCGGCCGCTCAGAGTACATCCGGGCCGAGATTCCATTCAATGAATATCGAGGCAAGCCATATTCTGCAGTAACAACGGAGTATCTCACCGAGGAAGACCTTCGGATTCTGCACCTGCAGCATGCCTTTGATCTACCCCCACGCGCCGTCAGAGACGGGCTAATAGATACATTCATGAAGCGATGTGCGCCGTGGATGCCCATTGTTGAACGAAGCTGGCTGACGGAACGAAGTGGACATCAGCCGTCCATACTACTGCTGCAGGCTATTTTTTTGGCCGCGAGCCGGGTGTCCTCTGCGCCTGCAGTGACGGCGTACGCCTCGTCAAATGATTTCTATCGTCGGGCGAGAGCGTTGTTCTGGTCAGGATATGAGAAAAACACAATTACTGTTATTACTTCGGTGTGTATCTTACATTGGTATAACCCCGAGGGGCCGGAGCATGTTTCTATCAATACGAGTGGCTTCTGGAACCGCATTGGAGTGGGCTTAGCGTATCAAATTGGGTTGCATAAGGAGCCGCCCCCGGGCCGAGACGCTCTGCTGAAGAAGAGGCTGTGGTGGACGTTATATGTAGGTGCCATTCCCTATTTCTTGATTGACTTCAAACTCTACTCTGCCCTTGCCTGCTGCTAAAGTGGTCTTGTTTTATAGGCCCGGGATTGTTTAATCTCGGCGGGGCATGGGCGTCCACGTGCTATCAACCCAGATGACAGCGACGTCAAACCCTTGACATTGGAAGACTTCTACGGGAGCTCTTCGAATGGACAGCTGTTTGTTCCCTACGTGGAGATCTCGGCCCTCTTGGGAGAGCTCACACAATGCTATTGCCGGCGTAGTTTATCCCGACAAAAACGAGTTTCCATCGAAAACGCGCTCTATCGATGGACTCGAGAATTGCCAGAGCCTCTTCGTCTGTTTCGAAAATATAACCCTGCCGGGGATGCTCCGGCACACAGGCTCGTATTAATGCCGTACGATTTTGAGGCCCGGCAGCTGCACGTACCATACTTCATCACCCTCGCCATTCTTTATCGGCCCACATCACCATCTAACCTCCCATCCGCGGCTGCCATTCTCGCATCTTCGTTCATCGCCGGCATCTTTGAAGATTTAGCAGCCCGTGACGAGATTCGCTTTCTTGGGCCAGTATTCACATTCTATCTCCTGGCTGCCGGTGTCGGCTTATTGTCGTGTTTCCCGTATCCCCATCTCTGGGAACGAGCGGAGCAGGATCTCCGTATTATTTATAATTCGCAGAAAGAGCTGGCGAAGCGGTATCCTTCGGCGATAGGCAGTCTAAAGGCATTGCAGAGTATGCTGGATGATGCACCCAAGGTCGCCAGGCCGTCGGATCGCCCGCAGCCGACACCCTTGACCCCAGACCAACAGGCATGCTTTAGTGGCTTTGGGACAGACCTGTGTCGATTGGGGGACGTTATGTTAGCCAACTATCCGCACGATATGGCGGACTCTGGCCGGCCAGAGGACGACCAGTATGCACGAACGGTTTCAGATATGATGACTGCCGGTATTTTAGCAGAACTGAAGACACCAATGGACGCTGCTGCTGCGTTGGACGAATACCTGCCACTCGCAACGGTGGTCGACCACAACACCCACCTTGCCCTGGGCGGGGATGCGGCGGAGATCACAGATGAGATGATGTATAACCAGTACGACGGCATTGGCAACTGGCTGCTCCGCGACTGGGATTGGAACACCGACTTTGCGTGGTGAAAGGTTCGGCCCGTATGACTAAGCGCCCAATACCCGATCACGTGATTCGGCACCCGGGCCAACTCTATTTTACTTCCCTGTCGGGCTTTCGGCTGTTGGGTTCGGGCCGTGGCTGCGTTGCGACCGATCCCTAATGACCTACTATCTACCACTCGAGCGTCGAGGGGAATATCGACACAATAGCTTTTGTTTTGGATGGAACCTACGATAATGGCGGACCTGCCCAAGTTCCGTAATCTCACCCTCAGCCGTCATGGCAATGTCTTCGTGATTACGATGCAAAAACCTCCAGAGAATAGGCTGAATTCAGGGTACTGTCAGGAAATCATCAGGGCGTTTCGCACAGTGCAGCAGATCCTGGGGCCAGACTCAGAAGGCGCGGTGATTACAAGAGGAAATGATGCCAAATTCTGGTGTACAGTACGTTTGCTGAGATCCTATATGCATGGACACAGTACCTTCTCCGCTACTTTCTGATCTCTTCTTCGTTCTTATGGTATTTCAGGGACTTGAGTTGGAGGAACAGGATGTAAACCCGTTTGCGAATACTGATGGTTTCTATCCTGTACGCCATGTCTTTCTCTCCATTTTGAGAGCCGTATTTATCTAATAGATCCAAAGATGCTTCACACCATCCTTGACTTTCCTTATCCAACCATCGCACTTCTAACAGGCCACACCTTTGGTGGTGCGTGCCCTTTTGCCCTTTCCCACGACTATCGCGTCATGAACTCGCAGCGTGGCTTTATTTCAATGCCTCCGGTCAATCTGGGCATACATTTCCCTGGTATTGGTTCATTGCCGCGGCTCAAGCTGGCTCCGAGGGTTTCTCGTAAAATGTTGCTGGAGGCACATCGATGGACAGGAAAGGAAGCACTAGAGGATGGAATTGTCGATGCCATTGCAGAACCGGACAAAATGTTCGATGTGGCAATGGAGTTGGCGCAGAAATGGGCGCCAAAAGCAAGGATGGGGTAAGTCAGAAACGTACATTGTTTGATACTGAAATTGCTCGGAATGGTATGGGAGATATCTGATACTAACGGCCCTGTTTTTGCAGTATATATGGCATCTTGCGAGCGGAGCTTTGGGGTGAGGCGCTTGAGAAATTCCAGCGGATCAGTTACGTGCATGGCCGGATGACGACTGCGGCGGCAAAAGTTAAAATTTGATTGATGCCTACGCCCAAAGCAATAGTTTAAAGTATTGACTTAAGCTGAAAGGAAATATAATATAATTTTAACCCAAAAGGTCTTTTTTTATAAAAAAAATGGCAAACTGTCCAGAGTAACTAAGCCACACAATGACCAATAACTCGATGATATCCAAATAGTATTTTTTAATATTAACAGCATTCTTTGCCTCCCCACTTTTCTCCCCAGCCAATTGATCACAGCATGATGAGCGAACACTAAATTCCTGCCATATAAAAAGGCTTAAAGGACTGGATATCCAACTTTACTGGCTGGTCTATAGATGCACGTACATAATTAAATCCTTGGAGTTCTCCATGCTGCATTATCAACAAGCTTCGAATATTATTTTCGAACATGAAAGTAAATGTATTCACAGTTTTGCCTGGGTCCGTCCATATTTTTCGATGCCTTCTCTTTTCCATATTTGAACCTCAGGGTCATTCTGGTAGCTCTCGGGGAAGAACTTTGGCCCAAGTAGCTTCTTGGCCACCTTCCCCGTCCCGCCTTTTGGCAATTCTCCCTTCAAAATTCTTAGTATTGTAGGTAGTTTATAACTTGCCAGCCTACTCCTTAAGTCCTTTCTCAGATCATAGATGTTCATATCCTTACCCACGCCACCATTTCCCTCACACTGAAAATTTTTCTGATCATCACGCAAGGTAACGGCGGCCGCAATCCTTTGGCCATACTCATTATCATGAACACCAACAACCATGGCCTCATGAATATACGGTAGAGAGAGAATCTCGCGTTCAATATCCAGCGCAGATATCTTATACCCACCGGATTTTAGAATGTCAATTGAAGACCTGCCCAGAATGAAGTAATTTCTCCCCTCACGGCGGGCAATATCGCCCGATTTGAAAAAGCCATCTGCATCATGGGCTGCTGCGGTTGCAGTTGGGTCATCGAGGTACTTTGAAAACATCCATGGGCTTTTGATCAAAATCTCTCCCTCTTCTCCATTGGAAAGCTTGATCGTTACTCCGGGCGCAGTTGTTCCTACACTGCTGTCGGGCGTCGCCTTGCAATCAAGAGGCATCCGGAAAATAGCGCCGACTTCTGTCGATCCATATCGCGTAAGAATGCGACGGTTTTCGCCTAGCATATTGCTCCAGGAACTTTGCACGGGTTCAGGCAAGGCAGAAGTTCCACATATTAAAATTCGTAGACTTCTTGCGCCATTGATATACTTCTCCAAATCATTCAGGGGCAAGGATGCTAGTTTCTGTTCATAGTACCTCATCATGCGCATATATATCGTTAGTACACCTGAAAATACTGAAACGCCACCTTGTCTCCATCTTTCCCAGAGCCACTGAGTGCTCAAGCTGCCGCTTCGAAATTCAATGCATGCGCCCGAGAACATGTATGGAAGGAAATTTATACCAATTCCCGTTGCATGATGTACCGGCAAAATGTGTAGAATAACATCAGATGCAGTAATATCGAAGTGGTGCGTGATGTCCGAAGAGCAGTCATGCAAGAATGCACGTCTCATTACAGCGCCTTTTGGAGGCCCAGTCGTACCAGAGGTAAAAATTACCACAGCCGCACCGTTATCGTCAAGATACCGGCTAGTTGAGAGACTGATATCTTCTGGTTTGAGAGGAGACGCTTGAAAAAAACCTGAAATGGATATACATCGCGGTTCGAGATGTTGCCCTGTTTTCATATGGTCGCAGAGAGACTTGCAAAGGCTCGTACAGGCGTCAGAAGCCAAAAGAGCAACACAGCGAGCCTTCAGAATAAAATATGACGCTTCTTGAACGGGAACAAGTGGTGCTATTCAAGAAATATTAGTCCTGCGGTATCAACTGAGAAATGAGAGAAGCACTTTCAAGGTACACTGACTCAGGGGCACCACAGCTGCTTTCAATGCTACAATAGCCACAAAACCAACAGCATACTCGTATCCACCGGCTGCCAATAAGCCAACATATACCTCCTTTCCAGCATTCAAGTCCCCATGGACTTGATCTGGTAAGGTGCTGCGCAGCGCGTTTCGAAGCGCGAGAACATCAGTGAGGAACTGGAGATAGGTTTTCTCAGTACCTAGATTCACATCTCGGATTGCCAGTCGAGGAGGACTCCAATGCGCATAGCGTACTAAGCGAGAAAAAAAGGGCGACAATGGTAGCACAGTATCGCCTTCGTGCGAAGGGACAAAGGTTGTGCGATCAAACTCCATCGCGGTCACAGTTGGGCCCCAAGATCAAATATTAGAGACCTCTCTCTTACTGATTCGCAGGTGGTTTTTCTTATTGTTTCTTGACAGATGGTCAGCGGGAGGACTACTTATTACCTCTTCCCCTTGTAATTTTACCGCCCATCTTCACCTTCATCCGAAGGAATTCGCCGTCTTCGGGCGTCACTTGCAGTGTTCCCATTGCCCATCCAGTGTCCACTGAACGGTTCGGAGCATACACATATGGCCAAGAGGGTCAACGAGTCTCCGACGCCCGTCAGCAGGTGTGCCGGGCTCGGTAGTTCGGTAGTTGGTCGCGTTTCTGATGTTTGCTGTGACAGCTTCGGCATTGCGGGAATTAGAGGTCTACCCGGGAAGTTTATCTAGTGAAGCAGACTCAGAAGAAATACAGAATTATGGATACACTCCATACCGACTGCTTAGAGGCTGTGGTTTCTGCAAAAGTGGAAAAGGTCTCTGGCATTCATATTTTATGGGACTTCGGGGGTTAGAACCCCCGAATACGAAATAACTCGCCGCCTGTAGAAATCCTATTATCTGAATGCCCTCAACGAAACCGCGCCCAAACGATAACAAAAAAGAAAACTAGGCTGGAGTGAGTATGGCCCGCTAATCCGTACAAACAGAGTGGTATATTAGTGCGAAGCAAAAGGAAATCGCGACAGATAACGCATTTGTAAATGCTAATCAGGAGATCTATGGGAATGGATGGAAATAGTTGTATCGGCATAATTGAGCAGTTTTAGGGTTTAGATTTGTCGGCGATAATTTCGTACGCACTGACCCTCATGCTGCGGGGGCGACTGCGAGGATAGGCCGCCGTTCCCGTGTGCGAATTGATGCTATATTCTGGGAGTATCCCTTCGTCTAGTACATCAAATTGGGCATTTGGCCGAGTCTCTTGGAGGGTTTCTAGAATCTCTTCGCTCCATAAGCCCGTACAGTCGTTGCCGACTAGCTGGTAGTAAGGGTTGAGCTGGCCACATATCGAATCGAGGTCAATATATCGAATTCTCATAAATTGTATCGCCGTCAAAGTGTCTAGGGATCTGACGGCAGTGACGACCAGCTTCTCAAACGACTTGATAAATGTCATATTGGTGATCCCGGAATGGTCATTGACAAAATTCAAATTGCCTTCAGGTTTGGCTAATTCACAGCAGCACGCTTTCACCACCAGGTCCACCGCTTTTAGCCTAGATCGTACCTCCCTCTTAATGGTGGCGGCTCGCGCCGCGGCAAACAAGGTGGCGCAGACCTTTCCTGTAAACGTCAAGGATTCGAGTTGTGGGATAATATCTCCCAACAGTCGACAAAGATGTCGTTCGACTTGAGGACCACCCAGCCATCGGGATTGGGAATTTGTCTTACTACAAAATCCTTCAAGGCTGATGCTAAGTCGCGTGAGACCCCGTGGAAAATTTGTCAAAATTCTCGAAATAGTGGCTTGGGCCTCTCGTTTAGGTTTGGCATAAGTGCAATTCCATTCACGTATATTAGGCAGTGCGGCAGCAATAGTACACCAGTGGCTGTGACCTCTCATGATATTCCAAGCTCCTCTCATTATGAATATCTGAATATTTGGTAGAGGCTCTAGGGACTGTTCATTTGTTGCATCGTCGCAGAAATGTTTGATCATGGGTGGTTTCTTACAGTGACCCCCTTCCAACGTGAGCATCTTGGCGTCCGGAAAGAAGCACGCGACATGGAAAAAGATTTGTTGTAAGGTAGCATTTCGGTTGGCAAATCTGAAATTGTGATTTGTACGACCGTGCTCAATACCATCGGCAACCGCTTGGAACAATGCGACTGAATTTGTAGGCTGTTGACTTTCCCTCTCTTCGGTAGCTCGACGGTTTTGGGGTAAGATATGTGGTCTCGGTAATCGATCGCCCCAGACAGGAACCCAAACCTCGATATGACGGACGTATGGGCCAAGGTGCGGATGGGAGCTGAACCATTGTGCGCTTTCCTGAAGCCCGTCGGTTGTACCTTTGACCTGAACTATTAAACGTCAGTTTATCGAGAGCCCATTATACCCGGCAGGTGATACGCACTATGTCGATAGATCCTTTCTTGGACCAAAGGTCTCCAAGTGCGTGAGACCAAGGCAAGGTCAGAGAGTACTTTTCTCCGTGGGTGTCGTAAAGTTTTACTCCAACTAGACGCCGTCGCTGAGGTGGTCGTGACGGAGGTCAAGGCAGCACCTCTTACACCAAATAAATGATCCAACACAGCTTCATGAATCTCTATCGGAAGGTCTTCAAATTGTAGGGGCGTGTTGTCCATATCCGACATGTCCAACTCTATCGACTCGGGTTTGGAAAGAAAAGATGTCGTAGATTCTGGTGTAATTTCGAAGCGTTGGGGTTGATGAAAAGGGGTACATGGCTCCGAAGGGCATGTTTCAAGGGTTGTAGAGGCAGGCGCTTTGGAAAAATGATCGATGGCGATAAGGTGGGAATGTGTTACGGCAGAGAGCATCATTTCAGCCTTGCCGATGCGTTGGGCATCTACAAAAAATTAATCGATAGGAACAACGCATAACCCGCCTTCAAAGTAAAAGGGCCTCCTAGAGTCTCTGACTACTGAACTTGTACGTTAGCACTCCCCTTTGGCTCTCATGATCAACTTCCTAATTTAGACAACACTCAAAAAAGCCAAATGGAACGGTCGAGTGTCGATTCTGCACACAATATACGCTCCAGGAATGACTCGACAGTAGATACTGACCTAATAGACGTAGCAGTACGTATCAAAGAGAATATATGCTAGGAACAGAAGAAGGAGAAAGGAATATGTCGACAAGGGAAATGAGAGCGTGATCGCCTTGCGAAAAAAAAGGGTGAGATATGGTCGGTGTTCAAGAGGGTGGTGGGAGGTGATAATAGAAGCAAAGGGGGGATGGAATTGTATTTAAAAGGACGTATAAGGCACAGCACTTGTAAAACAGAGAACCCGGCATAAGAAGACAATGGTGCAAGAAAGGGGGTGGTGAGTCGTGATGATGCGATGATGATGATGATGATGAAGCGTAGGAGGGGAGGCTTGGCAGTCAGCAGAGACTCTGTATATGTCTATAATCCCGTCTACTAGTGGAAAATAAGAGGATTCTGATTGGCTAATGATAAAATTTACGGACACTACCTAGCTATGTAAGGTTAGCCTATTCATGCCAAGTGGGGTGAAGCGAGCCTGATCGAAATTGTGATGCTTATGTAATGAATGGCTCGGCGAGAGACAGACGGCATGCTCAGATATGACACAGGCATCGTCCTAAACCTTGCCCTTTGCACCGCTGCTGAGGGAGGGGCGATATTCCCCAATGTCGCCCACGATGATTCCCAAAATCCACACATTAACAGCAAAAAACAGCAAGCAAGCAAGGAAAAGACCTGGGAAAAAAGTAGAAATCCCCAAAAACTCCAGCTTGAACCCCTGCCGGAGCCAGAGAACCTAAGCACAATTTCAGAATGTTGATATATATTGGAAATGGAGTTGGATAATCATACCTGCCCAGCCACCCATAGTGTAGCAGCGCTTCCGCCCAAAAAAGGTCGTGCGACAAACGAAGAGTATGGAAGATAGAGAGGAAGGAATATAATGTACCACAAGAAATACTATGAAAAATGTTAAGGAGAAATTATTTTCTTGAAGGGAGGCGGGGGTGGAAGAGACCAACCTGACTTGTGCAAACTTTGTTAAATGCAACAAATGCAAATGTTTGCGCCAACAAGCTTCCCGCGAGATCCTTTCTTGCGAGCACTAGAGGAATTAAAATTGCCGACAGGCCCAACTGTGGAATAAAAGCAAGAGACTCGAAATTGCTGCGTGATGCTCCATTTGCCGTCTCTGATGATGACAAATAAAGCAGCGTATTGTATGGCGAATAATTATGGCGATGATCCACGCGGGTTAAATGGTGCAAATAAGTATGTTGTACGAACGGCAGTCCGTAGATCAGATACATGCCTACATTGAAGGCGGCAAACGTGCCCAATGCCGTGAAAGTAAGTGTAAGCCGGTTCGGTGTCAAAAGTCCAAGGGTCCGCTGAAATAAACTCGATTCTTCTTCTGGGTGATCTGTCGTATCCTCTGCATCCACGGTATGATCCATATACCATAGAATTGCCGGTCCATATATAAATGGATAGATTTTGAAGTGCACTCCCAGGCCTAACAGACACCCCGCCAGTACTACTTTCTTCTGCAAGACAGCCCACAGAAGAGCGATAACCATTACTCCAAGGAGGCCCTCGGAGCTCCCCCTCGTGCTAATTGTCGCCACCATAGGGTTCAACAGCCAGATACTGGCATATTTCAGCGCTCGAGTGGTATCCATATGCTGATGCTTCTTCAAGACCAGGACAATCAGCCACCCCGCAACAATATCCGCGAGGGCAAATAATGCTTTGCCAAATAAAAACCAGAGCGCCCCTAGTGGTCCGTGGCTGCCCCACGCCGTGGGCACAAGTAACCAGGCGAGTAAGGGCGTGTATCTGTATGTAGCCCTGTCGTAGGGAGACTGACCGTTAGCAACGAATCTCGCGGCGTCGGTGAAGACATAGTAGTCAATATCGGTGTATTTCATAGCCGAGTGGGCGTCTTGGTACAATCCGTAAAAGAGCAGGAAGACGCGTAATGCAATGGCGGCAGCAAAAACTCGTGAGGTGGAGGAAAAAAAACATGTTTGAAAAAGAGAGAATGCCATTGCAACGACCAACAGTTTCAAGGTATATAAAAGATGGACTTTTCACCCTATTCTTCTAAGCATCTAACAGTATGAAGGGAACTCGTTCACTCATGATCCTTGCTGCGCCTCTTCTCCTGTTGTTACTCTTTGTATTGAGTTACAACACCAAAGATAGCCCAGAGTACATATATCACAGGCTATATATCCAATGAGCCATTATTGAAGTTGGCAGAGCCTGATAGTCGGTGCAGCAAAGATCTGTCAAGACGTTGAGCTCAAGTCCCATCCATCATCCATCGATGTTTTGGTGCTCGCACTAAATTAAGACTGGATGACTAACTAAGTAAAAACTAGCTGTACTTGGTTAACGAATCACGAGGTAGCAATCTGACGCCATTCTCAGGGGTCGCGGACCGTAGAGGCCCCACAGTGCACGAGTGTACGCAATGGGTAAATATTCTATCATTCCTATCTAAAACTCCTATGCCTACTGAAATCGTAAAATGCTCTGCTGGGCTGGCAAAGCGGCAACAAACCTTCCGTGATCCAGGGGCTTAAGGTACTCCTCGGCCTGGCTAAAGAGCCCTACTGGGGTTGTTTGGGGTGGATAAAAATCTCCTTGGGCACCTGGCCACATATTATCGCTCCAGGTGATGTAATCCAACATTTGCTGCGGCGAATGGTCCATATAAGCCCCGATTCCTTGATAGCCATCAAAGCAAGGGCCAACAGCGGCCGCGTGGCTCATAGAATAGGTTGACGTGACTGCACCGAGTGCATCTATCGAGTGGGTGACAAGTTGAGCACCAGTGCTTGGAGTGGGGGCTTGCTGCTCTGAACAGTGACTGCTAGTGGTAGCGGTACGGGGCCTTTGGCTGGCTTCCAAGATTGTAGACACGACTTCCAGCGTCCTTCGAGCGGTCGGGCTCCACGATTCCAGACGAGAAAGTGCTGCCATGGCAATTTCAACCTGAGTCCTGCAATTATCTGGGGTGCCAAGTGGGTGCGTGGTAGTGCTATCAGCGATGAACAGTCCAAGAAGAGGGACTAGCGTCGCTTGGAAGAGGAGCCACACAGCGTTCCACCCAGTCATTTGGTTAAGCCGAAGGGCAGATGCCACGTCGCGGATGGTTTCGTCAGCGACTATCCTGCACTGTTCAATAGCGTATCTCTCCTCCGCTTTGACAGCAATGTAAGGAACCCGTCGCATGGCGTAGCTTAGTAAGACTGGCCTGTGAAGTAAAATGCGTTGACTCTGGTAGCGCCATCGCATAACGGTACGAGTTGTCGAAACGGTATCTGAACATGGATCCCGGTCTTTCAAAAGGGGGGGAAGATTGTTATACCAGTCAATGAGTTGATGATCGAGGCTAACCATCTCCGCATATGTAACTAATGGAGACGCTGCAAGAGTATCTCCTACCAGAGTGGCAATCTTGCAAAAGCGAGTGTTCTCAATCAGGGAGACAACATCGAATGATGATTCCTAGAAGCTGTCAGTAGTCATGTTTGACCACCCACATAAGCACGAACATACCTTGTCTCCTTGATACTGAGGCAGTTTTGCTGTGATTCCTGGACCAAACCTTCCCATGCTTGGCCTACCCAGGGTCATATAACCCCAAGTATCGAGACAAAGCAGTGACCACCAGATCTTCCTCCTTAAGTCAACCGAAAACTTCCTTTGATGACTTGACGGTTCCTGGTGGCCGGTGAACTCCTTATGTAGGCCGAGCATAGTAGCCATACGTAGAGCAACTCCGGTAAAAGAATGGGCTAAATTGGGCTGGCTGATATAATGTAAATAACTCCCCCCCATTAGAGCCAGGGTCTGAATGGTTTCCAGGTGTGGGTTGCCTAGGCTGTCGAGGCTGAGGTAGTGCTTGCTTCTCAAGTAGTACGATTCATGCGAGGTATCCTCAGCCGTATAGGCAGCAATACTCCCGAGCGCATAAACGATGTTCTCAAGAGCCAGCCAACGCGGATCGCATCTCTTTCCCATCAAGACGGTTTCCCTAAACAATTGTTCGTCCAGTAATGGAGCAAATGTATGGAAATAGCTGAAGTAGGCATCGATGAGCTCTATGGTATTGGCTTCGCCCACGCCCGATGAATGGTTTGCGGGCCACGTAGAGCTATTTGGCTGGAAAGCTGGCTCTCGTTTCGTTGAGTGCAACTGCCGATCAGGAGCACCCAGAAACATCTGAGCACTGGATGGGTCAATCCATGCTATCACCTGCATCACAGCATTCACAGAGGATATTCCCAGGTATGTGGAGGGTCGTTTTGGGGAGAGCGACAGCGCGTTGACATCGTCCGACACGGTGTCGACAACGTCAGGGCTGTCCGACACATGGCTCTCGGTGTAATCGTCCGGCATTGTCTGGAGAGACTCCAGGGTGTCGTCTCCCTGCGGAGGCGGAGTCGCGTCATTGTCAGTGGTTGACGTGTTAGACGCGGGGGGGAATCCGCCGTGGGTGCCCGCATTCGACGCGAGCTCGAGCAGCCGTTCTCGCGGGAGGGTGGAGAGGGACTGTAGCGGAACGTCCGGGAAGAGCCGTTCGAATACGGTTCGATACTCATCGACGGTGGACGAGAGCTTTTCTACATGCCTGCGCAGCGGTTAGACGATGGCCATCGGCAGGCAAACGCGACGGCGCTTGATCGCTGGGAGGGGAAGGGTACCTCCGAGACGGACGAGGGTCCGAATACTGGCATAGCTCCGTTTTCTTGTACCATTGGCAAGCCTCGCATGGCTGCTCTCCGTCGCAGCGAATCTTCCGCCGCCGACATTGCTCACAAGCGCGCAACGTCGAGGACCGTTTTCCAGCCTTGCCACGTCCTTCTCGGCTCTGACTCCGCGCCTTTTCGGGGTTCTCGAATCCTTCGAAGATGTGGAACATGAATTCGACCAGCCAACCGGTTTTCACGACAAAGAGCGAGGGTTATAAAATCTTGATGCGCGCAATACTCGTGACAAAGGAGCAATTTGATCGAGGACGGCGGGCAAGGTCGCGGTCTCCAGAGCACGCCGGCATCGATTGGATATTGTTGGAGGAGCACTTGCAGACGGACTCGCAGATGCCTGACGGCCACCACTCATGTCACGAAACCATCGAGAAAGGAATAAGAATTGGCGTGATTGTTCGTGGCGACGAGGACGAAATATTTACGGAATAATGAGGCCATCTCGAGGGCGAAAAACTCCATGGGGCTATCCAGATTGCAGAGGGGCGAATTCGCCCCTGACATTTGCCGCCTGGAGATAAGCGAATCAAAGCCTAAAAGCATTAGGGCTGTCGAAGTTTCAGCGAGGCGGGAAGAACCCATCATCGTTGTCTGGGGAGCTTGCACTACGACAAGGCCGAGCTAAACGGGTTGCTGGCAATGGCACCCGGCGAAAAACCTACGGTCAAGATTTGGAGCTCAATCTCCACGCGGTGGCCAACTCTGGACCCCATGTGGGGTTGACTTTTTTTTTCCGTCCATATCAGGGCAGAGGCACGCTGTGAGTTTATCGGTGCCAGAAACCAGACCTGGCAGGGTGCTATATCAGGAGCTGCACCAGACCAAGGGCTGGCGACCAGCAGCTCTGGCAGCCTACCATAGTATTTCTTAGGATCAGGCGTCTGTCGAACTGAACGAACCAGCCCGGAAGGATGGAATTAATACCGTGATCAGACGCTGGCGCCTTAGCTGCTTGCTTCTCCAGGGCTGAGTGGCGGACGAGATGGTGAACTTAACTTACGGAGTACTACTAACTACTACTAGCCGGCGTTCACCAGCAGAAGGGTAACGCCGGAGATCATTCGGGACCCAAAGTCTTGCCCAGAGCTCGTATGCCCCTCCCACTCCTTTCCTCTCCTTTCCTTTTTTCATGCCTTTTGCCAACTGGGCCCAGCCCCGAGACTACTGGCCGGTTAAACTTAATGCGCTTCCTTGATAGTCCGCGTCATCCAATAGCCAGAGACCCTCGGGGCGCTTGTCAACAGTAGTAGTCCGTGAAGAAGAATTCCGCCGATGGCAACCTCCACTGCGGAATCGTGTGCTGGCGTCGCCTAGACCGATGCTGCTCGAGCAATCCTCAGAGAAACACGCACCTGACTGGCGCCCGCAGGCCAGCCGCGGCCCAAGCGGGGGGCCTCTCCACTTCATGTCAAGGCCTCGGACGGCGGGGCCCACAGGGCAGATCCTAATGCTTCCTGGTTTGCTCAAACCCAGCGAGTTCCCTGTCAATAGGCCCATGGCTTGTTGCTTCAGTACTAGGACAAAAGGTTGCACAGGAGTTCTCGTGCTCTACTCTTCGTCATGAATGTCGAAATATGCAGTATGGGCTTGCGAAGGTCAAGTTACAGGCATCAAGCGGACTACTTTTACTACATCCTACATGCATTATAGTGGAAAGTCTAAAAGTGCATGTAACTACGCGGCTCCCTAGCGCGCGGTGGGTGGGTAGGTAGGTAACGGCAAACCATTGCTCACCGCAATTGACTGTTCTCGAATCGGAGAGGGTCGGCTATACGACTTTACCTTTTAGGAAGGACGGTTTATTCTCACTGAACAAAAGACCATAATTTCGTAATAATTGCTACTTGTCGGAACCATGGTACCTAGTTGCCTGTGCATAAACTGATAATTCTGCTTCAAACAAATAAGTCTGGCCATTCCGCAATGCTGTACGGAGTACACGTTTTTTCTTCCTCAATTCTGGAGTCCATCTTTCTTGTCTTCCCCCTTTTCTCCGAAATACTATTAGCTCTCCCTTATCAAGGTTAACATATTGGGTTATCAAGACATGGAGGCTGTACATGCATATGCCCTGCTTGGATGCCTTGGTACCATGAAGCTAGGTAGCTAGTAGGCGTTAACCGGCTCTCTAAATAACGTGGGCTCCTTACAGCTACCAAGGTATATATTTCTCTGAACATCATGCACATGGGCACTCGTCAAAAAGGGACCTACTATCTTCATGAGAATCCCATACCCTGCCCTTCTGTTCGGCCCCTCGTCGATTCATTCTACATACCTTACACAGACCATACCATATCACGTTCACAAAGAAGACCATTGCCACAATATGCAGCTAGGACTATGGATCCTATAATTTGGCTGAATAGTCCGCTCTTCGGCGTTGTTGGAAGTCTAAATAAAACCTCAAATATTTGCGCTATAATATGGGAATTTCCTTTACGATACGGAGTACACGTGCAGGAAACCCTGGTTTGGCAGGTGCCGTTGTCAGAGCCTTTCCGCAACAGAGTACTCCGTATAGGCCAACGTACTTCTGCCTCAACCAGCGGGGGTATGCTTGTATGGGGGAGTTGCTACTTGGCTAAGAATATTATTAGTCCAACTTTTGGCTGCGTCCATAACGTCATCTTCTGCAGGCTGCCGTCTAAGCCAACATCGTTTCCCTTAGCTTTAGGACTATGCTCAAGAGTGCAACTGAGTCACGATACTTTGCAAGGGCTTAAGAGATGAAAAAAAAACCTTGAGCTCGAATATGTAAGAATGTTTTACTCGAGATCTGCCGGTCTTATGTAAATGAGGGCTCGTAGATGGATGATTCCTTCTGCAAGCAACTCCTGGATGCCGAGAATGGTATCGTCATTGTCTAAATTCAAACCAGGCCAGAGTATTTCGTGGCCCATTTTCACAAGCCAATGTTTCAGGGTATTGTTATTGCAATAATGCCACTCCGCGATTGGCGCCGGGAGAAATCTGAAGGGCATTTCGGAGTTCTCTGTTCGGCACACCTTTTGAACTGCTTGCCGCACCTCGGGGCCCGGTGGATTGGATCAGAATAGTACCAACATCCAAGATCGGGTCAATAATCATTTATTCCTAAAAAGAGGATCTTGTTTGACGAATATTTTGAAGATGTTGGTCGGAAGCTCGATGCATCTACATGCATACACTGGTTCAGTGTCGGCTTCGGCTTCGACTTCGAGCCTGATGATAAAGAGGCCTGTTTTATCATTCATAGACTCTCAAGGTGCTATTTTAGAGGTTTGACGAAATAGTTAACGCACCAGCAACCTCAAAAACAGCAGCCCGAGGAGGTGCGGGATATTATCAGCAATGGCGCACTGTATGACAGCTTCGTATCTGCGTGTGGTGAGTCGTGATATGGGGTGCTATTGGGGCTCAGTGTGTAGGTTCTGGCATTATCTCAACAACGTCGGCAATAACCCGGCAATTCCGGTGAGCGGGGTGGATTCGCCATGAAGAAAGGTGAAATCATACTCCTTATGGAGTACATGGGGCGAAAAAGCAGTGATGGTCTGAGATCCTTTGGCTAGGGCACATACGCCTGGCCCAACACTGAGTGTATGGTTGTGTGTAAATTCGCTTACCGGTTGATCAAAAATGATGGAATCTACTCCGTACAGCGTCTACTTCGTGCCTGGCGCAAGGTCTCTCGAACCCCCTGAAATACTTGCTCGCAGCGCGGTGGCGCCCAGCTCTGCTTCTGGACTAGCGTTCTTGGTCGATTGCTTAATCAGCATCCCATAATGGTAAGTCCTCCCGAAGGCCCGCGCCGGCCGTGCGTAGTCAGCAGATGCACCAGGTGATTGGCAATGGCTTGGCACTGTGTCCCACTGGATTGAGCTTGGAGAACTATCGACAGGGACGATATGGCCGGCAACAAACGCACCTGGGAGGGCAAGGTTGTCCCGCCATCGCAAGAAAATACAGATATGGCCACACTAGAGCAGCAGACGCCCATCATCTCGCTCTTCGGCTATTTCCGGACTGAATTAGAACAGCACCATGACCGTCGCGAACGCGTCATTAAAGCGTCGCGCGACATCACGGCGTTGAGTAAGAAGATGTAAGTAGTTTAAAATAATTCAGAACCTTATGTTTATGATTTTGGTGGGGCCTTACCTGTCCAAACTAACTACCCGTCATAGTATCTTCGCGCTGCACAGGTAGTGCGGTTCCTACTGCCCAGCTCTCTTGACCTTTCTTAACAGTTATATAGACTCCGAAATCTAGGCGGGACAATTCCTAAGAATATTGCTAAGGAGAATACTGAGCGTTTTGCCCAAATTGATGCGCTCTTCAAGTCTCTCGTTCCTGATCTCTCCGGAATCAACGCCTGGAGGTACGAATATCAAATTACTTGGGGCATACAAGAATATATTGAAGCGCTTTCTTTCCAGTATTACGCTGAAAACCAACGGCTAATAAGTCTGGATGCTGTGAGGGGGTCACTTCCCCCAGAAATCCTAGTCACAGAGACGGATTATGTGTTGGGGCTATTTGACTTGACTGGGGAATTGATGCGGTTTGCTATCACAAACATTGGGAAAGGCGGCCCCCGCTCTCAGACTACCCTTGCTGGCGCGAATGTTGACGGATCCGGTGAGGCGGCACAGTCAAACCTTGTGAGTGAGTCGGCCGCCGAAGGGATCATGGTTGACCTGCGGGAATTGCGGGCCATGTTCGAGAAGTTGAACGTGCCTAGAGGCCATTCCTTGAACAAAGAGTTGGCAAAGAAAATGGAGGTCATGCAGGCTAGTGTAGAGAAGGTAGAACAAGCCGCATACGGGCTCCTAATTAGGGGGCGGGAGCGACCGCAGGGATGGATACCTGACGTTTCCAGTGCCGCACCTGTTGAGAGTTACTAACGTATGCCCGGTCCGTATTGATATACGTCGGATTTATCCCGTTAGCCCCTGCACGACCAAATCGGCGCTACGGCTTTATGGGATTGTGTATCTGTTAAAATTGTTTGTCTAACATCACTAGCCTGTTCCTGCTATCGTCACACGTGTATCCATGCCCTGAAAGAGTGAAGCGGAGATTCTATCTCAGTCTTGTCCGATCACCTCCGTAACAAATCATAAAAGAACCAAAAACGCTGAAGTACAAATGAGAACACACACAATAGGCCATATATCGTATCAATTCCACCACTGATGATTTCCTCCCGTTCTTATCAGACCTCTACGGGGTTCTCGTTTTCGGCCAAAATTCCGTTCTTTATCAGCTCCTCTGGTTTGGGCCTATTTTGAATCTTGTGTTCTAAGCTATCTGCAAGCATGTGTTTTTCCAACTCTTTCGCATGGGCCTGCAGGGCTGGAGCGGCGTTCGAAGAAGGCAGGATATTTCCTAACGTTGGCATTTTAGTAAGGCTATGAAATCAAACAACATAGGAGCCGGGCGCAGGGCATACGTTCGATGAGGGAGTCCCTGTCTGGCCGCTTCTCCAAATTGCGTTTCAAGTTATCCATTGCACGGTGACGAGCCAGTTCCTGCTGTGCAGCCTGAAGAGATCTGGAATTTGCATAGTTAGTAGCCTAAGGTGCTTGCAGGCACGAAGTAGAGCCAAAACGCATACGGAGCAGCAGTTGTGTCCAGAAGAATGTGTCTGTCTTTAAGCTCTTGTGGATCAGGACGTCGCTGGAGACTTTTCTCCAAGGAGCTACGATGCTCAGCGGTGGGCGAGAGGGGGGTCTCGTCGACAAGTGGGGTGTCGGCCATGATCACAAGGTACGGAGAACGGAGTAGTCAACTAGAAAAGAATGGGCGATGCAGTTGGGTTACAAAATAAGAGGATCGAGGTTATATACGGCACACTCAAGCAGATATCGTTCGACGCAGGAATAGGGCAGCCAGAGAGGGTGTAGTGAACCCAGCCAGGCACCAGTCTCGTGTTATATAGATCAGGGGAGGCGCGCATGTTTCGGCGACGCTGTTTGGTTTGTTTGTCTTGGTCAAATGACGATGCCACCTGTTGAGCAGGAGTCAGGTGACTTGTCAGGTGACCAGGTCTCCGAAGGAGGAACCGGAGAACCGTAGGTTCACCACCTCCTCTTCTCAACCACAGTACCAATTTCATTATCTTTGTCTATCAGGCTGGTGGAGGTTTGCTAGGGGTTTTTCATATGTTTTTCCCATAGCCTTGGTTATAGCATGTTTGTCTATAAGTATCCATGTCTTGTTCATTAGAAGTAAGATCAGATGCAATATTATAGATGCTCAGTCACATGATCATTACATGCTTCTGTGTTGTTCAATAGTTATGAGCCCAGACTCTTTCAAGAATTTGATTATTATCTAAAAATATGTTCAAGATACTTTATTTTACTCTTGTTATTCATACAAATAGAGGTTACTATTAAGTATCTTGAGATCATACATTGAACTCTCTATTTAAGCTTAAATCTTAATTGCAGAGTTCACAGAAATCTAATGCATCTATATATTTACTGATCTAAGTCTATGGAAAATCATAATCTAGAATCAATGTCTCACTTCAATAATTAATTAAAAATGAACAAATTGTCTAGAAGAGTTGTTATGCTGAATAGTTCTGATGATTGAAAAGAATGAATTGAAGACATCAAGCATTTAGCAAATCTTCACTGATTGTGATCATACATTGATTCAACAAAAGAAACACATTTCAAACTTCAGAAATCTGTTATAGAGAATTTTCTTTCTTCTGAGAAAATCAAAAAAATCACAACTTCTGCAGATATGAAACATGCAAGAAATATGCAAAGAGATCAATACAGAACTTGAGAGAAGAGAGTTTTAGCAATGCAAGAGCTACAGAAGACAATAAGAGATCATGTAAATTCATCTCTGAGAATTCTTACAATAAGTGAATTGAGTGACATAGAAGCTACTGCAAAAGAACATCTGAAAGCTCTATATACTAGAAATGTGGTGAATGCTTCTCAATTGAAAGCTAGACTAGTAGAGAGATTCAAAATTCTAGAAGATGGATCAAAAAATCAAGCAATTGAAGCATATTTGCTGAACTACAAAGAAGCATTAAATCAGACTATTATGTACAATATGTATGAATATATCTGCAAATCTTTTGTCTTCAAACAATTTCTGAGAGCAATCTCTCAGAATTACAGAAAGTTCTTCTATATGTATCTGTCAAAGCTTCTAACTGAAGAGAATTTGAATTGAAAGCATGAGCTAGATGTTTATAGACATATTCAAATATTTCAGCAGACATTAAAGAAGGATTCTGAGCCAGATCAACAGAATAAGCTGTCAGCATACTCCATCAAAAAGATAGTTCAAAATAAGCTGTTGGGGAAGAATAATGAAAATATGAACTCTGCATGTCTTTGCAGAGAGCATCATGATTGAGCATACTGTTCATATTTTAATCCACTTATTCAATCAACAGGCTGGAAACTGGATCCAAAAATTGATAATAATAAGGTCAAGAAAGCATTGAAGAATCCAGTGAATGAAAGAAAATTAAAGAAAAAGATTGCAAATTGAAAGAAATTGAAGAATTCAAATACTACTGAAGAAGCTAGTGCTTCAGATAATGCAATAAACAGTGGTGCTAACAAAGCTGTTGTCAAGACATTCTCTAACTCAACTATCTTTGCTTTCATAACAGTTTTTAACTCCACTAACATGAGCAATAAATATGAACTCTATTCATTATGGAACAGCTTCATATTAGATGGGGGTGCAGATGCACATATTTGCAATGATTTTACAAGATTTCAAAACTATCAGAACACTAATTCTTTGGATATTGTGCTTGTTGAAAATACTTATTGTAAAATTCATGAATATGATGATGTTGAAGTTTATACTCAAACATCAGCAGATGCTGGCAAGATATTACTAAAGAATGTTCTCTACATTTCTGACTTTCATACAAATCTAGTAGTGCATGAATTGCTGTGTGTGAAGAATTGTTATTTGGACAACAAGTCTCTTACAGTTTACTACACTGGCACAAGGGATATCTTGTTCAATTTGACTGTTAAAGAGAGAAAAATGGTTGTTGAATACAGATCTATTAACATTACAACAGACAGTATAACAAAGAGTGTTTTTACTGTCTTGTTGAGTGAAGATTTAATTAAAAAACTATTGACAGTGTTGGTCTTCAGTTCACTAGAAACAATGAATATTTGGCATTTGAGACTTGATTATCTAGAAAGAGAGTCTCTGACTCATCTTCTGAAGATGTCTACTGATGTGAAATTTGCAAAGATCTCTCAGAGTTCTCTAACAGTGAAGTGCAGATTTTGTGCTCTTTCAAAAGTAAAGTAAATCATACACAGAACACTGTTGAAAAGATCTACACATCTGTTCATGAAGATGTCTATTGATCTCATACAGTTTGCTTCAGATTATAATGGAGATAGATGGGCAGTTCACTTATATTGTGATTATACTCATCTGCACTACATGGAAACAATGCAGCAAAAATCCAAAAGTTTGACATGCACAGCAAAAATGATAAGAGTAATTCTCAATTTATATCAATTAACTATCTTGACTATTTAGATTGACAGAGAAATCTCTATGCAGTCAGAACTGACAGCTTTGGCTCAAACATATGATATAGTTGTTCAATGTTTGACATTCTACACATCAGCTCAAAATGGAGCTGCAGAATGTGCAGAAGCTTTAATAACAATGACAGTACATACAATGTAAATTGAAGTCAACTTGTCTGAGAATTTGTGGTCAGAATGTGTCAAGACTGCAGCATATATTTTAAACAGAATTTTGATTAAAGATCTTGATTGAAACACTTCTCTTGAATTCTTAGAGAAATATCTTTGAACTGCAACTTCTTTAACTGAAATTAGACATATAAGAGTTTTTGGCTGTAGAGTGTATTCTTTAATTAAGAATGCACAATACAGAAGAAATCAGAAGCTGACTTCTAGAGTGAAAGTTGAATATCTCATTGAATATAAATCAACAAATATTTTTTGCATTTGAATTTCAGTATGATGAAAGATTATATTAATGAGAGATGTTATATTCAACAAAGATATGCTATTTAATTCTAATGAGATTAGCAGTAAGCTTTTATTACAGAAGAGCTTCATTGTGCTGAATACAATATCTTTTGTTGAAGTAAGTGATATTAACAAAATGAGCTTGAGCAAGCATGACAGCAAAGATGAAGACTCTGAGAAGAATACATCACATAAAAGTCATAAGACTGTTGATCAGTCAATAAGATCAATGAAAACAATGACTAAGACACTAACTGATCAATCAGAAGAGACATGTGCATTGTCAACATCAGAATCTACATCAGAGTCATCAGCTTCAGACATCTACACTTAATTTCTTTCAGATGATTCAATAACATCATTGACTGAAATAGAGATGCTGAATCAACTTTCATTGACAGTCAATCATTCTGTCACAGAAGCTACAGAGACAGTGAGTGATGTTGTAGTTGAGCTGTCTGAAGATATAACATCTACTACACTTTCTGCTGCTAGCTCTACAGAGGCAGTGAGCACAAATGACAGACAATTAATAGTCAATTGTTCTGTCACAGAGATGATGAGCACTAATGACAGAATTTTGACAGTCAATCATTTTGCCACAGAAGTAGTGAATGACTCAGTCAGAGTGAGCTTGAACAAGCAATCTTTATCTTCTAGATGAAGTGCTAGAATAAAATGCCAAAATGCAGATTGAATTGACAGATGAAAAGCTTATACAGTGATTCTGCAGCAAACAGCACAATTGAATTCATTTTATAGAGACTATTTAACAGCTTTTACAATTATGAATTCTAGACTTTACAGAGAGAATCTTCCAAAGTCTTCAAAACATTATTTTTCAATGTTGCAACATTCACATGCTGGTGGGTTTAAGACCATCATGGATGTGGAAATGGAGAAGCTATGAACAAAGAAATGCTTTGAAGAAGTAGAGAGCTCAGAAGAAATATGTTCAATCTCTTTAATGTGAATTTATATGTACAAATTTAATGTTAACAGTTTTTTGAAATGTTATAAGACAAGGCTTGTTTTTTGCAGAGATCTGAATATCAATAATAAACATGACATCTATGCTACTACACTCACTGTGCAGATATTTCACCTTTTAATGACTATAACAGCTTATTTTGAAATGGAGACCTTTCAGATTGACACTATTAATGCATTTATTAATGCTTCATTTGATAAATCTGTTTATTGCAGACTGGCAGAGAGTTATGATAAGAAAAGAGATGTTTGAAAGATTCTATGTGTCTTATATGATCACTTTAAATCTTCACAACTTTGATACAAAGATCTCACTTCAACACTCCAGAAGCTAAAATTCTGTCAGATTTGTGAAGAATCATGTCTATTCATTGATAAGAATATTATTATCTTCTTTTACATGAATGACATAGTATTTTTATATCACAGAAAGAATGTTGGAACATTTGAGCAGTTATTGAAGAATCTACAGATGCATTACAAGCTTCAAGAGATTGAAGAGCTAGAGTGATTTCTAGATATTCATGTCTTACATAATAGAAATGCTCAGAAGCTTTTGCTGTGTCAGAATAGTTATATTGAGAAGATTGCTAATAAGTTCAATCTTACAGAGTTGAAGTCATCACATACATCAATGATAACTGTGAATATAGCTTCTTATATGGGGGTGCAAGATAAGTAACAAATACATGTCTATCAACAGAAGATTGATTCAGCTCTCTACACTGCTATTATAACACAGTCTGATATTTCATTTGCTACTGCAAAATTAAGTGAGGCTTTGATTAACTCAGAATCAGAACACCATACAGCAATTGAGAGAATTATCTCATATGCTTTTTCAATAAAGTATTATGCTTTTGAATTTCATGCCAAGAAGGAGTTGGATACCCAGAGTAATAATAATATTAACAACATCATGAACACTCATTTAATAATCATCAGTGATTCTTCTTTTGCAGATGATTTGAGCTCTAGATGCTTCTCTCAGAGCTTCATATTTAAGCTCTTTAAAGACTTAATTGATTGGAAATTCTTCAGACAAAAGATCATTACAACATCTTCAATGGAAGCTGAGCTTTTAGTACTATTCTATACAGCAAAAGAGATCATGTGGTGGAAATGCTTATTTAAGAATATTATGTTGAAATTAGAAAGAGATTTTGATATTTTATGTGATAATTTGCAAATGATACAGTTACTGATTTCAGCAGCTTCACAACTAATTATTAAGCTTCATCACATTGATATTCATCACCACTGATTACAGCAAGCAGTTACTAATAAGAAATTGAATATTAGCTGAATTGAAAGCAATAATATGCCTGCAGATGACTTAACAAAGATCTTGTCTAGACAGAAATTTAAAAGATTCATTAAGCAATTGAGACTTGTGAATATTGATTATTTGATAGAGAGAGATTCATCATCTATGCTGCTGCCAAAACTACAGAGACATATTGAGCAGAAGTCAGATGACTTGTTAAATGATCAGATCTCTGAAGAAGAAATCAGAGAACTGTAGATTTGCCATCTTCTCTTCTTGACCACAGTATCAATTTCATTATCTTTGTCTATTGGGCTGGTGGAGGTTTGCTAGGGGTTTTTCATATGTTTTTCCCATAGCCTTGGTTAGCTTTGCTTTTGAAAGAGTGCAAGACCTGCACTCCACCATTAGAGGACCCTGAGGGATATCAGATGACTAAGCAACTCAACTAAAAAGGTGACCACCTTAAAGATCACTCAGCATTAGTCATTGTCTGTCTGTTCTAACACACCTCTTCAGTTCTAGTTCATTACTACTTTAGTGAGCAGAGCTGGAAAGCCACTATACTGCAGTTTTTAAGTGAATCTTCATAACCAGTCAATCTTTTTTCACTAGTCACAGTGTGATTTGAACTCTGGGTGTTGACAAAGCATCAGCCAGGCTCATAACTATCAGACAACTAAGCAACTCAACTAAAAAGGTGACCACCTTAAAGATCACTCAGCATTAGTCATTGTCTGTCTGTTCTAACACCACCCCACATTCGGGTGTAGCGTGGGGCAACTGGCTTGGCAGCACCAATAATAGCACTGGGAGTGAGAGATGCGCATAATGAAAAACCCCTGGAAATTAACTGCTGACTAGCCAACATGGGCACACCAACAAGCAAAAAGAATGAGAATGAAATGCTGGCACCAGCAGACTAGAAACCGTCACATCTGGTCCAATCTTCACAGAATAATACCATCTCACCAAACAAGGCCAACAGCAATCTACTAAATACATACTGCTCACCAAACAGGGTACCTACCGCCAAACGGTCGTTGGAATCAGGCATGGCGGGGAAAGGGTCATTCGAGCCAGTTTGCAGCATTGTATCAAAAAGGTTGAGTCTGGAAAAGCAAAGAGAAAAAGAGAAAGAGAAAGAGGAACTTGCCCACGAGGCCCACCCATCGCCCCCTTTGTTGAAAAATGGGTGGTAACCATTGAATTGCAAATTGCAGGGCCTAGAGAGAGGATCTTTTTGGGACATCATGTCAAGAGGTGGTCGGCACCCGATGCCACCGTAAAGAAATTATACATACGCATGCTCTGCGTTGCAATCGATTCCACATTAAATTTCGCGCTTCCATCAAAGAAAAGAAGTGGGCCTCTGAGCCCTGGGCGGTCTCGAAAATTGATCAAGGGTTATGATCCGCGGTTAGGGCACGTTAAACTCGCTGCCATCAAACCAGCACCGTATTTGTTCATGAAAACTTTGTTATTTAAGCCTGGCCGCTTTCCAACAACCCCAGTTTCTCACAGGGAAATAGATGGTTATTGGAAATCCACTGTAAATCAAGGTACCCAGAGTCTTCCACGGCCTCTGCCAGTACCTCGAAACATGCCACCCCCACGAGGAGCCCCACGGCGACCTGATCCATTTGGTCGATGGAGATGCCCAGCGGATCCGCGATGAGTATTGTTTGTGTTGGGGCCACCCTGTGGCTTAGCAACGCCGACGTTACGGTTGAACGAGTCAGGGTCGATTGGGACAGAGGGCACTTCGACATGTGGTTCTGAGGGTGAAGCAACCTTTCCTCTAGCGACACCATTGGTATGGTTGTTGGAAATTCGAGGGGCAACTGGAGAACTGTGAATGGATTTTCGCCCTTCGTTTCCAGGGGAACTGGGCTTTTTCTGGCCGCGAGGAACGAAAACGAGAACGTCTTCTTCACTTTCATCCTCGTATGACAATAGAGGCTTTGGATCATTATTAGGGTTCTTTTCCTGATATTTGCAATGGTTTTTGAACTCCTTTTCCTCATATATGATAGAAGTACGAAGCTGCGGGACATTCTTGACAGTGATGCCAAACTTCTGGGCCCATGTTTGAGTAGAGCGATCATTTGTAACGAGAATGCAGCCAGACGCTGCAGTATTGGCATCGGGATGGCCGTGAAGTCGCCAAATGATAGCATTAAGGAGCGGTTTAATCTCCTTTGGAACAATAGGATTAACGAAGACTGGCTCGGATCCATCCTCTTCATCAGCTGAGCTACTATCATTCCCTTGGGACCCTTCCAACTGGCGGCTTGTGTATTCAGGACTTGGATGCGAGCTACAGGTCGTTGAAGAGGTAGGAACGCTCAGAGTTCCAGTAGAGTTTGCATAGGTCGTATCAGCGTCTCTTTTGAAGTTTAGTTTGCTGAGGAGCATCTGGGACATCTCGTTGAGATCACTCATGCGCTTCGCGACTTCGACATCCTTCTCGGAAAGTTTTTGTTCCATAGGAGATGGTGGCGAGAGGGGGGCGGGGGTGGGGGCGGAAGGAGCTGAAGTGTTGACCATTTCCTCCTGGAACTCTGGCAAAATGTATTTCTCAACCTCTTCCCAAGTTTCAAACTGCTCCATAGGGCCCTGGAGAACGATCTTGGAGGTAGGGATACTGTGTTTTCCGGAAGTTACACGATCGAGGAAACGAACGGATTCGCGCGCGTTAACACCGATCTGGGAGGAAGCCTTTCTAAGGGAGCGAAGGCGTTCTAGGGCTTTATTCATACTCATTAGTCCTTCTTCAAGAGAGAGAAAACCTCCTTAGAACTGAGTATCTGATCGGTGTCCACATACTGTAAACCGGTACAATCAGGGTGATAGCACCCTGAGAAGTCCATTTTTTAATATCACCGATATTGGCGGCTAAGGCGGTCTCATCCACCACACAGTGAAAGATCTTGCGCCCCACTGACATGGCGAGATAGACGCTAGGTTGTAGAGGCAGATAATTGGAGCTTCGCACAGAGCAGGCGAGATCTTAGAGGAAAATACCACCTATCAAGGAGTTCCGGGAAATGTATGTGCTGTACGTAGTTAGAAAGATGGGAAACCAGGTAAAATATGTGTAACTTAGATGCCAACATGGCAAAGTCTAGGAGTGACTAGAGTGCGATGACAAAATGACTGACGTTCATGCGTCGATGGCAAACTCACAATGATGAATAAAGCCACTGCAGATAATTTTGTTAAGCATTTTTGGATCCGCTATGAGAGAGGAGCTGGCACAGAGCTAGCTGCGGAAACAGAACAGTCAGTAGAAGCACCAATGCCAGGCAGGTCGAGAGAAATGCAGAGCCAGCGCTCTCGACCAAGGTTGCAGGAGATGAAGTCGGTTGGGTTCCAGTGAGTCGATTGCGGCAGCGGTGGGGAGCAGCTGACTAAGCCAAAACGCAAGGTTGCTATCAGACGACTAAGCAACTCGACTAAAAAGGTGACCACCTTAAAGATCATTCAGCATTAGTCATTGTCTGTCTGTTCTAACACACCCCTTCAGTTCTAGTTCATTACTACTTTAGTGAGCAGAGCTGGAAAGCCACTATACTGCAGTTTTTAAGTGAATCTTCATAATCAGTCAATCTTTTTTCACTAGTTGCAGTGTGATTCAAACTCTGGGCATTGATGAAGCACCAGCCAGGCTCATAACTATCAGACAACTAAGCAACTCAACTAAAAAGGTGACCATCTTAAAGATCACTCAGCATTAGTCATTGTCTGTCTGTTCTAACACACCCCTTCAGTTCTAGTTCATTACTACTTTAGTGAGCAGAGCTGGAAAGCCACTATACTGCAGTTTTTAAGTGAACCTTCATAACCAGTCAATCTTTTTTCACTAGTTGCAGTGCAATTCAAACTCTGGGTGTTGATGAAGCGCCAGCTGGGCTCATAACTATCAGACGACTAAGCAACTTGACTAAAAAGGTGACCACCTTAAAGATCATTCAGCATTAGTCATTGTCTGTCTGTTCTAACAGTTGCGGATGGCACGGAGCTGGTTATGATATGGAAGGCAGAGCTACATTATTGAAATTGGCTACAGAAGTATGTATGGAAAACATGTATTTAATGACAGCTGCTCTGGGCAAAAAAAAATCCTCAATATGCTCTCACTCCTTGCGAATCAATCCGCTGTCTGGAGACACCCGCGCAGCCCATTCCCTACTTATCAATTAGCTTGAAGTTGCACTAAGGTCCGCTCCATATATCCAAATGATGGGAAACCTACGACCAACTTCCGTCATACAACCTTCTAGTCTCTGGGTTGCCATATCCAGCCTCATTCAAAGCCAGATCAATCACTGCAGCAGTAACCCCGGATCCGCAAGATGTGATGATCGATCGAGACGGGTCGACGCCCTTTGACTCGAATACTTTGCGTAGCTCCAACTCCGAGAGCAAGGCTTTGGTGTTTGGGTCAAGCAGATCCTGAAAAGGAATGCTAAGGGATCCTGGCATATGGCCCGACGACAACTCTGGTCGAGGCTCTGGGCTTTCCCCGGACCATCGACCCGCAGGACGGGCATCCAAAACTTGAACACCATCCGCACCTTCTTTTCCGTGATCTTGGCCAATCTGTTTCATTTCTTCAAAATAAACTACCATTTCCGGGTGATATGTGTCGACTTGGTACCTAGATCTCTCTTCAGTTGTAATCTCACCCGATTCAGTAGGATAACCTTCGTTGACCCATAGCCAAAAGTTATTCAAAATGCGAACATTAGGATGGCCAAAATATCTTAAGGTCCAGCCAACACGGGGAGCACTCATCAATCCCAGTTCTTCAGTATCATAGACCACAACTTCGTCGTCCCGACGTATTCCCAAAGTTTGCATAGCCTCCGCAAACCTTTCCTTTGTCGGCAGCATATGAGGATATGGCGAATTAGCATCCTTCACATCCTCTAAATCAAAGTAACGCGCTTGCGGGATCCGCTTTTTCTTAAATGATTCGATTCCGGTTCGACGTTCAGGGTCATTGGGCAAAAACCAAGCCGCGCAAAGGGGAATAACTCTAGGGGAAGTCGAGATCTTGGTCCGTACATTCTTTTTCAAGCCATCATTCAATTCTTTGGGTGTAATAAGGTAGGATGAAATCGAGCGGTGTTGGGATCTCGCCTGGGGAAGCGGGTTGATAGCACTGGTAAACCTGAGTCGAGGGAAAACACGTAATGAGAAAGCTGTAGGCTTGAGAGCAATGAAAGCCATTGTTCACGGGGAGAGGGTTTCGTATTGTTTAGTTTATTTGGTTCAGTAGTTCTTACATGACACAAGGACGTTGGTAGGGTACTTGGTATTAACAAAGCACAAGATGTGTGCTCTTCACGAAGGCGCGATCTTGTTTCTCCCCTACAACTTCTTTAACCCAGTCATCAATACATAACAGAGAATCTCCAAGCATGTATGGGATAAGCAACATACACTAAGAGTCACAAGACCAAGCATCATAGACTTTCTAGTCGGATTCAATTGTCCTCCGGAGTTGTCTATTTGTTGTGGGCATCACATCATTACGGAGTACAGAGAAACAAACCTTGGAGTTAGTTAATTAACTAACTAACCAACACTGGTGGAAGTTTCTTTTAAGCACGTGCCGAGAGAGTGACTTGTCGATTGCGTTTTCTCTGAGACGTTGTTGACATATCGGGGAGGATTCGGTGGGGAGGCAATGAAGGTCACGATTAAGCAATGGAATGCTGTAGCAACGTGGCGATGGGACATGCCAGAAGAAGATGTTTGTGGCATCTGTCGTGTCCAATTTGACGGTACCTGTCCGACTTGCAAATATCCTGGGGACGATTGCACACTTTGTGAGTATCTATCTGTATTCCTTGACTGCAGAGGCTGGAGCTCATTATCTACTTTGCTAGTGATTGGAAAATGTGGCCATTCATTCCATATGGTAAGCTGTCGACCATGAATTCCCTGAAAAGGCCGCTTATCGCTTATGCGTCTTAGCACTGCCTCTTAACATGGATTCAACAAGAGTCCTCTAAAGGCCTCTGTCCTATGTGCCGGCAGAGTAAGTTTGATTCTCTCCTCTTGCCATATCATATCGCCCATCCTAACATCTTCTGCAGAGTTTGAATGGAAGCAAGAAGACGAATGATTAAATGACAATTTCATAATACCCTTTTGCCAAATACTATTATTTGTTTTGACCAGATACATATGTCTTGCTCTACACCCATGGATTATACAGGGAGGTTTCTGCAAAAATTGTATTATATAGGCGACAGAAATACCCGGGCAGTAAAAGCAAATACCTGGTCGTCATTCCATAAGAAATGTAGCTATGTTGTGAAGATCCGCTAGGTGTGAAGAACATACTGAAATCAATGGCCATCATTATTGATAACATGGAAATTACTCTGTGCCTTTGAAATCCATAGAATCCTGCCGAAAGAGAGACGGCCAAGCCACTAGGAGACACCTGTGGCGCCTAGTAACTCCCAAAAGGCTAAACAAATAAATCGGTGAGTGATGGACTTCCTGTCGGATTTCCTTACAGCCCATTTAAGTGCTACACATCGCCGGTCATTTCTCAACCATTTTCATCTGGTTGAGCTTTTTCCATACTTTTTTGTCCCTAAAGAGCTGGCCTCTTTTTTGGATGGCCCCTTCCCGCCGGAAGAAGCCGTTTCTTCTCCGGCTCAAGCATTGGTTCTTTCAGCTTCGTTTCTTGGAATCGCCTTTGCGCTTGCGAAACAGTATTGCGCGGCTCCGGCACAACCATTCGCACCCTATCTTTGCTCTCCTACAACTGTTCAACCCATTTCCAACCTGGAAATTCCCTGTCCCAGAACCGGTCCCTCCAATTCATATGCTGGGAAATGCGAAACTGGAGAAACATCGACGAACAGGGCTGGTTCACCTACGTACGATCCCCGTTTGGCGTGCCAGAGACACACCGCTTCGCTCCCTATATCGAATGTACGACGCTATGATTTCTGGGGAATATGCATCGCTGGGCCCTGAGACCGAGTATTTTTGGTATCAGAGATGTTGGGCTTTACACGACATTCCCGATCCAAAGGATCCTGACCCCGTTCGATATGCCATTCTGGCGAGTTTACTTGAAGAACTAGTAGTTGCCTTCAATTGGCGATTAAGCCTAGGTTTGAGACGAGATCGGAAGCACATAATTCGCGTCCGGGACAGCGATCCCTATCCTCCATACGACCCGGTTGTCGCCCCACAGTGGACCAGTACAGTGAAACCCATCATTCCAGCGGATATATTGGGGTTTTCGCAAGACTACGTTAGCGAAGGAAAATTGGTTTTGGAGAAATCAGGACTGGCCGATATCTTCGCCAAACGAAGTATAGTTACAAATGTTGGGTGGCTCTATACCATTTGATGATGATGCCAACATAGCATTACTTCTATTCTCTCCATTTTTCCCCGAAGAGGAACAGCGTATCGCGATTAGAATCCATTGGCCCATGCCAACTGCTAACTCTGCCAAAAGTGGTCTACCTATACAGAGTATATCCATGATAATTACTATGATAATTACGCCCAACCTTACTCATTTGCAAGCAAGAGATATGCACGGAAGCTGGGGTACAGAGTGATACTCCTGGTGGTTCTTGGCACGGCCCAGTTCCACAGATAGTAGTCAAGGCCTAGTGCGGGGTTCTTTCTTCGTCCACCACGTAATATCAGAACGGTTCACCCGGCCAACTTTATAAGCAGTTCAAACGACTGGCACCTCTTCCAATTTCCAGCTTAATCTTTGCCAAAACCATCTCCCAATGCCGTACTCTACCTTTCTCGGTTTTTTATCTGGTCACTCTATTATTTACCCTACTTCTTGAACAGTGACCCCTTTTCGGTTGCCTCCTAAAAACGGAGGCAATGGCCAAGAAGCATGTCTGACCTTGAGGAATACTTAGATGCCGCTGCTTTTGAGAAGGGTATGAAAAACTGGACCCCTTCGGTTTATCCACGATTGACGCCGCTCACATCCTTGCTCAGGCCTCAAGGCGGTTGATGAGGAGCTAAATAAATATGCAATGGTAGTCGCATTCGCTCCCATAAAGTTGATGGCCGCTGGCGGGTTCCTTGCGGTCAATTATCTCAGGAATCGAGGAGCGACAGGAGACATAGATTATCTGCTTGACCCGGAATGGGAAGTAGACGATGATATCAAGATACCCTTGAGGCAAGCAATAGCGACAGTTTCGAGCAAACTCCACTACAATGAACAATGGGCTAATGAGGACATCGCGACATTTATCACCAAGGAGGCAAAAGCGCGGTTGTTTCGTGGCGCAGTAGAACAAAATATTATTCTATTCAAAGGCTCCAACCTTATGGTCCTGGCAGCGCCGATTGAATGGGCTTTAGAACGCAAACTTAGAAGAATCTACGCTGCACAGCGAGACCGGAAAGCGGAGTTTGACATGAGTGATGCGCTGGCTTTGCTCAAGTATATGCGAGATCGAAACGGAGGCCCGCTCGACCGAGGGTATATCAGCACCTTGAACGTGAATAAGTTTGATGTCATGCCTGATGCATCAACAATGGAGCGAATTAGGGCCGCTTACCGTGAAAAGTACGGCGAAAATGTATTCTCATAACGACCGATATGAATGATCTTGTTATCAAGCATTTAGCAAGCAGGGCGGTGGTCAACAAAAACAACGCTATGAGATGTTTATAATAGGAATGGATAGAATAGCAGTTTTCATTTAATATAGCTGGTGACTAGAAAAATATATTGTTTAATCAGTGATCGGTACTCCGTAATTGGTTGTTCCTGAAGTACGGAGTACTCCGTACGGAATATGTAGTTTTATGCAACGGAGGCACCTCCTATTTTGGAATAGCTGGCCCTGGAACTTCGGCGCTCATGCCCAGCTCCGACACCAGCACTACACTTCGTCGAGTGTTTATACCCTTGCCTTCCAGCACCGTACACGATTAGGGAAACATTTATGAGGGCTGCAGCTGGTTATAAGGAAAGCGGATTTCGAGCTCGGCGACGATGAGCCATTCAATGCACCGTACGGCTTCACAGTCCTCCACCTCGAAACCAGCAACAGGGATCGGTAGGCCTTCGGTTCTTAGCCGTGAAGCACCGACCGAGGAATCTACTACTTCTTCAGGACCTAAACAATGCACTAGCAATAAAGATCAGGAGCAGCCTCAGGCGGGTGTTGCTACATCATTCCGACCGTTCTTTGCTCTAGTTGAAGACACGAGCTCATCGAGATTTTATCACCCAACCGTTCGTTATATATTCTCTGACGATGACACCGATGTAATTACTGAAGCAGCTATGCGGTCCTTGAACCAGCAGCAGACGCAGCATGATCCATCAAAAGAAACACGACGCGGAAAGGGAAAGAAACCAGATGTGGAAGAAAATGAGCCGGACCCCTCAACTCTTCATCACCTGTACGCTAGGAAACTCCCTCTACCAACCCCCGGTACAAAGCAGCACTTTATAATTCTCGACATCGAGCCCACAGGGGCTTCTCAAGGCGCCCTCCGCACGGAAAGCCCCCTACCCATAAACCCCTCCTCGGATCCCATTTCGCATCTTAGCTCCCAGCTTCCAACGCCCCTTCAGCACCCCTGCCAACTCCCCTCTGACTATAAAATCACCTCTGCTCACTCTCTCTCGTCCACCTGGCAAGTCTTGAATGCCCAGCTCGCTCCCGCTCCTACGTTTGACTCGCCCCTTAACCCGAACACGACAGCCAAAAATCCAATAGATTCGGATCCATTCCCCGGAAGCGGCCTGATGCTTAGCATTGAGGGTACATCTGGATCATCGGCTACGAAAGCCCTTGGGGGCACACAAGGGCATAATGCCGACGAGGTGGAACGGCAAACACTGGAGGAAATGGTGGAGCTATTCGAAACGCGGATGAGTGAATTGCGGAAAATAGTTGACGCAAGTGAATCTGGGGTGCAGGATCGAGAGGAAGGACCTCCTGGAAAAAATGAAGGCGAATGAAATGGTTTAATCAAAGGTGCATTGGATTAAAATGGCGTTGGACTTAAACTAGCATTTTAGGAGTGGCTGGGCTATTTATGTTGTACATACTTTGCACTCTTGAAACATTTATTAGGATACTCGTAACAATTGGGGAATATGGTGGCTGGTAATTATAATAGTTCTCATTACGCTGGAATCTATACGTCTGCGAAGTTTCTAGGGGAAGAATCGTCAACAAATTCAAAGCCAACTCTAGCCCATCCAGAACAAGCCAATATTTGTCACGTTAAAGGAGTCATAGCCCCCCCCGAGATGTATATAACTTTCACCGGAAGCAATATCACCAATTACTAATTTCCCAAAAGCTAGCACCAAGAAATAAAAACATACCGTTGCCTGTTATCAATGAAGCCCGCTCCTAACCCTCCTGAGCTCACCATTCCCGGATATAGACGGCAAGATATTCTCCCTACCTTCGGAAACCGCACCAGGCCCGATCGTCGTAGCGTTTCTTCTCGTCACCCTTCTCGGGATCATCTTTTTTTCTCCGGTCAAGTTCGCTTTCAGAGCTAGGGTTTCAGAAAGGCGCCTCTTTGCTGGCGGTTGCATGTCTCCATAAAGACCAGTAACGTCGTTGTCGACATCATAATCATCCGCTGAGACGCCAAAATCAGGTATAACGCTGCTGTTCGGGAGACGAGAAATATTAATATCAATCTCCCTTAACCCAGAGGACATGGAAGATGGCTTGTTTGGGGATTCCACCAAACCATCGTTATCATGATAAACTAACCCTTTACATGGAGATGCAGACTGGGAACCCATAGGGGATGTAAACGGTTCAAGATCGACTAGCGTTTGTTTAATAGGGCTCTTCACAGGGCTCTTCACAGGGCTCTTCACAGGGCTTTTCAGTCCCCTCATTTTCCGAACAAGCTTATCGTGAGCCTCTGTTTGGGGAAGCTTAATAGAGAACTGGTAATTGGTTTTTTCTGGGGTATTTCCGGTTGGGATATAATCATCCATTTGTGCCCTTTGGACGTTGTTTTCGAGCTCTGACAGCGGCTCTCTCACTAGTGCCGTAACATTCAAGCCCAGGGCCTTCATGTCTTGATATTCACTTCTGAGCTCAGCAAGGAAGTCTTCTCCACGCGATCCTAACTGCGATAGATGGCCACCTATATCATGGTGCGCGGCACGAATATTCGAGTCAAAGGTTTGGAGTGCACGACAGTTCGAGTCATGATAGTCATTGTTATATGACCTAGCACGAGTCACAAACTCATCAAGGGCCCTCATTTGTGTTCGAATATCTTCTTTTTGCTCGTCAACAATGCGAATCGTCTCCGCATGAACTGCACTAGTACTATCAGCTATAGAAGCATGCCTAGCCGAAAATATCTAAAATTCAATTAGTAACAATTCATAAGTTAAAACCAACTAATCTCCAACATACACTCATATTGTCGATCAGTTTCGATTTCAAATCCTTCTCGGAGGTAACAACGTTGTTCAGAAGCTTGTCCTCATTGTCGGCCCAAGTGTCCATTCCCCGTCCATATGAAGTAGTGGCCTTTTGGAAAGCCGATCGTGATTGCTTGATATCAGTCCTGGCATTATTGATATTATTTCTAAGTCTCAAAGCCTGCTTTTCAGCAGTCGAGCTCAGAAGAGCCTGGATTTGAGACATGAGCTCAGCTCGCTCTCTCTCTGAGTTTCGCTTTTCTTCGTCAAGTAGTGTTTCCAATGTTGCAGACGCTTCTTCGCTCGCGTGCATTGCTTTATGGCTGGCCTTCTCCAATTCTTGACGGATCTCCCGTACGTATTCTTTCTGGGTCTGGAGCTGCTGCACAAGCGATTCAAACATGATAACAAAATCGTCGCTTAGGGTTTTATACATTCCATGAAACTGCAATAGTTAGCATAAATTCATCCCTGTAGCCCTCCTGTTAGCTACCTACCTCTCCCTGAAATTGTTGAAGCTCGTGAATTACTTCCCCGGAAATTCGGGCGGCAGCAGAAGATAACCCATTTAAACCATCGCTAACTTTCTGTTGAATATCATCTCTTAAGTCTTTGATTTCCTCCAAAACATCATTCATCTCATCTCGGTTTTCTGACATTTTCATTTGCGTGACATATTCAATGTTCTTCAAAGAATCGTCTGTGTTTTTGATCAGAGTACGATCTAATTCAACTAATTTTAATTCCTCGGCGATATGGCGCTCTACTCGGGATGAGAGACTCTCAAGACGAGAACTATGTTCCGCCTGAAAAGTAGCCATTCGGCCATCAACAACTCTAGCAATATCTAGAACATGGTTATTTGATGACTCCCACACCTTTTTATTGGAATGATGTAGTTGAGATCGCCGTTCTAATTTTGAGTGCAAGTTGTTCAGATCTGTAGCCGATTTTTCAAGCTGAGAGATCAGGCCAGTGCTAATGTCGCGCAGCTCCAGTTCAGTAGTTTCGTGAGCCTCTCGTAACATCGATTCCTCTTCCAACGTCTGTTGCGTATTTTGTAGAACAATTTCCGTTTTCTCTAGGATATCATGGGTTTCGTCCAACTTTACTCGTGTAGATTCGTTATCTTTTTTCAATGTGTTGAAATTACTTGTCAGACTGAACAATTCTTGAACTTTATTTTTCAGATTTGCCTCCATACTCTCAATCTTAGCTCTCTGCTCTTCCGTTAAAATTCGCCGTGATTCGCTTTCAACGGTCATTTCCTCATATGAGTTTGCAGATAGGTAAACACCATTTCGCAACCTTGTTGCAATTAGCTCACCTTTAAGTTTCTCAATTTCAGCTGTAAACTCGCGCAACAATGTTTTCTTAGACATTGATGAATTTATCTGTGGCTTGTTTCTAATATTTTTAGCTCGAAACGCGTAGTCAAGCGTGGAGATCGTTTCTTCCAGGTTGCTTCTGGAAGGAGATATAGTTGCGATAATACATGTTTTGGTACGACCACCCAATGAGTCTTGCAGCAAACGCGTAAGTTTGGATTCCCTGCGATAGAGGTGGTGTAAGCATATGATAATACGCTAGGGAATCAATAACCAACCTATAGGGAATATGCGGGCTCTTATCTACCAAGGCGTTGATTACTCGGCCCAAAGTAAGCAAGCTCTTGTTGATTAGACCAGCTTCAGCGGCTCTCTTGTTTTCAGCTCCGCTGCGTTGGATATTCTCGCTTCCGGCTAGATCAACGAGGTTTAGCTTTCCACTGCTTACAAGCTCTTCACCTTTGTCAGTAGATCTCTTGATGTATGCAGTAATCGTGAATACAGTATGACTTCGGGAACTGAGATCGTTGCATTTCGTCGCTGCAACCTGTCGACGGTGACTACCCTCCTGGAGAAGCCTGATACCATCCGACGCGGAATGGATGTAAGATTCCCCCATACCCTGCACCATTGTGCCGTGGTTGCCTTTCTTACCTCCATCTTCGTAAATTTTCAATTTGTTGTCCTCTGGAGAGAGCAAATCTCTCAACTCTTCGTTGTATAACTCGATAAAGGAGCATTTAACTGAATTTTCAGTTTCCTCCAATCTTTTGAAGAGTGCATAAAAAACACGAGGGATGATTCCCGCAGCATCAGATAACAGTCCAAGCGTATCAGTCATGTCACCCGACATGGTATATGTTTTTCCGGTTCCAGTTTGCCCGTACGCAAAAATTGTACAGTTGTAGCCTGCCAACATCTACAACATGGGCAATGTCAGAAATATCATTACCATAATCATGTTGTCACATTAAACAAACCTCATTTAACATTGGCACTACCACTTCCTCGAACACAGTAGCTTGATCTGCGGCTGGCGAGAAGACCTTGTCGAAATTGTAGGCCTTGTTCCCCAAGGCATTTGGGCCCATGGATAGCTCAACCATCGTGCTTTTAACCCCTTCGCAAGAAACCACGACGCCACTGTTCTCCTTAACTTCTCTTTCATTTCTTCCCCTGCAACGAACGGCCACATGAATGTTAGTATCTCCAGGAACCTCCTGTTCGAACTCCCGGTCCTTGCGTTTTAACCCGGCGTTGGATAAGGTGCCAGGTGATACGTTGGGGCGCACCGAGCTGGGCGCTGAAAGTCTGGTGAGGTTGGCTGGAGTTCCGGACCGATCATGGATTGCAGATAGCCGTGTCTTCGTAGTCGCACGGAGGGGTGCCCGTTTAAGGGGATCTCGTGTTTTTGCATCCCTCGTGCTTTGGGATCGCGTGGAGCCAGCCATTGGAAGAGTCGAAGGAGTAAAATTCAACCTTCATGTATTGCTCGTGCAATACAAGCTCTAGAAATAGACGCAAAAGAATAACATGGAAGCACTAGTAGGCAATACAGCGCTGCAAGGAATGTCGAAGATTCCGCGGGATTTCAACCAAAACAGCAAAAGGTAAACAATGAACGCAAAGCGACGCGATTGGTGGAATATTACATAATAGAGTTTGTGAGGCTCAGCTTATATCAGCAACTTATCATGTGCTTACTGACGTAACCCCTAACTACCGTCACTTGTGGGCAGCTGCATCTTGTCATCCAGTGTCCCTCCTCATATTCGCCCTGATACAATAGTAATATTTAAATTATTCAACTCCTCTTAAAGCACACCCACGACGGTTGCCTTATAAATCTTGTATCCCCTGCCATGTCCATTTTATCTATGGATGTTTTTCCTGGCCAGGGGCTGGGCTGGTTAAGTACGTTTCTTTTTCGTATCTCCCTCCTACCTACTCGCCTTCAAGCTGCCTGGGAACCTCAGTTCTGCATATAATAAGTTGAATACTGATTTTATATCCTTTTTTTAGCCCTTGGAGCCTCTCTACATAATACGCTAACTCGCCTAAAAGCCGCCCCGCAGTCATATCCAACCATTAACCTTGTGTATAACCCATCAGACCCAATACATAGCCCTATTGAGGTCCGTCTACCTGAAAATGGCATACAGCTGCGATTCGACGGTCTTGACCAAAGGCTCCGCTTGATTGAAGTATTAGATTTTACGAAAACCACATTTCTTTACAAGGGTCGGGAAGTCTTCAAAGGGGGTCATCAAGATGCAGCCGAAAATACTGGCCCCAAATTTAGACATATTTATAATCGGTTGTTTGGACTAACCTTTCCTGGGGAATACATTCCTCCAGAGTCTTCCGAGGAGGTTCATGGTACCTACATTTTGTCATATCCCGGGGTTTCCTTTGCATTTCCACTCATACACTCGCCTCGGCCCGCCGATTACGATTTTGTTAGCAAGATGTTGCCGTCAAATTCGATTTTAGCAGCATCCATGGCCATCTTTCTTGGGGATTCTTGGGCTGATGCAAGATCTAACCTTTTTACCCGCCTGCCAATATACCCTCGGTTAACTGCCTTAACCGGAAAAAATAAGGAGCACCTGGCAGAGGAAGTTGATTTCGTGAATGTACATGGAGGAGGTAGAATCGAAATAATTCGAAAAGGGAGCTTACCTTTTTGGATTACTCTATCCGAGACATCTCCACAAGATTTAATCGCGGAATTAGGGCCACCAGATGCTATCTACCGCAAGAACGACCGCCGAATTCTTATTCATGGTGGAAGAAGTCCCGGCGACTCTACAAATACTGATATTAGCCCTCCGCGTAGCGAAAATCACATGGAACCTCCATACTTGGATCATACACCTGACAACAGTGCTATTGAAGACTCTGATGACTCGACATCCTCCCACGATCATGACAATTCTCTATCTGGGGAGTGCTTCTACAACTACTTTAACCACGGCTTTGATTTGTATATTTCCCATCCAACTACTCCCAGCCCCTCATTTCCAGGGTCAACTACTTCAAAGACGCCTGCAATCATACCATCCTCACATTTAACAGTCACAAAAGTGATCCTACATGGAAATGTCCCTGGCTCTCATACATTTAACCGACATAGGAGAAGTCGATGGGCCCTCCTTATGGATGGAAATATGTTTTTAAATTCAGAGACTCATTATAAGACGATATCACCAAAGCTAAAGGAGATTTGGAAAGGCTTCTACTCAAATACCTCGGAAGAAAATGCCTTCCAAAGAGGAATGGTTCTTAATCGAGGCTGGGGAGATAGCCCTGGCAGCAGCATTGAACTGCTTGGGGGCTGGGAAGAAAATTCAAAGCAGTGCCAGCAGGCTGCTACAGGGGATATTGACTCGCTCGGCAACACAGAGCTATTTGGCTTTCCAGGATTGCTCTTTGAGGTTTTGAAGAATGGCGCGGTTAGTTGTTTAACCGTCTATTGATCCTTATTGGTATTGGATACTGGAGTTCAGGACATAACTATTTCATCTCGTGTATTATTCATTATTCAAGCGAGGTGTTAATTGGCGTGTGGGTTTGTTTGGCTGACTTTCTACGGACTATATCAATATATGGGTGTGTGCAGCTCCTGACATAATATACACAGCTACACCGAAGAATATGAAAGTTGTCGTATGAAATGTGCAACTATTTAAGGTTTTCCGCTATTTTTGAGGATGTAGGTTATTATTGACAGAAATTGGAGCTTTTTGGCTTGCGCAGAAGATTCGGCTCGGATAAATTATAATCCCCTTTCCGCCGTGAAATTTCAAAGCCAATACACGGTACGATGCTTTATTTACGTTAAATGACCGTAAATCTGGTACTATTCTGTATACGCAGTTCCATGTGCGGAGAGTTTTTTCCCATTCGCTCCAAAGTCTCTCGCGGCCGTGATTAATGCAATAGCTGGAGAGAGCATGCCGGACCTGTCTAGATCTCTCGCTCGGTCCTGGTCGTCGACGCTCAAGCTCCCGAAATCTACTTTCCCAGCTCGCATTGCGGCCGCAGAGCAGGCAAAATACCTTCGACGATGCAGCGACGACCTCTATTCCTGGCAGCGTCGCCATCGACCCAATAATCACTCTCAGTTCATATTCCATGATGGACCTCCTTACGCCAATGGCGACCTCCATGTTGGACATGCGCTGAATAAGATTCTCAAAGACATTATATGCCGAGTACAAGTTGCCCAAGGGAAAAGAGTGGAATATATCCCCGGTTGGGATTGTCATGGCTTACCAATTGAATTGAAAGCGTTGAATTCCAGAAAAGAATTAGGCAACAATGCGAGCCCAGCGATGGTCCGGACAGTCGCGCGGCAGTTGGCGGAGGAAACAGTCGCAAAACAAATGCAGGGTTTTCAGGAATGGGGCGTTATGGGCGATTGGGGAATGCATTGGAAAACTATGGATAAGGAGTTTGAGATGCGGCAATTAGAGGTTTTTCTTGATATGATGGATAAAGGATTGATATATCGCAGGTATAAGCCTGTTTACTGGTCACCTTCCACCAGTACAGCGCTGGCAGAAGCCGAATTGGAATATCGGGACGATCACGTATCGCATGCTGCCCTTGTCAAATATCCCCTTGCAGCCATGCCGGCTAAAATAATCGAACACTCTCTAGTAGCTGGAGATGAGATATCTGCAGTTATCTGGACAACGACACCCTGGACTTTACCAGCAAACGCCGCTATCGCCGTTCACAAGGATCTTCGATATGCGATTGTGCAGTCAACAAAGCATGGTAAACTATTGATTGCTGAATCCCGTCGAGAATACGTTGAAGGGTTGCTCGAGGACAAACTAGATGTTCTTGTCACTATTCCAGGTGCTCAGCTGTTATCTAAAACCACATATCGGCCACATTTCAAAGATAAAGGTGCGGGCTTTCAGCCGGTAATTTCAGCCAATTTTGTCACAGATGAATCAGGCTCTGGTTTGGTTCACTGCGCCCCAGGACACGGTATGGAAGATTACGAGGTTTGCCTTAAGCATGGAATTCCCGCATTCGCTCCTGTAGATGGGGAAGGCCGCTTTACTGACGCAGCTGTACCCTCAAATCCCAGCCTGCTAAGTGGCAAGAGTGTTTTGGCTGAGGGTAATAAAACTGTTATAAGTCATTTGGAAGAAAAGGGCTGGCTACTCCGCAAGCATAGATACAGACACAAATACCCCTATGACTGGCGTTCAAAAATGCCAGTTATTATTCGGGCAACAGAACAATGGTTTGCCGACGTTGGTGATATCCGCAAGCAAGCCGTCGGCGCTCTGCAGAATGTTCGCTTTTTTCCCTCGTCTGGCAAGGCTAGATTAGAAGCTTTTGTTAAAAATCGAACCGAGTGGTGTATCTCCAGACAGCGAGCTTGGGGCGTTCCTATTCCTGCCCTTTATCAACGTGAAACTGGCGAGGCCGTACTAACTAGAGAAAGTGTCACTCATATCATGGATGTTATCAAGCAACGTGGTATTGACGCCTGGTGGACGGACGACGAAAATGATATCATGTGGATTCCCCCCTCTCTCCGAGATCCGGCTAGTCTAGGCTTTACAAGAGGAAAGGATACTATGGATGTTTGGTTTGATAGCGGAACCAGTTGGTCGCAGATGAAACAAGAGGGAGGAACTGTGACCCCAAGCGCTGATATTTTTCTGGAAGGAACAGACCAGCACCGCGGATGGTTTCAATCAAGTTTATTAACTTTCGTTGCACATCAGCTCTCCAAAAATCCGAATGGCCCCATTAAAGCACCCTTTAAAACGCTTGTCACTCACGGATTTACTCTCGACCACGCTGGTCGTAAAATGAGTAAGTCGATTGGTAATATAATACACCCACATGAAATTATGAATGGCACTCTTCTCCCCCCTTTAAAGATCAAGAAGCCGAAAGGCGTAAAGGGGAAAATAACAACACCTCTTTATGATGCGCTTGGACCAGATGCCTTGAGGTTATGGGTTGCTGGTAGTGACTATACGAAGGACGTGGTAATCGGGCCACAAATACTTAAAGCCACAAATGGTAGCCTTCACAAATATCGTGTCACTTTTAAACTCATTCTTGGGGCTCTCCAAGACTTTGACCCGAAGTACCAAGTTCCGTATGAGTCCTTACGTGCAACAGATAAAATTGCTTTATCACAGCTACGTTCACTTGTCCTCACTTGTCAAGAAGCATTTAAAAACTTGGAATTCTTTAAGGCAATCACGGCTCTTAATCGATGGGCCAATGCCGATTTCTCTGCATTCTATATTGAATCTATTAAGGACCGCCTATACGCAGATCAAGTCGATGGGCAAAGTCGAAGAGCTGCACAGACCACGCTTTTTCACATCTACACCCATATACAAAGCATTCTAGGGCCTGTCGTCCCACTCTTAGTTGAAGAATCTTGGGAACATACTCCTAAAGCTATTCAATCTTTTATAGAACACCCCCACCATCGTATTACGGCGTCTCCGAGATCAGAATGGGAAAACTCATATTTAGAACGAGGTTATCCCGCTCTGGCTGCTGCGAATTCGGCCGTAAAAATGCTCCAGGAAACTGCTCGAATAAAAAAGGAGATGGGCTCGTCTCTCCAGTCATTCGTTCATCTCGAAGTTCCAGACTCTGCTAGTATATTCCAAGAGCTTGGTACTTTGGAGTTAGCCGATTTCTTGGTGGTCTCTTCTGTTACTACCGGGTGCAAGGGCAATAAACCGCCTGCGGGGATGAACACCGCTGAATGGAGCTATGAAACCGAATTCGAGCTTCCGAACGGCGAAATGGGAAAGGTATGGATATATGCACCTGTTCAGAATAAGTGCGAGAGGTGCTGGAAATATCTTGTGCCCACAGACAAATCTCAAGTAGACTCCCTGTGCCAGCGATGCGAGAGCGTCGTTTCGGACTTAGCTGAGCCTGAAAGTGAAGCTTCTGGCGTTTCACAGACTATAGGGAGCAATTCTGCTTAAGATTCCTGCTTTCGGGATGAAGTATCGATGTTCTCATGTATACTATTTCCACTGTATAATAGCTAGCGACCCGCAAAAACGGGTATAATTCATCTCTTCAACTCGGAGGATAAATATTCACCGCTAACCCCCACCCTTGACAAGAAACAACGGCGATTGATAAGCGTCCGAGATTCGTGGAGTCATCGGGCAAACCTGGGACGTTTTTCGTGCCACCATTGTTTCCCAATCACAAGACGCCCACCACCTCATATGTATGTAACTCACCCAGCCGTCCTACAGGCCGCAAACACCAATCATGCACCCAGCCAAATGGATGAACAAGCATTTGCCATGGATTGCTTCGCTTGCTTTTGATCCCCGTCGCCTCCTCCGTAAGCCAAGCCGCTGGCCATTGGCTCGCGTGTTCCGCCATCAACTACAGAGCTGGTGCTGACTCAGGCCAGCCAACTATTACAAGCCCCTCGAAGGCAACCGTTGCTGTCCTTCGTGCCCGATTGGATAACGCCAGGGGAGTTGGCATACCGATGACGACGCCGGGGATGCTGGCCTGGTTTAACATCTTGTTGTGGGAGGGCGAGCCGCAGCCCGCCGGTTTTCGCCTGCTCTATCCGCCTTAAATACCCTGGGCGCCCGAGCATTGTTCTGCTCCAGATATGCCTACTGCCTCAGTGTTTCTTGACGGTTCCTGGGTTTGGCCGTGATTTGCTTGCTAACTACTCCTTATCAAGAAGATTCGACATACTATGTTCAAGACGCCCGGGATGATGGAAGATCCACATGTCCCGCCCATTGGGCATCCTCCAGTCTTCCAGGAGCTGGGAAATACTGGCCGACGAAGCCTGTGGTACGTTTTGGTCAGCAATGTAAAGAGTTGTTAACTAAGTCGTGGCAGGGTTGTAACTATTCTCATGCTTCTTTCGTCCTTGATTTTCTATATTCTCGGCAGTCGGGTGATAGTGGTAAGAGATACATGTATAGCCCGTCTTGAAGCCCAAGAAACTAACAATCCCTAAGCCAAAGAGACTATTCCATGTTCTGACCTCCATAGTAACGACCATCTCCTTCCTTGCCTACTTTGCCATGGCCACAGGAGAGGGTATTGGGTTTAATGTTGCTACTATTCATCATCGGCATAAGAACGCGCCAGACACTGTCGAAGAAGTTTTTCGTCAGGTTTATTGGGTTCGCTGGCTCAATTGGGGCTTGTCGTTCTCCCTGAGTATTACAAATCTGGCTCTATTGGCAGGCATGAATGGAGCCAGCCTTCTTGTGGCTGTTACAGCAAATATCATTATGTTCGTCAGCGGGCTAATCAGCGTTTTTGGTGGACACGGCGGCACGAGATGGGCGTGGTTTACGATCTCCTTACTCTCATACTTCACCATTGCGTACCACGTTGGATTCCACGGGCGCAAGGCTACCTTGCAAAAGGATAATCAGACGAGGGCCTTTTACTCTTCTATCGCAGGATACTTCCTCGTCCTTCTTCTAATTTATCCAATGTAGGTCCCAGTGTTATTATTCATACCAAACACCCTTTGCTGATGACGTTTAGAGTTTGGGCTGCTTCTTCCAACACTCGCCGTATGAGTGTCGATGCGGAGATAATCGTCTACGCTATTCTTGATGTTTTATCACAAGGGGTGCTCGGATACTGGCTTGTCGTCTCCCACGATAGCATGCAATCCATGTGAGTTGAATGCAGCCCAATACTTTACTACACCTACTTATATTCATGAAGTACCCTAAATATCGACGGTTTCTGGTCTAATGGTATTGGCAATGAAGGCGCCCTTAGAGTGGGCGACAACGAGGCGTAAATACCCTAAGCCCCAACCCCAAAATTATATAGAAAGGACAAAATACCCATACGTGAGTCTGATTTACTGTAAAGTGTGAATGGAAATTCAGGGGGCCAAAGCTCTATTTTAAAAGATCTTTGAACCTCGACTCTGCTATTAGGTCATAGCTAAACATTTTGGGGAAAATACGGACGGCTGAATATAATGCTTTTAATCGTTCAATTTTTATGGATTATATGTCTTCAGGTCTAATACTGTTGTGTTTTTGTAAACTATTTACATGAAATAGCCTTATAAAGGGGTTAAAGATTGGGCCCTTAGTATCATAATATCCGATTGGAAAGGGCTTGCCACGAAATATTAAGTACTAACTACTGGAACTCCAGGTTAAGAAATGAGAAGGTCGCGAAGGTTGCCAAACACCAATTCTCACCACTCAGTAGAATAAACTTGTATATTGTTCTTTTTATCTTGATTTTGACGTCCACCCCCAGGTACGCGCTTTGGTTTTCCCCTTGTTACGTCCTTTGCTACTGCTGCTGGTCTTAACATGTTCCTTCTTTGAGCCCAAATGTATAAGCCGAATTTCTCCAGGCCAAACTTTCTTTGCCCCCTTAGCCTCCCCAATACTGTCCTCCCGGGGCCAAGACACAATGACATGTTCACTCATTTTAACAGGAAGGGCAAACCCAGCGTCTACGCAGTGGTCTTTGAAATCGATACTGCGTAGACGGTGGGGGTTGAACCAAAGGAAGAAAGGATCCGAATCCACCACAAAACCCATAAGCGTTAGTTTCACCACCGGTAGCTTTTCCGACGTAGGACCCAATGCTGCTGCTGCAATCTTTGCTGCTGCGATTGCATGTTTATCTAAATATTCTCCAAACCCGACTCGACGTTGCAGTTCCCCTCGTCCACTCTTCCCGCTATTTAGTAAATATCAGTCAGTTTCAATAGTTCAAATTCAAGCAAAATTAATCATATTTTTCATATCCAGCTCCCTTTGCAGGTCACTACTTACTAATAAAGTCCTCGGACTGCTACTGCAGTACGTGGAAACCAATTCCCTCGAATTTTTGGCCAACTTGCGCAGAAGGTTTGGCGGATGCACGGCTCTAATGCCATTTCTAAATGCAACTCTTCCAAATTCTGGTTGAGCCAAACTGCCTGCCAAATATAGGGCTGATATGACTGAAGCATACCAGTGAGTTTCAGGATGCGCAGGTGACGGAAGTTTGAAAGGGGAGCAAGCTCGACAATCGGCATAATTTCTGGGCGAAACGGATTTTCCTTATGGGAGGACCAGAATAAATCAAGATAAACGTTATCACGCTCCGCATCTAGGTGCCTCCAAGAGCTGCCGCCTCGAAATGACATGATTGGTTTGGCTGAGCCATCTGTGTAGTAGGTATCATCGCGAAACGCCTCCGTGCTATCGATTGTTGTTTGATCAGGAGAAGACTGCAATATGCCTCGGCCACTGCTCCCAATGGATGAAGAGCGAGTTCGTGTAGTTCGTCCAAAGTCAAAAATTCGACAGATTTCTGCGTTGTTAAAGCGAATTGAGAAACGCGGCGTATCATTCATACTGAGACGCCTCTTCTTGAGAATCTTTTGGCGTAACGCGTCAGGAATTGACGCAGAAGTGGCGGTTGACGCAGGTCGACTGGGACGAGGGGTTAAGGATGCTCTAAAAGGGCCTATTTTCAAAAGAAAGACAAAAAGTGAGCAATATCCTGGGCCACCAAATTCAGCTTGACCTTTTCAAACTTGCCTAGGCGCTTCTCCGGGTAGGTCTCCTCCTCATCACTATCCACTGCCATTGAGCACTGGAGAAAAGAAGCCCTGTTTCCATGGCAAGCCATGATTTCTTACCCAGGCTTCAGCTCTAGTCTATATTCCCCCAGTTCCCCCTCCCACAGCCAAACAAGTCACGTACTGGAGATGTGATTAAAGGGAGAATAGAGAGAACAACGTTTGCAATTCTTGGTTTCCATGAGAGAAAAACAATAGTTGCGTTGCTATGGGCGATGTCACCGGGCAAAAGGTTTTAATGAAACTGCACAAATTTAGAGAGAAGATTCTTGTTTTCAGAGCACCTTGAAGAAACAACAGCTTCTTGTTTGGTTGGCTAAAGCCATAGGGGCTATATAAAGCTGTTCATGCTCATACTATCGTTTGGGAAATTGAGCCAATATATTGTCCAGCCATCTGTACAGAAGAGTTATGGGACTTATATTTTCTCGCAATGTTCCAGAAGGCAGGGTTAATATCTTCAGGCCTGGGGGTTTCAGTATCCATTGCATTGTCTGAATAAGAAAGTTGCCATTATTTGTTGGCTGCTTCTACATCAGCAGCTCTTTGTATGTATGTGTAGCACATACATACTGTACATACATACGAAAGGTTTCTCCTGCAAGCCGCACCCCTTGCAGCTACATGCATGCCTTTAGGTATATTCTAAGTTTCAGGTTGAAAACCGGGAGTACTGGTCATAAAATAGTCAGGCCTGAAGCACGTCTAGGACTATGCAAGTACCAAAAGCATATTCCTTGGCGTAACCGGCCATTCAATACTGGGGTTGGGAAACAACGTCAAAGCTATCCGTATTCAAGTCCGATTTTCTATGGCAAATCACCTAGCCTTGAATAATGCGATATTTTATGCTGACAGACCTGGCCGACCTGTAATATTCCACGTTACATTTCACTGGTTATTCCCTTAATGCTTAACGATCGCAATTGATTCAGGTTCAAGGTATTTGCAGGATACCGAAGTTCTCTAATCCGATCAGATGTGTGTTAGGGTGTAGTAGCAGAATTCAAACGTTTTTTTTCGTCAAATGTGCCTTTGAAACAATGATTCACGCCCTTTTATTTATAAGGGTAGAAAGACAGCTTTCTAGTGACCGATAGGCAATTAGCTTAGAGGACGATCTCAAGTTTAAAAAAGATCGTATACTTCATTTAGTCTCAAATTGGAATCATTTCTCATTTGCATAGACTCCTTTCAACCTAGCTAGAAGAACATGGCAGAAACAAGAGACAGAATTAGAATAGAAATTTTTAGTATCGCTTTCCTTCCCGGAGGACATCGCCAAATTCTTCGAGAGGACTTCTCATCAGTTTCGTGTCCTTCCACAAGTTAGGTGTCAGGAAACCATATGTGTTGGCGACAGCGACGAAGGTAGCCTTCAGTGTGTTCTCTAAAGTCTTAGTAGAGCCGGAGGAGGATGTATAAATGTCCTGGACACCAGCCAATTGAAGCAGGCGCTTGACGGCAGGGGAGGCAACGAGACCTGTACCGCGAGGAGCAGGAATCAACTAGGATAGTGTGTTAGCATTCAAATCCCTGATATCCAGAGTGGATTGAAACATACCCGAACTGTGACTGAACCGCACTTTCCACTCTCCTTGGTCGGCAGTGAGTGTGGCTCACCGAGGTTGGTGCCCCAGTAACCTCTGCGGACGGGAAGAACGCTAAGTTTGGCGATGATGATGGCGGCGCGAATGGCAGTAGCAACTTCTTTGGATGTCTTGATACCGAGGCCAACGTGGCCTTCCGAGTCACCAATGACAACGATAGCCTTGAAACGGGTGCGCTGACCAGCGCGGGTTTGTTTCTGGACAGGTTTGATCTAGATGGAGTAATCACGAATTAGCACGGTTTAGGGCAAGCTTTTTGTATCTTATTATCCCAACTCTTTTAAACCGCCTAATTCGCATCCAGATTGCTCCTATCAAACGTTATGGACCAGGAATTGGTGTATATACCTTCATAACCTCATCCTTCAACTTGGGCAAGAAGAAGTCAACAATCTGATATTCCTTGATGGGCAAGCTGTGCAGGTAGATCTGTTCCATGCTGGTGATCTTCCCGGCCTTAACGAGGCGGCCGAGTTTAGTAACTGGCTGCCATTCTTTCTCCTCGCTCTTGGGTCCACGACGTCCTCGGCGGCCACGACCACGTCCACGATCACCGCGCGAACCGAATCCGCCTCGGGCACCTCCACGGGGAGCGTCAGCCATGTTCGATTGCCGGAGTTGAATAATGGGAGAGGGACAGGGAGATCAAAAGGCGAGCTGTGGTCGAAGAATTGGCTGATTTAGAGCTTGTCGTCGTTTCGATCACATTGAAAATTGCCTGCTTCGTCTCCGCTGCCCAGTGGTGGTCCATTATGTAATCATGGGGCTAAGCGAGTGACTGGGAAACCCTATTCCAGCCCCAAGCCCTAATCAGTCCAAATCAGGCTGACGCAGTGGCGATATGTCGTTGGTGAGGTGTCGATAACGTGACCAGCTTGGCACAGGAACTAGTTATCAATTAGGAGTACTTCTGTACGAAGAACGCGGTATTGTTGCAAACGAAGGTTACCCCTTCACAGGGCATTATCTTCTCCTCCCCGGCTCTCCTAAGCCATGGCCAATTGATCTTGTTTAAAGGAAATACATCTACTGCTAGATACATTTTGAAACGTATATTGCAAAAAAATGTTACGTTGGTGAGGTTCTTTCGGCAGTTGAAGCTCGGACAGATGGCTAACTCCCCTTCCATATCATAGGTACCAAGCTCGATTGGCCAGGCATCCATTGCTGACTCAAAGTATTGGAAGCGCAGTACGTCCGTTCCCGGAAATACCATTTTTGGTCACGATTGACAATGAACTTGATCCTGTTTAGGTACTCTTTGGAGCCGGAGATGTCCTGGCTCAGCAGCTTGTTGACCGGGTAGGAATCGAAAATCACAACTATGTTCGGACTGGGCGAATGGTGTTTTACGGTGGTGGTTGGTGATTATTACCCACATAATTAATCACAGAGACTGACAGCTATCCGGGTAGTTATTTTCGGGCCTGCGGCCGTCACCTGGTACAAATTTCTTTCACGGAATGTAGCTCTCAAAAGCCGAACACTTACATTGGTTGCCAGAGTGTGCAGCGACCAGCTCCTGTTCACTCCCACACACCTCTTTATGTTTCTGTCGTCAATGTCTGTGATGGAAGGCAATGACCCTGTTGAAAAGCTTCGAACTAGCTTCTTACCAGCATACAAAGCCAATGTTATGCTTTGGCCATGGGTGCAAGCCGCAAACTTTTCCATTGTGCCACTAGAACATCGAGTACTAGTCGTCAATATTGTGAGCTTGGGTGAGTCGAGATGTAAAGCTGTCTGTGTATGCAACAGTACTAACCTGTTGGTAGGATGGAATTGTATACTCAGTCTTATAAATAATAAGAAACAGCCACAGGTTCTTTAAATGTTTTTGGGATTTGAAAGACTCATCTATAGGCAGGGATTGTTGGTTTAGGGGGCTTAGGATGTTTTATACCCCAGATATAGACTACTGATTTCATAGTACACACCAAAATGCTACAGAGATACATAAATATAGAATACCCCTTCATGGAACTTCTACTCTCTTAGATGTCATTGGGCCGTGTAGTTTTTTGTCTGTTGTTTTTTCTGGTCTTCTGCGTACTTCGTATAGTATACGGAGTACTTATTGCCATTATATAATCAAGCCCCTTAACTAGAAGTAACAGGTAGTCACAAGCAAACATGACAAACATGAGCTCCAGGCCGTCACAGAAAAAATCATCGCATTGAACATCGAGTTTACATTTAAAACCAAAGCAACGCTGCTAATACCGCTCTTGTTCTGCCTGGAGCAGAGAATTTATCGCTAACTTTGTCCCTCATAACACCTTTCGTCCAGTGCCTTAACCTCTACAGAAGGCTGGCATTTCCCCCTGCGCCTTCCCACCTCGAAGCAACGCCATCCGCGCTCTCAGCAACCCAACCTCGATTCAGTCCTCCAACCTTCCCCCCCCGCCAACCGTCACGCACTCCTTTCACTCGCGCGTCAAACCCCCGTTTTGTTCCATTCAGCGACTCGAGAACCCTAAAACGCATATAATAGCTCACTCGCTAAATACCACCATGGCCGCCGCAGTCGCCGAAAGCGTCGTTCTTCCTGTCACAGACGAGAACGCTCCTCCAAATGGCATGGAACCTGAAGTTAAGAATACTGAAGAAGTCACAGTTTTTCACGACCCAAATAACTTTAATGTAAAACATCCACTGATGCACGAGTGGACCCTTTGGTTTACGAAACCTCCGATTGGCAAGGTATGATTGATCCCACCTGGTTGACTTTTTTATTTTTCGAATTATAGCGCTTATATGTTCCTGGGTTGATAATAGGGCGATAACTGGAACGATTTACTCAAAGAAGTCGTTACTTTCAACTCCGTTGAAGAGTTCTGGGGTATTTATGTAGGTAGTCGAATCTTCCATGGCCTTTTTCTCGGCTGACCTACTGAACCAGAACAACATCACACCAACGTCTGAACTTGGTCTAAAAGCCGATTATCACTTATTCAAAAAAGGTGTTCGACCAGAGTGGGAGGATCAGCAGAATAAGCATGGCGGTAAATGGTCTTTCCAGTTCAGAGATAAGCGCAGTGTTCCCATCGATGAGCTTTGGCTTCACTCTCAGCTTGCTGCAATTGGTGAGACACTCGAGAGCGACGGTGATAATGAAGTAATGGGCGTTGTTGTGAATGTTCGTAAAGGCTTCTACCGTATCGGCCTCTGGACCAGAACTGTCGGCAAAAGCATTCCTGGCTCAGATGGGCGCTCTGCCGAGAAGGGGCGTGCAACGCTAGAAGCGATTGGCCGAAGATTTAAAGAAGTTTTGAGATTGAAAGATACGGATCAACTTGAATTCTCCGGCCATACTGACAGTGCCACTTCTGGAAGCACTAGAGCAAAGGCCAAATTTGTGGTTTAACGAAGCAAAGAATTGTTGACTAATATCCAATAAAGAGCCCCGGCAAATGAACGGAAAACGGGTTCATTTCCGGGGAGGGTTAGAAGGGCTCTTTTTTTCATCAATGGCCGCGTGATATATACGGGGCAAATTGCTGAAGGATGACTTATGCTATTGATTTAATGATATGAAATACTGGGGCATTGTTCATAGTACTATCGGCGCTGTGGATATGCTCTCTTGGCAACACTCAGCGATTTCGATGCTCATGGTTTTTATTTTATTCCTCCGTGCCGAAAGCGTATATGCCACTACGCCATTCAAGATAATTGCAAGTAGATTATCGATCTAGTTTCTAAACTGCCATAGCCCACTGTCTACTTTGGGTCTTTTAATTTTCCAATCTTTGGAATCTTCAGTTTTGCGTAGGCTGACCACAATCGAGATAATCTACATATCTCCGAAAATTTCCTTTACCAGCACTTTCTTGTTGACCTTCCCCATGGCATTTCTCGGTAAGCCCTTCTGCAGAACACGCATTTCCTGTGGAATTTTATATGCAGCTAATTTATCCTTCAATGCACGACGCATGTCTAGAGCACTGAATTTTTTACTTTTTGCACCATCATCTTGCTGGCCATGAGAAGAATAGGAGGAATCAAGAACCAAAACGGCAGCAACCTTCTGGCCCCATTGCTCGGACGGTAGGCCTACGACGGCGGCTTCTGCCACTTGAGGTCTTTACGATGGCCATTAGTATATGAAAACAAGGGGATTTAGGAGACTTACAGAGAAAGGAGTTCCCTCTCCACTTCCAAAGCACTTACTTTCTCTCCTCCAGTCTTGATGATATCCACGCTCTTCCTACCCTGAATGAAGTACATTGGACCACGAGCCCAAGCCTGTGAGCTCTTCCCAGATCCGAATACATCACGCCTAATGGCAACATCACCAGTTTTGAACCATTTCCCCTTGTTATCAAGATCTAGAACAAATTCTTCACTGGTAGCTTTCTCATTGCGCCAATACCCGCTAAATATAGTTGGACCGCGCAATTGGATTTCACCTACCCTTTCACGGCCACTTTTGTCGATTTCATCCCCGAGTTGTATAACTTCATTGGAATCGGTGTCCACGAGACGAGTTTCTACGGAGGGTAGCGGCCACCCCACACTTCCATCTACACGATCTGCGAAAGCTAAACCGCAACTGAGTGCCATGCCGACTTCTGTCATTCCATATCGTTCGAGCAAGATATTCCCATTGCTCAACTTTGTCCAGGCAGATTTTGTGGGTGTGGGCAGGGCTGCCGAGCCGGAGATGTTTAACCGAAGATTGTTAGGTGAAATGGCAACTTTCGCTGCTTCTTGGATCTCGAGTGAAAGAGAGCCATGGGTAGAAAGAAGTCGATTGTAAATGGTTGGCACAGCGGTAAAAAATGTCACGGGCTGGCTTGCATGAACACCCACCTGGGATGAGAGGAAAGGTGCGGCAAATCGGCCCCATACGGCGGTGGGGTTGAAAGGGAACATGAATTCGATTGATGAGCCGGCAAGGAGTGGCGCAAGAATTGCATTGACTGTACCGTGAATGTGGTGTAGGGGTAGCAGATGAAGCAATCGGTCTCTCGGGGAGTATTTCCATGCCTCCACCAAAGACCGCGCTTGCGCTGTCAGGGCTGAGTGAGGTAACAGCACTCCTTTCTATAAGATAATTAGACCAGAATAGGGCAGAGGGAAGCGCCATCATACCGGCCTGCTAGTTGTGCCAGAAGTATAGAGCATCAGCCCCCCCTGTAGAGCTTCATTTTTATATTTGCACTCTATAGAAGAATTCCCACTGGGGTTGATCTTTTTGATGACCTTCACAACGGGACGTTTCTCCAACCCACTTTCAGCAACCTGCTGTGCCTTTGATGCGTATTTCTCGGTGGCGAGTAGTATAGCAGCTTCAGAGTTATCCAGGATATATCTCAATTCACCATTAGGAAATGCAGGAGAGAGAGGGAGAGCAATGGCATCCGAGGCAAGAATAGAGAGCAGTGTCACTGCTCAGGAAGAGGGTTGAGTGTCAGATGTTTAGCTCATTCATAGACATTTCAAGGAAGCAGTACCCACGTAGTCATAGCTATTATCCGCGAGGAATGCCACCGGGCGTCCCTGCACCTTCGAATCTCGCCCTGTACTAAGAGTTAGGTTCTCCTGTGCCTGTAGGGTATCGTCAACTAGGTTTCCATAGCTGAAAGACCGCCCTGAAACGCTGTGGATTATCGCCGGGGATTTGGGGTCGTGAGAGGCGAGAGCCCGGAATAGAGGAAGGTCAGGGAAGGTGGAGAGTTGTCGTTTGAAGTGATCTTGGGAGGTCTGAGGAGATGCGCAAGAAATCGGCTTTAATCGTAAATAACGACAACACCTCGACAGATTATAGGAGAAGGAGTTGCTAAACATCATTGGTTTAAAGAGAGCCTAACAAGCCATGCCGGATCCTCGGGTGTACTCTATGTATGTATGTATGTATGTATGTACTTCGTATGTAGAAATGTTGTCAGAACAGAAAACCCCAAGATTGTTCTAGATTTTGAGATTTCATTCACAACATGACCGACCCATATGTACCTAAGATATTCTCTCAATTATTGTACACAACCAGATGTTCCGCCCTCTATCGTTGCTCCGCCTGCACCGCATGCTAATCTTTCGCTCTGCCTCCACCATGTCATCACTGCCCGAAGCCTCTTCCGCCGCGGCTTCGACGACACCTATGGCAGATACCATTCGCGCAAAGGCACGTACATTCTTCTAACTACGAATACATATACATCATGTACAACCTAGATGTTTTAAGTGATAACCGTTTATTACTGTAGATTGAATCTGCTCTCTCTCCAACCTCTCTCACGGTATGCAACGACTCCCATTTACACGCTCACCATGCACCCATGCGTGGAGTCAGTTCAAAAGAGACACACTTCCGGTATCATCCCACAAGATTTCGTTACGATAGCTGCACTACCTTAACACTACTTCGTGATAGCCTGACTATAATATCCTCGGCGTTTGCGTCCAAATCTCAGCCCGCACGGCATCGTATGATATACGAACTCTTAAGTGACGAATTGGCACAAGAAGGAGGGATACACGCATTACAGTTAAAAACTAAAACTCCAGAAGAGATGGAGAGAGAGAGATTGAAAAATTCACAATGAAAGTATGTAGAGTGTTATGTATCATCAAGTGGCAAGTGTCGCTTGAGAAGACTGCCAGACGACTCCAGCCACGAAGGCAAAGAGCATAAATGATATAGTGGGCATCTAGTGCGGAGGTATCATTGATATTTGCAGATATAAGCAGCATGATTCTGCTCCATATCTATGTACATAATATCTACATACCTACACATGGACACTAACAGGTATTAACTGATCGTACTTTTAATACATCTTTTTTTGAAACAAATATACACTAATTTATTTATTATATTAAGTAGTATTACTTTATATATTTTACATAATGTAGAATCTAAATACGTTAAATCTTTTAATTTTGAACATTTTTATAAAGAATATTCTAAGTTAACGGCGATCTACATAATACTGCAACCCACGATCCATAACTGACATCCATAGTGGATATCGAGGATAGCTTGAAATAGGGGGCCTTATAGAAGCTGGACTATGGCTGTTCTGAGAAAACGTGGCTCGAATATTTACACATGATAGACAGAGCATGTCTTCTGCGACCTGGTATCAGAAGATCACAAGATTGTTTTCAGGATTAGCAAAAATAGTGAATCATGACCTAAGTTTCCCTTCAGGATGACAACCATGGCCCTTCAATTGTGGACAGTCGTCCTGCATCTGTAGGTATAACAGATAGAGACAGGTACACGAAATATTGATGGTATTGACGATAACTAATCAACATATTGTTTTACTTGTGCCATAGGAGTCTGTATAAATCGATCAATTCATATTTAATGGGTACACTTTAAGTATGAAGAATCACAATCCCACCATACAGTAAAAAAGAAGCCGATTTTGATACAGTTGAGAACTTAGTAGAGGGAGGCAATGAAAATATACTGATATGCAGGCAAGTAACCAAAATTAAAAGGTAATTAACAAGTACAGAAAACCCAACAAAGAGAATAGATGGGGAGGTGGCTAGTAACACAGGAGTAGATGCAATCGAAAGGGAAAGGAATGACCGCAATGATCTGAACAGGCCGTTCCCAGCTCGGAGTGTTCAATGAGGTTGTACAACAAAGGAATTGACGCGGTATTAAAGTCTATTTCAAGGATGGTATTGGTAAAAAGAGAATGGGTTGGCGGCGGAGAGAACAGATGACTGTCCAAGGGACATAGTGCGAGTCAAAAATCCCAACATCCAGGAAGAGATCCTCCAAATGCACAGAAACTCGTAGCTTTAAGCAAATATATTGTTCAAATAGCGCAAAAAACGAAGGACTACGCACATAGTGATATGACCGGCCGTTGTCTCTTATTTAGGAGCCGGGGCGGTATTTCTGGTAACGAGAACGGCGACAACGACAACAACCACGATGATAATGATAATGAGGACTATTGTGTGAAATTAGTCAAAAATAAAGCAAATCCTTGGGACGTCAAGAGTCTTACTGCAAATGAGAAGGCACCACCACTTCTTCCGATTACGAGCTCTAGCCTTCTCGATAGCTCCGCCAATCTCCTCATTGGCTTTGTTTACGTTGGTGAGAACCTCTTCGCCTGCTTCATCAATTTGCGTAACAGCCGCCTCTTGCTGGACAACTAAGGCATCGAGGTCCTGGAACATTTGTGCCAATTCGACAAAATCTCTTTCAATCTTTTGGATCTCCTCGTGCCTAGCCCGCACCATTTGAGACACCTTTTGTGCATCACCGCGTCTGTCACTTTGAATCAACTAGCAAAAGAATTAATAAATTTCAAAAACTTGGCGGGGGGTAGCATACAGCCTGGCTAAAGATTTGCTGGTTTGAGGTGTCTCGGACAGCTTCTTGAACCTCGGCTTCCGTGGCATCAGGTCTCACTATCCTGTACTGTCTTGCCATTTGGGCTTCGGATTCTTTTCTGAACGAGACCTGGGCTTGTTGGTATTGTTCAACGGCAGCTTTCAGTCGTCGCTCCACTTTTCCGATCTGAGGGGCGTTGCGGGGACTTCCAGCATCAGGCAGCCGTTTGATGGTCTTCATCCGCTCAATGAGGTTGCGGTAAAGGCCTTTGGTCTGAGTAGCCAACTCATCCGCCTCTGCTCGAATGGCATTTTCGCGAACTGGATCCACATCACTAAGTAGCCGTTTGTGTAGCGTATCAATTTGTGCGATGTAGCTTTCGACAGTGTTGACACCGCCATCTATGTCGCGGCATTGGTTCAAAATCGCATTAGGATCCGGGGCGTTATATTGACTATACCCGGGGTTGGCGGGCATAGGGTTCATCTCTATGGGTCTATCAGCACATTGGAAGGGTGACATTCCGCCTGGTAGAATCTAGGGGACATACCGTAATTTGATCGATTTTCATACCCCCCTTGGTTATATGTATCTTGACGCGCTGAGTACGGATCATACTGACCGTAGCCATAACCTTCATTATTGTAACCCGGCCGCTAAACGAAAATGTTAGCCTTGAATAGAACAAACAGCCTGTATAATAGCATGCATGATAAAATAAGGGAGAGATGAAAGCATGGAAGTATCATTGTTATCCGGCTCTCAGAGGGCTTCACGTACACTCATTATGCGGAGGAGGAATCTGGCGAGGTAAAAAGGAGATCTAAAGGAAGTAGAGGGAGCGGATCCAAAGACGCAATTGTATATGGTCGAGAAGTAGCGGAAAACTTTTCAAGATACGGCAGATCCACCAGTAGGGGGCAAGAGAAATAGCGAGTGGAGTCGGTCACGAAGCGCGCGAGCAAGAGAGGAAGAAAGAATAGAATTGTACCAAACAAACAAGTGTCGTCCGTATTTGTGACAGCGCCGGAAGGAGATTGCCAAAGAAAAGAAAAGGGAGGCCTAGAGTAGATAGATGGCGATGCAGAGGGCGCCGGCGATGAAGTGCGGTGGGCGGTTCGGGGAGTGAATAATAGGCGGGAAGCTCAGGCGGAAAAGGAGAGGCTCAAAGTTACTAGCCCAAACCCGAAGCGTTCGTGACGCCGCCAACTCCAGTGCAAAATTACGCCAATACCGCGGCCGTACCTGACTAATTCAGATTAGTCGCCAAGACTGACGTCGAAATGGGCCCGGTGGTGCCGGATTCGAGTAGCCGCTAGCCGGGACTGGACTAGCGGCACGTTAGAAATCCGACGCATAGGGCAGTGCAGCTTATGTAAGATCCGCGGTCGGCGGTATCAGAACAGCATCGTCAGACACACCAGGCGCCAGCTTTTCTTGAAGCGTCTCAATTGTGCTCGCGATCTGTCTCCGCAGTCACCGCCTGGCTTTCCTCCCATGCGCATGCAAACTGGGACTCGATTTGATACTCCCTCTGTGGGTGGCTCACAGTGGGGTAGGATTTTCGACAAGCACCATGGGAACATGATTATCCGTTGACCCAGAACCACACCTCAATAAGCGCCCCAGACCCCCAGCTCTCAATTATCAAAATTTTTTGGTTTAGCTAAAAGAAGTTGCAAATATAGTTCTCTACTCCGTACTCGCCTCCTGCGTCGCGAATTCTGACAGCCGACCCTCCACGGGCCACACGCACGAGCCATACAAAGTACTCCGCACAACGTGCTTCCTCACAAGGCTGTGCAAGCTGTGTGCAGTGCCACCCTGGCCTATTAATAAACTCCGAGAACATTCAACTTTATGCATGCCTTGTGGGCCAATAATAAATAGCCTTTGAGAAGCCGATCTTCTGGACAGCAGTACAGTACGGAGTAATGGAAATATTTTGCGCTTTGGCACACCTATGCTCTGCATAGGGCGTGTGAAACTACTGAACAACAGCATTTGAAGTAGGATGTGTTTTCATAAGTGCTATAGCGTTTCATACCTGCTGCGCGTGTAGCTTTAGCAGGTGTTCATTCTGTTGTCGAAGACTTCACAACTTTGAACCACACTGACAGCTCCACTGTCGTCCCGCATGGCTAAAATATACATACGTCTACTGTTGGGCTAATCTATGTACATACATGGCTCCGTACCTCCGGAGCACATATGCCCAATATCCATCCCAGCTTAATGACTGTCTTTGCCTTTCCCGCTCATACTCCGCCTTCCAATTTGCCATTCGCAGTGACGTAAAACGGTTCACCGACATTCTTCCGATTCAACCTTGATAGTTAGCAATAGACAGATCATCAAGTATTGTAGTATCGTCCAACTTCGAATGGCTCGGTTTCTGCATGGTCAGATAATACATGGAAGAGCAAAGCAACATAAGAAAAAAGGATTGGAAGAAGAAAAAAAAATAAAATAACATGCATGAACCTGATATGTCCGAGAACCCTGGCTCAAAGTCTCAAGCAGGAACCCGAATCTACCCGTTCCAGAAGCACCGACGCATACGACGTAAATGGATGCATTGGCACTTTTCCGGCGCAGAAGCAACGCTATCCCGTAATTCGAATACTAGCAAACCTCCTACTTATCTCGATTATAAGCATTGGTCAAGGCAAACTAGGTGAAGGATGGCCTTTCTTGGCTGTGGGACTACCCGCATAGTTATTAATCAGTCCGGCGGGGGCATCCTACGCTTTAACAGCAAACAGGTGAAGCAATGATAAAATCCTAACTCTTGTTTCCTTGCATCCTTCATACGGCAGGCAGGGCCTTGTTTCCTGCTCCTCTGTGACACTCATCCCCACGATACCACCCACAACACATTTCGTAGAAGCCTCGCTCCTCGTCTAACACCTCAGGATGCATATAGGCCATCTTAAGTTCAATCCGCTCGCACCAAAACCTGGACACCCCTACTTTCGCCTTGCGGAGCCGGAACAAATAAATCGGCCTTCATCTCCACGTCTTTTAATGTAGTCTTAAATAGTTGAAAACGACCACCAAATACCCGCATAACAGCGGCAAGTGACATGTACATCTCTGCATATGCAAGGCTGTAGAAAAGAGCGTACGTTAGTAAATCCCTGCGGAATATGACTTCATTGTGTAGGAAAGGAATAAAAAGGAATAGTAGTAAAACAAATAAAGAAATAAAAGTTCATACTTAATGCCCAAGCATTGCCGTGTTCCTTTCGAGAATGCCATGATAAACGGATCTAGATGCCGATGGCGTTTGCCCTCATGATCAAGCCACCTCTCGGGAATGAATCTTTTTGGTTCAGGGAAGATGTCCGTATTATTGTGGATTAAGTAACATGTCATGCCTACTGGCGTACCAGCTGGAATCTCATATTCGACACACCCTGCCTTGCTACTGGGTTCTAGGCTTGATTTAAATATCAGCGGCTGGTCCGGCGAGATTCTCTGTGAGCGGGTCGAAACACCGTATGATAAACGCAATGATTCCATAACCACTGCGCTGTGCAAATATTCTAATCAGCACCATTTTCCAATGAAAGAGCCCAGGGTAGACTTATCAGATACGGAAGGTTCTCCAAAACGGCCAAAGAAGGAAGTTTGGCTGGGTCTGGAATGGCGTCCTCAAGCTCTTGACGAAGTTTGGCCAGGACCTCCGGATTGCTTAAAAGGTAAAAGGTTCCAACGGATAATGCTGCATTTGGGCGTCATAAATTTTGATCTAGGTAGCTTAGCCAAAGAGAAAACATACCCCATGCTGTAGTTTCAGTTCCGGCACCCACGATGACTATACCCTCTTGAAACAGTCGATCCTGTGTCTTCTCTTCTGGTGGGAGGCGACTGGTAAGAAGAGCATGAAATATCGTCTTACCGCCTTGTTCATGCCCTTTATTGCTGCCGTCTAGGATATGTCGAACTTGAATTGCAATATCCTATTTCATTTGCGGTCGTATCAGTACAAACCTTAGATTCATCATAAAAACAAAATAATCTTGTGTACTTTTTGAAATTTCATGAACTCTGCCATCCCCTGGTGAAACCGTGCAAGTAATGGCCTTTGGCAGTGAGTTATGTGCGGCACGAAAGTTAGGTTTGTGAAATAACGTACACTGGAATAAACTCCAGGGCAGATCGAGCCCAACCGAAGTGCTTGAAATGTACGCCCATTTTAGTGATACTTAGTATTGCTGGTCGAAAAGTTCTTTCAAAGTCTGGATTCTCGAACGAAACGAAGTTTGGGCCACGCCCAAAAGCATAATCAATCGCTACATCACTAGTTATGCAGCTATAAGCATTCGATAAATTGACGGGTTTGCCAGAGTCTGTATGTTTGTCCAACAAGTCGCAGAAGAATAAAATTTTCTGGGAAAGGGTAGGTTCTAGTTGTCTAATCGAGAACTTGGAGAAAAATTGATTAAGAGCCGAGCGACGAACACGGTGTAGATCGTGTTTCGAGGTGCCAAAAGCGCTCTATATCGTTGAATATCAGCAGTTATTTACCATACTAATGTCATTGGATTGGCACCTTACATTGGGTTGGCTAAGATTAAGATGTTAGTATTTAGGACAGCCTCCACGGGGTAAAACACGTACCCAAATTGACCTGAATAGTACTCATATTTATCCCTACGAGCTCCAGGGCCCGTATAGAGAACATCAAGAAACTTTGGATCGTTAACATGGAGCTCGTAAGGGCTGATGCGAACAATTGGCCCTGTTCAAGATCTGTGTTAAACCTCGAACGACTATCAAGCGGAATCGCTAGAATCTACCATATTTCTGATGCATGCGCTCGATCTCGAAGGTGTATTGTCCAGTTTTAATGCCGTCGTAGTAATATTCATACCACAGGGTCAGTGCTGCGAGTTTCGGCCCCGGGAACTTGGCCAGTGGATGGAAATATAGACGATAAACGGAGAGCGTAAAAACATAGGAGAGTAGTAAGAAAAATAATGTTATCCAGGCATTTTGGAAAATGAAAGTAAAGTGGGAAATGTGAGCGAAAAAAGCCATTTTTATGAATGATTAGGGAATTTGGCCAAGTTGTAAAAAGAATCGAACACCGCTGTGCAACGGCAGGGGAAGACGCGTCCTAAGTAGTCGACAACCTCCTCATGACCTTTGGCAGCTAAGAGATAATGAGGTAGCGGGCTAAGTTCAGCTCACCAGTAAGAAGTGCAGGAAAGAAGAGCTTACCTTGCATCAAGTCTGGCTGCTGTCTGGAAAAATATCTGTCGCCTATTCGGCAAAGTATTTTGTTCTCGGGATTTTCCTGAAGGTTCCATGCAAAGCCGGGTTTAGGGCATCCCGGGATGCCAACACAGCGTGGCAAGGGGGGCATGAGGTGCATAGACAGGTTAAAACGCAGCGCACTGTCCGCAGGCGGCAAACTAGAAGTCCTTGATGACATCAAGGGCGTGACACGAGCGTTCAGTTTATTAAACGCTAACCAAAACAAAGCATGCATTCGGTTTACATGCATAAGCAGACAACAATATGCGCGCCTCGGCCATTACACCAATACATAGAACGGCATTTGTACTAAATTTCCATGTACTCTGTATGCGGAGTATACACAGATAAAGTCCATGGGCCAGAATACACTTCGAAAAAGTACCTTTCGGGTCAGCGATCGCTATAACCATGGGACTAAACTCCCCGCATCTTGAAATACAAAATAGCCAGCAAACGGAAGCGAGATCGACAAAATGTAACATTTTCCAACGAAAGCAGAACTGGGGATCGCCTGAGAAATGGAGATAAGGCGATTGTTCGTTCGCTGTCACAAAACTCCGTTTCAAGGGGAAAAAGAAAAAATAATAATAATAACAGAAAAAAAAAAAAAAAAAAAAAGGCGAGGATGGAGTGTGCCCCAGTTTTAGCAAGCTAAGCAAGCTAAAATGTTGGTCGACGAAAGTATTCTGCTCTTTTCGCTTTGTATTCCCGGTTTGATCGATACATATTATGCATTGGAAACATTGGAAACACAGCTAGCCATCTTCACGTCCGGAGAAAAGCCACAGTGTGTCCGGAGTTCTTCGTACCCCGTACAGGGCCTATCATATAGGAGCCAGAGCCCCGCTGTGAAGTATCTGACGAAAGGTGAAAATAGACTTAGATCTTGCAAATCGGTTGAGGATTGAATATTAGCAACCTCTCAAGACTTCAATGTACGGTTGCACCGTGGGTAACGGTTCTCAACATCCAGACAAGCACAGAGTACAATTCCCCAGTACAGAGCAGGCAAACTCCTACATAAGAACTAGAACATAGTTGTATGTTAGGTTGCACTCAGCCTCGCCAAAGTTGCAGCCAACGCAATGTATGGAGTAGCGATTAGGAGCCCTCCATTTGTCGTATTGTGGCAAAGCCATGTCGATAATAAAAATTGGGCTGGCAGCGCAAACAGGGGTACTCTAGCCCTCCCTGGAGCGACGCGGGAGAAATGAGCAGCCTAGATGCCTGTTTCTGCGTCTCGCGTGGGCCGTGGACCCAGACCGACTTGCTACTGCAGGGCCATTTCTGTTGGCATGTTCCATCCCGGGATAGCTCACATTGCGGCCAAAAAACAAAACCTTCTTGTTGCACAGCAAAGGTCTTCCGTCGCATAGCTGTCCAGAACGTTGGGCCCAAACGGAGCTAAATCAGTTAGTGCACCACAGTGTGTAAGCTATGCTCGACTTCTCAAGATATCCTCAGTGTCAGATACACGATATCCGCGGCGGCACGCTGCAGTAGCTAGTTGCTTGGGTGGAATCTCAAAATTGAGACGTCAGGCTTCTTGAGGCGACACAAGACGCGCTAAACTAACTTGGCACGAAACTGCCTAACTAGTGTGCTGAGTCAGCCGCTTAGCTAACTAACCACCTAGAACTGATAACCTTACGCCGAGTTCCTTTTTCTGTGGGGAGAACTCCGTACAGGCCAGGTCGTTTCCGAAAGTGACGCTGGATAGTCACTAGCCCTGCTGTGCATCTTTTTAATGGACTGTAAGTATGCCTGCAGATTCCTGTTAAACAAAAGCGAGCTAAAAACCACGGCTCCAGCACAATGCTAAACAGGGCCGCAAATGCAGGGTTTCTTTCCATGGGTTAGGTGGGCAATCATGGTAATGGCAATGACGGCTTGAGCAAGTTCAGCCCGTACAATAGCCAGGCATGGGTTTTCTAATTGGGGCGTGGAAGAAGAAATGCCCTCGCTACCCCTTCCCATAGAAGCACAGTGTCTGAGCGTTTTAAATATTTTTGCTATTCAGGCTAGAACTAAAAGCCATTGCCCTCTAGAAGACATCTCATCTGACATGACGCTCGAATTGATTAGCCCAGATCTGGCATGAACTATCTTCCCGCCGCTCTCCGTATATTTTACCTCCACCACAAAAGAGGGGAAGGGAAAATCGTATATTAACTGGCTACGATTGGTGGAAGAATACCCTGCTGGCACTACTCCATATATTCATAGTATGCACATGCATACATGGTGCGGAAGCGTCATAAAAGGCGCAGGATTCTCATCCAATGACACATCTCGATTGGAGTTTCCCATGCACTAGGTGCCCATGCTCCCACATGGAAATTCAGCAACCTTGGAAGACTTCATTACTAATGAGTATCCAAAACACGAGGATTGTGTGCATCATGACCGTATGATGAATTCCAAAGATTCTGCGCCCGGGCCCTCCTAATTGCTGTGCACCAAAGCATGTATACATATGTGCTATCGAGACTAACAGGGGAAGATCGCAATGTTGAACATATGCCAGATTGAGGCTCCTCGTCTGATTTAAGCGAGGTTGCATCTTTCTTTACAGTAAATTGTTGAGCGGCAAATTCCCTCTTCTTTGCGTGTTTGCACTTCTTGTCTTGGAATTCTGATCATCATCCAACTTCGTGTTCCTACTTCTTCAAAATAACCTCTCGACATAACTAGCAGCTACGCTTGGCTCATGTGAATTACAGAAGACACGAGTGATTCTTTTTCTTTCTTGGTATTGTCTCTATGGTGGGTTACTAAAAAGGCAGCGTGCGAAAACGACGGTTGTAGGTTGCGGTGAAGATCAAATCCAAGACACTCCCTTCAAATGACGACCTACTAAGCACTTACGTTTAGGTAGTTAACTAGTTAATTTTCCCGATGACCGCTGCAAGAGCCCCCAGACTACGAATAGAGGCTGTAGGCTAAGCTCTTGTCAACTTGCGCTCACGAAAAATTGTATTTTCCATCGAGAACAACATCATAATCCGTTTGCCTGGGTTTTGGTGTGATTATAGTGAAACGTCCTTTTTTTATTATCGGGCTGCTATTATCACCCATTAGTAGCCTCAATACCAAGCAGTTAGTTAACTGGTCAACACGATTTGGCGATCGATCGTGGCCAAATTTCAAAATGGACTGGAACAGTCTTTGGGTTAAACAACGTCTCCGCTTCTCCCAACCCATGCCAAAGGCGGCCTCTCGAACTTCGACTCTTCTCCAAAATAGAGACCAGCAATTATCGAACATTTAAATTTTCTGATGACGACGTATTGGTCAATGCTTGTCTTCTTCTGGCTTCTCAGAGCATGTATCCCTCAACAAACCCCCATTGGGATCAGCTCTCAAGCCCTACATCCACTAAACAGGGCTTTTGAGCACAAGGTAAACTGGTCGCTTGAGCATTTCAACGTACCAGGGCTTGCAGTGGCCTTTATCAAAGGCGACGATGTCTTCACAAAGGTTAGGCGCTTCCTAAGACTCCCTAGGCCCTGCGTATCTCCATATATCACAAACTGTACTTTCCTCATCTTACCAGAAGCATTCTAGGGATATGGAGTTTCTGATCTCTCTACCTCACGGGTAGTATCCGACCATACACTTTTCTTTGGAGGGAGCACAACGAAGGCTTTTACTGCCGCATTACTTTCATTGCTGGTTGACGATAATGAGAACTACCCTCACATTCAATGGAACACACCCGTCCACAGTCTCATTCCAAATGATTTTATTCTTCAAGATCCTTGGGCTACTACTCAAATTACGATTGAGGACATGTTATCCCACCGCTCTGGAATGCCACGCCATGACTGGGTTTGGTTTGCAGACATGACACTAAAGCAAGCCGTGCGAAAAATCAGGCATCTACCGCTTACGACACCGATTCGTACCAACTTTCAGTACAATAATTTAATGTATATGGCTGCTGCGCACCTCATCGAAACTTTGACGGGTCGCCATTTCAAAGATATCCTACGTGAGCGGATCCTTGAGCCGTTGAACATGACTGAAACTTACGTTTCTATTTCTGATGCCCAGAATTCTGGAAAAGATATTGCTCGTGGGTACTTCTTAAACTCAACAGGGCAGATGCAGGATACCGAGCTTTCGTTTCAAGAGAGTATCCGAGGAGCTGGGAATATTATCTCCTCCGTAGCAGATTATGCCAAATGGGTGAAAGTGTTAATGCATCGTCGCGCGCCCATATCGTCTGCGGGTTATGCCTCTCTGATGGGCGGTCATGTTATCGTTTCGCCAGAAGCAATGCCACCCGATACATCTCCAACACTATATGGATTTGGATGGTTTCTACGGACGTACGCTGGAGAGGTGATCATCCAGCACCCTGGTGGAATCGAAGGCTTTGGGAGTTTTGTCTGCTTCCTACCAAAAAAGCAGATTGGATTTGTCATTTTGGGAAACAACATGGTAGGAATGAATGCTGCTGCGACTGTACTCGGCAATCATTTAATAGATGAAATCCTCGACACACCAGAGAAAGACCGGTTTGATTGGAAACAGAGGTATGTTTTCTCTAGTATTCTAGGCACTTAGATTTTTACTTGTTATGTCTAACTAGTAGATTGCCTGGAACTTAGAGCGCAAGAGAGCCTAGAGATCACTAAAATTTCTCCAGCAATCCTACAAGACCTCTATCCGCATATTCCAGAGCCTCCACTTAAACCTCCTCTTAAGCTGTCTGCATACGAAGGTATATATACTCATCCAGCCTATCCAACTCTGAATATTACAAGCGAATGCCCCAAAGAGTCTATGTTCCCGCCACTATCTAGCAAGCAGAAATTAGGACGCGAAAAGCTCTGTGCCACGCTTTCTCATAGCGCGTTTGGCGATTCAGCGGTGATACTAGAACTCCGACATATCACAGGCGATTTTTGGATTGTTGGAACTTTGATGTATGGTGCATCCACTGCCACTAAAGCAAAATTCAAGCTTGGCCCCGAAGGAACCATTAGCAAACTTGCCATAGAAATGGAGCCAACTATGGCGCTAGAGGATAAAGGGATATTGTGGCAGAAGAGAGCTTAGTTTTGGTGACGAGGCGTTCTTGAGGGTTTCGTGTACTTTGGGGCTATGAGAAATTAGGTAAATTGTAAGGTTATCTTGGAGCATCGTTTTGCTAGTATTTGCTATAGGGATACTAATTTAAGAAAATTTCCAGGGTACGATGGTACAATAAAGGTAGCCCCAAGATTCGAGTACATAACCAGTTCGGTGTCACTACGAAAGAGTAGTAGTATTAGACACTCGAACGAGCTGCATATATATGTGGTTAACTAGTGCAACTAATTCTGGAGCAGCACCTAGCCAGTAAGTTAGTTACGGAGTACTCCGTACTTAACTACTAACTAGTTAGTTAACTAACTAGAGCCTTGGCATTGAGCAAGCCTTATGATCAGCGCATTTGTCCAAATTCTATTCGAACTTCACAGCACCATCACCCCCAAACACCATTCTTACGAAGATTATCTTTTGTCATCTGAACATCAAACACAATAATTGAAAGGTTAAATAAGATGACGCATAGAAATCAGGCGCTTTGCATTGACAGCGAGAAGGTGCAAGGGGTAGGTTAAGTGAGCCCAGCGGCACAGTATCAGTGCCAGAAAGGCACTGTATGGCACGTTCAAATGAGTCCAAAAGAATTCTTGCGGTGTGGGTATCCAGCAAATGACTATCTGCAGTAATTGATATGTCGAGATTATCTTGGTTTGGCCGGGCGGATATCTCAACATTGGTGGGCACGGCATACGGTTTTCTAAACCAGTCCAGCTTTGCAACATTGGAATTTGATTTTGCAGAGAGAGAAACACCCGGGGTTTCATCAATATCATGATATTGAAGCAGTGTGTCCATCTTGGTATCAGCCGGCCATTGGGTACAGTTTTTGACTATATCCTGAAAGCCCAAGGAGTCGGCTTCTCCCATAGAAAGATGCTGGTCCATGACGTAATGCAAAAGGTCAAACGTTGTCCAAGCGGAGGAGAAGGTAACTCTGACTGGAACGGTATTCATGCAGGGACCCACTACTTTTTGAATGTCTTGAATAACTGCATTACGCCCAGAAACGATGAATCCGTATACCACATCCGTCTTCCCAGTAATATGTTTCAAGACCAACGACCAAGCAGAACTCACGAGAGATGCAACGGTGATTCCTTTTGGCGGTATAGGCTTCAAAAGAGTCTTTGTAACGTGAGTTTTGGATATTTGCCCATGTGATGACTGAGCATGCGCCAACCTCAAGGAAATTTCTGTCATGGTGGATCCTTGGAGAAGTTTGGCCCAATATGTTCGTGATTGAGTGGCTCGTCTAGCTGTGTAAGATACAAAGCTGGAGAAGCTTATAGCTGGTCTCAATGGCATCCCGAAATATGCTTCCCGAAGACACCTAAGAATCAAGGGCCAAGACATGCCATCATACTGAGCATGGGATATACGGAAAATTAGCCGGGAACCTGAACATTGATGCCGAAGAATTGTGATCGATGAAAATAGAGAGGCGGCTTTAACCCCATTTTTCAGATCATGCAGACAGAAATCATCGCTTGTTCGACAAAGATCTTTGATGGCGTCACTCACTTCAACCAGTCTCCCGGTTTTGCGGATAACCACTTGGTACGTCTTTCCCCCGAATGGGACGAATATAGTGCGCAATATAGGGAAATGGTCTATGACAGCTTGGCAAGCTTCCTCTAAAAGCGCCAAATCAACAGTACCATCAAAGTCCAAGTAGAAATAGTTCAGGGCTTCCTCAGGAGATTCAATGGCCCGTGAAACATAAAATGCCTGTACGTCTGTCGCGGGAAGAATATCTTCGATATTACTAATATTTGTGATATACGGGGCAAGCTCTGGAAGAGATAGGATCGCCTCTAAGTCCTTCCCTTCAACCTGCTCAAACGGCCTGACTGTGATGGATTCTTGTGAAAGTTCGGATGAAGAGATAGAAATTTCAGCCTGTTCGTCAATATGAGGATGGCGGAATATCTCTGCCACAGTCAGGGCGATTCCGAATTTCCGCGCTGCCGTGACCAATTTCATGGCTGAGATGGAATCTCCACCTAAACGGAAGAAGCTGTCGTCTAGGCCAATTTGGTATGAATCGACATTAAGAACGGAGGCCCATAGCTTCTGTAGTCGACATTCTACCGCAGTTGATGGCATCCGTCTCTGCTGATCTTTTCCGTTGATTGCTCGCGCAAGTTGTTCAGCCGAGAAAGAGGAGCCCATATCACGTAGACGTTGTCGATCTGTCTTACCACTTATAGTTATAGGCATTAACTTCACATTAAAGAAGACAGCAGGTACCATATAACATGGTAAACAATCCTCAAGTTTTTCAATGACACTTTTCGGTATGTATACGGGCTGTATCTCCGAAGCTCCTACTTCGGTCTCTCCCCGATTGCTCACTGGCACACTACCCAAGCCTGTACTGGCGCAGAAAAACACAGCAAGGATAGTCTTGCCTTTCTCAGCAGGTTCTATAACCTCCGCCACAACACCTGATGCATTCGGTAAACACTCAGACACATGATGCTCGACTTCACCGAGTTCTACTCGTTGTCCGCGTATCTTAACTTGTGTGTCCTGGCGGCCACAGTAAGACAGACTGCCATCGGGATTCCGCCTTACCAAATCACCTGTTTTGTACACCCTCGCACCGGGTAGCCAAGCGGGTTCGATAAATACGGCGCTTGTTCTTTTTGCATCACCAAGGTAACCGCGGCTCACTTGGCGAGACTCCACGGCTAACTCCCCCACGCAACCCAGAGGTGCGAGGCGATTACCATCGGCCATTTCAAGAATCCAAAAACGGGCACTTTCCACTGGACGGCCAATGTTTGAAGGGTCATCAGCATGCCGTACTGGACCATTTACAGAAACGCAAATTGTTGTTTCGGCCGGCCCGTATCCATTATAAAGGTCGACGGCGTGAGCCCAAACGTCCACATCTTGCCGATTCATTGGCTCACCACAGAGGATAAGCGTTTTCAGACCAGTTACATCTTCGGGCTTTATTAGTCGCGCAACCGTCGGCGTGAGCAAAGCCAAATTCACCTGCATCTGATTGATACAATCTGATGGGTTTGATAGCCGCTCATCTTCAGAAGGTATACACACGCAACCACCGTGCGACAACGTCGTGACAATTTCCTGCAAACAGGCATCGAAAGTGAAGGATGCAAACTGTAAGGCTCGCGTTTCTCTGCCGTATTTGTAGCTTCGTCCGTGTCCGAGTAAGACGCTTGTGGCAAGGGAGCCGTGGTCTATAACGATGCCTTTCGGCTCCCCTGTTGTTCCTGAAGTGTAAACGATGGTAGCCAGGTCAGCCCCAGTTAATATTGGCAGGGATACGAATGGAAGGCTCGCTTCGACCGTTGCCTTGTTTATTGAAATCGCTCGCGTACTGGCTGTCTCGAAGAATGAAATGAACTTCGGCTCGGCAAGTATGAGTGTGGCACCACAATGCCTTACTGTGGTGTGAAGACGCTGCTGAGAATGAAGAGGGTTTGTAGCAACCAAGGCCGCACCTGACTTCAGGATGGCTAGAATGGTGATGGTGGACCAGCACGACTTATTAAGACATGCAACGACACTATCCCCGCGACTCACGCCTTGCTTGATGAGATGCTTTGCAAGCTTTGAGTACAACTCTACCATTTGGCTATAGGAGTATTGTCCATCCCAAGATACAATTGCTGGAGCGTCAGGATATAAAGCAGCGAATTTTTCTATTGTATCCAGTACGCTTATTTCATGTGAGATTAGTGGCGAATGTTGGGAGGACTTCACGATGTCAAGATCTGTGGCATCCAGCAAGGATACAGAATCAATAGGGATATCGTCATACTCTAGAAAGAAGCTCAAAGCTTTCATAAACGCATTGGCCATGCATATCACGTCATCTTCTGTAAATGACGGCCAGTATAAAAAGCCAAGCTTCATTGCACCGTTCAAGATATCAACGTTAGCCACTATATCATACTATTGAGAAAATTAATAACAGCTCTAATTTACGGAATCGTATTCCTACCTCTGTCGGATCATCCTGCTCCCTAATTTCTTCAAACGATATGGACGAACTAGAATATGGATCTGTACGAGTTGTCCATTCCATCGACACCGCTGTATTGAACATTGCCTCGCTACCTTCTGGGTAGAGTCTAGCTTTCATTTCAGTCAAGGGGTAATGCTGGTATGGCATACTTTCAATGTACTCCTGCTGCATCTTCCTTGTAAGAGATATCAGGGTTTCACTGGACTCCAGTCGTGCACGGCATGGCTGTATACTTAGGCAGAGTCCAACCATTTTATCCACGTCTTTGATTGGAACATCTCGTCCAGCTGCGACGTAAGTAAAGGAAACGTCACGAGAGCCTGTATACGCCCGAAGCACTAACGCCCAAGCCACTCGCACTGCAGATGCCACAGTTATATGTCTCTCCTTGCATCGTGAAAGGAAGGCATGGCTTTTTTCATAGTTAAAATCTTTCCGCAAGAATCTTGTGGGAATATTATCAAAGACCATCTGTCTACTAACTGGAATTATGCACGGTGGACAGTTTTCAAGGTAGGACGTCCAATACGTAGCACTCGCTTCTGTGTTTCGTTGCGCTACATATTCCACGAAGTCGCGATAGGTGTGAGCATTGTGGGAGAATGGCATACCACCATAAGCATAGGCAAAATCTTTCATGAGGCTTTCCATAGCAGCTCCATCCACTAGGGCGTGTGAGACCTCAAGCATGAGATATATTGCCTTTCCATCGCAGACGCAAACTGTCACCCGGTGCGGGGGAGAATCTTTGACAAACGGCGTTAGCGAACGTGTAAAAATATCCATAGCTTCAGATGGAGAAGTGCTTGTGGCTACTTCATGAGTGATAATATCGACTTGTGGTTGCCGCAGGACAAGTGAATGCCACTCAGCATCAGTTCCTAAATCATCCAAGAAAATTGTGCGAAGTGATGGATGATGAGCAACAACTCTATACCATGAAGTCTTAATCTTTCCCAAGTCAGGCGATACCCCTGTTTTGTTGGCCAGTTTATAAAAGAAGCGCAAGTGGTACGACCCCGGTTTACGTATTTGGCCAATAAACATGCCTACTTGCATGGACGTGCAAGGGTATATATCCTCAATCTCATCAAAATTAGTAACTGCAAAACGGGACCAATTATATCCCTCTCGGAAATTCTTCGCAGCTAGCTTAAAAGTAGAGGGTTTGCTCGAGGAACCGTTGCTTTCAGGTAGCGTTGCTAAAGATGCCGCCCTAGCGACGCCTTCACACGTCAAGATATCGGTCATCGACAAGGAAACATTCTTTTTTCGGCATTTAGCAACAGCATCTTGTGCGAGGATGGAGTTTCCACCAAGTTGGATGAAAGACAGATGAAGACCAACTTGGGGTGGAGGAATATTGAGGACACTGCTCCAAATTTCTTGGATGACGTATTCTAGCTCGGTTGTGGGTTCGAAATCATCAATGGCATTGGGATTTCCTCCTGTTATCTCAGAGAAGGTAGTTTCCGGCATTTCTTCGACCCATCTCCGTACTCTGACGCGGTCAATCTTCCCAGAAGCCGACATAGGCATATACTTGACGAATGCCCAAATTGTGGGCACCATGTATCTCGGTAATGCGTTCTGCAATTGTGTCCGTAAAGATAGTACGACGCTATCAACAGGCTGATCTCGTAAGGGTAGTATGTCTTCTACCACGTTGTGGCTTTGTGGTGTTGATTTCAACGATATAACAGCCATTAAATTGTCTCTGCAGCGGCCGACCTTTGGTACTATCGTCACAGCATGCCGAACATTATTATTGAGAGTTAAATGATATTCAACCTCCCCAAGTTCAAGCCGCTGACCATTAAGTTTCACCTGGGTATCTACCCGACCACAAAAGTTGATTGTTCCGTCGGAGTTCCAACGTACTAAGTCTCCCGTCTTGTAGCAGCGGAAACCTTGGTATTGAGAATCTCCCTGTAGAAAAGCAACATCATCAAGAAACACCTGTGATGTCTTAATAGGATCTTTGAGGTATCCTAACCCAACAATGGGCCCGGATACTAGTAGCTCACCGATAGCGCCAACTGGCACTAGCCTATTATAATCTCCAGAATCAACAACCCAACAAGCTGCATTATTGGGATCCCCAATATTCAAAGGGTCGGTGTTCTTATGTGTAACAGCCCTGCTGGATGAGTTAATTGAGCACTCGCTGGGGCCATAAAATTGGAAGAGGTTGATTCTCTCCGACCACATGGTCACTATTTCTTTGGGGAATGGTTCGCCTCCAAGGCAGAGGACTCTGAGGCCTGGTACAGCTTGAGGTTCCAGCCTACGGGCAAGAGACGGAGTCATGACAGCCAACGTTATATTGTACTTATTTATTGCACAGGCAAGGCTCTCTTCAATCTCTTCTGTTCGAGGCACACATACACAAGCCCCAGAACCTAAACTGGTACCAATCTCAAGAAGGCTCATATCAAATGTGTGGCTGAGCATCTGAAGCACGCGACGGTTAGGCCCGAATTTCCATTCGGGAGCTTTTCTAAGCGCCCCATTGAGAAAAGATGAATGGGAGACTATACACCCTTTTGGAGTACCAGTTGAGCCGCTTGTAAAGATGACATAAAACATGTCTTTCGGCTGCGCGTTCGAGATTGGTGGGCCCTCGCAATTTTGTAGGCGTTCAATCCGATCGCCTTCTATTGGAATCCAACTCAATTTAGCAGTCCAGAGGTGTCCATGATCAGACGTCGTTAAGACGAAAGGCGGGGCGACCATTTGAATTATTGCGTCCCTTCTTCCGGGTGGGAGGTAGGGTGGAATGCTCACAAAGGCTCCTCCAGCTTTGGAAACAGCAAGCATGGCAATGATAGCACTCGATGAGCGCTCAAAGCATATTGGGACAATAACTCCCGGGCAGACACCATGATTTTGCAGGTATTTAGCCAAACGGGCCGCTCGCGTGTTTAGCTCATGATACGTGAGTCTAGCATCCCACGAGTCGATCGCTGGTGCTGATGGGTTTTCTAAGGCGTGCCTTTCGACAACATCATGAAAACATTCCATCCAAGGTTGTTCCGGGATCCGGCTGTTGAATTTCCATAGCTGATCCAAGTGGGATTTACTCATGTAGTCAATACTCCCAAGGGAGGTGCCGGCTTTCTGCTTCAAAATAGAAAAGACTTTGGCAAATGTCGTGCCGACGTTGGCCGCTTGATTATCTGAAAGCATACAATTATGGTAGGACAGATACAAATTCGAGGCTTCATTGATATCGAGAACGTTTAGGCTAATAATGCTTTTCTGAACTGGACGTTAGTTTCTCTTTGCTGCAAAAAAAACCAAAAAAAAATAAAAATCAAAATAAAAAAAAGGCTGGGTGTGAATACCTGAAGTATATTCTCAAGGGCAGGAGCAGATCTAATAGGCGACCCATTGTGAAATACAATAGCAGTATTAGTCGATTGGCTGGCGAGGTCGGAAATTTCATCTTCAGGCGCCTCTAAGATATGTGCGCCCCCAGATCTTATATCATAAAGAAGCCTTTGGGCGTGTCGAAGGAATTGCAACTGCGATTGCGACTCTTGGACAGCTAAAGGGCAAACTGAAATCCGCCATTGCGATCTTTCAGTGAGCAAAATATAGATAGACACCTCATCCGCTCCGATATACTTCGAAATTGTCAACGACCATGCCGCAACTGTAGTTGCTTCATCTGAGATGATCTCCGAATCCAGGAAGACCTGGGCAGCAGTGTTATATTCGGAGGTCTTGATATCAACTCTGAAGGTTTTTCTGTTGATACCGTGGTTAGTACAATCGCTGATGTACCCGTCGGTCAAGGATGGGAAAATTCCGGTTGAGCCATTTGAGGACGTGTTGGGCTTGTCATTGGGTGGTATACCAGGTGTTGAGCCCATTTTGAGGTATGAGACAGGAGAAAAACTGCAAAGGCTTCTAAGGTCAATGTCATGACCCGAGTTAAGCGTGGTTAATCCCAAGCGGTCACATCGAAAAACTTCTCACAACACATAGTCATGCACCGAAAGATGGCGGGACATGAATTATGTCTCCGCACGGGATATTTCTGGGACTGCATGGTATCAACATAGCCAATCCCTTGTGTAAACACTAACTTCAGCTGGGGCCGCTTTGCATTCAACATCCGAGCGGACATCACACCCGGCCTCGTTCCACCACTCAGCCTGTGGGACCATAGAGCTCTCAAGACTGGCACGCCAGTCAGCCACCGCACGGTCTGTCCGTAGCCAATATCTTTATCTATACCCCGGTTCTATCTGAAGAAGCCGTTGTGGCCTCTCGTGTCGAGTCTTGGGCTCCATTCCCCAGACCAAATGGGTTACATTGGCAAGGCGATGGAGGGCACTGGTTCGGGACATTACATGGGTTATTTCTCTCTCGTTTTATTCCGCTGGCCCGATGGCTGTATCAACAAGCATATAAGGAGCTGGATATTGCCCTCTCATCAGATCAACTTCTACAACCAGACCTAACATTTCAAACTTACCTCTGGAAAATTGTCTTTTCTCAGCACTCCTAAAGCCATCATTAACAATGGGCATCCCTACCAACGCCGAGATCAAATCCCTCTTGGAGTCACAATTCCACTCCAAACTCCAAAACTCGGATCTCCACGACGATTCCGAGACCCTCTTCCAGTTCGGACACTTGGACCAACTCTTCTCCGAAGACGTCGAATTCCACATCTCTGGCCATGAATTCCACCTTGGTGGGAAACACCAGGGTCTGGATTCCTTCAAAGACCACTTGGACTCTGACAGTATGCCAAGCCTCAGCAGCATCATCGACGTGACCAAGCCGATCAAGGGGCAGGTTCTCCATGTCATTGGGGGCGAGCGTGATGAGTGGAAGGCGGCTGTGCTTCACAGCACTGCAACAACTCAAAACAGTACATTTGCTCCCTGCTTTGCATAGTTACCTGTGACCACTAAAACGCCTTTATAGATACCCCATGGAACCACGAAATGGTTGTCTTGATGCGCTTCAACCACGATGGAAAGATTACCGAGCTCCGGGCATATGCTGACACCCAGCACGTTCACAACCATATCCAGGATCACAAATAAAGAGAAAGCTCGTACTTTCGGAAGCTAGGCATGGTTAATGTATGCACTAGAGCTAGTTAGCCTTATATGTGGAACTAGGCTAAAACGAGAGAGTAATTGGAATGAAGACCTTTTGATTTCACAATAACCGAATATATTTACCGTAGTAATGCAAGCCCAAGTACTCCGTAGAGTAATTCAACATGTATTAAAGTTCTCCGCACAGGAATGTGAGATTATCCTCGCTTAGCTCTTTTGAGTGCTTCATGACTCGCTGCCTCGAAACAAACGCCAAGGGTATGAGTGGAATTACTGTCGCTGAGGCCCCGATTGGCTATGAGTGGCAGGGTCTATCAATCCATTGTTTCATACTCCATACTAGCTATTCATTGAACAATATTCTGCATCATGGCAAGAGGGGCAATCTCGGCCACTTAGAATCAGTTCGCCCGTCCTTGAGCCAAAAATCGGGCAGCCACGCGAACAAAACAGCAGTGCAGATCAGCTATGGCCAGGTGTAGAGTTTTCGCCCCCAGAGGTTTCGTTCTTTTGTCTTCCCGAAGATAAAGAATATTAATCTTTTGTCAAACCTTGACGGTGATGCAAGCAGGCATTGTTCGGAAAGTCCGTGCCGCATGAGCAATGGTCACCATAATGCGTTGAGTCCGGCATGTTCGAAGCTCTAGCGGGTCATGCTGAAATAAGCTAATGGAAGAGTCCACCATCAAGGATGCCCCACAGAGCTTGTCTTTTTGCTTACAAGCAAGCACCACTTCATCCCAGTAGTAGCTTTTGGATAGTTGGCAGGCCTATGAAGCCCTCTCTGGCCTATAAAAAAGCGAAATCTTCCAGGTCCTAAAGAAAACTTTTGCCCCGCAGCGGGGTTCTGTAGGGCGGCGCCAATTAGCTCAGTGGCTGCTGACTCCCGTCCAGTTCGTAAAACGTTCTCTCGCAGACCACCTTGTGAACCAGGGTGGGTGTTGAGGTTTTGCGGGCTCGTCAGTCGCCCAGCCATTCGTTTTTCTCTGGACCATGAGGCCAGTTCGAATCCAAAGCTTTTCGGTCCAATTGGTGGCCATGGGCATGACTCCGCCCTCCTGGGCGGGAACACAGGAAGTCAGCTTGACCAGGGGCCCAAGACCCCGGACTCATACGAGGAGCAAATATGGTATACGCGAACTTGCCGCAGGCCCTTCCGAGAGGCCCTTCCGAGAGGCCCTTTTGATATATCCAGTAGTGCATGCCCGCGACACGGGTACTCGCGGCCCGTTCGTAAGCTGGCCTGTCAACGTCGCGAGAGCTAGACCTATGTTCCATCATGTAAGCGACTCAGGGACGTAGGCCACCCATTGATGAACGTGTTGGCCATAAGGAGGAGACGGCGAGATACGAAGTTGAATTACTCGTGGTTGAAGCCCTACGGCCCAACTGTGGAGACGCCCGAAAACGCGGTGTCACGTGCAAGCCACCTGACAAACCGCCTCGCTCTTTGCGAATCGGCCACCGAGACCACTCTCTCCGGGAAACTACCATGTAGTTAGTGGGCTGGCTGATGGCTCCTCGGCCCTTTGTTGGCGGCGGGGGACTCCGCTGCGGTAACTATACACAGGCATGGCGGCATAGGCTGGAGTACAGTATCATGTGGCGCCCGACTTCAATCTCGATACTACAGTAGTAGACCATTCATTCTCTTCCCTCTATTCCGTACTCCTTACACTATCCCGCAAAAGAGTGTGCTTCTTCACTCTCTGGTTTTAAAGAGAATGGCGTCAGCAACGGAACGTCGTCTTGACGACCCCGATACCCGTGAAAATATATGGAATGACCCAAAGATCGTCGAGGATTATCGCATCTCGGAGAGGGTGACAGTGGTCTTTGCTAGATCGTTGGTTGACCAATCTGGTGTTATATCTGACATTGACAATGAAAAACCACTATGCATCCTTGATAATGCCTGTGGAACTGGGGCGCTTTCGTTGGTTTTGCAAGAGACGCTTCGCAATCGCAGCAGCGGATGGAAGTTAACCTGCGCTGACTTGTCCGAGGCAATGGTTGGCTCCGTTGCAGCAAGAATAAAGGAGGAAGGATGGAAAAATACGGATACTGCTGTCGCCGATATGCAGGCAACTGGACTCTCAGCCAATTATTATACCCATGTCTTTGCGTGTTTCGGTGAGTAAAGCATGCAGCGGGTTTTGGTAAAGAACGAGTGTTGATCATCTGTGCGACTTCTAGGTCTCATGATTATTCCAAACGGCCAAAAGGGTCTTGACGGTAAGCAAGAGTGATATGCGTAGTACATATCCTGATAAACACGCAGTATATCTCAAGTCATGCTAACGCGTGTAACAGAATGCCTCCGTGTGCTTAAACCGGGGGGAACCCTTGGATTCACCGTTTGGAAGCAAAGTATGTGATAGCCTGCTCTCTAGTAGACTATGTTGCTCATTGAACTGACCTACAATAGGTGGATGGCTTAATGACATCAACGACGCCATTGCTTCCATGCCCGGCAACCTTAAACAGCCGACACCTGAAGAGTTCTCAATGGCGCTCGAAAATGGCGATCCATGGCACGATACTGACTGGATTAAATCTCAGTTAGAGAAGCGGGGTTGCAAGAACATACAAATCACTCTCGTACCAAGGACACTGGCCCCCAGCCCACCGTCTGAGTTGATCCGCGTATTGACCCCTCTTGTAAACTTCATACCAGTCAAATTTTGGAGTGAGGAGCAGAGGAAAGAGAGCGCCGCTAACTTCGCGCCTGCACTGCTGGAATATTGGAACGAGAAGTACGGCGCTGATACACCTGTCCCCATGGAGTGGATTGCCACGGTAGTAACGGCATGCAAAGCCGAGAATTAACTGTGACCTTCGTTTGATTATTCCACTCGTGCCTTGGGCATCAAATCTATCAATAAATTCTGCTGTTGTTTAAGAGACCGGCTCGACTTTTTAACGGTTAAAGGGGGTGGAATAATATCTATCGAATAACAAGATTAACGTATGAATATAAATCCAAACAACGTCGGCATTTACCTTTTGCCATAAACACCACGCATGATACTGCCACTCGATGGTAAGATAAGCGTAAGAAATATCTCTGCTTGAGGCCCACCACCAGTTTGATGCACCTAGGCGATGTGAATGTATAAGGAGACAACTGGAAGGTAAATCATCATCATCATCGTCATCATCCAATAACCCTTGATGGCACAATCGCCAGTTATGGTCTATTCAAAACAGCACAAAAGCCAACATTGTATAGATTGTAGTCCACGTTTAATCTACCTAATAATGTCTATCAGCCCACCATTGCACCAAAACGCCTAATCACCTTTCTTTCCCCAACGTCGGGTCTCATCTCCATCTTCCCAATCACGCTCTACGTAGCCAAGCCGCTTCTTGACCTCGGCCACGGTATACGTATCACCCGTATTTTTACCAAGGTTATCGCTCAGTTTCACTGCTGGTCTTCCACCTGCACTGGAGACCTTTATCACAATGTTGAGAGGCACTGATTTCTTGCCGTCAGATAGATTTAGAAAATCGTCTACATAGTTATCTAAATCAGTACTGCAGTAAGATAACAAAGTGGCAGGAAAAAGACACTTACTAGTTAAGAATGTCCCAACGCCAAAAACGGGGAAGAACCCGGCTTCTTCGGCGATGACCTTGTAATCCAAGCAAAGTTCAATATTCAAGGAATCAGAGAACACAATGGTTTTCTTGTCCCTAATTCCTTGTTTATCATAGAATTCCCTTGCCATCTTAACAAAATGCACAGGGTCACCAGAGTCTTGCCGCACGCCAGTGAAAACATCAGCATAAGTCTTAATGGGTATCTGGCTACTGCCTTCGATCGAAGGAGCAATTGGTTCTGCCTCAGAGAGGCTACCAAAATTACTCTGGTTGTGCGCAGACGACGTCAATGCACTCGCCGGGCTCTTCGTGGCAGCTGTGGAGGCTGGAATCGGCTTCTTAAACGCATCCAGGAAGTCTGGTGTTCCGAATGTGTCCGTCAACGCGACCCCCAGAACCTTGCAGCGATGGCATCAGCTTAAATTATATTTGTAGGCAGAACTCTGGAAATTTGACTTACCCCTTCGCCAAAGCAACCCAGCCAATATCTCAGTGCAAGTTCATTGGCATTTTCATAATCGTTCGTGATAGCAGCTATTCCCATATACCACTCATGGGCCACGGTTCCAACGGGCTCCACCCCGTACTTCATGGCAAAATGAACATTACTCGTCCCCGTTAATTTCCCCTTCCACCCTTCTTTGCGGGCCTCCTCCGCGGCGCGACATAATCCCCGCATAACAAGATCCTGGGTATGGTAATCGCGCCTCCTCCTCGTCCCAAATTCTGAAAAGATGCACCCTTGCTGCAACAGCGTGCATCCTTTCCTGAATGCTTTGTCCTCTTGCTGGTGAAAATCCCAATCTCGATCGCACCACTTGAAATATGCCTCGCTAGTTAATGCTAATAGCGGAATTTCGTAGAGGATGGTCTCGACCCAAAGACCTTTTACGGAGAGTCTGATATCGCCACGATCTGAGTCGGCGCCGGTGTCATTTATTGGGACGAAAGAGATGTTGACCTGTTCTGAGGGTCTGAAGCGAAAGTCGTGCAGATACTGGATATGGGCAGCATTTAGATAAGAACAGCGTGTTTTTAGAAATTCAAGTTCTTCAGAGGTTAACGATATATTTGAAAGGTCTGTCGTTGATAGTCTTACTTAGTTTCAATTTTTTTGACACACATTTGGATTTTAAATATGCATGGCAGGGCACATACTGTCAATCTGTATCCGTAACCAAGTGTATGCTTCCCTTGTAAACTTCATATCTTTAGTCCGGTTTGTATATGAATAGATTACCTCTGTTTATATTAAGCCATGTAAGCCGCAAAGTCGCCAATCTAAGGTCGAAATCAGAATGCAAAGGGATATGGGGCTGATAACTATACCAGAATCAGGGAAATACTTTAGAACAGCACATTGCATTGTTAATTTATACAAGTCTGTGTCTAGCAGTGAAAACACCCCTTCAATGAGGGGCTTCGGGCTGGGTCCCATATTTGCGAAAGTTGAGGGGTATATCTATACCACCACCAAGTGCCAAAACCACAAAATAAAGCAGAGGGTAGGTTTAAATGCGCTCCTCGGTTGCAGTAAAATCCCTTCCACACAAGCTGTTCAGCTCTCCAGCAGCGCAGATGGTATCGCACGCCCCGCGGAGCAGTGAAACTGACATCAGGTGCGCTGTGTTTGCACTGTTTGCGCCAGGCAGCTATCGCCGTCGACCTCGGGACGTCCCATCTCAAGCACCTCCCGCAAAACAAGGCCCAATGGCTCCCATTCGGCGGTATTTACGAATAAGCAAGTACTCAGTGCTGGAGTGCCGGATCTATCTGGAGAATCCGGCGGACTCGCGCTGGCTCCTGGATTCCCGTGATCCCGTGCTCCCGCGCGTGTTCCAAAGCATTCGGCCATTAGTGCTGCCTAAGCTCCGCGAAGAGAACGAGCGAGCGCGCGCGAAGAAAAAGAGCAAACCGGTCAAAGACGTCTTAGTGGAAGGCTCGTTTAACTCCTACGCAGCTCCTTGTTTTAGAATTGCAATTTTTTTTTGTCGCATGGGGATATGGGCTAATTGGGGGTAAAACAGATGAATTCGAGGTATCGATTTTCCTTCGGGAAACCGGGACTAGGCACGCGATCGCGACGCGGCACAAATCGTTTCAAAGCAGCAGGGGGATCAGCGGCAACGCCAGCAAATTGACAGGGAGCAATGACGAACCGATCCAAATTGCCGACGACGACGACGACGACCGCAGCAATCACGGCGAGCACCCTGCTACTGTTGTGCAACTCATGACAGAGGACGACGATGCCCCTATCAACCTAGCGGACATTCCTGAAGCTCTAGCGGCCGATGCCGAGAGCGGCGACGAGCAAAGCAATCCCCGACGTCGGCGGCGACGGCGACGGCACGATCAAGACACGGCTGCCGCGCCTGCCGGCGGCAACGATGAAACACCACCACGCGCGGCCAAACGAAACAAGACCGAAACACGGAGCGACGGCGGCGTCCCACCGGACGACAAAAAATTGGGAATAATGAGCACGACGTACGACGGTTTCAACATCTGGGGCTGGATATTGTGTCTTTTGATTACGCGGAAAGATAATACGAATAAGGCCAAATCATCCACAAGGGCGGCTGGCGAGCAGCCGTCGAACCAGGCACTGATGGAGGAGTGGATATGCACGCAGGCGCCGCCAGGACTGTGACGAGAAATGAAGGAGAGCCGCGCGAGGCGCTATCGCTGGACGAGATGCCTGCCAACCGATGGTTCTCCTTGGCACTGTCTAGGGGCTTTTTTTTCTCCAGTATTTTGATATATACGGAGGTCGTGTTGAGAACCAAGGCCCCAACAACACCACTACTACTCCGTATTGAAGGCTGCTCCTCGGCGTCCAAGACGCCTATGTATTATTGCTCTCAGAGTCATTCAATTTCCGACAGGTTCGGTCAGTGCTGGCCTCTGAAAGAGATCCTTCTCACCACATGTTGCTCTAGGACCAGGGTACAGTCATTAACAAATATGTCACTTGACTATTTCCCCTTTTTTTTAAGACGTGACATCATGGTGTCTGATCGCCTGGTCATACGTACATCGAAAATGGATGTTTGATGGTCCAGTATTCAAACACAGACTTGCGGATCTTACACCGCCTCCTACTGTCTTTCTTTCTTTTTTTTTTTTCCTGATCGAGCAAAACTACGGAGTATCTAACATACAGAAAAGACATATGGAAGCCTCAAACACCTGTCTCGTGTAACAAGGATATCAATGAGGCATGCACCTTGCTTGTTTCTATATTTGCATGTGCAAAATAGGTACCTACCTTCAAACAGACCTATCAGCGCGTGCACCTTTACGTGTAGTGGTTCTCCAGACCCTGGACCTGCGATGCCCCATGTTTCTCTCCAAGATGGGGAAAATACGACGATGACTGGAAGTGGCCTAAATTCTTACGGGGGTGATCGATCCAAGCGCGACCACGTTTTTTGTTCCATGTCGCTAACCCATGCACAACATTTGCTTCCCTGGCTTTCCCAGCACTCTGGGATGCGTTATCTGGATGTATACGAGAATATCATCATGCGATCGCATTCTTATTTATCGCCAGCCTGGTATCGGAGCGGCTGCGCCGATGGGCTGACTTGGGCGGTCAGGGCGACGCGCGCCGTGGCTTTTTCTATCTTTGGGGCACGGGATGCCAGACCCCTGCTCATACTATGGAGACATATAGTTAGTTACCGCCGGACGGCTTTGAGTACGGAGTACGGAGTACAAGGGCTCAATCCTGACCGCCAAAACGACCGCGAAATGCACGATGGGGCCCCAAAAATGAATCCCGAGCAGACGGCGTTCAACACTGGCGCTGCGGGTAGCTAGCTAGTAGTTGGTTATTTCGCTCACGGCTCCCCCAGCCTTGGCCGCAATCAGGCTACGACGGGGCGCTGAAAACCCACCATCTGCAGAGAAGATATGACACATCGCAAAACCCGCCCGCAAACGGGAGAGGGAAAAGCGGCCCCCCAAAGCACGATAAACGGGGGTGGGCGGAAGAGAAATCAGGCCGCATTTCTCGGGACGATTTCCCAAATCTCTAACTCAGCTAATGCAGGCGAAGTAGCGATAGCGCCGGGCGCGCACCGCGCGCCCCGGCGGCGGTCTAAGCCTAGCTGCAGCATTTTATGATTGAAGGACAAATATTCCGCGCGCTCTGGCCAGAAACATTACCGACGATTGGGCCGTGGCTGCGTACCCTGCACGTACGTACGTATGTCAGGCAGAGTCTGTCTGCGTGCGATGCTGGTAATGCGAATACATAGGGTCTGCTGGAGTCGGCCCACGCCTAGCGAACTAGTTCCTGGTCTACTAACGAACGATCTAATCAAACGGCCAGGCCGCGGTGGAGACGGACGGCCTCTGAGGTCGGCAACCCGCCGCCTGAGCAAGGTCGTTCGCGATATCGCGCGGGTGGAGCCTGTAGGAGCTTGGACGCGAGCATCATCGTCATCATCGTGTAATAATCAGAATCATTTAGCTACACTCCGTACGGCGAAACAGGCGTGGGCATTATTGCGCACCAAAAGCAAGGAAATAATAGTTAATCGAAAACGCCGCCCGTGCGTGCGATCGTCTTGAGATCCGCATTTTTATTCTTCTTTTGACTTTTTTTTTTTTTGCTCTCAATTGCGTGGCCCCCCCTTTTTCTTCTTGTCCTCTCCCCCCTCGACGAAACGCGTTTCAGGTCCGATGCACGAGCGAATGCACGAACCCGCACGAACACATTATTTGCAAATGGACCAGCAGCGTGCGCCCGCCCACTACTACTGGGCCCAGGCGCAAGGCCAGGTGCGTCCAGTCCAGCCGCGTCGAGTCGCGGCCCGCCGCCCGCCACCAAACTCAGTAGTCAGTTTAACTAACTACTGAGATAAGGCGGGGGAAGTATCTTTTTCTACCCCAACCACAAGCACCACCTGAACCACCACCAGACCTCAAGTTGGCCTGAGGGCGGGGGTGGCCAGACGAAGAGAAGCAACTACTCCGTATATACTTCGGATGTACTCTCTCAGCCTGCAAGGGCCCGGCGGATTTCCCCACCCGGCCCAGCAACGAACTCACTCGGGGAGGCTGCCGGGAGACCCCCATCGGGAAGGTGCCGCGGCGGCGATCTACGCGCTGCTGGCCGGAGGTTGCGTGCTGGGGCCGAGGAAACCCACGCGCGGTAGGGCCGCTGCAACGCCCCGGCTGTTGGTGGTGGTGGTGGTGGTGGTGGCGGGCCGGTGTGCGAACCACGGGGCTGCGGCAACGCCATCAAAGCTACATACCACCACCACCACCTCTGCCCACCAACCGCTGAGTGCGTGGCCTGCCGCTTTGGGTCTGACGCAGCGGGGGATCGTCTGCAGCTCGCCGCGGGGGAAGTCTTTTTTTGTCTTTCTGTTTTTTTGTTCGTCGACATCAGTTTGCCCCTGCTGCGTGCCCGTCAAGCTAGCGACGGGAGGCTGAAACACACGAAAGAAGCCACCAGACATCTGTGTTCCCTTTTTTCTTTTTTCTTTTTTCGCTTTTTGGTTGCTGCATCGGCATTTCCGCGGTGGGAGAGCACGGCACGGCACATCGTACGATGTACGCTGCGGCAGGCTGGCATTGCATGGAGGTATGTGTATGTGTACCCCCCCTGGTTGACGGGGTGGAGATTGCTTGATGGAGAGATCAACGCAGGCTCATCTTGCTCTCACCCTCTGCTAGAAGGTAGTGGTGCACACATACATACTCCGTACATACATACATACCTACATCGATGTTCCATGGCCACGCCGCCGCAGAGCCTTACAAGGCTCAGGAACTTTTTTTTTTGTTTGCTTTCAAACTCTTTAGCCTGGTATAGTAGTTCTTTCAATCAAGAACCTTTTTTGTTGTTTTATCCTTTTTTGCCCGCCAAAAGTGTAAACTAATATCCACTACTAGTTATAGTTCCCACATTAGCCACATGGCGAGGTCCAATGGCTTTTTGTGTGAACTACTGTGGCTCTCGATTTTGCTTGTTCCTCGGCTGATCCGACGGCAGATGGGTCGACTGACAACTGTCACAAGAGGCAAGTATCAAATGACCCCAAGGCCGATTGCAGGCATTAGAGTCAACAAGGAACGAACCACCCTCGCCGTAGAAAAGTCCTCGGGGTAGCAGGAAGCTGTATCATTATTGTGCTTAAGTGTCACTTCTGGCCCTCGCCCGCGACAGCACGGCCATCTGGCTCTGCAGGCCTTTTTTTTTTTTTAGGTGTCCGGTGGAGCCCACCCACAGTTCAGCAGGTCTGGTACCGACCTGGGGATCCGCGGTGCTTAAACCGCTGGGGCAAAAACAGCCTTTCGCCAGTTTCTCCCGCTCAACACATACTCGTTTGAGCAAAGGCGTGGTGGAGGCGCGTGTGTTGAAAGGAAAAAAATAAATTTCTTTTCTTGTATGTTAATCGGGTGGTTAGTTCACTATTTGTCATGGTCCAGGCCAAGGCAGAGATGGATAATGAAGAAGAACCAGTGTAATTACGGAAACGAAGAGAAAGAAAGGCAAAACAAGAGTTGGGCAAAGCCAGATCCCGAAAGCAAGAGCTGGCGCGGACTGACTCGCACGTGGGTCGGCAGCGAGAAAAGAGTCAGAGCGAGGTGTGGTCGATGACCGGCAGACAAAAGCCAAAAAGAAAAAAAAAAAAAAAAGAGAGCAGCTCTGTCAGAACAGCCCATATTGTGATGATTGATTATTTCAGCCTCTCCCTCGGCCTTGCTCCCCCCCCCTGCTGCGACGACACACACCTGAAACGCGGCTTGACATACCCCCTAAGACGCGACACCGCGCGGTTTCGCATTTTCTCTCTTTTCTTTTTATTGACCATGACCTCATCGGACTCCAAACCCCCCCTTGATCCCGGGAGCCGGGTCTTGCGTGCACGCGCGCGCGCGAGAGAGAGCGAGCGAGCGAGCGAGCGCGCGCGTGTGTGTGTCAGACGTTGGATTTCAGAGTGAGTCGACGCCGGGCCGCCGCATGGCCAGGGGGGAGGGGTGGGCCGGAGAATGTAACGGCGTGGGTGTTATTATTATGATTAATTCTTAGCTAGCAGAGCAGTATTAGTATTATTCCTTTGGATTGCTGATGGTTTTTTTTTTTCTTCTCTGGTTCAGTCTGTAACTCCAGAATATGTATCGCGTGTGCGCGTGTGTGTGGGAGTCGAGGAATGACAATAATAACAATAACAATGCCTCCCTCCTCGCTCCTTTGCCGGCTGGGGGCGCGTAGCTAGCTCGCTCCCACAAGGCGAACTCAACGCCCGCGGGATCGCCGCGCATCCTAGACACACACACACGCTGTCCTTCTGGAAAAAAAAAAAGAGAGACAGAGAGAGAGATGGATAGATAAAGAGTTGGCGCCGGTCCAGGAACAGCCGCTGAAAGGATGCGCGTCCATCTTCCTGCCGCCCCATTCCGTCGGGACGGCCGTGGATTCGAGTGCGCTCTCGGTATTATTATGATGATGATGATGATGATTCCCTTGTTTTCTCTGTTTCGTCTCCCACGCAGCCCAGGTGAGACAGGGGGTGTGGTGCGGGTGCGGGCGCGCGCGCGTGACGCTGGGAGGTGTGATACTCCGTACTCCGTAGACAGCCACACGCGCGCACAGCCATCTGCGAGCTGTTCGGAGTTCCTTTCTGCTTGCTCTCTGCAGCGTAATCCTAATATTATTATTATTTGATTCTGGAGATTCGGCGGTCCTGCTTCCCGTGGAAAAAGATAAAAAAAAAAAAAAAAACGGGGAATTAACAATCCATCAAATTTTCCTGCAACGCCCCCCACTTCCGCCAGTCTTTTTAATTTGGCGCGCGCGCGCGTGTAACGAATAGCTAGTTAAGTAACTAACTAACTACCTAAGTTACCATCCGAATCCCGCTGTGACGCCTCGACGAAACGGAAATCGGAGGGATGCGTCGTACATAACACAACCTGCAGCCCGCCATGCATACATATGCATGCGAGCGAGCGTGCGTGCGTGCATACTGCCCTGACGATATTATTGACGGTTTTGGCACGGAGGCCGGCAGAAAGGGGGGGCCACGGCGTTGCAGCCGGGATGTTGCCTGGGAGCGAGGGGAGGGTCTGTCTGAGCGTGTGTGTAGACGCCTGGTGGGTGTGTGACAGTGTGTCTTAGACGCAGGATAATAGTAATAATAATAAGAATAAGAATAATACGAGCTGGAGAACGGAGAACGGAGATAGAGAGTAGGCGGGACTACGGGAGAGAGGAATGGGCGAGGACAGGATTCCGCTGATCCGGGCGGGCCCAGGATGACACGACACGACGACGACAAGACCAGCAGCTGGCGGGCTGGCTGGCTACGTAACTAACTAACTAACTAACTAACCCACAGCTCTAGCGAGCGAGCGGCCACCAAAAGGCTGTGAAACAAGAGAAGAAGATACTTACGCTACGCTACGCTACGCTGTCAGGCACGGCCGCCCTACGGCCGGTGGCGGTGGAGCCCGTAATTTAGGCCGATCTTACTATATAGCCCGCCTGCCTACCCGCCCGCCGGCCTTGGGGGGCGCCGCGCGCTGGCTGGTTGTGCTGCCTTTGGTTTTCTTATTTAACTATTTATTATTGCTGCTCGTTTTCTTCGTCTTCGGCCTGTTCTTCGCTCGTTCTTCACGCTCCTTCACCCGTCACTCCTTCACACATAACCACCCACCCGCCCTCTTGACTCTGTCTCTATCTCTATCTCCATCTCCCACCACCACACCTCTCTCACAATGCCGTCCTACTCCTCCCAATACCCTCCCTGCCCCGGCCCGCCGCCAAAGGGCCCGCTGCCGCCCATCCCCAAGTAGAGCCGGACAATCGTCGCGCCGCCCGTCGTCCGTGTCGCATCATCGCCATCCGCAGTTTCACGACCCTCTCCCCCCCCCAAAAAAACAGGCCGCGACCACACCCTCTCTCCCTTTGCCCCAGACATCCATCCCGCCGCAGCTGGCCTGCTACAAACAACTCCGCGGAAAGCCGTGCTCGCCGCCGCCTCCTCCTCCTCCTCCTCCTCCTCCTCCTCCCTGGCTCGTCTCTTCGTTTTGATACCCTCTGAACTATTTTTTTTTTTTTTTTTTGCCGCTCGATTCGTCTTGGCCCTTCCTTCGCCCTTCCTGTGCTTCTTGGATGCACTCTTTTTTCCACGCGGTTGCTACTACTCCGTCCTCCCGTCCTCCATGGAGTGCTAGCAGCTCCTGGGCTGCCCCCTCCCCTGGCCTTGGACCGGATCGAAATATGGCCCCGATCCAAAAATTAAGAAAACCGAGAAATACAGAGAGAAGAACCAAAAAAAACTAGCATCACGCCGTCCTCCCTGGCAAGCCCCAAAAAATGAAGAGCCCTCTCCCCGCGATTCGATAGTCTTACTTGCATGTCCCCCCGTCCGGCCCGGACAAAGCCAGCAGCAGCCGTGGGCGAGGAAGGAGGGGATTGTTGGCCCCGGACGACACACAGACCGCCCAGGAACCGGCCCTACCCACCTTCATTGACACCTCTCCATCACTACTGCAGGGCGTGCGGGCAATAATATCGCGCACATCGCAGCCCCCAGCAGCCATCAAGGCCGTCATCTGACTCGCGGAGACGCCGGCGCACCACCACCCCATTTATTTTAACCTTTTTGTGCATGCGTCGGAAAACAGCAACCCGCCCTGGCCCTGCATTAGTTCGTCTCCGGCACTGCGGCGTTTCTGGCCCGCGCAGCCTGCAGCCTGAGTCACAGCCGTGCTCTTTACTTTTTTTTTTTCTGCCGACCGGGGAGGGATGGAGGGGAAGGGGAGAGGGGCCGGCGGTTGTCAGGTGAGCCTGGCCGGCGCGTCGTCGTCGTCGGGAGTTGCGCTTCCGTTGTTGCGTTTTTCCCTTTCCGGATCACCTGCCCGCCACACTCGGCTTTGCGTCCTCGTATCTTCAGCAGATCGCAACTAGTTGACTACCATACGTGCATGCTCATGCTGACGTGCAGACAACTTCGCGGATACTACTACTACTACTACTACTACGACATACACGATGTCGCTCCCACCGCCTCGGGACCCAGCCACTGCTGCTCTCATTCGCTGCCCTTCTTCCATACCTTGGTTGGCCGTGACTCCTTTTTTTTTCTTGCTTTCCCTGAAGAAAAGAAACAGACGGATCAGGAAACCTGCTCCAGCCTTATGCTTCCTCCGCCCCATGTCCCCGGGAAGCACGACCCGCTCGCCTCCGTATTTGTCGGTTGGTGTTGTGCTGCTGCTATTTTAATATTTCCAGCACAACATTCCTTTTTTTTTTTTTTTTTTTTTTTCAAGGCTTCTCCAACCTTTTCCCTTCGTCCCTCTTGTCTTAACTAACACACCCTTTTTTTTTCATTCCGCTTCTTTGCCTGTTTGATATATACACACTTGTATTCCATAGACAACTTCCCTCCCTCCCCGCCCTTATTTTCATTCGGATGTTCCCCGCGCTTGTTCTTTTCTTTTCTTTGCTTTTTTTTTTCTCGTTCTGTTCGTCCGTTGAAAGATGGTGGCTTTTGTAATGTTAATGTAATACGCTACACACGTTTGCATGTGGTTGATGCAGTATGAAAAATAAAAAAATGAAGAGAAGAGCCCAAAAAAAAAGAAAACAAATACCCAAAAAAAGAACTTTTTTTTTTCGCACCATTTTCCGGCTTCGAGGCTCGATGATAGCTCTGTCCCTGTACCATTCTGCTGTTTTGCTTTGAAAAAAGAACCCCCCCCCACCTTAGCTTTATAGGCTTCTAGAGATTTTAAAAAAATATATATCAAAATAGACTTCGACAGTACTCACGCCCACGCTCCCCTTCCTTATTCGTGTGCATGCATTGTGGTTTCGGTCGTCAAAGCTATAGATACTCTAGATCCCTTCTCAGCTGAAGTCGACGGTTCTCAAACAAAAAAGTTACCAGCGTTCCCGATATTATTGGTACGCGAACTAATAATGAACCCGCGACAATGAGTTCTGAGTTTGGCCTGGAAGGCAAACCAACCAACCGCCAGTATGTCGAACCAAGACATATGCCGGGGTTCCAGTTTCTTTTTCTCTTTTTCTTTTTTATATATATATCTTCCCAGGGTATATATATTATAACCTCCCCAATCGAGCCGGGAAAACCAAGGCCCCAAGGGGATTAAAAGTTCCACGGTGGTGCCCGGGACCTGGCTTTAATAGTCTCTACGAAGTTAGGTACTTGTACCTGCGGAACTACCTAACCTAGCCCGCGTGCTGTCATCCGAACAGTACCAAATGGGCCTTCTCGATAGAAAATCAAGCGGTGTACAGTACATGCCTCCCTCCCATGGGGTCCAATAAATCGCTCGGTTTTCAAAGATATCTGGGAAGAAATATGACATAGCTTGGGCGAAAACACGGTTGCATCATGGGGGAGAATTTGGAGGGGAAAAAAAAAAAAAAGATCATGATCTGTGTCAGGCACCATGTATGGCATGAAGATGGTATTTCTCGGTGTCTCCTGGGTGACTCTGGGCATAATTAGTGCTAAGAATGTGCACGGCTTCAATGAGCCTTGAATTATTGGGGAAATATCCGCGTTATCATAATACTGGTCGTGTCTACGATTTGTTTCTGGGTTATTGAGAGAACGCCTGCCAGGAACGTTCCCCTCAACCTTGTTTGAAGAAGAGCTGGGATAGAATTCACAATTTAGAATATTTATAAGAGGGCCACAATGGAGTACAAAATGTCATTTAGGATTCTGAAGCCTGCCGAATGGTCAGGTTTTCGTGTGAAATCACTATTGTTATTATTATCATTATTATTATTACAATTCACAAGCTCTGCTCAGTCTCCACCAGGGGGGGAGGCAAAATAGAGAGGCCTGTGTAGCACACCATCTCCATATACTTTATTAAATACGGAGTGCGGAAACGGCTGCTGGTACGATATCCTTCACTTGCGGCTTCTTAGAAGGCTGCCTCTCCGATAGAGAGGGGGGCAATTTGTAAGCTCCTGGAAGATAGGAAGCCCTGCTACAAAGGTTAGGAAGAGCTCGAAGAATTGAAATCAAAGAAACGATGGTTACGTTTTACAAGTTAAGCACCCAGGGATCAGCACGACACAAGGTCAGGGCTTGCTAGAAAGCAACGGATACAGTACCCAGAAGGAATCGCATTTCCCAGGGCCAGGGGAGGGAAAATCAATTAAGGGCTGGGAAAATTCCTTGGGATTTATATCTCCAAGGTCACCGCGCGGGGGCGTACTATTCGAGCGGCAGAAACGTCTTCCTCGAGCGGGTGGTCTCGTTGACGATATCCCTCGCAAATTCTGGCATGGTCATGTATAGATCCTGAAAGTCCGGATCCACCTGCAACGTCAAAATGGTGGGGATGATCGCATTCAACAGCTCCTGGCGTAGTTCAGAGGTATGCGTGCCCGGGGCGTAGGCCATCCGGATCAGGTCGGCGACCACGGGGAAGAGCAAATAGTTCAAGTCGATGCTTTTCACCCTTGCCAGCGCCAGTTTGCGCAGATGGTAGATGTCGTATTTGTCCGCCAGTTTGAACACCTTGGCATGGAACAGAAGTGTGTAGATGTCCCCTGTGTCGGGGAAGCATGTGTAGTCGAGATGGTAGACGTATTCAACCAGGGCTTGGATAATACCGGGTTCGTCCTCTGAGAGGTCCATGGTGCCAGGTTTAGCTTCCTATTGGGAGATCAGCAGCTTCTCTCTACAAGTAAAGACGAAAATAATTGCTAGTACAGGAAGTACCTACGTTCCATTCGCTGCGGAAGGCATTAAGAAAGAACTCTGAGTGACACGCGAGAACAAACCTATGGACCTCGAACCTCGCGCCTTTGCATGTCAATGTTGTATCTGTGAGGATGGATTCCTCAAAATATCTATGTACAGTCAGCGTCCAAGCCCGCCATCGCAACAACGGAACATCGAGTAGAAGAAGAGTACAGTTGCACATGTCGTAAGAACGACGTCTGGCGTTCATCCATCGCAATTTCTGCAGAAGACGTATTTATAGAGAATAATATTGCGCAATTGAGGCTCTATCACTCAAGTAATAGCGTTGGTATATTCCAGGGAACATCTTTCGGTGCAGAGGTTGCATCGCACTCAGTGCAGCTGCCATGACATCAGCAGTCCTGCCAGAGCTTCCAGCAGCTTTTTGGGCATCTTATGCTTTATGCTTTATGCTGCGCCGGGCAGGGTCATATTTGGGGGAAAGCCTGGCATTTAAGCTATTGACGTTCGAGAATCCAATCGGCGCGGCTCAACAGGCTTGGCACGTGACCTCGGATTTTTTTGGCCCATACCTCGAACGACCACCGAAGCTGACCGCGGCTTCACGGACGACAATCCATCGCGATTCATTAGAAACCCAACATCTTCGGGGTATCCAATAAACCCAACTGATACTTAGATATTTATGGCGATAATTCAGTGAATGCAAATAGAACGCTAAGTTATTAAACGTCGGCCCAGAGATCCTGGACGTTTACGTGGCTGGAAGATGGCGCTTGAACTTCACACCTGGGGCCCGGCGTTCGGCCTGCCCTCGATTGACGCGGAATGTATTGCTGCGATTGCATTACTTACGCTCGCTGTGCCGAAAGCGGATCCACCGGCCTGGGTGTTGATACCTGGAAGCGACCCCAACATTGTTCCTACACGTATGTGCAAACTATGGCCAGTGTGCCATAACACGCTCCATTAAGATTCATGAAATCGATTTAGCTGACGGAGCTGTGCCACTACACAGAGAAGCTACCTGCGCTATGGACGGGGCTAAGATGGGTTAGCGGATTCGAGAATATCGTTCAATTCCTGAAGCAATACTCTGGCGGGAAGTGGAATCTGGATGGATGGGTTAGTCCTGAAGAAAAATCAGACATTGTCGCGTACGCTTGCAATATCCCTTCTTCTATGTCGATGCGCGTCACTAATGGTCGTTGAAAGGCTCTCGTGTGTCCTCGAAAGTCGTGGCACACTGCTCATCGATCTGTCTCTGTATGACAATAGCGAAAACTACCGCTTCGCCACGTCCCCCGCTTATGGAACCATGCTCCAATGGCCAAATCAATGGATCATTCCACCTGCGATACTGTCACGCGCCAAAGCGAGAGCAGCGTTATTTGGCGTGCACTCGGCGAACGACCCGGACGTTGAGCAAGAGAGGCAGCAAGGGCGGAGTTCAATTCAACTGGCCGCAGCCCATATTCCAAAGAGCCTGACGACTAAACCCCGAGAAACTATGTCTAGCGCATTGGGACAGGCATCGTCTCGATTTCGGCTGCGGAACTTGGTGGATTTTGTTGCGACACCGCTAGAAGAGGTAATCACCAACAAGGATCCCAGTGCAAGGCGGGTGTCAACTTTGGACTGCTTAGCGCTGGGGTATATCTCGCTAGCCCTTATCCCTAACCTGCCTGACCCGTGGCTCAAAGACTATCTATTGGATCTGGCGCCATCGCTTTGCTCCTATGTTGATGAAATGCAAGCCTCGTGTTTTGGAGGCCAGATCGATGCGGCAGCGGTGTTATCAGGGAACGTGTCTAACTCTCACCTGCCTTGGCAGCTTCCACCTAAAATTGGCCTTGCGGGTATTGGTCGAAGCCTCCTTGAAGGCGTCGCCGATTCGATCCCGGTAATAAAGGATATCCGCCTGAGCAGACGCCTCCAAGAAACAGGTATGGAAGCGTCGCTTAATCCCAAAGAGGTCTCGACGGCGGCCAAACACTACAGGCAGGATGCTTTGGTGTCTGCAGCGACGACAGTGATCGGCGTGGGCATGTTTGTGTTTTACATCTTCAAGGTTGGCCTAGTTCAGGTGGTGGACACGGATGAGGAGCAAGACGGAGAAGAGCCGCAACCCGGGTCAGCCGACGAGCCGCAACGCGCACAATCGCAATTCGGTGAGGCAGGCTCGATCCTGGGACTGTGAAGGCGCGTGCCTTCCGTTATGCGATCTGGCGTTGCTCCCGACGAAGCGGTCACCGGAGACCCCCTCCATCCTTTGTTCCTTCCCAATCTAAGCGGAAATGCGCCCTTGCGCGGCCGGCCAATCAGCGCGCTGGTAACCCCCGTTTTCTTGGCCGCCTTTCCCCCAAGGTCCTCGCCACTATACCGCTCGCCACGTCCTGATTGGCGCTGGCTGCTGCTGACTCAGCGCCACGCGTGCCCCCAAGGTCCCCAGATGCTCTCATGCTTAGTCACCTGCCGTTTCCATCCCTCGCTGACCGCACGGCGGCTTCGACTCCTGCCTCTGTGTCCCCTCGCTGTCTCTGCCTCTGACATCTCCCTCTCGCCGCCATTGACACCGCCTGTCCCTGCGCCCAACCTCCGTGTATCATCTACCGCTCCCATCTTACGCGCCAGCGAGCCCCGGTCATTCCCTTCGTTTCCTTGTCCCGCCTGGTTGGATGCTGCGCCCTGGCGTCAAAAAGCAACGACACCACGAGGGATACACGAAAAGTTTCTCCGGAGAATTTGGCTCCACCCTGCCCTGTCTCCGTGCTCGAGGTCCCCAGATCGCCGCCCACAACTCGTTACCAGCCCCATCTCTCCCTGTCCAAGCTTTGCCCAAGCGAGCCGCCCCTCAAGCTTGATCCCGCGAAGCTTACAACTATTGGCAGCATAACGATAGACCCTCAATAGCTACTTCCAATCAGATCTCAGACCCAGCCCGCCATTAGCGTTTGGGCCACAGCTAAGACACACGCCATTCCTTCGCCCCGAATATACCCTAATGTGAAATCGATTCCAACTTTGGCAACATCCAATTGTTTTATCCTTAGAGTGCTTGCTTTTTTCATCGTTGTAAAAAGCGGGATTCATGCATTCATAATAGATTGATCTTATCTGGCTACCGTTTGTTTTTCCTGTGTTCTTTATATAGACCTTTCATCGCCTATGAGCTCGGATCTTACCCCATCTCCTTATTGTCTGGACTCGAATTATAACTATCAAGCCGCCTGGCTACCCAATTCCTGCATACACACAACTACCATTGTGGCTTTCCCTACTTTTTTTTAACATCATGGATTCCATCTCGACAGCGCTTAGTCGGCGTCAAAATCACGCCGGCAATGGCCAAGTTCCTATCTGTAACACTGGCAATGAATTCAACGGCGACATGGCACTACGCATCTCTGCGGTGTTTGTCATGTTGATTGGCTCACTGCTAGGTGCCCTCGTTCCCGTCCTGGCCCGACAGGACCCATATGCCGAGAACACTCGAAAATCACGCATCCTCGCCTGGGTTTTTTTCGTCGCGAAGTTCTTCGGCTCTGGCGTCATCATCGCTACGTCTTTTATCCACCTGCTCGCTCCCGCCCATGAGGCACTGAGTAATCCGTGTCTTACTGGGCCCATCACATCATATTCCTGGGTTGAGGGCATTCTACTCATGACTATTATCACCTTGTTCTTCGTCGAGCTGATGGTGATGCGATATGCCCGCTTTGGTCAAGGCGATGAACACCCTGCACCAAATGTATCCCCAGAGACTGGCCTGACCACTTCCTCCACGGACGAACGCAAGTCCCCTCGTCCAGAAGATAGCCATCTGAACCATACCCAAGACCATCCATCAGACGGCGGCACCAACGCCGTCGAAGGCTCCCATACCGCTCTATTTGAAAACTACAGTGCCCAACTCACCTCCGTCTTTATCCTCGAGTTCGGAATCATTTTCCATTCCATCTTCATCGGCCTTACGCTCGCAGTCTCTGGCGAGGAATTTAGAACCCTCTACATCGTCCTAGTCTTTCACCAGACATTCGAGGGCCTCGGTCTCGGCTCCCGTCTTGCCACCATCCCGTGGCCCCAATCAAAGCGCCTAACACCGTATTTCCTCGCCATCGCCTTTGGTTTGTCTACGCCAATTGCCATTGCCGTTGGCTTGGGTATCAGAAACTCTTACCCCCCCGAAGGCCGCACCACCTTGATTGTCAATGGGATCTTTGACTCAATTTCTGCCGGCATTCTGATATATACCTCCCTTGTGGAACTGATGGCCCACGAGTTCATGTTCAGTACCTCCATGCGCCGGGCGCCTATTCGCACTGTGCTCCTGGCATTTGGGCTGCTATGTCTTGGGGCGATGCTCATGGCCCTGCTGGGAAAATGGGCATGAAAGAGACTTGGTTGGAGATTTCGTTGCACATATTACCTTCTTACCCTTTATCTGGTACATCTTGGTACCTACTAGGTGTGTAGTTACACATGCATTTATGGGCGTTTTTCTGCGCATGCCAGTTGGAATGAAAAGTTAAGGATCTGAACTGTACATACTAATAGGAAGCTTCCATATGCTGTCTTACATAACTGTTTTCTTGGTGCCTACTGTAACTTCTATGATTGCTGTATTCATGAATAGGGATTGTGGGGGGGCATTAGTATTTGATACCTGTGAATTGGAACTTTAAGTATCTATTATATACATGGCTTTTAGCCCTTGCCCGGAACTCCTCTCACTGCTTGGTCCGGTCAGGAAGTCGCACAACATGCAGGCATAAAAGTTGCACCACAGCTGCGATGGACAAATTAGTTCTTTCCATGTGGCTACTGTCCTAAGGCCATTGCTACTGCACTCTAAAAATCATATAGATAATAAAAAGTGCTGGAAAGGTGGTATCCTGGTTACAAACCATCAAAACATGTGAAAGATGATTCTCCTCTTCCTAAATCTTATGTTTCTTCGGGCCGCCCAGGCATCTGATATATCGGGGCAGCACCTATCGGCGGTTTATGGTCACAATTAGTGTACCTCCGGGTGGCGTCAATTTCGCCAGCAACGATTCCCCGTATGTGAGCATCGCTGACGAACCAGCCCCGCGACCGACCAAGAAAGACTATGATTGCAAATCCAAGGATTAACCCCCCGGCTACACCACCGATTGCGCCTCCAAGCAGGGCTACGGACACGCTACCCTGGCTATTTTCTTAATCGGTAAAAAAGACGAATCAGCTTTTAGACATTAAAAACGCATGCCTTTTGGGCAACCAGGAATACCTGCACCCCTATTCTGATTTCCACCAGTGGCACTTGGATTACCTTGACTCTGAGAACTTGGAGCTGCCCCTGGGCACTCGGCGTCCTTAGCCAAATCGCCATCCCGCGGATTGATTATGGCGAAGTAGTCGGAATTAGCAAGCCTCTCGGTATCACGAACGGCGATGAGATAGTCGCAGCCGGTTGGCGGGGCGGTTGGGAGTTTAGCAGTCGAGGGTGCTCTCAAAAAACTATCGTCACGGCTGCGCTATTGGTAGGAACCATTGTTTGAAGTACCCGCTACAGCATAGAGGTATTAGTGTATGCCTGTATCACATGTGGGTGATTCTCCGGCTTAACGATTTCCACATACATGAGATGGAATGAACAGTGGTCAAACTATCGGGGAGCCCCTTCCGAAGCTCGAGTTTCACCTGTTTGGCGTCAGACACCTCCCATCGAATTTCGATATCAATGCCAGTGTTAAATCTTTCGCCACGTGTAGGCGACAGAACTTTCAATCCATCGCGTTTAAAGAGTGAGAAGCCGCTGGCAAGGGAGCCACAGAACACGACCAAGAGGGGGTAAAGAGAAATCATATTGAGGTCATACCACTTCGCTGTTCCAGCGCCAGTGTTGTGATTGTTGTCTTCATCTTCCCGGGAAAAAAAGGTGCGGTAGAAATAGCAAGGCTGAAATCAACAAGAGAAGCGAGTATGATCCGCTATGAGAGGCCAGAGCTCAGATGGCGCTGTGATGCCAAGCAGCGCCTTTTGCTCGGCTTCCTAAAAGGGCTAGGAGTTCTCAGTGAGATACTATTGATGCCTTCATGGGGGAAAGAAACAGCATGGTGATTGTTTGCCTTGTACTCCGTATGGAGCACTCTGTTTCATTAGTATTGATATTCAGCAGGATATGTTCGAGAGAGTTCGTAAGTTGAGGCCCGAACGATGACTCGCTCGGCCAAAGATACTAACTTTATCAGTCCAAATGTAAATGCGAGTCTCAGGCATGTCGGGACATTTTAAATAATCCGTACGAAGAATGCTGGGCATGCGGTGAGAACGACCAGAGAATACAAACAGTGCAAACTCGCCAAGCTAATCACTATCGATTCTCATCGCCGGCGCCCGTCGGTTACGCGCAGTTTGCTAGCAGTGGGGATGCCTTTATTCTGAAATGGGCTGGGTTGGCTTTGGGGTTTTTCTGGTCTCTGTGTCGTATATCCTATACAAACATCCACCGCACTCGTGGGATTTCGTACCATGGCCATCCCCCCAGCGAAACACAAGCGCTTCCACCCCAAGTCCTCCCAGACACGAACCGGAGTCCTCACATAACACACCGACCGTGCCGCATTTAGAGTTGGAAAATGAGGTTAAAGAGAGAGTCTCGCCAGAAGATGATGCAGAGCCCACGGATACTACACCAAAGGCGATCCCGGCTGCCCCACCGCCTGGTTTGAATATCCCAGTGCTGAACCTGGACCAACCGCCAATGTCATTAAAGTCCTCTAAACAGCCACCTGTGGCCCCTTCAATTTCTTCGCCGATAGACGTCCGCTCTCCACCAGATGCGCGTCCTTCGCTCCCTGGTTCTATGCCACCCCCTCCGCGGCCGAGTTCTCTTGCCAACAAGTCCGCCGGCTTGATGCCACCACCGCCACGACCCTCTCTGCGCGCTCCACTTCGCCCACCTCCATCCAGTGCATCATCCCTCCGCGTACCCCCTTCCCGCACACCTCCCACTAGCCGGCTATCCAGCAGCACCCTCTCCCCATTCGGCGTATCCGGTGTGCCACAAAAATCATCCCGGCAAGTCGTCCTCGAGCCGGGCCATTCCCCGCTTGACTGGGCCGCTTTGACTTCGAACCCGCGGAGTAATCTTAGAGGTGAAAATGTACCTCCAGGGCTCTTACGAGTGACGCCATCTATGCTGAAGGCCCAAAATGGACGAAAGGGACGAGATGCATGGACGTCGTATCAAGGAAAGGTTTATAATATTACTCCGTACTTACCCTTCCATCCCGGAGGTAAAGGAGAACTTCTAAGAGGCGTTGGAAAGGACTCAGAGAAGCTCTTTCTAGAAGTCCATCCATGGGTTAATTGGGATGGAATGTTAGGGGAATGTATGGTGGGTATCTTGGTCAGCGAAAACGAGCTGGCAGCACAGCCAGGAACTCTAGATGAGATGGATTAGTTCCAAAATTCTCTTTATATAACTATCATACTGTGTCTATAGAGTTTGGATTATGATACCCACGTCCATGATTTATCTCCTTTCGCATGGAAATAGTCTTTTTTGTTTTTTCGCCCCTTTTCTGTGCCCGTTGTGAGTAGCTGGCAAATAGTAGTCAACCGGTAGAGCTCTTGTAGTAAAAGCAGGCTTCTTTTCTTGCTCTCTTTACATTCACTGTTTGGCTTCTGCACGAGGCCGGAGCAGATAGTACGGAGCCACTTTCAATGCGAATGTAGTAATCTGAACATGGCCCATACGATCATTTAACACATAACTCAAAGCTCGTCCTTCGACACGCCATCAATACCCATCAACTCCGTTTCAAAGACCAAAGTCGATCCGGCTGGGATTATTCCCAAGTCGCGGTCTCCATAAGCGAGCTCCGGCGGGATCGTCAGCTTTCTCTTATCACCAATGCACATGTCGAGAAGACCCTGGTCCCAACTACATATAGCAATTAATTTGACGTCTTTCTCTCGTTTTTGTAGGCGCATTTAGGAGGGCGCGTTTAACCTACCCCTTGATGACCATCCCCGCGCCCAACACGAAACTCAACGGCTCTCCACGATCATAGCTGGCGTCGAATTGCTTGCCGCTACCTGCAAGAGTACCGCGATAATGCATGTTGACGTTGTCGCCGTTGGCGGTGCGCCGCTTGCATTCGACGGAGTGGGTTTTCTCGATCTTTAAGCCCTCGGGAACATCGGTGGCGGCGGCTAATGACTCGAGGGAAAGGGAGAGGATGGAGAAAAAGGTTGAGAGATGCATTGTCGCGGATTTTGATGTGTTTGAAGGCTGGGTTCTGGTAATTGAGGTGAAGAAGCAGTTGTTATTAAGTTGGTTACTGCATTCAAGCTTATCTGTTAACTTCGGGCCGAACGGGGTAAAGACGCCGCGTTTCCATCTTGGCCCACGCGCTGCTGTAAACTTGACTACGGACTAAAGCCAGGGCGAACAATTCAATGCCATGCCCCCACCCCCGGAAAATATGGACCCCAAGTCTTCTTCATATACTCCGTATGAACCTCTCATCTTCTCCGCTCGAAACCCCAGAACTTTTATATATACCTCTTTTCAAACTTTATACAGCCAACAACCCCCCCAGTTAATGCACCCATCGAAGACTAAACACATCTTCTCCACCCTTTGACAATGCAACTTCAACATTCCCATCCGCGCTCTTGATGGTCTTGGGGATGACCTCGCCTTTTCTTTCCAGCACAATCTTCGTGGCGTTTTCTTCTGGTAATTTGTAAAACTTTCTACCAGATCGGCTTAGGAAGTTCTCAAGACTTTCCTGGGTAACTTCGCTCTCGTCCACGATGCCGCTTTCGACTGCGTCCTCCAGTGCTTTGACGACGTATTGGGTTGCGAAGGACTGGGTGTAGACGCCAGCCGCGGGCGTAGCACCCTGCTTGGAACTGACTGGATGCGGAGCGCTATCACTCCCACTTCAAACAAGTCACTAATCCATGAAGGCCAGGATAGAATATGAGGGTCAACATACAAAAAGAATTTCGAATCGTTGCTGCAAGAGGCTTTTAGCAAGGCGTTTCGATCCTGTGGAGTCTTCGCGATGGGCTTGCAGAACGCCAAAGGGTTTACAGTATCATCGATCGTCAGATACAGGTGGTGAGCGGTGATGGTAGCTGTTCAATTTCAACTTTCGGATCCATGAGTGAGTTGTGAATACTTACCTGCTACAGATGACCCGCAGGAACGGACAGCTTCTACCGCCGCGGCTGTGGAGCAGTGCTCCAAGATGATTCTTAAGTTTGGGAAATGCTCATGTATTCTCTTCAGCGTCGGTAGGAATGCTTCTTCGGCATTCATGACATTGACATCAGGGACTTCTCCATGAATATTGAGCACAATGTGATGTTTCTCCATAGCTTCAAAAACAGGAAAGAAATCATCTAGGTTTGCAACACCCGAAGCAGAATTTGTTGTAACACCTAATGAGATATTAACCACATAAATGGGAAAACTGGGGATCTAAAAGGACTTAAAATATACCTTGGGGGTATACTTTTACTCCGGAAATACCAGCGGCAGCGGCTTCAGCAATGACCTCGGGGGTGATTGAAGAGTATATCTTCAACCTGTCAGAACCGAGCTGTTCTGTGCCAGCAAGAGTATCGGGGCAAAGGGTTAACTTATATGAAGATATAAAGACATTAGATATGTCACAGTTGGGTCAATGGCTAGGAGGCGATTCCGGTACTCTAAAGCTTGAGCAACGGTTGTGACCGGCGGCACAAGATTTGGCTACGTAGAGCAGGTTGGTAAACCCTCATATAAATCGCAAAGCGACGTGTATTGCTCTTCTCACCATAACAAACACGGTATCAACGCCGCCTCTTCGTATCTGAGGCGTGATCAACTCCATCATCGGGCCGTCGCGAAGATGGACGTGCATGTCGGCTGTTGGAGGAAGCTCCAGGCGGCTAACTTCTTTCAAACGCATGGTAGCTGTAGTAGATGAGAGGCTAGAATATTCTCGTGAGCTGCAATCTACCAATATTTACCCAACTACGGGGGAGCCGTAACATGCCAGGCCTCTGCGGGGCGAAATTGATATCCGACATCCCGCCTTCGCCGGAAAAACGCTTGGGCGTGTCGGATAAATTAATGTTGCGCTGCAATCCTCGCTTCTGAGCTGTCAACAGCACTCACCAGCACAAACGCTGATTGCTCCAGATTCGCCTACACAGGTGCTCAGTACATTGAGGTACTTGTTCTACTCGTCTAGCTTCCACATTTTAGGGTGCTCTCTACCACGAAAATTGACCTAAAATGGCGACAGAACACACCGTCAACGCCTCTAAAACAGGTCCATTCTACAGAGATCTTCCACCCACCTGTCACCTAGAAAATATCAGATGCTCATGAAGTGTTCATACTGGAGTTTCTAGCATCGGAAGATGTGTGAGAACGCTGGGTTCAGCCATGGCCTCTACGAGGCGCCAGTGACCCCTCGCGACCGGGCCGACGTTCGTGACTTCTCTCTTGTTTGATCAGTTTTGCGACACCTGGCACGTCCTCACTTTTTGTAGCTGCCAGCCTGATATTAACAGCGAGATCGCAGCGCCTCACCCAGTGGCCCCGGCGATGTCCCGCGACGACTCGCCCTGCACCCACCGTTCGTTGAGCCTGCGCACACCAGCCAGGCCAAGCAATGCAGTGCTGCGATTGGCTGCCGGAGCGGTGGCAGAACCAGCCAATCACTGGCCCGCCACCGTTGAGGCTGCGGCTAGTCCCGTTTGGGCCGTGACCAACAACCGACTCTCTCCGCCCAAATCGCAGCGTCTCGTTTCCTCCTGCACGCAGACACCTCGGCCCTTGGTGCTTGGTACGATGCACTCCGCAGCGTCGCAAGCCCAATTGGATCCCAAACCTCAATCCTGCAGCGTTTCTCCCAGCCACGCCTGCTCCCCCTGTCACATCTCCAACCCCAATTCTTGCTGATCGCTGGCCCGCCCGGAGACCCATGAACTCCCTGCAGCAGTTTGAGTCAACTCGGAACAGTCATACATTTGTTTCTTCCCCCGATTCGTTTCCAATCACCTTTGCACCCCATAATTAGCATCGAGATGGACCTGGACTCCCTCCGCTTGACCCATCATTTGCGGCCCAGCAGTATAGGGCCCCAGCTGATCAGCCCGTTGCTGTGCCGCTTTCTGCCTAATACAACATGCTTTGCTCCGCCGCGCTGGTCCTGCCGATGGAATCACCGCAAGGGCCGTCCCGCATCAAAGTCTCTGATTGACTCTATGACAAGGCCGCTTTACCCTTTCCATCCTCCCCTATTACTTGATGCCTCACAACCCTACAGCTCCTGCTTGGTTGCCTGGTGCGATTACTTCATATCCCTCCCTTTTCCTGGCCCTGTCGGCGACTTGCGATGAGATTCTGCAGTTGCGTTCCTTCTTCTATGCCAGCGGCGTAGCTTTGGCGACTTACTGCCTGCTGAGATGCATTTTTGTCAGGCAGCACCACCCATTTCAATGCATTCAGGGAACACCTCGTTCCTTAACCTGCGGCTACTTTGTCTTTCAGACCTCTCTTCCTCTCAGCGTGTCCTTACATAAAAGAAAGACATCTCCCCTGTCTTTTTCCCCATGATTCTAACATTGCCTGTTGAGTAGGTTGTGCTTTTAATCTCTTCGACACTTTCTTTGAAAGTGTATCTATGCCTTTCCCTTTCAAGTCTACTTACCACTTCTTCATTAGCTCCCACTGGAAAATGAAGATCTCCTTCAGATTGTCTTGCAGTTTATAATTGATGTTTTTCTTCTCATTTCGCCATCATGCCCCACTCCTATTCTTCAAGTACTTCTTCGCAAGCGAGTACGACCAGCGGATATAGCTCAGCAAGCTCTCAGACTTCGTATGGTAAGTGTTCCCCTTCATTGTTGCTAGTTTCGACTCTTAGTTTCACCTCCTTGCCCCCGTAATCCTCCGGCTAATTCTTTCATCTTTCATAGGTAGCAGTCAGGGCTACCACCAATCCCAACCACACAAACCATCCGTCCATAATCCTAATAACCGTGACTCGACTAATTCTAAACGTGGCTCCGATGCGAGCAGGTGGAAATAGCTTTCCTAGCAGCCTCCTTTCAACTGGCAAGCACTTTGGATCTCAATATTCGTTCTTGTCTGGTTGAAGCAGTCACCCTTCCCACAATAGTGGTGTGACATGAGCAGACAGGAATGGGTTTTAAAAGTGAGGCGCCTATCTCAGACGACGATATCGCCTGATAGCCCCTCGTCGTCGTCTCAGCCCTCTCCCTATCTTCTAACCAACCTACCCATTTTGCTTTTACGCTGCATCATACATACGCACGCCACCTGCGAACGCGAGAGGCCTGTGTTTCTGCATCTTGTACGTTGACCCCTGGTTCTCCCAAAAGCTACCCGCCACGCCTCTATCACCCCCATGGCGCAAATAGCAACACCAAGGCGGCGGCCCCTGCCTTACAACCCCCCTCTCCCCGGCGGCTTAGTAAAACACAACAGTCTGGTGTCCCCATTGGTCGGACCGTATCTGTTCGACATCAGCTAACTATGAGGCTGTTTGGACTTTGTGGGCTTTTGATTTTACTCTTGTTCATATTAGAACCCTGTATTACTACTCCAGATATCGTATCTTAGAACTAGATAGCATCACTGCTCAAAATCTTATCAAGCAACTCGACTCTTTCAACTCTTGCCGCCTCAATCTTCCCACATAGCCTGTTCATACAGGATGTTCGCAGTATGAGACGTCTCGGGTATTTTCAGCCTCACACTCCAAAAACGAGGAGCAAAACCTGGCGAACTTCGAAACAACGATGACAGCATCGAGCTCACATGCACGGCGGCGTAGCACACACAAGGCAAATTCTCATCCGATCTGACTCCAGGCTGCCATAGGCCAAAGTGCCTGCGTAGTTTCCATACCAACAGAGATGCTTCCAAAAAATATCGAAAATAAAAAAACTTCGCGAAAAGTTACGCGCAGAATACGCAATACGCATGCATGACCACCCCCAGCCCTCGTCTCGTCGCCAATCAAGCATCATTTTCAACATAGCCCCCATGTCGTGCGGGCGCAACACCGCATGCATTTTGCAGCGGAAGCAATGCAATCCAGAAGGCGGCATGCAGCTGAGAAACAACCCCCTGTTTGTGCATCGCGAAACAGAGAACAAAAAGAGAGCGTCGCGCGGGCGGGGCGTTGTTTTAGAAACGAGCTTAAACGTTTCGTCGTGGAATTTCTTCTCGGAAGGAGGAACTCGGGAATGGGGAAAGAAAAATTAAAAAAAAAAAAAAAGGGGGGAGGGGGGACAAATGAGAAGTACTCGCAAGAAGGGCGCTTAAGCTAAAGGTAGGCCTCGGAAGGCCCCCTTGCTTATGGACGCAGAAACGCGCTGAAATTGCGGAGGAGCGACGGTTGAGTTTTGCAGTCGGCGAGTGGACGTATGCACAGCACATACTTCGTACGGGGTGCGTTGCAGGCATTATCTCGCCTACCTCGTGTGACTCCTGCGTAGTGTGGAGCAATCCAGCCGGAGTAAAGACTTTTTGGAGATGTTGCTCCAGGTTCCACAGTGCGGGACTCCCCGGGATTCTCTTAAGGTTAAGAGCATCGATGCTTATCTAGTTACTTCGGCCGTTAGGCTCCAACATTCCTCGCTGAGCAAATAGGAAGGTGTGGTTGCAGCTTGGCGAAGACGGCCTGTGCCTTCAACCCCAAAAAGAAGGTCAGCCAAAAGGCGATGAAAATAGATATGAATTGTGTAATAAACAAAACGCCATTGGGTATATGCAACTAATAATCCAGCTTCTTCAACAGAGCTAAAAACTATGGTGACAATCACTAATAAACCCCAGTCAGAGTGCTAGAAAAAAACTCTATCACAGGTTTGATACTCCAAGAACAAGAAAGGAAACAAAAATAGTCATCACAGCGGTAAGCCATTAACAGGCTTTTCAGTAGGTTCGAAAACATGGTTCTCTATCCTCTGTGTCAGTCGTGCACAGAAACTGTCAACATATACAGTCCAGTAGTGAGCAACGATATAGACAAGTACAAACCACATGGGAAGACTGATTGCGAATGTTAATGTCGAACCTCGGGGAAGGTACGGCGAGTGCTCAATTTCGCCATTGTCATTCGTCCACTCCTCCCAGGGCTGACCAGAAACACCGTAAATCATCCATACAAGCACAGTACGGAGCAGTGTGCCATGGGTAAGATACACCGCAAAACTACAGTGTCCAAACCATAACAACAGACGCTTGGAAAGAAAGGACTTTGCAGATGGAGAAAGGTAAATAGCTAGAATTAGTAGATTAACCCCCAAAGCTGTGTAGCGTTTCCCCAGATTGACATCAGCAGGGAATATGTGCTTAGAGGCTTCAAGAAGAAAATTTGACCAGCCACACCATTCGGCATTGTGCGCCGGATAGGAGGCAACGAATAAGCCTGTCGCAGCTAGTATGGAGCAGATGATTCTCCGAGGCCAGCGGTAGTCTGCAATCAAAGCTTGTGCTGTCTGGTGGTACGACAAATCGCAAAGGAACATGCCAAAAAAGAATTGCTGTCCAAATGTTTCTAGAGCCAAAGACGAACAAGTCAGTAATTGAACAGACATATACATCCGATAAGGGTTCATACCTGTATCAGGAGATGGGTTTTGCCAGAAGTACAGGTATAGCGTGGCATAAACTATCATTCGATACCGGTACTGCATGTACATTGTAGCGAACAGTGTGATATAGACCATCATAGCACCTAAGAGCAATGGCAGCAAAGCCCATTGATGGTCGTCATAGTCCATGTGCCCATTAGTCCAAGTGGAAAGAAAGACCCAGAAAAGTCTTTTGCTCTCGTGGAAGAGTGAAGGATCTACTCCTACGCTGGAAAACCGGAGCCAGCCGGAATCGCACCTCGTGCCGACAGTGAAGGCGCCGAGTTGCGCTACGACCCATGCAATAACCATGGCAATGGTAGCGGGAAACATCAATCGAGGTGGGCGGCGAAACGCGCTTTTCGCGATAGAAGAAAATGCGGCCTGATGATGGCCCGCCCGCGAAAGCTTCAACGGTTTAAGCGCGCATACGTAGCCGGTGAGAAAAGCGAAAATCGTGACGCCAATCCTTCCTTGCCAAGGAATCCGTAGGATGGGCTGCTGTAACAATCGAACCGGTCCATTCTCGGCATCTCTGGCATTGAACAAGTTGTAGTCAAATGCACGTGCTAGGTGCGTTAAGAGGACTAGGAAAGAGGCGATACCACGGAGTCCCTAATATTCAATGCAAATTGTCAACGGTTAGCAGCGCCATTCTGACGTCTTAGAAAAGAAATAGGAGCCTAAAACGAGGAGGAAAGGAAAGGCGAAAAATTCTGTTCTTTGCGCTATGCACTCACATCGAGCCATTTCACGTTCCTGGCGCCGTCGTTACTACTGCTAGGTGCATTATTAGAGGGCCCCGATTTCATGACGAGCCTTGGGTGGAGCGATGCTAAGAAGGATAGGAAGGACGGCATCGGCAGCAATCGAGAGAAAGAGTGGGTGTTGGCATTTAATGGCCGAGGACGAAGTGGTTCTGTTAAATCAAATAATGTCGTCGAAATTCAGGCTGGAGAGGTGGAGACTATACTAAACGTTTAAAATAGCATCTGGCGGGAAAAGGATCGCATGAGGACGTCACGTTTGAGGGCACTACTATAAAATAATAATAGTACGGAGTACGTGGACGAAAAAGAACGTTCCAATAATGGCGAGACGGAGCGAAGGACAGCGCAAGAACTCTTTCATGAGGCGATAAGCGTGGAAAAGGAGATTGAGTAGAAAGGCGACCCCGGCCACAAGAGTACCAGGGGTGCTAGTGGAGATCATCGCCTGGTCTCAGCGTGTTTGAGCCGAGATGCCACGCTTGGCATCGCAGCTGACGTCGAACCCGGCCGCACGCCATGCTTCTGGGGCGGGCATGATGCCGCCCAGCGCCACCGACGGGGCAGAGAACCCGGCGGATCAAGGGGGATCGTTGCTGGATGCTGGATGCTGGACGCTGGATGCTGGGTGCTGGAACCGCGGAGGCACGGTGGCGGACCAGCAGCACGATGGTCGCCTCTCGCCGACGACTTCACGCCGCGCGGTCGAGGGCGAGTGCAGCGCCATCGGACGCGAGTGACGAGTCCTCGCGAGTGCTGGAGGTCTTGCGGGCGCCGCGCGGCGTGAAGCCATTGAAAGCGAGATGTCGCGGGAGAAAACAGGAAAGGTCGAGCAGGTCGCGGATGACAAATCCCCCACATGGGCGCCCCGCCAAGCCTGACGTTAAAACTAACTTCGCACCCGCCGGCCAATGGTGTGGCCGCTGCATGGGCTGGGGCGGGGCCGGATCAGCCGCCGGGCCCTCGGCGGCTTACATAAGGTGCTACGTCAGGGGCGCAGCCGCATCGGCATGCGAGAAAATCAAAGATTTAAAGGAAATACAAGCTCAAGTACGGAGTACGTTGACGGCAATCGCCTTGATTAACAGCTATCTCAACCGGCCTAGTCCCCAGTATTAAAAGCAATTCCGCCTAACGACGGGAGCGCTCAGTTTGCTTCAAAAAACGCTGAATCGAGGGCAAATAATCGTAGGAACATGCTGTGCAACGACAAGCGATGCAGTGCGCATGGCCCCAATCGAAGCTGGAATAAAAAGCAAACACTTTTATCGAAAGCAGTGTCTCTCCATGCCGCTCCTGTCGCGCCTCACCACCACCAACTCTGTCCAATTTTTTTTTTCAAAACGCGAGGGTGCTTCACGACCCAGTCGTCGTTTTTCTGTCCACCGCCTTGTCTTCACCATAGATCCCCTTCAGTAATTGCGATAGGATAATGGAAACATGGCTCGAAAAGGGGGTATATTGGGGTTATACAAGTCAAAGGAAATACTGAAAAACCCATTATTATCTTAAGGGAAAAAATTTATATCGCATCCTTCACACATTCTTACTCACACAGTATGTTGATAAAAACAAAAAACCGAACCGATTACAGGGGCACAAACAAACAGATTGTGTATTTAGGGAATTATCCTTTAGATGATTTAAATGAGTAGTAGTTGCGGAACGCTGCATGGGTATGGATGGCCAGAGAAATCGGAATCCAGGTGGCAGGGGAATAAAAACGACTCGCGCTTGCAATGCCAGATGAAGAAACAGATGCAGTACAAAACAAGACATAGGAAATAATGATGCCATTTAAAGAGAATATGTGAGAATGGAAGTAAATTATTCAATATCGGGGGCACTATGCGCCCTCGTCCTTGGAGTCTTGCTGACTTAAGGAGGGGGGTATCGAACGCAAACTAACGATTATCAGTGCAGCTAAATCCAAGGCTTGTCGAATCCAGTGAAATAATCGGTGAAGACCCATGGTGGTCTGATATATTGGTTGGGCAGTATTAATTTTACTTCACCATGGCCAAATCACCTAGAATACAGGGTTGTAGGAGACAGATGATGTTTGAAACCGCAAGTGCTGAGAATATCCATCCGTTTCCTGGATTTTATAATGATGTGCCTGGCCGTAATGTATCGTTTGCTGCGGGCTGGGCGATGCCGGACAAGAGTATAAAACGCTGCATGAATCTTTCGTTCCAATAGGATTACTTGTAACTGCAAATGCGTCGTTTTCCGGGGTTATTGGAGGAGTGATATAACCATTTGTCATCGAGCGCGGGCATGGAGGCTTCTGGGGTGTGGCCAGGCCAACCTCGCTTTCGTAGGGTTTGGCGTTGTCCACCCTATCTGATGGCGGAGTGGGAGGTGTATATGCCTTCGAAAAGGAATTTTGGCGAGACAGGAATTGTTCCAGTACCTTGGAGACGCGAGAATAATGTGCCGATGCATATTTTCTGGCAAGGACGTGCGATGGTTGAAATAAATGTTGAGACAAATTTACCAACGTCATCGAATCATAGTTAGCGGCCCAATGATTATGTGGTGCCTGTGCGCGGTTGAGGATACATCGTGCGAGTGCCAGGGAGGCCCGTGCAAGGTCTCCTGAAAGTTTCGAAACGAAGTCCCGATGGAAGAGAGCGATCTCTAGAATGTACAAAGAAAGGTGCTCTACTTCGGGGTCATATTGAGAGTCAATAACTGCAACCTGTAGAAAGCTGTCAACTGTGGGATGGCCAATTGACCAACTAAGTGTCTGAAGCACATGCCACTCCATTTGAGCAAACATGTCGTCGTCATAGAGGGAACAGCACATTGACTTCAGTTCCTTGATCGTTGGGACACGTTCCTTCTTATCTCCATATTTTGCCGCGATCAGTAGAGCTGCGCACCCTACAAGTTGGTAGTGTCGCTTATAGACAACTCGCTTGGAGCAGTAACGGTCTAGAAGATTGACAGTCAAAAACAGCGTTGCAGGGAGCAGTTGAAAGGCGGCATGCGCTTCGATTAAGAAATCAAGAAGATACGGTCTCATAAACCACTGGATCTCGGTTTGAATATCGATGGAATCAACATCAGGTAGAGTGGCCGACTATACCGGCCCATATTAGTATTTAAAAAAAAAATCATGCATCACACTGTAGCGCTCAAGGAAAACTAACATCCATCATGTGCATGTGCCCAATGATATCTTCTTGATATTCTTCACGCACAGCTTTTGACATCTCATCTGCCATAGCATATTGGCGCTCGCGAGCAACTAACTTCGCATGTTCCTTGGGGCAGAGTCGAGCTGGTCGATAATCATTATCATAGGTTTCCACAAAGTAGGAATCGCAGGCTTGGAAGGTGGATGTCGAGTACTGTGGGAATGCCATTTTTGTCTGTTGGTAAGGTTATAGACTGAGGTAATTGAACGCTCCGCGTGGTTTTATCGTGAAAAGAGTGACGTAATATTAGTGCAATAACAAGGAACGTGAAGGCATATGACTGCCAGAATCAACAACAGTTAAAGAGTGAAGATTAGTTGGAATATTGATTAAGAGAGTGAAATGGTGCAGATAATAATCTGCGCCACTTTGAATGGCCAAAAGAATCTAGTGAGCGAAGAGCTGAAAATTCAGATTAGCAAGTGCTCACTAGCTTTGTCGAAAACAGAAGTATATGAAGAGTATTCTATAGCTTCTAGACACCCAGTATGGAAAACATACCCAGTTTGATGTCTTATGAAGAGTAAGACTCGCTTTGAAACAGCAGCAGCAGCAGCATGCAATTGCTCGAAAGAAAAACCCGGATGATGGTAGGTATTGGCCAAAGTGAACGACGAGTTAACGTCTCCACTTGAAGAGCGACGGACTAAGTTTCCTGGTCCGGCGCGGGAACTGAGAGAGCAGCAAGTTTAGCCCTACAACTTGTTAGCAGATCCAACCCAGCACCACCTGGCACCATGGGACCATTCATAGGAAAAGAACCGATGTGTACACACAATTCGACTAAATAGGCAGCTCAATAGCAAATGGTACCGAGGATATTCGGCTCCTGAGGTTTCGAGAGATCGTAGGTAATGAATCTACTTGATACGTGATGGTTAGCAGTCACATCGCATTTTATTGAGAGGCTAGAGATAGGCAACGCGAACAAAAGACGCGTAGCTGATAGTAAGGGGAGGGTCCAAGTACAGGGAAGGGGCGAGGGCAGTGCATAAATGAAGGCGGAGCTGAAGTCCGTACAACAGGATAGTGAATGGCGGGTCATTAAGCCTCGATACTTCTTTCACGTAGATATGAAGCTTGAAGGAAGAGGGATACGTTGCATCCCTCAACAGTAATGGCAAAATACTGCAAAATACCTAGGGCGACAAGGAAAAATATAAAAATTTTGGGGGGACGTGATTTTATCGAGTAGGTAAATGTCTCGGCGGACTGCATAAGTATACGCGTGTGGTCTCGAAATGGGACAACATTATAAGTCGCGTCATGAGGGAGAAATTCATTGATAAAGTGATCCAACGGCCAAATACAAAAAATCAGACCACGCCTTACCTTTTCAGAGAAACAATACCATGGGAGACTCTCGATCAGAACCGGCAGGCCAGCGGAAACCCAAAGCTTCTAGTTTAACCTTTTTTCTCTATGGTGGTATCCCCAGAGTGAGCTGCCGTTGAGGTCTCAGGAAGGTTTACCGAATGAAAAGGGGCGACGAGACGAAGCAGGTCTTAGAAGCAATTGGGGAGAGAGGCACGGCGAGAGCAAGTCGAGAAACAGGCAATTGAACCGGGGACCGACTTTTTCGGGGGAAGGGGAAGGAGAAGAAATTTTAACTGGGTGGGAGACGAGTGCCAAACCACGACGGGATATATGGTTGACGGGAACTCTGCCACGAGACCAATGAAGCCGTACTCTCCGTGGATATGACGGGGAGAAGAGGAGAGGGGAGAGAGATAGAGTTGGAGAGAAGGAGAGACTGGGAGGGGGTGAAGGGAGGTGGTCTCTCTCCTTGGGAGGGGGGTGAGAGAAAGAAGAAGAGGACGAGCGAAGTGAAGGATGAAGAGATTGGAGCAGAGTTCAAAGACGACCCGTTCCAGCCTAGCTCGGATGGGGTTGGAGGCTCCCCTTGGTTTTGTTCTACGGGCGGGCGGGCGGAGTGATTGGCTGACGCCCATTACACACCGGTTTTGGGACCAGCTGGCAGGCCTAGCGTAAGGGGGTGACTGAATCCATTGGTACCCTGTAACTTATCATCGCTGCTGTATGTAAGGTAAGTTTCGACTTATGCACGGCCTTGATGCGCTCCGTGATGATATCGGTTTGGGCAACGCGCTCTTTGGTAGCCTGGATGCGAACTGTCTCAGGTTCACTGTTGCATCGAGTCGGTTCTGACGGCTCGCGCGGCCTAGTTCTGATTGCAATCGCAATTATAGCCTTCTACTCCGTACGGCTTTCTTCTTGACGGCGTCCTTTGTGTGGGCGCACTCTTAACCGGCCGCCCTTCAGACGGAAGCAGAGGGCGACGGTATGGCGGGTGTATCGGTAATTTTCAGGTACCTGGCCTGATGTACCTGTACCGTACCGTCGAAAACAGAGGACGCAAGGAGCGCCAAATTCAATATTCATGCCAGGAACAGGTTATTTTCTTGGGGGCACCACTCCGCATTCTCGAAGGGTCGACGCGAAGACTTTAGCTCGCCCAGGTATCCTGTCCTTGCGGTGCTTCAAATATCCAGACTTCAAAGCGTCTTGCGCCGGACGCCGCATCATAGACATCTGAAAACAGCCTTTCATCGCGGCAGTTTGCTCTCGCAGACGAGCTGCACCCGCGGCGAGCACTCGTACCGTACTGCGTATTACGCGCTGGCTCTCGGCTTGGCGATGGCACATGAGCGCAAAGCCGAAATTGTGACCTTCCCATTGGGTGATCGCGCTGTTTGTCTTGTTTGCCCTGCCGCCTCAAGAGACGCGGCGCATGAAGCCACCGCGCCATTGTCTGAATTGATGATGGCATCAAGCAACGCGTGGAGCTCAATATTGAACAAGTGGCTCAGGATCTACTGCTTATCTTAATTGTGGCATGCAATCCACAGCGTCAAGAGAGATCACAAGCCTCTTTCTAGATCGTGGTGCGATAGTGGAGGCTCGGATATTGTCCCTTGGAGTACGGAGTAGCGTACCGAGCATTTTTGTTCCATGATGCTTACACCCAAACAGCGAGCTCAGGCGAAGGAAGATCTTATTATACCCACGTGTTTCGACGCGTAGTGATTGGAGCGATGCTGGCACCGCACCGCGTCTATTTTGTCGACTGCTCGCGCTGTTCTCGCCCGGCACCAGAGCCAGGGCTAGAAAATCGCGTATCTGTATTTCAATACCTGTAACATTGGTTTGCGTATGGCGTGTCAATACGGGCTGTTCAAACTTACACCTCACAAATGCTGTTTGTGAGCAGAGCAGCAAAGCCTTTCTTGGAAGCGGCATTTCGAGGCTATCAATCGAATCAGATACCTCTCGAAGGATCCCTCAAATTGCGCTTCGACTGCTGAGTCCAAGTTGGCACCGCGTGTTGCTTCTTTCGCCGCCCCCCTGATTACCTCCACGACATGGGTGCGCGATTCATCCCGACCAACTATTTTTAATACTCGCCTTTCCTCGCCAAAAAGCAAGTCCGGGCCTTGATATTTTCTCCCCGGAGTAGAAGACGGATCCCGGGCCAGGAGTGAAATAACGAGTAACATTATAACCGAGTATCTGCATCACGCTAGACACGAATGCCACACTGCGAAACATCCAACATTCCCCGTATGCCATCAGCAAACTCGCGTCTCCAGCACCCGCTCCATACACAGCTAGAGCAGGGAGCCAGCATCGATACAGCGTCCTGCCGGAAGAGGTGCACGTACGTTTCCCAAGCTCCTGCAGGCTCTCCTTGCAGTGCAGAGTGAGCGGTGGCATTACAGCAAACCGCTAGCCTTGGCTTGTTTCAAACTTCCTTAAAAAAGAGAGCGCGGTTTGCCAGGAGCTGGCCATTCCACTTTCTGTGTGTTTCAACGCTGACTACGGAGTACGGACTGCCGCTGCTTGATCGTCAGCGGCGGCTGGGTTCGGGAATCCTGAGACTGCCATCCTGCCCACGATCGTTGACCGCCCCCAAAGCTACCTCAAGTGACGGCTGAAGCAGGTATCCCTATCAATATCATACGTGCATCATATTATGGAGGCAGGTACCCTCTTTTTAGCTCTTAACTGGTCGCTGGTTCGACGGAGTTCGTAGTAACATAGTTACGGGACAACCCTCATCGTGCAACGCGCGACGTCAGGAGACGGCGAACCCAATTGAGCATGTCTGATTCTCTTGTCGGCGCATCATTGCCAATCAACCCATGCTCGTCCTGCTCAGCTGGAACCAATGGCATTTGCCACCCATAATCCACAACGGCCCATCAACCATCCAAATCCCTATCCAGACTTCTATCCGTGTTTTCTCCATTGCCGTGTAACATCTCTATTCTTATTGTACTCCGTGTATACATTGGTCCATCACCCCATGCCCTATGGAGTTTGAATGGACGGAGTAATCCGAGAAGAAAGGGAGGGGGAGAGCCAGCCCGTGAGAACGCTCGGTTAACTACTGAACTCTTTCCCACCCCTGAAGCTTCCTTCTGACGTGGCAATCCCAGCTCTGCCTGGCACCCAATAGCTTTGCCAATCCCACGATCAGTTCAGCCTTGAATGTGCTGAAATGGGCAAAAAAAGCACAGCATGTCGACAGTGCCAATGCCTCTTTTCTTGTTTCGCGTAACTAATATGCTACAGGAGGCAAATAAACTACTTATCTCATCGAGCTACCTGACTGGCCCAGGGCGGAGATGACATGCAGGGAGATTACCGCAAATACATAATAATACTCCGAATGAACCTGAGGCTTTGGGTCGCGTCTGTGGATCAGAGGCGGCCAGCGCAATGATCCCGACTGGGAAACAAACAGGTCGCGGTGGTGGTTTGTTTTAATCTGCTCTTCTAGGCCACGTAGTGGCAATTTGAAGTGGGGTTTCTTCCAATAGTGGGATCTCAGCCACAGCTCCAGTTCGTAAGTGCTCTCTGTTCCAGCTTCCTGGAGGATAGGTCGGGATTTCTGGCCCAGCTGCGGGCCTCCCGGGATGCAGGACTTCGTACGGAGTACATAATGCAGAGAGCCATAAGGCTAACCCCACACATTCACGATCGAATTTGCCTTAAAGGCAACATTGACGTAGTAAATCTGTGAGCGACGCCATTGTCAGCAAATTCTTCTTGACCCGTGGTTTTCATTGTGCCCTATCCCCCAGATCTTATTGTCGCCTCATTAATTCACCGAACCATGGACATTCATATCATGCCTTGGATACCCGCTCCGGCGTTGCACAAGGAACATGTTACCCTAACCTAACACCAGACCCGCCTACACCAACATTTTCTAAGAAGGCGAGTGTGGATGTGCCTCGTTCCTAACAACCGCATATCATTATTACAATCAACAGCGGGCTGCTAGCGGCTCCAAGGTCGCGGCGTGTGGTCTGCCCCGGCTCAGCTATCTAGACTGTGGCAAGCACATGGGTGTCGGGTGCTTGCTCGTGCAATTAATGGTTGCTTACCGGTTTCGCCGCTGAGGAGAGCGTAATGCCATATTCTTTACATCGATCCCCTGGCACTCTAGAACTACAGGTGAGGTCAAGCTATAGTGCTCACAATACAGACCCCGCACCCTCCAGAACCGGCTGTACAATAAGCAGATATATCACTGGCGATGTTTCTTCCCTCGCGCTTTAGCCTGGTTGGCAAACAGTCCATCGGATAAAAACATTACTACAGACGAGGATACCCTGGGGCAAGTTCTGTATATTATTGTCGGGCCGTAAGGGTAATTGTCGACAATACGATTCGCAGGGAAGACGCGTCCAGGCCGTGAATCGTGGAAAATCGTGATGTTCATTCGATTCTCAAGACATGTAATTTTGGGCCAGAGAATAGCTCAAGTCGCTTCAGTATGGAGTAATAATAATAGAAGTCTGGAAATGGTAGATTAGCGGGACGCGTATAATACCATAGCTTTTCGTCCGGTGCAACTGTGCACGTCGTCCCAAGACGCTATCGTCCGTAAGGCAAACTGGGCACGAAGAGAAGTAATTCCGGTCGGAGTAATTATTATCCTATAAAGGCAAGAAATGCCGAGTAGAGCTTTGTTCACGTGACTATCACTCGTGAAAAATTTCCTTTTTGGAAGCCGCAAATCAACGCCGAAGGAAAAAAAGACAAAGAGGGTCATATAGTAAGGGAATTAGCTATTACCGCACAATTAACGGATTACGGTAGGAATGGCTCCTTAGGAGTCTAGTTTGGAGGTAGTATATATTCACATTCTCATACCCAGAAGGCCAAGGCTAACAACATGGTTATCTGTAGGTCAACATGGACATCCACCGATGTCGCTTCGTGCCATACAGTCCCCAAGCGATTAATTCACTCGCATTTTCGCATCCGCCCTCAACGGAGCTCCAGGGCCGCGGAGAGCCTACCCTTCGCCTTGCTATAGGACGTGCAAATGGGGACATCGAGGTTTGGAATCCATTGAAGGGCGTTTGGTTTCAGGAAACAATCTTGCGCGGCGGCAAGGACCGGAGCATCGAAGGCTTAGCATGGACCCTCGACCCGAGCGAGAAGAGTCCCGACAACAAAGAACTTCCAGGGAAGCTCCGATTGTTCAGTATCGGATATTCCAGCGTTGTGACAGAGTGGGATCTTGAACATGGCCGCCCAGCGAGGCATTCGAGTGGGAACTATGGCGAGATTTGGTGTTTGGCTGCGCAGCCAAGGTGGAAGGCTTCGAAAAGCAAGGATGGAAAGCCGTTGCCTCCTGCAGAAGGAGAGTTCGTCGGGCAACACCTTGCAGTAGGCTGTGCAGATGGAGCCATTGTTATATTGTCCACAGCAGAAGGTGACTTAAAATACGTGCGAGCAATGAGGCCATCTACGAAGCGATCAAGAGTTTTAAACATAACTTTCCAAAACCGCAATACCATCGTTGCTGGCTACGCTGATAGCTCTATTCGAATATTCGATATTCGTAACGGAAAGATTCTACGCACCGCAACTCTTGGAAAGGGTCCCAACAAAGCTGCAAAGGAGCTTCTCGTCTGGTGCGTGAAATGCCTGCCAGATGGAACGATTGTATCTGGTGATTCAGCTGGAGAAATACGATTCTGGGACGCAAAGAATTACTCCCTTATTCAACGGATACAAAGTCATCGAGCAGACGTACTTGATATTGCCGTCAGTGCAGATGGAGGGACAGTAGTTACTGCTGGTGCGGATCAGCGCACTGCGGTCTACAAGCTTAAGGCCCCTGAGAAAGGCGCAAAAACGGGACGCTGGGTTGAAGTTATGCACCGCCGTTATCATACACATGATGTCAAAGCCCTCGCCGTATACGAGACTAAAGACATTAGTGTGGTCGTCTCTGGAGGTATTCGTCCCCATTTTAATTGACAAACTTTCGGCCTAACGATGACTCCAGGCCTCGATACAACACCTGTCGTAGTTCCTTTACGGACGCATGGCAAAGAGCTTCATCGGAAGCTTCCAAATCTCCCTCAATTCCCACAGTTATCATCATCTCCGTCGTCACGCCTGTTAATGAGTTGGTGGGATCGTGAAGTAAATATATGGCGCGTTTCCAGTTCGCCAACATCTCAATCTGGACCACCTGAGCCACAGCAACACAGGCTTGTGGCCAAGGTACTATTTCAGGTTAGTTGCTGTATGGACGGTATATTGCTTTTAACTGCTGACGCGATTATAGGGCGATGAGAATCTAACATCAGCCGTATTATCACCTAATGGGAGGATCCTTGTGGCATCTTCCATATCAGAAGTTAAAGTCTTTGCTCTGTCCGCTAAGGATGAGGGAATCAACTCCTCATTACAAGTTAATAAAGTTAAAATTTCGTCCGAGATTTCAAATTTTGGGGCTAAGGAAATATCCATTTCGCCCGATTGCAAATGGCTCTGCCTAGTACGACCAGATAATATTGTTTGTATTGCTAAAATCGACAAGGACGACGAGTTCCCTGACCGTTGCCGCATAAACCCCCAAATCCAAAAATTACGCCGTATATCACGATCTTTTCCCCGTGGAAAATTACATCATGGAACTCTTGGTGAATATGAGCGGACAATTCGCTGTGTCACCTTTTCTGGTGACAGTAAAATTCTTGCCTGCGGTGATCTCTCTGGCTCCATAGATGTATGGATATTGGATACCGAACGTCGCGCGAAGGAGCGAACTGTTAAGGACACATTTTGTTCTGAATCCGAAGATTACTCCTCTAGCGAAGAGGGCGATCAACCTAACGACTATGGTCAATACTGGGTACGTTCTCAATTAGACTCGCCGATACCTCGATTGAAGTCTGCGATTCTACTTATGGCATTCCGCCCCCAGTCTCTCTTGGCCCATCAGCGCCTCACAAACGGAACCCTCTCCAAGAACCCTGCTCCACACCACTCTTCGTCAATCGAAGATAGATTGCTTGTCTTAACATCAGAGCATCATATCTCCGAATTCAACGTTCTGCAGGGCAAACTTACGCAGTGGTCGAGAAGGAATCCTAAATCATACCTCCCTGCAAGATTTAGCATAATCCAAGACAGGGCTCAGGGAATACTGTGGGATACAAATGGTGAGAAAGAACGCCTCTGGCTTTATGGATCAAGCTGGCTGTGGATGTTTGATTTGGCACAAGATTTTCCAACCCCTCCCGGCCTTGAAAATGAAGAGAAAGGTGCCATCGCTTCAACCACAGATCCTACCAAAGAAGAGCCTCCGTCTCCAACCAAAAAAAGGAAGAGAAACGGGGAAGGCAAAAAATTGGAACCTAACGTGGGTGCTGGAAGCAGGATGCCTCTTTGGGAAAATAATATTGGCCTAGGACGCAAAATACGCAAAGTCAGTGGAAACGATGGATCAACGGCGCAATGGGTCTCTCTTGATAAAAGACAGACAGAATATCAAGATCAACAAGACGACCAATATGAAAACGACCCCTCGAATGCCACACTAGCAAGATTCCGACGGGAAGGATCTGTCTCCGCAGGCCAAGATCATCACGACAATGCATCCGAGTCTGCCAGCGATGAAGGGGAACATACACACGGACCATCGGCCGTCGGCGCCAATTCCGGTACCAGCCATTCGTCTCAGGTTGCCGTTGCAGTTGTTATTCAACCCCAAGGTAGTTCCGCTGCTGGTAATACCGCCCGAACCGATTCCGACAGCTGCGTAGCTGAACAGCAAGTACTAGATATTCCTTCCCAGCCCCAGGCACAATGCCGCCAGAAAGGCCGCCGATGGTGGTACACATTCAAGTATCGGGACATCCTTGGAATCGCACTGCTGGACCAGGGGACATCGGGGAACCATGGCGGTGGGCTGGAAGTTGCAGTGGTAGAGAGACCCATTTGGGATGTGGCTTTGCCCGACCGATATATCAGGGACTATGAATGATGCTAGGGGGCATAGCAGGCCCAGCCACAAAGCCTGGGACTGGATAGTATGGCAAACCTTCCTTTCAAAATATTCTGTTAATTCCGCTTGGTGTTCTGGGGGGAATTTGCACCTGGCATTGGCGTTTTTGGTTTTAAAAATCCAAGTAGTAAGCTGTCTTGTTTGCAGCTGCTACTAAACTCTGAATGATGCTACTATTCTAAGATGTAACCGTTTACCGAATGTCCTTTCTTGGCATTGCGCGGCTTGTTCGGGATGGAAACTTGGGAAATAAAATCATACATACTCCATACCTAACTATTATTCTCCTTTATCTTTGTGTCCTGTATCTTCTGCAACTTCCCAGCCTTTTGACGCTCGACTTACTTGAAAGTTTAGCTTCTGCCACCTGGCTTGGTAGATAGCTGTATATCCATACTGCTGATGGTCTATGGTCTATGGCAAGATAGTTGCTGTCGGTATTAATGCGGCCGGCAGCATATACCCACTCCCCGAAGCCTATGAGCGATTGAGATAATTGGCTGAGGCAAATCTCTTCTGGACGAGGCCACCGCTACGGCAGCCGAGCAACGAAAGCCGACGACTATTGCTACGCTGCCGACCCCATTTGCCTACAGAATAGTGACTCAAGCAAAGAAGATATCTGTTCCCGCATACTGTCGTGCAGCTCATCCCTGACGGTTTGTAACTATTTCTTGGAAACCCAAGAAGCATCTGAAAGTATCGTCACCATCATCCAAAAGCACGCCTCTTGTCCCGCCTTTTGTTGCATTTCCATACCTATCGCGCCTATGTCTGGCTGGTAAAAAGCCTTGTCAAACATGTGATTGATACTTGAACGAATGGCTATAAAAGACGCTCTCCCTCTTATAGTTCATGCTTTTTCCTGGGGCAGTTGCAGTTGGAGTATTGAATTCAACCATCAACCCCCGGGCCTCCTACCACAATGGCAAAATCACTCGTTATTGCAGCTCTGCTTGCAATGGCAGCTTCCTCCATGGCAGCCCCACGCGTCAAATCTTCTGATGGTGGCAAAATTGTTGGCGGAGTTCCAGCAAAGCTCGGTGAGTTTCCTTCAATGCTGGCTCTTGGCTGGAATACCTCGTCGCCTTGTGGAGCTGTATTGGTCGGTCCGAAGCTTGCTCTCACAGCAGCACATTGTATAACGACATTTGATGACCCTCCAGGATCGCAAGCAAGTCACCACCTCCAAACGAGTTTGTTTTTGGGAGTGTGCACTGACAGGCTATTGTAGCCTGATCCTTCCCTTCAATTCGCATGGGTCCGAGCAGGTTCTCTTGTACGCTTTCCTCTCTAATAGAGAGATTAAAACAGTAAGCTCACAAATCTGTAGACAAAGGACGAAGGTGGAATCCAGGTCAGGATTGCGTCGAAGGTGGAACATCCTGATTACATATGGTATAGCAATGACAACGACATTACTCTTCTGCACCTGGATAAGCCTATTCATGAAAGCCCAACTGTTCGCTATGCAAAACTTCCAAAGAAAGACTCAGAGCCCGCTCCTCACTCACTGGCAAAGACCGCAGGCTGGTTCGTATATGTGTTATTATCTCATTATTTGGCAGTGAAATATGGCACTCACTCTTGAAAATAGGGGTGCGGACAAGACCAATGCAACTGTTCGGCCTTTGCTTCATGTGACTATCCCCATTGTCAGGCGCCGCGACTGTCAGAATTCATATATCCGTGCTCCTAGGCCCAGAACAATCACTAGAGATATGGTATGCGCAGGGGCACCAGAAAGAGATGCATGTAATGGGGATAGTGGAGGGCCCCTCTATGATCTGAAAACAAACGAACTGATTGGGATTGTTTCCTGGGGAGAGGGGTGTGGCAGCCCTACATATCCAGGGGTATTCACCCGAGTTAGCAAATACGTTGATTGGATCCGGCAAAACAGCTAGGATGTCCCCTCAGCCTCCCAAACATAGAGTCATCCTAGATGCCGCCAATGGTGACCTATTTCCAACTATGTATTTTAACATATAGGCTTAGTGAACTGAAAGTTACAGAGGCCAATGCGGGACATAGCATATCAGAGATTACGAATGAACTGAGATATCGTGACCACAGAGGCATGCCTAGGACGGAACACCATTCTTGAAGCTTTGGATATGCTGGCCTGGCTGCTTTTTAGCTATGCTTCTCGAATGACTCCTACGTTTGTGTCGTGTTCTGAGAAAAAATACACATTGGCGTAGAGTGGCCTTGTCGCCTTGGTGTCATGGATATCAAGCTGTTTTACTCCATAACCTGTTGTAATATCCCGAGAGATCGAGACTATAGACGTACGAATCGGTGCAGGTGTTCTCCCGCAACTGGCTGATCTTCCCAAATAGCACAAACAAATGGAAGAACCAGGCCCACCCCAAGAAGCCTCAGCCTACTACGGTTCTCCATAGTTAACTATAGGATGGGACAGTTGGCTGAACCGCAGGTTGGTTTCTTTGGGGAACTTTCAATGGGAGCAATGGTTGAGCTGTATGGATATATGGGGCTCTCTTGCTCTCCATCCTTGCAGCATGGAACCCGGGGCTTATGTAACCAGATGTTTAAGACGAAAACGCAGATAGGCATAGGCTCCGTGATATGTATGTGGTTTTGTTCATCGTGTACTGGTACATAGTATGTCAGTTCGGAGTACTCCGCCTGCCTATGGAGCTCTACAAACAGGGTTTATGTAGCCAGTCGGAGCTTTAGACCTATTCTCCCTGTAAAGCTAGACCTTTCTGTCTTGGGAGTTTTTGACAAGGCCCAGTTGTCTTACTTTCTCGCAAGCTAAAGCCAAGTTCCTGTCGATCTGCTATTGGCTTCTGCCTGCGCTTTCTTGGCCCTTCTGGTATGTTGGGTGGAAACCAACGCGAAACCATCAGGTTGCTGGAGCATCATATCAGGACAGCTACGACAAAGTTAAGAGAACTTTGCAGAATATGCCTAAGGGGAAGCAATGATAGTTAAGTTGTTTGAGCTGGCTTTCTTAAAATCACTCATTCTTGATGATTCACGTAGCAAAGTCTTGGGTAATCACAAAAACTTGATGGTACCCACCCGCTGGAAGTTCCCATTCGAAAACCAAGAGAGATGTACATACGAATTATTCCGGTACAGGAACCTTATGGCGCGAGACGGGGGTGGTTACGATACGATATGTGGGTATACAGATACCTCATATGTGCGTTGAAAGGCAAAGACATCCCAAGATTATGATGCTGAAGAAGCAATATGCAATACGGACAGTATTTGGTATCGGTAAGAAGTAGTAAAACATAGATGTAATTATGGACGGCCAAAGGCTTTCCCCATCACTCCCTATAGCAGAAAAGCAGCAGCCCCAGAATCCCAGAACCCACCCTGTCTCCAATGTAAAAAATTAATCATCGCAGAAGTGATATATGCAGCGATAAATGCAGGTAACGGAATTTTTCATAACAAAAGAAAAACCTATGGCCGGGTGGATAATTGGTATATATCGAGAAAATAGAATAAAAATCAAAAATGTAAATGCAACCAAAAGCGACAGTTTTGTCACTTTATTAACGCCTGGTATTCCGACTCCGTATAATGGATGGTCAATGCCATCAATGCTAGAAGGAAGATCAAAAGGGTGAACGAGGTATTCAAGACGCGTAAAGTGGAATAAAATGTTTGGGTATGGAGGAAAGGTTTCATCGTCGAAAAGGTCGTAGAAGCTTTTTAGAGAAAAGGACAGGCCGCTCTTAGTGATCATAACAACGCGGCCGTGAGAATTAAAAATAATTGCATCTGGCTATCGGCCACCCCGTGATCTATCAGGGTTCGCCTGTCCGGACTGGTTGGTACGGACCCAATGCATTGCGTCGTCGGACGTCGTAATAGGATCTTTAATCTCGTCGGATTGAGAAGCGACTGAGCCGTTTGGAAGGAGGTTATTAATTTCGGAGGCGAGAGCTTGGACCATATAACCTCGCAGCTCGCGCTCCTCTCGCTCATCCTCTTTCATTAATCTCCGACGATTCTCTTTTGAAAGAGTTTCCCTCCGCTTTCGTCTAATTTCTTGAATAATCCAAAGTAGTACTTCTTCAGGAACCCGTGTCCTGCTTAGGCCATGCCTCGAAGGGTGGCGTACATATCGTCGGGTGACGTCAGCAGCTCCATCATTCGAAAATGCGATGCAGTACGCCATTTTCCGATTCCAGCCTGGCAACAATGTTAGATAAGAATTCACAATGATTTGAAGGGCCCACAAACCTTCTGTATAGAGACGTGGATTGTCCCATGCCTCTTCACAAGCATCTACATGTATCCATCTTCGTTGGTGCTCAGAATAAACCTCTGTCCAGACATAGTCCTCAGAGTTCCAGACCCATCTAACGCGGCCACCAACTGCTCTGCAAAGCATGCTAAAGCAGTTGGCCCATTCACCAACACGCCCTCTTCGCGAGTGGAGCAATGCCCATACATCAGAGTAGCGAGGGAAACGTTCATATGACCCGCATTTTGGATCGGAACAGCGATACTGTTCAACACGGTTGGCCCCACGGGCGGCTTCATCAGGCGTTGGAAGCGACATTCCTTGCGCGATTGTTGGACTAAAACATGTCGAGCATGGTGGATTATTGACGAATTGAAAAAATGAACGTTTGAACCACCTGAAAGGACGTTAAGCAATGCTTTGCTTAGGAAGAAAAGAATGGCGTTAGACTTACCTTAAAAGCGCTCTGATAACGCAATCTTGGTATCCCCAGGTGGGCTTGACGTTCTCGCCCATGCTTGCGGCTTCTGCTTGCAGAATTTGCGACTCTTCTTCAGCCTCTGTATATAGTCGATCCAAAGGGACGTGAGAAAGGGCTTCGTCGAGTAAACCGGGATTCTCGTAATTTACTGGAGTGACAGAAAGACCGTGCAGGAGGCTGCGAAATTTAAGTGAAGGTGTGTCCGGTGGCGGAGAGGGTACGATTGGGAAGCTTCGGGAGGTAGAGTAGGAGGGTGGTTGCGTGGGTGGGCGAGGTGAAGACGAGTGAGGTAACGATGATTCTGTAACGAAGGACTGAGGAGCGGGCGAAGCGGTGCGAGACCTTGACCGTTCTTGTAAGGTGTTTAGTCTTCTCGTCCGTAGTAGTTGTTCAAACTGTTTTGTGAGATCACCCGCATCGAGGGGGGAATTCGTGGTTGGTTGCGTCCCAACCTGCCGTTGGCGAGAGCCATCTACCATTATGGAGGATGAGATCGGGATAGTCAGCCACGCGCAATGATGGCTGAATGACGGCCGTAGGAGGTGGTTGATCAAAAGGCGGCCGTCCAGCTGGTCAGGCAGCGGCAACAACAGCGTGCGTTCAAGGAGTGTGGAGACAGGATGATAGCGAGTAGACACAGTGGTGAGCAAGAAGCAGAGATGGAAACGAGGCGATGTAGTGAGTGTGAGAGGGACGAGAGAGGGCGGGCTGCACGCGCTTCTCCGATTGGGATGGGTGTTTTGCAATGCGCAGTCGTAAAGCCGGGATGCACAGCCAACCTGGAATTGGCACTAGCGTATTAGAGAGTGTCGCGGGGAGGGCGGGCTTGGAAGCACGGCGGGCGGCATCAACGTATAAGAGCGCGAGAGAGACAGACGGGAGGCAACACACAGCAGGCCAGGCAGAAGCGGGCAGAGCAGCAACGATATTATTAGGGAAGAGAACGGCGAGATGGGATGAAGGTCGAGGGGGACGCAGGCGGTTGACGTGCTCCTTGCGATTCCTCACTGAGGCAAAAATACGGCCCGAACAAGCTAGGCGGCCACGCCGACGGGGCTATACCGTACGGTCACGGCGGTACGCTCGCAGACACACCGGCTCGGGGGGCCACGTTGGCTGGCAGTACGGTGTAATACGCGGTCTCGCATACAGGCTGGTGCGTACGAAACCCGCGCGAGTGACGAATCCTCCAGGCGCCGCTAGGCCCAAAACGGCAAGACGCTGCGTCGTGGCTTGGCGGGGCGTCGTCAGCCTTTTTGTCTTTCGCTTATGTCTGTTGCCGCCGCCGTGCTGCCTGCGGGCATCCTCGTCCGCTCTGGCCCCGTATGGTCGACGTCGCCGGCGGATCTACGCCCACATGGACCCAACGTGCCCCCCCATTACTTATTGGCCACTGGCTAACTGCGCTCGGCCACCTAGGGCAAAAGCTGGCTGGCTGAACACCGATCAACTGCCTAAGCTATGCCTCGTCAGTCCTACAATAATCGCCCTCTCGCCTCCGTCTGGACGCCCACCGGCGTTGAACTGCGGCAATCCGATCAACTCGCACCTCTGACGCGGCCCATCCATCATTCCTTTTGTCCTCGAAACGGAAAAGTGGGGTTCAGTCGTACCCGTGCGCGCCAGTGCGTTCCATTAATTATTCTCCGGTCCCTCTCGAAAACTCTGCCCTAGTCGCCGCAGGGCGAAACGTGCCCTACGTGCTCTTCGGGCCGCATGTGTATATACGTGTTCGTGTTGTCGCCATCATACACGAAGAATAAAGGGTCTTTGGATGCGTTTCCCCTTAGCGCAATGCCGGCTATTGGGGTCGTTCGGGCTCTGCGCTTACGCAACATGAAGCCGACGGGAAGGGGGGTCAGAATAAAAGCGGCCAAGCAATGAAATGAATCATCCAGAAAGGACCTGTCACCCACCTGCCTGGCGTACATCTGATAAAACCATGATACGACAGGCTACAGCAGCGTCCAGCGGGATAATTTTCCCCAATCAGACCCTGGAGGGCACACTGAAAGGTCGTACAGGATCTGCCAGCTGGACACCTGCCGCATGTAAATCCGTCTTTCAATGTGCCTTTCCACCAGGGCCAAAATCCCATCCATGCCTTATTTTCCTGGCCCATTATGCGACCGCGCCCGTCACTACTCCGTATCGCGAAAACGACGGATCGAGGAGCCCCGATTACGTGGCTCCGCCCTGTCGCTAATTGGTGATCGCCCCACCTGCATCAAATACTAGGCTAACTTTGGACTAGCGCAACAGAGCTTGGTAAGGCTTAAGTCTCCTGGCTGCGGAGTTTTATTAATCCATTTCGTGAGGCTCTTGGCCGTGCCCAAACCTGAGCCGTGATTACGGGTATCTGTGAGGCATCCGGCTAAAACATTTATTCTACGCTCAGCTCTCGTCAGAAAGAAGGCGTTGCTGAGATGATTTCGTTTCCTTGATAACAGCTAGTTTCAATTTTCCGTCAACGTTGCTGCCTGTTCGGAGTGCTTGGATTTTAGTTTCAATCCCTTTTGTTTCCAGACAGACCCACTACTCATATGCTACTGATCGGAGCTCGCAGTACGGAATACCTTTCAATCAAATAATAATAATAATATACAAGCCCCACTCCTCCTTCGAATTATGAAAATCCCCGCCCACTTGCCTAATGGGGCACAGATAAGCATCGAAAAAACCTCCAACTACTACTTCGAAGCACGGAGTACTTAACGAAGTCTGACGCAAAAGGCTCAAGGATGCAGAGAAGAGAAAATGATCGCCTGCAAAATGACATCGTGCTCCGCCTCTGTTTTCCACGATGGCCACAGCCAATCCTACGGTTTTTGTCGAGTCTGCTTATTTTGCTACCGCGCGCCGGTGATTACGTCCACAGCAACGTACAACTCTTGTGGGCAGCCCAACGAGATTTTCTCATGGCTAAACAATCCGCCGGTTCCTTTTGAAAGGGCGCATTATGACACACGTCATTTTCGCTCAGAGCAACAACAAGACCCTATAAATGCAAGAACACAGGATTATATATATACGTACTCCGTATGTGCTGGCAGATTTAGCTTGGTCAAATGACCTGACGCAGGGTGATTAATTTTTTGCCGCTGGGATTGGAGGGGATTACGTGTCACTCCACCACGACCAACACATTAATTGCGTTTGATGTGGCATACCCCATCAGGAAATATCTTACGGTTTATCTCTCCTCTACTAACTTACGGAGCACCAATTTTCTTAGTAAACCACTTATAGTGCAGGATCCAGGTCTTGAAATGACAATAATGTGTTGGTAGTATGATTTTACATAGGCACCAGAGGAACGCATGTTGGCACAGACTTGGGAACTTGAACACGAGCACAAAAAAGTTTCGATTTACTTTAGCTTGGTTCGGGTAATTATAGCGCCTCTGTTTCTTACCCACCCTCTCTTCTTGGTAGAATCGCTATAAGGAACGTAAGCATATTGTTTCGCAAGAAAAGAAAAATTAAAAAACAAAACAAATAAAAGCCACCAAAATGTATTGCTGTCTTCCTGGGATAATATTATAAGACCTGAAACTACCTCACAAAACCGCAAAAGCAGAGACGTAGCTAACGGAGCTATCCCACATCACTTGGCAGTGTGAGCTCCTCTCATATCGTGTGAAATAGAACGATCCTGGGTATAAATCAGTCGGAGTCTGATCTTCAGGCTTCATCATGGGATCTGTGTTATTCTCTTTGGCTGTGCCTAAAGCGAACTCGATCGCCGCCATGATGACTGCAATGGGATGTCTTCCACAGATTGTATTTCCCGTTGTTTGGATGGCGTCAAGAAATACCCGGGAATGACTCGAAGCGATGGCCGCCATGCAGGCAATATCGCAGACTGAGATACTTTCATGTATAGCGAGATTGTCGCCTGTCTCTGGGAAGTCATTACCCGCACGCAAGCTGCGGCCACCATCGGCGGATGCAATTTCTACTCTCGCGTTGTTACGTTGCAATACGTTACACGGCTGAGGTAAAGCATCAAACGATAAAGGAAAGCCGAGCTGTGGAGCAGGTCCATTCGAGAGATAGTATGTATATGCAAACCGCATTCCCCAGTGACAGAAATCGGAAGAGACAACGAAAGCGTTCTCTGGGTTGGCCAGGTACGGAGCTAACACCTTCCCAAATGCCTGTTCTGAATTCGCAGACGTACTTCCAACCAACATTGGTACAAGTTTTGGGTAAGAAGCCGCTGGTTTATTAGGATAAAGGCGTTGGAGGAGGTAGTGGATGTATGGGAGGTGAAGCTCCAGACTGTGCTCAGCTTCATCGATTGCCTGGTTCATTGTCGTAAAGCGAACAGGATCATTTTTCGTCCCCGCCAGCAGCTGGGTAACTATGTCTGTATCGATGGGGAGGGGATCTGGAGAGAGCGGGGTAGCGTAAGCAGATAGCTCTGGGAGAGCAATTTTGGAGAATGGGTGGTGGTGAGAAGGCCCGATAAGAAAGATGCGTTTCCTGACGAGGGAGATCAAGAAGTTAGATGGTATCTATGCAAAGTGGGAGAAGATCTTCAAGTACTTACGCCTTAGATAGATCGAGACACTTGTAGGCGTAGGCAGCACAGGCTCCTGAAAAGGTGTATCCTGCATGGCTGGAGCGAAGATGAGTGACCACTCTTGCTAATCGTTGTCTCGTCCGACGTTCTTACGGAGCAATTATCACCCTGGCTCCAGTAACCGGTAAGGTCCCCACGCCTTCGATTTCATTTGGCACTCGGCTCATCCAATTCTCGAGCTGGGCGGCTAAGATCGAAGCGTTGTTGGAGTACCATGATCCTGCGTGGGTAGGGCTTCTAGTCGTCATGGTGGACGCTGAGGGGTGGTTGAGTTAGAGTGCAAGTAGTTGAGCGTGGGGGTAGGAAGATGCAAAGCGTGGGTGCTCCGGTTTGACGGTTCCCGTGTTCTGGAGGTGGTAAGTTGGAAGGTTGGGTGGAGTCGTTGGTTGGCGGGGTAAAGCCAGGCGCGATTGGAGGTTCGGCATGCCGAGTTAGTTACGGCATGCCGGCCTGAACCGCAGCTATTTCATTAGGCGTGAAGATTGTCGTTGTTTGGCGCGGGTCGAGTGGAAAACTACTACTAGCCTGGTAGGCATACCACAGTTTCTTGGTCTAGCAATGGCCAGATGCAGCGATCTCCCGCCCCCGGCTCTTGCGGACTGGGATGTCGTCGCGCGTACTCCGTATGGTGTTGCGGCTCAACCTGTGTGGCGCGGTTCACGTGCCTTTGCGCGTTTCCCCTTTTTTGCCTGTTTCCAATACCGGACAGTACCATCAGCTAGTCCTATTTAGGCTTGGACTCGCCAAGAGATACAATACAACCCTGATTTAACCAACCAACGCCCAGATATTTCCCAATCGAATACCACTTTGTATTGTCGCGTTCAAGACGCGCTCCTTCGCTTCTCCCGACTTCCGCCTCAAGTTCCTCACGACACTGTCGCGATTGGAGGCAGCATTTAATCTGCATACCTGCAATAGCTCTGGCCAACGACATTGTGATTTTAATATATAATCCTAAGGTTAATTTCTTGAATACCCATTTCTCCACGACCATGACTCTGAAACGCAAGGCTTCTTTCACGACCATCACGTCCCCGCGAACGATATCAACTTACAATGCATCCATACCTCCTATCTCCTGTCAGCTCGGCAATACGATAACTATCGACGAAACCCCAAGGCACCTTCACAGCCGGACACGAAAACGTTTCAAGCCAGACCGTCCAGACGAGCAATCGATATATGGTACGTTGCTTTTAACCATGAAGCAGACCAGCAATGGACTTACTGTTGAGGGTAGATAAAACTCTCCGCTGGTTGTTTTCAGCTCAAAATGGATCACGCCGTCAAGAGCAGACTTCAATATCCTCTGAAAACGAAATCTCCCTCGACGACGCTCCCCCTTCCTCAGTTCCCGATCCAGGCCAGCAGACACTGAGAAGATTCTTTCAACCTAGGCGGAGTTGTTCTAGTGGATTCTCCGATGTGTTATCGAATAATTCTTCTGCCCAAAGCTGTCCTTCTGAAACCAGCCTTGTCAACTTAACCACAGCACAAGTGGAGCCTAATATGTGCGCTACCAGTTCCCATTGTATGGATGTAGACATGGATATCTCGATGGAGATGGACTCTGGAAGTGATTCCACGATACCGATGCCAGGTGGTGGGAAAAAATGGGTGGGCGGCCTTGGCTGGATGTGAGACGATTCATGAACCGGCGGGTGAACTTTGCGTCAGCAAAGTCTGTGCCTTGTGCGGCACTTAGGAGACCGAAGGGATATTGTGAAAGTTCGGCCATCCCATGCTCCAAGCGCTTAGTGTATCTTCGGTGCAGTCAGATTAGACAGCTCAGATCTCGCGTTGCAAAACGCAGGTCACACGGAGTTGAGTAGAACTGTATTTGTAGCCCTTACTGTCTGTTGATTGTCGGTGGCTTCGCGGCTATTTAAGGGGCTTCTAGACCAGTGTTTAATTAAGTGGAAGTGCCATAATGACCATCGCCTTGTGTTAGTGCCAACTAGTTTATTACCCTTCACGCCGTCATGAGACAGCGGCGACGAGGCCTTCCCTTGATTGATCTCCCGCTGGCCTTCCAGTTGGCTCCCGTAATGACGACATGGCTGGGAGGGCGTCTTGGCGGCTCAGGCGATGTTTCGTGCACAATCCGGACATCAAACAGCCAAGTGGGCGGTGAAGGCGGATAAAAGGCATAGGAAGACGTAGCTCAGTGTGCTTCGCACTTCGTAGCCAGACGGGCGACTTCTCCTAGCGAGCGACGTCAGCCGTGCGATGTTGTGATGCCAACCCCAGTGCGGTTAAACTCAAGATTAGTTGGACGCATGGGGACTAGAGAGTTTCCTGGCTGAACCTCCATTGAGCTCCTTTTCTTTTTCAACGGCTTCGATCGCGGGGGCATTGGAATTGACTTCCGGCTTAGCTGAAGATTCTGGACTTCGAGAAGCCTGGTGTCAGGTCACCTGTTTGTTTCCAGCGAAAGGACAATTGTGAGTGACGCGAGCGTCGGGCCACCATGACTGATGCGACGCAGAAAACCACATAACACTGAACCACAAGAAGGCCGTCGACTGTACCACCACACCCAAAACCTACCTTTCTTCTATTCTTGAACCCTTCTCCTCTCTTTCTGGACTCGCGTGTCTCCGGGGCCCGTGCCTCCATATCACAATGCCGAGCAACAACTTCGAAAAGTCCGTTAAGGGCGCTACAAAATCCAAGGTGTGTGATGACACTGGTTCTTAATCTTTCGGGAGTACGATGGCTAATATGCCGGGGTGTTATCGTGTTAGCTCGCCGCTCCAAAATCGAAATACATCGAACACATCCTCACGGCCACGTATAGCGATGCGGGCGTGGCTGAATTATTCCGGGCGCTATCTCTCCGTTTGCGGGACTCGACGTGGACGGTGGTGTTCAAATCGCTTATTGTAATACATATGATGATAAGAGAAGGCTCTCCCGAGGCATCATTAAGATATCTGTCGCATAACCCTCGAAATATCGCCATCACTAGCATATCCGACGGTCCGTGTTGATTCCAACCTGTAGCGCGCATTCAACGCCCATTTGAGAAAATATATTACTTCAAGATCGTTATGCTAATCTTTATCGTATAGTCCAAATACAGGGAGGTAATATCTGGCGATATTCGGAATATCTCATCGCGCGCGCTCTGGCCTTCTCTGATACCAAGACTGATTTTGTCCGTGGAGGCCAAGGGCGCTTAAAGAAACTGACTGTGGATAAAGGGCTTTTGAGGGAGACTGAAATTGTTCAGAAACAGATAAGAACGTTATTAAAATGCGACGTACGGCATCCCGCCTCTCCAAACTACGGGACTATGACTGACCTGTCTGGCAGCTTCTACGAGAAGAGCCTGAAAATGAGATCTCACTTACGGCCTTTCGTTTGCTAACTCTGGATTTGTTGGCATTATATTCAGTGATGAACGAAGGGACGATAAATGTGCTAGGTCGGTATGCCACCTCTCTTGACATCTATATAGTTTCTTACAACCCATGTTAGAACATTATTTTGAGATGTCGAGACCGGATAGCGAGCGTGCTCTACAGGTGTATAAATCTTTTAGCAGCTTAACGGAAGATGTGGTACGGTTTCTGCGGGTGGCTAGGCAATATGAGAGCGCGACTCGTCTAGAAATTCCGAATCTCAAGCACGCTTCCACTGATCTTACAAAATTGCTGGAAGACGATCTTAACGACCCCGATTTTGCCGCCAGGCGTAAAGAATACCGCGAACAAAAATATGGGAAGAGCGAAGACCAAGGTCAGAAAAAGACCAGTCAGCCGGCTGCTCAAAGAACAACAACGGTGAAGGCTGAAACCCAACCTACTACAAAGTCGGAGACCCGTGCCCCTGCGCCTGATTTAATTGATTTTTTCGACTCCATTGAGCAAAACCAACAACCGATGAACTCACAGCCCGTTCCCCAACAGTATCAAATACAACAAGCGCAGATGCAGTCATACGCGCCGGCAGGTTTTCCTCAGCAACAAATGGGGTTCGCGCCACAGCAAACCGGTTTCCAACAGGGCAACCTCTCAGGATTCGGACAGCAGCAGCAGAGCTTTGCCCCGAATATGCAACCACAAAACGGTAATCCGTTTGCGCAGTTTACTGCAGAGCCACCTCCACCCCCACAGTTGCAGCCTATACAACCCAACCATACTGGAGCCGGCTTTGGAGGCTATACGCCGCAACCCCAAGTACAAATTCAGTCCCCACAAGTCAACAATTTTCAACCTACGTTATTAAGTATTCCTCAAAATGGAATTCCTGCATTCCAACAACCAATGCAGACCGGCACGCCAAAGCCAAACAACCCATTTCGACAATCAATGCTTATTTCAAACAGCGCTCCCCCTTCCTCTCCGGCACCATTTAACCCCGTATCATTACCTACTGCTGCGGCTCCATTAGCTCGCCAACCTACAAACCCTTTCGCAAAACACCGTCTTTCTCAGATGCCTATTGGTGGCGAGATCTCACGGCCGTCCACATCCCCCGGCTTCCAGCTCCAAGAACAGCCACAGCCACTCCGCCCGCAGCGGACAGGCACCAACCCTTTTGCTCGAAGCGTATCGCCGCCCAATCAGAGCTTACAAGCTCCTGCTGCTGCGCCACTCCGGCCAAACCCCACCGGCAGCACGAATCCTTTTCGGCAAAGTGCCTTTATCAACCAGCAAACGGGACAACCTTGGCAGGTTGGGGTCCAGCAAGGAACAATGGGTGGCCTTGAGAATCTTCCTACGGTTCCTATATTTCCGCGGCCGGGACAAACTACATGATTTACGTCCGCCTGTCCCCTTTTATATTTATCCTTACTGTATAGTTTTGTCGTTTTAAAGCGTTGAAGTATCATAATCCGAACCATCAGTCTAAACACGGCTCATTCTACCATCACTTGTCCCGGCGACTGACTTTCAATCGTTTCTCTCACTCATACTCACATCCTGTTTATACTACATATTCTTTCTGATCTGGGTTAAGCAGATTGCTTTCATTCCACCTACCTTCTTTTCTTTTTAGATCGTCTTCTAACATTTTCATTATTTTTCTCTTCTTGAGGTATTTGACACTTTTGCCCTGAATAACACATCATCTTTTGCTGTTTTCCAATTCCGCAATACCAAAAACCATTTCAACCCGCTTTTCCACCTTTCGATTCATGGTGCAGTAGTCAGTAAAGATGAAGACAAAAAAACATGACTTACAGGACATCCATTGCTTTTCAATAGCGGAGAACCCAAATAACAGACATTGTGTGTGTTTGCATGCGCATTCATGCTGTACTTTGATATCTGTGGGACAAGGTGCCAATACTGTTACTCTATATTTGCTGCATTTTTTTTAACAAAGACCGGAAACAGCTGCAGTCTGCAGGGTGTTTACAAGGATGGTGATTGGCATAAAACCAATACATCAGTATAAACAAAATCGAAAGCAAAACATTTCTGCAAGCGCACTGAAAATCTAAGAGGCTCTGCATCGTACCCAGTTTCCTTGGGCCCTAGGTTTTGGAAGCTGTATTCCACATTATGAACAATAAACGTCTCATGAAAGCCCCCTCCCGCGCGGGCCCGTCTTTGAGACTGAAGTCCAAATTGCCACCCAAAATTAGTAGTCGAAAACATTTGTACAGCGTGACAACAAACCCCAATGCAGCTGCCAGGAGAACAATAAATTGCTACAGACCAAAGAACCACGTGGGGCACTTAAAAGTAAAATGTCGCGGAATTAAGCACAAGAGGAAAGGGTGGATTCAGACCATGTCTCGCTCGGCTTTCGCGCGTCCGGCGTTAACCCAGGGCAAAGTCCCTACAGGGTATCTAATAAAGCTGTTTGTCTCATCTGCTAGCTCGGCAAGAGCGCCGTACCATGCCAGGAAAGCAGCGAGCAGGCCGAAGAAGCCGCCAGCTTTGATTAGCGGCGCGTATGGAACTCCTGGCGCAGACTCTTGGAAGTAACCAATGGCAAGTAGCAAGTATGTCATATCAAGACAAACGAACAGTAGAAAACACGCCCAGTTTGTCTTAACCGTCAAGGACAGCATCATCGTAGAAAAGATAAACCACGCCTAGCAATATTTAGATCACTCCGTTAGTCTTCTAGATCATCGCTCAATAGGGATAGGCGTTCATGGACATACTATGAGCCAGAACCCAATAACATTGTTTAATCCAGTTCCACCGTCTATTTTTGTAATATTTGATACGATGTCAAAGCCTCCTGGAGTGAATACAATCCCGTATGAAATCCAGAAAGCCCCATATGATGAGAATGTAGTAGCACCAAAGGTATTACCAGAAGCCATTTCCCTAAAACAATACTAACTTAGCTGACCCGGGGCTACCAGAGGACACGTTCAATGAGAGAACCCCTTACCACATGCCAGTTAATAGTTGCACAAAACCACCGTACGCAAATGCTGATCCTATAACAAGATTCGGCGCACGAACATTCCGAGCTTGCATATTAATCAAACTCAGAATAAAGGTTGTAAGTGCGAAAGCACACAGGCCAAGAGGAGCTGGATTGGCAAATTTCCGTGGAGCCGGAGCCTGGGTCTTTCCAGGCGGAGAATAATTCACAATTGGGCTGAGCTGAGATCTTTTCCCAGCCAAAGGGCCGTAGCCATAGCGGGCAGCAGCTTCTGCTATGCTTCGTTCTTCCACAGACATGGCAACATGTTTCTCATCCTCAGTGCTGGGAATTGACGACTTGCTTGCCGAGTGGTAAATGACCCCTTTTTCAGCTTCAATGGACATTGTTAGGTCTTAATCCTCTTCGATATACGCTCAAGATTGGGTAGAATAGGCAAAGAAGTCGTGGCTAGCCGTTGGTGTGTAGAAGACCTTTTGTTCTATTGAGTTTGGGTGATAAGATATCGAGGAAAGGGCAGCAGCTCAAAGAACCTAGAAATACTATCGAGAAAGAGGCTAAGAGATGCAAAGGATAAATGATGGGTTTCACCCCGTCCGATGGAGATTGACGGTTGTGAACAGACGAAGAGTTCTTTGTGCTAAATCGGGAGGAACCACCCAAACAGACCAACTACCAGATTCAATGTGAAAGAAAAGGCAAAATGGGCAGGAACCAGTATGAAGATGCTGACGGAGTAGAAAAACCCGAGAACAAAACAGTGAAAGCGGCCTCCACGGTCGTTGATCACCCACAATGGCTCATTCTGGAGACGGGAATTCGCGTAATAAGAAGGTCAGAAAAAAAAGGAGGTATGGAAGGACATATGGAGACAGCCGACGCGGCATATAAATAGAATTCTTCCGAGATCAATGCGGAAGACGATAACGGTAAATAAGTCGGGAGCAGGTTTTTGCCAGGGTGATCGGACGAATATAACCAAAGGGATCACCTCGCCGGCCCAATTCTATAGTGCCGGACAATGGGGTTTCAAGGCCACTGGTCGTGCTAGAGTTTGGTTATCTGCAGCAGGATGTCAACCGCTAGAACCAAAACTACCCCGGGAGGCAAGGCGAAGAACCCATCCCGGTAACTTTCCGTCCATTAGCTTCTGACGTTTTCTTAGCAGTGAGGAGATAAACGTTCATGCTGCGCGAAGTCATCCACCGTCGCGGGAATATAGATAACACAGGCCAGGCACGAAAATGAAAGGTAACAACCGCCGGAGCAGGGAAACGACGATCATCTCTTATCTGGACCAGGATTGATCGTCCCTGGATTTATAGAGCGGAACAAGGATGACCCACGGTTCCAGTTCCAGACTGACGAAAACCAGCAGTTCTTAGAGCGCGTTCTACGGCATACTTTGTTCGTAAGACCAAGCAGAGTAAAAACAGTCGACCCGACAGAACAACCGCGCCACGCCCTTAGGGCAATATGGAAGTACGAAATCCGAGGTAACAGGCGAAGAGAGGCAGCGGGTGTCAGTGCAAGGCTGGCAGCGCGACGACTTCAGTGGCTGGGAGACTCCTCACGCCCAGTGCTTGTCCGGCTTTGCATTGTAGCATCTGGACGGAGCTGTTCGAGCGAGCCCAATAATATTTGCGGACGCGACGACCAAGACCCATGCCGATTCCCGCATTTATAGTCCGTATCCTCCTTTTCTCAAGTTAGTCAAGGATGGCGGAGAAACATGGCCTTCAAAGCCACGAAGGACATAGTCCACGAAAGAGATGCCATTTCAGCCGAATGTGGTCGCGACACGGCTGGCTCTCCAGACACCCCGCATCTTATCCGTAGGGGCCATTGCTCTTCAACGTCCCAGGTGTAGATCCGCTGGCGGTCGGGGGAGGTTGCAGCGAGGAGGTTCGTTTGAAGTCCCCCGCCCACCTGACCGTTTCATCCCACAGACTCCATCGTCAGCAACAGCAGGCTTCTGTAGCCGTCCAAGACAAGACAAACAGCACCCTTGCAGTCGCCAGATCGTTGAAGCTGCGATCGATGCTGGGATTGTGCATACAGTCTCCATCGGCGGAAGTGTCTAGGGACGCGAGAGCACAGATGCGCCATGTGGTCGCCCAAAGAACCGTGAGCTCAGTTTTAAGGGGCATGCGACTCGTTTCCATGATTATTGCTGACGACGGCCGAAGGCCCTTTTACGCTTAGATTTTGCTATTGACGACTTAACGGACTTCCCTCAGCGGGGCGTGCACCCGCGCAGGATCAGCCTTTTGCTTGTCTCTCTGGATGCCTCCACGCTAGCTAAATCCGCCTCCTCCCACCGTTGTCTCTGGAGACGACCGCGCTCCGGCTTCGTCGCTGCGGAGATGATTGAATTTATCCTGCTCGGGCCTTCAATCACATGGACCTGAGAACATTCTGGTCCTGGCAAGATACAAGCACGGCAGAATGCTCCGCATGTGATCCTTGGGCAGGTGTTTCGGGTCACCTCAAAGCCAGCGTGAAGCTGGTTTCGCACATCCACATTAACTAGCCGATGGTTGGTTCCAGCCCCATCGTCTCATCCGAGTACGCTCGCAGCGCCTTTTTGATGGTTATTTTGTCAGATTCGTGCCACCACTTTTTCAGGCTCCATAAAATTTCATTACATGGAATCATGGATCAATTAGGATGGAGCCTCTGACTAAGCATCAAGTTTCCCCTGTGTTGCCTTCGATCGACCAAGGGAAAACAGTAATTACCCAACAATATCGCCGCCTCCTTTGTTGCAATCATACTAACTAGCTGTGTCAGATGCGGGGTCATGCCATGGACATAGCGCGCATTTGAACAGCCAACTCTACAGAGTATGGAGCACTAACTAACTAACACCTATTCCAGCTACAAATCTGCCTCAAAAACAAGCATTCTGGTGGCGCCAAGGCGGAAGGGAATCAACTCGCACGTGCCCATGCTGCGTCTAGAAGCAACTGGTTGTACTCCGTACTCGTATAATTTTCACATCAAACTGTTTCGAACTCATTCCACCGAGAAAAAATTCATCCGGGGATAATATCACACTTGCGGTACCGTTAAACTGCTGTATTACTAGCTAGATTACCATTATGATCTATCCTAAGCCAGGGAGCCTGCTAGATGGCACCAACCCGCTTCGTTCCTCTGTTCAGCTACGTGGTTCGTCTACGGGTTAAGCAAGCTGGTCCCATCAAAGAATAATTTCCCTCTTATCGTTCTCGGCGCAGAGCCAAGACAGGTACCCATTCGCATATGGACGGAAATCAATAAGCGATGCAAGCAATTCAAGCAGGGGGTGTTATGTAACGGTTATTCACAAGTCGATTGTAGTAATGCGAGAAATTTTATCTTTAGGGCATCGATATCATCAATTCTCGAAAAGCAAAATATCTGATATGTCCATAGCTTATGGGAGCGAACAATAATCCCACCCAACCGGGACTATGCCAAAGTATGATATTAACATCAGAACTTTGCCTCTACTCCGTACTTTTATTTCATTTCAGGTCTGCTCACAGGGAATCTACAATTTTTGTTGATCCTAACGGCACTTGAAAATTTTTCACACTGACAAGGGTACGCACGCATCCAGACCGAGAACTGCAAGCGGATTGCTACGGAGAGTATCGGAGCTTACATCGTCAATTCCGATGCCAGGGTAACTGCTACTACACTACAGAAAAAAAAAAAAAAAAAAAATGCGGGCCGACTTCTAGACCCGCTGTGTTGACAGGGGGAAATATTTCAGGGTCACCAGGGTCTATTATCTTGTTGAAGATACTGAGGTTAACATACGTTCTTCAACAACAATTATAAAAAACATGATTGAAAAAGTACCAATTAATATCTCGCTAGGGTATATCGCTATCACTAAAGAAAAAGGGAATAACTAAAGTCCCACTTTGAGTTGAAGAAATGTCGCTCTCTCAACCAGGTATACTACTCTCAACTGCTTGAAGCTTTAATCATACTCATAGAGCTGCTTTTGTGGGGGGACATCGCCTCTTAAAACGTATTTTTTGAAGTACCATGGCAACATTGCACGATAGTGATTCATGTGCGTTGTTGTCGGCACCGAAAAGACTTGGTCTAGTTCTTCGAGCGATAAGGCTTTTGTTTCTGGCAGGCAGAAATAACAGAAAAGCCACCCGAAGATATTCCACGCTGCATACCACCCAAACGCTCCTTGAGGTTTGAATGATTCTACAAGCGCCGGCCAGGTAAGAGAAATGATAAAGTTAAAGCCCCAAGTAGTCGCAGTAGCAAAGGACATGCCGATGTCACGAATATAGAGGGGCTGCAAAATTGTCATCATTAGCAAAAAAGACCATACATAAGTGGAGCAGGATGTTGAGCTTACGAAGGCCTCAGCAGAATACGTGAAAGGCACAGGCCCTTCCCCCGGTGAATAAACGATCATAAACAGGTAGATACCTGTCGCAACACAGGCTGTCCTAGACTTCAAGTCTGGAATCCAGAAAGAAAACCCAGTGAACAGCAAGAAGAACGACATAAGTGGAAAGGTCGTAAGCAGCAAGTTTCGACGTCCGAAGGTATCGATGGTATAGACAGCCGGCAGAGCAAAAATCCAATTTGTGATACCGCAACCGAGTGACGTGATTAGAGCATCGCGTTGTGAAAACCCTGCGGTCCTAAACATTGAAGAGGAATAATACATGATTGCGTTTACCCCGCAAAACTAGGTGGATTTAGTATCTGATAGGTGGGCTCGGTCACGAGCGGTTAGAAGCTTACCTGTTGCATAAACATGACGAAAAACGAAGATTGTGCTGCCCGTCGGTTGCGTGGAACACAGAACATTTCCCGCCAGAGAAATTTGCCTTGTCGAAGCTTTTCTTCTACTCTTAGCGAGGCATGGATATAATACAGGTCTCTGGCGGCCTGGAGGCGGGTGGGACGAAGTTTGCAAAGAGCAGTGTAAGCACTTTGATACCGGTCTCGCATCATATACCACCGAGGAGATTCGGGGCAAAGGTATACTTGGATGCAAACAAAGAACGGTCTTTGAGAAAAGGTGTTAGAAAACTGGTGGAATGTGGAATGAAATGGCGGTACTCACGGGATTGCCGTAGACCCCAGCATTAATCTCCAGTTAAAGCCCGGAATTGTGGGAGAGCGAACGTCCATGAAAGCCACTGAAGCAATATATCCCAGCATGATACCGAAAGCCGTCCACATCTGCCACATCATTACGAGGGCCCCACGGATATTTGCCGGTGAGCATTCGGCTCCATATACTGGTGTTGTGGTGGACTTAGCCCCGACAGCAAAACCGAGCATGAAACGAGAAAGAAGAAGGTTCCACCAAGTATGTGCCACGGCCATCCAGATTGAAGCTGCAAATGAGACGAAACAAGAGATGAAGATGCACCCTCGACGACCAAAATAGCGATTTAAAGGTGCGGTTGTCCAGCATCCAATGAGGGCGGAGCAGAGGTACGGGGCGCCGTTAAGTAGCCCCTGCATCCAGACATCCTTAATGTTGAATTCTTCAAAATAGAACCTACTCTAGTTTAGCACGTAGGTGTAACTAACATAAAAGCACGAGAGTCTTACTCTTGGGCGCCATTGACCGCAGTCTGGTCCATGCCTTGGACGATGGCTGAACCAGCACAGAGGACTGCAACAGCATTAGTATCTCCCTATCTATGCAAATAGGTTTGTTGGAGGTGCATACTCGTCATAAAATACATCATGAATGGCTGGTGCCATCGATGCGTTTTCTCCCGGCGAAGAATATCCTTTTCCTCTGTCGAGAGCTCTTCTAAGGTTTCAAAGGACTTTGGGTCCTGGGCAACGAGAGCGCCCTTTTTAAGATCATCTAAAATGTCGACGAGACCCTTCTCCTCAGCAAACTCTTCCACGTCCCGGAAGAGCTCATCTCTGGACAACCCAGATAGAGGGTTGCGCAGTTTGTTGTTTACCACTGCCCCTTCCTTTACCCACGCTCGAGCATTTTCGTCTGCAGAGACCTTCTCAACGGAGGCAGAAGATTTTGAACCTTGGCCGCCCTCATTGGTGGGGTTGACCTCTGGGTCGTGTGCTTTCTCTCCCATAATCGCAAGTTGGGATAAGAAAGAAGGGGAAGGAAATGAAAAGAACCCTTAGGGCAAGCTAGCCAACACACATAGGATGATTGACAGCAATCCAAGAGGGGCCCGGGAGGCTACAGCTAGGTAATATATATCCCGTCACAATAATAGGAAGCGAGTATCCGGCCCCGGTCGCTCGAGATCTGCAAAGAAATGTTCCACCACCACGACGTTGGGTCCACGGGTCGTTTAAATAGGCAGAAATCCTCCGTAATCTGGCACCGGATTTCTGGAAACCAGCTTCGGCAGCGCGGGTGCATAACAAGGCCATCGACGACACGGTGGTATCCATGCCATCCGCGGGGCCAGGGAATGCCACAATACCTCTCTTGCCCCCCAAATGCAAGCACACGGTTGCTGGCCCAGGAATTGCGTCATGACAAGAAGTGATAGTCACAGTGGGATGTGCGTCGGAGTCTTTTGTAGCACGCGAGCGGCACCTTGGCTACGCTCCACCGCCGACCGGGTTTGTGTCAGACACCTCTGTGACCAATGCGGCGTGGCCCGCGGACTGGGAGCGCAGAAGCTCTTGTGGGCGTCAGGGTGACATTGGCGGCCGCTGAACAAGTCACGGATACTACCAAGAAGACCTTGCTTTCCGCCTTGCTTTCCCCGGTGCCGCTCTTGGAACCGTGGGGACGGCGGCTCTGCTAGCAGGATTCTGATGTCAAAGTCCGGAACTCTCGGCCACGGCGGCGGAGTGGAGGTCCAAGACTTTTATTCCCCCAGCGCCACCGCAACGCCAAGGGGATCAGCAGTCGCGGAGGCTCAACGTCCAGTCACGACGCGGACACGCCGCTGCAAAGGTTGGCATCAGGCGCGAGGGCTGCATAGATACTGACAGGAGCAGGGTACATGCTGAAGGGATGACTAGGCGGTGGCAAGGTGAAGAGAGACAAGACGACAGAGTGGTGCATACAGTGCTTCTGTACAGGCTACAAGCTACATACCTACTCCTGCCGGCGTTGCTCCAGCCGCCTGGCCGCCCACTCCAGCTGCTCGTTGAAGCGCTGCACCTGGCGCAACAGGCCTCCCTGCGAGTCCGGTGCCGTGGAGCTCACATCTGTGGCAACCGTTCGGAGAAGGAATTCAAGGCCCCCAAGTGTAGTTCCGTCCGCCGAGTCTTGGCTACGTTTCTGGTTTCGATCAAGGGCGAGCTGAAGGTCATGTAGGGAGTTGTTGAGCGAGTCATGCTTCTGGTGCTGGGTCAGCTGAAATGCAATGGTTTTCGGGTCAACGGGAGGCATGTATGAAGAGCATTTCAGACTTACCACTCTCTGGCGCTCATCATCCGCATATTGCCTGCGGACCTCGTCAATTCGCAGCGCAACATCCTCCCTCTCCTTCCGTACGCTCAGTAGCCTATGTCTCAGGCTGAGCACATCTTTCTTCTCCGACTTCCACCGCGTAGCCAGCCCAAAATTGCTTTCCAACAATTCACTAATACTAAACAGCGAGTTCTCCAGCTCCGTTCCAAATTCCAGAACCGCGTTACATTTACGTTTCCATTCGCCAGCGCGACTGGTATTCGCCTCCTGTTCGATATTTGTTTCGAGTGCAGACACAGTCTTCTCCAAGGTCTCTCGACAGACTTGGCTGAGAACGTCCACAGCATTGATGCCGCCGCGGTTCAAGTGTTTGTAGTGTTTGGCAGGTTTCTCTGGCGCGGGTCGCTCGTTGTCAGACGCATCATCCGACTCCGATAACGTTTCCAGCGCGGTGACATTTGCGAGGCGGTGAACAGTGACCGGCACAGTATTTTTGTTTCTGGGTCTCTCGTGTTTAGAAGCCGTCTTTATGGCATTCGAAGGCGCATGCTTTTCTTTCTTATGTCTTCGTTTTAGTCTGTGATCCGGCGTAGCTGCATATTCCGGCTGCGCTCTCCCGTCCTGTTCAATATCCTCCTGATTTGCCTCAAGCGTTTTAGCTGAGGATTTAGCTAGGCGGGCCTTTTTCTTTTGTTTGCGCCCCGTCGGTTTTGATTTTTGAGCCGTTTCTGCTTCAGGAACTCTAGATTCTGATTTTTGCGGCTCAACATCTTTAATCCCAGGACCTTCTGTAGATTCTACTTCCTGCCCTCCTAGAAGTGTAGGGAATTCGTTTTCTACCTCTCCTCTGTGCAGATTTGACGCGATTTCGTTGGTCAAATTCGGATCATTTGTTTTAGCGGACGGAGACTGCTGTGGAGTGAGATTTGCAGTATTGGTTTTTTCAGCAGAAGCTTGTTTCTTTTTAACGAGTCCAGGAGGCTCAACTTCCTCAGCCGATGCTTGCTGCGGAGAATCCTTTGGACTGGAACGGAATTGTACCTTTGGATGCTTCTTGGGAAGCAGGCGCACAGACTTTCTCTTTTTTCTCTTGCGTTCTGAGCCAGGCGTATGATTTTTCTCGGCGTTTTCTCCTTGATTAGGACTATCGTTTTCCGCAATGGGCGATGTGTTCTGTCGTGGTGGCGGAATCGGGGTGTGCTTCGGGGCCAATCCTCCTTCCAACAATTGTTCATTCGGTTGCAAATCTCCCACTTGGGGAGTAGGTATGGGTTCGGCAGCATTTGCTTGGGGTTGTTGCTCAATTACAAATTTTCCAACAGATTTCACGAAATCGCTATGGGGGCTGCCTAAGTCTAGGGGAACATCCTCCTCAATTGTTTGAAATGGCGCTGCAAGAGAGCTTGTAAGAAAATGACACGGTTAATGTAGGTTATGCACATACTTATTCGCCTGCGCTTAGAGCTTCTCTGCTCCGGTTCGTCTTCTGGCGGAATATCAAATACAGAGAGCGGTGAGGGTATTGTGCCCCTGCTTCCCGGTGCTCTTGTTTTCGGCGTAGTGCTTTGTTTTCTAGACGAGCTACGTCGCGAATGCGGCGTCGAAGGCCGAGAAAGCTTCTTATTGGGCGTGGAAGGTTTCGAGGAGGATGCATGAGCGGGTCTGGCACTGATGGCGACTGATAATGATGGAGTAGGTTGTGTAAGAGGCAACGAAGGAGAACCAAAAGAGAAGCCGAAATCCACGTCTTTGACCTTGCGATTCCTATATTCACGTAGCGATGTCAGTAAACTTGAAGTTGCGGAGACACAGCGCCTCTCAGTAGATGATATATTGGACCAAACATACGCGGCTCCTCGCTGGCGCATCTGCTGGCGCTCCGCCCGGTCTAAATTAAGGGTCAGTAAACTATCTCATTTAACATCGGGCGGAACCCTTACTAGCAGCAACAGACATCGTGTTGAGTGTGACAATGATTTCTCGACGCGCCGGCGGACGCGTTCTTGATGGTCTGTCGAGCTGCGACAAACTAGTTAGCTAACTAGTTCGCGATCTTGGCGGAGTTAACTTGGAGAAATTCATTTTTCGCCCTTCTCAATGTCGCAGAACATGGGCGCAATGCAACCATGAACCCCGGTAACTACTCCGAGGGGTAAATTGTGCAAGGAGCGTGGATACGTCTTGACACACATACAGGATTATCGAAATGGGATGGTTCTGGGGCAACGCGTCGAGCAATGACGACCCGACGAAGAAGCTAGATCCCGAACTACGGGAGTATCTAGAGAGAGAGACTCCAGCAACATACGTTCCTACTACCCTCCCATCGCCCCCCGAAGCTACTTCTCCCGATCCTCAGCCTCCCTCTCCACCCTCGAATGCAGCCGCTTCCACTGAGAGCCAGCCCAGCGTGCCCTCCGCCTCTCTATTCCCTGACGGCAGGTACGCCTACCTCTGGAAGAACTACCAGCCCCTCGAGCAGCTGGAAGGCCCAGAAATATCTCCAGCTGAGAAGGTGGTTGATCAATTCAAGAAGAGAAAAGATGTTTTGAACAGAGCCGCGTTAGAAAACTGTGCTGAGGAACATATCCGGCTTACGAACTGTTTCAAGGATGGCGATGTACAGCAGAGGATGTGGGCTCGGATGACTATGTGTTCGAAACAAAATAGGGAGTTTTCAAGATGCTATACAATGCAAGCTGTAAGGCCTAGTCACAAGCCCGCCGCAGATCCGATATTTGTGTCTTCAAACTGGCTGATAGACCTTTACAGAAGTTTTTACAGGCCCTTGGCTACGGTGCACAATTCGACTGGGACCGAGAACGAGAAGAAAAGATCCAGATGCATGCAGACAAACTGTACCACCAGATGCTGGACTATGAAGCCCAAGTAGAAGAAGCGAAAGCCAGCGGCGCTGAACCTCCCCCTCTAAAATCACTATTCAATCCCAAAGCGGCGGCATCGTCGCCTGTACCATCGAGTAATGATGGAGACGCATCGCAGAAAGCCGAAGTACCGGGAGGTGCCCAGTTACCACCGGGTATGAAGCCACCGAAACCCCTCGATGAGCTGACACCACATGAGCGAGAACTGGAGATTATGGTCCTTCAGCAACAGATGGTACAACGAGATTTGTACCTTGAGGAAGTGTCGCCTTTGATCAAGGCTGACGAGGAGGGGAAAGCAAAGCGACGCGCCAAGTATACTAGCTGGTTTGGTGAAACCGTGGGAAAATGGCTTGCATGAAAGCAGCAGGTCTTGCTGCAAAAATCCTCTGGGAGCGCCAGATGGAGCAGAGACACGAGTCGTCGAGTTTCTTCTTGTTGCGCTCCAGGTGACAAAGAGTGCGCCATTCAGGCCAGAAGGCATGTTGGTGAAACCGAAATTGACACTAAAACCACTCTCTATCCCATCGTTGTTTCAGCGGATATGAGCTTATTTAACATTCTGCTGAAGCACACCTCACAATAGTGGATGGTTCATCGTCAACATGGCTGATGTGCACAGGGTGAAAGAACGGAATAAACTGTAGCGAGATAATAGGATTTGGATTTCCCCTTTCCCCCTTGAATGTTGATTTGGGAGCGTTCGGAGGTTCACATGGGGAGCTAGTAGCATTTGCAGTAGTTAGCTGCTGAATTAAATCTGCTAGTAATAATACAAGAATTAAATGCCCACAGGACCACACCGTGCATTTGTTGCCTGGCTATCCCCAGCCGTGCGGGTCTGTGCGGGCATACAAGCCTGTGCTATTGACTTGGTGCAGCCGTTGTTGTGTACGATCGTGAGTGAGCTAGCATTTGTCGGAGCAACCACCTCACTTCAACCACCCTTTTGCTTTCCGGCCCTCCTGACTCCTCACCATGCTTCTTTAGAAGGGTTTAGAAAACTCGTATCATTTTATCTTCATGCAGTATCATGGGCAATTGAAGCCTTTTTCTAACTCCGGACCAATGGGCTAACTACCCACACTGCTGATAAACGCTATTTCTGCATCTTTGGATAAAGACACTTCCGTGAATGAAGCCCGGGGCGACTCATTTGACCAACCCATCTACATTAAATCGCAATCTGGACACTATCATCTCTTCCCATAGCCTCCCACCATGAAGGCTACGCCTCTTCTTATCGCCTGGCATGATGACAATGCCCCAGTGTACTCCGTCCATTTCGATCCTCATGGCAAGGGAAGACTAGCTACAGCCGGAAAGTATGTATTGACCTCCAGATTGTACAATCCGTCCTTTGATAATATGCTAACAGCTATGGTTTAGTGACAACAATGTTCGTGTACGTTACCTCTGCCTCCCTTGAGTCCTTCGACATACCTGACACTTGAACAATAGCTATGGAGGGTGGAAGCTACTGGGGAGGAGCGAAAGATTACCTATCTAAGCACACTAGTCAAGCATACACAAGCGGTGAACGTTGTACGCTTCAGTCCTAAAGGTGCGTAAAGCAGGCAAACAACCCACTGTTCAGTCTCTAATACATAGCAGGTGAGATGCTGGCATCTGCTGGGGACGATGGAAATGTCCTCCTCTGGGTACCATCAGAGCTGCAAACACATTCGAGACTGGGTGAGGATCGAGCCGATGACAAGGAAACGTGGCGGGTGAAACATATGTGCAGGTCTTCCGGCGCCGAGATCTACGATCTAGCATGGTCACCAGATGGCGTGTTTTTCATAACTGGCAGCATGGATAATGTAGCTCGGATCTATAACGCACAAACCGGTATGTCATGCAGCTCACACTCATAGATTTCAGCTAACTGTGAGTTTAGGTCAAATGGTGCGGCAGATTGCCGAGCACTCACACTACGTACAAGGTGTCGCTTGGGATCCGCTGAACGAATATGTCGCAACGCAATCCTCTGACCGTTCAGTTCATATTTACACACTGAAAACGAAAGATGGTCAGTTTACCTTAACTTCACATGGGAAATTTCTCAAAATGGATTTGCCTGCGAGACGAATATCCTCGAATAGTCCCGCACCGCCAGATATGGGCCTGCGAAACCAGTCAACTACCAGCAATTCTGTTGCAGTATCATCTCCAGGTCCATCGACTCCTGGAACTCCTATGACAGGGCTGCCAATGGATCCACCACCTATGTCTCTGAGTCGCCGGTCTTCGTTTGGTTCCTCTCCTTCCATTCGAAGATCAGCCTCTCCCGCTCCATCGATGCCTTTACCGGCTGTTAAACCTCTTGATATGCCGTCTCCAAGCTTCCTTGGTGGACTCGGTGTTAAAAACTCGAGTCTCTACGCCAATGAGACGTTTACATCCTTCTTTCGACGATTGACCTTTGCTCCTGATGGGAGCCTTCTATTCACACCCGCAGGGCAATATAAGATGCCCTTGCAGGGTGATCCTTCGAAGGGTGCAGAAGATGTCACCAATACCGTTTACATTTATACACGGGCTGGATTTAATAAACCACCAATTGCCCACCTTCCTGGGCATAAAAAGCCTTCTATTGCGGTCAAGTGCTCTCCAGTATTTTATACCTTACGACAGGGCTTAAAACCTACACGCCATATCACCCTTGATACCTCTTCTGTCGATGACTCTTTTGCTTCTCTCCCTGACTCCATGATGCCGCCAAACTTACCACCTCCAATTTCTACGTCCATGGAGCCACCTCCATTAGCCCTGCCTACTCCAGCTACGAGTGATCCCTCACGCCCTCTCTCATTACCTAAAACTCAGGAGCAAGATGCCAGTGCTACAAACCAACCAAATCCTCCTGCATTTTCGCTCCCTTACCGGATAGTCTACGCAGTAGCCACGCAAGACGCGGTTCTTGTTTACGATACACAACAGCAAACACCACTATGTGTCGTGAGCAACTTACATTTCGCAACTTTCACCGATTTAACTTGGTAAAATACCTTGATTACTTGAATTTTACCCATGATTTCTAACCACCTTTCCCGCTTTAGGTCACAGGATGGTCTTACTCTGATAATGAGCTCCTCCGATGGGTTTTGTTCAACCCTCTCATTTACGCCCGGGGAACTTGGCCAGACTTATTCCGTTGAAAAACAGCATGTGTCAACTAGCACTCCGTCATCAGCCACCACTCCTTCGCATACCTCTGGTTCTCTAAGCTCCCCCGGCATAGCAAAGTCAACGCCAGCTATACCTCGCCCTTCGGGCCCCGTGAGCCCCGCCAGCTCCGTGGCCGCAAGCATCGGGCATATCAACATGCCACCATCAAATGCTGGTGTTTTCAATAACCCTACTCCAACTCTGAGTTCAGTTCCCTCGGTCACAGCTACAAATTCAGCGCCTCCTCCAAACCTATCGTTTACAACACCACCGCAGACTCCCATGACCGGCGTTTCGCACAGCGCAAGGAGCTCTATCAGCGGAAGCGTCCTGGGGAAGCGAGATCTCGGCGCTATCAGCGAGTCGGATAAAGAGGATACGAAGGAGCCGAGCGAGCCCGTGCAGCAAGCCAATGACAACGGGGGCGCTACGCCCCGAGCACCCAAACGAAAGCGAATAGCGCCGACGCTTATATCTGCAGGAGAGAGCACGGACAATAATGTTCCAGAGAGCAGCAGTGGCAAACCGGCAGACTGAAATGCTGCACAACAAAAGGAGCCTTGCTCAAGGGTCCAAGCTTGATTAAAAAGAGAAAAAAAAAGAAATAATATTTGTACCCTTTAGGTTTGGAAAGTCCTTTCTGTGGCACCAGTGAGAACAACAGCATTGTGTGTTTTTATTTTTCTATATTTTTTTTTTTTTTCCACCCTATGATCTTTTTATTTTTGCATACTGTTTTCTCTTTTGTTAAGCGACAGGATAGGATGTCTCTACTATTATTAAGATGACTTATTGTTAGGGCTACTTTATTGTTCTTTATTTTTGTACTGTGAATGCTCTTTCCCCCTCTATTGAATTTCCTTAAGGAATGCTGGGTAACGAACTGCCCTGTACGTTCTATGTAGGAGCTTAGCTGATGCCGTCTTTTGCTTTACTCTATACGGAGTAATTCCTGGCTACCGGTCAAATCACCGTTTGACCGATTAATCTCGCCAGAAGTAAGAACCCTCGAAACTATAATATATTTATTTACTGCAATATTTCCCCCTTCCCCCCTTCCCCTTTTTCTAGTTGATGCACAGCCGCATTTTCGATTCTTAATCTACTGCTCGAGTGATCTGGGCAATCCATGAGTCGTATAGGAATGAAAAGAGAACTGATTCGAAATGAGCCCGTTTCATTATCATTTATTGCATGTATGTGGTAGCTAGGCAAAAGGTAAACGCAGAGCTGCCCCTTTCTCATCATCATCATTTGGCGGCATAACCTCATCCTTCCCCACAGCTGGACCCTTGCAGAGCGTGACTAGTCAGTAAACTATGTACGGAGTAGCTAAAGGGCCATCGCGGCACGGACTCACCCGCGCGCTCCCGTACGGTATCACTACTAAAATCCCATCACACCTTATTTTTTTTCATTCTTTTTTTTTGTCGGCGCCCATAGGGCTTTGCAAGGTTCAAAACGTAAAAAAAATTTAGGAAACAAAAAGAAAACAAAATAGAAAAACCATAAAAAAAAGAAAAAAAGAAAAAAAAAAAACTAAAGTACCACACCTAAAGAACCTATAGAAAAAAAAAAAGGTTTCAGACAACCTTAGAAACTAGGGTTTGTTGTGTATACTCCGACTTATACCCAATAGTGGCCACACAGCTCACAATATTTTCCCACATATACCCTACAGAGTGAATACGTAACTAAATACCGGGTCTGGAGGGTATCGGTGGGCATCAGCTGAAACACTGAGCGACGCAGGGGTGCGTGAATAGCGTTAGCCGCGAAGAAGAAGGAACAAAAAAAAAATGAAGCAGATCCCATACGTGCGTGACTCAGATGTATGATGTATCTACCGTGACATGTCGGGGGGGTGGTTGGATATTAAAGGAGGGGGTGGGTGTCTGGGGTTGAGTAGGAGGAATACATGAAATGACGATGAATTGGCCAGGATGTGATTTGGGGTGAGCGGGAGAGCTAACTACAACACCAGCACAAACAGGTCGGATGTGAGGGGTTTTCTTTTTTTTTATTCTTGCTTGGATTTCTTGAAATCAGATCAGACGAATACAAGATAGCGCCTGTGAAAAAAAAAAAAAAGAGAATGAATCACCATCCACAGAAGTCCGTGTGAACGGGTGTTGTTGTGTATAGGTCCCTTTGCCCCAAAGTACTGGCGAATTAAAAAAAAAAAAAAAAAGAAAAAAACAAGTCCGTCATCCTGCGGTTTTGTTGTTTCCATGATATTAGGGCTCGAAACGCATGATCCTCGGAAGTGCCCGGCGGCTGAAGACGCTGTCCAATCCCCTGGCTGATAGGATCCGCGAGTTGGGAGGGGGGGATAGCTGTGGTGGAGTGCATTTCAGCGACTATGTGATGCGACGAGGCAAAAAATGTCTCAGGGCGAGACTGCTTGAGCATGTCGATGCGACGAACGGTGTCAGTCGTAACAACGATGAGAATTGTAGTGCGTAGTTATACAGCTGTGGAAAGAATCGCCATGAACTAGTAACTTTGAGCGGATACAAGAGCAGGCTGGCGAATGTGTTAGAGAAGTTTCCAGTCCGTTTTTATGGGTCGATGGGGAATAGCTTACTGGACTGTTCAAAATACTGTTTCGCTTGTTTCTACCTTTCTTGATGTGGCTCTTGAGAGCGCTGGAGTCGAGTGGTTTCAGTAACTCGAAGCTACAGAGCAGCTCTATAGACACCGACATAATGGCCCCCCAGTTATCGAATTCACCGCAGTACTAGACGCGGAATGTTAGGTACTGTATCAACGAACAAGAGGCGAAAGAGAAATACTTACGTTAGGCGCAGAAAACACGGTAACCAAAATCCGGTCACTAAAAAACTCATACCCATCCTCCACCACCATGTGTGCTCGACAAACAAGATCAAAGTCGTGACGCGTTAAAAAGTCCATAATCACCTTTTTCCCAAAACAATAACTTACGCCCCGTTCGTTGGGCTCCCAGTCCTCTTCCATATCAGCTGGGTCACTCCATAGCAAATCATTCAGTAGCCCGTAATCAGGCACATCAGTAGGTCGGGCAATGCCGCGAATATCGTCCATGTGCGACAAGCTCGGCGATAGGCCGCCATGGACGCAGAAGATCTTGCCAGCCACAATGGCGGCGATGGGGAGGCAGTTGAAGGTGTCGACAAAGGTCTTCCAGATTTTGATGTTACACCTGCGCTTGCACTCGTCGTAGAAGCCGTAGACTCGAGTAACGTTGGCGCACTCGTGGTTGCCGCGCAGCAGAAAAAAGTTCTCGGGGTACTTTAGCTTGTAGCACAGCAGCAGCAGGATAGTTTCTAGGCTCTGCTTGCCGCGATCGACGTAGTCCCCAAGGAACAGATAGTTCGACGCTGGTGGGAAGCCACACATCTCAAAGAGGCGGATCAGGTCCGTGTATTGGCCGTGCACGTCGCCGACGATTTTGGCTGGGGCCGACAGCTCGAGCAGCGCAGGCTGCGCTAGCAGAATCTCGCGTGCAGCGGCACAGATGGCGACGATCTCTGCGTTTTTCAAGCACACGGCTTTTGTCACCTTGGCGGAGTAACCAGCGTCTAGCAGGCGGGTGATCATGTCGTCGACGTCAATGGACTTAAGCGAGCCGATGCCCATGCCCGGCGAGCCATTGACGCCGACGTCTGACGCCGACGAGCCATTGAGGTCCCGTAGCACTGGATTCAGCATGTTTTCTCTCTTGACCAGGATCGACTCGCCTGGTTTCAGGGAGAGCGTCGACGCGCCGGCGCCGGTGGGGGGCGCCTCTGAGACGTTGCCGACCTCGCCGGTGCGCTGGGCGACATCGACATTGTTGTGGCCACGGCCCAGCGAGGCCGAGTGCGGCGGCGACGGCGGCGGTCTAGGGGCGTCGGGCGAGGGCGGCTCGTCATCATCAGCGCCCGCGAGCGCCGATCGAGCGGTGGCTGCAGAGGCATCTGAAGTGGTGCGGCCGGAGCGCGAGGGCGTGGAGCGGACGGAGGCGGCGTCTCCTCCCAGACCGTTCTCGGCGCGCGAGAGCGTGCCCGTGGAGGCTCGGGGACTATCGTACTTGTCCGGCTTGCTGCTGCCGGTGATGCTGCTGGAGCCGGGGATCTTCGAGCGGATCGAACCGCGGATCGACCGGCTGGAGTCCTTGGTGTCAGAGCGAGCAAAGGACGGGTACGACTGTAGTGAATCCGAACCCACGCCACCGCTCCCCTTGGACTGCTGCTGGCCCATGGTCGTGGGCGATAGTCAAGCGGCGAGAGAGGCGGGAGTCTGGGGGTGGCGGGCGTGTTGGGAGCGCGGGAGGTGAAGGCGAGAAGGGGAGAGAGAGCTGGGGGGAAGCGAGGACGGGCGAGCGAGAATTGGGGCGAGGGCGGGCCTTAGGGAGGCTGGAACAGGGCGGCCAGGAAGCACAGCACGGCGGCTTCGACGGCAACAGTCGCCAACGCGCACGGCGGCAGGCGGGCGGGAGCGATCAGCCGGCGATCGTAGTTGTCGTGGGCAGCGGGCGGCGGTGGGCGGCGGAGAGGCTCCAGGATCGAGGATTTGCTGCTCACGGCGAGCACGGCGGCGACGGCGAGGGCTGGCGGCGGCGAGGCGGCAGAGCGAGGGCGCGGCGGGGGGGCATCGACAAGGCAGAGCGCAGTGGCAGCAACGAGACGAAGCAGAGGACGACGCTGGCGAGAAGCGACGAGAAGAAGAGTGTGTGGGAGAGAGTGGGAGAGAGAGAGAGTGAGAGAGAAGAAGCTGAGTTGAGGCCGAGCGAGCGACGGTGGCGGCGACGCAGCGCAGCTGGGCGGGTTGATCTAGACTGCGCGACCAGACGCCCAGGAGCCGGCTAGTGTGCGAGACGGGACGATCAAAAGGCAGCAGAGGCACGCAGATTCTCGCCGCAATGGTCCAGTTTGACTTACTGTCTGGTTATCTACAGCGTTATGGATGGAGTTAACAGCTAGCTATTAGGTGGTCAGTCAACTGCTTCGCTGGCCTGCTGGCTGCCCTCGACGCCGATCTGCCAGCCCCGGAAGCCCACGATAATCCGTCTGCGCGTCGCTGCGCCAGCCGACATAATCTCTACGGGAAACGAAACGCCACAGTCTTGAGCTCGCGACCTCTCTCAGGCCCGTTCGCCAGCAGTGCCCATCGCCTGGTTCCACGCCGCCCGCCCGACAGCCAAAACGTGGCGGCTGCTGCCCGTCCACCACCACGCCAAGGGGGAACACAAAACAGCCCAACGCGAATGGCCGTCGAATCCCATTGCCGTCGCTCCCGCCTCGCAGCTCCGCTCGCCTGCTGCCGCACGCACACAGCGGGGGCCGCCGCGTGACACGCCGTCCGGTTGTCAATGCTGTCGCCGCCGCCGCCGCCGCCGCTGCGGTTGCTCGCTTGGCCCCTTCGATGTGCATGCCGCTGCCGCCTGTCAAGCTAGCGGCCTGATCGCCCCGGCCGGTGGTTGTCCACTTCGATTTTCGTGATGTGCCGCCCCGGGACTACGACCAGCCCGATGAACCGGCTCGTCATGTTCGCCGTCACGCTGTTGCCGCTGCCGCTGGTCGTCATCCCCTCGCGGTCGGGGCTCTGTCGCGCAGCGGCCTCGCTCAGCGCCGCCGCCGTCGGGTAGCGGTACTCGTACGTGTTGGCGAGAATGATATTGCGGTCCTGTATGGCCATCAGCATCACTGCAACGGCCCCATCCGCTCCAGATCAGACTCCCCGTACTCACCGCGTCTGTGCACTTGAAGCTGCCCGCAAAGAGCCGCGTGTCCGTCGTATGCACCACCAGTGTCCGCCCCAGAAGCGCCTCGAGCTCCGCAACCGCCTGCACGCTGTCCATGCTTGCCGTCGTCGCGATGTCGAACGTCTTGGGCTCGCTCGTCCAAACGCCTTTTGTGCCTCATATGCTTACGTAAGCATATCGATCGCATCACGTGGAACAGGGGTCTCCGGGAGTGGGGCAGCCCACTTTTCCAAAATAGCCGCTTATGTCAGCCTCCGCACCTCCGCAAACTCTCCTCCAACGTTCTCGCTTGAGAGACGACGACGACATACCTACGTGCCTGCAAGCTGTCCCGCACTTCGGAAGCCCTAGATACTCGGAAAGATGGCTGAAAAATTTCTCAATTTTATTAGAGGCTCCTTCCAAGGTGCCGATATTATTCCATGTCTATATCATCGTCACCGAAGCCTTGAAATGTTTTGCCTGGCCGCAATATTGGGTGGGCTTGTACTGTGTGCTCACAACACAATATTTCTGCTAGAATCTTCCGTGGAGCTCGGCTGACCTGCGAATTTACTTGCGAAGATCTTCGGGGTTCGCACCTTGTCTCCCTTCTTTTCTCACGCTATGTTGGGTTGCGGGCACTTTGCCAGTTGTCCTTTGCCGTTTGTCCTCTAACTTGAACCCAAGCTCGCGACCTTACCAATAAGTTTATCCGCTCATAGCTCTACCGTTTTTAGTCAACTTCGGCCTAACTTCTATCCTAAGCATAAAGACTTTTCAAAGCTCAGCTACATTGATTAGCCTACCTGCCTTTGACTTATTGCCATTTCAGCTTTACTCAGCAGTGCAGTGTTTCTCCAGTTACTTATCAGGTATGTGGCTTAGTCTTGCTTCCCAATCTTGTGCTAACTATCAGTAAATTAAAACCAGTATACAAATTTTAGCTACTTGTTATGCCGCGTCAGCTTAATTTTCGGGCGCCGGTTGCTCGCCATAATTGGACAGAAAGGCAGAGGCAAATTCTGTGCTTGATGAAAAAGTACTATTCAAACCACTGGGCTGATCTAACAAGAGTTTTCAATAAAATATTCTCAAGAGAGCTAAGTTTTAGTGGGTATTCTCAAGGAATGCCTCCAAGAACTCTTGTTGCCCAGCATGGCACATTAAGCCATGACCACCATCAAAGTTGGGTTAGAGTTCATTCTCCAACTTTTCCAACCGCGCCGCATCAACAAGCGCTTGCTCTGATCATGCACACCGCGGATGCCCTTGGTATCCGTCTCAATTCAAGTCTCCAAACTACTACCTTTGCAAATCAGTCATCCAAGCCTTTCTTCAGACAACATACCCACTTCTCTGAATGGAATAGTATTTCTTCTAAGCAGCCTGAATCCTTTCCTGAATCGACTGAACCAGCTGAGCCTTTCTCTGGGCAGCCTGAATCATCTTCAGGCAACATACCTATCAGCCCGCCACTTACACCATCTCAAAATCAAAACAACAGCAAACCAAGTGGTTTGCTGTTCAGATATTGGTCCTCTAAAACTAATGGCCTCAACAGCTCCTCTCGCTTTGTTGCTGGTCTATGGTCTGAACAGCCACAGAGTATACCCTCTCCAAATTACGATTTGCGTGTTATTCATTCTATGGCTCGCACCCATTTATCCAGATACCCAATTGATTCCCCTTTTATCTCATTTTTTGATACCCCTTTATCACCTCTTCAACGAGCCTTGCACGAGGATGATGGAATGTTAACCGTAGTTGACATCTCATCCTTTGACCAAAGCCGAATATTTTCTGCTGTGGATATTCTCAAGGATAAACCCTTGAGCTCTGAGGTTACTACTCGTGGATATGCTGGCTACAGTGAATTCTTAATCTGGGGCGATGTTTCTAGCCAATATATTATTTGCTCTGTCCGCGCAAATGATTTGCTTAAGTTGAAAACCTCGACTGTTGATTTTCTAAGTATCTGCGACATTAAGTCCTTTGACTCTACTTCTGGAGCTCTGAAAGCCCAATTGAGAAAGAAGCAAATTCCCCTGGATAAAAAGACTGGCATGTTTCTCGGGAAATTTCTCCGCCGGGCCAAATTTCCCCAGCAACATGTCAATGCTCTAGCCGTCAAAATTGCCTGTAGTTGGCGTTTTAAACCTGTTTCTGATGACGACCATGATCGATGCTCCTTATTTCTGGAGGGTGTTCAAGCTGCATATAGACGTCCCCGGGTACCTCAGAGCACCAGCAATGCGTATCAAGTGCCGAAGCCGCCCTCAGTTCCTGCCTTTTCCGCGCCTTCCACGCCCGTCAAACCCCGAAAATTCTCACCGCCAAAACAGAAATCTGTCGATAAACGTGAATGGGTGATAATTGACTCAGACTCCGACAGCAATTGGGGTTCTGGTGAGGATGACTGGCCTGGTGCAACAGAAAATGAGACTCCTTTGGAAGAAAATGATCTCTTTGCTATAAATCGGGCTCGTGTCAGAGCATTTATGGCGTCTTGAAATTTCGCTTTGCTTCTGATTTCCTAAGAACGTTCTTTACCTATTTTGCTTGGCTGCTTTATTCGAACTTATCTGCGTTGTTCAAATTCCTATGTCCACTTCTTAAAGTGTATTTAATGTTGTCGACTCTGTATTCCGACAAATGATTTGATTTATTGCTACACCTGCATTCTGATTCATGAACTTGAAAACGGAAATGAAAATCTTGAATTTCCCTATGGCATTGGCAGCTAAAACTCCATCATCAGATCGGAATATAAAATCCCTTTAAACGAGTAAAGTGAAAACCGGCGTAGTAGTAACATAGCCATAAGCCTTTTATTGCCTAATCATGCCAAACAATGCAAGTCAGACAACTAGTTGTTTCTCCATATTCTTGTCTCTATTTGAGGCATCCATAATATGGAGCACCGGCCTGTCTGCACCTGTGTCCATTGGTATCACCGCCACCCATCATTATCACGCAGCCAAACCGTAAACCATTTAAAATTTGTTAAAGGACTTGACGGCCTTGCCGGTGCGGGGAAGAACACGGAGGACGTTAAATCGGACCTATACCAGGACGAATGTCAGCGAATTCCCGATCCAATAGTCAAATTCCAATTTTGCATTGTATTTTTTTTTTCATGCGAATGAGTTGACTGGAACGTACAGTTTTGCTGAGAGGTCTGCACTGTCCAACGGTAACCTGATCACCTTCTTCAACACGGAAAGCGGGCGAGACGTGGGCAGCGAGGTTCTTGTGTCGCTTCTCATATCGGTTGTATTTGGGGATGTAGTGAAGGTATTCTCGGCGGATGATGAGGGTACGGTGCATCTTGGTGGAGACGACGGTGCCGGTCAAGATACGGCCACGGATGGAGACGAGGCCTGTGAAGGGGCACTTCTTGTCTATAAAGTTGGAAAAAAAAATGTCAGTCATATCCAGCGTATATTTAAGAAACGCGAGGAATCGATAATAATCCACGGGGGGAAAATATTGGTGTAGCAGCCAGCGTGTAACGAGTTGGCGATGTTGGTAAATCAACCATGTTCCCATGATGGCGTAATTCACAATGCATCCGAACCACCTCATTACAAGCCGCAAATGCTGAAAAATGAAGAAATATTCCCTCCATACCGATGTAGCTTCCCTCAATGGCGGTCTTAGGGGTCTTGAATCCGAGACCGACATCCTTATACCATCTCCGTCCGCCCTTGCCGACCTTCTTGCTCTTCGACTTGACCTTCGAGTTCAGGAAGATATGGGGCTGCTTCTGGAAAGCGCGCTCCGACTGCACGGTCAACTCTGTCGCCATGATTGCGATGTGTATCGACGGGATTTGGCGAGGATGGGCTGAGTCGTCGGGGTGTCGTTGTCGATTTGACCGTTCGAGATTTTGCGTGGGTTTGGACTTTGCGAATTCAATGTGGGAAGGCTGCGATGCGCGCTAGTCCTGATACAGCGCTAGTTCGTCTCGGCTAGGGCTTCTCGGTTTGTTTACTGCGCTAGGCCGGAAACGGAACGCTGTGACGCGACGGGGGGAATCGCGGGATAACGAACGTCGTCGGTGTTGAAGCATTTCGGACGCTTTGTTTGTTGGGCGCCGGTTGGAGTGACCAGCGGCTTGGAGCTACCTATATATACCCTGTTGCTGCATGCTGCGCTTTAGCTTTTCTTTGGACGCTCTGTTTGTTTATATCTAACCACTCTTTGACACGCGTACATGGCATCTAGAGGGGAGTCTCAGGCTCGTTCGCGACGCTCGATTGCGCCAATACCCCAAACGGCGCTTCGAAATAGCAGCGATAAAGAGAATTTCACTTCGGATCTAAAGAGATCCAGCTTGCAACCGACACTTAGTCATAAAAAACTCCGAAGCAAGAGTCTGGGACCAGGAGGACTAGATGCGCTCAATGGCGCTGCTGGGAACCGGCGCAAGGTAATATACCAAACACGAGAGAACATATATTTTTTATCTAACAGAGTTGTACTCTTAGTCCACCGCTGCATTCCCTTTGAAATCGATTCTAAAGCCTGCCATACCCGTTTCTCCCATCCAAACAATACCCGCTTTCCAAGAGACACGAAGCAAGACTCCGGCCCGCAGTCCGCAGAAAACAAATAACTCTCGAGGTGCCAGTAATGGACTTCTTATTGATTTCTCAACGTCCCCTGCAGTGCCTGTGATAGGAACCGAAAAATTATCCAACCCGTTCGACACATTTAACCCTAGTCCGGCGCGAAATGGAAGAGAGGCGTTTCGGTTAGAAGAAGAGCAGCGAAGAGAGAGAGAAACTAAAGCTAAACATGAGCGTGCAAAGCGAGCAGCGCTTGAGCAGCGCGCCGCGAGGAGGAAATCTATGGGTATGTCGACCAGCAACATAAGCTTGTCATTTATTAATGTGTGGGTCTGAAGCAAACCGCCGTGTTTCGTTCGCTCCGGAGGCTACGCTACATACATGGAATGTTGTTGAATTGATGGAGGATTCTACTGCCTCGTCAGCCAACTCAACTCGACGGACATCGGCAGTTGCCCAGGCAAGCAATGGAACTCCAGGTACCCCGGAAGCACTTGAACAATTCTCTCCAGCAACTCAACGGATTATGCACCAGCAAAATAATCAGCACAACTTTCAAAGCAGCCAGGAAGAGCTAGATGATCCAGGCGACGATAAGGATTTTTCTTCCAGCCCATTCAGTGGAGACTCAACTGTTGGTGGCGAAGATACCACACAGTTGGACCCTGATAATGGAGATAGCGTCTCAGATTCGGACATGGACAACGATAGTACGGCAATGAGCTTGGACAACGCGACTCGGCGCTCAACCATGTCAAGTCGTTCAGATGGCTCAACTACTGACTCGAGCGCTCGACTTGACCGCTCATTGCGCCTGGCAGCAGATATTGCTGGAACAAATGGCATTGGGTATGATGAGAATGAAGACTTATCCATGGCGTTCGAAAACCACGAGATCATTGGGGCGTTTAAGCCTTGGATCAAGAAAGGAACCGACCGTTCAGGCTTTGATGCCGATAGCTTAACCTCGCGATTTGACCAGGAAAATATAAACCCCTTTCAAAAGTCATCGGGGTCTCGACAACCTCAGTATGCTGACGATGGCGACGAAACTGGCATGGACCTTACAAAACCAGTTGGCCGCATTCTCTCGAGCCAACGGCGTACTTCTTCATTTGAACCTGACACCAGGCGCATTTCCAGCACAAAATCACTGCAGGGAGATCAGACCATGGAGTTCACAAATGTCATCGGCGGAATCAAACCGTCGTCGCCGCAATCTGGGTTATTTTCTGGGGACAGCAATATCGCGGAAGATGAGGAGATGACAATGGAATTCACTTCGGTATTCGGTGGCGTGCTCAATAAGAACGCCCCTCATAATACTGATATCAACCGTAGTGAAGAAGAACCGTATCAAAGGGACGATAGTGAGGATGATGTGAACTATCCTGAGCTAACAGAGGTGGAAATGGAGATGACGGCGGCTGTCGGGGGTATACTTCCTTCCATTGAAGAACGGACTGAGCCTCTAGAGGATGAAACAATGGGCATGGAAATAACCAATGCAATTGGAAAGATTTTACCAAGCTTCCGTCCTGCTGGTGGGATGCAAGGCGGCGAGTCGGAGCCTGAACTTCTTAGCTCCCCCTTCCAAGAAACTACCATACCTTCTCCGGCCAAACCTAGAACGCCCCTCCGCGTTCCTGAAATTCCGTTCCAGGACGAAAGCCCCAGTTTAGCACATATCCGACTCCAGCCAGCAAGACGAAGGAGCTCAGTAGCTCGTTCGTCTACGACTCCAACAAAAGCCACTCCTAGACAACTAACTCCTGTCAACACTACTCCCACGCCATCCCAAGCAAAATCTCCTCGTATCACAAGAAGAACGACTTCTGCTACGCCTACTACTCCAAACACTCCGTCGCCGCGCAAACCCCGATTATCACCAAGAAAATCCTCCAAACCCGACTCCCAAACACCCAACCTGACACCTACGTCCATTTTTCAATACAAGGAAAATGGCCAGGCCTCTCCCAGAATTGTATTGCAAAGTCGTAGACGGTCACCATCCGGACTTGGCATCGACAAAGAGGGTCTCGGTTCTCCGCGAGTGGCAGAAATTCTTGATAGAAGGCGATCGATCGGGGAAGACGCCCAAAACTTCACCCCAAGTACCCATACTTCGAGGGCCGCCCGCTTTAACAGCGTGAATGATCGTTCAGATCATGGCTACACAGAATCGGGCCAAGACGAACAAAGAAAAGTCGTATCATTCGGTGACCCTCAGCTGATACAGGAACCTGGAGTCAATATCAGGGAGATGATATCTAGTTTAACACCTAAGAAGAACAAGTTAAAAGGCCGGAAGAGTTTGCATGTTGGCGCTGCCAAAGGCCTCCTGGGAAAACGGCCAATTGAACTCGACATAGACGATGAGGATGAGAATGATACCCCAAAACGACCCAGGCCCAGGCAAGCAAGCCCTGTCAAGAATATTAAACTCCCAGCACCGCCATCTAAGGCGGTAACGATTGGAAAGCTATCTTCATCATTCATATCGCAAAACAATGTCAAGTCTCCAATGCAACCGGTTACCACAACCCCAAAAGATACACGGCATAAGAGTGTTGATATTGATGTTACTGGCGAACGCGATGATCGGGTGACTACTGTCGATCAGGGGGCTGTTGAGGATCCGGACAGCGCAGACTCTGAAATCAAGCCTCTACAGCTCTCCGAATTTCTTGAAATGACAAATATTCGATTCATGGAGCTTACGACGACAAAAAGACGACACACTCTTGCTCCCGATATAGAAAAGAAGCGCGTTGTAGAAAACGATGCTGAAGCTACAAAAGAGATTGGCCTAGAGGATTGTGTTGCTGCCGGATTTTGTACAATTCCAATGCTTGAGTTGTATCAACATGTGGGCATTTGGCTTGTTTCAACCAATATTTTTTGCTCCTGCTAACTTTTAATCTAGTCCTGTCGTGAACTCAAGTCTTATATCTCGGAAGGTCGACGAATAATTCGATCAATCGAAACAGAGACATACGGCGAAAACCCTCCCCTTTTTCAAGAATATGTCACTGCTCCTCCAGATATTCGTGTATTGATGGACAACCAGTTTCGCAATGTGAAATGCCATGCTAGGCTTTTAAGCAAATCGATGTGGTATGAATGGCGGATGAAGCTTCTCGAGGGCCTCAAGCAAGGCCTGGACCGTCACGTTGACGAAATGGCACAAGATGCTAAAGTGTTGTCGAGAAAAGAAACCTTATTAAATAGTGTTGTTCCTGGTCTGGCAGAAAAGCATGAAAATCTACAAATTGACGCCCATAATCTTCAGAAGGCGGTAGAAGAAATGGAAAATTGCGATCAAGAGGAGCTAAGACAAACTAGAGAAAGACTAGCAGCGCTTGATCTTGAGGTATCGAGAAGAAGAAAAGACCTCGACGAAGCACAGGCAGCCCTAGAAGAAAACTCTACTGCTATCAAAGCAGGAATGGATAAAAAGAAGCGTTTATTAAAAGAGATACATGAAGCTGAAGCTATCTTAGAGGAATGTCGAGGGTGGGATGTCAAGGAAGTATATCATTTAAAAGGTACAGATGCTGAAGCAATTTTAAAACTACATCCTAACTAATACTAAATAGATGCTGTTCAGAAGCTGGAAAAAACAACTGGGTGGACAATTTTATCCGTCGACCCGGGCGCCAGCTCAAAATATGACCCTGCATTGTCTATGCGATACAACGACGAGCTGAGACTCGATTTCCACCCCGCGATGTTTCGTGTTAGTTCGGCATCAAAACATCAAAATTCTCAGTTGGGGGATTTCCCTGTAACATTAAGTTACTCTCCTTTATCTACTCGGAACTTGTGCAGCACCATATCCAATGCACCTCCTGAAATTTGTTTGATGCTTCATGCTCTCCGCACACGTTTATCCCATGCCACCCATTCCTCCATATCTCCTAAGACTCTTCTTTCTGGGATTTCTCAAACATGGGATATTGCCTCTTCCCTGCGAAACGAAATCCGCATGCTTGGGTATTGCGGCATTACGAAATCTAAAAATATTGAGCTGAACGTGTCCGAACCTGCATTGCTCAAGACTCGATGTATTTTTCTCGGCTTCCAACCCACCGCCACCCCAAAAAAGACGGATCCAGCTTCACAAATGTCCAAATTTCAAGCCAGGATCGATATCGATTTCACCATCAAACCGCGTCCAATCATCAACAAAGGCAACCAAGATGAGCCAGGCGTTGGGATCGATGTGGACATTGACGTCTCCGCCAGTAAAATCTATGGATTCACGAGTGACAGTGTTTCAGAGCAAGAACTTAGCGAAGCACTGATGAGTTTTATTCAGCGTCAGGATGGGAAGGGAAAAAAGTTTGGACATGGATTGTGGAGGGATGCTGTGAAAGATTTAGGAAACAAAGTATTCTGTTAGTGGCTGTAGTGCTATTCCGTTTGAATATGCTGTGAAGCGTAAACCTTTCAACATATTCTTATAGGCATGGTTTGAGCCTTGAGCTTCATAGCTGATTGTGTATTCTGGTACACAAAGTCTTGGCCTATTTTCATGTATTGATGATAATGAAATGGAAACTGGGAAATTTTATCTGCTCACCATTGATTTTTTTTCAAATCAGGTTAAGCAAACAATTATTAGGCAATATCTAATTATGGATTAATGGATACTACGGAGTACATTTCTATCTTACAAGACAACCAGACTGCTGCTGACCTCAAAAGCAACATACAGGAACATGCCAAATAAAGGAATAAGCCCCAAGCCAGGAATTGTGGTCTTTTTCTTATGCACCAGTGACATCACCTGGATACTCCCATAAACCCCAGTGTTCTCTCGATTTGTAGTAACTGAGAACTCACCATTAACAGGGAGCCGTACACAGGACAAAATCAAAATAAAAGGAAAAGATAAAGATAAACGGGGAGTGAAGTCATAGACGATTCAGGAAAGGCTGTCCAAATCAATATATACGAACTCCAAACACAACACAGTGTGCATATGTACGCCATAGCTTGGAACATATCGAGTCGACCCCGGTTTCTAGTTCCAAACTCCGAGCCAGCCTGCCACCAAACTATAGGGGTATAAATCGTGAGGCATGACTTTAGTAAGAAAACCGTTCATCAAGCAACGGGTGTTGACACTTTGTGTAAGTCAGGTGGAACATATTTCTTACGGAAGCATCTAGGCCGTCATCTTTCCGTCCGTTCGGCCTTCTGGCGCCGCTGCCTCAAGACTACCTTCAGCGTCAAACTCCTCATCGTCGTGGGATTGACTATAGCCAGAATGCTCTTGGGCTGGCACCCAAGAATCCCTGTCGGTGCTCATTGGCTGATCTTGACTTGCTAAATCGATACCTTCCCGTGACCTGGCAATATTGTCACGTCGTCTGTGTGAAAGTGTACGCGCTCGAGTTGACAGCTTCGAGCTTACAGCAGCATTCGAAGCGACCCAATTAGTCAGGGCTTCTTCGCAGTCTTGAATGATGGCCTTGCTGGCGTCATAACCATCATAGGCAGGCCTAGTTTCACCAGGAGTAACGGGAGTGTCATCGATCAATTCAAGAAGATGCTTTCCGTAGCCAGCAATAATGGCCAGCTTCTCGCAATGCTCTCTAAGAGAGTCGAATTGGTAGACAAATGCCGACTTCACCTTCTCACGGGTAATATTAGAGAGTTGAGCCTCAGCAACTAAAGACTCTGCCTCTGCTCTAACAAGCTCTTGTTCTAAAACTACCAAGCGGGGTGAATTTGGGTCCTTGTATTTCAGTTGAGCAATTTGGTCCGTGATCTTTTGTTTTCCTGACAAAAAAAACATGTTAGTCACGATCTAGCCATTATACAAGAGAAGGTTGCTTACTGTCTCTGCTTGGTTGGACTGACGCTTCAATGTTGCGGATACTCTTGATTGTAACGCGGTATTGGTCATATCGATCAACAAATTGATCTTCTAGCTCACCGATTTCGTATATCAAGACCCCAAGCTTATCAGTAACATCGGAAACATCTTCGTCGCAGCCCTCTCCCCAGACTGAAAGTTGTTGCTAGGCATCTATTAGCATCTGACTGAGACAAATGAACGGTAGAAACACACAGCAACGTCCATTCTTTCCCTTCCAACAAGTTCCATACTTCGCATTACGTTTTTCTCCATTTTTACTAGCTGGGAGAGTTTCTTCGCGAGATCAGGACCGAACGCACCGGCCGCGGACTTGCGGAAGGCATGGCCTAGAGAATTAACGAGCAATTAGAAATCAGAATTATGGGACAACGTTGTCGATACCTAGCGCAAAAGGCGATTGTATACAGCGTATATACACACTCGCCTGGGATCAAAGAGGGTGAGGCATCTGAAGATCGTACCAAGGCTTCCACTACCAAAAATCCTGCTTGTTTTAGTCGATGAGATGGGAGGAGGCGGGTTTTCGACCTGGGAGGCCGTCGGCGCCCGGGTATGGCGCATAGAATACGTTCGATGCATACTGTTATGACGGACGCAGAACTAAATGAGAAACAGAATCGACAAAATCGAGAAAAGAAACGGGAGACGGCCCAGTGCGGTGGATTGACAAGGCACTGCTGGCACGAACGGGATGAGTAGCGCTAAATAAACAAGGCAGCAACAGTACAATGTTCTTAGGAGGAGTGGCTAGATCGATTGGGTAGCACGCTAAGCGAGCGAGCAATAGATGACAATGTTAGATGGACTGGCTGGTGTGTTATGGTTGAGAAGCAGAAGCCGGCGATGAGGGGAGGATCGAGAAGCTTTGTGGTGATGTCAGTCAGTCACCACCCTTGCGCGGCGGCTGCCAGCCACGCCGCTATTTAACTATTCTGGCATCACCACGGCGACGACGTCAAGCCACCCCCACCGCAAGACTCTCCTCAGCGACTCGAGCAAATGGACGTCAATTGGGTTAGGGTTGCATTGTTTAAATCCTACGTAAATATGAGATCATAGATATGATCGGAGCACGATACGGCCTCGTGGCTATACCATCAAGCTGATTAATTGTGAATACTGGGAGGCGTTGTTAAGACGGCTTTCACCGGTCTACGGTACAACTCATTCACTAAATCAAATGGCTACCAGTCGGGTTGGCAAATCAAGCCATTGGAAAATGCCCAAATCAAGTTCACGATGCCATGGAAGCCAAGAGTAACTATAACGCCTTCACTGGCCAAACTTAACTATCAAATCAGGAAACCTTTCTCCTCTTCGTTTTCTTATTATTAGCCGCTGTCTGGCTGGAATAAACATCTCCATCGGCCAGCGATTGGTTCTTCTTTTGCCTCTTTTTTGCTGATTTTGTGGCGGGCTCGGTTTCCGCTTCTCCGGTATCGGTGTCGATTGGAGTGGCCGGACCGTCTCCTAAAGCGTTGCTGCGTCTAATTTCAGCTTCTTGTCTCAACCTAGAAAACGCTTTTTCCATGCGAGTCGGGCCAGCTGCCCGACGGCGTGGAGCAAAGGCGCCAGAGCCCTGGGGCCCGTCAAAAAATTGTGTGATATTGGCTTGTGTGCCTTCTAGCTCCCGTCTGTTGACATCACGGATGACTGGGACGAGGACTTCATCGGTTCTCTCTGGGGACCATCCGACCGTAGACATCAAAAAGTGGCGAAGTGCTTCTAAATCCGGGACTCCCCATTGGAACGAGGAAGGGTCAGAATCAACTTCGGGCTCTAAATACGCTGTCTCGACGCGTTTATCGGGAAACGCAGGAGGTAAAAACAGTTTCGTTGCATTCTTTTTGAACTTCTTTCTAAATTTAGAATGAACATCCTCTGCAATGCTGACGCCCATTTGGACCTTGGACCACCAATCAGTAAACTGTCCAAGAGTAGAAAACTCCGTGAGTATTTCGAGGGCAGTGACTGGGCCAATGCCAGGGATGCCTTCAGTGTAGTCGCTGCCCAGCAAGTGGGCAAAGTTGATCAACTTTTTGCGGTCAAGTGCATATTCCTTTTCTAGGTCACTAGTAAGGTAGCACTCGACAAATTTTGCCTGATTAAACATATTTTTGTATACTCTTGTACCTCCAAATAGAAATATATCACTATCATCCGTGACGATTCCATCAACGAGGCCCAATGATACTAATTCCGCACATTGAGCCTCTGCTTCCATCGGTGCCGTGATATAAGGAAGGCCAAACAATTGTAGTAACTGCTGGCATTCTGTGACCATGATCTGTGATACTTCATCCGCATCTCTGCGATCCTTCTTCTGTTGAGCACGGAGTTGCTTCAACTCTCGTTCATAGTCAACTGCATTTTCAGCTTGACTTTTTAGGTTCAAGGTTGAAGCAAATCTTGCGTGCTCTTCTGTCTCAGCAGCAAGCTGATGTATCAGCTCGGCATCTTCAGGGTCTGAGTAGTCATCTTCTTCCTCAAAGTTGGTTGCCAAGGCAGTACCTGGGGGCTCAAATGAAATTACTGGGTATGAGTTTGATTCTAGCCCACGGTTGCCCACATCTTCAAACTCTGGGGAAAGTGACTTCTCTTGTGGAGCTGGTGTGTTATTTGTTTTGCTCGAAGCGAATTGGATACCTATTGGGGAGTTGGTATTTGCAACTCTCTTAGAATCTATTATCGTCGTGGATGATTGTTGTATTTTTGCCTGGCCCAGACAACTGGATCTGATGTCGTGGGGTGGACATGATGGAACCGAAGACTTATTAGAATCGGCTCCGATAGCTGAGGATATCAGGGGCACATCGTCATCCAGATTTATTATTTCCGGGTTTCCGGATAAAGATACTAATTCACTGGCTTGGGTAGTTTGAGGGTATTGATCTCTACCGGAATAACCATCATCGGTCTCATGTTCGATAAATTCCTTCCTCTGAGAGCTCCCAGAAAACCATGGAGGTAGAATGGGAGGTTCCTTTGAAGCCTTGTTTCCTATCGGCTCGAATCCACCAGCATTCTCATCAATCATATTCGTCTGGTGATCTGGTTTTTCACAAATTCTGGTGATTTTGAATGGCTTGAATGGGAGCAAACCGTCAAATGAGGAATTTGGTTGCGTTTTAGGCGCCGCTTTCTTAGGTGCTGAATTGGTTATGGCGGCGAACAAATCCATATCATCATCATCTGTATCTAATAATAGCTCCCGAGCAGCACTACTGGGTGCTTCTGGCCGTGGATTGAAAATATTTGACGTCTCTTCCATTGATTCGTTTATCATAATATCGTCATCATTTCCTTCGTCAGGCGGTATTTCCAGTGACATTTGAATAGCACGGCGCAGGTTTTCCTCGTCATTTTCTTTAAATAAAGAATCATACTTTTGTATGTTAGAAGTGGTTTGCGACTCTGGTATAAAGAGTTCATCATCGTCAATAAGTTTTACCATATCTTTTCCATATCCTGCCGCTTCTTGACGAGAATTGTAGAGCTCTTGCCTTTTCTCTGCTGATTCAAGCACATTCTGTCGAATCGATTCATCGAAAACGCCCGATTCGAATATTGGAAGCTTCGGAAGTCGGTTAAGTCCCTCAATCGGTACATCTTCAAACTCAACATCTTCATCTTCCGATTCATCAAAATTCTGTGTCAAATGTTGGTTGCTATACTCCTCAACATCAATGGGCTTGTTCTTTTGTTCTCCTTCGCGATTGCCTAAAACTCCAAGCGCCCAACCACCTTCGACGCCATTGTCCTTCACGAGAACATACTCTTTATTCCTATCTCCGGCAATACGCGAGCTCGAGCCGTAGATTGGATTATCGTCGTTCATACCATTGATATGCATGAGCCTCTGAGTGAGATCATTGCGTTCTGTAACCCGCTCAATCTGAAATTTTGAAAAGGCCATCCGATCCGGAAACATGGTATCCAATTGATCTTTCGAGTATCCCATTCTTAGCCTGCTCCGTAACCTAGCGGCGTTTAGGATATTATACCGGTCGCTAGCTGGCAGGCTTAGAAAGAATGGACTATCAAAATCAATATTGGAAAAATCATAGAGGTTTATATTTTCTCCCGAATGAAACTGCCGGGCATATTCTTCTAGCTCCTCATGCGACATGATCCTGGGGTCATTAGGAGCCCCCATTTCTTGCAGAGAAACATCCAGTTCTGGAAGGTGATAGGCATCTTTCTTTCGAAATTGACGGTTTTGTCCCCTTTCTTTTGGAGTCATGAAGACTTCCTCTGCATAAACCAGGTTCTCCGGCAAAGGTTCCTGAGCCTCCTCATCCTCATGAGACGTCAGTTTTTTTCTTTTCAGCTCTTCGGCATCAGCTCTTTTTTGTAATTGGACTGCCAGTAATTTTTCTGCAGTCCTAGCAGCATCCTCCCTTCTGCCCTCTCTTCTCTTTTTTCTAGATGCTATCGTCTGCCGTTTTAATACCGGCGCTCCCCCATCAAAAACAAAAACCGGTTTTATACCGAAGTAGAGGAGCTTGCAGATCCGCCTGAAAAAACCCACAATGTGAGCGTTTCGGAGAGCATTACCCTCCTTATCGCGAACCGCTTTCAGAAACTGGTATATCCATATGGAGGCATCAACTGCTAATCTCTTTTTGTTAAGTGTTTCGAGTTTGATAGGCCGAGCACATGGCTTAACCACAGTCCACAGACCTGTAACACCCATTATCTACGTGCAAGGGCCCTAGAACTGAGTCCAGAAGTAGCAAAGGAAAGTAGAACATTGCAAATTCCAGTCCGAGGTAATGAACATATCAAGCAGTTGCTAATAAGTTGACCGACTGTTTCTGCTGGCGATTGAATGTCTGCCTATTCTGAATCGAGGCTCAACGCCACCCAATGGATGGACGAAACGCGACGCCACGTGATTACGCGAAAAATCCATATATGACTAAGCAAGGGTAGTTAATTAATTTAACGGGCTCTCGGCTGCTATCAGCAAAATTTGATAAAAGGTTGGGGTACTTTCACTGACGCAGTAATTCAACGACATTTCGATGTCATGCGCATTAGAGGTCCGTCATCGTACCCGCAAAGCATCTGTGAAACTGAATAGCTAACAATTTGTAGAATGTGGACGCTTGCCTGCCAATAACGGCGATTCAAGTCCTCAAAGTATCTGGCCGTGAGCTCCTTCTAAGCGGCCATGGCCCATGCCTTGTCGTAAATGACAACGCTACGGGCCGGTTGCTGCAGCGCTGCCAGATTTTTCAAAGAAACAATATCCATGGCATCAAAATCCTGGGCTTCGCTTCCGCCCAGCCGGGATGTACATACAAAATATTTGCTTGGGGAGGCCAATCCCTCCGGTTATTGGACCTAAAGATAGCAGAGCACGCGTTAGAAAAAAGCATCCTTTTGACAACCTCGAGCTTAGAGTTTACTTGCCCCGACTGGATTTTGGATGCCGACTTTTACACTTCCACTGAAGACGTTCCAGGCTCACCAATGCACACAGGATGTCTAATCACGGCGCATAACGTGATCTTTGGCCTGTGTTGGAAAGACAATTCAAACCAAGCAGGTTCTATATTTCGGCTTTATGAGATAGCCTCTGAGCTGAAGCCAATCCTGTACTCTGCTGACATCGCTTGGATCTCTCCTGCCCTTATTTTGGTTGCTTCTGGCACCGTTTTCGGCGAGATTATTGTTTGGGAATGTCATATACGCACACACTCTGCAGAACATAAATTTTCAGATTATTCAATACGTATCAGTCGCTACTTTTCTGGCCACCAAGGCTCAATATTCGGCGTTAACATTTCCAAGGAAGTACATATTCCAGGTGAAACATTGGCCCGGCGGTACTTGGCAAGTTGCAGCGATGACAGAACTATAAGAGTCTGGGATATATCTACCTGCTGCTCCTCTCAATATGAGGGACGAAATGATCCTTTTAGGAGTAGGACGTCAAACTCAACCGGATTTGGGCTATCGGCCGACGATATTCCTAACCAGGAAGCATGCATAGCAAAAGGAATGGGGCATGCATCTAGAATATGGGGAGTTTACTTTCTAGACATATGTCTGCTTCAAGCTACTTTAGTATATAATATCCTATCTCGTGGAGAAGATGGAACCTGTCAACTCTGGAAGTTTGAACTCCAACCAGAGAAAATGGAGACAGCCCTTCCTGTCACAATCGATCATATATCAACTCACACATATCACACTGGCAAGAATATATGGGCAATAGCCATCGACGACGACGATGCTGAAGTTTTTAAGGTTTATTCAGGTGGTGCCGACGGCCGTTTAGTCTCATTCACTCTTGATCGGAATGGTGCTTGCTTGCAAATTTTAGGTGAACTTTCTGGTGGGTATTCAGCTGATGAGGTCGTCAGTCAGCTAGGATTGAAACACAAGTGTTTTGAGGGGAGCGCACAAAAAGAAGGAAGGTTTGCTCATTATGCTTTTGTTTCTGATGTCAGCTTCATTGCAATTACTCTTCAGGGAAAATTACTCCTTGGGAGTCTGTTACCTGTGCCTCGAAGCAAAAAAGAAATGATGGTGTCTTGGAGTATGGTAACAACACTTGAAGGGGCTGCAGCGCAATACGTCATTTCTGGGAACCCCAAAGAACAAGTGGGAATTATCGGAGCACCAAACGGTATGATATGGCTGTATTACTTGCCCACCAATTCAATTAGGAACGTTCTTCAGACGGAATCGAAACCATCGGGGATATATGCAATGGACGTGCCATCATACGTCCCATCCGCACCCGGGGCTTCATACACCTCTTTTGTTACCACATTCGTTAACAGTTCAACAGCAATTTTCTTTACTCTGCGAACAGATCCTGATCCTGAGTTACTTTCTGAAATAACAGTGAATCTGCCCCCAAGTTTTCTGGTCACAGCCGCACTGTATATCAGAGCTACGTCCTGGTTGGTTCTAGGCTCAAGGCATGGAGACATTGCGATATATCATATGAGCCCCCTTTTAGAATCTGGCCTAGCCAACTGTACCTTCCTTGCTTCCTCCCTTCATGGCAACGATGCCATTACCTCCATCATCGCCCTAGGGCAACCTACTGGGCAACACGATCATAGCCACGTCGTTACTACGGGAAGGGATGGCTACTACCAGCTTCACTCCATTCACTCTAGGGATTCAGCATCCAAGTTAATCACTCTTCGTACTCTTCACAAAGCCAGTCCTCCTTTTGGCCCGAATGTTGAAGGCGCTACTTTAGATAACGAAACAAATGATCTAATCCTGTATGGTTTCAAAGGCATTTACTTCATAGTGTGGAATGAATCGGCGCAAACGGAACTAATGGCAGCAAACTGTGGAGGCTGTCACCGTGTCTGGACATACAAAACAGACTACGGAGGGAGAAAAACGTGTGTCTGGACCAAAGCTTCCCGGCTACATATGTTTTCAAGCGCCAATTCTTCTCATCGAGTTGTATTGGCTGGGGGACATGGCCGGGAAATCAAATCAGCCTCTATTATGAGCCTTCCGCCAGGCCCACAGGGAATTCTTAGCATAGTATTTGCCACCGGAGCCGAAGATACAACCATACGCCTCTTTCTACCGCAGGCACGAAGCGATATTTTTTCTAATGGAATGTTCCGCTGTCAAAAAGCTTTAAAGAAGCACACAGCAGGTATACAACACTTGCAGTGGTCGCCTTGTGGGAAATTTCTTTTCAGTAGCTCAGGATGCGAAGAGATGTTTGTTTGGGGAATACAGGTCGTTCCTAACTTTGGCATTAGCGCTTTACTTTTAGGAGAGTGCCCGAAGAGCAAGCCTGTATCTGATCTTCGGATTACGCATTTTGATATACTTAAGCCTGGAAACGAAGATGTCTTCCTACTGGCATTAGTATATTCCAACTCCACTATTGCGGTATGTTGCTTTGCCTTATGCAGATTGGAGACTTTCTAACATTTCTAAAAAGGTTCTCTACTGCGATCCGAATTTTGAAGACGGCTTTTTTAAACTTATAGCACAGGGCCAGTATTCTACCAACTGTCTCACGCATGTCCGTTTTGTTATATCTGGTCGGCAGTCATTTTTAATTACAACATCAACTGACGGACACATCGCATTGTGGAACTTATCAGGTTTGGCTGACTTGATATTCAACGCAAACGGAAAAAGTAGTGTTCACCAATCGAAATATAAATTTCCAATGGTACCCGTTGAGTTGAAATACGGAAAGCGGTACGCTGTACACCGGAGTAGTATCAAGGCTTTGGAAATGCTCCAGATCTCAGAAACCGATTTTTTGGCATTTTGCGGGGGCGATGATAATGCACTGTCAGTCTCACGGCTTGATTTTTCAGGATCTGAGTCCGGCGAACAAGGGGAATCATACTCATTCATTTTGCTACCTCAAGCGCATGCGTCCGCGATCAACGCAATAGCTGTAATTGGAGATATCAGGCACCTTGATGATGGGTATGAAGTTACCATCGCAACTTCAGGCAATGACCAGCGGTTGAAAATCTGGTCTATTCACGTATGCGAGCCTAAAGATAGGGCTATTACCCTTACCCCAAAGAGAGACTTATATACCGCTGTTGCGGATATATCATCAATGGAAGTATTTACTGCCAATGGAAACGGCCAAATACAGCAGTACTTGGTAGCGTGTGGCGTGGGTATGGATATATGGCGAGTGAATGATTGTTGAATTAAACGGCGGATTGGAATGACAATAACCACATGAGATTTTCTCTATACTCAGAAACGCGACGGAAATTCAGGGGCGATGGGATCAGCCTACGGAGTAAATAAGCATCGCACAAGAAGGCATGCTACTCCGCACTCTGTACACGCCCGAGAAAATATAGGCCCTCATGCCGATCTGAAGCACCCAAGAAACTATAAAGACAAGCCGAGGAGAAGCTCATAGTCGATGGCTCACATAGTTAACTGTTATGCCCTTGTCCAATCTGCAACAATAACTTGGGTATGAAACTTTTGATGGATAAAACATCGTGACAGGGTATGGAGTACTCCGTAGCAGCCATGGCATAGAGTACAATAAAGCGAACTCTACTCCGTACTCCGTACTCTATACGGAGCTCCCCATAGCAGACAAAAGGGTGGCACAGGTAATCACGAAGAATAGGGTATTTGAAGGGGTCAAGGCTTATCAATCGTTAAAAATTGGCCTTTACCCATGTCTGCGAAATTTTGCATTCCCGCGGACATTTTCATCCCACATCTGTCCGTGTGACGAGATTCTATCGGCAAATACCGATATCGTGAGAGCATATTATATGGAGTTTCTCCATAGGCTATTAGCGAAGGGATTCAGTAGTTAGGTGACCTTTTATTACCCCATACAAATAGGACTGAACCTACAGCTTTGTGGCGTGTATGGGATTTCGTCAAGTCCGAGGAAATATGGGGCCGGGGTTTCTTGGCTGGAGACAATGGCTTCTAGCTCCATCACCCTTGCAAGCAGCCCAACCCTGACGACCTTTGCCAGCTGAAGGTAATTTCTCAAATCCACTAGTTATTATTATTTTATTACTGGAGAGCGACCTGACGGTCCATCGAATGCTGGCGGTATACGGAGTACATGGCCAAAGCGTACTCTGACCCAGCTATATTAAGAGAAGCTCTCCTAATGCAAGTCCAGCTTATAGCTGCATGTTGCATGACACTATGTACATACTCCGTCCTTGGGATGGTACTCCATGCTCCATAGTGCCTAACCAAGCTGATGATCGTCATCAAACTCCTGTCATACGCGGCCATGGCGTCTGAAACAGCCTTTTTTAGGGTGAGCGTTCGTTCTAAGCGTCAATTGGCAGTGCTGGTGGTGGGATGTAGGCAGCAACATTTTGTGCTGGGAAGCCATGAAAGTGACGTTCCAGAGCGGGAGTTCGCTGTTCGAGGGCTTGCGATCGCGAGCGCAACAGGTGAAACGGCTAGCTAGCCCTCACAGCCACCAATGAGGCTTGGATCCGCCAAGATTCAAATATAGAAACACGCTAGTTAGTCAGCGCCCAGCTCCTTGGTAGTGGCATTTTATAGACGCTCTGATTGGCTGTTGGCGCCAACCCGCTGCGGCTCACAACGGCAGGTCCCGCTGGCTACTGCTTTCTTGCCTGATTCGGGCAGGCGTGGAGACTTCCTGCCACCCTCCAGCCACGTTCAGCCCGCCCTAGCGCGTCATCACGGTCCTTCGACCGCATCCTTCACTTGGCGTTATCGTCAGCTTAAAATCCGCGTCGCCTCCTCTTCACCGGCTGATTTTTTTATCACTACTCCATGCCGTCACGGTCTATCAAATAGCCATCTCTTCATTTCAACTACCTGCTACTAGACATCTTCCTCCTAAAGGTCGCCTACCCACCGTCATTTGCGATCTATAACAGTCTAAATTACCAGCACCCCGTTCAACCACTGAACAATGGGCAAGGCCGGGAGAGTCGCGTGTATTTTCACGCCCTATATGCTTTCGATTGCGACTTTAGTATGCCTTGTACTAGTCGCTTTGGGCTCAACCAAACCCAGCGCTCCTTTAAACGACATTTATTTTTTCAGGGTGAGATTCATCGTGCATTTCTAGTCGCGTCACCCATTCCAACACGTACTAACTCCTAACTACATGTAGGCAAACTTAAAAGATATAAACACAAATCCTAGAAACCTTGACAAATCGCTTATTCCAATCCAAAAAGGCCTGCAACTGGCCAAATCTTCTAATAAGCTGCGCGAGGAATATATCGTCGGCCTTTACAACCACTGCTCTGGAAATGCGGATGGCAGTAACTACCAGTGCTCCGAAAGAAAGTCAAAATACTGGTTTGATCCAGTTGAAGTGTGGGGCTTGGGCGATACCGTGAAGAACTATTACCCTAAGGGCCTCGCAGATGGACTCAATGCATACAAGAAAGTCGCCAAATGGTTATTTATTGCATATGCAATTTCCATTGCGGCGAGTGTCGTGCAGCTCCTGGTTGGCATTTCAGCCATCTTTAGCCGATGGGGCAGCTTCGCAACAACTATTTTTGCAGCCGTACGTGACAAAATTCTTTTCAAGACGCGCAAACATGAGTGCTAACAGCAAATGATTAGGCCACTGCTCTATGCACTATCACTGCTTCGGTCACGGCATCAGCACTGTACACTATCGTCTCCGGCGCGGTTACTGTTGGCCTAGAGCCCTTCAACATCTCGGCAAGCATGGGCGCACGTATGTTCGCGATCACCTGGCTCGCCTCCTTGTTTGCATTTTCTGGCTGCGTGTTCTGGCTGTGCAGTGTTTGCTGCTGCTCGGGAAGATCTCCATATGATCACAAAACAAAATCGAAAGATGGCATCGATGCCGAAAAGGCACCATACTCTTACGAGCGTGTCTCCAGCCCTTACACGGGTAACAACATGGGAGGCTCCTCGGTTCCTCTGAATCCTATGCCCCCTTCGCATGGTCCGGCGTACGAACCCTATAGAGGTGACCATCGCGCATAGATGACTTTGAGGAATTCGTTAATTTTATTTCCTTGGTTGCCTTTGTATTCTATTATTCGGCGGAGCCCAATGAGTTCGGAGTTCTTGAGTATTACCCATTTAAACTGGAAAGTAACGACCAACTACATGACTTTTAAATCAAGTGCTTACGAATTCTCTGTATATACATACGTCTATACCCCCTTTTTTTTTAGATTGGATAGATAGTGTCGTGCCTGAATTCAGCAAATTTTTTTCTCATGATCAGAGTGCAGCTGTGCATTGCGACTGGGTTGTCAATGGATAATTCTGATACCCTGTAGTTTGTTTGTCTTTTCCCTTGTTCATCTTTGGGAATATGGAGGAAGAGACAACCTGATGGTATTATTTTTTGTTCTGGGTTAAGCCTAGCGATGGTAAATTTCCTGCTTCTTCTTCTGTCTTTGTACGCCCTAATTCCCTCCAAAATATAAACTATCAGTATTGAGTACTCTTTTCATCGTTTGCATGGACGCATGGCACCCAGTTGTAATCTTGTAGTTTTGTACTTCTTAGTGGGTAGTTGTCGAGAACCGGTGTCCGTCAGCTCTGAGAATACACCATTTCTCTGGATTGCACACTTCTATTGGCTATTTTCCGTTCTCAATATTTGATATAGAGTCTTAATAGTACATTTATTTAAAGCTTCTCAAACAAATGAGTCACAGCAAATGTCAACGTTAAACATCACATCTTCCAACCCATACTATTCATCCTCCCCTCTACCGGTTCATTACATAAGGATTGCGGAAGAATAACACCATTCTCGTCGACCGGAACTGCTTCAGCATTCCCAGGTTGACGATATCGTCCAAGCTCCCCGTGCAAGTTCACATATTGCCGCGCAAAGTTTTTAAATGGGGTATTTCGGTCCCTCCACTAATTCGATGTTGGGGTTGAAGTCTCAGCGGTTGTGGAACTGCTACACTGCTTTTTGGTAGAGACTTTGGGGGGCCGATAAGGAGGGTATAACGATTCTGTGGTGAAAAATGCTTCATCAATAGGACGTTCCTCCTGTGCTATTGGGCCATTCAACATTGCACCTGAATCAACAGCGAAATATTGATTCTTGTCCCTACTGACGTTCGGTGGAAATATCTGACTCTCGATGGCATTTTCTGACCCCTGAGCAGGTGTCTCTGTAGGTTTGAGGGTCCGGCGACTGTTCTCGCTACTACTATGAGAAGATGTTTCTTCACCTCCCAAGTATCCTGCCGGCTCTTCCTCCATATACGTTTGCTCGAAGTTGACGAAGCTCAGCTTTTGAGAAGATTGAAAAACCCTGGAATCATCTGTATCACCAAGCTCCACGCTGGCAGTTTCATGAGTCTCATAGCCATGCCATTCTTCACTATCAGGAATGGAAAGCGAGTCCGGTCTATCGCCTCCTCTCTTATCCAGTCCATTTGCCTCAACAATAATGGAATCGCTAGGACTTCTCTCCTGGTATATTTCTAGATTACTATCCTTGACTAATCCATCCACTTTTGACTCCAAGATTGTCTCTGCCCTTGATATAATGTGATCCCTGGAATTCTCGTGAATATCTGGACTCAGTCTGAGGATAAGTTCTAGGCTTTTTCCAGTCAAATTCCGTTTCCTGAGAGAAGGCACTGTAATATATTTTAAAAAATATTGTTCATAAGGAATCGGTAATGTTTCTTGGTTTTGACACTTCTTGATATAATCTTGGTATTGAGCGGCCTCCTGGTAAACAAAATCGTCCCACAGTATGGATTTCGATAGGAATCCTTTTGAACGTAGTGATAGAAGTTTGAGACAGGAATGAATGAAAGCATGAAAATTGCCGCTGTAAGAGCTGTACGCTTGTTTAAATTTATGGAAGATTTTATCAACCTCAGTGGAAGACAATGCCCTGCAAAAGAAATTTTGCCGAATGCTGACAACTTGTATCTGGTTCTCTGGGTTTTTATTTCTTCTTAATGGTTGATGGGTCTGGTCTGCTTCTGTATCAACAATTCTGCGCTTGGCAGAAGGTGACTGAATGTAGCAGCTATCCCTGTTTCGCTTTATTCTCTCCTTGGATACAAGGTCTAAATCAGTACGTGAAGACTGTGGCAAGATGCTCATACCCCGACTGTTTGCTGGAAGAGAGGCATTAACAGAGCAAGTACTCAACAGTCGTGAGTCAGGAGATGCAATGGAGCTGCCTAACTCAGAGACTAACTGTTGACTTGCCTCAAAACCGTCACTGGTAGTGTCATTCGAAGCGGACGACTGTGTGGTGGCTTCTGTTACCTTCTGCATACTGTTTGCAGGCAAGGATTGCTGTGCTGTACTTACACTGCCGAAAGTAGCGGGGACAACTATATCTGAGCTAGATCGGATTGGACCATCTTGCTGGCATTCTGGGCCCGAAAACGAAGCGGTTTTGATTCGACTTTGAGCACGGATAATAGCAATATCAGGTGAACGTTGCACTTGTGTAAAAGAGACGGGTCTAAGTGCTGGAGGAGAAAGACCAGAACAGGGCACTGAACCTGATTGATTTTCCTGGGTGGAGGTATCAAGCCCCCTTGGAATAGAATATTCAATATCAGAGCTGTCAGAATATGTTATCTCGGGTGCTGCCGATATTCCGCTCATTTCAACAAAACCAGGACGATGAATTTGTGATACGAATATCTTTTGTGCGTTGTGGGTAGCAGTATAAGGTTGGTCATCAGCTTGCTGAGTTGTACGTATATCACGAATTGTACCTCGATTTGGAATCGGAGATTTTCCAGGGCTACTATCAGGGGGAACGCAACGATCATCAATTGGGGATGGGGGCCATATATCTTCGTCAAATTCGCTGGCAGGAGGTAGGCTTGATGTTAAAGGCGACATAGAACCTAGTGACGCGAACTGTTTCTCGTATGCCCCAGGCTTGGGGGAGCAGCTATTCTTGTTTTGCACTGCATCTTTCACCGCTTTGCGTTTAATTTGTTTGTTATTCCACTCCTGGAGTAGTGCTAGGGGAACACGCCCGGGGGGCAAGGATCGGCCTGCTGCGGGCGGAACCCAGGAATCAAGGTTATCGATCAACTCTTGTTGATCCCTAGGGATAAAGATGTCCCGCCAGCTGATACGGCTCCAGCCATTCCATGGGTCCGCATCATTGGGTGCCTCTTCTGTGGGTTGGGGCTCCAGCGTTGCAGATGCTAGGGTTTGATTAGTTAGCTTAGTGACTAGACTGTTACTTGTACAATTTGGTGCAGCTGCCAATGATGAAGATTGAATTATACTGTCGTCATTGGTAGAAGACTTTTGCTTCCCAACGCAGAGTTCAAAGGACTCCTCTTCATCTTCGGAGCTGAGCGCTTTCATCGAATCCATTGAGGAATTCCCACGCCCGCGAGGTGTGACAGCACAAGAGTTTCTGATTGATGGAGGTAGCATCGTATTTACACTATGGGGAAATTTTTCAGCGGCTGACGTTTGCCGTGGTGTAGTAACGACACCGGTGAGTTTTGACCCATGGGGAGCCAGAAGGCTCAGCAGGGTATCAGCGGATAGGTAAGTTGGGGAGTTCAAGGGAAAAGATATTTGTTGCTTTTCGAATTTCAACCCTCTATTCTGTCCGACTTGTGTTGAGAATGCCGCCTGAGACGTGGAACACGACTCAGGGACGTCCGTCCCTTGACTATCTTCATCAAGGATTGGTTGTTGCAAATGTACTATTGAAGTATCCAGGGAGTTTTCGACGGCATTCTTTTGGGTTATTTGGCATTCTTTTGCTAAAGCCGATATTGTTGGATAGCTCGAGACGTGACGGGGGCTACCAAACATCCCTGTCCCTTCACAACCTAGAACTTCAAAATGCCGAATATAGAGTAGGATAACAGGGACTGAACGTGACTTTCGGCTCACAAGAACGTCAAAATCGGTAATTTTTATAAGAGCTCCCTTCGTGTTTACCCGAATACCGGCCTTCTTTTCGCGCACATATCTTGCCACCGAATCGTCTGAAAATCGGGCATTGATGCTGGAGAAAGAATCCGAGAGAACTGCCTCTATAGGGGAAGTGAAATCCCGCCACTACTGTACTGTTAGCTTCAATAGCAAATCCTCGGGTTACTAGCAAGTTACTTTGATTACTTGAACCGCTTGTCGGTCATTAATCTTGATTCGAACATAATGGTCGTTCATCTCCGAGCCGGAGAATTTGGAGCAAGTCTGTCGAAAGCTTCTTTCATCCGGTAAATCGTCCAAGTAGAACCCAAGGGCCGCATGTACATGGTGACGAATCCAGTTTTTCATTAGATCCATCGTTGATAGGTATAGTCATTATAATGGCCGTTTTCGAGGTATTTGTACTTTGACTCTTCGGGATAAGTAGCTGTTTCGAGGACTTGGGTCACATAGTGGCATTTATATTTTTTGAGCATCGCATATAGGACATAGTTATGGATCTTTTTTTAAAACATCGTCTCCTCGTTTGTTCATCGTCGTGACGACTCACCAGGAGCAATATTGCTAATTTAGGATTAGCGCGGTATGACACGACTAGAACGCGTCTTCACCGCCCCCGGCAAATTAGTAATACATCATTGTGTGACATAAGCCACGATGATTGGCCGAGGTTTCGACATGGTGACGTCGTGGTGTTGATGCTGAAGCGACAGCATCAATTGCGCTTTCTGGCAAACGAACTCCTAGTGAGGCTGAAATGGATGGAACTGGTGTTTTTGACTCGGGTTCGTCTCTATCGGTTGGTAACCTTTTACATAGATACCGCCGCTACGTCTCTGTTGCTGTGTCCTTGCATGTAGGCAGACGACGCTGCCTAGCCCTCGATCAATCATCAGGGCAGAAAATCTCCTCGCGAAGCTGAGCTCTCACTGAGTGAAGAAGGAACACTTTGTTGGACATCTAGGTGGTCCCTCTGATGATTTATCTATCCACTCCTTTATAATGGCGTCCCAGAGATCCCAAGGGACATCGAGTCCTTCCGCTTCGTCCGTTTTTCTTCCACTTGGTCGACAGTCCAGACGGAACTCGCTTGCCTCTTATAGCGCACAAGCTGAGAAGGACAATCTAAACGAAGCCCTTGACCAAATCCACAATGCTGCCTGCCATTCAGACACGCTCACCGTCTTCAACGACTTCGCCACTCCCCCTGTACCTTCTTCCGCGGTCGATAACAAGGCTGGCGTTGTTGGAGATTTACAAGGTGGACTAAGCGGGTTGTATAGCCTTTTTAGGGCATCTGTAGGAGGAGTAAAGGAAATGGTTGGCAGTTCGACCAAACCTTCCGATACTCAATTGCCTGGTCCGCCGATGCCGAAGTCATCATCCGCCCAGTTGAATTTGCCAGTTTTGGGCGCTGCTGACGACCCGCTGTCTCCATCAAACTCAGCATACGCTTCTAAGACGCAATCGCCCATTCTTGGCACGTTTCCGACACAGCCCGAGGGAATGACGAGTTTCTCCGCCCTCAAATCTTCTAAGCTATCTTCAAAAGCACCTAGCGTGTCCTCAAAGTCCTCGATACCGTCAAGCACCGCGGCTAAGTCCTCTATCGCCCCGCTAACCAAGGTGTCACCTTCACCATCGGTAGACCCAGCAATCAGCGAGGTTAATGTGAGTGTGGCCAGGCCTGGTGCACACCACACGCCAAGTAACTCGGGCAGCTTCTCAACAAGTATTGTGACTTATGCTGATTCGACAGCGTCTGGCCGTGGAGATGGCTCCTTGCAGATTTCTTCCCTTCAATCATCACAGGAGTTAGGAGTTGCTGCGTTTCCTCGACCCCAAGAAGTACAGAAGAACGCGAGCAACGATATGTTTGAGGGGCGAGACCGGACTATCCCTGGAACACTTCTTCCATATAGAACTTCGTCTTACGAGAAGGCACAGTCCCCATCCAAAGTCACTTTAACCGACTTTGATGCACCCTTTGCGCAGCCTCAATGGAAGGAGAAAGATGCCGAACTCCGTGGTAGAAGCGAAAAATCCCTTACGGGCAACTCCAAGGATTCGTCACCCGTTCAAACTTCTTTGACGAATAGCATTGCAAAATTTTCTGCCGGTGAGAGCTCAGTGAATGAATTGAGAACTACAACTGCGGCTACCTCAATATCGACCGCCGAAAGGGACCAATCATCCATCAATTCTTCAAAGGCATCTTTTACTAAACCTATTCCACGAATAAATCAAAATCGCCTTCCAGGGTATGGCCCGCCACTGATAATGTCCCCAGGGTCACCAGCAAATCGTTCGGCGACTGCAGCTCCACACATTTCATTTGATACTCCAGAACCGGTTCGCGTGAGTCACGTCAGTGCAAAAGCCTCGAATCACCCACAAAAGGGTAGCACCGTGCCATTCAAAAGTAAACTACTTGGTAGAGAATTTTGGATGCGTGATGAAAATGCTAAAGACTGTTTTCATTGCGGCGACCCTTTTTCAACCTTCCGAAGGAAGCACCACTGTCGTACTTGTGGACAGATATTCGACTCGAGATGCACTTGTATCATATCTGGTGCTCCCTTTGGCCACTCTGGCTCCGTGCGTGTCTGCAAACCATGCGAAGCAGTGATAAATGCCCATGATTCCGACTCCTCTGACTTTAGCAGCGACGATTTGAGCCAGATGGCATTTAACTCTCGGTCTTCTGAAGGTCTAGATACGTCCGCCAGAGCGTTAAATATGGCTGACGAAGATGATGCATCATCTATTGTGTCTCAATCAGTCGACCAAATTTTAAGAGCCCCAACAATGGCTATCCCGGCCACTCGCCGTACTACGGATGGAAACAATCGCCGATCAGCTATTCTTGAAATAGAATCTGATCGCCCACTCACAAGGCCGACCTCATCCAAGTCATTGCGGTCTTCACTTAATGGACGAGCTCTTTCCGTGTCCCATAAACGTCATCAATCTCGGTCTCAATTCGTTCGCGGCATCAAGTCTTATCATGAGGATAGGGCCCCCTTCCAACGCCGAATAGGGGAGGACAGCAATACTAGACTACATGCGTTTCATAGGGATAACATCATTGATCCTGATTTGGCCCAGTATCTTTCTGATGACGCCTCTAGTGCTGAGGAGCAACCGAACTTGTTCTCGGTAGTTTCTGATAATGGCCTTTCTAAGAGCGCTGGAGATAGTGAAAAAGCAACGTTCGGGGGCTTTCTCGCAGCGGTAAAAAAGAGCCGCTCCCGATTAGGTGACAAGTCTGGCCAAGGTGTCTATTTAGGCCGAGACGCCGATGATGCTAGCCTTAGTAGCTCAAAAGCTGTGAATTTGGGACGTTCAACAAGACGCCGGAACTTGAGTGTTGCAGGCAGTACTCATCAGCGTTTATCACCAAGGGCTTCCAAGGAAACGCCGTCGGTTGTTCATTACTTTCAGGAGCATAATATACCGGTTCTCCCTGCGCCCCCAATACCTGGAGGGTTTAAGATGACTAGGAGCTCATCAATGCGAGGTGCAGGTGCCCCTCCGATAGAACTTAATCGCGCCAGCCTCCAGCATGTAAGAAAGCTTCTTCGTCAGCTTTTGAAAGACGCGTCTGTTCCCCACTCACATAGCTGGGAAACTGCCTTACTACCTATTCTCTTAAAAGCCATAGATGATGTTGAACCAGATGTCCAGCATGGCGATGATATGGATATCCGCCATTACGTTAAACTAAAAAAGATACCCGGTGGTCGTCCAGGTGATACATCTTATGTCTCTGGACTTGTTTTTACCAAGAACCTAGCTCTAAAAAGTATGTCAAGAAGCATACCACGACCCAACATCCTCATCGTAACGTTTCCTTTGGAATATGCCCGACAACAACAGCATTTCATGAGCTTGGAGCCCGTGATACGACAGGAACGTGAATTCTTAGAAAACCTTGTTGGAAGGATATCCGCACTCCGCCCCAACGTTCTATTAGTGGAGAAGAATGTGTCTGGGTTAGCCCTTCAGCTCCTAGAGAAAGCTGGAATTGCAACTGTTTACAATGTGAAGGCCAGCGTCATTGAAGCCGTGTCTAGGTGTACCCAGACCAGAGTTATGACATCAATGGACAAACTGGTTGCGGCTCCAGCGTATCCTGGCCAATGTGGCGGCTTTGATGTCAAGACATACGTTAATAGTGGCCGAAAAAAGACCTATATGTATATTTCTGGATGCCCTAAGGAATTGGGCTGCACTATTGTTCTTCGAGGTGCTAGTAGCGATGTGCTTGTGAAAATTAAACGAGTTACAGAGTTCATGGTCTATGTTGTATACAACCTAAAGCTGGAAACCTGTCTTATGCGAGATGAATTTGCAAAGATTCCGACATGTGGTGACAATTCCTTGCTGACTAGTGCTCGCCCACCTGTTTCTGCCACCAATATGCCCGATAGCGGTGCTCTTGAATCAGGAGAAGGCGCAGCCTCGGATGCTTCGCAAAGCGTAAATGATGTCACTCAAAACGCCGGACTCTCTGAAACGCCACTTGAACCAAAAACAGTCAGAGTTGACGTTCCGCAAGATACTTTAAACCCAGCCTTCTATGAGGACATGGTAGAAAAGCATCAAACAAAAATACTCTCTGCCTCCCCTTTCGTCCAGTTTCGGCAACCATACCTTTTGATGCGTGCGAGAGAATTAGAAAGACAGCTTGCATATCTCAAAAGACTTCGGGATCAGGACTTTGCAAAGCATACACCAAGCGAGGACACCGGAAAGTCTCAAAAATTTGTCCTTATTACACCTGAAATGATACACGAGTCACCCTCCGGTGCTTCATCAAAGGTGAAAGAAGTCTTACATGCAGTTCATGACGCGGAATATGATAGGGCTTTGTATAACTACCAGACACAAAAAAGGCAATGGGAAGCCTACATATCTGGGAACGTTAATCTTTTCGATCCATATGCGCACCAGAATATTGTTGTTTTATACAGCTTAGTTTGTACAACTACCTCAATCCCTTGCTCTGGGCCTGATCTTTTTGCTCTGGACTTTTACAACGACCATGGGTCCGATAAAATTTTTGAAGTCGACTGTACGTTGGGCCAATACGTTGAAGATTTATGCCACAATGCAAATGCCATTTGTACGGCAAACGGGTGCGAGGAGCGTATGTTTGGGCACCATCAGCAATACGTACACGGGGATGCCCAAGTCAGCATTTTTGTTCAGCCATATCCATCTAAACTTCGTGGCTTGCAGGATAAGATATTAATGTGGAGCTGCTGTAAAATTTGTGGCAACGAAACCCCTGCGATGCCCATGTCTGAAAGCACATGGAAATACTCTTTTGGGAAGTATCTCGAACTGTCATTCTCCAGCGCGGATCTACATATTAGAGCTGGCGTTTGTCCTCATGACTTGCATAGAGACCATTTGAGATATTTTGGTTACAAGGAGGTTGCACTTCGCATCCAGTACGACTCCATTGTTCTCCTTGAAATAATAGTTCCACGCCCGCGAGTGACGTGGAAAGTGGATAACGATCTCCAACTTCGCAATAAAGTCTTTTCTAAAGCTGAAGAGCGGCTAACGAGGTTTATGAGCTCGGTTAAAGCGCGGTTAAGAGGCATTAATGTTGATAGTGTTGTCCCTGAAATGGCCCAATCCTGCAAGAAAGAAGTGGAGGTTTTGATGAAGCGAGCTAATGATGAGCATGCTGCATTGATCAAACAACATCAAGAGATGTACATGAACTCAAGATACTGGGAAGTGATCCCTCTGAACCGCGTAATTCTGTGCATGCAGGAAAAGGTCGTTGAGTGGGATGCCACCTTTGCTGAATTCGAGCGCAATTACTTCCCTTCAGAGAAGGACATCAGGCGATTAGCAACACTTCAGTTGAAACGAATCTTCCTTGATAAGGACGTATCAGTTACTTCACTCACCTCAAGCGACGAGAATGTAGCAACACCCACAGAACCAACTGAATCAGGGGCAGTACCCAGTAGCTCTCCAAGTCTGGCACGACGCATGACCTTATCCCCACAGCAAGCAAAGAGCGTTCTTGCATCCGTTGTGGAGGAGCATTCTGGAAAACCCAGTAAGAGCCGAAACGACGAGGAGCTATCACCTCCATCGACACCTAGAGGAGGGCCAACGCTACTTCTGCAAACGCCTCAAGTTTCTCAGGGGGGGGTTCAACATTTGGATTTGGCTATTTCGGATAGTATTGCGGAAAGGCTCTCTCCACCGAAAGTGGAGTCCAATAAATCTCCTGAACAAGGAGTAACAAGCCCTCTACCTTCCCTAGACAGCAATGTCATTACAAAAGACGACTCTGTGGGATTTGAATTGCCTCTAATTCAGAGCGAGACTCTGGAGAAGCCAAAACCTGACAATCCTGAGCCTGTCACTGAGCCTTCCGGCCAAGGTGATGTCAAAGCTCGCCAATCGGGGATTCCGCGGCCTTTACCTGAAATATCATTTCGCCAGCGATTTCGGGCACGGTCACCGCCACTCCTTAGGACGCAATCTCAACCTGCTCATCTTCAAAAGGGGAGGGAGCCTTCTGGGAAGTTCACACTCAAAAATGCCGAGCAATATCACCTTGCTACACAGAATGATACCTCGAACGAAGATTCCAAGCCTAAAGCAAATGAAAAGCGACTGTCGGAGCGTCTTGGACTCTCTTCTCTTAAGTCTAGCAAGCTTTCATCCGGCCCTTCACTAATACCTCGTTCGGTCCCAAAAAAATCGAACTCGAAGGTATCGTCCCTCGCGAAGCATTTTGAGCAGCTGAGTCGGGAATTCGAGAAAGAGCGCCAAAAGGAACGAAGACAGCGGGCTGCACAAGGGAAGCAATCGCGGGCATACCCGATGGCATCTTCCAACCCTATCATGCAGGTGTATAAAAGTGTCAAGGATGCCGTTGATCCTTCTGATGAAGACTTTATATCGAATGCGCCTTCGACTACCCCACCGAAATCTATGACGCGTGCTGAGGATGCAGAAGAAAATGAGAACTTCCGGGAACAGCCGCAACACAGTCTTGAGGAGCAACAAGAAGCAACACAAGAAGCTGACCAAAGGCCCTCGGAGGAATCAGTACGAGAAGAAACTCCATCTGAAGCTGGCGATGGCGAGCAAAGCGAAAGTGAAAAATGCCTACTTGAAGACTTACACTCGGTTGAGGATGCAAACGCTATTCCCACCGAAGAAATGGCTATGGAACTGAAGGAGTTACCAAAACATGAGAGGAGCTCTCTTGTTAAGATGCTTGCGAACTTTTGGGCAGAGCGTTCTGCTAGTGGCTGGGCACCACTTGACTATCCGTTGAGTGATACAGACCATGTGTTTGCTGATTGTGATATTATTGTGCGGGAAGATGAGCCAAGTTCTTTGGTCGCATTCGCCCTAGACTCGGAAGATTATAAACACAAGCTTCGTACTATTCAAGAGACTAACGAGAATGTGCAGGCGGATATCGAAGGGGAGCCCAGGTCTCCAGATATTGAGCCAGAAGTTGAGCAGGCGCTGCTACGAAGCACAGGAACCCATCTCAAGTTTCAGTTCCAAGAAGGCAGTGCGAGAATGCTCTGCAAAATATTCTACGCTGAGCAGTTTGATGCTCTTCGCCGAAAATGTGGAGTGTCTGAACGCATTGTGGAATCCTTATCCCGTTGTATGAAATGGGATTCAAAGGGGGGTAAAACGAAATCCCTTTTTTTGAAGACTTTGGATGAACGCTTTATTCTCAAGTCTCTGTCCACCGTCGAGACACAAGCTTTTTTGAGGTTCGCACCAGCATATTTCCAGATTATGTCTGAAGCTCTTTTCCACGAACTCCCGTCTGCAATTGCGAAAATGTTCGGATTTTACCAGGTTATCATCAAAAACCCCATTACTGGGGTAGAATTTAACTGGTTTTTACTCCTCATGGAAAACTTGTTTTACGATCGCAATCCCACCAGAATATTTGACCTCAAAGGCTCCATGCGTAACCGAAAGGTTCAGAGCACAGGGGAACAAAACGAAGTTCTTCTGGATGAAAATATGGTGGAGTTCATTTATGAGAGCCCTCTTTTCACCCGGGAGCATTCAAAGAAGCTCCTCAGCCAGAGTGTGTGGAATGACACCTTATTTCTTGCACGCCAAAACGTGATGGATTACTCCCTTATGATAGCAATTGATGAAGGTCGGCAGGAGCTCGTCGTCGGGATTATTGACTGCATTCGAACCTACACCTGGGACAAGAAACTGGAATCTTGGATCAAAGATCGTGGCTTCGCAGGGGGCGGGAAGAATCGACCAACTGTTACAAGTCCAAAAGAATATAAGAACCGTTTTCGAGAAGCAATGGCTCGATACGTCCTCCACGCTCCAAAGTAAGTGGCTGTTGCTAGTATTTATATTTTGCAATATGTATAATAGAAGCTAACTCCCTATAGTCCCTGGCACCAGTTCCAGATTTCAAATCTAGGGAGGCCGCTGCTTGCTGCACAAGAAAGTGACCTAGGTGACAGACACGTTGACCCGGTCCCCAACTTCAACACTCACTAACCTGCTTGACTCTGAGAAGTTTCCATACCCTAAACTTGCACAAACAGTGATTTCCTGGTTTATCATGCTGTGGCGAAAGCTGGGAAGTGGATTTAGTTCCACCGAATGGCCCTCTGGTAGGAATGGATGTACATACATACGTATTCCTTTTTTGTTTTTAGGAATACCAGTTACATATTGTACATACATACACCTGTAGATAAGCCTGTGGATATTGTATAGTTTCAGTGTAGTTGCTGGTTCTGTGTGTGAATGTTCGAGACCATTGCCTGAGAGTTTTTTGCTGTTGGTTGCCCGCGGTGATGTCAGCGGCCTTATCAGCAGCCAAAATGACCTCCTACGCTTCTTGCACTTTCACGCTCAGCGCACAATTTTTTCTGTTGACGTGATGAGTGGTAGACTAGGTGCTTACCTGCATGCGGCCCTCAGGGCACGTATGGAACGTGCTGCGAAGGCCAATCGGCTTCTTGAGACTATTACTAAAAACGCCGGAAAGAGAGAATACGCTCCTCATCTGCTTTCTCTTCCTCCGGAACTTCTCTACCACATTCTCTCCTACCTGCCGGCTACAACACTTGCTTCTCTATCCAGCACATGCCGTTGTCTTCGAGAGCATGTCGCCGACGACCAGGTATGGGCTCTCTTGGTAAATTCTTTCCTCCACAAGCCCCTCCGTGACCCCGCGCCTTTCGAGTCATTCCGGTCCCTCTATATTACCTACCATCCGTTCTGGTTCATCGTTCAAGGCAAGATATGGTACTCGGATGTTAAAAATACTGGGAAAGTGATCATCGTTCGCTACAATGCTCAGCGGGGCAGAATCGAAGGTTATAGAATTGTGGCCGCCCAACCGTTTCGCAATTATGACCTGTGGTCCAAAGACACGTCCATTTTCATTAATTCCTTTGAGCCACAAGTTAGCCTATGGTTAGATGACCCGGTCATATTGCTCGACAGGGTTGCAATATCAACCTGGAACTCTAACCTTGAGAGGCCACGCGAGTATCGAATGCCGATGCAGCTTGAGACCCAGCGAGTATTCACTTCTATCTTCTTTTGCAAGGCTGCCGATCCAGACGAGTGGGAAAATGAAGATAAATCAGTGTGGCCCCCACTTAATATAGATGCCGTTGAACGTGTCGACGTCACATACTCCGATTTCGAGTCATCGGTTTTGTTGGATAAACCGCTCCGTCAAAGTGAGATTTCCGAAGCAGGGTTTCGAATAAGACGATGGATACAATTCGGTGGAAATCTATCTGCTTTTGATACTGGGACTATGATGGATGGCGTCTCTACATATGGAACACTGGACCCCAAGCTTTATACACCAACGGCGGAATTCCCCTATCAAGGAATTTGGGTTGGCGATTACTCTGGCCACGGAGCCGAATTCCTGGTCATTATGCAGTCCGAATGCATGCCCTTATCTTTTTACTCGCACGAAAAAATAGCCGAGAATGTTCTTCGTGCTAATAGAGGAACCCTTCCCAAAGCCTTCAGCAGTACTGATGGAATACCGCGTGGAGGTCTGATCGCGGTCAAGCTCACAGGAGATCCAAACGTTCCCCGGGGCGAAGTTAGTTTTTACGCAGACGAGATTGGCCCAAATGGGACAATTCGTATTGCTGATGAACCGGAATTTCACGGTGCACGAGTGGTATCTAGCTGGGGTCATGTCGCTGGCACAGATTTTACAGGAGGTAAGTCAAGAACCAGGCGCCCGTCTCTTCAGTTATCGGACATTAACCCCCTTTGAGTCACCCAATCGGACGAGTTTGGAATGTCGGAACTGTTTCTTCTCTCCCACGACTGCATTGCACACTTCTGGCTAGAATTGGGCCATATTTCGTATTATCGCCGTGTCAATCTCGACACCCTTCTTAACCAGTGAGCCAGAGACCGCTGTTTCCTTATTGGTACTCTCGAGCAAAATCCCCCAGGACTTTGTTGTGCTCGGACTTTATCTAAAATGAATGGACTTTGAAGGTATTTCATGGTAGAATGACGAAAGTTGTATGATGTATATGATAAAAAATTGGTCTTTAGTTATGACGTACAAGTTGTACATACCTATTCCCCTGAGCGAATGCATATGAACGCGTAGCCATAGACATAACAGTGCTAGGTTGGGTTTGAGACCGTTCATAAAACTAGAATCCAGTTTAGGAAAGGGTGTATATACACTTAAGCACGAATGCCATTATGGTCCATGAGGTGGAGATGTAAAACAGAAGAAGCCGTTCTGCTTGTGTCGATAGATGTGAAGCACTTTCGCCATTTTATAAACAGTCTTGCACGCAAATTTGTTCCTTAAACGTCCAATCCCCTAAGGACCCGCTCAATCGACTCCAAGCCTATTTCGATAAAATCGTAAACCCGTAACAAGGAACAGTAAAAGTCCCTATTTTAGCGTCGTCTTTCGAACCAACTAGTCGAGCCTAGCACCGCGACGCTTTGGTCCATCACCCACTCTCCAATACCAAGGTAATTATCCACCCATCGCTTGACCTCCTTGCTTTCAGTGATTTTGTCTGAATTTAGGCTGGGGCTAAATAAATATGTGCAGTTCCACTTACTCCGCCCCACCCCAGGTAGAGCATCGCCATTTCCGGAACCGTGCGGCTCTCTGGAAGGACGCTGCACTTGGGGTGGGTGGGAGGTGAAGCCAAGTAGAAGTGGTTAGCTGGGCGATGGTTTGACTTGGGGAAAGGAAATTTGGGAGAATAGGGCTTATGTACGTGAGGCCTGTTGAGCGTTTGATGCCAGCGAGGAATGCGGAAACTAGAGGGATGTGTTAGACTTTGCTGACTGGGTTCCATTTTAGGGAGGTATGTCATGATTAGAAATTTGGAGATTAAGTAGGAGCAAACGTACTCAAGACGGCATCAAAAGCATAGTGTGTTAAGCGCCCAAGCTGTATAAAATGTTTTGGCATTAATTGAATGGGATCTAGCTGGGTTAGTGAACTTGGGGCACAGTGCTCACCACCATTCTGACAGATAAGTCGTATAAAATAGAGCAAGAGTACGGAGTGGAAAATGCGCTTTGCAGGGTAAACAAGAATAACGGTCGTTGAAACTAGGCTGTGGTCGGTATATCGATGGTTAGCTGTTGCTGTTGAGGCTGTTGTTTCTTGATGATCAAGTGATGCCAAGACCTTTCAAGTGGAGTAGTCTACATTGGGCCTAGTACAATAACCTGACCCACTAAAGTTACTCCACACCTTGGCATAACTTACATACTACGGAGTACTACCCCCATTTTGGGAGCCCTATAGGGCATGATCTAATAGGAGAATTTGGTGCAAAAATGAGTCTCAAAGTAATTCATCATTCATTACCAGTACCTAGAGATCTTATGCAATTGCCTGCCAACTGAAAAAAAACCTTCATTCCTGGGATAGAAAGACGAAATAACATCCAGATTTGGGAAAAGAAAAAAGAAAGCCCATCTTTGTCGTCGTTAGGAAGAATTGAAACCCGACCGTCTATCACCCATGACAGGTTGAGGAATACTTCAAGGAAGAATCGCTTATTCGGCAAGTCCCAGGTTAGGCTCCGCAGGAACGACACGAATGGTGTTGGTGTGACCTTGGCCTCCACGCCAACCCTGGACGCAGACGACGGAGTCGCCCTTGGAAATGATTTCGAGTTTAAGGCCCTGTGCAATACCCCACTTGAGACGACGGTCAACATCCTCCTGCCAGATCTTGAGGTTGAAATCAGGCTTCTTTTCTGGGAAGAAAAATGGGTACACGCCACGATAGAGGTGGGAATACTAGTTTAGGTATTAGTACACGCCCTTCAAAGTTCGAGTTTAACAAGAAAAACTTACGCGGGCAGCCGCCTCGTTACGAGTGACCATGATGATTGGGCAAACCGGGCGATATTTGGAAAGGAGGCGAGCAGTAAGTCCGCTGTGTGATTATTAGAACACATTCCAAATCAAGATCTAAAGAGGGGGTTTACCTTGTAGTCAAGACTAGGATTGCACCCGCGTTCAGTTCGAGACTGGCGGAGACGGCAGCCATAGCAATGGATTCCACAGTGTCAGCGGGTCTTGGGCAAAGGTTGCGGAGTTCATCAAAAACGCTGAAGTAAGGGATGGCGACTTCGGCTTGAAGACATGTCTCATGCATCATAGCAACAGCTTCGCGCGGGTAGTTGCCTTTAGCAGTCTCACCAGACAACATGACACAATCTGCGCCATCCAGAACAGCATTGGCGACGTCAGAAACTTCGGCGCGTGTTGGACGTGGGTTGTATGTCATGGACTCGAGCATTTGCGTGGCACAGATAGCAGGCTTTCCCTTGATGTTACATTTGGCAATCATCATCTTTTGTGCAATGAAGACTTTTGGAGCGGGGATTTCGATACCCAAATCTCCACGGGCTACCATGACACCATCAGCTTGCTCCAAAATCTCGTCGAAATTATTGACTCCCTGTTGGTTCTCGATTTTTGCAATAATTTGAATCTCGGTGTTGTCCTCTCCTAGAACCTCACGGATGCGTTGAATGTCCTCACCACGGCGAATGAACGAGGCAAATATCATATCAACCTTATTCTTCGCACCGAATTTGATGTCCTCGATATCTTTTTCGGAAAGGGCAGGGAGATCAACATCAGTCCCAGGAAGGTTTACTCCCTTCTTGGATGAGACGGCTCCATTATTAAGGCACTTCACTCGCAGGGTTTGATCGTCAACAATATCAAGAACTTCGAATGAGAGAACACCGTCATCAACATAAATGCGTTTACCCTTCTCAATGACCTTAGTTATGTTTTTATAATCAACATATCTGTATCGCTACATTAGAAAAACTGCGAAAATCTGGCTAGGCTATATTGATACTTACAGGTTCTTATCATCGCTCTTGGTTGCGTATTCGTCGTCAGTGGTGATATTCAATTCAGTACCAGCAGATATCGGAATATCATTGCCATCTGGGGTGAGTCCAGTTCGAATTTCAGGGCCTTTCTATATCCCGAATTCTAGTCAGTTACTCTGACTGTATGTAGAAACAGCCCATTGTTGGTAGGCCTGGGAGTGCATACGGTATCCAAAGCAATTGCAAGGGGGCGACCAGCTTGGGTTCTCTCGGCTTCTTTGGCATTGTTAATGACTGATTGATGATACTGCACAGCAACAAAAATCAGTTAGAATTGTCTACATGTAGTTTGAAGCTAGAGTAAATAAAATACCTCATATGTTCCATGAGAGAAGTTCATGCGAACAACATTGAGACCCGCTAAAATGCAAAAGTTAGGAGCAAAACAATATAAGAACAGCAGGCACTCGCACCTTTGCGGAGAACATTGATGGTCTCAACAGAATTGGTCTTTGGGCCTGGATTCAAGGAGTGGTTAGCAATGTATGCTTGAGTTAGATATGTGGAGAGAAAGTGGCATCAATCAGTGCAGGACAGGTGAAAGGGAGCCAGCATCGATGAACCGCTGCTTTCTTCAGCGCACCAGATGACACCATGCTCACCAATTGTGCAGATGATGGACGTGCGGCGATAGTTCTTTGCAGGCTGGTACTCAGTGCTGAGCTTGGAAGTCCACTCCAGCTTCATCCTGTTTGAGAGGCGACTTGAAGAGCTCGCCATATATGAAGAGGCACCTCTGTTGTTGTTCTGGGAAGTCATCGTGAACAACAGAGAAGGAGAAGCAACTAAATAAGCTTTTTTAAACAGCTGTGTTGCTACAGCTCTGGACTAGCGTGCAAGGGTGAGATGGCTGAGTGGCAGAAGGAAAGTGAGGCCGGGTTGATTAGCTGGGAGATTGTGAAATGATTGATCATGATTTGTTTTTGTTGGGAGACGAGGGGAGCTGCTGTGCACGCTTGGCGTATTTTTGGAAATGCGGTTATCAGGACAGAGCACCAGCGCACCAACACTCCACCGCCCTGGTCACAACACACATTTCACCTCCAGCTCTGAAACCGTTACGATACCGCAGGCGTCGGACTACCATACAATGCGGCATCGGCATGCCTTCGCTGCTGCCATTGGATGCCCGCGGCTGCTGGTGTCCGTCTCGATTGGTCGACGTCACTCGCGGCTAGCATGGTTCATACCCTACGAAACGTCATCTAACTACGAGGCGATTGCCAGCAGCGCCGAAGGCCACCCTACCATTTGGCACAGGCTCCAGGCATGGGAAGAGTAGCGAATATTGTAATTCCGCCCGGCCTGTACACCTAGGGATAAAGAAAAAATTTTCAGCGAAGGATGGAAAGCCCCCAAACGCGCGATTTTAGAGGATTTCACCCATAAAAGAGCTGTCCACACCCAGCTTCGTGATTGGCCTGCAAGTTCACCGTTATCTTATCGATTGCCGGACTATATATTTTTCCGAAGCCACAGATTTAGTGCCTCCCCGATTAGGATTAGCGCATTTCTAGCCAGCCACCTGCAGTTGCCTTGAACCTCGCCCGCTGGACACCAAACTATATACGGACTAGCGCAATATTATCAAGCCTCTCACAAACAACGAAGTTTCTGCCACCAAACTCTTCATATGTTCGCTGGATTGCAAATATGTGCTTTGTACGGAGTACTCCGTACGGAGTATGGAGGGCTCCGTAGTCCGTACAAGAAACTTTTATTCTGTTTGCGCCGTACCAGGACATCTCTCAGTCTGATGTGCTACTAGACTCTCAATACAGAATACAACGGACTAAGATATCAAGCAATTTGTTTTATGTAATCCGTACGGAGTAAGGAGTACAGAGTACAGAGTACACTTCAAGCGCGTTGGACTCGCTGCTCGACAGGGCGAGGCCGAATTCTATAATACTCCAATATTGTACTCCGTACGAAGTACTCCGTAGGCAACCACGCATAGTTTGTACTCCGTACAGCTGACTCATCAGCCACATGCGCAGCCTGAACGCCCAACTGGTTACGAGCACTCCGTACTCCGTAGATGTCCATTAATATTATTGAGCCGGACTCATACTTTGTCTGTTGACATTTATTTGGCTTTGGGAAACCTGATTCCTCGGCCCGTTGAACACCGGGATGAATGCTGGCTAGCTTGATCTGGCATTATGGTTTGGGTCCGAGTGGGTCCGAAGTCATCCAATCAAGTGTAAGTTCAGCTGGCGCGTCAAGGACGCGATCTTGTCCTGTAGTCGCTGCCTGGGGACCAATGAGGAACAAACATATGAGGACGCGAGCCGACACCAAAGACCTGCACTTGCTCAAACCAAACGACATTTTATAAAATAGAAGACGCGTGAGACTTTGGCGTTCACGGGCTTGTGTTCCCTGTGGCTGTGAGCCCTGTCGACAACTATTTCGAGTTTTTTGAGAACAGAAAAAAGATATCTATTTGTCTTCCTGTTCTGTCTATATCGGTATACGGAGTGCGTGTTTGTCGTTGGGTGGCTTATTACTCCCAGAGGAGGGAATTCCAGGGCAGTGTAAGAAAGCGTTTCAGTCTCAAACACCAACAGGATTTTAAAATAACAAGTTACTCTGAGGTATGCTCACCATATATATTTCATGGCTGCCAAAAGTTCATCACGCAGTATCGGGCAGAAAAAGCTCCTCTCATCCCATATTCAACAACCCCATTTGCTATAGCATTGAAAATGCTCAACTTTCCAGATTTAGATAGGTCGCTGACTCCCTTCGCCAGCGACTGGACAGTCTCTAGGCCGAAAATACTCTCTACATATCGTTTGTTTCTTTCCCGACTTGAACACCAGGCTAAACCGACGATGAGAGGCTCTGCCACGGAACGTACTCCGCGAACCCCCGGATCTCGGACTTCAAAACGATTGCGACGTCTAGAGCCCGGCACGGAACTCGACAATGACTATCCAAGCTCGTCAACTGGCTTAACGCCCCATATCTCGCGCACGAGAATTGTCGTTTCTAGTCCAATTAGACCAAACTACGACGAAAGGTTAAGCGGAAAGACGCAAGACAACCAGCGCCATTATACGACTCCCCACCCTAAGACCAAGACCAAGCGGAAGCTGGGCTTTGAACCATCCCCTTCGAAACAAACAACGCATTCCTACCACTATATCCCTTTTAGCGATATCCTCGATTCCAGGACGAAACGGCGTATCGGTCGCGCAGGGTTCAGTGAGGAGATGAATAGAATTGAGGAGACAAGAAGAGTTCGCAAAAGGATTGAGAAAGAAAAGGATGAGGAGATGCAAAGACTAAGGGATGAGTTGAATGTACTCAGAAGCGGACGAACTCCTCATTATGACACACCCGATATATCTGGTGAAGACTCTGATCTGCCTTCAAGTATTGGAGGAGATGACATGGAAGTGGGTTTCAATGAAGGGCTCACTGACGCTGAATGTATGGATAAATTGATACATGGTCCTCCTGTTTTCACAGATGCTGGAACGCAAGTATCATTCCATAGCTGTCGAGGAGAAGTCCGGTCTTTGAAAGAAGACCTTGAACAGAGGAAAGCAGAGAAAAAGAGGCTCTTTCATGAGTGGCAGGGAATTTGCAAGCCTCGAAAACAAAATGGTAAACCGAATGACACCGACACAGCCCTTTCCACTCCGCCGCCAGACCTGGCAGTGCAGATTCTTGCCAGCCTGCGGGAGGCCACCACCCGCGCGGCCGAAGCGGCTCAAACAGTTGAGACTGTTCAGAATGCACTCTCCAGCCACGGCTTCGATGGCGTTCACGCCATGGAAGTTATCGCCAACATTGGCTCGCGCTTTCGGCATGCGCGACTAGAGCTTGAAAGAGCTGTACCAGGTGAGACTGCAAATGCGAACTTGTCAAACTGGAGTACAACGATCGACGCTATGGTGGAACGTATCGGCCGATTTGCAGCAGATCTAAAAAGGGCACAGAGTCAAGTAACAGGGTACCAAGAACGTGAGGTGGCGCTGCGTCGACAATTTGACGCTGCGCTACTCCGGTATGATGAAACATCGAAAAGGAATGAAAATCTTCAAAAGTACACCGAAACAATTGCAGAAGATATGCTCAACGCGCGAATAAAACTCCAGAAGCTCGAAAAAGAGATCCAACACCTTGCAACTGATAAGAGCCGACTTTTAGATACCTTGGAGTGCTACCGAGAGGATGTCAGGATGCTAGAGAAATTGAACTCGCAATTAGAAGATGAGATTGCTGCTTCGAGGAATCAAGTGGACATTCTCGAGACAGCGAATAATAAATTGGACGAAAAAAATGAGTTGTCCAAAGCCAGAATTGCAAGCCTGGAGCGTAATTTAGCCAATGAATACTCTCTCCGACAGAAGATGCAGGCATCTCTGCAGCGGTGTAATTCCGAAATCTCAAGTCTCAGGCTTCGAATGGAGAAACTGGAAAGTGAACATGATGTCGTTGTAACTGCACTCAAACAAAAGAATACCGAACAATTCAATGGACATGAAAAGGAGATTGGGCTGTTGAATGTCCGCCTTTCCTCGGTTTCAACCTCTCTCAATAATACCAGAATCGAAACCGAAAGATTAGAAGACCAGAAGCTTGTCTTACAGAGACGGCTAGCGGATTTTGAACAGCTCTTTTCGCGAGACGCTATCCGCACAGCGCAAGATAGAGCGAAAGAGACTGTCGAGGCCTTTGAGGAATGGCAAAGGAAAGTGGATCTTCTGGAGAAGGCTTCGCCTCCAGAAACGCATAGCTTTGCTATTGGAAGTGAGCCAATTACGCCAGCAACGGTAACTCGATTCAAAAATGTAGAGATAGAAAGGGGGAGGAAAAGGAGAAGAGTCATTAGTAGCCCACTGGAGGAGGAACAAGGATAATATGATGGGAAACGCGCAGTTGGGAGATGGGATATATTGTGCCTCATCAAATCTATTTCCTTTGTCGTCGAACCTTCTTTTTAATCTCCTAGCTATGTATCTGTGAACATTTCTTGGTGGATCTACTCTGAGATGTTTGGCCACAACTGATCCTTCTACATCTCTTTTCGGAATTTGGCATATATACAACTGGACGGACCGGCAAACTGTCGCCGGCCCGTTCTAGGTTTCTGGGTGAACAACCGACTTGTTTGCACACGAATGAGGCTTGGATGATAACAAGGCCAGACTGATCTTCGGTCTGTCCTACAAGTCAAGAGGCGACTCTCACATCGCTACGGAGTAAACCTCGACTATGACTTGCTTCATATTGTATCAGGGATTGCACAGTACATCTGCCAATCAGAAATATGACTAAAACACTGGACATCCACATATTTTCTCAAACGAGGTGGAGTACGAAGTGACTAGTTAGTGTTAATTCGCAGGCCAGTGTACAAATCGCCTATCCTCCCTCATACCTTACCATATATAACTACACTAAGATAGCATCATCTCACAATTGGATATCCTAGAAAGGAATGGGGCACTGGCACGAAAAACCATGATCTAACAGGCCAGTTGAATGCTGCCAGAGCAAGACCAGCGGGCACTCCTGCTTGCATGAAATCCTGCAGCTCTCCCCGTCCGGCTATTCTGAAAGCCCAGATGCTTTCAACACACATGTTTTACGAGCTGCAAATCGAGCCGGACGCCGGGTGCAATCCTCCGCAAGAATTAGACGTGTATCATGCATGAGGCTTATGCGCCTGCCAGCTGTTGCTATGTTACCGCTTGATGAACTCGGAATTCATTCTCAATTCCTTCTGTGCAACGCTGATAGATAACCCTTATTAAGCTGCATATGTGCAGTTGTATGTGTCACATGGCCCTTGATCGAATCCCTCTCTTCCCGCTCCTATCCTCGTGTTCATTTGGAGCATCATCCAGAGCTTGCAAACCATGCAGCAGCGCAGCAATGACTCGGGGCACTCGCTAACGCAAGCCTGCATCATAATAGACCTATGGAATCATCAGCATAGCATTAACCGGACTTGGAATTTGCCCCCAAGGCGTATGATCAAAACACGACCTTTTTTCCCCGCCAATTTCGACTACGCTATGTCCATATATATATGTTGTATCGGTTCCTACCTCTTTCAAACACCTTCCCAAGATATATAGAGGCCTATTTTTCACCCCATATATATATCTCGAAAGCCACAACCTAATAGTTGATTCTTTTTATATATTCGGGCTTTTAGAAAATGACTCCTTCTATTCTGCAATTTTTGAGCGTTGCTACAACTTGCTTCCTCGCAGCCGCTGCCTCGTTTTCTGGACGTCGGTATGACGATGAAGTTGACGAAGTGATTGCTCGTGATGTCTGCATTATTGGAGGTGGGGCATCGGGCACGTATGCTGCAGTTCAGCTTAAAGACATGGGAAAATCCTCGATACTCATAGAGAAGAAAGATATACTTGGAGGACATACTGACAGATACATTGACCCCATCACCAAAAAGGTTATCAACTTTGGGGTTATGGTCTTTTCAAACCTGAATGTCACCACTGATTTCTTCGGGAGATTGAAGATTCCACATAAAAAGACCTTCTTAGGAGACCCGACATCCAAGCTATACGCTGATTTTAGGACTGGAAATGTCTACAAAGATCACAGAGGCCCAAACATAACAAAGGCAGTAACTACTTATGCCCTCCAAACTGCGAAATATCCGGAACTAGGAGGAGGTTATTTCCTTCCCGACCCTGTTCCTGAGGACTTGGTTTTACCATTTGGCGAATTTGTGAAAAAGTATGATATGGGTGATGCGCTTGAGATCGTCAACATTTATCTTCAAGGGTTCGGCAATATCCTTGAACGACCCACCCTCAGCATTATGAAAACACTCGATCTCGTCGTCCTTAATGATATACAAAACGGCTATTTGATCCCCAGCAGTGGCGATAACCATGAAGTTTACGACAAAGCTTTTGAAATTATCAAGTCGGATGTCTTGCTTCAATCCCAGGTGCAGTATGTTGATCGTCGTAGTGATCATGTCACGGTTTTCGTTAAGACGCTTTCAGGACGAAAGATTATACGAGCCAAAAAGCTTCTTGTCACGATCCCACCAAGTGTGTCCAACCTCGCGGAGCTTAATTTGGATCGCGAGGAGAAGTCAATTTTCGGGCAGTTCAATTACACCGCGTACTATACGTCCTTGATCAAGATTCCTGGCTTTCCTAAGTTTGACAGCATGATCAACTATAACCCGAATTACCCATACGGTCTCCCTGAGCTGCCGGATATCTACTGGATTACTCCCACTATCATTCCTGATGTATACGATGTCAAAGCTGGCAGCCCTCATACACTACGTGAGGAGGATGTGAAGACTGAAATGATTAATAAACTCAAACTGTTTCAAGCCAAAGGCTCCAAAAGCCCTGAATTCGTAGCTTGGTCCAACCATTCTCCATTTGGTGCCACAGTGCCCAGGGGAGCGATTGAGACAGGATTCTACAAGAAACTATACGCTCTACAAGGCCGACATAGCACCTACTATACAGGAGCTGCCTTCCACGCCCATAACTCGGCTCTGCTTTGGAGGTTCACGAAAGAGCTTGTTTCAAAAATGATGAAATAACATTTGAAGGCATGGTCTCCTTTGTTTGATGCGGGCTTGTCAGGTTACATATGTATGATGGCCCGCAGCACGAGGATACTGCGTGGGCCCTGCATGTAATAGAACGCTTTAAGGGATGTAAAGGGTTCGTGTTGTTTAGAGGAAAATACCCCCAGTCTAGCTGTCAGTTATGCTTTTACATACTCCGTACACACAGAGAGAGCGAACCGTCGATAAAATGATGTAGTTCCCCAAAAGCGGCGACTTGACCGGGTATATCCTTGCTATGTTCGGAAGGACCCGCTGACGTCATCAGGGACGGCTTATGAGCCGCATTTTCTCTCAACGAACTCTCCAGTTTCACTGAGAAGCGCCATGCTCATTTCAAGGAACACTGGTTGCCCCTGGAGCCTTCTGAAACTGAGAGCTTTGACCTACCCCGGACCTGGCAGATATAAGCAACGGGTGATGCGAAGTGAAACCTCTATGGTTTCGGTGCCTTTAAAAGGGCCCCAGTCATGCAGCAGCCTGCATTCTCCCCACATTAGTATTTCATATGTAATTTTTTTTATCTCCTTCTCAATTTCTTACCTGATTAATACAAATTCATCAAAATTATAAAACAATGGCTCATCAGGATCCCTCCAAGCGCTACACACTACAAGTTACTGCAGGCCCTGCATATGACACAAAGACACACCGAATAGTTCCAGTAAACGCTGATGAGACACTTACTATCGAGACCGAGTATTCTTTAATCAAGCTATGTGTGAGAATACAAGATTTCTGCGGTTGGTGCAGCTCCTTTAGATCCTTTTACTCTTGGTTTACTTACTGAGTGCATTTATGCTTAGGACTGCCGCCCTCTGCTCCTCGTACATGTGAATATTTTTCACACCCAGATCATAAATATGATCAGTACTCCATTTCTATTGCCTTTCTTCCGAAACGTACTATCCCGGGCTCTGAACTCGTGTTTGGAAACGACTTCGACCACCCCATCCGCGACCGACTACCGCCGGGAACCAATTATGCTTTGAAGCTGGTCAAATGGATTATCGACCCTGGGCTAGAAGGGGACCCTTACGGCGATCTGCCGTATTTATATGGGGCAGCTTTATCAAGCTGGAACTATTTTAGAATATGTGAACGAGAGGGGGTGGTTTCGAGATCGGGATCATCTACGGCAGGTTCAATATTGATAGACGAGAAGGAAGGCGACTCACGAAGCCATAGTTGTGCTGGCAGCAAAGCGAGCTCGGTATCTGTGGTAGAACTCCATGATGAAGTCGTCCAAGAAGGAGGCGAAGGCACTGGAAGAGAAATACGGGACAACCTTAATATACCCGACGACGCCAGCTCTCGGAAAAAATATTTTTTAGATGAAAAACGCCGCCATGCTTTTGAATTTGAAGCCGGACGGTTATATAAAGCTGATTTTGGAAATCCATATCTAGGTTTCAGTGGTATGTCTTACCCCTTTCTGCATTGAAAGATCGATGCTGATGTTCCTAAAAGATTTCTCGCTTCGACTCCCCGGGTTTAGTATTAATATTGCGAAATATATTGACAAGAAGAATCATCAATTGCGCTATGTGTTGAAAAATAAAAATTCAGGAGACATATACTTCGTAGTGCTCTTCACATTATTACTCAATGACTTTGAAGGCGTTGAAGATGGGGAAAGGGAGAGCGAGGAGCAACAGATAGAGGAATCTGAGGTAGACTAGTTGAAAAATTTTAATATATCAGTATTTCTATTTAAAAAATCAATTCCAAAGTATTTGGTATCATTTTTTACACTCTAGTGTACATTGCGCTTGATATCATCCTCTATTGGTATTGTGTGGATTTTTAAAGGCGTCTGAGAACGTCCTCAAGGACTTGTTCCGTGGTCGCTTTCCCACCCAAATCTGGGGACAAATATTCCCCCTCATCCAGGTTTGCATCAACAGCAGCATAAATCTTCGCTGCCGCCTTCGGTTCGCCCAGAAACTCTAGCATGAGTCCTGCACTGCGAAGCGTCGCAATGGGATTGGCAATGCCCTTGCCTTCGATGTCAGGAGCGCTACCATGGCAGGGCTCGCCGATGGCAAACCCATCGCCAACATTGGCACTGGGGACTAGGCCCAAGCTGCCGACAAGAGCAGCAGCCCCATCAGAGAGAATGTCTCCGTACAAGTTGGGTGCAACAATCACATCGTAGTACGATGGCTGGCGGAAGAGCTTGTACACCATAGAGTCGACGATTTGCTCTTCAATGTCGATACTGGAGAACTTCTCCTGAGCTAATGCCTTCCGTGCAGCTTCACGGAATAGTCCATCGGTCTGGCTAAGCACGTTACTCTTGTGGGTAATTGTGACCATGGGGCCTACACGGGGGGCCGCCTGGCCTTCTTGGCGAATACCCTGTCGGCGAAGCGCAATCTCACCGGCAATAGTAGCAATGCGAGAGGAAGCACGTTCGGATATTCTCTTGATAGCTTCTGCTACCCTGCCCTCGGGAGTCTCAAATGTCTTTTCGTCCTTGACGTAGAGGTCCTCTGTGTTTTCACGGACAATCACAAGGTCAATTGGCGCAGGAATATTGGCACCCGGTGTGGTCTTCACCGGTCGAACATTTGCATAGAGATCTAGACGCTTGCGAAGAGCAACGATGGGGGAGGAGTATCCAGCTACTTTGGAGGTCGGGGAGCTGCCCAGGTACGAGTCAGTGAAGAAACAACGCAACGATGCTTCGGTTACTCTGATTATTTACCTAACAGCTCCGAAAAGCGCACCATCGCATTCCTTCTTCAGCGTTTCCACCGTTTTGTCGGGTAATGCGGTCTTAGTGCGCTTGAAGGTTTCGAAGCCAGCATCCAAATCAACGAAGGAAAATTTAAGACCAAGCGAAGCTGGGAGAGCTTCCAGCAGCCGACGACCAGCCTAAATCGAGACTTAACCACCAATCAATGGGCTCTTGGAAAGCTCTGTAATCGCTTACTGGAATCACCTCTCTGCCAATACCATCACCGGGAATGAGACCTGGGGTTTAAGTTGTCAGCCACGCCAAGGGTTATCGCCTGGGGGATGAAGAGAGCCAATTGACCTATCCTGAGAGTTCTTGAAGCTGCCATGGCCGGATCTGATCGCTGTAACGGCGATTGTCTGCAATTCTGCTTGTCGTTACTCTTCGTGCGATGTCGGCGGGAATGATCGGCGGAGCGGCAAAAGGTTGTTCCGAGAGCTGTTGAGATTCGCGAGACGATGGTGAGCTTGAAGGAAATACGAGTGGAAGACGCGATGGCCGGGTCTCTGGAGGCACAGGGAGAGACTGTGCTGCTGGAGACGTGCGGAGAGAGTACTCCGTAGACGAATTGCTTTTCCATCACCCTTTTTTAGTTGACATAAATACAGAATAATTGTAGATATCGCTACTTCAGGGCGTCCACTATAAACGCCAGCCAGGCAAAACAACCCAGCGAATATTGTGATTCATCGATCGTTACATGAGCCGGCCGGCGGCCTCAGACAAAGAGAGTTTCCATGCGGCTGTCGAGCATCGTGGAGATCCGGAGCCCCTTTTGTGGTCTGGGCTAATTTACCCGCCAAGTTGATCCCCTAAAACACTCTCTCCTCCGCATAAATATCGGCGCTCCTCAGGTTTTCTTCCAATCTGGCCCGAGACCTCCTCGCTGACCCTTTGCGGCGTTTGTTTATACACGCTGCAGCTTGGCAGCCGCCGTCTCTGCCGTTGCAGCCGTTGCACGCTCGTTCTGCTGCTGGCCCGCCTGCATCACGCCCATCGCTGCACGCTCCATGCTCCCTGGCAACCCGCTCACAGACCACGTCGCTTCGGCTCCTTTGGCGGTTTCATAATCTCCTACGTCCTTCGTGAATCCGTTGCCATTCTTTCATCCGTCGCCGAGCGGGCAAAAGGCCACCGTACCCGCCCTCGCCCTTTTTGTCCTCGTTCCTCTATGCTCGCGCCCCCCCTATAGCATCACACCAGCGAGACGATGTCGGACAAGCCGGCACAGACAGGTGTCCGCAGCCTGTTGGCCAAATTCGAAAGCAACATCTCGGAATCTCCCCCTTCCCGTGGCCGCTCGCCAATTGGTGCGGATGGCTCGGGCACCCGTCCACTTTCGAAGGTGCGCGCAAGTTTTATTCCTGTCGAGCGCAACGGCAGTGCGGGATCACCGCTTGGGTGGCTAAGGAAGACAGACACTGGCGATTCTCCTGTGAATACAAAACCTACTGGCATCCACGAGTTCGGAGGGCTGATTGACCGTGCTTCGCCCTTAACTGCCACTGTGCCAGCTCACACGTTGCCCAGCAAACAGGCGGCGTCGACGCCCGATAAAGATCGCCCTGCCGATTCAACGACCACGGTAACCGACGCCCCAAACGAGGTCTTACAAGGACTGGGCGCTATTTTGAAAGGCTCGCCATTTGAAGACTCGAAGCCCCCGACTCCGGTTCCAATGAACGGTTCTCCTCCGCGGACACTGGGTTCGGTTGTACCTGAACCAAAGAAAGTCATGGTGCCGGAAACCAAGAAAAGCCCTCCTCCCAAAGAAAACATACCACCAAAGAAACCTGCTGTATCGCAGCCCAAGGTCGCCTCCTCTCGGCCAGCCAATATCATGATTGCAAAAGACCTCAATCGCACCGCTAATGACTCCACTTTGAGGAGCCCAAGAACACCAGCTCCACAGACCCCGAAACTACCAATGACTCCTGACTCACAGCTTAGATCTGGTCATGCCAATAGCCCTGCCGTTGCCAGAGGCTTGCATATGTCCAGTGCTCGAGTTAATAGCCCCAAACGATCAGCCCGATCAGCCCTAAGCCCTGCGGCTCAAACAAGACATGCTGCCCCTGCTCGAGAAAACGGGTCCAGGCCTGGGTCGAAGAACACTTCTCCTGACCAACACAAATCCCGCCCAAAGTCTCCAACACGCCCTATCCGGCTACCGACTTCAATGACAGCACCAACTACATCGTCGGCTGCGAAGACCAGCAATCCGTCATCGCGCCCATCTAGTCGAAATGACGCAAACGCAACCAAGCCAGCCCGCAAGGCCTCATCATTACGACCGGACCGAGGCGCAGCGGGGCCTAAGCCAACCGGGCCAGCAAAGGCCGTGCATCAACAGCCATCTCGCGCCTCGCTGGCACCGCAATCTAGTACGGCGCATGATAGACCCAAATCCCGGACAAGTAATGTCAATGCACGTGCGCCGGATGATTCTTTCCTGGCAAGAATGATGAGGCCGACTGCCAGCTCAGCAAGCAAGGTGCATGATAAGGTCGAAACTCGTAGCCCACCAAGAGCAAAGAAAACATCCCGGCCGCCGCGGAAATCAACAGAACAAGACATTGTCGACCTAGATCACCCGCCAAAAGCGAAGTCTTCTGAAGCCGAGATCCCGATCACACAAGATACTTCTGTAGAAGAAACACCAAAGGAGGAGCCACATCCTATCCAGGAACCGGAAGTCGAGGAGAAGAATGTTGAGCCTCTTCCAACTCAAACGCCCGTGCTACCTATAGAAGAAGAAAAAGAAGAAGTACTGAAGGCCCAAGAACCGGAAAATCAAACGGACACCACGGAACCTCAGGAACCTCCCATGGAGGTGCCACAGGAACTTAAACCGGCGGAAAACCAAGCTATTGTCGATAAGCCTGACGAGCCTGCTAAGCCTCAAGAGCTCAAGCCTGCTGCTGTTGAAGAAGCTGAGGTCCAAGAGCCGAAAGTTGTCGAAGCTTAGGCCTAGTCTATCTCCAGTGAAGTTCTTGTCTGACTTTGACATGATTTTGTCACCTGTTGAATTTAAAAAAAATATACTATTTGTGAATTCCAGAATACTTGTAGCAGTGACCATCTCTCTTCTTCTTTTTCTTCTTCTTCTTCTTCTCCCCCAGGATGCCGATTAGACAGCTTCCGAATCTTGAACATATATTTCTGGAGACCTTCTGTTTTGTTTCGAAATTATTCGATTGGTGGAGTATTTTGTGGACTCATTTTTCTGGCTGTTTGGTTTCATTTTACTCATTAGCAGAACGGAGATGGAGCATTTTTACTTTCTTCTTTCATTCTTCTACGGTGGTTATTACATTTCATATAAGCAAAGACATTGACCACAAAACTCCTCTGGAAGTCTTTTTTTACATTTCAATCCGCCGATATCAAACATATGCGGCATCACATCTTCTCTTCTTAGCTTTAGAAGCTTGATGTTCTTCCACACTTCGTCTTCTATTCCAGAGCTCTTTGGATTCAAATTCGCTTTTTGATGTTATTTGTGGTTCTCGTTTCGATTATTGATAGCACCAAATTCCAATCTAAGCTAATTTGCAATATATTGTTACGGCGCCTACCGTTCATGGTGGATGATAGTGCAATATGTCCTGATCAACAGACAGAGAGAGCTTACTTCCAATACAAAATTTGTTCGGCTATATATACGCTATTTGTGCTAACAGGGCTGAAATCGCTTCAAAATTGACGAATATATAGGCAATAAATATGAAAAAGAGGGACCTAAAGCTGCAATACATACAACAAGTGCGAAGGAGTCTTGATATCAAGGTAGATTCTTCACAATTTCTTCTCCAACTTCTTGAGGAATCGATTCACTCCCTTCTCAACGCGAATTGCATTTTCCGTGATTTTTCCCGTCTTTTTGTCAGTGGGAGTAAAACTTCCAGAGCCCCGTCGCTGGTGGTGTCTATGCTCGTTTTCTGTCGGTCTGTACACCTGGTTGTGGATATCATACACGTTAGTAGGCGCTGCTTGCGGCTGCTTGTACGAATAATCAGAATAACCTCCGATCGGTGGCGGTGGCGGTGGCGGCGGCTGCTGCTGCTGCTGCTGCTGCTGTTGCAAAGCCTGAGTTTGAGCCTGGGTCTGGGGACTATACTGCTGTTGTTGGCCGTATGGACTCCCTGGTGGAAGTTGTTGGGGTGGTTGTCCATAGTTGGGAGTAGCTTGCTGTTGGATCTGTTTCTGGTTTTGGTTGTAGGTGTCAGGGGTGGGAGGTGCTCCAAAGGTTTGTTGTCGATAGACGCCAGGAATTGGTTCTTTGGGCGGAGGCTGTGGTGTGTAGCCTAATACTCCGGTTTGGGCAGTGGGGGGAGGCGCAGAAGGAGGAGGCGCAAATGATCGACTGCCGCCTTGCGAAGGAGGTGGAGAAATCGCAGTAGGTGCAATTAAACCTGCAGTAAGTGGCGGTGAAACGTATGGCGACTGTCTTTCGTGAGCATGCCTATAATCCTGGACCTGACTGTGACCCCCTTGTGGAGGTCCGGAGAAACCAAAGGGGTGCGGGGCAGCAGCGTATGCAGCTTGGTCCCTCGCAGCCACTGCCGCCAGCCCATTGCCCGTTGCACCATCTGCTGGCGGGGGCGTTTTCTCTCGATGTTGAATTGGCTCTGGCGCAGCTGGCGCAGCGGGATTATAAGCGAGTGGAGTATAGTTTTCAGCTTGCTGCTCCTGGTGTTTGGTTTGAGGTTGCTGTACAGTTTTCCCCAACACGGCCACCGGTGCCGCTTGAGGTTGAGTAGCAGGAGGAGTCAGAGGCATCGTGGAATGGGTAGGGGGGGCGCTGGATGGGGGAGGTGGAGGTAAAGTCATCGGATCCGTTGTTCCCCTGCCTTGGTAGCTATTCTGATACCCAGGATCTGATATGGCAACATTCTCTAATTGTTGAACCACTGTGCTGACAGGTGATGTATGTGCTGGAGGCTGTGCTGCGATAATATCCACTTGAGACGGCGATAGAATCTGCTGTGCTGTAGAGAGGAAAAGTCTTGCATCCTCCAGCGTCCAGAAGTATATGTCCAAGGTGTGGAGTCTATGCAGAGCGCCACTGTGGTCCTGAGGATGACCACTCGGCAACGACCATTCATTGCTAGGGGACTCGGTCGAAGTGCTCTGACGTTGGGTATTTACAGTTAGAGTAAACAACGTAGGAAATTTGTCCGAGTTTCGCAGCAGAGCGGTGCCCAAGGCTACAAAGGAAAGTATAAATATTATATCAACTTAGTAAGAAGACTTTTGAGAAGATGACGTACAGCCGGCGAAAGCATCCTGCTCTGGAAAGCCAGGATTATTTGCTATTTCGACCCTGGCGGTGTTCTGAGTGGCATCGTGGTACACGTAAAGGTAGGAACCTTTGTCAAATCGATGAAGCAGAGGTCTTGGAGATGGAGGAGAGAAATAATAGTGGACATCGGCGAACCTGAAAGACAATTAGCGGTCTGGCAGAGCTTCATGGGTAATGGTAGGCGCACTCACACTGTCAATAAACGTTCTTCTCCTGGGAGAGGCGGCATTCCAGCCAGCAGGAACTAACAAGTCACACCAGAAAGATTGAGCTATAAGGAAGCAAAAGTAGTCTGCAAACTCGGCAGCACTTCGAAAGGCAACAACGCCAGCTTTTGCCCTCCGCTGAGGCCAGCAGGGCAGCCCCGCGCCTAATATTCAGAACGACTGCCAGGGCAGCTTGGAGGTGACGTGCGTCAGCGAATCGCCCGTCGGCGCCAAGACGGGCGCTTAGCGGAAGAGGGCGTTTTGGAACCTTATTGGCCAGGTGTTTCATTATTGTGCTAATTTGATTGGTCACTTTGCCTGGCCTTCTTTAGTCCTTACCGTTTATTACCGATCGTTCCATTAATAAGCGAATAAGAAGCCATCAGGGTGAAAGGCCAATACCAGCTCATGTTTCGGAATAATATTTTATCCGGACGATTTTTGCGATTCTTGAGTCCGCAACGGAAGCAAGAGAACAAAAAGCCATCGAGCCACCGCACTGTCGCTCTTGTTTAAAAGGCCAATGGGCCGCTGCTGCTAGGTACGTGCTATAGGCCAGCTTCTGCGAAATTTTGGCAGCCATATCCACTGGTGGCTGACGTTTACTACAGTCCTTTTTGCTGACCGCCACTACGCAGTGCGTCAAAGAATATCAAGCAAGTCGCCCACGCGGGCCTCCTTTCTCTTTCAAGACAGCCAAAATGTCCCTCGTCCACCTTGCCAATGTTTGCTCTCACATTTCGAATGCTTCCAAAGCCCGATTAGGATTAACTTCCGTGCTGAACACAAAACTACACCAGTCCCTACTCCTTGCGCTCCTCGATGCCGGATTCGTGTCGTCCGTTGTCCTAGGAGGGCCACAACCCCCAGAGCCACATTTTCTTTTGGGTGTGCCCTCTGCACTCAGCCCAACGCTGCAAGAGGTGGAGCTTGTCACAAGAGAAAACGTTGCATCGCGGCGATTATGGCTTGGGCTAAAATACTGGCAAAGCGAACCGGTCATCTCCAAAATGTCGCTCATTAGCAAGCCAACAAAGCGGATCACTCTGGATGTTCCCGCTCTGCGGAAGATTGTTAGGGGAGATCAGAGCAATACTGTCTATGGCTTACGGTCGCCTGGCGAGTGTATATTTCTTAAAACATCTGGGGGAATCTTGGAGGCTCGACAGTGTGTGGAACGGGACATTGGGGGAATGGCACTGTGTAGAGTGGTATGATTGGCGCTTTGTGCTGTTGCATCGTCTATGGAGTTTCTGGCTTGAGGTTTTTGGATTGCTGCTCGAATGGCAGAATGCGCCCCCGTCCGGCCGGCAAATCATGTATATTAAAGACGAGTTTGACCAGAAAATATTCCTTTTTTCTTTCACGCTCCGGACAATAATAGGGTAGATTGTGTACGGAGTAGAGCCCGGTCTTCATCTGGGGGATTTTCGGCGATTTGATACTGGGATAGCATGGGTTGGCGACCCAGAATCATCCCATATTTCGAGGATCTACATACGCGATGTCCAGGGATCGAGGTCAAGCAGAGCAGCGCAAAGACATCTCACATTCCTTGGGCTGATTCTTCCAGACCCAGTCTGCTGGGGGAAGGGGCAGCCATCTTTCTTATGTACGGCTGCGTCGCGGGGCCGGATCCTTCGCCGCGTGAGGTTGAGGCCTGCAGGCTGGAACGCACGATTGCAATCACACCCAGGCGGCCGGACTGCGGCACTTCACGTCTCTTCTCCCCAGCCCATCATCATCACGCCCGCTGCCCGTCCGTTCCACGCCCATCACGATCGCGATTCCGTTTCACGCCGTAACCAACCCTGGAGCAGCCGTCCAGCCGCATGTAACGCGCTGCGGAGCCGTCCCACAAGGGATCTCGTTACATGGACTACCGCATCCTATGACCCACCGCGTTTCGTTGCGCACCACCGCACTCCGTCGCCATCCAAGCCGCCGCGGCCTGCCCATCCCACGAAGCCGCCTCGGCCCTACACAATGGGCCGCCGTCTGAGCGCCCTCGATGTCCTGCCGGCACTCCCGCTGGTGCCGTCCGTCTGGCTTTTCGTGTTGCCTGTTGGGCGTGAACATCGCCGGCGCGTCGCTGCCCAATTGCCCAACCGACCCTCACTCGGCGTTTGGCCGGAATCCGCCTCTCATTGGAGTTTCAGCTCCCATCAGGACCGCTGCCCGAATCGCCCTCTTTGCGGTCAATGAAACAGCACGCGAACTCTATCCACTGAACTGCACCAACCCTGCCCGCACGAGAGCTGTGGGTTTCCGTGGCCTGGGACCACGGAAGACGATCCAGGATATCTACGTACACCTCTTAGATCCTCACCGCCTCGCCCCCGAGCCTTTAATTTGACAGGAGCCCTTAAGATCTTGCTCGTCGAGCCGAGCCACTCGGAGCGGGATCCTACAGGGATGACAAAGTTCCTGCAGGCGGCACTAATAACAGCCTGGCTTCGAGTAGTATAAGATTCTGGAGAAGAAGTCTACGTTTGCCATTGCTGCCCAAATCTTGGTTTCCTTGCAATCCTTTTGGCCATGCCCATCCGGTGGCCCACGGTGGCCTCTGATGCCCGCAGTGTTTCCTGCTGCCAGCTCTGAGCCCACGCTTGTTAGAGTGGTTTTTATTCTTGGTACTCTTCGTACATAGCAAGGGTTTCCTGCTTTCTGAAGAATATGTTTTGTTTTTACCACTGATCGTTGAAGCCTGCCTTACCGCCCATCACGCGCCATATCCTTCGAGCCAAGAAGCCGGCAAGCTGCGAATCTCTGGGTTGGCCGTACAATATCGCCAATTTGCGCTCCCAAACTCCGTACTGTTGAGGATCTTCTCGCTCCATAGCTCCGTTTTTCTCCATCGCTTTTACGCTTCTTTGACGTTACAGACCGTTCTGTTCCACCCCACCCCACACTAATCCACCTTGCTGCCTACTCTATTGGGACCCAAAGTCGTTGCCCATACGCAGGGTTTCTGGCCTATACCAAGAGCGCGTATTTTGAAAAGCATACATTTTATACCCCCTCCCCCGCCCTTATCCTTCAAACGGTTTTACACCAGTGTTTTTTCGATGCCTCCATTGTTGCAGCATTTGAATATGACTTACCAAGCAAATTTCGCTCCATTTGGGAGGCATGGCGACGTTAAAGATGCCTCTTTTATTCCAGCACACTGTGATCCAAATCTATTCTCATCACGAAGGTCGGTTCAGTTTTCACCAACTTCTCTTTCTATATCCCGTCTAAACGTTGCTCACGAAAGAAAAACAAGCCCAGGAATAGGCAGAGAAAATGGGATACCTACGCCTTGGGCTACGGCTGAAATCGCGAGAGCATACAATAACAGGTATAATTGTTCTCGAAGCTATTCCATCGTATATGACGCTGAGGCTGTATTAACAACCCAGGATATCGTCCCCACAGAAAGACCAATATTCCCAGAAGCCAGCGGGAACCGCCCCATTTTCTGAACGTCACGATTTACCTGAATCCTGGAACGTCTATGCCAATAGCAGGACATCCCTGTCTCCTTTATCATATGATCAATATTCTTTCCCACCACCTGAACCTATATCACGACCTATCGGGGGACAATTGAAGCAAGTCCCGAGTAATGGTAGCTGGGAAATGCCCGTTCCTAACTCAAATGACAATCATGTCCCCAAAATTCTTCCAGAAGAAGCAAGTTTATTCCCAGAACGGTTGAAGCGCCGGAACACAGATAGTGTACGAAGTACCGCGCGATATCACTCCCAACGCCGCCCAGGGAATCGGGATGAATTTGATGGACCGACCCAGCTGCTAGACATGCCATCTACGTTGAACGTGGAAACCCAAGAAGATGACCTTCCCACTTTGCCCACCACTTTGGATGTACAAGAACAAGACCAAATTCTCAGTGAAGTTAATGATCGTTTGTCCAAGTGTGCATTCGATTTTGTTGCCAAATACCAGTTTCCAATCCCTGTGGAAGCGGATAAAAAGCATGTTAGAGGACCACAAGACCGCGAATGGACCGAATGGGTGTACCTCCTTAAAAGGCTTGCTACCAAACGCCGCATCCCAGCCAGAGTGCTATATAATGGCCAAATCAAGCAGTTTGTAACCGTGCTAGAAAATGCACTGGAGACGCGCCATGTGGCAAAGAACCAGAGTCGCTCTCTCAAAGATGATCGCAACATTCTTCAATTTATATCCGCGGGAACTCAGGTTGCTAAAATCCTCAAGGATGCCCCTGCTATGGAACATTTTGATTGGTTATATGTCCGGACAGAGCAATATATCCATGAGCGGCGGATCCAGCGAAAGAGTTTTGCTTTTGATAACGCCCACTAGGAAAAGAACCTGCGGTTATTGTCACGCAGTACTTGACTTTTCTCGATGGGCTGTTCTTCCCTGTCTTGGAGACAGAAATTCACGGCTTTGTTCTCAAATTTCGCTTATATATAGGTGAGATTCGGCCGCGAGTGCAATCCCCAGAGGTGCCTGGACCTTTCCAAATATGAGAGCCAGCGGACACAGCGCCGAGTGGTAGTGAAATGATTTGGCCGATACATAATACTTTGGCAAAGGATCCATACTCCATCCCGGAAATCAATACCCTTGGAACATGTTTTCTCTCTCTATTTTTGGGACCTTCCAATACTGCCCCATTTCGGAATGAGTATGCTCTATGGCCCTGGCTTTGTTAATTCTCTACTTTGTCATCACCCAGACTTTTTGCTTTGTCATGTTGGTTTTCTTGTTTACGTCTTGCCTGATTTTACCATGGGGTATATGTGTTACGTTTGGGTATTTTTCTGGTGTTTAATCAATCCCGTGGGTCATAAATAGCATGTGTCCTTTTCAAGCGGTCACGGATGATATCTATATACCCCTTTATTTCTAATGTTTGTTGGTTTTACTGGCAGATTTGGCTCCGATATTTGTTTTTTCATCCTTCTATAATATACCCTGCGTGATGCAATTTATTTAGCCAAACTCAATCGGATGGGGTCACGAGTGCTGAACCAAGACGACCTCTAGCACATTACCTTATATACTTTTGAACCCGCATACATTTTATATCCTTTTCACAATCTTCAAGATTTGGAGAAGCAAAAAAGAAGAAAGATCAATGCAACAATTTCTTGACGTTCATGAATGTATGTTAATATTTACTTTGAAGCCATGCTGGCGCTCCAGCCTGCTTCCTCTCTAATTTCTTTTGAGCATTCGGAGCCCCTCATGAATGAGGGACGCTGCTAAAGACCTTAGACGGCGCCATCTCCACATCCAAAGCCCAACCAAACCAACAGCAGAGAAAAATAGGAGAGCAAGAGCCCGGAGAAGTACCTGGCTTTGGCGAGTTGTGGCTCTTTCTACCTCAGAATAGCGCTGGTTGCCAAAACTAACGCGAGCGTATTGCGTGGACCAACCAAGACCCGGCGCATATCTATAGAGGGCTTCCTCTATTGCTTTGCGGATTAGATAGGTGGAGGATTTTACCCCCCACCGCATCTCGATGTAATTGCGCCGAGATAAATCGTTGATTGCATGGGCATCGGGGACGCGTTGACGGGTATATGCGTTTAAGGCTGCTTCACGCGCTTCCTTTATACGAGTGGGATTGTTCATGCACTCAGGGGAATACACACCGTATTCATCAAGAAGCTCAAAGAGGATACGGACGTCCTCAAGCCCTGCGTTTAGTCCCTGGCCGTAAAATGGAAGTACGGCGTGGGAAGCGTCACCTAAGATGACGACGCTCGAGTTGAAATGATGTGGCGAGCACTTGATGCTAATCAGCGGTAGGTGTGGATTATTCATAAACTGTTCTGTAAGAGAATCCAGGGAGATGAGTTCTGGCGAGACGCCTGGAAAATGTGTGTTGAAGAACTGTTGAAGGTTTTCCGGAGATTTCTGCAATGCTGCGTATTGAGCTGACGGTGCAAAGAGCGTACAGGTAAATGATCTATCTGGTGATGGCAAAGCGATAAACATGAATTCACGGCCGGGCCAGATGTGTAAGTGATTCGGAGAGATACGAAAATCATTGTTGTCGGATGCCTTGATTTGAAATTCGCACCATAGAGTATCGACGTATTCTTGCTGATAGTCCATGCGGGTAAATTTCATCAGATGGAATCTTGTGGCGGAATGAGCGCCGTCTGCTCCGATCAAGAAATCAAATGGAACCTCAAGCTCCGGAGCCCTGGTCACATTAATAGACCTGTCATCCTGATTGGAGTCAGCCTTAAATGTTCCCACGGTATCATCTGGATTCCTCCGCTCGAACCACGCCTTGTTAGTTTTGAAGTCGGCTCCTGTTAACTTATGGTTAAAAAAGACCTTGACATTGGGCGTTTTCTCAAGCTCATTCAAGAGAATTGTGTTCAAAGTCCCACGGTCTATCGCATTTATGTGCTATCACACAAATAAGCAAATATGTTTCTATAGGTTCACAGGAGATCTCAGACGTTACTGACTCGACCGTGAATATCATACGCCTGCGCATCCTCCCAGAGCGATCCGTTCTTTGCACGGCCGTGAATCATACGCCCATGCATCGGAATGGCTTCATGGAGAATCTGTTGGACAAACTCTGGGCGGTTGCTGGATTTCATGGAATGGATTCCACGTTCAGAGATTGCCAGATTGATCGACTTTGTAAAATTTAGAGGAACAGTCGAAGGATCGCGAAGATCTACCAACAATCATGAATATTTGCTCGACAACTTCTCAGGAAATGCACGTCATAGTCGGGATTTAGTAGCAGCACGAGCAGACATATCAAACAATGAAAACAATATATCCGGGATGTACGGAGTATGAAGAATTTCCTGATAAATGGGTGTTGCAATCCTGACCAGGCAAAAGTTGTTGCAGATCTGCTTGTGATGCAGCCAAGGACTCAAACGACAAAAGTAGATAAAAAGAAATCCAAAGCAATTATGGCTGCCAGTATCTGGCCACAGGGATTCCATGAAAATAATGCCAATCATACAGGGGAATATCACCAAGAAACGGCGAAAGTACTCCAGTCGCGTGACATACCTCCGCGAAGTTCATAAAGCTCAACATGATCACCTCGCGCGGCAGCATAGAGTGCCGCGAGTGACCCGACTGGTCCTGCACCCACAATAACGACTTTACGCTGCTTGGGACTTCCGGGCATCTCGTGCAAACTGTCTTTTTGCTTGACAATCGTAGAGTTAAAAATTTCCGGCGGGGCATTCTTATTCGGGGGAAAAGTGAAATAGCCGTAGTAGAGCCGCGCGCCAATGTTAGCCAATAAAAGGAGCTTTAACTACCGGCTCCGCGCTTAGCAGTCACATTCTTTTTCCTTGGCTTCCGCTGTGAAGTATTTCGAACCACAAGCGATCGACGTCGGAGCAGAGGCTTCTCGCCCTAAAGAAAGCTTTGATCTCATATCTTCATATGCTATCTTGTTTAACAGCCGCACCCGAAAACATGGAAGTCCTGGACGCGAGTAGGTGCAGGGGGACGGATTGCGGCAATGCCGCAGGAACGTTGCGTTGTCCGACATGCCTGAGTATTGGCATCGAGAGTTTTTTCTGCTCTCAAGCTTGCTTTAAGCGTAGCTGGGTACGCTTCCATACAGTCTCACAAGGTGCTGAGGCCGCCCATCGTACTCCTAGACAAAGCTGATATCCAGGTAGGCCGGACATAAAGCGATCCATAAATCTAAATGTGATTTCTCCTACTCTATCCGTAAGGCGCTCTTATCTGACTTCTGCTAGCTACTTACGATCCTTTTCCCACCTTTCCTTATACTGGCAAGCTTCGACCTGTATACCCTTTATCGCCTCAGAATAAAGTTCCCTCACATATCGTTCAACCTGATTATGCTACCGACGGAATTCCGCGCTCCGAACAGAAAATATTTGGCCGACATAATATTAGAATTCTTACCGAAAAGGAGCAGGAAGGAATGAGAAAAGTTTGCCGCCTGGCACGAGAAGTATTGGATATTGCGGCTCGTGAAATAAAACCTGGAGTGACCACCGACCACATCGATAAAGCCGTCTATCAAGCATCCGTCGAGCGGAATGTGAGCACATATGATGCAGGAACACTACTTCATTTTAAAGCTAATGACATGCTTAGGGTTACCCATCGCCCTTAAATTATATGAACTTTCCAAAATCGGTATGTACGTCCGTCAACGAAGTCATATGCCACGGTATTCCAGATCAGCGCCCCCTTGAGGACGGAGACATTATAAACATCGACATTTCTCTGTACCATGGTGGTTTCCATGCGGATCTTAATGAGACGTACTATGTTGGTGATTCTGCACTAGCAGATCCCGAGACGGTTCGCGTAGTCGAGACAGCCAGAGAGTGTCTCGACAAGTCCATCGAAAACGTGAAGCCGGGGATGCTATTCCGCGAGCCAGGGAATATAATCGAGAAACATGCGAAGAGTCGGAATTGCAGCGTTGTGAGGACTTACTGCGGTCACGGTGTTAACCAGTTGTTCCACACAACCCCGACGATTCCACATTACGCGAAGAGTAAAGCCGTTGGATCGGCGAAGCCAGGGATGTGCTTTACAATTGAACCTATGATTAATCTGGGAACCTATAGAGATAAGACGTGGCCAGATAACTGGACGAGTGTAACAGTGGACGGGAAAAAATCAGCGCAGTTTGAGCATACGCTGCTGGTGACGGAGACCGGCGTTGAGATTCTTACGGCAAGACTGCCGGATTCGCCAGGAGGCCCAGTTCCGATGCCTTCTGGAAGTGAGGAAGCTAAAGCATGATATTTCGCCTACAGTTTTCTATCGGCTTGTGGTTGCATTGCGGCGGGATGTTTGCACCGGAGTTTATCTTGCATTATCTCCGCTCAAAAGCGGCCCCCTATCCATCCGCGCAGCGCTATACGTAGACGTGTAGATATAGAGCCTACTAAACTTCGTAACCAAGTTGATAAGATTTGCACTTTTGAGAGATTTGTTTCTAGCAGGGAAGTCTCCTCTGCACGTGACGAAGCATGTTGACGAGAGGTCCTAGACTCGTATTAATATTGGCCGCTTTCTCACCGGCTGACGGACTACAGCGTCGGTCAAGGTGACGTTTTCAGGCAAAGAGGCGAGAGAAAATCATGCCTGGCATTCGAGGGAATCCATCCTCGTCTGAGACTACTCCACTCCTCGGTTCCGCCAACGATGAAATTCTGGATCATGGTTCATTCACCAGTGAGAGTAGGGCCGATGGCAGAGATGAAGAGGCTCTGAAAGGGGATGAGTCCGGTACCGCTAGAGCCGCGCAATTTGAAGGCATGCCGGATGCTACAAAATGGCTGAAATATATCGTTCCCGCCGTATCAGTTGGGGTTTGTATGGACCTCTCTAGCTACGGAATACGCTGACCGAGGGATTGTAGGTTTTTCTCTCGGCTGCTGATCAAACTATTATTGTCGCATGCTATAGCAAGATTGGAAGCGATTTGAAAGCCCTCAACCTCACTAATTGGGTTGCTACCTCCTATTTCCTGTCCCTAACCTCATTCCAGCCACTCTATGGGCGCTTGAGCGATATATTCGGACGCAAGCCGTGCTTGCTATTTGGCTACACGGTATTTGGGCTTGGTTGTATTTTCTGTGGCCTTGCAAGGGATATCAAGGAATTGATTGCTGCAAGGGTTCGTCTGTACATTTTTACCTGAGTATTCTGAGCACTAAATGATGGTATAGATATTTCAAGGAATTGGAGGGGGAGGGATGACTACCGTCGTAAGCATACTTCTAAGTGATATCGCACCTCTCCGAGATCGTGGCCTCTGGCAAGGCATCATTAACATTGTATATGCGACTGGGTCTGGGTTGGGTGCCCCTTTGGGTACGTCATTTGTGTGCATATCCTACCTACTCGTTCATCTGATTTCTAACACATACTAGGAGGTCTATTGGCAGATTCTATAGGCTGGCGCTGGTGAGTCTTATAAAAATCAATATTAACTGTTTTGTATAGCGTTAATTTTTTGGTTTTTTAGGGCCTTTCTAGCTCAGGGTCCCATATGCCTCGTAGCATTTGTTGCAGTGTTCTTCACCTTACAACTTCCGGCAATTGATGAATCACATTGGCGAGAGAAGCTGAAACGGATTGACTTCCTAGGCGCTACTGTACTCGTCTTTGCCGTTTTCAGCTTTTTGCTCGGCCTAGACCGTGGAACGAATGTGTCGTGGACACTTCCACTAACGATTTTGCCCCTAGTCGTATCGATTTTTCTATTTGCAATATTCATTTGCATTGAGATATGGGTTGCATCTGACCCTTTTGCTCCGGGCCACATTATTTTTGATAGGAGTTTACTCGGTTGCTATTTTGCTAATTTCTTCAGCTTTGGATCTTGGCTTTCCGTTATTTTTTATCTTCCCCTGTTTTTCCAGGCCCATGATGGTGTTTCTGCCACAGTGGCGGGCCTTAGACTATTACCCTCCATTCTAGCTGGCGTTACTGGATCATTATCTGCCGGGGCTATCATGAAGAAAACTGGAAAATACTTTTGGATGACTGTGTGGGCATACACCTTATTGGTGGCTGGCTTGATAGTGGTTTATCTTTCTTCAGGCCCAGTCATTGATGAGACCTATGCAATCATTATTGGAACCATGATGTGTGGCTTTGGAAATGGGATAGGAGTCACAACCACTCTGATCGGTCTAAGTACGCCTCCTGGTTGAAGATGGGATTTATTTTCACTAATACCCGTCGAAGTTGCAAATGCATCCCCTGATGATCGCGCCGTGGCTACAGCGTGCTCCTATTTATTCCGATCTCTAGGCTCTGTGATAGGTGTCTCACTCTCTTCAGGAATTGTGCAGCAAACCCTTCGGACGGGCCTTCGGTCCGCTCTTCGTGAGAGCAAGGATATTGATCAGATTGTCAATGGTGTGCGACAGAGCCTTGATTATTTGAAATTCCTCAGCCCAAATACCAAACAAATTGTACGAGAATGCTACGGACATGCTACCAACAATTCCTTCGGTTTCATGACTGCTGTCGCATGCTTTGCAGTGCTTGGCTCGGCTTTCATTCGTGAACAGAAATTGAGCAGTTAAATCAAAACCACAGTACATAAAAGAAAAGTTATCAGAAGTTTTCCCAAATCAATATATAGCACCTCATAGAGCAAAAGATCTAAAACAATCAATAGACTACGATCATCCTAAAGTTGCATGCATACTCCGTACTTTTTTCCATCGTCTTCCGACAAACCTAGTAGTTACACGTAGGGCTGAATAAAAATATAAATTCGGAGCGGATTAACAATATGCCGTCTCTAAACCAATATCACCTTTAAAGAAGATAAGGATTAAGCTAAGCCACCTGCATGGCAGTCGGCGATTGTGACCATGAAGCGCCGTGAACCTTAGATCCTACTTTTATTCTCATGATGATGCCTTTAAGTAGCTCGTCAACGTCGATATCGCTGAGTCGCTATCGCTCTGCGCTATACATCGCTACTGGGCTCGCCGCCGCATATGCATTTATATTAATCCGCCGACACTTGAATCATCCATCATCCTCTGGTAACACTGGTCTTCAGCGTCAAAATGCAGTTCGCCGCCGTCCCTCTAGGAGATGGGAACGCCCTTTGTCGTGGCCTCACAGCTCGGCTGACGTCTCGATGTCTTTTGAGCCAGTCCAGAAGCTGCGGGAGATGGAGGCGGAAGCAACACCATATGGAATGTTTTTCATCAGTGTAGGAGAGAGCCACACATATCAATGCCCTCTTTTACCCTCAGCATTGCCAAGTATTGAGGAGCTAGAAGAAAGCATGGATGTAGATCCCGACAGGGCAACAAGAGTTCGCGCACTGATAGAAGATGCTTTTCTAGACAGCTTTTTTGCTCTTGAATACCCCAAATCTCATGTTATATTGGAATCAACAGGTGAACGCCAGTATCTTATACAAAGTCTCCTCAACCTTGGCTTTACCAGATCAACAGTCCTTGCAGCAATCGACGGCTTCAACGCTGACCCCAACTTTGGCGAGGGACTACGCGAAAGGAGGCTTCAGGATGGCCGTATGGACATGGCTATTGACGGTAATACTTTAGAACGTCGCCGCAATCAGGAAGCCCAGAGCTTGTTTTCGTGGCGAGAGGCCAATGAAGACACAGTCCAACCTAGAGAAGGCCAAAACCTACTGAACCTGCTTTATCATATTGCAGAAGACCAGGCGAAACGAGACGGATTCATACATCGTGGCATCACCTGCGATGGTTGTGGCGTTGCTCCCATACAAGGCATACGATATCGATGCGCGAATTGCCCCGATTTTGATTTATGTGAAACTTGCGAAGCGATGGACGGACACTTCAAAACGCATGTGTTCTATAAAATCAGAATCCCGGGCCCAGTTATAAGCTACCTTCGTCCTCTTCAGCAGGTGTGGTACCCAGGTAACCCTTCGATGGCCAAGGACACTTTATCTCGGTCACTTGTAAGACGACTTGCGGCAGAAACAGGCTTCGAAAACACAGAGGTAGATGCTTTCTGGGAGCAGTTTAAATGCCTCGCCTCTTCAAACTGGCAGACTGATCCAAATAAGTTGAAAGTAGCTATCGATCGTAGGACTTTCAATCAGTGTTTTATTCCAAGCGCCAGCGCCGCAGGTCCATCCCCTAATCTGCTATATGATCGAATGTTCTCCTTCTATGATAGCAATGGCGATAACCTGATAGGGTTTGAAGAGTTTGTCAAGGGCATAGCTAGTCTATGTAGCGGAAACTCCCATGAAAGATTGAGACGTACGTTCCTTGGTTATGACATCGATGGGGATGGCTACGTCGAGAGAAAAGACTTTCTCAGGATATTTAGGGCCTACTATTCTTACTCCAAGGAGCTTTCAAAAGACACGGTTGTTGGCCTGGGTGATGCCTTTTTTGGAGAAACTGCTCGTCATGTGGTTCTCGGTAATCAATCTATCAGTGCTGCATTCCATGACGACTTACCCGAGGGCGAGACGTCCAGAAATATTCAGGGCAAGCGACGGAACGTGTATGGTGATGATGAAATTGACGATAATCAAGGTGCCATACGAGATGAGGACGAGCGCATCTGCCAAAGAGAGGAAATCATTGGAGACGCTATGATAAGGGAGACATTTGGTACATCTCGACCGTCGATACCACTCTCGCATAGTCCAAACGAGCAACCGCAAGACTCAGATGACAGCGAGCACGAAGATGAAGAGGATTACCTATCACTCCTAAATGGGAACCGGATGGCCACTGAAAATGTGACTTCTCAGGATATAATCAGTGCCTTGGGCGCCTATATTCCATTTGATGAAGTAACCGATCGCGTTGACAGGGCGCGTATATTAACATGCGTTTCTGAACGGCGTGATTTAGAGAGAATTAATCGGATAAGGCGTAACGGCATCGAAGAAAGATGGGAACGAAGGCAGTTCTATACAGACGAAGAGGAGGGTGCTGCTCCGCCGGCGCATCTCGATGAAGAAGACAAGGAGTCTGAGGACATCGAGCCAGAAGACCACGTTACGTCTAACAGATCCAGGTCATCATCAAAGGTCCGCTTTCAGGATGATGTAACAGATAATGAATATGAAACCCGATCTAACCTGTCGACATCATCACGCAGTATCCCTGTTGGCGAAAGATGGGGCGGATTTGAGATACCTGAGCCCGAAAAGGATGTGGGGAAGGAAATTCTCTATCAAGTCACACAGCAAGGCTTAAACGAATTACTCGACATGCTTTTTAGGCAGAAAGAAGATTTACTGATGGAAGCTCACCGCACGCGTGTGGACCGGCAAAAGTGGGCCAGAGAAATCGATCACTTCGCAATGTCATATTTTGGTCCTGCAGCAGTCTACGAAAATAAAACCGAGCCAAGGTCAATTTTTGACGACGGAGGATACTTGACATACATTCCGAGAGAACAATCTCTTGAACAGCTTTTGGGTGAATCGGGATATTCTTATGATGCACCTGAACCAATCTCGAGTGGAAGAGATAAATCTCTTCAGCAATTTCTGGATGAGTTAGAATATCCCTCGGTGTTCCTGCCAATTTCTTTCCAAAGGCAAAAATCTCTCCAGCAGCTCTTGGACGAATCTTGCTATTCCCTTGTGCCATCACCGGACCAGACGCCTCCAGACAGTCGTCCAGGTGCTTATAACACATCGCCATCACATCATGCCAACGAAACACCTCCACCACATCCAGCCTCCTGTTCCATATCACCATCACCCCAAACCTTAATGCGTTGGTGCCTTTTAAATACCGTTGAGAGGGAGGCTAAGGCACGCGGTGGCTCGGGAGCAAGGTTGAATTTTGAGGAGTTCTCGGAGCGGATGCGGGATTCCCGAGGAAGACTGGCGTTTGTGAGCAGCTGGGTTGATGGGGCCAGATTTTGAGCGCGATCATGCGACGTCTCTTCTTTACTTTGTCGATATTAGCAACTGGAGGCATCTTCAAAAGAAAATCATCATCACAGATTAATAGGATAGTGACTGGAGTTGAAAGAATTTAATGTGTATAATATTTCGATAAAAGGATAAGTTGAGCTTGCTCACCACTCCGCCCTTGGTCGTAGGTATGTACCTAGCGGCCCTAGTAAAACTATCGATATGAAAGACATAGCTCTGTGCCTTATAATGAAAGCCGATTAACTAATTACGCAGAGTCTGTGTTACAACTGTATAGGGCTAGGTGAGCCCTAATTAACGCCATGTTAAACCTGATTGCTCCTTAGAGTAAGAATAGTAGGTCCTGAATATCCAGTGTAATAGTATTCTTATACTTATAGTATGCTTTTCTCACTGACCACTGCCGCGTTAACGCTTCAGAAATTAAAAACAAAAAAGGTAATTGCACACATACAATATATAGTATCAAAAGACCCAGTTCTACCATCCCATAACTCAAAACGCCAGTCATTCATTTTCCCATCAAGTATCGATCCATGTGTGATCTAATCCCAGTATTTAATAACACCTTCCAGCCCAGCGGTCGCAACTTTGCTGGTCTCCTGCGGATGCCAGTCCACGCATGTGATTGCTGAACCTTCTTTCCCACCGGCCTGGATCTTATGCCACATTTTGCCCGTCTTCCAGTCCCAGAAGCACACGTAGCCTCCACTGTCTCCGGATGTGACGAACTGGCCGTCAGGGCTGATTGAAACGTCGATTGCATATCCTGCATTGTTATGGCCACGGAAGTTCTTTTTCCGATTCTGCCGAAACTTGTCTGTCGATGCATACACAACAATTTGATTGTCTCCAGACTGGAAAGCAACGTATTTACCATTGGGGTGGGGAGCAGCACGAACAAGGGCATATAGATAGGGTTCCGCAATGAATTTAATTGGAACGGGAATGTTATACTCCCATGCTCGCAGGGATTTATCGTCAGATGTGGATATGAAGCGGCGATTGTTGTCAACAAATGTGAGAGTGTTCACAGCAGCAAGGTGGTGATCATATTCTTGCGTGATCTCCCCTGTCCGGGTATCAAATTGCACGATTTTCTTATCGGACATACCAGCAATGAATTCATGCGAGTGGCTTGGATCTGGATTGAATCGAATGACATGAGGTATTTTTCCAGTCGAGAAGCGCGAAATACATTTTCCATATTCTGTATCCCAAAGTTTAATCTGACGATCATAGGACGCTGATAGAAATGTCTTCCCTGTTGGATGGAAAGTGGTATCAGATACGGAACTTGAATGTCCTGAGTATGTTCGCAAGAGTTCCCGTGAGTGGTAGGCGTCCCATATCTTGATCTTTGAATCAGCCGAAGACGAAAGCAAAAGATGTCCAGATGACGGAAAGAAGCGTATAGAGGTAATTGGTTTCGTATGTGATTTCCAGGTATGTATAAGTTTCTTGGGAATATAGTTCTTGAAAGTCCCTGGATCCTTCGTAAGGTCGACATCCAAGTCTTGTGGGACGTGCATATACGTTCGTCCTTGGTAGTCGAATTGTTCTGAGCCATGAAATTCCGTCGTTTCGGCTTGCGACCTGTCTTCCTCGTACGCAGTTGCGCTCTTGTCCATCGCAAGCATATTCGACGGTACGATAGCTTCTTCGACGTATTCTTCGTCGCTAGCGAGCTCTTCGCCAGCTAACGCCAGATCGTTTTCATACACCTGGCCCTGGTTTTCGTATTTGGCCCACGGCCCTAAATATGCACCATCTCCCTCGACAATACTCGAATCACCCTTCTTCTGTCGTTTTCTCCTCAAGGCGGCACTCACTTCTTTCGATGGTCGCATTTGTACCACGTCCCGGCCCCCAAACCGCGCCGCGTTTTCTAAATCACCAACATAGGCACCAGCGACACTCGGGTCTCTAGTATAACCTAAGCTTTGAAACGTACGATGTTGCGCCGTAAAAGTGGCATCGCTTATCATCGCCTCTTCTGCATGCCCGGTTAGTACGTTCTTCCTCTTTACACCATGGCTAGAACGAAATGGGTTTGCAGGGCCGGCTGCTGGTCGAGTTAGTTCGTCGTAGGCCACATTATATGTTAGCGCATTATTTGAGGAACTGGTTAATGCCAGTTGCAACTGAGTGTTCTATAGGCCAGAATGTTAGAACGTATGTTGAAGAGGGCAGCATTTTGGGAACCAAACCTCTATTGGCACATCAGGAGCCGCAATAACGGGTGTGGCTGTGGAATTTCCCGGGGCCGTCTTTGAATCTTCATCACTTGAAGAATCGTAGTTAGCACCCAGAAGCGAAGCCATGTTTCATGAAGCTGTGCTGCTGAGAACTTTCTCCATCAGACTTCCACTGATACATTCAACTAGTTAACTAGGTAGCCAAGCTTACTAAGCCGAATAATGTTTGTTGTGTTTGCACTTTATTCCGCAGACCGCAGCAACTTGAAAAGGAATCGCATTCTTGCAACACAACATTTCCTGCCAATATCGTATAGAATGCTTCGATATTATTAGAGCTAGGAAGAGTACTAGAGTTAAAGGCCAGTAACATCAAACCTGGAACACCGAACGGAGACATCGGTATTCGATTATCATTACACACGCATTCCGGCATAACATCATATATAGGCAGCCATACAGCTAAAAGAGATAAGGAAATTACTCCGTAGCAGATACAGTCCCAGTATTTGGGTTGCAATGCAAAGACAATGAATACACCGGCTAGAACCATAGTTCGAATACCCCCGAGGGTCGCCAACTTCAAACAAGAAAAGTAGATAAACCAGTAAATTATGTAAACTGAGTATTTTAGGGCTCGGATTCGTAGTTCAAGAGTTGAGTTTAGGGCCGATTCTAGAAATAAGGCCCGCTCCGGGGGGCCAAACATGTTTGTCGAAAGGCAGGCTGGGGTGTACTTGTAGGCGGAGCGTGGGGGTAGCGGAGGAAAGGTAGGATGTTCAGTACGTGCAGGTTCAGGACACGGCGGGTTTTCCATGCTTCATTGCATACATAGCTTTCTCTTGCAGTCAATGGGATTCGTCGCGAATGAGGGCCACGATCATGCTGTATAGATAGAAAAAGAACATAACGAGGTGAAATCCGAGCTTGATAAAGGATTCCTGAGAGATGTATTAGTTAATGAGACATCTATCGACAACATATATCTTTATCGGCTACCTTCTTGTGGACATTTAATTTCCGGAAAATTTCGGTAGCATCCAAAAGATGCTGGTTTTCGAAGATTCTACCAGAGGCCCAACTATCAGTAAGGATTGTGAAAACTGGATGTCGAGTACGACGTACTTTTTCGCGTTAAAAGCCAGAAGAGGCAAGTTGAGAAGAATAGTCAACCAGTATCCGTTTACAACAAAAAGGATCGTTAGGAATGCATGTACGGCGGCTTCAGGGACAATATATGCGTTGAGTCGGTTGCAGAGATCAATAGGATTGATATAATCACTATTTTCAGAGCAAAAGTTAGCTGAAAAGTGTAGTAGCGCGGGAGGGGTGATAAGTGCAAAATTTTCAAGATTTAGACGAAGGACGGTGTGTTGATCCTGAAGCTGCAAAATACTGGAAAAAGCTCTAGATAGACATGAAGGACACTTACCACTCCAAATCGCTATACATTATCGTAAAGAACACTTGTAGAAATAGGTTGACGGCATTTATTAAAACCGCAAGCAGGTATAACCAGGCCTCTCCAGACATTGTGGAAAACTGTCACTGCAACCACTCCTCTAAAATCACAGAAATCCAGCAAAGAAAATATATTAGACAACCACGTAGCTAACCAGGAAAGTGACGGAAGTTGGTAAGTCGGGTCGGAGCTTGGGGAGGTTGGGGAGTGGTAAGGCAGCAAAGGCGCGGAAGTGGAATAGCGGGAGAAAAAAGGACTTGGGAGAAAAGGAAGTAGAGATAAAAAACCACAGTTTCCGGAGGCAGGAAACGAGATCGAGTAGAAATCCGTGCGGAGGCGGTTGAGTTGTTTGACCAGCGAAGATGTTGTTTGTTGGTGGGCGAAGAGAGGCGAAGCTAAAGCGGCGCTAAAACATGGGTCATCGCTTCGTCGGAAGCTCGAAAGACGAGCGCAAGAGGAGAAGAACAGAGCAGAACGGCGAGCAGCGGCTGGCGGGCAGGGCTTTCAACGACGTACGGGCCGCGAAGGGCCTTGCGAGACCCCAGTGGCAGCTCGATTGGCCGGCCAGGCTCTGTATATGCGGATGGTCTCTCCCATCCCAATCTACACCCGACCAACCCAGGACAGAGGAACACTGGCAAAGGGCCGTAACTCTTGAATCGCCACTATGCCGACTATATAGCGTGCAACGTCTTACTCGGGCATTAAACGCCGCTCTTTATCCATGATGGCGCTGACTCAACTGCTGCCCTGCTGGATTGCCCGCTGCGGAGCTCCGGGGTGCTCTGGGGGTCGTGAATCGTGATGGACATGGCTTCTGGCTGAATGACATCCCATGCGATGCCCATCAGCACAAGAATGCTCGCACTTCGCCAATTGGGACGGCTGATCGGCGTGCGCATCGCAAGGGGCTTCGAAGCTATTGTCGCGAGGCCGCTGGATGCCGTTCCCCCTCGATGCTTCAGCCCCGTTCGCCCCTCCCGGCCCGTCCACTCGCGCTGCACGCCCGGCGCTGTTGCTGATGTCCAACCTTGTAGAGCTCTGGAGCATCACGGACGGACCAGCGAAGGTTCAAACACGCTTCGTATTGACTCGAAACCCAAGACATCCTTGGCCCGCAACGCACAACATTGTTTTTTCTGTGAAATTCGGGTGCCTAGAGCCGACTGCGGCTTGAGAAGTGCGAACTCCTCGCTAACTACATGACAGACCAGGTGCGATCAGGCCTCTCCCACCTTGAGATCGCATTCCTCCAGCATTGCTGGCGCCGCACATGCGAAATCCTCCCGACTGTTAGCTGCATCGACGGACTCCGCCGCCAAGCATGACCTCTGCACAGTACCACGATGACGACGTGCCGCTCCTCGTCGACGCGGACCCGTCCACCCCGATCACCGAGCAGTCCGGTCGTCCTGCTTCAGTGGCCCGTGGCAAGCGGACCGGGAGACACAATCCCACCGTTTTTGTTCTGATTTGCGTGCTGGCGGTGTTCACCCTCGATTTCGGCGCTTACCTGAATATCGCCCCTCAAACCCGGATCTATGAGGATATTGTGTGTAGGAATTACTATGATAAACATGAGCCTGGCCGGTTTCCCTCTGGCACGGTTCCGGAAGAGCAATGCAAGATCAAACCTGTACAAGGAGAAGTTGCCTTTGTCCAGGGCCTCATGTCGAGCTTTGATGCTATCCCCAGTACGTGTTGCGATAGCTATTACTTCCGCCTTCGAGAAGACCCATGCTGTAGATCGCTGCTTGGCTTCATGACTCAAGATGCATCCATTCTTGCATGCTGACTCTGGCGCCAGGCATTATACTCCTGATCCCATATGGACGCTTGGCAGATAATCCTAAGTTTGGCCGGAAAACAGTACTGCTGATGAGCATGCTCGGCCTCTTGTTGAACTTCTATTGGACTGTGTTTGTTTGCATTGCTTCTCGCGTATTACCCCTGCGGGCAATATGGTTTGGGTCGATGTTCAACTTCATCGGAGGTGGATTGGGGGTGACCAACGCCATGATGATGACGATGATTACCGATGTCGTTGACCCAGACAATCGGTGTGTGGTCGGACCCTTAGAACTATATTTTGCTTAGCCGTCGACTGACTTTAGTCATAGCGCTGGCGCCTTCTTTAAGACTACACTGGCAGTAGTTGTCGCCCAGCTCATCGCCCCATCGGTTGCATCAGGCCTGATGACTACCAAGGGCCCCTGGTTTCCCTTTTTGGTGGGAACAGTCCTCATTACCTGCTGCATGCCATTCCTTTTCACTCTGCCGGAAACAATCCAGTTACAGCCTCTGCAGACCGAGGAAAATCGGATGTCAATGGACACTGAAAATAGCCCTATAGACGAAGAACTATGGCCAACTAACACCTCCAGTTTCAAAAAGCTCTTTCAACGCGCTTGGAACTCTTCCAAGTTCATCTTCCAGAGCCGCATCATTGTCATTGTTCTCTCAGCATTCTTCCTCTCCGTCATCGGCCGCAAGCAGATCGACATCCTTCTCCTTTACGTTTCCACCAAGTATTCAATCCGTCTATCTGACGCTGCATTTGTGCATTCCGTTTTTGCAGCCTCCAACATCGCTCTTCTCCTTCTCATTCTTCCCGTTGCATCGAAGTATCTCACAAAAACTCTGCGTTTCTCCACCAACGCGAAAGATCTCTATCTCTCCAAAATGAGCGTAATCTTACTCACCATAGGCTGTTTCGCTCTTGGACTCTCCCCCAGCATCGCAACCATGATAATCGGACTTATAATCTACACCCTTGGATGCGGTTTTATCCCTTTATGTCTCAGCTTAATATCGACCCTTGTCGAGCCTCATCATGCAGCACGGCTGTATTCAATAGTCAGTCTGATCTCGATGGCGGGCGCTCTAGTTGGAGGTCCAGTATTGGCTGCTTTGTTCAATTGGGGGCTAAGTATTGGCCCAAAATGGACGGGACTGCCGTTCTTGGGAACTGGAATTCTTCACGTTTTCGTTGCCATTGCCATTAATTCCATTCGGCTACCACAATCTCCGCCATTTCCTGAGGAGGAGCGGGAGCAAGAATCCACTTAGAGGACATGGTTCTACTTCAGTATAGAATATAAACAGTTTGCTTACATCTCGGGTATCTTCTTTGTTTATTGATTCGAGATACAAAACCGATATATGTCTTTTTTTGCTATCTTTTCGGTATATATTCCAAGCATTATATTCTTTTTTTTTGCGGCACCTATTACATAGCTAGTATTCCCATAGAATATTTGAAGCAATTTCACAGCAAAGGCTGATGCGTTTCTAGATATGAATTTCCAGCAAAATACATTGGCTGAGGAAATTGCTAGAGCATTTGGGAAAATAGACGGCATTTGAATAATGTTTTTTCATCTATATATCTATAGACGCGATGGCTAGAGGTTCAGTGTATACAGTGCAGAAAGCCAGTCAAAATGAGAAAGTACTAAACTCCAACTAATGTTCAGTGTAGTCAAACTTGCTCAGGACTAATAAAAAAAAACAAATGAGTAAGACAGGAAATATGTGGAGAGTCAAGATGAATGGATAATGAAATCCATTAGAGTGGAAAGAACAAGGTTGGGGTAGAAAATAGACTGATAGAAATGTTCCAAGCTGTGGCCCATGCAAAAATATTCTCTGGTGTTTATAGTGTTGATGCATGTATTATAAAATATGAGAGGTAATCATCTCTTTTCAATAAGTAAGAAGTGCATGGCCCCGTACGCGATGATAATAAAAGCGGCTGAAATTATAGCCAGTCCAGTTACATCACCCCATAACGCTAGCGTATCAAAGCCAAATGCGCTAAGAATAGATGCTCCAGGCACCTCGATGTCAAGGCCATATTTATGGTCTATTAGAGTGAGGTACGTCACTTCATTAACGATCAAGGCTTCGAAGCCGTAGTGGAAAATAGATAACTATTTCAAATATAAGCCAGAGATTTAGTTGTTGATGGAAAAAATGAAAACTCACACTTTGCAGCCACAATGCCGATTTAGGGATTGCATCATGATTGAGCAGTAGTCCAGCAAATAGAAGACTGAATAGCATGACTAAACTTCCAATCAAGTTTGCTACGCCTCCATCGCGAAAGACAATTCCAATAAACAGGCAAATGCCTGCGGCTGCTAAATTGAACAAAACCAGAATCAAGATAAACTTGAAGAATTCTGGCCAATCGGCTATCAGTCCAACCATGGGGTAGACTATCACACCCATTATTATTGGAGGAATCAATCGTAACGGAATAATATCGAATAGTACTTTCGCGGCGAAGTAGGTGACAGGAGAATAGTAACCGTTGGCTCGCTCTCTCATAAATAGCAGGCGCTCAGAGGAGAAAACCGTTAAGCTGGTGAGGGTGCTGAAGCCAAATAGAGCTAAGAGAAAGAAGAATAAACCCAGTCGATTTTGGAAACCTTTTATATCATCTGTGAGTCCGTAGAATAGATATCCTGATAGGACAGCAAGCAATATAGCAATAGCATAATGCGTGAGCATGAGCATGGGGTTGCGATATAGATTCTTCCATGTACGCCTCGAAAGAATGATAAACTGGCGGAACAAACCAACTCGTGTGTACCCACTCATGTGGTTTCCGGATCCGTTGAGGCCTTGTTGTGCGGCGGGATCAGAGTTTCCATTTGCAAGTCGAGCCCGTTCCACCTCGGAAGCAATTTCATCCCCAATTGAGGTTGCGACACCGGACGATGCATAATTCGAGATGATAATGTCAAGGTCAGTAATATATCCAGCAGCGATGGGGGGAAGATGGTCAGGGTCGTCGAGAACCTGTGGAGGCACATTGTTCTGTTGGCGAGCGAGCTGAACCCACTGCTGCGTACTGTTGTTCAAGTTCCCAATTGCGATTTCTTCCTCATCCGTTCGCGACGCAGCAGGTGATTCTATACCAGATGTTTTCTTTCGAGTATAGAGCTGTCTCTCTTGCCGTTGCCTAAGCGACTGCCGACGTTTTGCTTTTGGTGCGGCAGAGTCATGGGCGTTTTCAATGATGCTATTGTCGAGGCTTGCGTTTGAAACACTGGCAACTGACTTTACTGCACGTAAGCTACTTGATGGCGTCCTGAAATTATCCGTTGGAGCATCAACGTTGATGGTTGGCTCTTCGTGTGAACGTGTGGAGCTAGCATGCATGGTAAGGTCCACTAAGTAATCTGCAATATTGAATCCGGGTGGGCAAGCGTAGCCGATATGGTCGAAATACGGCTGGCAGCCTTGAAAAGAGCCCGAATATACAGTTTTCCCTTTCGCTAGTAGAATCAATTGATCGAAGAGGGCGACGATATTGGATCTAGGTTGATGTATAGTAAAGATAACGGTTCGGTTATAAGTCTTTGCAAGATTTACGAGGCATTCGATAACGTTGAATGCATTGAATGCGTCCTATATCCTGTCAGATAGGATACGATAATTCATCGGGACGACCAATACTTACTAGGCCGCTAGTGGGCTCGTCGAGAAACAGAATGCTGGGACTAGTAACCAGTTCGCATGCAATACTGACTCGTTTCTTTTCTCCGCCAGATATGCCACGTCCTTTGCCTTCCGCAGAGCCAATAATTTGGTCTTTAATATGGTAGATGCCCAGCTGTTTCTCTACTTCAAATACTCTTTGCTCTTTCACAACGTTGTTCATATCCCTTGGGAGCCTCAAAAGGGCACTGGTCAAAATAGTTTCGTGCACAGTAAGGGTCGGCAGCATCGTATCTTCTTGGTCAACGAAACCCACAACATTGCGGTACTCGTCATCAGCCACAGTTTCTCCATTTACGTAGAAGTCTCCTTTGACAGCGCCACGCTTGTTCTTTCTTGCCAGAATATCAAGAAAAGTCGTCTTTCCCGCCCCAGAAGCGCCCATAATGGCGGTTACTTGCCCAGGGCGAGCGATGCCTTTGATACCGGAAAGAATTTGCTTGCCGTTAAGATAATAAGAGACGTTCTCAAATTGCAAGGCAGCAGGCTTGTGATCAGTCATTAGCTTCCCATTTTCATCGTCCGAGTCATCCGTTAGTTGTATAGCGGAGTACATGTGGTAACTGGTCCTCCTGGAGAGATACCAAATAAGTAGGATAACTGCGACAATAAACAAGGCGCAGCCAGCAATTACACCGGCAATCAAAGGTGTGTTGATCGCTTTGACGGGGGTCTTGTAGCCCGGTACGTCGGTCTTGTACAGACACTCTCCGGCATGGCATTGGAGGAAAATACTCGGATCACCAAAAACGCTTTTTATCAGGTTATCCATAGCAGGTTCCTGGAATGTGCTGCCGTCTTTATCGCTTCCACCTCGAGTTGAGAGTGAGGAAAAGGTAGCAGGGCCTTTAATCTCTTCTTTGAGAAAGTCTCCTATATCAATGGAGCCATCCTCGCCACAAAGCATTCGTCCAGGAATGCATCGACATTTAACATGGTCGCACTTGTAAGTTGTTGAATTTTGGTCATATTGAACATCCATATTCCAACCGCACGTATCCAACGAGCAATAGAAGGACTCTTTCTGGTCAACCCAAACTGGTAAAGGCAGGATATTAGCCATAGGTAAAATGGAAGCCCATCCGGAGTGAACTCACATTGAAAGTTACAGGTGTGGTCATCGGCCTTGCAGGAAAACGTAACTTGTGGTTTCCTTTCCTTGAGCTGGTCGAGGATCTTTCGGTTTGTCACATCGCACATCTGATAATTCTCCTTCACCGCCAAAGGCTGCTTGTAGCACACACCACCTTCGCCCTCTGGCATCATAATGTTGCAGACGTCATCTCTTTCGCAGACATTGCAATTGATGCCTGACCAACCATCTTTACATTTACAGTATTTTTCCTGCCGCGGTGTTCTGTTCCTACCATCAGGCAAAGAGCCACATAGGGGTTCGGCACAATCGTCCCCACCAAATCCAGATGGACATGAGCACTTTCCGTTATATTTATTACACTCGGCGAACTGGTGGCATTGAAACGCATCGAGTTGGCAGTTGAAACAGGGTGGACAATTTGGAGGCCTATCGTCTTGTATCTGGAAACGTGGGGAGATAAGGCTCGATGCAGTGTAATTGTCATATGCGAAAACACGCCATCGTGACGGAGTAGCGGAAAGGAGAGCGAGGAGGTAAACGGCGTGGGGGAGCCGCATCGAGTCTGTAGAGAGACTACGGAACAAACGTCCGAAGTATCAAAGGCAGAGAAGAATCTATATGAGATGAGTAAAATATAGATAGATTGTAGAAAACATAGGGCGCCGCCGATCTGTGAGAGCGTCAATCAGCATGTGCATTCCGCTGGTGGAATTCCATCAATGAAATGCAAGACTTGGGTTCGGCAACCTATGCACGGGAAGGAAATAAGATGTAAAGGAGAGGCTTCTGTAGGGGACTAAGAACAAACTCACCGTCCTGGATCGATAGGGAGCCACCAGTTGCGGACGTGGTTGGTTGGACCTGTTGGTGGTGAGGAGTGGTTGGGGGAATTACGTCGTTGCGGGAGCCATGGAGAAGCTCTGAAACTAACTAACGGGTAGTTAGTTCGGGGACAGTCAGCCGCCCAAAGCGCATGGCTAAGAAACTCGAGATTTTGCACGCACGCAAGCTAAAGACGGATAGCGATCCCTCTTCTCCAGCTCCGTTTTACTGGACAACCCACGCATCCAACTCGAGCTGCTGCCGCGATCGCCCTCATCACAACGGCTGTTCGCGACTAGGCTACCCAGATTCTACACCCGCCTCATTACATAAACTATTCGCGGTCTCGTGGCCCAATGGTAGGGCGTCGGTTTTCGGCACCGAAGGTTGCGCGTTCGAGTCGCGTCGAGATCGGACGAACACCGTCTTTTTGCTGCCGGCATGCCGATCACAAGCAGCCGAGCCAGACCCACACGAGACACGTCCAGCATACATCCCCTCCCCCGCGCCCTTTGACGCCGGGAGCTGCCGAGCAACAGCCCATGTGAAGAAGTACCTGTTTGTTGAACAGACAGCGCGTGCTCAACAGTGCTATTGCTCGCTCTTCAGCAAAATGGTCAACATCGATTTTTTCGCGGCTCAGCGGGTGAGTACTGCCCAATCACTGCTTCAATGCCCCGCTGAAGAAATACCCGGTCCGTACTCCGTACATGGTGGGCTAATTGTATTTCCAGTGGATCAACACCGAGTCAAAGGGCATCAAGTACGACCTGTCGACGTCTTGCGCCGCGCCCATCTCAATCACTGAACTCTCATCGCTCTCCGAGAATAAGTCAGAGGGAAATGGCCCTCTCTCCTCATCGCTGCTCTCCACGCCTTTGGGATATGGCGCGCACTTTGAGGGCTCAGAGCAGCTTCGAAACACTCTTGCAGGCCTCTACTCCGTGAAAAGCACCACCCCACTATCCATTGATAATGTATTGATCACACCTGGTTCGTCTTTAGCAAATCTCTTGGTATTCCAGGCACTATGCAGCCCTGGTGACCATGTCATTGTTCAGTACCCTACATATCAGCAATTGTACTCTTTGCCAAAGTCAATTGGAATTGATGTCAGTCTTTGGGAAAGCAAAGAGCATGACAAATGGCAATTGGACCTAGAAGAGCTGAAAGGCCTCATCCAACCAAATACCAAGATGATTGTGATAACGCAAGTATTCTGTATAGCCCGTTCAAAAATGACTTGGACACATTAGCACTGACAATATTCCCTCATTCAGTAACCCCGCAAACCCAACGGGCACCGTGATTCTACGGTCTCAGCTAGAAGCTATCATGGAGATTGCCAAGCAGCACTCTCTCATCGTGCTTTCGGATGAGATATATCGGCCTCTTTTTCATTCCATCTCGCCTATGGACGACGAGTTTCCTCCGTCTGTCCTCTCACTTGGGTATGATAATGTGTTAGTATCCGGCTCCCTGTCTAAATGCTATTCGCTCCCTGGAATCCGCGTCGGCTGGCTCGCGTCACGGAACAAAAACTACGTAGCAAGTTGTCTTAATTACCGCTCATATTCCACAATCGCCATGAGCAGCTTGGATGAAGCTGTTGCAACTTTCGCGCTAGACGGCAGTTGCCTGCACGGTCTACTCCGACGGAACATAGACCTGGCCAAGCGCAACCTTGCGACTCTAGAATCATTCATTGAGCGACACCGTTGGGGTTGCGACTGGGTGCGACCAGTCGCAGGAACAATTGCGTTTGTCAAGTTTCACAAAATGGGCAAGCCGGTAGACGATGTGGAATTCTGTAAGCAGCTGCGGGAGAAGAAAGCAGTCTTGCTGCTTCCAGGGAGTTATGCATTCGGGGATGGCGAGAATTTCAAGGGGTATGTCCGGATGGGGTATGGAATGAGCGTAGAGAATATGGAGACTGGCCTCAAAGCACTCGGGGAGTTTATGGAGGATGGCTTTGAGGATGTACCGCTAGCAGGCAAGAAGCTGCCAATACGATGATTTGTCTCGTCGCCTGGCTTGTTGCACATGACATGCCTGCGACCTTGTACCCCGTATGTAAATTCGCGCTTATCACCTGAAACAAAAGCTGAACCCTCGGCATGAATGCGTCAAAGAAAACCAGACACTTTGCATGATCTACGAAGTAGGCATCGCAACAGACATCAAAGACACTGCCGCGGTCTCACCTCACTTTCTTTGAAGAAGCCATGGCCCGCATTTGGTGACACAATAACGTCTTTCATCCATTGTCGCGCAACCGAAAAGCCGGGGGGTGTGCCTTTATAACGACAGGGTTCACGCACACCGTGCTTCCCAACACCGCGGCACGGCAACATGAGAATCCCCGCAAAGCGAGCGCGAATGCCAAAGGCTTTGACGACGAGAGCGAGGCGATGGTAGGGCAGATCATTGGCTGGATCTCAGCGCTTGGCTGGGCGGAGGTTCACAGGCGCGCCTTGGGGTCTGAAATCCTGTGATGGGAGTCGCAGCCGAGGTTGGGGACTGTGAAATAACCTTGAAGCCAGCATGGCTTGGAAGCGGACGAGGAGCGATAATAACTGTGTTCCACCCCCGGCCCGCTTGAATTGGGGACTGGATGTCAGAAGTTCAGTCTGGACTGAATCTCCCGGCTGGTCTTGTTGTGTGTAACCCGATTGTTCTTCCTGTTGTCGTCATTTGCCGCTGGTCTTGGGACTCGCGCCAGCAGCTTCAACGCAGTTCAACACCAACATCACCACCATGTTGCCTGGTCAGTCTGTGTGTCTCCTTCGTTTTCGGGCGGGGCCTACTGACATTGATGCGATTCTATAGGTGCAGACGCAATCTCGTCGCTGCCGCTCTCCGTGACGGTGCCGGCTGCCACAACTCTCGCGGCATATCTCAATGCGCGATTCTCCTTTTTCTACGATGTCAAACTCGTCAGCTCTATCGCCAGGGCCGTGTTCCGCCGTAATTTCTGGTCATGGAAAGGTCGTGCCAATCTCTTCTACAATCTTGAAGGCCATGCGTTGGATTCCAAGATGGGCTCTCAGCCGTTTTTGGTATATCAGGGCAAGACATGGACGTTTCAGGAGACGTATCAGACTGTCCTACGATACGGAAACTGGCTGAAGAAGACGCATAATGTTAGGCCTGGCGATGTAATAGCGCTAGATTTTATGAACTGCCCAGCATTCTTGTTTATGTGGATGGGTCTTTGGAGCATTGGTGCCATCCCTTCCATGATCAACTACAATTTGACAAAAGCACCTCTCGAGCATTGCGTCAGAATATGTGATGCAAAGCTTCTTATTGTCGAGGGCGACTTGCGCTCACAGTTCCCCCCAGAGCAAGTGGCCGTGTTCAATACCCCTGGTTTCAAGAGAGACGGCGGCTCTATCGAAGTTATATTTCATGACAGTGAACTGGAATCTCAAATATTGACTACCGATGCCGTGCGGCCTCCTGACTCGGACCGTGGGAACCAAGAACTCACATCAACTTGCATGTTCATCTACACCAGCGGAACTACTGGTCTTCCCAAAGCAGCTATTATCACGTGGAGTAAGGCTATCACCGGCGCAACTTTTATGCATGAAGCGATGGATCTCCGACAAACGGATCGTGTATACACTGTATGTGCTACTCTTTTTCGCCAAACGACCTGGGCTGTGCTAACGAGGTATTAGTGTATGCCACTGTACCATTCTACTGCAGGTATTCTTGGGTTTGGGTGCTGCCTGCTCAACGGCACAAGTCTCGCCATTGGCCGGAAATTCTCAGCAAGGAATTTCTGGAATGAGGTCAATGAGAGCGAAGCCACCGTTGTACAGTATGTCGGAGAAACCCTCCGATATCTGCTCGCGACGCCTCCGAGAATCGATCCAGTTACAGGCGAGGACTTGGACAAGAAACATAAAGTTAGAATGGCCTATGGAAATGGACTTCGTCCAGATGTTTGGGATCGGTTTAAGAAACGATTTGGGGTCGAGACAGTTGCGGAGCTATATGGAGCTACGGAGGGACTATCACTCTCTCTGAACGTGTCCTCTAACGACTATGCAACTGGTGCTATCGGGCGCAATGGCAGTCTAGGGAACTTTCTTTTGCAATTTTCTACAATTGTCATTGAACTGGACCCATTAACGGAGCTTCCTCGTCGTGATAAATCAGGACTGTGCATTCTGGCTGCTTCGGGTGAGCCTGGAGAACTGCTATATGCAGTCGATGCAGACGACATCGAGAAGAAGTTTCCAGGGTACATAAACAACAAAGAGGCAAATACTAAGAAGATCCTTCGTGATGTCCGTAAGAAAGGCGATGCGTGGTTCCGGACCGGAGATATGGTGCGGTGGTCAGCCGATGGATTGTGGTATTTCTCAGATAGGCTTGGCGACACTTTCCGCTGGCGCAGCGAGAACGTCTCAACCAACGAAGTCAGCGAAATTCTAGGTAAACACCCAGAAATCCACGAGGCCAATGTATACGGCGTTGAAGTGCCTCACCACGACGGGAGAGCGGGCTGCGCTGCGCTGATATTCAAGGACCAGGCGCAAGCCACTGATCCCAACTCGATTCTGGAGCCTTCTCGTGATATCTTGCGGTCTCTAGCTACGCATGCGTCTAGTAACTTACCAAAATATGCTGTCCCGCTTTTCCTCCGAGTGACTGCTGCTATGCAAGCGACCGGGAATAATAAGCAGCAGAAAACCACGCTCCGGATGGAAGGCATTGACCCTGTGCGCTTGGAGAATAGCAACAGCACTGACCGGATGTATTGGTTGAGAAACGGATCATACGTGCCGTTTGGCAAGAAGGAATGGCAGAACTTGCAAGGGGGTAATGTGCGGCTGTGAATTACCGAACATTCCTTTCCTGACTAAACCTATTTACCTTTAAAATGTGTGGTTGTCTGAGCTTCTAGAGTTTTCATGTCGATACCCTTTTGCTCTGTTGCGGTTACTCAACCTGGTGGCACAGTTGATTTACACAGAGCGGATCTGCCTGTCGGTGGCCTTCTGCATCATTCAAGTCGACTCAAGCCACAGGAGCGATAGATAGTTAACTGTATAAATTTGTGGCAGTCCTTTCCTAGTCGAACAATTAGATATGTGATTCTTTCCGTTGCCCAAAAGCCCTCTGCTCGGCGGTGTTCAGAATGACAACGAGGATGTTTGTCATGTGTAGGATGTCAGAAGGACTTGGTGATCATCTGGGACGGTTTTTTACTCCTCAGTCAACCAGAGGTCTAGAGGGTATATGGTTGGATATAAGAAGGCTTGATGAAACGTAGGGCAGCAAAACATGCTACGTACCCTGGCGCTTCCCCAGATAGAATGACGCGCACGGAGCATCTCCCCCATCCACACCTGGTAGGGCAACTCATCTAGTGTGTCACATCGCTGGCTAGCGCAGTGTGTGAATCGGATCGCCCAGCTTTGTTACGTGTCGCTGCTACGAAACAGGCAAGAAATCGAGTGCCGCACCGCTGCACAGCAGATCATCGGCGACGTGCGGAGTATTTAAATAACTAGATGGATGATTCTCCGCAATCAATGTCGTCATGGGTCGAACGAAAGCAACATAGCAATCCTTCTTCTGCGAGGGCGGTAAAGCTGCTTGCAAAAGCCACGCGAGGTTTTGTTTAAAAAGGTCTCGGAAAGCCAGAAGTGCCTGTGCGACTGCCTATGTATGTCGGAGACTTCATGTGAAGGCCTAGATGTGCTGCAATACGGGAGACGATGTCCAAGGAACGGAGTGCTGGCTCTGGCGATTGTGTTGCACCAGGCCGTGCTTCGTGTTGTCATGCGTGTTTCAGAAAAGAAAATCGAAGAGCAGCCAGATAATAATTTGCTCTGTTTTGAAACTTTGGGCTCCATTCAAGGGCCCACAGTGGGCGGCCTAGCACCTTTTACTCGGCCGTGGCTATTTTGCGGCGAGTCGCGGAACCTTAGAGGCAGCACAGGAGAGTATTAATAGTGATGATACCCTAAGGTGGGTAACTAAGGGATCCGAGTGAAAGGGTTTAATCCTGCGAGCCCTCAAGATAGGTGTGCCTGCCCACGACGTTCGAAGCCACAGAAACTAGGTTTGAGGATCCCTATTTAACGGCATTAGTAGGAACAGGATAGTAATGACTATAATAATGAAATGGTAATATAGGCAACGACCGTTCAAGGCTGGTGGTGCCTGCAATCGTCTAGAAGCCTGGATAGAACCTCGGAGTCAGGAACCGCACGAAGTTTTGGGTTTTGGACCGCGCGCGCCACCGTCCTTGATTTCTTGCGTGGCGAGGGCCAGACCAGAGAGAGCGCGATCACAAGAAATAGCCACGAAGCCTGCCGCCGGAGGATGACGCGGAAATGACGGCAGGCCAGCTGGCGTCTAACTCACTAATAATGTAAGAATTAGCTGAGCAACCTACAACTAAAAACACCCGTGATCACAGGTTAAGCCGGCGGACTTCGAAGACGGGCTTGGGGACACGCAGCCCCGCGTCGCCGGCCAATCACGCGGCGGCGAAACGGCTCGCCAGCCACCTTGCCAACTATACGGTATTGGCTGTCTGTCTCGAACACGAGCAGGGAAAATGCCCTGTATTGCACGCGACCACGCCCGGTTTGGAGGCGGGCAGTGGGCTGGACAGGCGCCAACACCCCCACAAGCAGGCCGCTGGGTCAGCCATACTCCGTACACGTACTCCATAGACCTGGCCGGGTGGCAGGCTTCTAGCAGACAGCTCCCAGGCGGCACATGGAACGCCTCCCGCGGCGCAGGCGGTGTTTTTGCCTCGTTACTACGTATGCCGTAACGTTACCAGGAGGTGTACCGCGAAGCTCAACGCTAGTAAAAGCTTGGCCCAGCTGCGCTAGCTGCTTCGGGGCATGCTGCTCGTGGCCAGTTGCGCAAAAGAGAACCGCGTGCAGACTCCGACCGGAGTACGGAGGAGTACTCCGTAGCGCTCGCGACTTCACCGTTTGGTCACGGAAAGTCTGGCTCGTCCGTCAGTCGATGTCGACCACCGGCCGCCGGCTTAGGCTAACTGCACGGCCTCCATGTACTGTACCGAGCTACTATAACCCAAGAGTTTCACTTTTGTTTAATCCGCCCTGCCGCATCCTTCAGGCTGGAGCCATCCATGCTTCGCTGCAAGTCTTGATGCCACCCGTCTAGGACTCTTTAACGCCGTTTAAACTTGCCGCATACGAGCTTAAGTAAAGGAATAATTTAAAGAAAATGAGACACGACCGAGCGCCTTGATGTATGGGTTTAGTAGTTTGACAGTCTTTTGAAAGTCTCCCCATAGGGCGACTATCAGGTCAAGATGTGTTTGATAGCCGCTCATCTTCAGAAGGTATACACACGCAACCACCGTGCGACAACGTCGTGACAATTTCCTGCAAACAGGCATCGAAAGTGAAGGATGCAAACTGTAAGGCTCGCGTTTCTCTGCCGTATTTGTAGCTTCGTCCGTGTCCAAGTAAGACGCTTGTGGCGAGGGAGCCGTGGTCTATAACGATGCCTTTCGGCTCCCCTGTTGTTCCTGAAGTGTAAACGATGGTAATTCCTCACATCCTTTCTGAGTAGTATGCACTGCTTCAGTTGCATTAATATCGGGCACCCAGAGCTGGGCTGAGTCTACGCCGCGTGGGCCCCTCTTGGCTCCAAAGGAGCAGCAAAAATCAGCAATAATGCCCAGCCGCACCACGAGAGTATTATTATACTCCGTAAATTTTGTTTTTATTATTGCTGGACGGGGGCCAGGGATGAGCGCTGGGACGGGGGACGGAGGGAGTAGTCTCTCAGCCTTGGGGTTGTAAAAAGGGTTCATCCTTCGTAGCAGGCGCTTGACGAGCTTTTGGGCTCCTTTATACAAGAAGAGAAGCAATTATTATCGCCCATGCGTTTTATGGATCGATGTACGGACCTATTATTTTCGGCAGCCCCAGAAAGCGCGAACTAACTCACCCACTGACTAGCCTTCCAATCCTCAGGCTATCTATGTAATTATGTATGTCGACTACGGGCGTGTGCCAGGTAAAGGAACAGGAGTGTGGAGGGGAGGCAACGGAAGCCGTTAGAAGAAGGCTTGGGGAAGAGGGAAGAAGGGATACGTCCCGTCTAGCGAATAGGGGGTCGGGGGGCCCCCAACACTGTGCCGCCTGTATCTCCACGGACAGGAGTCTGTTCCGCACATCCTCGTCTTGAATCTTCTTGTTCTGGTGCAATCATACTGTTCCCCCTCACACAAGCTTGGGCCAAGGAAGGATCACTACGGAGGACACCGTAGGGGCTAGTTAACTCAACACTAGCGGATCCACCCGCGGTAATTTTGAACCCTCGAAACTGGGTGGCCCAGCCCAGCCAGAGAGGTCACCCGGCTGCAGAAATCGCCGTTCTACTATAATGAAGCGCGGTCAAAGGCCGTGACTGGTCTGAGTTTTAATAATGGATACGCGGCGCAAAACATATAGTTCGTGGAATTCTCCTCCACAGCGGCTCCATCATGGAGGCCTCGCCTGCTGGTGGTTCTCCAGCCTTTTATCCCTTCTCTTTTTTTCCCTTTTCTTCTTGTTCTTCTCCTCTTGTTGTTTTCTGGTCCCCAGTCTCTCGCTTTCTTGTTATTAGCCCATTCCCTGGCGCCAGCTGCTTGTTTTTATTCGTTTCCAGTTGAGAAATGGGGTTTATCCCCGCCAGGCTCTGATTCTTTTGCAATGAATATTCCCTCATTTCGCCTCTCACGGCCGTTTCTCTTTTCTCTGCTTACAGTCTCTGTGCTGGCTTCAAAGCTGCTGCACCTCTTTCTCCATGCTCATACGATCCCGGTTCTGCGGTTTATCATCTACTTTCCCACATTTTTCATTCAGGATGCTGCGGCAATTATCTTCTGCAGATTCTTGCTCCATGGAGGAGGAGGAATATTTTCCGTCATTGGACTGATGTTTGGCGGGTTTCTGGCGTAAGTGTCGAATGCAATGCCAGTCGGTTTGCACCGAGAGACTGACATGATGCGTTCCTAAGATTCCTAGTGCTGGGGGCTGCTGCGTCCCAATTCGGATTCTTTTATGTCACTAGTGCTGAAATGCAGTTTGATTCGGCGGCAACTGTCGTTAGTGACCCGGCTGCGGTTCGTCTCTTATTGAGTGGCCTGACAGAAGTCCTGATTTCCGGGCTCCTTCTCATCATCATCTCGTTTTTCTGCACGCCATGGATGTATAACAAGGTCGGGTTCTGGCTGGCTAGCATTGGGAAACTCCGCACGCCCGGGAATTGGGACATGTTGTTGCCCACTGTGCGATCTGATGTTGAAGAGCCTCAGCGGAGAGTTGTCCGCATATGGCCATTTTGCCTATTAACCGGCATCTTAGCTTTGATTACCTTGCTTTGCATGCGTCCCACCGTGCCGTACAGACACATTTCAGTAACCCTGCCGGTTGCGTTGCTGCGCGTATTCAAGCACCATACGGCCCACGAAAGTCATCATGAATGTGGCAATGGCTCGGAGCTCTACGCGGAGCCTTTCCCATTTCCTGACTTGATCTCAGAGGACAAATGGGAGATGCCACATGACAACTTTAAGGGATGGGCACCCGGTACGCGCAACTCATTCGTTAATAAATACAGCCAAAGCAGCCCTAGTTGGCTTTTGAAAAACATGCCGTACGCTTTCAAGCGATGGATTCCGCATAATGATACGCAGTCCACGAAGCCAGGAGACAGCGAGAGTACAGCACAGTGTGCACATGAGACAAACGATGGACCCAACTACTACAACCCTGTTGCAGACCCTTTCAGAATCACCAACCTCGACTCGCCCATGTATGAGTCTCTTCAAGCCGCGTTATCATCTGTCTTGATATCAAATGTCGTGCTGATCACCATGGAAAGCCAAAGGAAGGATGTGTTCCCCATGAAAGAAGGATCCAACCTCCATAACAACATTTTGAAGTCGCATTGGAAGAAAGATAGCGAGGAAATCAACGAGAAGCTGCGTCAGTTGACGCCAGTCGCCGAGCAGCTTACTGGAGAATCGTTCTGGAAAGATCCTACAGGGAAATCAAATCTCAACCTTACTTCCAATATCTGGCGGGACGAGATAGGCTCTGATATGGGTGGAATCAATGTTGTCGGTGCTCTATCCACATGCAGCCTTTCGCTTAAGAGCTTTCTAGGCAGTCACTGTGGTGTTTTTCCACTCCCTGTCGACTTCTTGCAGGAATCCACGAGGGACATTTATCAGCCATGTATCCCTCATATTCTTGATCTCTTTAATACTGCAAAATTGGAGGGTAAAAAGAGTACCAAAGATTTAGATCCTCGGTCGAAGAAAGATTCTTATCGAAAAAATGTGCTTTCCAGGCCTTGGAAAACTGTGTACGTCCAGGCTGTCACTGAGACGTTCGACCGCCAGAATATTATGAATAGAAAAATGGGCCTGTCTAATGTTATTACGAAAGAAACCCTGGATGACAGACATTCGAAGTATTATCCTTCAAATTTCTCGGAGGTGAACTATTTTGGGTGAGCTGCCTCATTAGCTGTTCTATCTGTTCTCTCCAGCTGATAAGTTGTTTGTCTAGTTACCCTGACCAAGCGGTCGAACGGCCACTTCGAGACCAGATCAAAGAGGCCGCAGAAGGCAAGTCACGTCTGTTCTTATCTCACTTTACCACAACAAGTCATCACCCGTGGCATGTGCCCGATGACTTTAACAAGACGGAGTACTTTGTTTCGCGGACAAAGCAGGATTTGAACAACTATCTGAATGCTATCCATTACGATGATGCCTGGATGGGAAATGTTCTGAAGATGCTGGAGGAAGGCGGTATTGCGAACGAGACTCTTGTCGTGTTCATCGGTGATCAGTATGACAAGCTTCCAAACAGTGTCAGCATCTAGACCCCATTTCTAATACTTCTCGTAGTGGCCACACCTTCGAGGAGGAAGGTTCTATGACCGTGACTTACAAAAACAGTCACGTCACCAACTTCCGCGTCCCGATCGTCTTCCGGCACCCACAGCTCCCACGCATCACGGTCAATGCCAATGCCACCTCGTTATCCATCATCCCAACACTTCTTGACCTCCTCATTAACAGCAATTCCTTGAATGACTTCGACACTACTGTCGCTTCCGATATTATCCACGACTACGAAGGCCAGTCCCTCCTGCGTCCATATAAAACGGAACATAAAGGTCGAAAGGCGTGGGATTTCAGCGTCGTCAATGCCGGCGCCGACATGGTTGCCGTGCAACTCGCCGGAAAGCCATGGCGACTTGTTGTCCCGCTTAAACCAGACTTTGCGTACCGCTTCACCAGAGTAGATACCGATCCAAATGAAGACCACCCTATCGAGGAGTGGTCTATGCCCGACCTGTCCGCCACTTTGAAGAGCAGGTGGGGAGAGGAGCCCGCTGAGTGGGCTGTCGCTGCTGAAAAGGCAACTCACTGGTGGAGGAAAGAAATGCATCGCTTATGGAATTACCCCACGTACGATTGACGACGGAGGGCCCGCTAGTGCCCATTGCACATATTCGCTATCTGTATATGTATGAAACTTCTTTATGTTTCCCCCGCTCCCAGACATCTGATATGAGAAGCGATGGGTGACGGGATGTGGTGGGTTGTTTCTTTTATATCAAACAGATCTCTCATTTCTTGGGTGTTCTGAGTTGTTTTCTCTTAGCGTTTTTGGTGCCCTTCTTTACTTGATGTTTGTCTTTGCGGTTGATGTTTTCTGAGGAGTTTAAAACATGCCTGGATTGTTATTTGTGTTTTTTGTGTTTGGGAGGCATCTCATATCCATATGAGCTTTATCTGATTGATTTGGTTAACCGGCATTTACATATAGTACATACATCTACTTACTAGAATAATTATTTGCCTTTTCTGATCCTAGACCCGATTAGTTTGGATTCGCCTTCTTAGGAATTTGATGTTGTCTGGTGTTCGTCGTCCCTCAAGCCTCAACCGCCAGCCGGCGACGTTCTTGGCGAGGCTAATCGCGGCTGAACGCGCCTCCTCATCCATAGAGTTTTACAAGTAATAGGTTCCATTCATCGTAAAAATTTCTTTCCATCCAGTAGTATATACATTTCTATTCCGTCACAAAGTACAGCTTCTCGTGAAGTCGTCCCGCCTAAAAAAATCCAGAATCCTATGCGGTTATGTATGAACAACCATCCCATCCCATGCCGAATGCCCTCATATAATATCCCAAGCCTGCTTGGAAACCAATAATAATATTGACCATGATGCATAGCTAACAAATGGTATCCGAGTACTCCGTAGTAATAACAATATATAACAACCATTTTGTGTTGAAATTTCAACGATATTCAACAATATGATTAGAAATATCCTAATTTTGCAGCTTCTCGCTGGATACCCTCTTTAACCCCAACAAGCCCGGGAAAATCAATTTCTAGCTTTTTAATAAGCTGCTTGCTCCGCTCTCTCTTCGCCAGCAACAGCATGTCTTCCAAATGATGGATTTCGTGTTGTAGTAAGCGATGCGAGTCAAACAGAGAGAGAGATAAGAGCTCTTCGGCGTATTGACGAAGTTTACGTAGCTGACATTCCAGGGTGTCAAATGACGAGCTTGGAGGGTAAGCGGCAACGGTCAACGGCGTGGCCGCCGTGTTGGAAGCGATGGTGCTGGTGGTAGTAGGGCGAAACTGGGTAGGCGGAGAGTGAATGGCGGTCTGAGATGACAATAGGTGTATTAATTGATTCGTAGCAATGCCGTGAGGAGTAGGGTTTGGCGGCAGAGGATTGAAGGTCATTGGTAGAATAGGCGGAGAGTGGTCTAAGTTATGTTTGGACTCCCTGTTAAACTGATCGAGGCCCCGACTGTGTTGCGGAGCAGTAGCATTTTTTCTCCTCGCACTAGTATTCTTGAACGTGACAACATCCGAAGGCAACCGCTTAGTTGCGGGAGGAGAGGGTAAATCAGGCGTACATTCAGGGCTGCATACTGATTTTAGAGGTGGGAGGGAAACGAGGTCGTCGGTAGGAGATGGCATTCGAGTAATATAATCTATACTGTGCAGAACTTTTCCGTCGTCGCGTGTCTGTGTAGCAGTTCTGGAACTTCCGTGCAATAACTTCTGCACCTTTGTAGGGACTTGATCGTCGTCCATGTTTCCTTTCCCAGCCTTGTCATTAGGAAAGTTGCTGATGCTATTTTCAGGGTTGCGATCTCTACCATGTATCGCATTTAACACAACAGGGGTATCTGGGGACGCTCGCAACAAATTGTCCATATTTGGTGGCGTGGTGGGCAGAGGTCGCTTGTTTCCATTGCTTGAAGTGGGTGTATTCTGGTTTGCTGAGCTAGTACTCGTTATTGTCCTCTGGAGTCTCTGTTAGTACCGATAGAGCCAGGACATAATTAGAAAAAAATAAACAAACCCTTTTTTGGTCAAAGACGTTATCGGTAAACCCCGTAATTTTACCTCGTGAGTCAGCTGGTTTTACTCTTCGTTTCGACGCTGGCTTTTCGGCCTTCACATATGCTGAAGGGAAATGGCAACACTAAAGACAAGATATTAGCATTTTCCCAATCGAGACATATTGTTTTTGCAGAATTGCAAAACTACCTACCCTACAGTTGCAGGTTTCAAGGCACTTGGGACATATCCACAACGAAGCCTGGCGCATCACCTCTGCCGAGTTGACGTCAAAGTGTCGATAAAGTCCACGAAAACAAAAAAATGCTGAACAGCGGTCGCACCGCCGCCCCTTCCACGCTAGGTGATCGATGCGGCATAGGTGGCATAACCTGGTAAAGGTGTTCTGTTTTGCCAGAATTAGGTCATTGACAGCTGTGCCCAAGGACTTCCGAAGATCTAAAGAGCGATCGTCGTCCAGCCTGTAACCAAGAAGTTGCTGAGCGCGGTCTAGTACACGCGCGCAAGTCTCTTGCGGGACGATTTCAGCCCAAGAATAGCTCTGGATGTGCTCACAGCTTCGGCCGTTTAAGAAACAGTTCAGACATAGATCGAAGTCCTCGCACTCGCTGCATCGTAGATGGCGATTCCAAATAGCCGTACTGCAAAAGTCGCAGGTTACAATGGCAGTTTCTGGCACACGCACAAGGGTCATGGATGTGGCTGGCTGGCCGACTATTCGTTCCTCGCGAACCATCTGACGAAAGAGACGAGCTAGAAGATGTAGATCCGGTGGAGCTGGATTTTTAGTATCTTCTCGCAATAAACTTAGCATAGCACATGCTAGCGAGAGGTTAGTTTGTGCAACGTCCGGATGGCAGAGTCTATTAAACGGCGGCTGCGCATGGGCCATTCCGGCCTCCAGTGATAAAGGATGCAAGATATTCCACACAATCTTGGTAGAAAGGGAACCAAGGTTCCAAACCTGGTGAGCAGTAGCAGGTGGAAAGACTACTAAATCACCTGGCTGCTGTTCCCAGACATACAACGGGAAGTCAGCCTGTTTCAGATCTTCCGACCCCAGGTTCAACCAGTCGATGTGCGGAGAAGCGCCGCGAGATGCCATAAAAGTGTCATATTTTGACTGTGACTTAAAGTCGGTTCCAAAACATAGCACGGGGTGGTCTACTGGCATGTAAGTTTAGAAGCGTAGAGACGGTAGCATTCTTCAGGGGCTCACCGCTTCCTTCAACAAGAAGGTTCAAAGCAACAGTAGAGGAGAAGCATCGGTGAAATCCCGACCTGAGCAGGTATTAGTAACAAGAAATTAAGCGTTATGGCCCAATGAACGCACGATGATCCCTCTGAGCCGACAAACGCCATCATAACTTCACTCCTAGCGCATGGAGGCAACCACTGGAAGAGGTCAAGGCGGCCAGCCCATTGCACTTCCGATGGAAGCAGCTTGCGACATAAGTCCACCCAAGTTTGCGGGCACTGTAGGTCACGCGCGTATAGATTTTTAAATTCTTTGTAGGATTGCCGGGCCGCGTCTGCAAATTTCTTCAGTGTGAAGCTTAGATCTCTGCCCGTGCTGCAGTTTCGAATGGGAATATCTATTGTAGTCTAGTTAGAACATGCGACTCTTGAAGCTGTACCAACTCTGTTGAAATATCACTGGGTCACCGCTCCTAAGCATCACTGTGCCGATATCTGCAAGCTCCAAAAATGTAAAGAAAAGTCTAGTCCATACTCTTCTTTGTAGAATGTTCAATCAACCCCTCGATGGACAGTATCCTTCTGTCCCACTCCGGCAGCCGGTCAAAGTCTCGAATCACGAACGGGCGTCCTTCTTGCAGCCGCCTCGATAGCCATTGGGCAAAGTTGGAGGTGTCGTGGCTAGCATCTTCGCGGATCCCAGGGCTGCGCTGCAGATCAAGGATAGAGTATTGCGGGAACTCAGCGAACGGTCTTCCAAGGGCGAGCAGATCGGCGGCACGGATGGAGGCCAGCACAGATGGTGTGTTCGAGGAGGATTCCACCATACGCGGAGCCGTCATTGTTGAAGGCGCATGGGCCGCGGGCGACACTGCAGTGCCATTCAGAGCATCATGCTGGCGTCGAGGGTGGGCAGCAAGGCGTGCGAGACAGGACAACGGACAAGAGACAGACGGACAGCCAGCCGCCGGAGCTCGTCCTGGCGAAGGATTTATACATAGCGAGCTCTGTGGTGATCGCCGGGCCAGGATGTCATTCCGCACCCGACCCGCGCAGTTGGGTGTGCTTGTCGCGCGAGGGGACGCCGCGCTGCCTCGGGCGCGGCCGGCGGGGATGCGCTGCGCTGCTATTCTGGGCCCTCCGTCGCGCTGCACCCGCCTCACCGACTCTTGAGTCTTGCACGCTGCCACACCACGCCTTGTCCCGCTGACAACGTCTGCCTCGATCCAGCCTGCGGCTTGCCGGCGCAGGGATGGGGGTTCCGGGTATCTGAACGTGCGTCCTCCACGCGAGGTGCCTATATGCGCGCGCCTTAAGGGCCGGCATGCGCAGGCCCATTCTCCCCGTGCCATGTCCCTGGCAGAGCTGATCTTTCCGGGGTCAACCGCTGCAACGGACATCGTATTCGTCGCGTTCCCAATCACCAAGCTCTGGTTGACAAATACTTCCTCGCCGTGCGTCTCGTCCTCGCTGCAGGTTTAGCCGGCATCCCGGAGCTCGTCCTGGACTGACAGCCGTCCATATAGTTGCTGGACTTTTCCCGGCTTCTCAAGCCCATGCTTCTTGCAAATAGTGCCCAAACATGCCACCGGCTAAGCGAAGCCACTGCAACAAAGCCTGAAGGATGCTAGCACCCGTTGATCCGCCCATGGCCTTCTGTGCCACCCGAAGGACCTCGAGGCCGAGCCTGCATTTCTTGTCTCTTAAATCGCAGCGTTGGAGCACGGCCGCGCAGGATCATCGGTGTTTCACAGGAGAGGATTGTTTTAAACCTGGAGAAATCATACGACAAGCGGAAATAAGCCTATCAGATTCACAGTTTGAATGTCGATACCCCAGCGAAGTGTTTAATTAGCGGTGAGCTATCACCGATTTCTTCTGACGCTTCTGAGGCGCCCGCGCAGCGCTGCACTGGCTATGTAAGACCGATTTGCGTCATATCTACCACTCTGCTGTCGAAGCAGCGCCTGTAGAAGTGCCGGTTTAGACGGCCAGTGTCATCGTCACATCGCGATGTCAATCAATCTGCAGTCATTGCTATGGGGTGCTTGATACAAACCCCTGACAAGCCACTAGCCCGGAGGGCTAGAGTCAGATGACGCTCTTCGCACCCAACTGTTGAACTAGTTGCTGCCTCTATCTTATCAGCATCTATAATTATCGGATCTAGGCTAGTTACTTGAGTCTATTATCCAAGCTGCATGTCTAAATTTGCCCCGGCATTTCGTATTTGGCAGAAAGCTGCTCGCAAAGTCGCGCTCCGTCAATTCCCAGTGGAGGGGTACATCCACCCTGACCACCGCACTATGCCTCCTGCGGTTAGATCATTGCCTGCTCAAAGGGGGCAACAACAGTCCCTGCCTCGCTGCTCTTCGATCGACAAAAATAATAAGCCGGCCAGTATTACACTTCCGATAGGAGAGAATGTGCGTAGCCCTCTCTGCTGCTGGCTAAGGGTGGGTTCTCGTTAAAGGCCTCGGTTTCTTCTTCTGTCGGAAATGTAGTTAGGCGTGAATTTCGAAAATAAAGCAACTTGAAAGAGGACATCGTTATTGTGTGACAGCACAAAAATAAAAGAGAGAAAAGTAAAATTCTGAGCGCGCTCTGAATACGGGAGATTCGGTGGAAATTATGAAATCTTTTTATGGGAGCCAACAAATCAAGTATTCTTCTGGTTTTCATGGAATTATACGAGGTTGATGGATAAAAATGTTTAGCAAAAAAAGACACCAGGCATTTCTAACTCCCACTTAGTTAGTTAGTTACTTGCTCCATTCAGAGCTAATAATTCCCATTTTTCAGTTTCTCAACAATGCTGTATATTCTCAGGCATATTTATGTATAATGTATTTGCTTACATTCCTTCTATCTTTGAAATTTGTTTAGTGCCTACCATATTGACAACCAAGGAGTGACAATTCAAATAGAGAAATTGAAGGCCTTTATCATCCAGTCAATAATCGTGTAAAGGTACAGTAGTCTAGCTACGATAGTATAATGTCAACGAACGTACTATTGAATAAATATTAGCGCGAGGAATATCTGTACAAGTCGATACCCGTTTGGTGGTTACAAAGTTAGAAATAATATACATATATGGTCTAGTTTTCTCGAAACCAGTCTAGACCCGCCGAGCTTAGATTCCCGAGTCCTCCTGGAAGAAGTCGTTGGAGTTCCAGTGGTTAGCCGGATTGCCATACCAGGAATCCCAGTTTCGGCACACTCTGTTCATCTCTGCAACATCGTTCGGCTGAGTCCGCAAGAGTGCCTTAAAATCATTCTTACGTTCAAGAATTTGAAGTGCTAAGCCCATCGATGCGTGCCATGCAATATGGCAGTGCATGACCCAGGACCCTGGATTATCGGCTTTGAAGGCAATGACGATAAAACCACCCGCGGGAAGCAGAGTCACATCACGGCGAGGTGGATTATCGAGTTTGAGGTTTAGAAGGCTTGGCTTAAACGCCTCGCTGGATTGTTGTAGTAAAGCAAAATCGTGTCCGTGAAGATGAATCTAGATAGAGTGGTTCCCTACTAAGAATGATTATCTCAGTGAATAGATAGGTAGTGTTCACTTACTGGGTGAGCAGCAGGAATCTGTACACCAACTTTTGCGGTCAAACTTTTCAGTCCGGTAATTAAAAGATACACCCAATCGTTGCTTGTATGTTCTTCAGATGGATATACAACCCAAGTGTCGTCCCACGTCGACCGGTCCAAACTCTTAACCATTGGCTGGGAATAGTTCAAATACATTGGGGATGGCCCAATGGCCCAGAAATTAACTTCTGGACCCGTACCAGGCCTCCCGGGCATTCGCCATTTCCCGAGACCAATATCATTGCTGGCGCTGAGCGGAGTGGGGGCAACTTGAGGGTCAGGAACCTGCCATGGGTGATAGGGCTTCAGTCGCTCAAACGGTTCATCACGGCATGCGGCGGGGAAACCTTGTCCGGTGCTGGTTGGCATGGTAGTTGTTCTCCTTCCGTAGTAGAGTATCCCCACCTTTTCGTCCGGGGGATTGTTTGCTTCAAACACTGAACATCCGGTAGTTGGTGTAAGGCGAATCCAATATGCCGATCCATTGGTAGCGTTAGGAAGTGTGTCAAGAATAACATGATATCGCTGGCCTATTTGTTGACTTAGCATTGATTAGGCTTGAACTTTGATGTTGACTTACCAATACCAACGACAAGATGATCAGTTTGATAGGGCGTCATTGGTACGAAGTCAGCACCGACCACGGTGAAATTATGGTTATCAATCGAAAAAACGAATATAGCATCGGTAGAGGTGTTAATAAGACGCAGAAGATATTTTTTCCCCTATGATGTTTGTTCTTAGCCAAATAGCCATAACAGTGTTCCGGTAATCAAATACCTTTGTCACTACAGTACTGTACTTTCTTGTTGGAGCTTGCGCACCAAGCCCGGTATAACTACCTAGGGAAAAAATTTAGCTGTGCTGTCTTATGCAGTAGAGACCACGGAATCACCTATTCCATTTAATAATATACTATGCATGCTTGGAGGACGGCCATTCTGAGCAATAGTGTATGCCTGGAAAGCACTGGTATGAAGATGATCTTGCATCAACAGTGGGTCGATGGACTGGTCGTAGTTGGCGCTTGACGGGCCATGAATTGTTAAAGGACCTACTAACCCATCTGTATATTGCAGAGAGTAGTGACTGTGATACCAGCTTGAGCCATATTGAATTGCTTTAAATTTGTAAGTAAAGGTATCAGCTGGAGCAATCGGGCACTGAGTGATTCCAGGAACGCCATCATGCAAATTAGTTCCAAGCATACGAAGGCCATGCCAATGAACTGCAGTCCCGTTATATTGGAGCTTATTTCTAACAGTGATTTCTTTGTCGCATTAGCCAGAGTATAAGACAATAGTATTCACAGAATCATACCAATATCGTCGCCCCAGCAGGCCTCTTTTATCAGTTTTTAGCCATCAGTAGGCTCCAAATATTCAGGATGAGAGTTCTTACGAATCCAGGGGCCAGGAAATAGGCCATTATATAACTTTGCCCGTTTGAACTCCACCCCATCAAGATTAACTGTATGTTCTTTGACTTCCAAAAAATGCTAGACAGGCCAACGCATTAGAATTGTTGCAGTGTCTCTCTACTACTAGGAGACTGACTCTTCTAGTGACGCCTTTTGGGGTGTATTTTTCGTAGTCAGTCATTATAGTATATTCTCCAGGCTCAGGGGCTGGCCCTGGGCCAATCCATTTGAGCCATTTGCGTTTGTCTGTCGGATCGTGCGCCCAGCCCCTCATACTAGGATAGAGACACTGGATGACACTGTTTGGGCTGTCTGTATTAGGCGGAGGGAAAAAAGCAGGTGGCTCCATGTCTGGGGCCGGCACCGCCGAGCCATGGTTCGGCCACAAGGCAAGAAAAAACAAGAGCTTTGAAGAAGCTAAGAGAGAAGCTTCAAGCATCTTCATTTTGAAGATAAAATGAATTGCCAAACACAGCTTCCTAAATTATCATGGGGCATTTCGGCGGGGAGCATGATATTTATATTTATATTCTTCCGGTTATCGCCAGATCTGACGGCAGAGAATTATGCCTCCCATTTGAGGGGGTTCATTGGGCTTCCTGTGTGCCGCTGACCTCGCACCCATGGCCATACCATAATACGAAAGGGCGGCTGTGGGTTCAAGTCGGTATGGAGGAGCTATTGGGACGCCTGATGCGGGCTTAATGTCCGGAGAGATGGTGCTGAGGAAAGTCGATGCAAATACGGAGCCGAGTCAGCAGATAACCAACGCCGAAGAACTGCTAGCATTAGCATTTAGTTTGATGTTCATACTCCGTACTCTTTGGCTGAGATGATGTATGGTATTCTGTCAGATTCTCCGCCAGTTGAGATCGACTAACAAATCGCATACCTTCTTAAACCAATAAGGATGTATTCCGGAGCATTTATGGTGAGATTATAGCCAGTGTGATTCATCAAAGGTGAAGTACTCCGTATCTTCTCATCATCTTTTCAAGTTTTTGTTTTTTTAGAAAAAGTCATTAAGGAGGAGTTCTGCAACTTCGGCGAGTTTCATAGTCCTATTTCGCACGCCAGGCTTCCTTATTTCGAATAGCCAGTCTGATTTAAAATACCTTGACTCAGAAGCGGGTTTGCAGCGCCAAATTGGCTTTTTCTCTTACAGAAAAAAACTCCGCCACCCACAGTATGTAATCACCATTGTCGCATTGCGTTAGATCATATGGAAAAGCTGATAGTAGGTGAATTGTCGCCACAATTATTTGGTAAAATATGTATATAGAGTTGAAAGTATGTAGTAACATTTCTAGAGTCGTAGAAGGCGGTATTCGCCAGCTACTAACCGAGAGAAAATGCATGCATGTAGGTATGTATTTATGTATCGCGGGCCATTGCAAGCGTGTGATAGTTATTCTTCTAAGCCACGCCATCGAGGTTGACAATCCAGTTCCACTCACAATATTTTTGCCGAATAACCCCGCTAGGCGTTGGCGTTTTCCTGCTCGCGTCCGAAGCAACTAGTTAGTCAATTGCTGATCACCGATGATAGGGGTGGAGCCCGAATGGAAGATTATCGGAGATGTTTTGATCGCTTACCCCTGCCAGGGACAATAAACCAGGTGATGTCTCATGTTTAACACCAAGCGTACGGAGTACTATACGACATCTTGCCTCGTGGCATGCCGGGGCCCTTAAGGCACAGCGTTCCCACAATAATGTCCAAGTACCATGTAACTGGGCCACGGATATACTTCATATAATGGTAGCCAGTCGACAATTCTATTGTTTGCACTTGATAAGCAATGATGGCCCCACGGGTACGAATGCCTGTGTGGTTCCCGAGAATTGGTCTAGTTTCGTTCTCGTATGGCAAGCTGCTTTCAGATGTGTCTTTCTCGAAAGAAGCAAGTATGGGTAGTTGGCGTCCTCAGGAGACCGCTGACATCGTAAACAATCTTAGTGCTTGGTATTATTAGTTAGACGGAGACTGTCTCCGTGGCGAGTTTGACGATAGAACTTTCGGCTGAAGCACAACCCTTGTCGTGTCAAAGAGACATCAGGTCAAGAACTTGTCACTTCACAGCACTTCGCGGATGTCCGAAGGGCGCTGGGCCTGCTTATGCTCAGCGCTACTCCGTATTGTTGATTGTTGACCCGCATAATCCGGCTTAACACTGCCGCCGTCGGGGTTGGTGATTAATTTTAGACATCAGCAAAACAATTCTCCGCTATACATTTATTTCCCATAGGCTCCAAAAGTATGTGGAAATCGGTTGCAGATGACTAGTTAGTTCTGGAAACACATATTCCGATGAGTTGATCCGTAACTTGTTCCAATTTCGATTCATTTCCCTTCGTATTCTGTAGTTTTTCTGTATGAACAAACTACCAGAGTCGCAGATGAGCCAACTCTATCTCTGAATACTGATCCAGGGCGACAACGTATGTATACGGAGTACTCCATACCTGACAACACTTGTAACCCAAAAACACTTGAACAACCACTACCACTAACTAGATATGGAGTGCGTCTGTTTGTCTGCGGATTAAGTAACCAATATCAGGAATATTAATAGTCCGAATATTCAACTATGGAGAAACATTTGTCCGAGCTTGGTGAACCCAACTGCACCTCAACATCACAATCATTCAAGACGACAACATTGCCTTGCACCTTTACACCTCAACCAGCTGGGAATAATGCGTAGAGAACGACGGAATTTTTTTGGTATAGCTGTATGTAAGCTCACTCAGCTATCTGTGCATGTAAGGATGTACAGCATCGTCTAAGATGCGGCTTAATACAGTTCTTCTGTGTAGTCTTGCTACACATTTTCTTTGTTTTGATATTTGATGGTAGAACACGAGGCCATTTTCTTGTTTGTTGAGGTCTTAATTCAACCGCAGCTCGGCGGGAATCTCCTCGTTCTCCAAGGCAACAAGTGTTTGCAGGTATATCTTCCCTCGCTTCCACAGCCATGCATCGCACAATACATACTTTTTTTTTGGCCGATGCTTCTCTGTACTTCTCTGTTGAAACAGCTCCACGTCGATAGTATTTGTTTTTTCCATGGATGAGCCCACCCCACCGCGGCTTTCCAGTATTCTAGTGGAGGGCATAATCAACCACATTGCCTTACCCCCTAGTCTACCGGGAAGGCAAGAGAAACACTTAATCGAAATCGAGGAAGAACTTCTTCGCCGCTTGCAAGCAGCGACTCGCAAACTCCAGCGCCAATCTAATGGCGGCCTTGGTGATCTCTGGGACAAAGTGCGCCAGATATTAGAAATTTGTAAATCTACAAATTCTCGCAAGAAACTGGACAAATCTCGACTGGTGAATGAATTTGGACACCTACAACGCGACGTCCCTGTAATTTTACATATTACAGAGCAGAATGCTGGACTCATCGTCTGGCGGCAAACCAAGTGAGTATCGTGATTTCGTGATTTCAAACAGTAACTAATTTTGGTCCCCTAAGTGAAACCCGGGGCGATCATGTTCTTTTTGAGGCATTCGAAGCGTCTGCGATTTCGGAAAAAGTTCTTGCTGCGGAAAATGCATTATTATGGGACTTTCCAGGGGAGGCCATCGCCATGCCGTATACAGAATTTGCTCGGGCTACGTTTCAAGATAGTTTTGCCGGATTTTTGGAGCAAGCTAGCACAGAATCGATCAAACGTTTCACCGCTCGTGCCGCAAAAGCCGGCTCTTCTCCCATTGAAGATCGAGACACAGTCAATCCTGCGTTAATCGCACAGGTGCTCATGACACTTCTTGAGGCAAACGGCACTCGTGTATTTCCTGTGTTACTCCGCAAGCGCGTTCGGGACGACGTTTGTTGGGCATCTGGCGCCGAAAAACCATGGAGGCGTTCTGCATTTTGGCTTGTCATCCGTGTTTGCCTCGAGAGATATTTTTGCTCCACCTGCGGCGAGGAAATAGGGCGGTTGCGTTACAAGTCTTTGCTTTGCACTCTACTATCATCCCTTATAGATGATTCTTTTGATTCAATTTCCGTTGAATCGTTGACTCTATTGAAAGGAAAACTGGCTCGACGACTCGCAAAATTGCAGATAGACGGGAAAAACCTGCCAGCCAATATGAAGGTTGTTTATGAAGAATTGCTGGGGGAAACGGCCGCTCGCTGTCAAAAGTCTCTACAACATGCCACGGAGCACATCGAACATGTTTGGTCCAATTTGAAGGCTCGCATGAAACGGCCAATTCCTCAACTCCCTCTTCACGCAGATAAAGAATCAGTCACATTGTCCCTTCCAAATAGTAAACAATACCTGCAAAAAGTGATGGAAAATCATAGACTTTTGAGAAAGTCCTCCAAATATCGCGGGAAATGCGAAGCTCTATCCAAATTTATTACCTCTGGGGATAATTATTTTTCAAAGTTCGCTACCCGCTATTATGCCTTATCAGACCTCGAAGAATCAAATGTTAAATTATCTTCAGGTGACAGCCCAGGCCAAGAAAACGAACGCTGTACGGAAATTGCATCAAGGATTGAGCATTATCTAAAAGAAGTATCCGATGCTTATGATAATAGCCCGGAACAGAAAAGCGTTATGATTCTTAGTGTTTTACGGCTCTGGATGGCTATGGATCAGTGTGCAGTAGCCTTATTTGGGTTACTGAAAGATTTCCATCCGGCAATCGCGCCGGCCGCGCTGGATGTCTTACAATTGCCCATGCTCGCTGATATGCTTGAGCTCAGGGTACTTCAAGGCTACCTTCGAGACCGTTGTGATAAAGCATCTCACAGAACCATTTTTGATGAGCCTACGAAGGGTTGCTTTGCTGAAAGATACTATGACGAGTCAACCGAGTCAGTGCAATTACGTTCACTTCATTTAGAAATAGAGCTTCAGGCTCAGTCCGACTTGAAAAAAAAGGAGGCGGAATGGCGAAAATTAAGCGATGATTTTGAGCAGTTGGAAAGAGAGATAGCAGAAAGCAGCTGCGTGTTTAGCACGCTTGATTCCGAGGAGTTAGTCCACGACGTTAAGCAATGCCGGAAATGCTTCCTTCAGCGTAATTCGAGGCGCATGAAGATCGGAGTTCATGAATACCCTCTTCCTTCGAGCCCCTCCGAGGTGAAGGCTGTCATATTCGAGCTTGCTTGTCCAGCCTCGTTCAAGGCATACCGAAATGCAACTTGGCGCCTAATATGCGCGGTGGGAGCCTTGAGTCAAACGCAGTCTTTCAAGCCCGAACTGCTCCTTGACGACTATTCTCAGCTTCAAAAATATATGTGCCGAGATTCTTACGATATCTGCCTTGCTTCTAAAACCAAATCATTTTTGCGTACACATTATAATGGGATGCGCTTCCCCATTTCCTTAGATGGTGTCTGCCTTCCAAATGGTTTACGACTTTCATATTTCGACGTTAGATCGGAAATGTGGGTTAGCAGGCATCCTCAAGCCTTGAGCTTTGCGCGTCATTTTACGATGTATTTACCCCGGACCTCTCCCTTTAGCTCTATAGGGCTGTCAGTTGGTTTTAGCGCTCCATCATCGTACGAAGTCATTGCGAGTCAAACACAATGTCCCGCGGGATTGAATCTTCATGAGTTTCTTGCATATAAGAGTCTATTTTCTGGGAATAGCAGACGATGGCCTTCGATACTTATTGAGCTTGGTTCAACTAACCTAAATTTGAGTACCGAAGCCACAACTTCATTAATATCTCAGTTGGCAATTCAAGCTGGGCCTGCAGACGACGAGGACCCCCTACGTGTTGCGCACAAAACTTTTCGAGACTCATTGTTCTGTCAGAAGTTGATGGAGCAGATTTCCCAACGACTTGATAGCATATCCTCTAATTGGAGAGAGACAAACTGCATGGACATGTTGTTGACTCTTATTCTCAGGTTATATTCGATTGGGCCAATTTCTTGTCGTGAAGAATGCAAGAAGATACTCGAGAAAGGGCGTATTATCACAGCCCAGTGGATTGTCCAATTAAGAACTGAAATACATCAGTCTACAGATGTGGCTGGGATGGAGAGGTTTGCAAGCTTTGCGTTTTGGGCTGCATTACTTTGTAGAAGGACCTTCTCTATTTTTGTCGGTGACGTTGGACATTTAAAGATGACAAATGATGGGCTCTGCTGTTTCATTGAAGCTTCAATTATGTTACAAGACGCCCTTCCGGTTGATCTTGCTCGGCTCTCGCCATTGGCAAAAAACGCACTTATTAGAGATTTGAAGATGGTGTATCGGATGGGGCCGTTACTCCACAGCTACATTTTATCCTCGCCACATTCCTTTTCCGTATCGATTGATGCATTTTGGCCTCAACCTGAGGGCAGCATGCCTCGAGACTATTCTACTGTTGAAGTTCAAGAAGCTCCATATCGTTGGTGGGTCTGCCTATCCCCCGCCCCCAAGGAAAATACGAGGCAGCAGACAATACATTATCACCTTCTTGAAGGCCACTTGCTTTTTGATGGCCAACCGTTGAAACAATTACCTGCAGAGCACAAAACCTCTGTGGTATTAGAGCAACTCTTTGGGAAGCAGCGGCTTCTCACCATACCTTCACCCGTTTTTGGCATGGATTATTTGCTCGCTTTCCCAATAAATGGCCATCAAATCCATATTGGATTCGTTGAACATAAATTGGTGGTTCAAGCACATATAAATGGCTCTATCCTTGAATACATTCCTCCCCACATTTTTGGAAACCCAACAAATTTCGATTTGCCCGGTTCGCTTGTTTTGAACTGTGTTCATTGGCTAAATTTGAATACTGGGGTCATGGAGATTAGAAAACAGCCTGAAATATGGAAAAAGAAGCTTAGTAACTGGACGGTGGATATCAACACTGGAGAAGCGTGGAGACGACGAACATTCCAAACCAAAGGCAGTATGCTTGTCGACCCGCACAGTCGTTTGTTCAAGCTTGCCGCGCGAATTTTTGACCACTTTGAATATCGCAACGGCTTGACCATATTCCAACCTCCCAATGGCAAACTTGCAATTGAGCTCCGCCGTTTAGAATTGTCCTTTTTCGTAAACTTTAAAGGCTTGCTACAGTGTCGGGAGTTAAACGCAGAAATAGATCCAGACCAAGATGCGGGAACTTGGTATGGTCTAGATAGCAAAATCATCCTCCGGGATGTCTCGAATGGTTCTCGTCGTATTATTCTCGTTCCCATAGGGAAAATCCATGCCGTCCGCAACGATTGTCATGTCTCAATACAAGTTGAAAATGAAGGAGCATACGGGAGATATACCATTAACAACGTACTTGGACGCCTTGATTGCCCGGCCGAACCGGTCTTGTTATACCAGAAAGCTAGATTCCATGCCTATACTTCGTTTTTTGTGCCTGATCCTCTTACTGGACGTACCGGAACAGAAGAAGCCCTTAATTGCTTACTTTCTGCCCGCTGCCAGCCATGGACCACGCTCAACATAGGGCCTATCCAAGCGTTGGAGTCAATTCTGAAGCTGGTTCCAAAGAGAGCGTATTACCCAAGCGGTTTGAAGACGATGCAAAATGTTACATGGGATCACTCTTTAACGACAGTCATTCAGCATGAGGGACTCTGGCCTGCGATTAATAACATTATCGCAAAGGCAAAGATTCTTTCTTCATTTTCACTCAAAGGGGATATTGAGATGCCGGATATCGGACTCTCAGGTGATACCTTTTTATTGATGCGGGCCTATTGGAGGCGGAACCTCTATCAGCGTGCAGATTCTGGGTTTCCGCGGTTGAATCCACCTCCTGACTTGAAATATGAGGCACGCGACAACTTTATCAGCAATAAGTCCCGCCTCAATGTCTATGAGAGCGTGAGCTTAATAAGGAGCTGGTCACCGGATGTTTGCGTAGCCATCGATTTTGCCATGTCAATACAGAATTGGAATATTGGTGGCTTCGATTCAGTCTTTGACAAGTTCCTAATTTCTGATTTACTCAATATTCAATATGATTCCTACCTGGGATCCCTTGTTAACCTCTGTCGCTTGGCTGACTGCAGCGAAAAACACCGGTTAATGTTCATGTTTGCTATTATGTCGTTTAGATCAGATGTTAATATGTTGATTATTCGAACCATTATTGCGTTTGCAATTATTGATACCTTAAAAGAAATAGAGCCTCCGAAATGGCCATCCTACGTGAACTTCAGGTATCGACAACTACCCACTATTCAATACCTTAGACAGCTGATCAGTCCTTGCTGCACTCCATATGCTGGAGATGAGAGAAATTTCTTTCAGCTGAGTTATAAAACACGACGAGACCGTGAAGCAAAGGAATATGCTTATGAACAGCAACTTGAAAAAGACAGCAGAATGTTTGCGGAGTGTCTTCTTAACCAGTGGCCATGTGCGGAGCCGAAGATCGATATGCCACCCAAAGTTCTTATCGATCTGCCTCGTGCCATGAGTATTATCCACACAGAGTGGCTCCGTCTGTTTCAAAACATGGAGCTCTCTGATTATGTCGAAAAGGTTCAACATGTTCTAAACCTTCATTCGGCTCCGCGCCGTTTTTCACTTCCTTATTATTGCGACTACAAACGATCGATAATCGAACCAAAAAGCCGCGAAGCCGTCATTCCGTCTCTTCAGTATACCCTACTTTGTCACAATTTAGCGAAGCCTGCATTTATTGCCCTCCGAAACGAAAAAAATACTACCACTAAAGTGCCTTACGTGGTTGAAGCCGTACGAGACAATAGTAATGCTCAAAGCTCATCAAAAAAACTTGAAAACAGTGCAATTTCGGATCTCGATGAAATAGACGAGCTGACGAGTATTGTGAATCAGTTAAAAAATTCCACTTCAGTGGTACAAAACCAGTATTGCCTTGATATGTTGCAGAGTATTGAAGCTTTGAAAAGGATTAATGTTACAAATAATACCCGACTTGAGATAGGGCTGCCAGAGCTCAACGTTACAAGGGATCGTGTGCAAATGGTTTACAATTATATCAATAGTATCTTTGACAAGCTTGATTCACGCTCAAAGTGGCTTAAGGACGGTGGATTATGGCCATGTATCACTCCGATAAGCCTTCTTGAACAGCTGCGGTCCTCTTCCCATGTCAAATTTGGTATGTATATGAAAGAGGTCATAATGGAATATGCTCTCTCCATTGTGTCGTTTCAGCGATCCCTCAGGATTGAACATGCACGCCTCAAAGGCAATTACCCACGTGTTACCACTGAAACAGAAAATATCCCTCATGTAAACTGGGAGCCAATGGATCACCCCGATTGGATTTTACTTGAAATCGAGGCAGATATATCCATCAGGCAAGAGCAGGTAGATGTTGCTAGGGCTACAATCTCTCCTACGACAGCTGCGAACTCGGTATTGCAAATGAATATGGGACAAGGTAATAGCCCCTTCTCTATTTAGCCTTGAACCAACATTTACATGCGTCAAATACTAGGTAAAACGTCGTGTATCATGCCTATGGTTGCTGCTGAGCTGGCAGATACCACAAGACTCGTAAGGCTTGTTGTTCCCAAGGCACTACTGGCCCAGACAGCTCAGTTGCTACAAACCAGACTTGGAGGCTTAATTGGTCGTGAAATTCGCCATATTCCATTTGCTCGCAAGACTCCGACCGATTTTGAAATGATCAAAGAGTACTTTGATGTTCATAAATATCTAAAGCACTCGTCTGGCGTCATCGTGACACTCCCAGAACATATCCTCTCCTTCAAGTTGAGCGGGCTACAGAGACTATCAGACGCTCGCATTGGAGAAGCAAGGACGATGGTCAAAATACATACCTGGATGCAGAAATGGTGTCGGGACATATTAGACGAATGTGACTTTACTCTTGCCACTAGAACCCAACTCATTTACCCGTCTGGTTCACAAAGTACTGTGGACGGTTATCCCAATCGGTGGAAATCTACACAAGAGCTGCTTCAACTGGTAAGTGGGCATTTATGGAACCTTCGCCGGGATTTTCCACAGAGCATCGAGGTCATCCCAAGACAAAGCGGTGGGTTTCCAGTTGTCTTTTTCCTTCGTAGGGATGTGGAAGATGAGTTGATTACACGGCTGATAAGGGATGTTATTCGTGGCCAAACATCTATCCTTCCAATGGGTGATCGCAGCCATGAGGATCGCATGGCTATCAAGTCATTCATACAAAACTCAACAGTTCCTCAAACAACCACAAAAGCCATTGAAAGCATGTTTGCCAATAACATTGGTGCAAAACAAAACATTTATCTCTTGAGAGGGCTGTTTGTTCATCGAATTCTTCTCCTGAGTCTTAAAAAGCGATGGAATGTACAATACGGGCTTCACCCTGACAGAGACCCCATTGCCGTTCCATTTACGGCTAAAGGTGTACCATCTGAGCAAGCAGAATGGGGTCACCCAGATGTTGCTATTCTGTTCACCTGTTTGGCATTCTATTTTGGAGGCCTTACACGGACTCAACTACGACAAAGTTTAATACACTTGGTGAAATCCGATGATCCATCAAGTGAATATGATCGCTGGACCCAGACCTCCTACTCACTTCCTGATGTTCTTCGGGAATGGAGTGTAGTTGAAACCAATGATGAGGCACAGCTGGTAGAACTCTGGAAGCATCTTCAATACCAGGTGGCGGCAATTGACTATTTCCTGAACCACTTTGTTTTCCCCAAGCATGCAAAACAGTTCCAAGTGAAACTTCAGGCCTCTGGCTGGGATATTCCTCTGTTCTCTCCTCAGAATCAGAGACCAGCATTAACAACAGGCTTCAGTGGGACTAATGACAATCGTACTTTGCTTCCATTGATGATAAGACAGCAAGATCTTCCTGCATTGTCACATACCAATGCGGAGGTTTTAACCTACCTGTTACAACCACGTAACCGGCGTTATTTATTCGCTGCATGCAGCTCCAGAAAACGATTGTCCAAAATAGATCTGCTATACCTTCTCCAAAAGCAGAAGATTAGAGTACTGATTGATTCTGGGGCTCAAATTCTAGAAATGGATAATAAAACTTTGGCAAGAGAATGGTTAAAAATTGACTATGAGGTCTCAGCAGCACTGTATTTTGATTCTGAAAATAAGCCTATTGTTCTGTACCGAAATGGCGCTCAAACACCTTTATTAGCATCCCCTTATGCTGATGATCTTGAGGGCTGCCTTGTCTATTTAGATGAGGCTCATACACGGGGAACAGATCTCAAAATGCCTCCCAATGCTGTTGGCGCATTGACACTAGGACTGGGTCAAACAAAGGACCATACAGTTCAAGGTGAGTTTCTTCCCGTTATTTTTAACTCTGAGCAGCTTATTGAGATGTGTTTCTAGCTGCTATGAGATTGCGCCAGCTTGGAACAACACAGTCGGTTGTGTTTTGCGCGCCTCCAGAGGTACATCAAAGTATCTTAGATCTGCAGGGGAAACAGAATGGTGATAGACTTGATTCACGAGATGTTGTATGCTGGCTCTTGAAACAAACCTGTTTAGGAATTGAGCAAATCCAGCCGCTGTACTATTCTCAGGGAATGGACTTTTGCAGTCGTACTCAAGCAAGCTTAGATAATCCTCACTTCTTAGAAGACCCAGAACAGCAACGGAAATATTGCAATGCCATTCGACAAAACGAAAAGCAAACCTTGGAGCAACTTTACCGACCAGTTTCGAAGCCTAATGTTTCAGTTCGGTTTACTTCCTATGCGCCTGAGATCGCAAAGTTTGTAAAAGAGTTGAAAACGCGGCGAAAGGGGTTTCAGGATTTTGGAAATGCAGTGCATGGGTCGGCGTTGCAAGAGGTAGAACAGGAGAGGGAGGTTGCTTTCGAAGTTGAGGCCGTTCGGGAGGTCCAGAAACCAACACGCTATACGGGCCTCTCTTTTCCTGGACTACACCAAGATATTTTGAACTTTGCTACAACTGGCAAACTCTCTGGTTATGCAGGTTTTCAGCATGCGTTTGTATTTTTGAAAGAAACGGGGGTGGGACAGAAGCATGGCATTAACCCACAGGCGGCTGCCTCGAACTTGTTTGTATCCAAAGAGTTTATGCGAACAGTAAAGCTACCTCAGGGCCGCACAAATGACAATTTTCTGGTAAGTTCTTGCTTCTCAGAATATGATATATATATATATATATATATAGCTCATATTATTATAGCGCCCGGTGAACTGGTTAATTTGGAGTTTTGAATCCGAAACGGCAATGATCATTATTCCTGAAGAGGCCGATATTTTAATTCCTATGTTTCAACGTGCAATTAATAATGGCACGCACTTGATCACATACGCAGCACCTGTCACACGGAAAATGTTACATTTCAACAATCTAACGTTTTATGCGATTCCGACCTTGCCTCAAAATTGGAGAGGACCTAAGTGGCTGACAATTCAACTAGGCATACTAGCGGGCCGCGTATACTTTGAGTTTGAAGAATATCAAGATCTTTGTGAATATTTAGCCATAGAAGATGCAACAAAGTACTCAGATGATCTATTTGATTCCCCGATGTCGCCTACCCCTTTCCCACCCGGTTCAGAAAAGGACACGACCATTTCTACGGAAATAATCGCTAAATCTGAGAACGCCAGTACATTTACAGGAAGGCCTCTAGTGTTCCTTCAGGACTGGCTAAGCTTAAAGCGAAGAGGTCAGGAGTTTACCCATACCCCGATGGGCTATGTCTGTCAAGGGAAATCTCTAAGCGATAGTCACCCCTTCTTCTCAAACGCAACCCTGCCGCCAGTGACAAAACCAAGTTGCACACTCCAAAAGCAAAAAATGAAGAGGAATGAAGTGGAAGAGAAGTTTGAGTCGGACTTTGAAAGTGAGGAAGAGGCCGACGCCCACAATGTATCGGAAGAGAGCGACGATTCTAGCAAAGCATACGGATTAGGTACAGAGGCTAATGCCAGCCATGTATTTTCCGAGGCTGAAAGCAGGGATGATGGCGAGGCATCCGAATCCGATACCAGCCCTGAATCAGCAGAAGAAAGTGATGGTGACGAAACATCCGAATGCGATACCAGCGAAAAATCATCAGAGGAAGAAGGCGGAAATGATAACTAGGTATGGTAACTAGATAGCTGTTATATGTAGTGTGTAGCAATCCACCTTTCTTTGTGCAAATATCACAGTTCTTCCCCTATTTTACTATTATTACTCCGGACGGGGCAGAGCTTCGGGGTGGCGGCTTTGAGTTTCGGCGGGGACTGTCCGAGGGTTCACCGGCCCGAAAATCTAGTGAATATCAACCACAGCATGACAGGTGGGCAGCCTGCTGGAGCTCTTTGTGGATAGGTTCTGAAAGGCTAGTCGGTGGCTTCATGGAGTTATTCACATGTTAGCTAACAATGCATTTATTCAGATGCTCCCCGCGATCTTTCTTCTCAAGCCGCTTTTCGTCGTCCGCCGCCTACGCTCCCTCGGCGTCGACAATTGCAAATAGATTCCTGACAAAATGTCAGGCCGCCGGACCTCAAACTCGAACACAGGCCCTTGATGCTAATCAGCTTCAGCTTTTCTCCTTGACACTCAACCGGAACCACCTCTACTCCAATACTCCGGCTCTATCCAATGCTCCCGCACCACCAGTCGGAACACCGGTTCCACCCGGGTATCATCTTGTGTACTTCACGCCTGCTTTTCTAGAAAGTGAGTTAGGCTCCGACGGGACCGATGTATCGTATAATCCGGATGCACCTTTTACAAGGCGGATGTGGGCCGGTGGGGAGGTTCAATGGCCAAGAGCACCAGATGGCAGATTGAATCTACTACGAGTCGGGCAAGAAGTACGAGAGATGACGAAGTTTCTTAGTGCCGAAGCAAAGGTGATTAAGAAAACCGGGGAAGAGATGATCATTGTTGGTTTGGAGAAAGTCTTTGAAAACGAACATGGCGTCGCCCTTACTGATAGACGGTGAGTTGGCATTAGTTTCTTTTGCTGAGAATCGCAGTTACTGATACCTTTTCAACTCTACAGCAGTTGGGTATTTCGACCTGCACTAAAAGTACCAAGCCCGAGCGAAGAGCCTCGTTCATACCCTCCGCTCTTGACATCCAAGCCTCCAGCGCCCCCTTCCCCGTCTTCTCCCACCACCAAGGTGTACACTCGAAATCTCCGCCAGACTCCAGAGTCTCTTTTCCGGATGTCAGCCCTAACATTCAATGGACACAAGATACACTACTCAGTGCCATGGGCACGTGAAGTCGAGGGCCACCGGGGCCTTGTTGTCCACGGCCCGCTGAACCTAGTATCAATTCTGGATTTTTGGCGAGATGCCCAGGAACACGGCAATGCCAACCCGGAGGACATGTTGCCTTTGAGCATCAGCTATAGGGCCACCAACCCCTTGTACGCGGGAGAGGAATACCAGATTTGCCTAGAAATGGACGGAGAATATTCCAAGGCAAATATATACAATGCAGAGGGCGTTGTCTGCATGAAGGCAGAAATCAAAGGTCCAAAAATAGACTAAATCAAAGTCCAGTCCATTGGTAACCGGATGAGCTTGTCTCCAAATGAGGCGCTATCTACTGGCCCAAACCACCATATTACTATGCATTGTAAATCCTTTAGTACTTTTCTATGATTCAAATCCCAGTTCTCGTTATTGTCTCGAATGAAAGGCGTTGGTGGCTGCGTGAGGAGAGATCGGATACAGGAGGTAGGCACCACGGAAAAAGTATCTTCCAATCGTATTTCAATAATCCGGGATTGAGGCTTGGCAATATCACGAGTATTTTCATCTTTGAGAAAACACAGCTGGGGCTACAGACGTCGGGAATAAAGTAGATTGAAAGCTCTTTATACTGTTTATCTGAAATGTTTCCTTGACCTAATTCCATTCCTCCCTATATTTACTGTGGATTTCCCGAGTCCTCCAAATTGAGAGCTACAACAGCTCCTCGAAGCTCCGCTCTGCCAACCACTGGATGTAGCTATGTTCGATACTGTCTGCAGTTATCCTCTCAGCTCCGATCTTTTTGCACAAGCGGTCCATCCTACTGAACCACTGGTATCCGTAGGGCTCTCGTCAGGCCACGTTCAGACGTTTCATCTACCGCCCCCCTCGGAGAATGGGAAGGCTGGATATGGGCATATAGACACTGTTTGGCAAACGAAGCGCCACAAGGGAAGCTGCCGGAGTGTAGCCTTTGGAATTGATGGCGAGAGCTTGTACTCCGCGGGTTCCGATGGTTGGGTGAAAGCTGCGAGGACCGAAACTGGGAAGGTAGAGTGGAAGTTTGCGGTGCCAAGAGCTGGCGATGGGTAAGTCTAGATAAAAAGAATCCCTTTCTTACGGGCGCATTGCTCTGATGCTTGTTGCGCTGGGGCTCAAAAGTTAAACCGTTTGGTTTATAGATCGAGTTTACCTGTCGACAGCCCATCGCTGATTCACGCACTGTCTCCACAAACGTTACTTCTCGCAACCGACTCCGGGGCTTTACATCTATTTGACGCTCGCGATCGCTCTACTGAAGTATCTTCTCGGCCACAACAGACCCATCATCCACATGACGATTATGTATCTTCGTTGACACCCTTACCTCCTTCAGAAACAAGTACTTCTGGCTACAGCAAACAATGGGTTACCACAGGTGGTACTACAATCGCAGTCACAGATCTACGCAGAGGGGTTCTAGTGCGAAGTGAAGATCAAGGCGAGGAGCTCGTCAGCTCGGCCTATGTAACTGGACTTAAAGCGGGAGGAACTAGCAAAGGGGAGAAACTAGTTGTTGGTGGAGCTAGTGGTGTGCTTACTCTCTGGGAAAAGGGTGCTTGGGATGACCAAGATGAGCGTATCGTTGTTGATCGTTCGATTGACGGCGGCGAGAGCTTAGAGGTCATTACAAACGTGCCCGATAATTTGGGGCATGGAAAGATCGTCGCAGTCGGCCTGGGTGATGGGCACGTGCGATTTGTGCAACTCGGGTCGAACAAAGTTATATCTGACCTATCTCATGATGATATTGAAGGAGTTGTGGGCCTGGGGTTTGATGTGCAAGGGAGGATGATTAGCGGTGGTGGCACTGTTGTGAAGGTATGGCATGAAGCTGTCAGTGAGGAGGAAGACAGCGAGGAGGAATCAGACGATGAAGTTGCTCAGAATGGACAGCTTCCTGGGTCGAAGCGTAAAGTTCAGAACGGCAAGGACAGTGATGATGATGAAGATGACGATAGCAGCGAGGAAATGAACAAAAGGGAGAAAACGAAGCGCAAGAAGAGAAAGAGAGGCAAGGGAAAGGATACGTCTAACGGCGTGCATGTCATGGCATTCAACGACTTGGATTAGTATCACTCGCATCTGAACATTGGCAATAGAGATGCTTGGGGGAAACAAAACTGGCGATGTGAAAAATTGCCGTTTTGGACAGCGACAAATTCTCAAGATATCTTCAAATCTAGAATATTATAAATGAAGGTGTTGGCATTTGCCTCGGCTCATACAGGTTTTATGATACTATTCAGCAATTGCATCTTTGAGCCGCGTCTCGACCGAGAACAAACATGTGCTCAAGAGTAGATCGGTAATGAGAGAATAGATCATTCGAAATTAAACCCCAAATAAAACAACTATCTGGTTTCTCGATTCTCGCGGGCCTCAAGTAGTGCCTGTAGAGTGCAGCTGTTGTGGTGAGTGAGCGTGGGGTTTGAATTCAAAGCGGAGAGCATTTGCCGTAGATTCGCGCCGGATGAGAAACACTCTCGGAACAAATTCAACACAGCAAGCTCAAAAAACCGGTAAAGGCTAAGATAAGTCCAGCCAGAAAATTGCTAAGCAACGCCCGGGAGCTTTAAAAGACCTTGTCGGAACAATGCCGGTTCATCCTGTATCGCCGCCTTCTTGCAGAAGAGTTACGGATGATAGCAACTTTGCTTCACCCTTCCCTCGTCAAAGCGGGTAACCAGAGCGGCGTATTACACAGCACACGGACTTTGACAACCATGGAAGCATTCGAATACAATGCCAGCCCAGCGCGGGTGGTGTTTGGATTTGGCACCATCAAACAGCTCCCCAGTGAGATTGCGCGCCTGAAGGTCTCGTCTCCGCTCCTTTTGTCTACGCCGCAGCAGCTACAGCAAGCCGATGATCTGAAGCGCCTACTAGGCGGCCAGGTGGCTGGCATCTTCTCTGAGGCCACTATGCACACTCCTATGCATATCACGGAAAAGGCCCTGAAATATGCTTCTGAACAGGGGGCCGACAGTGTCGTCTCCATTGGTGGTGGAAGCACGATTGGCTTGGGCAAGGCAATAAGTGTCAATACTGGCCTACCGCATATTTGTATCCCGACTACATATGCAGGAAGTGAGATGACTCCGATTCTGGGCGAGACAGCAGACGGCGTGAAGAAAACTAGAACTGATCCTAGGATTCTTCCTGGAACTGTTATATATGATGTGGATTTCACGATGTCACTTCCTGTTGGAATGAGTTCGACGAGTGGCGTAAATGCCATTGCTCATGCAGGTATGTTTTTCTTCTTAGTTTGATACGATTCTATAGAACTTTGAAGCAAATCTTCAATTCTAATACCATCGATCTCAGTCGAGGCGCTGTATGCGCGCAACGGAAACCCAATTATCCGCCTCCTCGCTGTTGAAGGTGTGCGTAGCCTGGCAACTGCGCTACCACAGATTGTTAAAGACCCGTCCTCTCGAGATGCCCGCTCACTAGCACTCTACGGCGCCTGGCTCTGTGGGATGTGCCTGGGTAGCGTCGGCATGTCTATCCATCACAAGCTCTGCCACGCTCTAGGCGGTAGTTTCGATTTACCCCATGCCGAAACGCACACTGCTGTTCTCCCACATGCTATTTCCTATAATGCACCAGCCATACCAGAGCCTATGAAGGCACTGGCTGATGCGCTTCCGGACAGCGAAGGCGATGCTATTCGGGGTTTAAATGTTCTGTTGACGAAATTGCCTGTAAAAAGAGCGCTGAAGGACTTCGGAATGAAGGAGGAGGATATCGACAAGGCTGCTGATATCGCGGTTAGCAACCCGTATTGGAACCCCCGTGAAATTCAGAGAGAGCCCATCCGGGAGTTAATTAGACGTGTATGGGCCGGCGAGGAAGCACGCGCCAATCTGTAGAGTATTATTAATGCTGCTGTTACTTTCTCTCTCCGTCGGTCTTGATGAGCGAACGATTTAAGATTCAGCGAATCAGATAAGATTGATTGATAAGATAAGCCTAGGCTCATGACATAATCAATATTTCGGCGTAATATTACACATCTATTACCGCCCCGCCAGCTAGATATTTCGCAGTCAGAAAGACATCAAGTTTGCCAGAGGAACACCAGCAGAGAGACACAGCTGGCATTACGCCGAGGAAGTCAATAATGGCTGTTGCACCAGAAGTTGCGCCAATTCTATCGACCCCGGACAACCACATCCTCGAGGCGACAGAGCCCACCACTACCCCGCGCACGACCGACTCGCAGTCAGACGAAGAACTCAACGTTATATACGATATTGAGAGGACGATCAAAGAGATCAGGCAGGGAAGATGGCGCCGAATTGCTCTACAATTTCCCGATGAAATGCTACCCGATGCACCTCGAGTGTTTCAACTTCTCAGCCGTGGACTGGAAAGTTCCGCAGTTGCCCCTCAATTGGAAGATACCCAAAAGGCCGGTGATAGCTCGAAGTCTTGCGCATGTGGGAAATTGGCGGATAATGGGACAAACAAGCTGGACTTGGAAGACGTTACTAAATCTTTCACAACTACTTTGAGTGTTCAAGACGTGCCGAAAGATCTACCTCCGAGGCTCTACATTCTTGGTGATACTTCGTACGGCACTTGCTGTGTGGACGAGGTGGCCGCTGAACATGTAGATGCTGATGCTGTGGTTCACTATGGCCGGGCATGTCTATCGCCGACGTCGAGATTACCGGTGGTCTATGTCTTTACACATAGAAAGCTGGATTTCGGACCACTCGTGGAGGCATTTGAAGACGTCTACCCCAACAAGGATGAGAAGATTTTGGTTGTCGCGGACGTCACATATGCCAACCACGTTGAGGCGATTGCTTCTATGTTAATGAAGGAAAAGGGGTACACGAATTTGTTTGCTACCAGCGTGGTGCATGATCCTGCTTCGCCTGTTCCAAATAGGACAATTCCGGCATCCGTCCGAGAGGAGCCAGAAAGCTTAAGAAATTGGCAGCTCTTTCACATATCGGATCCTCCAACGTCGCTTCTTTTGACGCTATCCTCGCGAGTCGCGTCAATTCGCATCTACTCCACCAACCGAGGGTCTAGTACGGTCCGACCGCCAAAGACGCTCCTTGCATCAACAGCAGCAGCGCTACGGCGACGATACGCAATCTTGACGTCACTTAACACAGCGCCCATCTTTGGAATTCTAATAAACACTCTGAGCGTGAAGAATTATCTACATATTGTCCAGCATGTGCAGCAGCTTATCGCAGGGGCTGGGAAAAAAAGTTATCTTTTTGTTGTTGGTAAATTGAATGCCGCGAAAGTCGCTAATTTCAGCGAAATAGGCGGATGGGTGGTTATAGGATGCTGGGAAAGCTCCCTTGTTGACAGTGCAGACTTCTGGAAGCCAGTGATCACGCCGTACGAGCTGGAGCTGGCTTTACAGAAGGACACGGATCGCGTATGGACTGGGGAGTGGCGAGGTGATTATCAGGCGATGCTGGATGATGCAAAATTGGGCACAGACGATCGCTCGACGGGGTCCGACGATCGAACAGACGTCGAGAGCCGCAGCCCTGACGACGATGACGACGACGACGACTTGTCGGAATCCGAATCGGCGCCTCCAGAGTTCGACCTGCGCACTGGCAGGTACGTCTCAACAGCCAGCGCCCGCCCCATGCGTAGCTCGCATGTGCAGCCAGCGTCTTCAGGGATGCGGCGTTCTATTGAGGCCAGAAACTCGACGGCGCTTACGCGAAGGATGAATGGGGAGATTGCGACAATCAGCGGCGTTGTGTCGCCGGGCGCGGAGTTTTTGAGATCCAACAGGACGTGGAACGGGCTGGGCAGCGACTTCACGGTGCAGTACGAAGACGACGGTGAGGCCGGCCGGGGCAGCGTGGTTGTCGAAGGGCGCAGCGGCGTTGCGCGCGGATACACGGTGGGCGTGGACACAGCGCGGCGGTAGTTAGTAGACGGGTGGATGTACTCCGTACTCCGTATAGCTCATATGTAGCGCAGTCAGTGTGTAATCGATGGCGAGTTTGCCCCAGCTAGAGCTCCATGGCCTTCCGCCAGCCCAGAGCAGCCAGCGATTGTCGCCGCCTCGGCCAAGCGGCCGTCACTCACGCACTCCAACAGCGGCGCTCAACGTGGCGCTGGCCGCCCCTTGCCAGCTCGTTAGTTAGTTAGTTAGTTAGTTCGCTCGGGCGCGGAAAGTATCTGCGCCGCCAGCGCCAAGCGCATATCAACCAGAAGTGTCGCCGAATTCCACGGCCGGCGCGCTGCCAACCGCTGCTCCCTCGCCTGCTCTGCCTCTGCCTCTGCTGTTCCCGGCCAACAAGCGCTGCTGCGTCTGAGCTGAGCTGAGCTGAGCTGACCGCCTGTGCGTCTGGCGACTGACGTTGTGTCGTGCAGATCCGCGCCCTTCAGCATCACAACTGAAGCAGCTCCTCTTCTGTTTCATGACCCTGTCCATCTCACACGAGTCTCGCGTTTCCTAATCATCGCATCGGCCACCCTTTCCTATCGCTCTCGGTGTTTCTATCATGCTTCGACTGCCCGTCCGCTCTGTCCCGGCGCTGCCTCTGAGTTGCTAATCCCGCCGCCTGCAGACCCGACCAGCCCAGGCCATGACCTCCAACCCCGTCGCCAGCCTCTCCCGGCTGCGGCTGGACGACACCTCCAGCGAAACAGCCTCCTCGGCCTCGCTCGCTGGCTCGATAGAATCCCAGGATGAAACGGCTTGGACCGATCACTACCGCCCGCTGTCGACCCTCGAACGCGTCTTTTCCACCCATACGCCCATCCTCGAATCGTTCCTCCTCCAAGCGCCCACCGACTCCATCTTTCGCCTTTACCACACCTCCCACTACCTCCGAACATTCCTACGATCGTATCCAACAGCATGGCAGTACCTCTCCTTTCGCCTTCTCCTGCCGTCCACAACCGCCCAGGTGCGTCCCGTCACCGCTGAAGCTGACGGCCAGGTCGTACAGCGACAGTCCCGGCCATACGCACTAGATCAGTTGCTCCTCCACGTTGTCATACCCTTCAGTCCGTCACTGAAGAGCCTGGACCTGGATAACACCACTGTCTCGGGCCAAAATCTCATTTCAACCGTCCTGAATGCGAGACGGGAGACCATCGAACATTTGTCAGTCCGTGGCTGCAAGAATGTTTCGCTCAAGTACCACATCATACCGTACCTCACCATGTTTGGGCTACAATACGATGCAGATATGAAATCAAGAGTTGGCTCATCTTCAAAAGTTAAACACCTTGCGCTTAAAAGTCTATATACCTATCGCTGCAGACACCATAGACGACGCCCATACCTTACTTCATCTTTACATCGAAGAGATTCGGATTCAGAACCTACCCATGAACTGGTTAATCTCTGCCATAAACTTGGAATATGGACGGATACGGCATGGTGCACTACCCCGGCTGGCCGGTGCTTCCGGAGAAGGGGTTATGCTCAAATGCGTGCGCCACAGGGAACCCCTGAAGTATGGGTCGTATTCGACAGGCTATGGAGATCTAAAAATTGGATAGGTCCGGTCATCGATTCCTTTGACTCGCTCAAACGTGATGGAAAATTATGGGAGCACGATGAAACAGGATGTTACGGAGAAGCTCTGGGAACAGGTGAGGACCAGTGCTACGGTGAAGGCAAAAGAATACCCGCACACTTGCGAAGAAGCCATCGAAAATTTATCGAAAACGTAAAATGCGATTCGTGCTTGGAAGAAATACATGAACGGTGCGAACAGTGTAGTGTCCTGATGCACTGTATGGGTTGTCGAAAAACGCTGTGCTATAGCTGCGCATATGACACTCCATACGCACGCGAACCAAAAGCAGAAGGAAATGAAGCGAGGCACAGCATCTGGTGGGCCCCCGGCGCTTCAACCACCCCGTGCTCGATGCAGGAACCCTCGGATGCCAATGCCGATGGAAACAATACTAATCATCCTCAGAATGGTATCCCAGCCCCTATCATATATCCTGTGCTGAAGTTTCGATGGTGTTGCACCGAGCCGACATTTACAGGCGGTGGTGGAATTAATGTGGGCCAAGGAGGTCGAGATGCAGATCGCATGCGAGCTGCTCCCCTTCCAAGAGCTCAGGGGTGGGAAGATCCAGAATATTCGTCAAATGAATGGAGCAAAACATTCCCCACGCATGCTTACGGAGACCCGTCGAAGCCAGACTATACTCTTGTCGAAGGCCATGTTGAAATGATGCGGTGGCTCCTTGGACCCCCCAATCACCAGACCTCTCAGTGTCCCCGGAACCTGTGCCAGGAATGCTATGATTCTCCACAGTGGAAGGTCCACTGCAAAACTTGCTCAAAGCCTTTGTGTATGGAACACGACCTACGTGGGCTTCGTCTTCGTATCTGTGGCTATCGAGATTTATTTATGGAGAAAATTGCTATCGACTATACTCCTGCGAGTTCTCAATCCGTGGTCAAGCCCCAGGCTCATCGTTCTTCATCTGCTCCCGAAGTCAATGTTCCTTCGTCACTCCTAACTACCACTCCTGTGAACAATGGACCGACTTCCAGCCACCCTCTTTCTATTCCCCAAACAAACCGCCCTTCTGATGACAGCCTAGTGATACAAAATTCGTCGACTAGCTCGAATAATCACACTCGCGCCTCATCACCTTCATCCGCGTTTTTCGAATCGCCTATGAGAATTGAAAAGTGGCAAGGATGCCAGTCCTTCTTCTGCCCTGAATACCGCGCAGCTGGAGATAAGCGCCAACGATGCACAAGCATTCTGAACGAATGCACATCCTGCTCAGTGCATGTCTGTCAGGACTGCGTCCGTGCCAACCCACCCTGCACGTGCACCTTTTGTGCCAACAAATATCTATGTCCCAATTGCTACCTCGTCGTCATCCGGAACGGAAACTGTCGCCGGCTCGAAGAAGAACGCGCCAAGTACCTTCAAAAACAGCGCGCTGGTTTAGAAATGCTGGACGTGGCTCTAGAGCGGCACATTGCCAATGAAGTTGCTGGCTTTGCCGGCCAATTTTTTGGCACCTTGTCGATCAGCAGCAGCAGCCAGCCCGGATTCGACCACATTGAGCACACTAATGAGTTTGATATTCATGCAGCCCCGTTCCTGGACCAATTGGATGGGCTCCATCATGACGATGCTCTTCACCAAGAGGAGTATACGCTTAATTCTGCCCTACCAGTCTTCTCATATGACGACGAGGAGATTGAGCAAGCGGGAAGTGGCTCAGAAAGGACAGATGTTGTTACTGGGGACGGTGCCTGATTGTTTATCTCGCTTTTCCCATTATAGCTACTGCATCTCTTCGATTTTCACGATGACGACTTTGACACTGGCCTGCCTTTCGTTTACTACTTTTCCTAATTTTTTGGAGTCATTTCTTTACAGCCCCTACTACATTACCGTCCCAGCCGATTGATTTCACTGCAAAGGTGTTTTAGGGCCTGATCTTCGTTTTTTTTCCTCTTTTGTCTTTTTCCTCAAATTGTTTTGCCATCTCATTTTCTTTTTCTATGTTGACTTTCCAGTGCCGTCTTTAACGAAATACCATTTTTTTTGTGTTCTTCTTTTTTCCCTACTTTGTTGCGTCCGAATCCGGGGAGTCCGAAAAAAGCACATTTTCAGGCGATGGGATTTGCTTTAATTGGGGGAATAATTCTCAAGGGGAAGATAAATTCATACTATTCCGCACCTACGGGGAGGGGAGCATTTAGCGGGTGTAATATCTCTGGCTCTGATTTTTCCTACATGCTGTTTATTTGATGATTTACTAATTTGTCACTTTCCTGGTTGTGCTGACTCTGGGAAACTCATTGTCTTCAATAAAGATTTCTATTTATACTGTTTATAAAGGCGCTTAAGATACACAAATGAAAACTCATTCCGAGTCCTTTTAGTAGAGGGCGTGGTGGGTCATAAACAAGAAACGGAGAATCGATACGCCCATATAAATGGGGCAAAAAAAAGAGAAATAGCAGAAAGAAGGACGTAGTATATAAATGTGCAAGATCGTTATGGAAGCCATGAACATGGGAGCAAATGAATAGTGATTGCTCAGCTGCTATCGTGTAGGATTATCAGTGTTGGCAATCCGTTATCAGCGACCAAGCTCCGATACGATTTTCCTGGGAGTAGGGGATATACAAAAAAATGTTGATCGTCATGTGCATCGGTGATGCCGAAATTCATACTTAGAAATCATATACCATGAAAAAGGTCAATGGAATTAGTGTGCTGGTTAAATAGCGTCAATCAAGTCCGTAATAAATATATAAAGCGTTGGGCAAAGCAACATGGAATCCGCTGGTAGTACGGGCCTGCTGGCCCATGTAAGTAGAAATCTGTGGGGAGGTGATGATGTAGGTATCGGTGCCCCAAAATAGGTTTCGGTGTTCGAAAGGTGTAGGATAGCTAATAAGGCTGCTTGGTGCGGTAAGGGAGCGCGAGGGGAACTCATGGCCTCGAATATGCTGTTGGAGGGAATGGGCAATCTGCCGTGGGCTGCCAGCTCCACTGTTGCGGGATGGGCTGAGGTGGGGCCGCCGAGCCATCAGGTCGGTGTAGCACGGGCTGCGGCTGTGTAACTGGTGACAATAATACATCGTTGGCTTGCGTCATCCCGGTGGCACTTGTGCAGATGGACATGGACCTACGCGAGGCTGCTCGCGACGATTGAATGGAGTAGGGTGGTGGTGGCGTCTCACTGGTTGCTGTGGACGTGTTCCCAAGGCTGCTGGGCACGGAGAACGCTGACGAGGCATCAGACGAGTGGTCGTCGCTCACCTTCGTCCGTGCTTGATTGACTTGAAAATCAAGTGGTGTCTTCTCGTCCACTGGGTACTCTGAGAGTCGCAGATGCGTCGGAAAGCTAAGGTCCTCAAAGGCAGGGGGTTTTTCATCGTTGACATCAAAGGCACGAGGCGTGTATGCGGGGAGTGGTGCGCAGGGGCCATATGGATCATCCACCACGTTGCCAACGTTACCAGTAATGGGATCGGCCATCATACCAGGAATGTGGGGAGACTGATGCTGCGTTGAGGAAGGCTTCGGGCCTTTTTGACTGTGGGCATTTGAAATGCAGCAAAAGATGGAGGCCAGGAATGCCATGTTGGCGTATACTTTGTCACTCAACACAACAACGTCCAATAGCGACAGTCGGCAAATAACTATCAGAAGTGTGCGGAAAGCTTTGGTGATGATATGGCAAAAACGACAATGGAAAGAAGGCCCTCGTCAGCCCCTTAAACATCTGTTGTTGCTCAAGGCCATGAATATCGGCGATAATGGCTCCTTATCGTCAAGACATATTCGATCCAGGAGAAGGGGATATGACAATCGCGAGAAAAGGGTGTTGCTAGCTTGCTGGGTTGAGCCAGAGTGGAAGATTCATATCAGAGAAGCCAGATCTGCGGGGAAACAATCACAGCGTCTAGAAATGCGGCTTGTTGGGTGTGAGGCTGAGCTTGCAGGGGAAGGCCTAGGCCTAGTACGATGCCATACGCGTATCTGTTGGGGTTCGCGGCTGTCTCCTCTGTATCGTACACGGCATTACGTCGGCTCCCATCATCGAATCAAATGAAGTTTACTTTACAAGAACGATAAGCAGGAATAACGTTGATCCGTTATCAGTGTATCGATACCGTTGTCAAAATTACGAGCGGTATATCGCACGACGAGCAGGAGATATCAAGATCACTTGTTCGAAAAGTTCACTGTTTCGCCGTTAAAAAAAGCTCGGCCTGCCATAAACTAAGCTTATTTGAAATTCCTATATTACTACCTGTTTCCTACCGCCGATTTTGACACCCACTAAGCTCGCTTTTACCCCACTCTGCAGCCATCTGGTCATCCAGCGGCATACCGAAGAAACCGCAGTTCAGATGTCACTTTCACCCCTCGAGGGTTTCGACGATTATGCGACGATAGCCCAACTTGTCCAGCCTCCTCAGGTTCCCCGCCACCGGTCGCACGACCCTTCCAACAATCAAAAGCGGACAGATCCTTTTCAATTTGGATCTCGGTTCCTTGAAGAAGGCGACGATGTGTTTGAATTCAACGCTTGGGATCACGTTGAAACAGATGCAGACTATAAGCAATATACAGAGCTTCAAATAGCCAAGCAGCGCGAGGCGCCAGTCTCGGATTTCGATCGTCAACGGTTTAATTCGGACCCGGCAAAGTGGTGGAATTTGTTTTATAAGAATAATACTGGTAACTTTTTTAAGAATCGGAAATGGCTGCAGCAAGAATTCCCCGTGCTCGCGGAAGTTACAAAAGCTGATGCAGGCTCGAAGTTGGTTTTGGAAATCGGTGCGGGAGCAGGAAACACCGCCTTTCCAATCCTGGCCAATAATTCTAATGAAGAGCTTAAAATACATGCTTGTGACTACTCCAAAAAAGCGATTGAAGTGATACGTGGGAATGAAAATTATAATGAACAGTATATCAGAGCTGATGTGTGGGATGTTACAGCAGAGGGGGATGACTCCCTTCCACCAGGGATTAATGAAAACACTGTCGATGTGGCAGTAATGGTCTTCATATTCTCTGCTTTGGCACCAGACCAATGGACGCGTGCTCTATTGAACATATATCGACTTTTGAAGCCCGGAGGACAGGTTTTATTCCGAGATTATGGTCGAGGTGACCTAGCGCAAGTAAGGTTCAAGAAGGGGCGTTATATGGACGAGAATTTTTATGTCAGAGGCGATGGTACTAGGGTATACTTCTTTGAAAAGGACGAACTGGCCCACATATGGAGTAAATGGACTCCCAGTGGAGGCCTGCCCAGGTATGAAGAAGAAGCGGGGGATTTACCGGCTGAGGTCACGCCGAACCCCAGCGCTGGATTCGATGTCATTGACCTCGCGGTGGATCGCAGGCTAATTGTGAACCGCAAGCGAAAATTAAAAATGTATCGCTGCTGGATTCAAGGCCGGTTCCAAAAGCGTGATTTACGCTCAGATGAGCGCTCCCGGGCCTTGCTTGGGGGCGAAGCAGCCGAGCTTAATAGTTGAGATGTAAGATGAAAAGCAATAATAACCAGAGGAGCACTATACGGAGTATATGTGGATCTCCAAAATGTCAACCTCCTATTAAAGAGATAGGATGAGCTATTGTTTCCCGACCCACCCCCGCAGAATAGATAGCTGTGGGCTAATAGTCGAGAGTGATTATTGACAAAACTATAGATATTTTGAACTAGTCAAAATTTGCACATCTTCAATGAGAGGTTTCAACGTTGGTCACTTTACCTTTTAACAAAATATGCTATGTACTAGAAATGTATATGAAAATATCAACAGAAAATATTCCGTCATTTAATTGCGCTGCAAACACACAAAAACATAATTTATCGAGATCCTTTTTCGCTCGTTTCTATCTCGCATTTGTATCTATTCAGGCAGTATTCCAAAAAGCGTGCCAGGGTATATTGCGATATGAAATGAGCCGAGTATATTCAATACTTCTTCACCCATAGTGCTCCAAAAAAGCATTATTCACGTAGCGTTCTTGCTTTGATGAAAGCCGTAGGAAACCAGCTCGCCAAGGGTACCCCGTATACGGACAGGCGATCGGTATGAGAAATGGCGGGGGACGGGTTAGAGATCGATTCTCTGAATTAGCTAGGAGTATTTCGGGGACCTGAAAACCCCGGTTTATGCGCTTTTGTTACCTGCTCAGAAGCGATTAGTACTTTAAAACCGGACATTCGCCTGCCGCGCGTGTGAAAGCTCCAGTAAAGAGGTGTTGCATCGCATGATAGTGAAACAAAATCCCACCCAGCACTGCGATATGCCAGATGTTATGGCTGCCACCAAAATAATCAAACAGGCCGGGACACCAGCGTTCAGGAACTTGGGAAGCATAGATGCAAGCACCCGAAAAGTATACAAGAAGACTTTTCATTATGGGTGAATAGAAATATAGGCACCACGTAAATCCTCGAGTGTAGCTTAACTGAATAAGTGGGGCGAATCCAGTCAGTGCAAGAGTAACGTAGAAAGCGACACGGGCCCAGGCCATATCAGCGCGGTTAAAAGTAGGATGCCAGGGAAGGATGAGGCCAGCAATGCCGAGAGAAGATGTCATAAGGATATAAATCCAACGAGAAAGGGGTTCGCAGTAAAATGCCGTATATTCAGTTGTAACGATAGACGCGGCGACTAGAAAGGATATTCCAGTATAATCCACGCAGGCAAATCGCTCCATTAAGGTCTGTGATGCAATGCCGTTCATGGTGTGCCATACCGTGCTGCAGACGAGACATTTGGAGGCGGCCGTGAAGAAAATAGCAGCCACAGCGATGTCAGCTTTGGTGCTAAGAGAGAAGTTGGGGCTGAGCGGGTAAAAATAGAATGCCACGGCGAGAACGATAATTAAACCAATTAGATGAGACCAGATGTTGACGAGTTCGTTCGAGAAGGTAAAAACTGAAGTCACGCATTCGATTTTGGAGGTCGTGAAACGATAGCCATCCAGGATGTGGGGGTTGACCCTCCAGGGATGAGGGAGATCTGCATAGGTGATAAGTCGCTTCTCTTTGGCCAGCAGAATGGCGCGCTCGATACTTTCACATAGAGCGAGCTGCGCATGTCGGGCGCGTTCCATCCCCTCATCGAGCACCACTCGAGCATGGTTTAGGCCCGAATCAACAGCACGCCACCCCTCATCAAGTGCACCATATATCCCTCGATCTTTAACGGCGTGTACACTTGATTCGAGTTCTAATAAAAAGCTTTCCATGAGTCGCATACTTGCTTGTGCTTTCTGTTCCAGTGTTTCTTTGGTTGCAAGCGCATGGTTATATTGCTCCTCCAACGTTTCTACCACTATTCTTGCTCGACGTTTCCCACTTCCCATAAGCTCACCAGATGCATGGCAACATTTCTCCCTTACAGTCTGTAAAGCGGAGTATGCTCGCTTTAAGCCGGAATCGACGTCTGCTATATGTGATTGTCTGTAGTTCTCCAGCCATTGTAGCCGCCGTTCTAGATCTGCTAGAAACAATTCAACCTACGCGCGTACAACCAACGTCAGTGACAATAGCACGGCACACCCGCTTCTACTTACTCTTAAGAAGATAGCGTCGGCATCGTAGTCACACGAGAGTCTGCGAACCGAATGAAATGAGTGTCTGCGCCTTCGACTTCGTAGGATATCTGATGCAGACAGTAAACTGGTGGTTTCTGTCATTTGCGCTTGTTCAGCATGAGATTCCACGGCCACGGGGGACGTGGCGCAAGCCATGGATACGAGAGTATGCAACGATAGGTAAATGAGCAGCTCCCCCAGATATCGAGGCTCTTGTACTTCTGGGGGAGGTTGGCGAGGCGTAGCAACTCGGAGTAGCAGGTATTCACGACCAGGAACTCAGTAGCTAGACTATCTAACGTTTTGCTGTCGTCTGAAAGTAAAACACAGCAGGCTGTCAGAGGAACCGGAGGGGAAGACACCGGCGATTTATGGGACAATGGAAGAAAGACTGAAGAGAATGCGGGCAGCTGACGTATAATAAGGGAGAAAGCGGAAGCCAAAGGTCCCAGTGAAGTGGGGTACCGCTGCAAATGAAAAGCCTCGCAGCGGGCACGGCGCGACAGGGCTGGGTGCCCAGCGGCGTAGCGTCTTGTGATGCCCACGTCAAGGCGTTCTCGGAGGATTCCCCGCGGCCCTAAAACGCGGCCAGTTGGCGGTCGTCGAAGTGGGCTCTGCAGGTATTTCTGGCGATGCAAAAGCCTGAATCGTCGGCGGTGGCCGTGGCTGTGGAAGCTCAGGGGTCTTGGTACGTACCAGTACCACCCGCGAGCGTTGAACCTGCTTGTTGACCTGTAACAGGCGGTAACATTGGGACTCAACTAGCCGTATACGGCTTAGCCTAGGAACCGTACCAACATTGATCCGCGTATGGCGCTAGTCAGAGTTTGGCTAGTCTCTGATTAGCTAAGCGTGTCTTGATTTCGGCGTTCATCCCAAACCACGACCGAGACACGACTGAGCTCTGCAACCACTGCAAAAATGGCTGTAGAAGAGATTGTTACTGATTCCTCTCTGCTGCCGGTGCTTGCAGCTAGCTCTAAAACGGTCTCTGAATGTCAAAACCTCCTTGCTTTACTTGACCCAACCGCCATCACTGCGCCGCTACCCAAGGAGACCACTCTAAGCATCTCGAAGCAGCAGAAACTAGTTTTTTCATTGCTTGCTCAGCTACGAGGCCTGAATCGCGATGCTGTTTTTAACGTCCGATCAACGAAGCAAGCTACTGCAGAAGCTCGCCAGGAGGTCGATCGGCTTCACTTGCATCTCCAGAACTTATACTATGAGCAACGACATCTGAGTGGGGAGATTGCTGCATGCGAGTCATATGAGTAAGGTTCCCTAAGTCTCGCTTGACTGTATTTGCTAATCGTCTGCAGTCACTCCTACATGTCGCTGCCCTTGATTCCTGTCGAGGAGTTCCTCAAACTTTATCCAGAGCATGTCGACTGCGACCAAAACGAACTTATGGTTGCACGTATAAACCATGAGCACGCTGAGCGCGAAAAACTGGAGCAAGCTAGGCAAGAACTCTTGAAACGGAAGCAAGCCCTAATAGCGGAGAATAAGAAACGAAGAGACGATCTTGCTAGCCTAGACGCAGACTTGGAACGTTTCATTGATGTGAGATCCTTCAACATATGTGATAGACGACTGAGTTTGGTACGGCTAACGCTACTTGTAGGCTGCTAAACCAATTCAAAAACTATTCGAAAAGGAATACGCTGTGGGAAACCGCAAGACCATTGTCGATGAGAAGTGATTCTCCCCGGAGTATCTCAGCAATATTCAAATATTTCCCAAGCCAATCGCCATTAGCAACAAGCGATAGAAATTAGCTGTGCCAAACTGCTATCAGAAGGTACGTGCATGCTGTGATGCAAGCAAATCTTCATAGCTTGCAAGATGTCCTGGAGACTATCAAGAAAGGACTTCTGGCGCCCGAAGTCAATTTAAAAGCTATTAGCTACCTGGGCAATAAAATCTACAACAAAACACGGCTTTATCACTGCAAAAATAGACTACCAACTTCCGGCCCAAGCGTGGCTGAGTTAAGAGCGATGGCTACTGAGTAATGGGCGATTTGGCCCACCCGCATTAAATGCACCGATAGTTGTCAAGTTAGCAATACAGCTACCTTGTCTCAAATGAAAAATCCTTCTATCAATACTTCTTATGTAGGCCACTTTTTATTATTCATCGTAATGAGAGTCTTGTCGCGGTTCAATGGAAGCCCGTACACCCCTGGCCGTCGTTTTGTGTTGAGCTGCTAGAACGGGCTGCCAAGCTGGAGTCGCGGATTTCGGTGCAAGCTGGAGTCAACTTACTCTTCCTCAACCAGCACAGACTAGAACATGAGCTAACAATGCCGAATCGACATGGAGGCGCCAGGAATTTGTCCGCGGGCACTCCCGCTGAACCTACAAATACAGCAGAAACCGAATCCTTGACAACGGAAGGCAAAAATGTGGCGAACGCTCAACTCGGCCCTCCGCCTGAGAAGCCGGAAGCAATTCGCACCAGGTCGCTTGTGATATGGGCATTTTGGGCAGTGATAGTGTTATTGGGGGTTCCAATGTGGTCAAAGACAACGTCTATTTACAGAGCTCGACTTCCACTTGATGATATGATAGACTGGGCTGCTGGCAAGGTACGTTGGTCCGCCATGATGAGGGAGAACCATCTAATTCATTTCGATCTCAGTCATGCCGACCAGTGTTTCCACTTCAAATAAAAGTCCAAGCTCCTTTAGTTCAGACCCAAGACGCGAGGAATCTTGTTCAATCGACACAGCACGCGCTGGACGATCTTAACGACTTCCCTGCTCACCACCTTCGACTCCAGCTAGTGGAGAAGCCACAAGGTCTTGATGAAGACACCGCAAACATCGTGGGTCTTGATACAGATTTCAATACCTCGAATACTGCCGCCCTTGTTGTACGACTCCTCCCAAGTGATAACATTACAGCGCCGATTTCAAGTTTGCATCAGTATGTCGAACGACTGGATATTTCGTATCCATCCAGCCAAATACAACAACAATCAGCATCACAGTCGCCTCTAGCTTCATTTATTGCTAGGGAGTTACAGAATCTATTCAGTGAGGAGAAGGCCACACTGCAATACATTCTCTCCAAAAGTAACATGTTAGGTCCCGTCCTCCAACCCTCGATCACTAGCAGATCAACGGCAGGGCTGCAGTCTTCACATGGTAGCATAAAGGATCAACGGAATACAGCTATGGGGTCTGTTGCTCCAGAGCTGCTGGACTCTATTGCTCGCCGGATCAGCCGCTCCTTCAAGTACGCGGATACGTATCACCTAAGCTTTTCTCTCTTTACTCCTGGTGCAGAACCCTCGTCGTGGGATATCGAGCCAGCTCTGCAGGAATACTTGATGCCTCTTCTTACTACCCTTTCTCCGATAAGCAATTTCACGATCACCACTCAGGTCCAACTCTATGCCGCTTTCTCTCCGACTTTCACGCCTCTTGAATACGACCAGGCTCGAGAAGCATGGACTCTTAAGAAGGAAGATCTTAGTGCTTTTATTAATGCTGCAGAATGGCCGTTAAACCCTAGCATTGGTCGTGGGCCCACAATCAATTTCATTCTCTACGTTCCGGCGCCCACCCAATCACCCCTCGTCATCAAAGAAAGCCTCGCAACAAGCTGGCTAATTCCTCAATGGGGGGGAGTTGCTATTCTCAACCCACCCGTGTCCCTCGCGAATGAGTCTCCTAAAAATCCATCCCACCTTACCAAAGAATCCCTTCATCGTGCGCTATCCACATTCTCTCACCAACTTTTCTCCCTCCTAGGAGTGCCGACTTCCCCATCTTCTCTACCATTACGCCTTCAACACTTGATTCGAATGAACACAGCGTCCTTACTAATCTCTGCCTCTTCTACCATGGGATCTCTAGCCCGACTCACTCGCTCTCTTCCATCAATTCCTATCCCAGCAAATGTTGCTACGTCCGTATCAAGAACGCTCTCCCATCTATCCTCTGCATGTGACCTCTTACGAGATGGGAATTTCATGCAGGCCCTCGCTTCTGCTCGCATTGCCGAGAATGAAGCAGAGAGGAGCTTCTTTGAAAAAAGTATGGTTGGACAGGTATATTTTCCAGATGAGCATAAGGTTGCGGTCTACCTGCCTCTCCTGGGACCCATTGGAGTCCCGTTGGTGCTGGGATTAATCAAGGAAGTCAAGAGGCTTGTGTCCTGGTGGAAAACGAGGAAAATATGATATCTAGGCTAAAACTGTGTTGGCACGGCTTTTTGGCGAGATTCTATTTGTAGCAGGTACCCTGCGCTTTCTAAATTGTTTCTATTTGACACTGATTTCAACCTCCATCATATATAACTACCTCAGATGTTTAAATGCAAGAAGAATCTGTGCTATTACGCTTTTGTACGCAGTATTGCATGTTCTTATAAATATATTGTAATATAAAACAGTCGAGCCAAAAAAATATTATATCCCGGGCCGAAGCGTATGTTCATTTTGGTAAAATCGTTTTTGTGCTTGTTGTTGCTCGGGTTCACCGACCTGATAACGTGGGCTTCCTCGCGGATTCTGGAAGCCGACCCTTTCCATCATCTGGCTGAAAGTAGTAGGCGGGCGGAAATTAGTTTCATTGATATTCCGACTTGGTCGGGCAGTCCCTTCGTTCAGTTGAATTGGACTGTAAACCCGTATACTTTCCATGGTTTGTTGGGTACGTGGGTATATTTGTTGTGGAGGAGTGATAGGCATAGTTGACGCATCCGGGACAGTGATAGTCAATTTAGGAGCAAATAAACTTTTTACTCGCGTACTCGCACGCGCCCTAATTGATCGGCTTTTAGGGCTATTCTCTGAGCTTCCTTGATGACGAAGAAAGTCAGTGCGGATGGAGCCTTGCGCACTAGAGGGTATGGGATCTGATATATGGAGGATCATATTATCGTCCGACCTTTGTCTAAAGGGGCCAGGTTTGGATGAGGCGGCTGGTGTTCGGTTCGCTCGACGCTTTTGCAAGAAATAGAATGCAAGCCCCAATAGAAGGCCAGCAATTAATCCAGGGAAAAAGCCAGCGGCAACCGCTCCGCCAGGAAACGACGGACAGCCAGGGGCTTGGCAGGGTGAAACATCGGTATTGGGTGTGTGAACCGGGGTCTCTGCTGTTGTGCTAGAAGTGGAGGTTGAAGTAGAGCTCAGCGCAGCCGACGTGGAGGTAGCAGAACTTAGAGGGTTTTTATTCATGATTTTGCAGTTTCCGTTGAAGCAACCATATCCATGCGGGCAACAACCGCTTCCACATTGCGTGAGAGGGTCTGTAAGCCGTACCGTCTTAACAAGGCTGGAAGGGTCTATTGCAACATTTTGCCGCTGTATGTCGCAGGTGATGGTCTTAATACTGGTGCAATCACTTCCATTCGGACAGCAAATTAGTGTTCTAGAATCATCCAAACTAAGGCAAGATGACGACGGTGGACAACAGAAATTGGACGGAAGATTTTTGTCAGGGCACCTTAATAGGTTTTGGCCTGGGCAAGAGGCGTCGTCTCGACGCAGCACATTGGAAACGAGTCCTGGTACGGAGGCTGAATGGGAAACACTTAGAAGCTGAAGGGCGCTGAGCACGATGTGCTGTGAATGTCGCATTTCTATGACCAAGGTACGAAACTAGAATACTGAAAGTTGAAAGATTAGGAAGAATAAGAGGCCCCGGTGGTACAAGTAGATAATTCAGAATAGATGAGATAGCATGCTAGAAGAAAACGCTCTTCAACTCAGTTGAAGAAAATGGTCAATAAAAACAGCACACGAGTTCAACTCGGTATAAAAGGTGGAAAGTAAGCCAGACTTGACGAAAGACATAGAAAAAGGAATCGTTTCAATATATGAATGGCGATTCCACGAGCAGCAGGCTTCAGACATGCGACCCTCGCTGCAGACATGATTGCAAGGGGAAACTTGGTATTGTGGCTATTTCAAGCAACCTAGAGAGCCAATATGGGCCACTCGACCACTAGTCGCACACGATAGCCAGACGCCCAGGATTCTGAAGAAAACGGGCGGCTGTCGAGTCTGAAACAGCGTCAAATGCAGCGCGATGGTTGGGCGACGTTGAGTTTCTTCTGGTGGTTCTAAATTGGGATCCTTGTCAGGCGGGCGGATGCCAGCCAGGGATCAGCGTTATGATTGGCTGGTTGTCCCAACACGCAGCGCTAGGCCTATATCGGACTAGCGACCTTGGCATTAGAAATTCTGGCCTTGAAAGTTGAAGCAAAAAGTCGTCGACACCGAGTTCGGCTCGAGCATCGGGCTGTTGGCAATGGTTCAGTCTGGTTCTTCATGATATCCCAACGGTTATTACGGCCGCAGCTCGGTCTGCGTGCTGGGGCTTCAACGAGAGTCAGTTTTACACGCAATTCCTTGCCCGACAGAAACGCTAATCGTGCATGCTCTCTGTAGACACTTTTATCGCAGACCCATGGCCGAGAATTGCATTCTGTTCCGAAATTGACATACTACAACATTTTCAAAGAGAATGGCGTTCCGGGTATGTTATCTCCCAGTGGTTTTCATATGGCCTGGGACCAATATCAGGGCTATCTCGTGGATAAATTGAATGAGATGACAGCAGGTAGGCCTACCGTCCCCATTTTCAGGGCTTCAAAGTTGGAGTTGGCACCCAATAGACCGTTGATTGACAGGTTTCTAGGGAAACCCGATGCGGATGTTGCCACCGGATCACTCTTAACCAAGTACGCGCGTGATGCTAGTAACGCCTCACTTTTTAACTATGCTTCGATGGCGCATAATAACCATTTGTTCTTTAATTACCTTGTGAGCATCTAATCGAGACAATTCTCCTCCAGGGTCTGATCTAACAAATCGCTCATATAGTCACCCGAACCTGTCGAAATCCCCACCAAGCTATTAGAAGCGATTGATGAATCGTGTTCGTCTTTAGAGTCACTTAAGGCAGAATTCCTTGCGACTGCCAACGCCATGTTTGGGCCAGGATTCGTGTGGCTAGTAAAGAGAAAGGATACTGCTGAACTAAGAATTTTGTGCACTTATATCGCTGGCTCGCCCTATCCTGCCGCGCATTGCCGTCTTCAACCCATTGATATGGCTACTGAGACAACTGGAATTGTTAGCGGTGAACCTTATCAAGCGGTTAGCAAAATCGCAAACAGAACCTATGGTTCGATGGGACGATATTCCAAAGCCAAACCTCTTGCTCCCGGTGGCGCCGATGTTCACCCAATTCTTTGTGTAAATACATGGGAGCACGTATGGCTCCAGGATTGGGGCGTTGGTAGAAAAGCGCAGTATCTCGAAGCCTGGTGGAACAGTATCAACTGGGAGGCTGTGGCTCAGACCTACCAATCTATTGGGCCGGACAACGTCATGACTCGGAGAAAGTTGCCTGGTGCTTATGCGCGGGCCTATGCGTAGCCGGCAATTTTGAATCTGGCACTTGTTTTTTGGTCAAGCGATGTACAATATCAATACCATTTTTCTATTTTTGCCATTTTTTTTTTTTTTGGCGTCTGGTTCCCTCTTCGTAGAGGGATAGGGAGTCAATCCCAATGTACCGTATCTATGGGGAAAACTGACTCTATAGAGAAACGTGTCTATGTTCTCGTCATTTTAAGGAATCGTGACTCTACTCAAACAAGAAAACCCCACGTTCCCGAAAGAGGCTCAAACTCCATATACCAAAATGCTGAATCACTTCCGACCCTCGACCTCAATGACCCTCTTTTCAAACGATTCAATCATCAACCCAGCAACTTGGTTCTCCACTGCGCTCATCATGGCAGCATGCATTGCGTTTCTGAAACGGAAGTTCACGGATAGATTCACCTTCGTCATCTCCATTCCCACGGCTCTCCCTTCCAAGGGTTCCAGTTTCCAGATTGTATCTAGATATTCAAACAAGCCGCCATCCTTTCCCTCCTCCCCTTTGCGTTGAAATGCAATTTCCCCGCTCCTTGCTCCCACGGTCCATTTAGATTCGTCGCATTCTACTTTAGAATGGAAGGTTTCACTAAGTGGACCGTACCCAACCGTAAGATAGGCCTGGGTTGGATAGCCAGTTGTACGGTCGCGAGCTGTAACGGTAGACGCGGTGAGGAAAGGAAGAAAGTCTCGGTATGACTCCACAGCAGAGATCATGCGGAAGAGTGGAAGCGGCGGGAAAGAAAGAGTCCGTGAGGCGGAAAGAGAGCGTGGTGGAGGGGCAGAAAACTGGGGGGTAAAGGAGGAGAGTGAAGGGATGTTGAAAGCGCGAGATTGAACGGATATCGACGTCGTGAGCGGTTTTGAGAAATGAGATCGCATGAGAGGGACAAGAGGCTGTGCACGTGAGATAGCCATTGTTGAAACAAATGAATTAAAGCAGTCAGTTTTTATGCAATTTTTAGGATTATGCCGTTTGTTTTTATTTCATGATGGTGGTACTGGGGGGTAGGTCAGTTGTATAGAGCAAGAGAACCGAGACGGGATGCAGGCACTATTTTATAGATGTGACAATGCTGTCCCCCGCGCCCGTATCTTCCGTATCGTCTTATCTTCAACTGCCACAGGGCCCGGGCCGAGCAACCAAGCGGGAATTAAGCGGATTGTGCCCGGCTACAGCGTCCAGGTAAGGTGGTGGCAGCGGCTAAACAACTGAGGCCGTTTTTCGGGCGTCAGGAACCGGGTGCTTAGTCAGCATTCACACACGCCGAGATGTGGAAGTTTTCCTGGGCAGGACTTTTGCACTCCGTACGGAGTACTCGCTTTGGCCTCGAAGTATCACAATTGACTACTAGAAGGAATGGTACTACGTCTTGTCGTGCTTTGTAATACTGTTGCCAGTATCGGGTGACGAACCCGATACGAACATTCTCCTCCTTTCAGTAACCCCTATTTTTGATCCATCTTTTGGTCGTAATGATGAAAGTAGGATATCCACAGCATTTGAATTACTGGGAACCAATAAGTTCCGAAACACAGATCTGGGGGTATTAGTTCACAATCGTGAATCAATGTCCAACAAAAGCGGTCGATATGGTATACAAGGGCTTCATGCCCATATATATCAGTCGGTGATCTATGGCCGACTATCATATACCCAAACAAGTATATTACAATAAGAACTGCTTTAATTCCAGTCTCACCACATAAATCGCTGGACCTGCTCCGGCTCCTGCGACCACTTGAACCCTTTATATAAAAATAGATACCCGGTCGCCGCATTTATGATGAGATACCAGGCCCCTTCAAGCACAAGAGGTAAAAATTGCAATAGTCTCCGGTGTAAAGCTATTGAAGGTGAATATTCGGTCTTTAAAAGGTAAGTTGAAGGTGGCATATGCAATCGCCATATTACCCAGGGCATAATATAGTATCGTGGTTCAACGAGAGGCGCAGTTATTAAGCAGAGTGTTGTGGACGCAAGCCAGACAAGCACGAAACTAACTCGAATCGAACTATCGGTTTTGTTGATTTCAGAATTCATCAACTTTGGAGAATTCTTAATGCTCTTTTTGGACTTTAGCTCCACCTTGGAGTTCTCCAAAGAGGCAACCAGCCTTCGAAATGATGTTCCCCCGAAACACACGTTTGTCGCCCAGCCAAACACAAAGTATATCGGAGTGACTGCATATTTTATAAACGGCTTTCGAAGTAGAAGGCGAAAAACATAAAATACGTAGTGTCGGTTGTCCGCTAGGGTAAAAGGATGGACAATAGTGTTGAAGTGAACTATTAGAAGCATGGAGAGAATACAGCATGCTGCAATGGTCAATCGTGGTAAAAAATGACAGACAGCAACGTGGCCGTTTTTAGAGAGCAACGCATGCCAGAAATCCACCACGCGGGGCGTAGCTATCAAGGGCCAGCTAAAAAAAACAAAGTATGGCCAAATGTAAAGCATCTGTGGGAGGTGTAGGCTAGCTGTATGAAATTCCTTATGACCTGCAGATCAATCAGTACTCGTTGGATATTACTTAAAGAAACAAACTCTAACCAAGAACTACACTTCCATTCCACAGAACGAACAGTCCAAAAGACCCAAGGACCATTAAGTAGGGCAGAAGCTCTGCGAGCACGATACAGATATTTGCAGCCGCCGCGATTCCAATTGACACCCCTGCCTTGAAGTAATCTATGCATTGAATGTTAACTTTCTATGGTATACAACATATTATCAAAGGCCTGGCTTAAACTATACCTTCGAAAGCTGCGTCACTAACAAGTGGATCGTACAGTTTTCGATCCTTCCAGCTAGATTCGATAACAGCGTTGATAGCTGACACCTGAGTTTCGGTGTGCACGGAACGAATCGTTTTGATTACTCGGAGACCGCCAAGAAAGACTGCAACCCAGAATATATTCGTTTGGCGGAATATCAGAGAAGTTATTCCAGACAGGGTAAAGAGAGCAGTCTGGTACGAAAACACAGTCTTCCAAAGAGAATTCTTGGAATAGCTCGGTCGCTTTAAGTCCTGGCGGTAAACTTCCAGTACAATAAGCAATGCGGCTAAGTCTGTATAATATAGACCAGAGAAAAAAAATATCGGCGGGAAAAGGCAGATATTTAGGGCAGTGAGACTGAATGCCCAGTTCGACTCTTCGGGCACCAAATTGCTATTCTCAGAAACAGAAGAGTCCGTTACTGCCCAGATGCTTCTTAATAAATTCCTGAGCAAAATTGGTAAAGAATTGAAAAGTACCAATCCATTGAGAGATCGAAGATATGAAGCAGATAGGATCGTAGGTTTCCGAGAAATCAAGAATCCCACTGCGCCCAACAAGTACGAGAGCAAATACAAGCCGGGGGGAGTAGTAATCTTAGGATCCCATTGGCTCCATTGATGCCTCCAGTAGGTCTGCGACTGTCTGACATGGAAAACTTCATCCAGATACGGGTCAACGACCGTTCTATTCACTTTGTCCAGCCAGCAGAGAATACATGTTGAGATAACAGCGGTCGTAAGAGCTATCGAGGTAGCTGAAGCCGCATAGCTAGAAGATACACGCTGCTTCATCCTCAGAAAGCAGCAGCTCTAAACGAATATTCTAAGAGTTGTGTGATTCGTATAGTTGTCAGGAGCCGTCTCCGAAGCTTCTCGGAACGGGATAATATTGTACCGATATGGCGGAACTGTTTATCCGAGCGGTGGGGCGGTCGCAGTACTAGTGCTCAGAAAGCCACAATTATGGATATTTCGCCATATCCCAACCAAGGACCCATGGCGCAACGGTAGCGCAGCAGACTCCAGATCTGAAGGTTGAGCGTTCAAATCGCTCTGGGTTCAGAAATCCACCACTCATAGCGGTTCGATTTTCCTTTTTTCCTTCGTCTTTTTGAAGACTGATGACACCCCATTATTATCCTGTATTAAATAAAAGAAGAAAGTTGTGCAATATAGCTTTCACTGTTGTCCTCGGTACGGAGTACTCCGCACATCTAGCAAGAATCAAACCTGTAAGCTACAGAGTACGGAGTACTAATTGCCATGTCCTTCACTGTTCATCCCTAAGAAACATAGAGTCAGCGGCTCATTTTCTGAATATTACACGTATTGTACGCGACCTGGAGTGACATGCTGAAAACAGAGATTCGGCTTGCTCCTCCGTCCAGAGTACTCCGCGGTTACGACTTCAACATACTCCGTATTACGTAGTTTAGATAAATTCCGCTGCTTTTATACCGATGACTAATCGCCGACACATCTCACCAACCTCAAGCCCAAGCAGTGACGACGAACATAGAACATGTGGTGGTATGGCGTTCCCTCTACCCCGAGGCCTGACGCCTCCTGAAATCGCGTTTCTTTGTGAAATGGAAATGGTAACTGTCGTACCTAGGCAGCGACTTGAAGGTTTAGAATTGCTTGGTGTGAGTTCGACCCTGCTTGATCAATGTATGCGGCTAGCGCGCGAATATTCCTAGTGATTGATGGTAGTGAAGAGGCAGGAGGCGTAGCGCATCTCACCCAAAGTATTATCTGCCCAAATACTAATATGCTCTCATCTTAGGGTCCAGTCGAGCCGCTGATCCCGCCTCGTCGAAGCTCCCTGCCACTCTGGTTGGCTCTTCTGTTAAAACGGCAGCGTCGTGCTAATATTCTCCCACCACCCTGGCTAAATGCCGAATGGCTCTCTGATTTCCTAGCTGCCGAGACTGACAGTGATACTTTCCTACCACCTGCGCCGCTCGATTGGCCCTCATATACCGGGAAAATATCGCGGCGAGACCAGCGACGAGGCGCGCAATCAGGAGTTAGGCGCACGCAAGATGGTCAACAATATACTCCCTCTGCGCCATTTTTACTTCAAAATGTTGTGGATGACGTAGCTGTACCCCCACGGACCCCATGGCTACCTTATCACTGGCTCGAGCTGGCAACCTTGTTGCTGGATTCGGCGAGCGATGACCTTGTCGAGCCCGATCAAATTCGTCGCATTATAAGGGATATCCGAGAAATACGCATGGCAAAAATGAGGAAGTTTACTGAGCACGTAGATATAACAGCAATCGGCGGCGGAGAAGGCTTGCCATTGACCGGCGTGGGGGCGATGGAGATTGGTGAAGCAAGGCGGTTTTTGTCTGCGGCCGCAGAGACTTTAAGGTATGTGACAACACCCCTTACTTATCTTTTATTTGCTATTTGAAGCTGTCACAGGCTCACTAAATATTTTTATCAAGGCAAATCGGTGCATCGAAAGAAGAGGCTTTGAAAGAGCAAGCCGAGACAGGAGGTGGTATGCAGAACGACTACAGCGAAGACGATGATATGGAGCTATAGTACACTAAGAGTATTCAATTTTCACTCGAACAAGAATGCGACGCCGATGCGCAAGAAAAACGTTGCGAAAAGAGGGCCAATATTGCGGTTGTCTATACTTCGAGGATATAAAGGGCTAGGAGCATACCGATGCTCTGGAGTGGCCATACGGCGCCGGAAGAAACACCCCACGCATATAGGGAAATTGGGGCCGCCACGATCCTAATGCTGTACCGTCACTTTTGGCCGTACAAGCCATAGTCTTCACACACATATATAGCAGATGTTTGTGAAAGAAACGCTGATTGGGCATTTTGAGAGTGGGAAATTCAAAACGAGCTTTCTAAGATTGACCAGAGATGCCATCTTTTTCCAACATCTTTCTCCTCGCCGCGAGAATCATATCGTCCCGGCGCTTTTGGAGAAGCCGTTGTCTCTCACTTTTATTTTGCGACCATGCACTTTCAGGTCTTATAATTGTGCTGGAATCGGTGGCGGCGGCAACTGTAGCCACACCTTCCTTTATTCGCGAACTGAGGTTGTATCGTGTAATGAGATCGTCGGTCGGTTGTTTTGATGATGTTGTTGACGTCGCTGGGATTGCGGGACTTGCTGGTTCAGGTATATTTGGCTGAAAGGAAGGCGGCGGCTATAGTTGAGAAGAACAGAGAGGTGTTAGCCAGCGTAGACCTGAGTTCAATATACAACATATGCATCACAATCTACTTACGGTTTCCAGACCCCTCCCTCCTAGCACCCTCTCAGTCGTAGCAGCCACACTGCCCCCATTCCGCTGCAAATCCCACATGATATCTCTCCGGTTTAGCTGCGGAAACATCTGTGCCAGCTGCTCAACCTGCGCGGGATCCACTCGGGAACGAGAGCCGCTCCGCTGTCCAGAACTTTCCCCATTTCCATCTCCAGGCCGTGAAAAAAACCACCGGATAACGAAAAACGATACGACGGCAAGAGTGAGAAGAGAAGGGATGTTGAGGGAGGGCTCGGCCTCGGCCATGTATGTCAGGTTGATAGGGGTCGTGTGTGGCGGAAGCTATGAGGCGGGCAGTATTGTAGATGAAATGGCAAGGCTAATCGCGGAAGGAGGAGGAGACTAGTAGAAGCTCAAGTTGCGTAATGCTTTAGATTCTTCAAGTAATGCGTAGTCACTGCGATGGTGAAGTGAGAAAAGAGTACATAAAGAGGCGGATGGTGGTGCTATACGGAGTAGTTAATGATGACTGTTGACCGAGAAATCCCGGGCGGCGACAAGTCAAAAGTCCGCCACGAGAGTAAGCAAAGAACGTTGGATCGCCAACCAAGAGTTTTACCACGCAGTATCTAAAAATCGCTAGTAGGGGAGTTTATTTACGATGGTAAGTGATAGTCATTCAATAAACATCGCTTGTATGTATGTGTGTATGTGTATCCAAACATCATGCCTTTAAACCTTAGAAACCACATATTCCTTGCTAACCAAACCAACGCCTACACCCAAATACCATTTACTTCAGGTCTGCAGGCGTTAATGCCTGGACAACGCTCGTGCCCTCGCTAAATCTTGTTCTAAAGATCCGATTTGCATTCTGGAACATTCCGTCCTTCAAACTAACAACAATGAACTGTGAACCTTTGAACCGTGTCTTGATCAGCCGGCCGATATTTTGCGTGTGCGACAAGTCCAAGGCGGCATCGACCTCGTCTAAAATGTACATTGGCGCCGGCTTGAATTGCAAAAGAGCCATGATTAGGGAAAGCGCAATGAGAGAGCTAGAGTGCCATCAGTTATGTTCTACGGTTGGATGTAAAAGAGAAGACAACGTACCGTTGGCCACCACTCAATTCCGTCAAGCTTTGTTTCCATACCTTGCCTAGGCTAACCTTGACTTCCAAACCATCCGTGATCTCTTTGCCCTCAGGCGGGTCCAACTTAGCAAAGCTGCCTGGTAGCAACTCGGCAAAGATTTGACCAAAGTCTCCATTAACTTTAGTCCAAGTCTTTTGTAGGGCCTCTTTCTTATATTCGTCCAAGGTTACAATCGTTTCTTCGATTTTTCGCTTATCCCTAATGACAGTTTTCATCATATTTTTCAGAGATGCTTCTTTCTTTTCCACGCTGTCAATCATATTCATAACCTTCGGGTTGATCTTCTTCTTCATGCCCTGAAAGCGTTCGGTAACATTACGGAGTGATGATTTGCACTCTGCAATGTTTTGACCTTTAAAGTCATAAGGCGTATTTGGCCTTCCAAAATTATCCTTTTCCTCCTCGATCCAGTCGTATTCGCCTTCCATGCTTGAAACTGCCTGAGCAGCATTGTGCTGCTCTTTCTGAAGCTTTTCAAGTTGATGGCCTAGCTTTTGCAACTCCAACCCTTCTTCTGTAATCCTAGCCGTTTTGGAGCGTTTGGCTTCCTCAAGGTCTCGGAGCTCGTCATCAAAGCGGGTCAATTTCGCCTGCTCATCTTCTAATTGCGCTTGAGCGAAATCATGAGCTTCCTGCAAAGAGTCAGCAAAAATGTCTTATTAAAGCAGATCGCATTTACGAACTTTACAGCGCTTCTGTTCTCGCTGTATGCACTCGACTTCTTCCTTTTGGGCGTTTAAAGCAGCTTCTGCGTCTGCCAGCTGCTCCTCCGCCGTTGTTAAGTCACCGCCTGCTTGTTCGGAATCAAGTCTTGATGCCTGAAGTTCTTTTTGCAGTGTTTTAAGAGATATCGAGTTTTTCCCCAGTTTTTTCTTTAAAGTATCTAGGGACGACTGCAGTTCAGCCAGCTTGCTGTCCTTGTTATTATCAAATTCGGACATATCCTTTTCAATCCTCTTAATGTCCTTATTTGCTTCAGAGTGACGAGCTTTCGCATCTTCAATGTCCGTCCTAAGCTGTTTAATATTCGCGCGCATCTCTTCAACGGCGTGTATAATCTACAGACAGTGAGAGACGTATCAAGACGAAAAGATGAGGAGGCTCACCGAAGATGATGAGTTTCCATTGATCTGTTCTTCAGTTAGTTTGATTTCATGCACCTTCAAATCGAATTCCTGCTTTGTCGCCTTTGCAATGTCCATGTTTTTCTTCTCCTTTGCGATGGTGTTCTGGAGGATACGAAGTGTCCGTTCCTTATGATTCAGTTCGGCCATCACTTCATTGAGTTTCTGCAAAACAAGGAGCACGCCACTTGAGTTTGGTGCACTGCCTCCAGACAATGTGCCTGAGGGGTCATATACATCCCCCTGTAAAGTTACACTCTTCATACGTACCAACGGGTCAAAGGTAACCTTTTTCGCGGTATCTGCGTCATGACAGACGAGAGTCGTGCCGAACACATACTGCATCGCAGCCGCTACCTCTTCATCGTATCCGATTAAGGATAAAGCAAGATCAACTTTTCCGGGAGCAAGGTCCTTCGCAGCGCCAATCTTTTCTGCAGAAGCCTTAAACGCAGTAATTTTATTCAATGGAATAATGGTAACTCGTTTTCGGAGTTTTCCATTTTGGAGTAGAGAAGTGCCGGTATCCGACGAGTCCACAACAACGTTGTATAAGCGTCCACCGGCGCAAATTTCAAGCGCAGTACCGGCATCTAACCTGTCTTTATCAAGTGTGAATAACTGAGCAACTAGACCTTTCACCTTTGATCGTTGAAAATTAGGGTATGGATCAGTATATGTAAAATCGACGTTTGCGACCTTCCTCTTCAAAGAATCGGCTTGTCCACGTAGATCACGAATATCCTTCTGAAGGGACATTTCCTCCTGGTACATCTGCTCCTCTTTCCCGGGCTCGAACCCTTGCTTAGTGAGATCTTGTTCTAGTCTTTTGGCTTGTTTTCGTAGCCCTTCAAGGTCCTGAAGCAAACTTGAATTCTGCTCCATTGCTTTCTTTGCGCGTGGCTCCTCTTCCTTTATTCGCTTTTCCAAATGAGAAATTTTCAGCTTGGCCTGCTCCTGTTCAGTCACGGCTGTACTTGCACGGTCTCGTGCATCTTGTAATTGGCCCTGATATCCACCCTCCCCGCCTTCCTTCGATGCTACACCCGTCTGCAGAGTTTGAAGAAGTTCTTCCTTCTGCTCCACGTCTGCAGTTTGTTCGTCAAATTCTAGCTTTGCAGCATCGTATTGGGCCTGTAGCTTATCGTAGACCTGCTTCTTTTCCTTCAGAAGGGCTTGTACCTCTCGCACAGCTGTTTCCGCACTACCGCGTTTCTCCGATTCTTCTGCCATACTGGATTTTTTCAAGTCGAATTGCGTAGATAGTCGCACCAATTCATGTGACTGCTTTTTCACTTCGTCCTCCAGCGCTTGAAATTTTCCTCCTTTGCGAAGTTCCTTATCGCGAGTAGCTTTAACCTTACTTACATCTTCCTCCAGATTCGCGATTTCGCCTTTCAGTCGAACAGTATTGCTCTCCAACTCTTCAACTGTGCGTTTCTTCTTCTCCAGCTCTTCAGCTGCCACTCGTAGCCGTTCACCATTTCGTAAATAGTCGTGTGCGACTACTAATCTTGTCAATCGCTCGAGATCACTTTGCGTTTGTTGAAAATCAAGGAACGCTCGCTTCTCGCCTCTGAGCTTCTCCAATTTGGGCTCAACCTCTTCTTTCAACAAGCCTTCGATTTCGCGAACCTTCATTTCCTTCTTTGCCATCGTTTTCCCCGCTTTCTCCTTTCTATCTTCGAACATTCTTGTACCGGCCGCCTCTTCGATCATGGACAAAATCTCGACAGGTTTCATATTCAAGACTTTTGTAATTCGTCCTTGCATAATCAAAAAGTTCGGGTTATTAATATTCAGCTGCACGCTCTGAAACAGATTCTGCACTGTTTGTTGCTGCGCTCTATGCCCATTAATCAAGTATTTGCTTGTTCCGCCCAGGACAATTTGCCGAGTGACAGATATGCTGGCATACTCCTCGAACCCAATTGGCGACTTCGTTTTGTCACGATTGTCGAAGACTATGGTGACACTCGCTTTGGTAACGCCAGCTTGGCCGCGCTTGTATATAAGATCTTGGAGGTTTTGAGCTCGGACGGTGCTCATATTGGTGATGCCGAGTACGAAACATATCGAATCAAGGATGTTAGATTTTCCACTGCCATTAAGACCCGTGATCGAGTTAAACGATTCGTCCCTACAACATTTTCATCACTTTAGCTAAAAATTTACTTCGGAATACTCAATCAAAAAACGAATACGCGGGGTCGAGGTATAGCGCAATTATCTCGAAAATGTAGGTAAGACATACCATCCCGAAATCACAGTTCGCACCGCATACGATTTAAAGCCCTGATATTCAAAATATACGTCAGCAATTCCTCCTCGCTCATCGGTATCCTGTAGATACAAGACGCCAGGCTCACATCAATGATGACCTCCACAATCCGCATGATTGCGCGCTTTCTACCCCGGTGTCGTTCTCAAAAGCTCCGGAAAATATGCCAAAATCAAACCCTAAGCATGGATAAACTCCGACCTATACAAATGCAAAAGAAAATCTAGTTGTTGCGGAGAGCCTAATAGAAATACGCTCGCGATTCCGGTTGTTGTTGCGGGACAAGCACCACCGTTTGTCGCGTCTATTGACAAACTGCCGATTTGAGTTTAACTAGTCAACTTTGCAGAAAAAATGGATTACATAATTTCCTTGGATCCATCACGCCCACCAGCTTTCAAAAGTTTAATAAGAGTACGACGTACAGAGTACGGAGGATGGACTTGATGGTGTAGTTTTTTGAATATTTCTTTGTATGTAGCTAGAGCAGTAGCGGGCTGACCCCATATCGTGCAATCAGGAAAATTGATTGTATGTTCAATCATATTGAAGCTTGGGAACGAGCAGGATAAAATGCCAATGAAAGCCTTGTAAAGAGTTTAATACCAAACAGGAACCCATCGTCCCTAGATCAGAACTTTTTCACTTATTGTTCGTTGACAAGATCTGCACCCTCGCGAAGCCCATCGACCACTAATGCATGTTTTTCTGCTCTATGATACAGATCACGGATATCGTCTGATCAAACAAATAAGCAATGATGTTCAAGGTAACTAGGAAAGCTCAAGAACACTTACCTGTTGTTGTCTCAAAGTGGCTTGTGGCGTCGTAGCTTTTGGAGATATAGATATTATCATTAACACCATCGTCAACAGGCTCATAGAGCGGGATGGGAGGACCCATAAAGGTCTCCTCGATCCTTCCGAGACGCTGGAATCCTGGCTCCAGCTCTAGGTGGTGATTCGCTTCATTCTCAGCGATCGTCGAGATGATAGCGACGTAGTAGCCCTTTGGACAAACGTTATGGGCCGAAGAAACCATGGCAATGTAGATATCTATTGTAAAATTAATGTCTGTATAAGAGAAATGAAATGCGACAGATTTACCATGTTTTCGCCCAATTTGGGATTGCGGGATGATAAGCTGCAAAGAATCGCTATCGTCCGTCTTTTCGATTGGGTGACTGAGAATACAAATGGCTTTTAATAGATACCCGGTCACTTGGACTTTTCCGGGAAAGTAGGAAGGATCGGCAATTATCTTCTTGGTTTTAGTTGAAAAGCTCATGCCGGGTCCAGGTTCTCCTTTTTCCTTCATAGTGGCTTTTATCCCAGAAACTTTGCCGTTTTCATAAAGGACCTCGTTAACGTCAGTATTAAGCATATATGTACCACCATAAATAGCAGACAAGCGAGCAAAGCCTTGAGGTAGCTCTCCAAGGCCGTAGAGAGGATAGATGTAGGGAGACTTTCCATAGCGTGCCATGGAGTTCACGTATAAGCGGATCCGGTTAATTGTTTCGATTGCCTGTCCTGGCTCCCCGATATATCCATCAGACTGGTAGAGTGCCATCGAGTGGCCAACAAAATCACGGGTGGTGGGTTCAAGACCAAATTTGTCATACACTTCTTTCATTGTGCAGGCGGCCATATTAAGTCCTGTAAATCACTTAGCACCACCTGGGAAGCAGCAGAGAGCTGGGAGCGCGTACCTTGATGGGTGCTTGGGTTCTTCTCGTCGAATTCACCCACCCATTCTAAAAACTTCTTCGCACGACGCTTCTCAAATAGCCCCATTAACGAAGATCGGAGGGCTTCGCTGGCATCCGATGGAACCTTGGCGACCATGGCCTTAGGGCCGCTCCCTTGTTGGACATAGCTGCCGGCGATTTGTCTAAACTCAAGGTATCTGGTCACGTCGGTGGAAACAAGAATGTTCGTCAATTCTCCATTTGACATGAGAAGCTTCGGTACCAAATCGACGTTCCAGTCATTAACACGTCCATATTTCTTCCAGGGTTCGTCTCCGGGTTTCAAGTTTCCGAACTTTTTGAAAAGCTGAGGGGGCGGTCAGAGATCGGGGAGTGGACAGGAGCTAGGGGAACAGACCGTTTCTATGTTGATGGAAGCTGCTTCACTATTCATAAGTATTAGTATCAAAGCTCCAACTAACATGTAGAAGCTAAGGCAGACGACGCACCCTCCATAGTGATCATTGCGATCAATGTGCAAGACCTTCTGCCCCTTAACACTCAGAACACTAGGAAAAACAGTTAGTAAACTCTTGAGAAGTCTAAAACCCTTTCAAAGTAAAATGTACCCTGAAAGCACACATTCAGTCAAGCCTATAGCTCAATATTAGCCACCAGGAGGTTCATGAGGTAAGTGGGGTAAACGAACCAGTGCCGAGCACAACAACGTCATACTCAGGAGCAATATCTTCCATGGTGTTGATGGACAATATGTGAAAAATTGATAGATAGGGTATTTCTGAGAGATAGAAAAGAAGAAGGAAGGAGAGAGAGGATTATCAGGAAAAGGGTGATATGGGGATGGGACTTGGAGACGCCCACCTCAGTAAAGATCACGCATTATGGTTTGGCGCTAGTGATTGGAGGCGGTCTACCCCCCCTAGCCCCGTGCGAATTTCAAACTCTGCGGACCCTGAGCGTTCAATACACCTCATGGTTTGTGTTGTGCAAAATGAATGGAACATACAGCAGGTTGGGGGATGCATGAGGATAGGCCACCAAAATTTTATTGTACAGAACGCAAGGGAAAACGAGCTAATGTATAATACATGGGAAATTTTCCCAACTTAAGACCGATGAGACCGCTCAGGCTGCCCGTCGGGGTTCAATTCCTTGCCAAGCTGATCAGTCTGCGGTTTGATCCTGAAATAGCAATATCAAACAGTTTTCGCTACAGTGCGCTCCGATTGTGAGCTTGAATCTAGATGTTCAGGATTTATTTCGGTGGCGGAACGACTCTCATGATCTTCTTCAAAAAGGACCTCTGAGGAGGGCCTATATCCACCATTATAGAGATCGCGGGCTTCATTCCAAGCATACCATCGTTCACGAAGTACATGTTTTATTGCCTTTTGTGTGGTTCGGACCTGCAACCAGCGAGTTAGTTCAACCGGCTAATAATCATTGACATTTAGGTAGTAGATTGTGGAACAAATAGTGTCAGAAACAAAATCCCAAAAGATCTCATAATTCAAAGGGGTTAAGCGGTCCCAATGATTCATATCGGCGAGTGAAGGTAAGGGACTCATCATTTGAATGCGAAAGTACGTAGGATTTATCAGATATACTTACAGTTTTATCTCGATTCTGTGACTCGTAGTCGCCGTAGCCGGCAGCCAGCCGTTTCCGTTCCAGAGTGGATGTGGCTATTCGATTACGCTCTCGTACTGCAACCCACCACAGACAATGTAAATCATCCCAGGATTTTTGTCTCAACTCTTGAACGGACCAAGGGCGCCCTATTGAAAATCAGCACAAAAGGACCCAAAGCTGAAGATAATCTCTGGTACATACCATGAGCATATTCCTCTTCGGGTGTAGAAAGGCTTTGCTTATTGGGGCCAAAAAAGCCCCATAATCCGTGGTTAGGGTTAAGAGGTCTTTTGTATTGATCTTGGGGAGCGGGTGTGGGAAGAGGGTATTTTGATATAGGGAGTGGGTGTTTTGGTCCAGTCCTGTGAATAGCAGAGACGCCACGTAAGCGGTTCCGATCACGGCCAGCAGCAGAAGAGGAAGTTGAGAACTGTGACCGTTGGGTGTGTGCGGTCAAACTTGGGGAATATAGCGCGGGAGCAAGGAATGCAGGAGGCAATTCGGCCAGCGGCAGGCCTCCCTGCTGGTAAAAGAAGGAAGCAATTGATCTCAACGCCATCATCACCAAAGAGAGGTGGTTATTGTTGTTTGTGATGAGCTTGTTGTGGACTTGTTACAAGAGGAAAAAGAGAAGGCGAAAAACTCGAATTTAGCGTTAATAAAGCAAGCTATAAGTCACGTGTTAATCACGGCTTGGCACGGAATCCGGGGCCGTTTAAGCGCTGCGCGGCAGACGGAGACTCGAGAGGATCGTATCCTCAGAACGGAATGTATGCTCGTGGGGCTAGTTAATTGCTGCCGGTGGGTTGAGAGGAATGCGAGCTCCTCCATATGCCGTTGGAATTCTACGACCGACTTGGGCTTCCTGCGGTTGATGTCATGACCGACACGATCTCAAATCATCTGTGAATAACCCAAGGTTATTCTTTGCTGACGAGGTAGCTACCTATAAACTAATCCAGTTATTATACGGGTGTTCTGTTAGTTGGATACTAAGAAAGTGGCTCGCCCTTGGAATCCGGCCTGATTCTTAGTAGAGAAAGGGCCTACGCTTGCTCTAGTAGCTCTATGCTGTAAGCGTGGTATGTAGCGATCTCCTAAGGTAACTGGAGCAAGGAGATCATCTATAACCCAGGAAGGGACCCAGTCCATGTCTTGTTTATAGGTGTTCAACAAGTGTGGGTGTACTGCGTATTAACCATCTCTCCGCCTCGCCAGTAGTTAAGCGCTTGGCCCGTGCACTGCACGCGCGCCTAGTTAGAGGACCGCGCGATCTCTCTTCCAATTGCTGGTCTATGTAACCGAAGGCCTGTCACTTGTGCCGGCATTCTCCCAAAGGCAGCTTATTTCTCCAGTGAAAAATTATTGCCTTGATTATACAAACTATCACAAATTCCCCTGAAGCTCCAAGCCCTGCCGACATGAATAGGCCAGGTAAGATTCGCCTACCCATGTGCTCTCCCGACTTGCGCCTCGCTTATGTCCCCCACATCGCGATGCAGCCCAATATTTACGTTTGTGATATGTTGTTCCGCCCCTGTCATATTCTCTAGTCTGTGGTGTGGTTGCGCTTTTACCCTCACATTATCGCGACCCCCACCTGTCATTCCAGCAAGCCTTGCCCTCTACAAGTGGGAGAGCCACAGGTTAACTCATGTTTTGAGCAATACATAGGCCCCAGCCAGCAGCCTTTCCGGGGCGTATCAGGGTTTCCCTCTCAACAGCAACAGCAACAGCAAGGCAGACCTTCGAATCCTTCAATACTCACTAGTCGACTACCAGCAAGCAGTAAAATCGGTGAGGCAGCACTAGACAATAGCACCCTTTGCTGGATGTGTTCTTTACTCACAAAATGGTGCATTGGCTGTAGGAGGAGCAGCAACTTGGGGCTTTAACTCGCCGATGGGAGGAAACCCATTACAGAATGTTCAGCAAAGAAACATCAACACCTTGAACACATTTGCACAAAGTGTTGGCGGGTCGCAGCCGGCAACGCCTCTAGATCTTTCGTAAGTTTGTTCTTTTTACCATCTTTATTCACCTCCCTTTTCCGCTGCATTCTCTTCTCTTATTTCTGATTTCCCACACTGTTCCATGTGATTGTCAACAATTATGCCTCGTTCTCGGGATCTATATAGTCTTCAAGAGCCTTCCATGGGTAATTTGACACAGCTGACAATAGATATCAATTCCTGTAGTGAATTTCCCTCCCTGTCAGGCGGTCCTCAAGCCACTCAAACCCCAACCCCCGGCCAAGCAATCTGGAGTACCATCAATCAGCGAGCAGCGCAACCAACACTTCTTCAGAGGCAACCGCAGGCTCCAGCAGCTCAGAGTCTACCAAGAGGCCCGCAACCACAACCTAGCCAGATATCACAGAGTCATACGTCCCGCGACGATTTGTTCCCCTCAGCTTCACAATTCGCATCGCAGCTTGACGACTTTCGAAATGGTGGACAGGGAATAAGCGGGCAGCTTTCGAGTAGTAATCAACCACAGACAGGAAATATTGAGGAATTTCCACCTCTTGGAAAGCAATCTGATTTGGATCAAGACCGCAGAGAATCGTTAATACAAGGAGGACAGCTAGGAGGCTACGGTAACTCAATGGCCTATGCCAGCCAAGGTCTTCCAGGGCAAGTTAGGGCCTCCGTATCCAATGGCCTGCATCCGCGACGAGAAGCTACAGACGCAACTTCCCCTGGTACAACCACAGGCCTTCGTATGTGTATTGTTAAGTTCCACTGAAGAAACTTGTTAACACTCTTTTTAAAGCATCACGGTCTCCCATCGGGCTTGCACAAAATGGAATAAGTCACGGACAAGATGTATGTGTATATTCTCTCTCCAGTCATCTATTGTTATTAACTTTTGAACAGGATGCTGCTGCGATTCCTGGCTCGATTCCTACCGAAAGCACATCGGAGCACCAACAGCAATCAGCTACTTTTTCAGAAGAAGCTCAGTTGCATGAAAGCGCCATTACAAGCCAAAGTGCTGAGCAAACGCCTCTTACTCAGATGAGCGAACGGGACAAATACGGCCTTGCGGGTCTTCTCAGGATGATACACAGCGAAAGCCCGGATGTAGCCAGTTTAGCAATCGGTCAAGATTTGATGAGCCTTGGATTAGATTTGAATCAACCAGAGTAAGATTCCGGATCTACGGCGTCTTTGGAGCCAAGTGTTTAGCTTCATATGCTTATTGAAATGTTAGGCCTCTTCATCGAACTTTCGCCTCCCCTTTTGTTCCATCGGGTTCCGCAGTGCCTCTCCAACCAGATTTTATTCTACCTCCATGCTATAGTGTTGCTAATGTCCAGCCTCTTGAAACGCGTATTCAAAGTTTTACCGACGAGACTCTATTCTACATATTCTATAGCATGCCTCGCGACATTATGCAAGAACTTGTCGCTGAAGAGCTAATGGGTCGAAAATGGAGATACCACAAGCTCGAGCGTGCATGGCTTACTCGTGACGATTCATATGCTAATCCAGTTGAAGTGGAAAGAGGAATCAGTGAGCGAGGAGTGTATTTATGGTGGGACACGACGACATGGAAGAAGGTTCGGGTGAGTACATATTTGGTGCCGCTTTAGAGATTTAATTTAAGAGTACTAGAAACTAACAGCATATATTCAGCGAGAATTTATTCTACGATACTCAGATTTGGATAACCGCCTTGATCCAGGGCGGAACTTCATGCGTGGAATGGCTTTCCCCCAGAATACTTAATGCGTACCTCAAGCTGCCGCATACTATGATATTTGACGATTGGTCCTGCTTACCTAGCTTCCGTAATTGTTACAGTTGTACAATGCTACCGAAGATAATAGTAAGCGCACTAGCCAATGATAACAATCTTCTCTATACGACTTCTTCATGCTTAGGCCCCTTCAATAGTTTTTGGGGTATGAAATTCCGGCTCGTAGCCAGATATTACTAACACATACTCTTTACGGAGTACTTATACCACATTGAGCTTCCTACCATTTTTGCTGAAAGGCAAATGTAATAAGTCTTCATTGACCATATTAGATCCCAAAATCTAACCGGGTCTATTTCGCACGAGGTTCGGTCAAAGTCTAGCACCGATATATCTTCAATAAATGTACATATGCTCCTGTGTTTTCAACAGGAAGCATCAACATCAAACATTCATAACTTGGGGTCCGTATTCGCCTTATCATGCAATCCAATGACACAAAGTTCCCCATTATCCACACGGCGAATCTCCGCCGTAAACATTGCCAGTCTCCTTCCCAAACTACCAACTTCACAGAAAATCTCCATCTCTACACCCTCCGGCACACCACGCAAGTACTTGACGTCCAAAGCTCGGCTGACTCCGCCGTATGAAAATATCCCCGGTCGTTGCAGAGCGAGCGGGAGCATAGATGAAAGAACGTCAATGAGCGTTGCTGCGCAACCGCCGTGAAGGTTCCCCAGCTGGTTGCACATTGACGGGGCTACGATTGCGCGGAAAGACGCCCTCGCCGGAGGTCCCAAGGAGGCCGAGTGGAAATGCACATGTTGGCGGACTCGGGTGTCCCAGGTCTGGATACAGTGTATATATAGATTAGCTGGCATGAAACTTCTCGAGTGTACAGAGCTTGGATACCTCAGTGTCGGCGTTGAAACCGCCGCTCTCGAAGATCGTTTTCACGCGGTTTGCGAAGACCTCCTGTGTCAAGTCCATTTTATTTCGAAAGAATCCAAAATACTCAGAACACACCTACACTGTAAACTTAAGGCAGGGCTCCTATCTAATTTTTCCAAATGAATCTCTCGAGATGTTATCGAGACAAATGCCTATTTATGCCACCTTTGCTTGTGTCATCACTAGTGTACCTAGTTACTCCAGGTCATTATGTCGATTGCCCAAGCAGAGCGGAGACCATTGCGGCGCACCTCGGCCCAAGCACTCGCCGAGCGATGTCACAGGATCGCGCGCGTGCGTCCATGACCGAAGCGCGACTCGCGCGTAAGAACCTGATTACATAACTAGCCTGTAACTACTCCATACGGAGTACAGCTCAACAATAATGGATTAAGCACATATGAAGAGTCCAATGCTTTATTTCTTGCTCTAAAAGGCACCTTCGCCATATTCCTGGTGGGAGCCTGGAGCGGTAACCCTCACAATGGCTGAACCGCGAACCCTGCGTTCGTCCAAAAGGCGGAAAATCTCGATCCAAACGGAAACAGAGGAGGCACCACACTTATCGGAGAAAACTACCACGCAGCCAAATAGTCGTTCAAGCCGACGGGTGAAGGGGAAGTTACAAATCGATGGCAACACTGAACCAGCACCACAACTATTAATTACAGACAACCCTAGACCAACAGTGAAGACGCGCGCGAAAGAATCAAAAACCCCGAAGGGAACACAGCTAAAGTCAACAGCACTGGCAGCGCCTGTTAGAAGATCGAAGTCAAGAAGCAAGGGTCTAGTTGGAAATGATATTTGGGATGTTCCTGTGGAGGATATCACGGAAGTAGAACCCCTGTTGAACAATGGGTTAAAGACGAAACCAGACGCTCGGGCGGCCGCCCCGGACGCTGATTCCCTCGCCATTGCGGTACAGCTACAACTCGAACTCGCTAAAAACAATATATCTGGATTTTCCCTTGCCCGACACTCCGAAGGTGCGCCATATGCTGGGAAATTGAAGCGGTTCTGTGAGACTCATGGACTCCAAGACATGATTAGCTCTTTAGCAAAATTTATCTTGGAACGATTGAACGGAAGGCAGCTCATTCCCTTAAAAGGTTTAACATCAGAATACCAGAGCGTTTACCAGCTCATGGAGCAAACCGTTAAAGCGGGAGAAGGAAACTCGCTGTTACTGCTTGGGGCCAGAGGCTGCGGAAAATCCACTGTCGTTGATACTGCTATATCTTCTCTTTCGAAAAGCCACAAGGACGATTTTCATATTGTTCGTCTGAATGGATTGCTTCATACAGACGACAAAATTGCATTGAGGGAGATATGGCACCAACTTGGTCGCGAAATTAATGCAGACGATGATTTGGGCAAGGTCTCTACCTATGCCGATACAATGGCATCATTGCTAGCTCTGCTATCCGAAATCCCCGCCGATGCACCTGATACGATGACAACAACAAAATCTGTGATTATCATCCTAGATGAATTTGACCTTTTTACGTACCACCCGCGCCAGACATTGCTCTACAACCTCTTCGACATAGCCCAGGCGAAAAAAGCCCCGCTTGCAGTAATTGGACTAACTACAAAGGTGGATGTCATGGAAAACCTTGAGAAGCGTGTAAAGAGCAGGTTCAGCCATAGATATACCTTCTTGCCTCGCCCCCAGAGTTTTTCTGATTTCTCTGATATTTGCATGGCTCCATTTCAAATCGATAATGACAGCGTAGACTTGAGTCGGAAAGGGACCTCTGATTGCATATCGAACATGCTTAAAAACCCTAAAGGACGCCTATTATCTGAACAATGGCACACCTATGTCAAAGTAAGCCTTCACACCATGCGGGGTCTGAGCAGAGCTAACTTCATTAAGGGACTCTGGGAAGATAAGCTATTCCAAACACATCTAAAAACAATATATTACCGCACAAAATGTCCCAAGGATTTTTTCACCAGTGCCGTCATACCTATATCAAGTCTAGCAATAAGCTCTTCTGGGGCTCCAGACCTGGACGTACCCACCGCAAAGTCATTCAAGCTTGATTTACTTTGTCCCGACCCGGCACCATTCCCCTTTGCTGCAGCTACCACGGCCTCCACAAACACCATTTCTCTTTCACTGTCACTTCTCCTCGCCGCCACCCGTCTCACAGCAATCCACGACCCCAGCTTAAACTCGACCCAGACTTTCGCTCCGCTGAGCTTGACGTTTTCTGCCGTATATGCAGAATACGTGCGTCTCCTCACATCAGCCAAGGCTTCTGCGTCCGCGTTAGGGGCCAGAGCAACCGCAGGACGGATATGGGGCAAAGAAGCTGCTAGAGAAGCATGGGAGCGGCTTGTGAATTGGGGCTTCGTGGTTCCAATCTCTGGAGGTAGTGGAATCGGCGATGGAAAATTAACTAGGGTTGAGGTCAGTTTTGAGGAGGTTGTCGAGGTCGTTGATGGGATGGGGCTAGGAGGTGGAAGTGCTTTGGGACGGTGGTGGAGGGACGGATGACGGAAGCATCACAGCCGTGTTTTCGAAGAATACATTCGATTTGACCCTCAAACAAGGCACGCCGAAGGTAATGATCGGTATGGTCATTTATCTGTAGGTTCTATTGCCGTATTACCATTGAATGTTCGTCTGTGGCTCCAAACTCAACCACGAAGCATACACACAATGCTGCCAGCAGATTTACAAACGGCCTTGTTTCACCAAACTGGGCCCCTTACGCCGGACATCGAATCCGGCAAATCAGGACGGCACATCGGTGATTCCCCTGCCAGCCTAGCCGGCTAGAATTCTGCAAGGCATCGACGGGAGCAGGGCTGGAGATGCGATTTACTAGGCTTAAGAGGGCAGGATATTTTCCCTAGTAGATTACCCAAGAAATGCATCATCAACCCATGCTTCCCGTCCCTGTTTTGCAGCCCATAACTAGAATATTCTCAAATTATACGCAGGCCCTGTGCGGGAACGGCACATATGCGGCCATGCGATGCATCCAAGTTGGCCAGGCCGTGCTCCCAATCACGGTGCGGAGGTCCTGTGGAACCACGCCAGGACTCAGTCGCAGCCTCTGTCGTGAGATACGACCTCGGCGTCCAGCGCGGCGATGGCAGCGCAAGACCAAGATCTTCGCGCCTCAAAAACAAGTTAGCTTAGCTTTTGGCTCTGCGTCTGCATTTTCACGCAACAGCAGCCGCAAGTGGCCAATAACGGCCCACTGCAGGCCGTTGGTTGGGGGCGGGCGGCGCCGCAGGAGACAGGAATGCAGGCTGCACGGCATCCGGTCGAGAAGCCTGAAAAGAACAAAAAAGAAAATTTCCATTCGAACCAGCGATCGGTATCACGCCTGTCCGCACCCACGCCTTGCCGCTTGAGGTTACTGGCCGCGCCGCCCATTCCCCCCGGCCTCCAACCGGGCGGATGCTCGTGGGACGGGCCTTCTGCGAGCTCCGTGTGTACCACCGTGGCCATGTTTCTCGGCCCATCCAGCTCCTCGCGATCATTTCCCATGAGTCCAATTGGTGATGCGGGTACGCGTGGCCTGTGGAGCGAAGTGAGACCATGGATTGAAAACCCCAGTTGATCCCTTTATCCTCGCGGGCTTATTTGTTTCGTATGCTGTCTGGAGACAAAAGATGGCGGCAGAAAAGGTCTGAAAGCATGCTCTAACTTGCAAATGCAGGACAAATGCATTAGGGCACTGGACGCCGGGTCGTTGGACAATTGTATGGTTTGTCCATTTGTTCCAGCAAACGAAGCAACTTGAAGCTGGCATGTCTCTTCCACCGTTTGAGTCTGATTTCAATATTGGGAAAATGCATTCAAAAATCTTCGTACCTGTTGTGCAGGGGCATTTCCCTCGCGAATCAAGGGCGCCCACGTACCCTGACATTGTTGTACACAATATGTATTCACATATCATTTCAGTAAAAGAGAAAAGAAAGTCACATTAATAACAAACTCTTTTTGAGTTTAGGCCTGGGGCCTGTTTGAGTGTGCGTGTTACCGTTCCACAAGGGCAGAAGAAAAAAAAAAAGATTGTCGGTTATGCAGCATGAATGGAACTACAGACCTGCCGGAGGTAATTCCATCTTTGAAATGTCTCTATGAGAGCTTCCCACTTTTCAGGACGGAAAATCGGATCTGCTAGCCTCCCCGGGTAGAAGCCAACTTTGGAGATCCTTTGATAATGCCACGGGCTCAGAAACAGCGTTGGCGAGGCATGGTACTTTCGGGCTGCTTATCCGTGCGTGTGTTCGTTTGCCTAATTGCAAGGTTCCTTTTCTCACACTCGCAGAGCACCTCAAGGTAAAATAGTGCTTAATTGAAGCTCAATCCAAGCCGCCTCAGAGCTCGGTTATACAGTGCGATCATCATCTTTGGGAATCGACGACACCTGAACGCAAGACGAATGCGTTAGCATCGGGATGACCCGCATGATATCCTGGGGATCTGCATGGCCCGGTATTGCCGGCGCAAACGGGCTCCTTCAGGCCGCACTGTCCTTCCTCATCTGATCGTCCACCCAAATAGCAGGTGTTTGCGCCATGTCTGCGATCTGGATTGGTTTTCAGTCTGTTTGTTTGGTTGGTTTCTGGATCTCGTGCATGACGTTGCAATTAGAAGTGCCGTACTCCGTACTCCGTAGAGACCCCGAGCTTACTCAGATGAGCTTCATGCACGGGATCCGGGCCGACTTCCTAAGGAAAAAAATTTTTTCCTTTAAATGAAGTCACGAGTCCAGATTGAAATTCCCCAAAGCTGGGGCTGTGCAATCAGTCCAGAGCAAATATGTTCCGTAGAATTCCAAAAGCACCAGTTTCATAAGTGAGACCACTTCTTACGGCGCCTTGCAAGCCCCCTTACCACCCTTGGTCCGTAGTTCTCGCGTGGGAAAATACGACTCTAAACAGGGGGAACATAACAGCGCAGCAACTTATCTTTCCTAGATTTGAATATCTCTCGTCTGATAAGGCGCAAGCATACCCTGAAGAGTCGAGACCACGAGCACGGAAATGTCTCTGCCCTTCCCGAGGCCGGGAAGCGGCTGTGATTCCGGGATAGCGCGCTCGTGTGTGAAGTCATGGTAATTTGCTTCCTGGGAAAGGGGGTGGGTGGGAAGGATGTGATGTGCAACTGCAAATCATCACGGAATCGATGCAGGAGATCTCTGGCACTTGTGCAGCGTGAAGCCGGGACCCAAGCTAGCTGCATCAAATATTACATGCTTCGCCTACCGGGGCGCGTCACTCACGGAGTGGTGAATTCGTTAGAGTGTCGGTCACGAATACTCCGATGAAATAGCCGTGGGGTATGAGGAATGTTAAAGGGAGACGATTCAAAGCACATGTTGCACGAGAATGACGACGGAGATATGTCGGCATTAGCATGAACTCGCAGCGCTACGCCCGGGCGAGGCTCGGAGGGCTGAGAGTCGATGATGGTGGTTGCGTGGCATGGGCCTGTCGTATCAGGCTGTGCAGCGATCACAAAGAGCGGTTGAAGCGAAAGGAATTGCTTCATATTCCTCTTGGACAGCGCCCCACGAAGCACCCCAGTTGGTCTGCGAGAGTCAACCTTTTGCCCAGCTGTTGTTTGTCTTCGCGAACGCCAATCAAACAAGATCCTCGAGATTTCATGCCGAGGGTTTCCTCCCGTTGAGTTCAACGCGACCAGGGCCGCGAAAAAGAAAACAAACGCCCAGAAAAGCGTGGACGATATGGACTGGGAAGCAGGCCTGGCCTGGACGAGACAGGGACAGATCCCTCATGTTCCTGTCTTGCCTCGAGATAGCCCTTCGAATGGTCAGCTGCGGCGCCTAAAAACTAAGTATAGTACTCCGTACGGAGTAACTAGTCATCCCAGCTGAGCTCCTCAGCTTGCTCAGAGCCGAATCACCGCACTGCAGAGTGGTGGGAGTCACTTCGTCAAGAGTCCCAACAAAGTCTCGATTTTCTGAGCTATCCAGCGGGCGAGCAGAATGATTCAACAAATAGCTGTAGATAGCAGAGAGGACGAGCTCCTGGCTCACGAATCACAACCCAAGCCACCTCACACCGCAACGCCATGTTTCCGTATGCCCGCGATGGCTATTGGAGCAGACGCATCATCCATGTCGAAACGTGGCTCGGGGCCATGTGCCCACATCCTTGAGCATTCTTGAGCGCCGGAAGATTCACCTCACTCGCTGAAGGCGCCGTACAATACGGCTGAAGCCCGGTAATGTGACGGATCACAGCGCTGCCGCCTCTAGCTATATACAAACGCACAGACACGCCTGAGTCGAGCGGGCTCCACACGAGCATCTCACTCTCACACAACATCGCCGACGTGAATGAAAGTATATAGAGATAACTTCCGGCCGCCGCAAACGACGTTGGGGCCTGGTGGAGGAGGCGAAAAGAGGTGTTTTTTGTGCCGCCAAACTCAAACCCAAAATAGATTTGCGATTCATATTGAAACACCGATATCAGATGTGTCAACAGTCATGACGTTACATCCGCACCCGGGGAAAATGCCACATGGCCTTCCTATTATTATCCGGTAGCAAGAGCGCAGCACCAGATAAATTAATAGAATGGATTAATATATGTCGTTCTCTTTAGACTTGTCCTAGCACGAGCTTAAGACCCGTGTGCACGGCCGTATATGTGAAACTCGCGTATAGTTACATAGGATCGCGCGGGGGAGATGAGACGAGCATCAAACAGCCTTTGCTGACTCATTTTGGCAACCAAGAAAATCCTCTCGGTTTGTTTATTTTTGTTCTGGCGAAGGAGCTGGTGATAATGAGGATGTGAGTAAATAAGCACGTCGCCGTTGCACTCAGCGGGCCGGCCTGGGGAGATGGCGAGCCGTCTCGGAGACAGGAGACGGCATTCAGGCTCAGCTCGCGCATCTCCGAACGCCCCAAGACTGTTTGTCCCGTCCTTGCATGCCACGCTCAGGACCCTGAGGCCGCTAGACGCAGCGGCTCAAGTTCGGCCCTTGCGAGTTATTCTTAGGCACAGCGCACTTGAGCCTCTGTGCTTAGAGGCCTCTGGGTTTCCGCGACACTGGTTCACGGCCGAGCGGGTTGTTCTTAGGCTACGAAGCGCTCTCGTCCGCCAGCAGCGGCCGGTACTATACCAGAGCCATGCTGCCGCCGCGGGCCAGCTTTGTGCGGTAGGAATAATAATAAATGGCTCGCCCTCGCCAGCCAAGCGTCTTTCTTTTTCTCCACGTGGCGCCAGGCTTTGCCGGGCCCTCTTTCGCCGTCCGTCTCTTCTTGTTGCTTCTTCTGGCCTTCTTCTTTTGTCGCTATTAATATTCGTATCCGCCGCCGTGCGCCAGGATTTCTGCGTACGTATGTACTGTAAGGCTCCGGCCATGTACGGTAACGGCGTATGGGCATACAGCCGTACCTGTACCGGTACTGTACGGGCTTTCGCCGATAAGCTTGCGGGTCTCGATATGCGAGTGATGGTGACTACATGGCCTATCACGTCTGCTCAGTCGACATCCACGCACCGCCAGGGCTCTTGTCCTTCAAGCTGCGGTTCTGCACCTGCCGAGTAACAGTCGACACACCTGAGAGTTTCCCTTTTTAGGTTGCTCGATGCTTAATAAGGCGCTGACCATTCTTTGGTAATCCTCACATGGCACAAGTGGGACGGGATGGGAGCAGAAGTCAAAAAGATGGGTAATTCGGTGATGAAACCCACGAGTCCCGACGAAGAGGGGGTTGTCAAGTTAAGTTCCACCACGCCACGTGGCAGGAGCGAGAATCGTCACGCCCACCGCCTGGTCTGGAGGCACAACGGCCATCGAAATACTGGAGAATACGGGGTGTACATGCCTTTATACATATACGGAGAAGCTCCACGGACTATCTTCGGGCGGACGAAAGTACCATGCACAAATTATTAGCGCAGAGCTGTCTGCGTCCATGAACAGCTCCCTGGTGAACCGCTATATGTGACAATGCTAAGCTTCGAAATCCACTCGTTCGGGATAGGTGTTGCTGATTTGATTTCAGGACAAGGGGCCCCCTGATACAAGTAGAATCCATATAAGCGAGATGCGGTGAATCAACCCTCTTTCTTAGATCCTTTTCAAGCGACAGAAGGGCAAATACAGGTTAAAATAATGGAGATCACATCTCCCGCAACTGTCGAAGCGCAGTAGTTAACTTCGCACACGCGAGAAGCGAGGGACGAATACGGAAAAAACAGAAGCTGTTCGGACTTTCTCTTTGCCAAACATTAATAATAATGACATGACGCAGAAAGGCGTCTAAGACGGCGCTGAGCGCGCGGAGAAAAGAAAACCAATTACAACAGCCAATGGCACAGCTTCATGTCCGTCCGGTTGTGCCCAACCTTTTTTTCAAGGTCGCTAGTTCGGATGTCCACAAGAACAGCCAGCCATTATTATTATTATTATTCTGTTCTGGTAGTAAGCCGACGGACAGGCGGAAGGCCGGAAACGGGGCGCCTGCTACCGAGAGTTATGAAGCGACGACTTATTCATGAAGATCTTGTCCCATGCCCAAAAAGGGCAACGATCGAATCGGAACGAACCGGCAAAACACATGCCCCCGGGGCTGGGAGCGGTCTGCCTCGCTTAACGAAGCTGTGCTTCGGGGGGAGAAGGGGGTGGTTTTTGGTGCTCCCCGGCCGGCCCCCTGGGTAAGCGATCGAGGATCTGACGATAAAATCGCCAGCTATGTATGGGACGCATCACAAATCTTCTTGATGTTGGACGGAGTACGGAGTAGTTAAAATGATCAGCTTCTTGCATTATTATTCAGGGCAATGGAGAACGTGCTCCGCCGCAATCTAAATGCTGACACACACAGCTCCGGCACGGACAGTCAGACAGCTCTCGGTCCCCAGCATCATTATTCCGCGTCAATGGTTGTGCAGAATGCAGTGTGGGTCAGGGTTGCCAGCCCTCGTTGGGCAGTTCTCAGCGCCAAACACACGTGGCCTCTGCGCGGCGGGCTCTCGCTCCCCATCATGACGCTGGGCGGGCTGAGATGAAGGCGGTGCCAAGCGGACGCCTTTCCAGAACGGGGCAAGACAGCGAAAAACCTCCGCGCATCCTTTTGGGCAAGTACCCCTGTGGGCCCCGTGATCGGGCGGGAACGGGGTACGGAGTGCCAGTCACGCTTGCCCCTGCACGGGCTTCGCCACAGTCTCTGAGTCAGCGGCGCTAGAAAAATTCTGGAACATTGCCGGGGGCGGCTTAGCGGCTGGCTCAGGGGAACGGCCAGCGTGTGGCGGCAGGGGCTCTGGTTGTTGGGTTGTCTCCGTTATTTTTGTCGTCATAGCGGGAGCCACACCCGTTGTTTTTGGCTGCGAAAGAAAGGGGGTGGGTGTCTTGAAGGGCCGCCAACAACAGGAACAGGGAACCGTGTGGACGCTACAATCCCACAGGCGACATTTGGGTGTTGGATTGCGAAAGAACTAATCAAGACGCAAGCGGGCCCATAAGTGACGACCTTTGGGGAAGCCCAAGGCTTCTGGAAATTCTTCGGTCAAAAAAAAGAAAGCCCGCGATGGCGTTGGCAGAAAAAAGGGCTGAGGTCGCTCAAATCCCGTTCTTGGCGGCACAAATAGCGGATGGCAATGTTGCCATTAGGGTGCGACAGTAGCATTGCTGGCATTGCTTTTTTTCTATGTATATTTTTCGTTTTCTGTCCCTCATCTGCAGGACGGTCACCTGCGAGGGTCGAATCTTACGATTTGGGGCGTTATGCAAAAATGACTCTTGCCAGGCCCGCCTGCTTGGCTGCGGCCCTGCGGCCGAAGATGGGCTCGCTGCGGAAATGGGCCCTATTACGTACCGGAGGGATTGTGCCGACATATGTCCGGGGGGTCTGTGGTGGAAGGTTTCAGGCACCACGAGGTTTGATTACCGTGAGACTAGGGCGCACGATGAGGATTTAGAGGGAAGCTAACACAGTTTCAAGATCCCACCCGGCCGTGTCATGTTTTAAGTCGGTGGGGCGCAGGGAGGGGACAGGATTCTGGCTAGCAGGTCGGAAGTTTGGCCCAGCAAACGATCCCAGACAAGCGGCGGCTAGCTCGGGGGAGGAGGGATTATGTAAGGCTCGATGAGCCAGGGCCCAGGGGCCAGCTGCACGCCAGGCTACAGCGGTGCACGCCCAGTGCGCCTGCAATAACACATCCTCTTATTGTACGGATGCCGGTGATAATCGGCTCGTCACTGAGTCGCGCACACAGCCGGGCTGCAGCGCACGCCGCGACGCCGCCAACGGGGCAAGCCTGGCGGGCGGCCTGACTCAGGCTCCATCGCGGCGCTGGGGCAGGCTAGGCCGAAAGCGCGCTGGCCAGCCACGTTTTTCTCCTTGCATGCAGCGCCATCCCTGCGCCGTCTCGTGCGCGGGCGCGTGGGCGACGAATGACGGGGCTGGGGCTCGCCGTTACCGGTTCCGTGACGCCCGTACCGTCCCCGCCCTGTCATTACCGTACGGCCGCCCGGCTGCTGACCGCCTCGATACGCCGGTGCATACGGAATACAGAGTGCATAACACTGCTGCTGCTGGCCGTCCACACACTGATCGGGCCATGGAGGCGTAATTTGTACGTCCCTGTCGTGCGCCTCTCCATACTTCCTTTGGCTCTAGGTGCTGCCTTGCCTGCACTCCGTCACCCCAAAGGAACTAGACCAGGTAGCCCGTGTCGCCAGCAATGATAATATATTAATGCCGTTGATTCACTGTGCGGGACTAACCTAATTGCTGATGTAGTTATGGCTGTCCTGCACCTCCGCGGCCGGTCCGCAGGCGGCCAAGTCGCCGCTGTTGGACGTGGTATTTCCGTGGCGAGCTGGTCGTGCTGCTGCCGCCCTGCCGCCTGGCGCAGGCAGTGGTGCTCAGGCCCTCCGCCTGCATCCCTGGCTGCTGACCACGCGTTGAATCATCACGGCGCTACTTGACTACTGATGCGCTGGGCTGATCACCGAGAAGATCCCTTGGCGGCGGGGACGTACGCCCATTACGAAACCAGCGCCGCCGTACCGTACAGCCGCGTAACGTACCCCGTACGCTGCCCGTCCCCGTCACTGACAGCCAGCTAAACCCAATTCCGCTTTAATATCGTTCTCCCGTAATCTTGTTTTCTGCCTTCTGGTCTTCTTCTTCTTCTTCTTCTTCTCCTTCTCCTCCTTCTCCTTCGTCTGCTTCTTCTCTCTTCCTCCTCGCTCTATCGCCAGTACCACCGCTCCCCTCCTCATCCTCTTATGCTTCCGCCCCTTCTCTCGCTCCCTCGCCCCGTCACATTGGCGAGCCTGCGTTGCCATACCAGCCGACTGCCGCCAGCACGCCCTCCCTTGCGATCGCCGTAACAGAGCCCACCGTGCTCTGCATCGTGCTTCGCCCATCCCTCCCGCCTACTCTCCGCCCTGTGTTGCTGAGATTTCAATGAGCACTCGCTCCGCCCTCGAGAAATACCGGGAAGGCCCCAAGACTCTATCGTACCCCCATCGCTCCTATATTTCTCTGGACCACGGTGATATCCCTCCGCCCAACCGCTCCAGTACTCTTTCGTCTACCCGCATCAGCCGCCGTTCTCTAGCTTCAATTGCTATTGAAAAGACCTCCACGGCCCTGAACAACCTGGTTTCCCTGGGTAGCTCGTCTAGTCCGTCTTTGCGATCCTCTGCTTCTTCTTTCTCTTCCGCATCCTCGCACAGCAACCAGCTAAAACTGCCTCCCCCGCAGAACACCACGCTACCACCGACTGAGTATTCTCCGGAGAACAATAGCCGGCGAAGTGGGAGCAACGAGATTGGCACCGCCAGCCGCTCTGGTGATTTTAATTTTCGTAGCTCGCCTCTGGCACAAGCCAACGTTGAGACCGTGATTTCAGTACCGTCGCCAGACTCCTTAGCCTCGACACCATCTCATCAGCGCAAACCTAGCGCTTCATTACCTTCCAATAGGCGGAATACCTTTCAGGCAAACACACCTGAAGCTCAACAAATGCCCAGCGCAAAAATGCATCAGACCTCCTCACGCCTGCTGCGTATGACCAGCGATGACAGGCCCTTTTGTCGGGATTTTAAGGACCTGTTTTCTACTCTGATGGTGAGCTTGAAATTAGAGAGCCACCGTGTGCGCTTTTCTAAATTCGACCACACCTTTTTATCCGAGGAGGCCATCAACAATCTTGGATCGTTGAAGTTCTCCCAATCCAACCGCATGCCCGATCCCAAGGACCCCTCTCGCATCGTAACGACAACAACCACAACTACCTTCTCCATGGCTAGGGAAATGGCCCGTTCCGTCTGCCAGCGCTTTGTTGATGCCCGCTTCATGGAACCAGTGGATGGCCGCGTAACATCCCAGTTCCCACTCAAAGGCGCGCTCTACCAATTAACCCCCAAAGGAATCCACGTGCTTCACCGCTTCTGCCAGCGCAATGGAATCACTGCGCGCCATGTCATGGACGTCCTGGAATCCCCCCGAAACACTATGCAGTTAGTCATTTTAGAACGCGATCTTGATACAGACCAGATATCGCGGGATCGTGCCACTACCGAGGTCATCTTTCGCCGATTCGCCGGGGTCGATGGCCCTAATCTTAAGAATTCTGTATCTAGTTCGGATTCCGACTCAGTGACCGACTATATCACTGGTACCACTGGTGTCAAGATGGCCAAAGAACGCAAAATTGGAGACAAACTTATTCAAAACAGTTTCACAGGAAAAGCCGCTGTAGATTGGATACTGGATTGCTGCACTGCGATTGACAACCGGGAAATCATTGAGATCGCGACCCTATTCTTGAAATACAACCTAATGTATCCTATTGTGGAGGACAGGGCTTACATTTTCCAACGCCCCTCAGCTAGTGCCTTCCAGCCAACAAAATACGCTATTTATGGTATCACAGAACATGGCCAGCGTGTGTGTGGATGGATTGCACGAGACAGAGTCGCTCCTAGTTCATTGGATGGTCGAATCGCGCCACGCGATTCCAACAATGCTCGGCTAAATCACATTCTACAAGATCCAGCTTTAAGACTGTTATTCCGTGAATTCCTTCGAGACTCGCTTTGTGAAGAAAACTTGGCGTTTTATCTCGATGTTTCTGCTTTTACAACTGATTATCACCGCGCAGAGAAGACCGGGACATTTTCGAAAATGGATGCAGTCCGGGAGACGTTGGCGAGCGCATATGGTAAGTCGTCTTTTGGTACACAAGCTACAATTCAAGTCTAACCGATCCTACGTCACACCAGGTTTATACAATGCTTTCCTTGCCCCTGGATCGCCCTGCGAGTTAAATATCGAGCATGCCCTTCGAAACAGCCTCGCGAGCCGTATGACAAGAGCTGTTGGAGATGATGCTGCTATGGTTAAGAGTTTAACGGAAGTCGTCGCATTGTTTGAGTTAGCTCAGATCTCCGTCTTCAAATTGATGTCAAGTGTAAGGATATCCCGCCCTACATTTTCTCCGCAAAACTAAATTTTGACTTAAAATAAATGTAGGATTCCGTCCCAAAATTCGTCCGCGATCCTAGATACTCGATAATCCTTCAGGAGCATGACTTTGAGCTCTGCGGCCCTGGTCGATCATACTCTCCTACTCAGACGCCGGTTCCTGAACGCACGAAGAGTCGATCCGGAAGACCGTGACGGTGTACTTCCGCTGCCGCTATTCATTTACCCTCCTGGCAACCCAATTTCAACATGGACGAGGGCGCTGCACGCTAAAAACTTTAGACACTGTGAAAATGACCTCATTTTTCACTAAACGAGGAGCGACGACTTAGAACATCAAAGCAACCATATCCACATAGACTCCCTGAATGACCATTATGAAATGCAACGATTTGGATGTGTTCTCACCCCCAGCGTTTTGCGTTTGTATTTTTTCTCCCTTCAGACTCTCCCCTTTCCTCCCGTCCGAACGATTATCCTAGTTCTTCACCACGCAGTCGACGGTTTCGCCAACGTTTCGAGTGCAACTGCTGCGCCTCCCCATTGCATCTACATGTAGTAGCAATGCAACGGAAATAATCCGCGTGTGCCGTGAATTTGATGCCAGAGTGACATGATATTTACTCAAATTGTATCGCAAAGGAAACACGGACGGGCGCACCACTCTTGCAAGTTGGTTTGATCATCTGAAAAAGGATGTTCTTGATTTTTCTTTCAAATTCTAACTTGATCATCTTTTGATACTCTTTGAATGACGGGGTTGGGAGGTCCCTTGACTTCTCCTTTATTACCTGATAATTTTCGAGTTCTATTCGTTCTCTTGAAATTCTTCTTTTCTTCTATATCTTTGGTGGGCCGATTGAGCAGAATTCTAGCATACACGGCATTGCTATTTTGTTTTTTCCTTTAAGGCTTTGGATGGACTTCTGGACTAAAAATAACACATGGGCGGATCAGTGTTGGAAAAATTGTCAAGCAAAAACCTGCTCCAAGTGAACAGGGATATTTTCTTCCTTATCCTTTTTCTTTTTTTTTTTTCACAAATACTCTCTTCTCGGTTTGACGAAGCTCTTGTCCAAAATTGCAAGCTCGTCCTTTTTTTTTTCGTTCTCTTTTCGCCTTTGGCTTACATAGACGCATGACATCCTGACGATTTCTTTTGAACTCCAAATCTGGCTCTTCTAATTTTCTGCGAAATATTCCCTTAATTTTACCCGCAGAAAGTCGGAACGATTAGAGCATCTGGATGGCGTTATTTCCTTGCTTATTTCTTCCTCTCTCCACTAGATGTGTCTGCATAACCCAGTAGTATAATTCCTAGTGTTTTATCCGCTTTATTTTCTCCGTAATACACAAATTGGCCACGATTTACCATTTCGTGAAATTCTCGTTCCTTTTCTCCTCTTAGAGGCAATGTTGGCCCGGCTCGGCATGAACTGTTGGGGCAATTATTGCTGACTCGGTAGACCCGGCACCCCAAGCGGGCTGCGGGCCCACTAGCATCGTGAAGAATGCCATGGCAAAAAAAAAAAAGAATGCCCAGTATTCCTAGGCAGCCGCAAGAAGAACCAAGAAAGTTGTTTCCGCTGAACGTCGGGCTTTGCGAAGGAGTCGGTCGTGGCAAGATTTATTAGCATTCTGCAGGGGCGGGACAGCCCTAGCTACCTCCCAAGGACGGGGGGTGGAACGGGTGTTTCATTCTTGCAGCATCTTGGTTCTTAAGCTTCTTTTCTAACCTTGCTCATGTCCTGCTCCGGTTTCGCTCATCCGGGCCCGATTCTCTGTTCCTACAACTCTTGGGTGTGGGTTCGCAAGAATCGCGACAGTAAGTTGGAGATGGCTTGCTTGGTGATTTTTTTTTTGAGCAGAGTTACGGGGTACTGGTACCTGATCCAGGAACCATGTTGTACCAAGCCGATATTCGTTTGGCCAACTCGACCTCGGTTGGCAAACGATGCCGATTGACGCCATTTCAGGCCTCAAGCACTCCGTACTCCGTACAAAGCTCGAGATGGATGATAGATGTCAGTATCGCACGCAGGAAGTAAAGGGCATCGCCCCCGTAAAAGCTCTTCCATATTTCTTTTTGAAAATGAGCGATTACATCTCGAATATGCAAAGAGTTCAAATGTCTAGAAAAAACCCCTGGAAAACTCCAACTCCCTACGACAAATTCGACCAGCCTAGAAGAAAAACCGGGAAAGCGAGAAAAGAATACGGCAATAGTCGCAATAATGCTGTAAAATCACTTCGATCCCCAACCTCTAGCCCTCATCCCTTCCTCAATCGCGCCCCATATCCCTTCCACGACCTCCCGGTCCCTCCATCTCGTCCGGCCACCAATCGCATTAGGACCAGAACTTTTCTCATCCCACCGCTCCAGCGCAAATGTCCGCACGCCCCGTCCCCATCCCTTCACATCTCGAGGAACATCCTCTCCTCTCCACCCAACATACACACCAGTTGCATGCTTGAACAGGTCTGGGGGAGAAGACCACTTGTACGACTTGAATTGCCAGGTCTGACCCGTGGTAAACACGGCAACGACGTTATTCCAGTACTCCGGCTTGAAGTCCGCAGTGCTGTCGACGAGAATGAAGACCGTCCCACTGCGAGATGTAGAAGGTTTGTGTCCACCGGCGGATGACGAGTCGTGGACGGAATGTAGAGCGCGGGAAATTTTAAGACGGTTGGCACCGGTGGATCTGGAGAGAGTTGGATGATCTGGTGGGATGTAAGTACCTTCTTCAAGGAAGGCTTTGATGTTCGACATGCGAAGGAGAGAGGAAGCGGAGGGGGAAACAAGGATGATGGGATTTGGTCTGCGTGACGAGCTTGGATCCATAGATTTCTTGGGAATCAGGCCGCGAACAGGAGTGGGAATGGCTGATTTGGCGCCTGGCTTTGCGCCGCCGGACGTATACGGGGCAGCGCCTGCTCGACCACGTCCAAGGAATTTCTCTGCAGTTTTCCGAACGTGGGAGAAATCCTATATCCAAACAAAATAATTGTCAGCAGGGTGTTTCCACTTTTAGTCATGCTCTCGCTGTGCATCACCACGCTCAGCCTTGCACTCTTACCGTCGGCCGAATTCCTCTCAGCACCGAGTTCCGGTCTCCCAACTTGCGCTCCCCATTATAAATTTGCTGTAACCTCGCATCGATAACCTTCACCGGCCGTCCGCCCGCGTGCGCTGCGGCCTGTGCCTTTGCCGCTGGGGCCGCAGAGCCGCCGGCGACAGCACCACCACCAGCGGCGGCGCCAGCCGCCGGCTGCGCGCCCGCGACGCCCACACCTTCCAAGGGCTTAATGTACTCGCTCTCCTCCGACGCGCCCTCCAGCCAGGTGATCAGGTCCAGGCGCTCGACAAAGACCAGGTTCTCGATCTTCAGCGTCTCCGCCAGCCCGCTCTCCTCCTGCTTCTTCTTCAGCGCATCGTTCAGCTCCTGCGCCGACGAGATGTACTCCGGGATCGCGACGTCTTTCTTCAGCCACGCGAAGTAGATGCTGCGCAGGTCGATGGCGTGCTGGTGCGCGGCCGCGGAGACGAAGCGCGTGGGTGTCGAGAGCGAGAGCGCTTGGGGGATGGGCTGCGTGACGTAGAGATGAGTGGCTTCGATCAGGTCTTCGGTGACATTCTCGGTAGAGAGGTCTGCGGAAGTCGTCAGCGTAGGAGGGGTCCCGAACGTGAGCGCACGGCGCAGAGCGAGGAGAGGATCTGAGAGGCTGGGATCAGTGGTCGCCATTGCGGCACCTCCGAATGCACCAGCAATTGAGGCGCGGAGGGTGATAGAATTAAATTAAATCAACCGAATCAAGGAGATTTTTTCGAGGTCAGCACAGAGGTCAGCGTGCTGGTGGTAGAGGTGTGTCGAACGCGCAACGGCGAGGTTTGAGTCAAGCTGATTGCTCACGTGACTGGTATCACTGGCAGTGGGAGAGAAAAGGCTATCCATGGCATTCAATGTGCTTGGTTATTGTAGGGCATCCATAATGGGTCTCTGATTAACTAGAGGTGATAGACTAATAACATGTTTACAGAGAAATATCTCATCACTATCCCATCAAGTGCACTTGCACAAAAACACCATTAAATGGCAAACGTGGGAAGGAAAAAAAAATGAATCAGGCGCTGAATATACTCGAAACATGATATAACACAATAGCCTCCCAGTAGAAAAAAACGCAAGTATTTCCCAGCGCCCATTGTGCTCTGGCAATCAAATTTTCCCATCCCAGAACGAGATCGACTTTGGAAGAATAAAATAGAAAAAACAAAAAAAAAAAAGGATCCCGCCCATTCCACGAAAAACGCCTTGTCCCGAACCCTGTCCCAAGGCTAAAATCGACACAGGTTTTTTTTTCATACCAGACTTCACACGCTGGAAACGCCGAATATCAGAAAAGCACACAAATCGCCGAAACAAACATCGGTCAGAGTGGTCGAACAGAAGCATATCAGTGAGTCAAAGAATAAAATGAAAAATCGAGAAACAAGACTATAATAAGTAAACAACTCGAAAAATTATTTCAGTCGCGGATCTTGCGGTAGGACAGAAGCGGGGGAAGGTGACGGGCCAGCAGATAAAGGTGGAGGGGGAACATCCTTCATCTCAATATCAGGGGCTGGATCGCTTTCGCGTTTAAGAATATCATCAACACGCCTACTAGCCTGTGGGTGCGCAGTCTCCATACTGGTAGCGACTGCCGAAGTTGGAGTAGCTTGCCGTGGGCCGTCGGGACTCTGCACTTGAGTCTTGTCCGCGGTGGATGTGGCCAGATTGCCCCGACGTGACATATAATCACCCAAACTCATCCTCTTCTTAACAGGGCTTGGAGCTGAAATCCCTAAACCGGATTTCAAGGCAATCGGTGAAAGGCGCGGCCTGGCTTTCTGTGGTGGTGGAAGAGAAGGAGAGACGTCAGTCACGGGTGTGTCAGGACAGGGGGATGCCGGGCTTGTAGTTTGTGCACTGGCAGGGGCCTCCTCCGTCTTCCCAACAGGCGGAAGGCGAACAGGGAAATTGTGGGCGGCGGTCGAAGGTAACGGAAATGACGATGGAGACGAAAGCTGACTAGATGGCTCTCCAGCTAAGTCAGAGGACTGAGTGGCAGCTTGAACAAATCTCTTGGGCGTGGGATTTGTATCCGCATCCTTCATTTCAATATCATCCGAGACCTGTGGAGACGAGGATGTCTTGATGCTGGCTATGGGCGGTGGAGGCATGCTGGCGCTCGCTCGTTTTGGCGAAACAGGATCAACTCCGTTGGTTTCGATGTGTAAGCGATCATGGTGGTATTGGAAAAGTAAGCGTCTGGTAAGAGGAACAAAGGGGGGGTGCGAGGGCGGTTGTGGTGGAACAAAATGTGGATCGGTCTCATCTGACTCAGTTTGCATGCCAGAGTCAACATAACCCATGCGCATCATCGGTGACCCAACTCGAGGAGTGCTAGTAGCCGAGTTTTTGGGAGTGGGCCGGGATTCTTGTCTTGATACCGCAGAATTGGGAGACGCCTTGTTGGAAACACTAGGGGATCGACGTGCAGGCATGGTGTCTAACCGGGGTGGTTTCGAGGGACCTGGAAATTTCTGCAAACCATTAGAAACAGTGAAACCGAAAACATCCGAAAAATTCTGCAATGTTGATGGGACATACCGGTATGCTGGCACTGGCATTATTCCGACGTCGTTTTTTGTGGGCATGTTGTTGATCGTGCTCAAGCTGTTCAAATTTCTTTTCGGCTGCGGCGATTTTGCGTTTCTCCCGAGCCGAAAGCTCAGGACCATTTGCTGCAAAGGCATCTGTTGGGCTGTGGACCGTGGGTGTCATGTCGCGACTATGCGGATGATCCCGCACAGAGCCAGATACTGACCTGCTTTCGGCGAGATCCTCATCTTCTCGGTGCTTGCGAACCTCGCTACCAGCACGACTATTGGTCGCGCAGCCAGTGCTTGCTGGAGATATATTCAGTTTATTTTTGCCTTTCTTTCGCCTTCCATTTACCTGTTTGCCGTTTAACTCGGGGGAGCGTGGGTGGTGGCGGCGGTCGACACTAGCCAACAGACATGTCTGAGACGGATCACAAGCGCAGCCACCAAAGTGAGCGAGAACATTACTTATCGAAATCGCCGCGGCATCCGGGATAACTTCGCTAGGGCCCTCCTGCTTCACAAACCCATTGCTAGCCGGGAAGAGTTGAGGATCCAAGTACCACGTTGTTGTAACCTCGGAATCACTGGGAATATCCTGATTTGCGACGAAACAGAAATGGTATTCAATTTCGTTCGTGATAAACGTCTTCAGAGTCACATTAGGTCGACAAGACCGACGAATGTAGCGCAGCAACGTGCCCTCTTTCCGACTGTCGATGTAAATCGGGAGTTGTGGGTGGAAAAAGACAAAAGGTTCCGGATGTCGCAACTCTTGCCATCTGCTACTTGGATCGAGACAGTAATCACGAAAGTGGCCTACCTTGCCGCGAACCTCGCCAATGACTTCGTCTTTGCGAACATCCTTCTCGACTTTCAGAAAGCGCCAGCTAGGATGTGTTCCTTGGTAGTCAATACTCGTATCCGTCGTCGATTGCTTTGAAAGAGCGGGCCATTTCGACGAATCTAATAGCTGGTCGGAATACGTGAAGACTTCCTTGGAAGTGCGGCCGTTGGCGACTCGAGCAAGAGCGACAGGATCTTGAACCCACGATGCTAAATTGCCGGCTAGTTCGAGCGTATCGAATAGGTTGCCATGCATGTCAGTATTGACCTCGTCGTTGTCGTACAGGTGAAGAAACTCTTGCGAGTATAAAGGAATCGGTGGGTGAGGGTTAGTTTTAATGGGCGATGCCATGACAGTAGCCGACGACGTCCCGCGTTTTTTCGAGTCGGTACCGATGGTTGGAGTGCCTACCGAGCTGGTTGAGGCGGATGAACGATGGGTCGGTCGCTTCTTCGGTTGTGGCTGTTGCTCTCTGGAGCCAGAGGTGGAGCCGCTGCGCTCGTGGGAACCGCAAGCATTGGGCCCATCAGTCGCCGCCGATGGTACATCTTTAATCTTCCTCTTCTGGCCTTTTGCGCCTGATCGCTTACCCTTCCGGTCACCGCTGTCGCTCTGCTCCCTGAGTTTCTTCTGCCGCTCGGTGGCGCGCTTGGAATCGAGAGCCCTCGGCTCGCAGTCCGCACAATTGTGAATGTCAGGCACTTCTTGACCATCGTAGTAGCATACAATGTGTTGCCACGTTTCACAGCGTTCGCAGAAGACGGTGCTGCCATCGTCATCATCAAATATACAGATGCACTTGATGGTGTAGGGTTCTTCATCATCCTCGTGCGCGGAGTTGGCACCGTTGACGGCAGGAGGGGAGAGTTTGGGAGCGGTGACCGGGAAAAGCTGCGCCGTGGAATGCGTGTTGGCAAAGGAGGCCTCTGTCATAATCCGACGGTGTCCCCCTAGGCTTGTAACGGGGGGGCTTGCTGCTGGGTGGGCGAACGAGGAGAGGCGAGGGTGGCGTTAGGATCCGACCCAGCGATGGCGGACGCCAGTCGAGCCGAGCAGGAAAACAGCGTAGAATCGGAGGCAGTAGGAGGAAACCGCAAGAGAGGCAACAGGAGTTGGCGCATGCCACCTGCTGCCATCAAACAAACGGCCACGACTACCCTGGGACGTGGAGGCACGGCGCAAAAAAAATGGCGGCGCAGTACGAAGAAAAAATCAAATATATAAAACAGCCGTGGTAATTATCTAGAATTTATCCGAACTAAAGGGTCTCGGTACACTTTGCGACTCGAACAGGGTAGAAGAGCGCAGTGGACAGACACGGTCGACGGAGCGACAGGTGTTGGTGGTGGTGGTGGTGCACGATGACAAGGAAAACAGGCTCCCAACATGGAGACGTGCGGTTCACAGGCCACAGTCTCGGGCAAGAGAATATATAAAGCGAACAAAATCGACAGAGACGCTGCTTGGGAGGAGAGCGCACGGCAGACGGGGGTTCAAGGGAGGAGGGAGGGTGGTTGCGTGACAAAAGTTGGTGGTTGAATGTTGGGAGAGGAGAAAAGACGGCAAGGACGGTTGAAGGGAAAAAACTCAAGAAGCTAAAAAGGTGGCCATAGGCGGAGCCGGAGGCGTTAGGGGACGGGGGGGAGAGATTGCGCCTGGAGCAGGCCGACGAGCAGGGAGACGGGCGAGCAGGCAGTAGGCGGGCGCGACGAAGACGGGCGACGAGAGTAGCGGAGGAGGGAGCGAGGAAGAGGAGGAGAGAAGGCAAGCGAGGGCGACGACGAAGAGCGAGCGAGCGACGGCCCAGCTGGGAAAAGACTGGACGCGCCCGAAACGGCAAAGGGCGATTCGGGGGTGGTGGCGCTAGGCCGAGTCGGGCGATGGCGCGATGGGCGGTGGCGGGCCGCACTAGGCCGGGTTAGGTAAGGCGCCGCGGGCCGGGGGGGCCCGTATTGCGGCCGTACGATACGCGCCGGCGGTACGCGCTGCCGTGCTGACTCAGCAGCGGGCCGGCGAGGCCGCGGGCGGCGGGACGAGCGCGGGAAGGGCTGGATGGAGGGCGCTGGCGGCCGGGGAGGAGGAGGAGAGCAGAGCGTCGCGGAGGACGGGCGGGATACGCACCGCGAAAGGGGGTAGGGAGAGAGGGACGGAGGGAGGGAGCGACGGTGTGCTGCCAGGGGCCGAGACCCCCCATGCGAGCGACACGCAAGCCGGAGCACCGCTCAGCTGGTACACAGGCACGACGGGCAGCGCGGGTTGACTCGTCCCGAATCGTCGAGGCCGTCGTCCGTCGAGCAGAGTCCCGGCGGGCGGTGATACACGGCCCGCCCGTCTGCCCGAAACCGCCTGGCGAACAAGATGACGCCTCGACCCCGAGCGTGTGACATCGTGGGCGCGGGTGGTGACGGGCAGTGTGCTGTGCTGTGCTGTGCCCTAGCTCGGGATGCAGCAGCAGTGCCAGAGCACCGCGCTATCACGCTCCATGATCAGGGGCAGCAGGCAGAAAGGGCTGGCCGGGAGTGGGCGCGGAGTGGGTACGCAATCCATCTCATCTCGCTTGACGCGGTGGGAGGAGGACAAGAAGAAGAAGAGCGTGAGGGCTGACAAGGGAAAAATGATAATAATAATATGGGAGGAGGCAGAGAGGATGGGAAAGAGGAAGAAAAGCCGCCAGGGATGTTTTGGGGGGGAAGAAAGGCGGCAACTAGCCTAAGCGAATTTATGCTTCCTTGCTTTGTGTGGCATTTTGCGGTCGCTCTGTCGCCCCGTCGTCAGCAGCGGTGCCAGCAGCCCTCGCGGCCGAGTTAGTTAACTAGGTGAGCTAGTTACATAGTTCACGATTCGGTCGACAGCCCCGAGCCTCCGCTGCGTCGGTGGCGGTGGCCTTCGTAACGTCGGGGTAGCAGACGACAAATCCTCCCGCAGAGCCCAGCGTGATCTCCATCACACACCACACGAGCCACGACACCCGTCAGCCCAAAGGATCCCGTCAAACAACTCCTGGACGGCTACTTGCTTGACTCGCTGAGGAGCAGCTACGCCAATACCTTGACGGATCAATGATTGTCATTTCCGTGCCCGTTTGGCATGCTCTGGCCTGCAACCTGATACTATAGATAACTTACTTGTAGGAACAGCCAATCCCCCAGCCCACCCGATGCTGAGACACTTGCGGCATTTCCTAGTGGCTCGGCTGGGCACTATCTCACCACCCCCTCAGACCAAGTCCTCCTTCACCTGGGTTCGCCAGGCCTTTTGACCTAGCCCCCCCTTAGACCTGCTGGCTTGGTGATGACACCTCGGCCGTTTTAGCGTTCCCAGCAAGGATGGTGAGTTTTCAGCCTCTCGAGAAACCTCAGTAATTCACACATGGCAAAAAAAACAGGCGGATGTCGCAATCCCGGTGGCTAGCCACAGTCTGTCAGCGCTAGCCAGCTTTTCTGTTATCTTGCTGTATGTAACCAATCCAGCGGGAGCCTGCCTTCAGGGCAGTACTGCAGCACATTGATCCTACCGAACCTACCTGAAAGCTGTCGTTGCTTGCCTCTCTTTGGGATACCAGGGGGATCACACCGCTAAACACCAAACGAAATGTGGCAAATGTCTACTAGCACAGTGCTGAACCCCCCCCAATTGCTGCACAGACAAGACACATGTGTTTCTTCCTGCCACCTGCTGTGTCTGCAGTCTATTTGATTCCAGGATAGTACCTGTTGGAGCCTTACCGTCCACTCTGCACATTTGTATGAACAAAATTTCCAAGCAATCGCATAGTATGGTGGTATTCAGAGTATATCATAAGGTGACGTTGAGCACGGAGTAATAGCGCAATCTAGAGCCATAACCACTAGCTACATATGTCATAGGGCTGGGGTAAACAGGCAGTCGTTGCTTGGGCGGATAGCCGTGGCTGCAAAGGCTTCACAACCCTGCAGGGTGGCTGGTTCTAGGAGCCGCGCCAGTGAAAGTAAGGACTCGCTAGCCTGGGCTAAAAGGAAGCTTGATTGTCTCAAAACAGATGCTGCGTCCTCAAACGGGTCCAGGAGGCATAGTGGGCGGGTATATCAGCGACATCAGAGAAGCTTTGCAATCTGTTTCATATTCAATGTGCCACTCCTAATGGAGCATGGCCACTAAACACATGTATGGCTTCGTCTCCTTTAAAAGCACATAGACTTCTGCCCACAGTATGTTTGCAGTAAGTCCTGTGTGGTATGCAGGTCATCAATCCCACTGTTTGAAGATTATCGCGAGTCACCAGCCTATAAATAGCCCGCCCCTTTCATGGCTCGGAGCGAAGGAGCCGGCGAAGAGGAAGAAATAGCGAGGTCACCTGCCACCTGGTAACGCTCAATACAGCGCTAACCTGGAACAGCCAAGCGGCGTACTGCGCATTGGCAGCGTCCAAGACCGGCAGGACCAATCACACGCTTTTGCACGGGTCCCGTCCTTTGTTTTCTGCCGCCAATCAGACGCGGCCTGCAGCTTCCGGAACACTGCTGTCTTGGCGCCTGGCGGGCGATCAGATAAGCCCAACGGCCAATCAAAACGGCGAGCTGCGAGGCGGCGACACTGCCTGGCGTTGGGCGGGCGGGCGGGCGGGCCAGAGAGCGCTGGTAACGAGGCAGGCCGGCGCTGGAGAACGGGAGGTGCCGATGGCGGCAAGCAAGCCAGTGGTTCTGAGGCCGGTAAGAGGGCTTGCTGGGCTTGGGTGTGGTGTTTGTGGTACTCCCGATATCAAATTAGACGAGTCTAAGCGCCCACAATGACCCGTTCCTCCAGCATGTGGCGGGCGACGTTTCGGTGGACGGTGCTCGGCCGTTTGCTTGGAAAAGAAGAAAAAGGAGGATGCCTTGACGGACGAAGCAGAGTCAATGATATACAGAGTATACGAATGAAACAATGCTGTTGCGGGGGCAGAGGCGTCGATGCTCCTAGTCTGTCTGGGATCGAATCGATGCTCGACCGATCAGCCGACACGGGGGGAGGGGCCGCGCTCGAGTTCGTGCGATGCGACGTGAAACAGCGTGCCTGACAAGAGCAGAGCTTGATCTTAAGCTGGCCCTGCCCACTTGGTGCGGCGGGGAGGCTGCTGGGCGGGCGCAGGCTAGCTAGTAGCAGGATCTGACCAGCGACCCAGCCGGCAGCCCATCCATCACCCATCAGCCAGCTGTGGTGAGTGAGTGAGTGAGTGTAAACCCAGGCCTGGAGCTGGACGGCGCAGAAGCAGGCGTCGCAGCGACTCACGCATTATTGCTCGACAGCTCGCCGCGCCAAGCACGGCCGTCTAGACTCTCCCAAGCGTGGCGTAGTCAGTTAGTTAGCCAGGCTGGGCTGCGCTGCTCTCGTGTTCACTCTGGCCTGCCGGCCTGCCCAGCGCCAAAATTTCCCATCCCACATCCCGTCGAACCTGTTCGTTGTCTACACCGCAGAGAGAGCGCGCGCGCGCACGGCCGGATTGCAATCCCAGCGCGCAGCCGATGTGCAGCTCGCTCCCAGGCAGCGCGTCTGTTGCAGTCCTGGCGAGAGACAGAGAGATCGCCTGCACCCCCCCGACAACCACCTTCTTGGCCACAAACCCGGTCAGGGCTCGCTTCAGGAGAACGGCCTAACTAGTTAGTACGTTAACTAGTTAGTTGGTTGGTTTGCCCGCCCAACCTGCACACTTCCATCACCCTCGCGCGACCCGCCTCCCCGACGCCCGACCATGGCGTCCGCTCTGAGCAAGCGCCAGCAGGCGCGCAACGAGAGGGCCCTGCAGGACCTGCTCAAGTCCGTCGCCGGCAACGACCGCTGTGCCGACTGCCACGCGCGCAATCCCGGTAAGCTTTCCCGCGGTGAACAGCCCACTGTTGGACCCCCCCTTCAAACAAACAAAGAACCCCTCGGGCTGACTGGTGCTGCGCTGTCGTCAATCGTCTCTAGCATGGGCAAGTTGGAATGTGAGTGTCTTGCCGCCCTCCCCTGCCCGCCGTTTCGTGACACCATCACCCGCCCTGTCCCGCCACTGGAGATGGCTGACATCTTATCTAGCTCGGCGTCTTCCTGTGTATGCGGTGCGCTGCTCTGCATCGCAAGCTGGGGACCCATATTTCCAAGGTCAAGTCCCTGAGCATGGACAGCTGGTCCCAAGACCAAGTGGATGTGAGTTGGGAAAAGACTACAATTCCTGCCTTGGACCGCTACTGACATCGTGCCCTCAAGAATATGAAAAGAAATGGAAACGCAGTAGTGAATGGCATATACAATCCCAAGAATATCAGACCCCCTATTCCCATCGATGCCGACGAAGCCGATTCCGCCATGGAGCGCTTCATTCGTCAGAAATACGAATCCAAGGTCCTCGAGGACGGGAAGCCCAAAATCCCCAGCAGAGAGGACCCAAGCTATATCAGCAAGCCTATTGAGGACTCCCCTCCTCCCCTGCCACCAAAGCCTAGCCGACGGTTCGGATTTGGCCTTCGATCGTCTTCTTCGCATTCTGGCTTAAACAAAGCATCACCCCGTCGTGAATCATTCGGCTCCACTTCGATCTTTTCCAATAATAAGCCGTCTCGGTCTCTTGGGTTCAACGTCGATGATTCGAACGGTTCCTTCGAAACGAAGCTGGGAATTTTGCGGAATATGGGCTTCCCCGATGATAAACGGAATGCAACAGTTCTCAGAGGGTTAAACGGTGACGTGGACCGGACGGTGGATGCCCTTGTGAGATTGGGAGAGCGTTCAGGGCCAACATCGAGGTCCCGCACTCCTGTTCTCAAATCACCCACCAGTGTTAAATTCCCTGATACGTATGACTGTACTGCAACGCCTATGAGCTCCACCAACCCATTTGATAAAATGGGTTCCTCTTCCTCACGAAGCTCCGCGGGAATATCGATAAATCGACGGGAATCACAAGGTAGTAGCATTGAGGAGGTGGCTGCGAAGAAGCAAACTTCTTATAACCCATTCGACGTACCACCTCCACAGTCCAGTGCCGCTCCGTCCCTGGAGCAGTCTTTTCAAAATCTGCAGGTATCTCAGCCTTTGTTTCCAAACATGACAGGGGGCTACCCTAGTCAACAGGCTCAAGCTTCACTAAGGATGCATCAGCAGTGCATGACGCCGCCCGTCACCATGACGTCCCAGGGCGCGTTCACAACAACCCCTGGGGCTATCAATGGCGGCCATAATCCTTTCTTCCAGTCCCCTCCACCTGTGAACAGTGCTGCAGGGACATTTGCGCCCCCAGCGCAGAATCTATCTCCTAGCAACCCTTTTTTCTCACAAAGCATGCAGAGCAACTTCCAACCCCAAATTCCTAATTCACACTTTGCCCAGGCCAGCCCTGCTCATGATGGATTCCCACTTCAGCATGCTAACACCATGCCTATTATCTCAAACTCTCCCTTCTACACGCCCCAGCAACAGCAACAGCAACAGCAACTGGGGCACCAGATGCCACAAAGCGCTCCGATTACTCCCATACACTCTTCCCCCGTCCCATATTTCCAAGGACAGTACAGCCAACAAGCACCACAACCACAGCCCTTTCAACCTCCACAACCCAGCCGCATGGACAAATCAAGCATCCTTGCCCTCTACACCTTCTCCAAACCCCCGCCAACCATCCTCGAACAACCACAACAACAGCCCCAACTCCAACCTGACCCCACCACCGCCCCCTCCCAACCGCCCTTCAACCAGCCCGCTCCAGTCCCCAGCAGCGCACCACCGGTTAGCCATAACCCCTTCTTTACTGCACCAAACGCCAATGCTGCCCTCCCCCCGGCCACCAATCCTGGCATGATGGCCAGCGCCAAAAACGGCAATGTACCGTTTGTCCGGTCCCATATGAGTCAGGAGAGCATGGACATTCGTCGGGCGCAGAATGGACGGCACAGCCCTGATGTGTTTGCGAGTTTGAGTGCGCGGTATGGGCAGTAGAAACTTATTCAAAAATTGTTGTAACTCTGCAACGATGACCTGTCTTTCTTAACTCTTTCGTTCTTTTACATTATCCCCCGGACTTTTTGTATTTTTCATGTTCTTTTTTTCTCCACGCGGGCACTTCACGTCTGAACACAACTACATATTTCCTTTTCTTTTTTGGGATACTTGACCGGCATAATTTGTATTGTTCTCTTCTCCGCATATCCATTTTTTCTTTTCTTCCATGTATTTTCAAGCAGATACATCATTTCTTTCTCAAGTAGCATATGCATGGGATTTATATACTTATTTTTAAGAGATACCCGTACCTTCACCTTCGCTTTCTCGAGCTCTCACTGCAGCATCTACTCTTTCCTTTCTGCTTAGAGAATTTGTACTCTGCTAATATTCGGAATTTGATATATCGTATTTCTTAAATAGACATCGCGAAAATATTTCGTGATCAAAGGTTCTTAGATTTTAGCCGAAGGTCGCTCTCATATCAATCTAAAAATCAAAAAATATTAAAATAAAAGGAAGAAGATTACGTGTATATGTACAAGCCGAATCGGAAAAAAAAAAATAAAAAAGAAAAACAGAGGCGAGATTAGCATTATATAAATGTCGCATCCTGGGCCCATGGCTCATGACCATAGATCCGACGACTTCGGCTCCGACCTGTCACTTAGAATCTTATCATACCACGCCACCATCACATCAGACCAAGACAGCTTTTGCCTTTTCACCCACGGCCACGACCACGACCACGACCAGCGCCACTGGGTAGTCTGCGAGCCTCTATTCCACAGCCAATTTGCCGCGAACGACTTACTAGGCGGGCCCCAGCTCCAGCCTCTAGGAAGCGACAGCGACGGGAGCCATCGGCGGGCTTTCTTCCCGCTCCAGACGTCGGCGCTTTCTTTCCCCAGCTGCTCGAGGATGGCGTCGAACTGCTTGACCTTGCTCTTCATGAGCGCCTCCCAGCCGTCTTCGTGCACGTGCAGGCGTTTGTTTTTCTCGCGCCAGTCGCGCTGCACCGCGGGGTCGAGGCACCACACCACCATGTCCCCCTTGCGGCGCCAGTCGTCGTGCCACGCCGTGTTCCAGGTGCGATAGCACTCCGCGTACGACGAAGCTCGTAACAGCGAGCCCATCGAGGGCTCGAGCTGGGCGAAAAACACGAGATAGTCCGGCCAAGGGTGCTTGTCCTCTGCGATGGCGACCTGGGTTGGGTATTTGGTGTGGTAGGTGGGAGCACGCGGGAAGGCTCGGAGCCCGCCAATCATGTTCTGCCGGAGAAATGCGGCTGGATCGGCGTAGAACTGATCGGCTTCATCGAGATAGGTTTCACGCTGCGAGACGTTGAGGTTCACGGGGGGTTCACATGACAGCGCCCACGCAGTGATGGTTGGCGATACCAGGTGAGACCTCCACGGAGTGCTGTGACATGGCGTTAGGAAGCCGACGGTGAGGCCCTTGGAGAACACGACCGGGGAGGAGAAGTGGGATACAAGAGGCGGTAGCGGGCGAGATCTGTCGGCGTCGATTTGCATAGACACCCGGTCATCTTGGCGTCTTATGTAATCAAGCACCTTGACGGGCCCAGAAGCATGAGACTGGGTGGTGTATAGCGCAATGACCACGTTCACCAGGACAAGAAAGGCAAGCAATAATTTGCGCGGAAAATACGACCCTGAGGCAGAAAATACCGCAGGGCTGAAGAAGCTTTCCAAGGCTGGTGCCGTGAGGATATGCAAGGGTGGCAGGAGCGGGTAAATAAAACGAACTTCTTTGTGAGATATAAACGAAAGGATCGCGGGCATGGCGATGCAGACAGTGGCAAGCTGCACTCGAATCGATGTCTGAAGCTTGTTTGATGCATTCGCAGGGGTAGTGAAGGCGCTCCAAAACCCCGCTATTGTAAATGGTAAAGCGGTCGTTAATAAGAGTGGGTATCCCTGCGAAAGATAATAATGCCAGTCGTTTCTCCCGTAGAACACTGCTAAAGATTGAGCAACATTGTAGTACAGGAATTTGAGCGGGGGCACAGTCCAAACTCCATAGTAGACACGGTCGGCGAAAAGGGCCAACAAAAACACAGAGAAGCTAGGCCATGTCAGTATCTATCACGGTAACTGGTATCTCCAAGGTCGAAGTTTAACATACCCACAGCCTGTGGCTTCTCGTATAAGCGTCACGTGCTTGATTGACAACAGTCCGTCGCGAGGAATGGTCTTGAAAACGGTGCAAACGACCAGGGAGAGCCAGATAATGAGATTCGTAGGCCGCAAGACGCATGCAAGGGCCGCCAGCACCAAACAGCTCCGCAAATGGGCCAGTGTCCGCGTGCCATCGGGCTGGGGGGTTTTGACTTTGCGATCAGATACGCTCCAACCCCAGGGCCAGTAGCATAGCGCCGCAATGGTCAACGTAGTCTCCAAACAGTTGGAGAAGGTTCGCGTGGAACAGAACCACTGCCAGGGGCTCAGGATTGTCAGACCGAGCTAGAGGAGAGGGCTACTGGTTAGCAGGCCGAATGAAAGCGCCGCATGCGGGCATGCTGCGTCCTTACCGTCCACCACGCGTGCCAGCTGTCCTGGCCAAAGGCCCGCTCAGCCAGCCGCCAGGTGTAGTAGTCTCCCAGCGCTGCAACGATGCCCTGTGTTGCTTTGGGGGCCGCGATCAAAAGATCGGCGCGACCCAGCGGCGACAGGCGGGCGTAACGACTGAGCTGGTCGGCAATCGAATACACGGCGGCGAAAAGATAGGGGTGGAGGGCGGATCGGAGGTGGTGCTTCCATTCCTAGGGGAACAGCATTCTGGTCAGCCTGTTCAGTGTGCTTTGTGTCCTTTTTTTTATTTTTCTTCCTTTTTTTCTTCCTGCAGCCCCAATCGAAAGCGAGGGGTCAAGTTACCCAGGTGATCCAGGCGCCGGACCCGCGGCCAAAGGCGAGCTGCCATGCTGGCTCCAGTGACTGGAAGAACTCGTCGGGCTGGAAAAAGGTGTTGACGCACAGGGCATTTAGAATTCGAAAGGCGACGAGGAAGAGCAGCAGGTCGCGGGCGGCGATACGACGGCGGGCGGGCGCCGGGCGGCCAGACAGACGAGGGCGTGAGGGCGACGAAGCCATGGCCGGCACGCGCTCGTCGCTTGAAGGCGGAGGAGGATTGGGGGGGGGAGAAAGTCAGTCCGGCGAGCGCCAATGACGACGAGGGCAAACGGGCGTGAAATAGCCGGACAGCCAAGGTTTTGTCTCCGCCGGCTGGGCTTGGGTCAGATGACGAATGCGCGCGCAGTTCCGCCCGCCAGTGATTCGTGGGAGCGGCCCAAGTCGAGTGTTCCTTGCTCGTCGGTGGAGCGCGCGCCGGGGACCGCTTGCACTTAGCGGTCTAGCGGGAAGGATACCATCGGATGCGCGCCCGAGCCTGGCGGGCGGCGCGCGGGTTATAAAAGGCCGCCCGGGGCTACCTCGCCGCGAGCCTCCTGCCCTCGCTCCAGCCCCCCCAAACCCCAGCGCCCACGCCCCCGGACCCGCCCCCCGGAGACCCCCCGCAGCTCTAGGCCTCCGCCCCTCCACGCTCTCCCCCCCGAACGCCGCTTCCCCCCCCCCGCGCCCCCGCTCCCCTCCCGCCATGTCCCCCATCGCCACCCCCCAGTCCGCACCTCCCAGCTCGCTCACGCCCTCCAAGCCAGACCTCAACAAGCCCGCCGCCATGCCGTCCGCCCAGTACCACGCCGCGTCCACCTCCGCTGCCATTGACGCAGAGCACCAGTATGCCGCCCACAACTACCATCCCCTCCCCATGGTCTTTGCCCGTGCCTCCGGCGTCTCCGTCTGGGACCCCGAGGGCCGCCACTACCTGGACTTCCTCTCCGCCTACTCCGCCGTCAACCAGGGTCATTGTCACCCGGAGCTGGTCAAGGCCCTGACCGAGCAGGCCGCGACGCTCACGCTGAGCTCGCGGGCCTTTTTCAACGATGTCTTCCCCAAGTTCGCTGAGTTCGTCACCAAGTACTTCGGTTACGACATGGTGCTACCCATGAACACGGGCGCGGAAGCCGTCGAGACTGGTATCAAGATTGCCCGCAAATGGGGCTACAAGGTCAAGGGCATTCCGCCCAATGAAGCCCTCGTGTTGAGCGTGGCCGACAATTTCCATGGCCGGACTGTTCGTCCTTCCTCCCCCCGCCCATGCCTGTAGTCCAAGACGCTGACCCGTTCTCTCATCCTCTCAGTTTGCAGCTATCTCCATGTCCACTGACCCGGAATCCAGGGACAACTATGGCCCATACCTTCCTAACATCGGCAGCACGATCCCCGGAACCGACAAGAAGATTGCCTTCAACGACAAGCAGGCCCTCCGGGAGGCCTTTGAAGCCGCAGGCCCCAAAATCGCCGCCTTCTTAGTGGAGCCCATTCAAGGAGAAGCCGGCATTGTCGTCCCCGACGACGACTACCTCAAGGAAGCCCGTGCCCTCTGCGACAAGCACAATGCCCTGCTCATCTGCGATGAGATCCAGACCGGCATTGCCAGGACCGGAAGACTGCTGTGCCAAGAGTGGAGCGGTATCAAGGGAGACCTGGTCCTCCTGGGCAAGGCTATTTCGGGCGGCATGTACCCGGTTTCTTGCGTCCTGGGTAGCAAGGATGTCATGATGACCATCGAGCCTGGCACACATGGTTCCACCTACGGTGGAAACCCACTGGGTTGCGCCGTGGCCATTCGAGCACTGGAAATCATCCGTGATGAACAGATGACTGAGCGTGCTGAGAAGATGGGCAAAATCTTCCGAGACGGAATTGCCGCCATCCAGAGCCCAATTGTGCAGACTGTCCGTGGCCGTGGACTGTTGAATGCCGTGGTTGTGGACGAGAGCAAGACGGGAGGCCACACTGCCTGGGATCTGTGCATGCTCATGAAAGAAAAGGGTTTGCTGGTAGGAGACTTTCCGAGTTATTTTGTTTGTTCTAGAAGTTAACGTCCTTTTTTTTCAATAGGCCAAACCCACTCATCAGAACATCATCCGATTCGCACCCCCATTGGTCATATCCGAAGAGCAGATGAAACAAGCACTAGGCATCATTGAATCTGCTCTTATGGAGCTCCCCACCCTCAACGGTGTCGAAGAAGATCGAATTATCCCAGAGTCCGAGAGACACTTCAAAGTTTCCGACATCGACCAGTGTTAGATGATTCTAGCAAGTCCTTTTATATGTTTTAGCCTCGGGGTTTCCCTCGATTCGTTACGGGAGAGTTTGAGGATTGCAAGAACTAATATTGATGAAGTAATGACACGTTATTTGGCCTTCGTGCTAGATGATTTTGAAACAAAAAAACAGCTCTATTGATCTCTTTTTGTTGGGATATGGAAAAGGCGTCACCCGACTCTCGAATTGAGTCGGTGCGGGTGGCATATCTTGCTGGTTCCTGGGACAGGTCGCCTTGCGTGTTGTGCATGGGTCGGCCCTGTTCTTTCAGATTACTGTTTGGCGGCTCTTCGCCCTGCACCGGGAACAGCGAAGGGCATATATAATACTAATTTGCTGGTACTAGCTTGACATACGCCTGTGGTGACAGGCCGCTCCCCCTTGGTTCTTTTGGCTAGTTTTTGTATTCTTTATTGGCCTCCGTTGTATATATATACCTATAGCACAAATATGGAAATTTTGGACTTGCCATTGGGAAAGGCCGTCGAACATGCTTTGAGATTATTCTATGCTGTTATTCGCTTCAACCACCTTGAACATACCCAACAACAAAAAGCAAACATCAGGACCCTTCGTATGATCGCAGTCTTTACGGATCTTGGCCCTTCTTGGTGAAAGCTTGTCTTTCCTGCCTGGACTGAGGGGGGAGCCGAGGCCCTTCAGTGCACCGGGCTTCAACCGGCTATGACTGATGCGTTGTTTCTTGGGATGACTAGAAGAGCGTCGTACTTTCTTTTATATATCCCGCACCCCCGGACGGCAGCGTGGGAGTTGTGTTTCATCAGTGCTACTTGGCCACGTCGGCCTGAGGAGGAATGAATTGAGCCGACCGCAGCAAGGGTGTCTTATTTCCTAGCTCCGCACGCCTGCCGACGAAACGCTATTATAACTCCGTGAGCGGCCCAGTCATCAAGACCGAATTACAAACCTGCGGCAATTCTTATTTTTTTTAACGTTTCTGCCGAGTCTTTTTTTTCCTGCCTAAAATCTCGACGCTCGCGCCCCGACCTGGGCCCTTGTGCGCTGCAATAACCCACACCGGCTTTTAGAACTCGCCAAACGCCCTGGTTATAAATCATCAATTCTGACAAGTCTGTCTGTCCGAAGCCGTTAGCTTCCGTCGCCAGCCTCGTGGGTGGCCGGGTCTGGAGCAGTACCGCGGATTAACGAAAGCTAGGATTAAGCCCAGGCAATCACGCCGCCGCCTTCATAAAAGTGCGGACGTGGGCGTTCAGCCGTGCATAACTAACCCAGGCACTCTCGGGATAAATTGTGTTGAATGCTGACAAAATACTTTTTTTTTCCTGGTGTAATTTTTTATTTTCTTTTGAGCTTGAATAAATATGCTTTGGGCGATATCTTCTGCTTGACAAAACGAAGTCCACCATGCTATTACACTGGCCGCCCTGTCCATTTTTAACCTGCGAATTCTGTGAATTGTTGGACCATTTTCGGGCCTGCGAGCCTTTGACGTCATCGGATAACGCGGCAATTTTTCCTGCGCCGCCGATACCGACTTGCATGCAGCGAGGCCAGACAACATGACTGCTGCATCACCGGACGGTGACGAGAAACATGCCCATGGCGGGGACAAGCCCCCCGCCGGCCCGCTGGACGCTGTGTCCCTCAGTGGAGTTGTGGTCGATAACAGGCCGAGTATCGTTGCCAGCCCGAATCAAGAGAAGGATCTACAAGGCAGTTCCTCAAGGCTAAATGTTGGTAGCCAGACCAGCATGGCGAATGGCTCTTCGGCGCCGATTCAACGCAAGACAAGGTGGTACTCGAAGTTCGACCCCTTGAGGCTCCGAAAGCTCCCCCCAGTGCCGAAGGAGCGGACGCCATCCAAGGAATACAAAGCGGGAATTTTTAGCGTCGTCACTTTCCAATGGATGGGCTCACTGATGATGGTGAGTTTCTTTTTCAACTAACCCCCTGTGAGAACCTTGGGCCTATTGTACATTTACTAATACGTGACACAGACGGGCTACCTACGTCCGCTTGAGCTGCAAGATATCTGGCTAGTTAACCCGGACCGGGCGGTTGATGTTATATCCGACCGATTGGACGCCGCCTTTAAGCGGCGAGTCGACCGCGGAGATCGGTACCCGCTCCTTTTTGCCATCTATGAGACGTTCAAATTCGAATTCTGGCTTGGAGGCTTCTGTCAACTCTTCTCGTCTCTATTACAAGCTTTCACTCCATTTTTGACAAGGTATCTAATCGCCTTTGCCGCTGAAGCTTACAATGCGAAAATTAGAGGCGTCTCTGCCCCACATATTGGGCAAGGAGTTGGTATTGTCATTGGCATCTGTGTCATGCAAGCCCTTCAAAGCGTATCGACGAGCCAGTTCTTCTTCCGAGGGATGATGGTAGGAGGTCAATCTCGTGCTGCTCTTGTAAATGCCATTTTCGCAAAGGCCACAAAGCTCTCAGGTAGGGCCAAAGCCGGCGGCAAGGAACTAGAAAACGACCCTAATGACGAAGAGCTTCAAGCAGCAAAGGATGGAGTCCTGAAAGAGATATCTGAAAAGAAAAAGGGGACAAAGAAAAAAGCAAAACTGTCAGCCAAAGCCGCAGCAGAAATTGCCAGTGATGGGAGCGGATGGAGCAACGGGAAGATTGTTGCTCTGATGAGTATCGACACCGACCGTGTTGATAAAGCTCTTGGGCTATTCCATATGATCTGGACAGCTCCACTTGTCATTCTTGTCGTTCTTATTCTTCTCCTCGTCAACATTGGCTATAGCGCGTTATCTGGATATGGCCTGCTCGTCCTGGGCGCGCCATTACTTACTTTCATTATTAAGTCCCTAATTATTCGACGGCAACGTATTAACACAATAACCGATCAGCGAGTTTCCCTAACGCAGGAAATTTTGCAAGCCGTTAGGTTTGTCAAATTTTTCGGGTGGGAGAGCAGTTTCTTGGGTCGATTGAAAGACATCCGAGCCCGGGAAATCATTGCTGTTCAAATTGTTATGTCTATTCGAAATGCGATCTTGTGTGTGGCTATGTCACTTCCTGTTTTTGCTGCTGTGCTCTCTTTCATTACCTATTCTCTCTCAGGCCACACACTTTCACCTGCGCCGATTTTCTCCTCTCTTGCCTTATTCAACACACTTCGTTTGCCGCTCAATATTCTACCATTGGTGGTCAGTCAAGTAACAGACGCTTGGACGGCAATTTGTCGAATTCAAGCGTTTCTTCTTGCTGAAGAACAAAAGGATAGTATTCAGTGGGATGAGAACTTGGAAAATGCCGTGGAGCTCCAAGATGCTTCATTCACATGGGAACGATTACCTACTGTTCCAGACGAAAAAGAAAATGAAATGAAAAATCGAAGCAAGGCAAAGAAGCATCTAGACACGTCCAGTTCTGGTGTAAAACAAGTGAGTGACGGCGAGAGTTCTGACATTCGAAGCCCAACCGAGCCATTTCGTCTCTCCAATTTGAATTTCACTGCGGGCAGAAATGAGCTCCTAGCAGTCATTGGGACTGTGGGCTCTGGAAAGACATCGCTTTTAGCTGCCCTTGCAGGAGATATGAGAATGACGGGCGGTGATGTAACAATGGGTGCCTCACGAGCGTTCTGCCCCCAATATGCGTGGATCCAAAACGCAACACTAAAGGACAACATTCTTTTTGGCAAAGAATATGATGAAAGTTGGTACAATGAAGTCATCGATGCTTGTGCCCTTCGCTCAGATCTCGAAATGCTGCCAGTAGGAGATCAGACGGAGATCGGTGAGCGAGGTATCACCATATCAGGTGGGCAGAAGCAGCGCTTGAATATTGCCAGAGCTATTTATTTCGATGCCGATCTTATTCTCATGGACGATCCACTATCAGCTGTGGATGCACACGTAGGTCGTCATATCATGGACAATGCGATCTGTGGTCTGCTTAAAGGTAAATGCCGGATCCTCGCTACTCATCAGCTACATGTCCTCAGTCGCTGTGACAGAATAATCCTGATGAATGACGGCCATATCGAGACGGTGGACACTTTTGATAACCTCATGCGTGATAGTGAAACGTTTCAGAGGTTAATGGCGACCACATCCCAGGAAGAGGAGAGAGAAGAGGAAACAAAGGAAGTGGTTCAAGATGAGGTAGAAGAAAAACCGGCTGAAAAGGCCAAGCCTGTCAAGCAACCAGCTATGCTTATGCAGCAGGAGGAACGCGCAGTGGACTCCGTGAGTTGGAAGGTCTGGTGGGCATATATCTCCTCGTTCGGCTGGCCCATCAATTTTCCCCTTATCGTCTTTTTCCTGCTTCTCTGCAACGCTGCGAATATTATGACTAGTTTGTGGCTTGCCTATTGGACTTCGAGAAAATTCAAGCTGCCTGATAGCGAGTATATGGGCGTGTATGCGGCAATAGGTGCTTCTCAAGCGATCTCCATGTACGGCTTTTCCACCATTCTCACGACCAGCGGCACCAACGCCAGCAAGAAAATGCTGCAAAAAGCCATGACCAGAGTTCTAAGAGCCCCGATGTCATTTTTTGATACAACTCCACTTGGGCGCATTACCAATCGCTTTTCGAAGGATATCCACACCATGGATAACGATTTGTGCGATGCTATGCGTATTTACTACCTAACATTAACGATGATTCTTTCCGTTATGGTACTTGTCATTGTCTTTTACCCCTTTGTGAGTATACCACCGCCCTTGAGGAGTTATCAAAACTAACAGTGTGGCGTATAGTTTGCCGTTGCTCTTATTCCGCTTCTAGTACTGTTTCTTTTGGCTGCGAATTTCTATCGCGCTTCTGCTCGTGAAATGAAACGGCACGAGGCCGTTCTCCGGTCTGTGGTATTTGCTCAGTTTGGCGAAGCTGTCTCCGGTACCGCATCAATCAGGGCCTATGGCCTACAAGATAACTTTATTCGCCGTATCCGCAGCGCAATTGACAACATGGACAGTGCATATTTTCTTACATTCTCCAACCAACGCTGGCTAAGTGTTCGGCTAGACGCAGTCGGCTGTCTCATGGTTTTTGTTACTGGGATATTGGTCGTAACATCCAGGTTTGATGTTGATCCTAGCATCTCTGGTTTAGTATTGTCTTTTATCCTCGCTATCTTCCAAATGCTGCAATTCACCGTACGGCAGCTGGCTGAAGTCGAAAATAACATGAACGCCACAGAACGAATCCACTATTATGGAACTCAAATAGAAGAAGAGGCCCCTCTGCACTTGCGTGAGCTAGACCAAAATTGGCCTCAGACTGGAGAAATAATTTTCTCGGATGTTCAGATGCGTTACCGAGATGGACTGCCTCTTGTCCTTCAGGGGCTAAATATGAAAGTTCACGGTGGCGAGCGTATTGGGATCGTTGGACGGACGGGGGCTGGAAAATCCAGTATTATGTCTGCTCTATTCAGGCTAACAGAGCTCTCCGGCGGAAGTATCAAGATTGACGGCATCGATATCTCCACTGTCGGCTTAAATGACCTCCGTTCCCGCTTAGCCATCATCCCTCAGGATCCCACACTGTTTCGAGGCACTGTCCGGTCAAACCTGGATCCTTTTCATCAATATAGCGACCTTGAACTCTGGTCCGCGTTGCGACAAGCCGATCTTGTTGGAGAAGAAAATACCACTTCTCCTCCTGAGTCAGGATCGGAGGAAACAGAGAATGCGGCACATATACAACAACGTATAAAATTAGATTCTGCTGTAGAGGAAGAAGGCCTCAATTTCTCCCTTGGACAACGGCAGCTCATGGCTCTTGCTCGAGCACTCGTCCGGAACTCCCGCATAATCGTTTGCGACGAGGCAACTTCGTCCGTCGATTTTGAGACAGACCAAAAAATTCAGGTAACCATGGCCCAGGGTTTCAAAGGCAAGACATTACTGTGCATTGCCCATAGGCTTCGCACGATCATCAATTACGATCGCATTTGCGTGATGGACCGGGGGCAAATCGCGGAATTTGATACCCCGCTAGCGCTCTGGGAGGCCGGAGGCATATTCAGGGGTATGTGTGATCGAAGCGGAATTGCGCGAGACGATTTTTTTGCATAGGAAGCTCTTGGATATGACGGAATTGGTCTCAATTTCAATGAAGAATGATTCATTGATATTTATGAAATTTTCATGGCGACGAGCGATTCTCGTTGGATCATATCATCGGAGTTGGGGTTTTTATGGATGTAAATATGCATGAGTAGCACTCCATATATAGACACACCATTACAACCTTGAATGGGTATATAATTCTTTTCAAAACCTGTCTGCTTCTTCAGTCAGCATTTCCATGTTATAGTTAACAGACAAGAGCCTTGCAGCCTTACTTCTCTGCCTGAACCTAGTTAACTAGTTCCAGCCACACGGCTGATTGACACCAGACCAGCCTTGCTCTCTCATCTCAAACATGCCAGAGAACAGTGCTCTTAAGCAAAAAAAATATATTAACTTATCATTACTATATTTCACCCTCTACCATGTCAAAATTAGAACCTAGAGGAGCTGGCCTGCATTTCTTGGATCTTCACCCCTTTGTGCGCTCTGTTGTCCAGGATAAGATTAGAGGTACGATTGTAGGATCTGCCTTGGGAGATTGTATTGGATTGTATACAGGTGAGTCTGTGACACACGAATATATACCATGGGTCAGGAAACCTCCGATAGTACTAGTTAGCCTCCAATGCAATACATTGAGAGAAGCCATAAGGGAGAACCGGCATTATTTACATATATAATCATCGAACCCAAGTTAACTTAGAGATTGATGTAGAATTCCTATCAAGCAAGATTGCGCACGACTCATACCCAGAAGGAAAATTTCAACTGGTCCACCCTGCTACTGCGTTTCGATATGATAGTCATAGAAGTAAGGAATACATACTGTATTTTCAGTATATTTTGACCATGCTGAACGCTGACCTGAGTTGAATTCACTGAAATTAAGATAAGTTTGACATGGTATGTTATGTTATTGCTGGCAAAGGCCATCTGTATACTGGATCTAAGCTGCCAAGGTGCCAGTGCTTATTCTTGCTTTTAGGGCTCGTGGACGGATGACACCGATCATGCCCTGCTAATTCTTCTCTCATACCTTCACCATGACGGCGAAAAACTCTCACCGCAGGATCTAGCAGAACGGTTGCGGATATGGGTGGAGCAGGGACTTCGAGCGCTAAATAGGCCACCACTTGGCCTTGGGAAAACGGTTGGCTCGGTATTGAAGCCCAATTGTCAAGCAATATAGTGACCTCCACACTGATCTCTCTTATAGGTTGTACTTGATAAAGAATATCTCGCAGATCCAGTTGCGACTGCTCACAAACAATGGGTTAATTCTGGTAGAAAGATGGCGCCAAATGGTTCGTTGATGCGAACTCATCCAGTGGGGATCGTATGCCTTGGCCACGACCTGGAGAAAACCTTCCAAATTACTACTGCCGTCTCTGTTATAACCCACGCAGATCCAAGATGTGTTGTCTCATGTTGTGTGGCGACAGGGTTGGTTCGTGGGATGTTGAGAGGCGATATACTCAATGAAACCGACGTTGATGGTCTAATTGATGATGCGTACCACTGGGTGGATGCATGGATAAGACATGGCCGAGTAGACGATGGAACTATCGTGAGAGATCCATTGCTTGAATTTGAGCAAGGCGAGCTGTTGGATCTCGAGGAGTTTAACAAACACGTTCGAGCAAAAACATTCCAAGAACTTGAACTAGACGACTCCATGAAAATGGGGTATGTCTATAAGTGTCTTGGAGCCGCAATTTTGAGCCTACGAATGGGAATTCGCCAAGCACCATATGAGATGTCTGCAGACTTTACCACGACCCCTTCGTCAAGTACAGTATTTGAAAAAATCATCACCGAGCTTACATTTGCAGCCGGAGACGCGGATACTAATGCTTGTGTGGCGGGCGCATTGCTTGGTTGCTGGTTCGGGTATAATTCTCTTCCAGCCCATTGGCGAGATGGCATGCGGGACCTTGACTGGTTAATCCAGAAATGCAAAGGAACAATTTACATCCTCCAGAAAGCTAGTGGGCATTCATCGGGCTACAGGGGCAGCGATGATCCAGATACCCGCCCGGACGGCGGAAAAGGGCTCATGAATCAACAAGAACTGGAAAAGCGAGATAGTGATTTCATGATGAAATACATGCTGAAGCATGCAGAGGGCGTGGAGCAGGAGAAAAAGAGACAGAAACAAAACAAAAAGAACAATAAGCTTTGGACTGGGATATTTGGGTGACTCGTTCCTCTTTGTTGAGATCTAGAATTCCGGCCCATGCTTGTTAATTTGAGTATGGAAGACAAGCATCTACATACACAATACGGAGTATTCTCAAATCTAACCTCTTATAAGCCTTTCTTTTTGTGAGAGGTTTAGTGCGGTTTAGAAAGAAGATTAAACCAGAGAATTGAACGGAAATATTGTCTTGTCCTCTAGATACCGTCGATAAAGCTCTGCGTCTTTCACCAACTTGAGAATAACAATATGCATAAAAGATATTGAGCCACGGCAAAACAACTTCATAGCAAGAGCGCGTCCTTAAATTCCGAGTCCGGCAAGGGGTAGCTTGACCCATGGGAGTCTACACCCCGTTAACTCTCTCAAGATAATATTGTTGGATTGAAATATTGTTGAAGGACTTGTTATCGATTGCACTGCATGATACAAGCAGATGGCATTCAACCGTGATATCCAACATGACCTGGGAGACTAAAAATCCTCAAGCCTGAGACTGCCAGTGGAGCCCAGCCACCCATAGCAAAAAGGGCCAAGCGGACCAAATCGGCGCCTCTCTTTCTTGCAGAGTGGGTTTCGTTTCCTTCATACTTCAGCATCATAATTTATGGCATGTGAAAGACTTGAAATACACCAACCAATAAGTATAGATCATCTTTCTTGCGGGTAAATGAACACTCTTGATATTTGAGGCATCGCTAAAAAATAGAATATCAGTTCTACCCTTCTCTCAGGTAGGAGAACTTACATGCTAACATTATCATCAAGCTCTACTCCGTATAGGCTCCCCAACACAGTCTTCACTGGGAAAGCCATAAGCCTGAAGAGAATTGAATACGGTGTTAGAAACTGATCGGACAGGAATAACTAAGCCAGAATTTTCAAAGGTCTACCTTCTCAGCAGATGCACATGAAATATATAGAAAGATAAGAAGTGCCTTCGATTTCAACATCTAGATCAGCAGGTATCGGTATTGTGGAATAAGATCTGTGGATTGCATTGATGCACAACTAGATGTCTATCTCACTGCTGGCGGAACTCGCTCATTTTAAATGGGAATTTTCACTCTTCCTTGGATACAAATTCAAGGAGCCTATCAAGAATGCACTTTGATCGACTGTGGCCAACTTTGCACGGTTGGGTTTCATTGGTACGAGTTATACTGCGACTGTACGGAGTATCGATTTACGATATTCGGGAAAACATCTGGCTCCTCCGCAGCAAACAACCTTTGAGAATATCCCATGATGCCTGCTGAGCAAAAATGGCGTTTCTTGTAGCCCTGTGAGGCGGCATCATCCAAGCATGCCTAAGGATTTGAATGCTGATAGGCCTGCGTCCTGACCAGATGCAAGTTGCTAGTTAATTCTTTCATTCGTCCAATTCAATTGTTTTTGGTAACATGGTTGATACGCTGTATCAACTACGTCATTCATAATCTGTTATGCCCCAATACGAACGCCCAGAGTTATAGTAGAATGAAATGAAGTTATCGGAGAAGGCCCGATAAACCGATTTGCTGTTCGGTTTGGGATGATAAGGTATGGTGTTGTATCCCACGCATGTTGGTCAAAATCTTTGGAGAATTGGGGGTCGACTATTCATTGTTAAGAAAAACACAGCACTCAGTCAAGTAATCATCACCATTGTGGCTTCGTAAAATGGCGCCCAAAAACCTCGCGATTGCAATGCCGGCTGGTTAGGCGTCCTGTTGATAATTCGTAAAAGTCGAAGGGCAGAGGATAAATGTGCCAAGACCAGATTTGTCCCGTTAAGGTAAGCCTGAAGGAAAATTGATTTTCCGATAAGCACGTGATCCACCACTACAAATTGTTTTTCCCGCAAAAATTCCTCTTCGTCCTTCTTCTTTCTTCAGATCAAAAACTACAGAATCTGCCACGACCGTCGTTTCAGTAAATCAATCCCCACAGCGATGTGTTGCCATGAGCTTTTTCAAAGCTCCTAAGATTCTCAGAATAATACATTCCCTGATAGGAAGTTTCTCTACCGTCGGGTCCTCTTTAATGAGGGCGATGGGAGAGAAATGTCGAAGACGGGATACATGCCATGTTTTGTTTTGTTTTATATCTCGACCGAGGCTTGCCGATTGTACAGGATAGAGTTGACTTCCAACCGGAAAATTCGCCTCAATTACTCCGTACCTACTCTCTCCCTATGTTAAAATGACCAATTGCCGTGCTCAATGACCTACCCGCGCATTGCTACACAATATGAATCCTCTATCATTCGTGCAGCTTCACTCTGTGTTACCATGCAACGGTATCATCAAAATCGCTTTGCAACAGCCAGTCTAAGTAACCGCTGACAACCAATTTAGCCCCCAGCAGCTGATCAGTTATTTCGGAAATCTAGAGCTCCGCGCCTAGCTCTATAGACTCCTTACTCCGATAGCTTGCATGTTCTATGTATATATGTCTTGTTATGATTGTGGGCTGTTACACCACTGGGCAAGTATCGTAAGCGCCGCTCTCTTAGACCCATTGAATCCTATACATAGTTCCCCGTATAGCCATAGTAAGACTCATGGAGCGGTGTAGGGAGTCTTATACTGGGATCTACAGAATTAAAGGATCCGTGCATCAATAGCGGGGGAGCTCCGTGACTTCTTTTTGTTGACATCCCTAGTACTCCGTACAGCTTGCCATTGGCATCTGCTGTATATGGTAGATTCGGCTCGGATCACAAGATTTCCTGCACCGCTGGGATGAGTGGAGGTATGAAAGAGCCTTTCGCATGTGAGCTGTGGGAAACGAGATTGACCGTTATTGAGATGACCTTAGCGACAATCGGCGCTGCAATGGCGCATAGATACACTAGGTGGCTCAAGGATAATATTTCCTAGATTCGTGATAATATGCTGAGAGAGAGGGTCCATTCGGTGTCTCAGTGGAGGAAGATAATCTGTTGCACCCAAACAAAGGTCCAGAGTTAGCGCCCGTCATGGCTATCTAACAATAGAGTAAGCAGCGTATTTGAGTCTTTAGTGGAGGGCCAACCATGTATGTGCATGGGGTATCATGAGAACACTATTTTCAGTTATCAAAACATCGTGGACCTTAAACTTCCCGCAGAGGAGTTGAAGATATGCTGCAGGAGAAAACATACTTTGGAATTCGCGCCAGCAGGTTTCCACACATGCTACAAGCAACGGCTCATATTTCTTGTAGCATGGAGCATGTAATAGAAACCAAGCAGTTTGGGGATTGTCATGAGCACCTGATTAGAAACCAGCGTTTCTAGCTGCCTTTCCTAGAATATTGGCTGCTCTTCAATTCTGCTTCTGAGAGAAGTACTCACGTACGTCCTGACTTCATTGAAGCAAAGTATGTGTAGGGACCTGTCTTCATCTCCGATTCGGGATATACAAACAAAAGAAATAAGGTACGGCGCGAACGTCAAAGTATAATTCCGTGTAGCCGACCAAGGCATTACCTCTAAATGGCCAATGGGAGGAGCAGAAGGTAACGTAAAGGGGAAAATACCCTGTCAGATGCTGAGAGAACAAGCTCTCGGCAGTGGCGACAGGGCATGCAGAATAGCGCTGGGAATCTTGCATGAAGAACCCCATTATAGCAAAGCTATACCTAAAAAGTCCTGAAGAATTGTGGATATCTTCCGGGTTACGACGGGAACCCATGTGCCATGCAGCAGCGCGAATAAAACAAGCAGCCTGCAGGAGGCCTGAAGAATGTTTGACCCTGGGTCAACGTCACATCCTCCAATCGTAGCCGTCAACTAATGAGAGGCGATCCCGCCCACTCTGCTATAGTCAGTCCTGTTAGAAATTGACATTATGAAACGAGAGAGCTTAAAACGACCTGGGGAAATGCATACCAGACCAAGAACGGCCAATGGGCGCAGGAGGAGGCATTTCTGAGCGTACAGACTGCCGGGGGCGATTACTGTTGCCGGGGCGATACATCGTCTTCGCGCCCTGTGTGGTCCCTCTGCAGCCGCCGGGGATGTAGGAAAAATCGCAGGTAGTTAACCGCGCGGCCCGCTCATGTTGAAGCACCAACCGTGATGCGTAGATGCTCGTTTCTTGAGCCCTTTCGCCCCAGCTTGCGATATAGACGCCGACATCTCACGGACTGATTGGCGGCCTGATTGATACCTGAGTTTCGTTAGGAGTGGGATTTTTTTAGAGCTGGGGTCCATTGCCACTCGCGAAGAGAAACGATGTGTCTTTCTGGTCAATGCTTTTAAAGATAAAAGGGCGGACGTTTGCCAGATATGGCTTCATCCTCTGAGTCACTTGTGCCCACCTGCTCCAGTCCAGTGACAGCTTGTCGATCTTAGTGTTCGCACTCCGCGATCACACTCTCCTCTGCCTCCCTTGCATAACGCCTGCTCCCTACTCGACCATTGCCACGCGCAACAACGCTACTGGTAAGTGTGGCGGTCCTAGCTCGTTCGAGGGCTCCCACTTCTTCTGGTGTGCAGCCAGTCCAGCACCAATCAGACACTTGACTAACAAGTAACAGTAAACAGCGCTGTGAGCTGCATCCTGCACTACTTGCGTTGGTTCACCGTCTTCTCTCCCGCAGCCGCCTGGGGTGTCGTCCGGGATCTTGCATTTGCTGTCCAATCACGGTCCGCCTTGGCTTTCCCCCTAAACGGACTAGACTTTCCGCTTTCCACACTATCCCAAAACAGGCCTAGCTGTTGCTAATCTGGGAGCAAACCCTGTCGGCTCGGACTTGGCATCACGCTTAAATCGCTTCTTCGCTGCTTATTGGCCGCTTCTACGCGCCCATCCAACCCAACACGGCTCTCGCCCTCATCAACTAACGCTTCGATCTAACTGTCGCTGAGCCCGAAATCTCTTTCAACTGCCACCTTTTTGTTGCTTGCCTGCCTGCAACCGATCCTGTTTACGTGTCGACACCTGATACAACGGTACCCCTAGGTCCACTCTTGCTCCAAACATAGCCGGGCGATCTGTCTCTCATACATACATTACTGTTTACCTCGTCCTCTGCCAGGACAGCTTCTGTATATCGGGCCGTTCTGTTCTTTCTGCTGCTTAGCTGGACTGTTCTGCTGTTTGATATCCTCAGCCCAACTCTTCTCAAAATGCCCGTTGCATCAAAGCCCACTTTGGCACCGCTTGATACTTCCAAGTCACTGGTGTTTCCGTCTGAGCTACATGACAGCCCACTATTCTCGGCTAAAATAGATTTGATCAAAAATGAAGACGCTCTGAAGACGCCGATAACACCGCCAGTGGCATACACGGAGTTTCTGAAGACTCTTACGCCAATGATTGCGAGCCCCCTGTCATCAAGCATATCTTCTACAGACAAATCCTCTTCTCGATCTGCTGCGTCTTCGAACCCGCCAACAAGCTCATATTTCTGCAACTGCGAGGCCCATCGCAAGTCGCCGCCTCTGCAGACACCATCATCTGCTGCGGTAACCAAGTCTCTGTCAGAGAACCAGAAGACGCCGAGAACTCCAATCAATCTGCGCTCAGTACGCACTCCAAGGTCAGCAAAAGGCTCGCCGATCGCAGAATCTCCTCGAAGCGCTTCTTTGCGTGCCATATTGTCCCCCACGGGGGAGTCAACCGCTGAGACCAGCATTCGATACCTCGATGCTTCGCGGTGCTCTTCCTGCGCACGCCCCGTTACCGTCCGCCAGGTAGTTACTCGGACGATAACATATAAGAGAACTCCATTGGAGCCGGCGCCAAGGGGAAAACGAAGAAAGGTAGAAGAAGAGAAGTAGACTGAGAGGCCTGCCCTTGGCCTATTGATGAATCTGGGCTCTTTTCATTTTTCTATTAGCTAGGAGTTTTGTATTTGGTGCCTTGTCTAGCATGTTCCGAATCTCAGCCAGTTGTTTTATGATTTAGTTTAATGAATGTCAGGGAGAAATGATTGTGTGTTTTTTATCGATTTTTCTTGTTCTGCCTCTTGATTTTTAGAAGCGATGAGACAGTGTGTTCTGACGGCACCTATACTATCTGCCCCTTTTGCGCTGATCAGCAAGCAAGCATCTGCATACGGATATTGCCCGAGTTCAAGAGGAAAATAGTTTCATTTGGTGCGTGCATTAGCATGAATCTTCATATTTCTTGTACGAGCAGGGCTCGTTCACTGCTCCACTCTTGCTAGTAGCTGCTAACTGCTCCTACACAATTCTATAAGCAAAGGCTATTGATAAGAAGGGACAGTGTCTGCGCCCTCAGTCTGAGTTATAGATGAGCAGTTAATCAAAAATAAGTTGATCAAGCAGCATTATTGGCGCCGCGATCAAATTGGCCGAAAAGAAAAGGTAGAGCTTCGGTGTGAGCTGTCACATGTATCAGCACCGAGGGCGTGTAAATGCACTCCATAAGAGGTACATGTCCGATCTCAGTATCTTATAGAGGGGAATGGATAATTAATATATAGGGGGTGCTGGTGACTGATCATCATCATCTTTGAAAGGCCATGTTTGCCAACAGATGTTGCGTTGGTGGGGTTCTGCTTGCTTCACCATCTCCATTCTAAACTCTAGATTCATATTCATGGCGAAATCAAAATTTTCGGGCTCCGTACCTCCCTCGGAGTCAATAGACATGGATTCCCGCATCTGCGAAAGCATGCTGGCCGACTCGTTCCAATCGTTTGCCTCGCACAAAGCTGTCTGTTGCTCCTCAGGTGTAAAAAAAATGGGGCATGGATGCTCAGGTGAGAAGGTATCCCAATTTTTAGCAACATAGACGAGTGACATCTTCAGGTTGATATAATCAGCGTCCCAAGGATACCCAGTCTGAGATATCAGAAATTGTAGAAGTCCAATATTCTTCAATCGCATTGTCTTATAATGCAATTTATTTCCCAAGCCTGTTGCGGCAGTATAATAAAGATTTCCCTCTTCAAAGCGATGTTTAATCCAAGCTTTCTGCTTCTCAGAATCGCTAAGCCGATCAAAGTCATCTGGCAACTCTGGCCTTTTTATTGATTGTGGGCGACTCAATTCATGTTCACAAAACGCCGGATAGCCTGCCTGCATAAATAAAGGAAGTATCGCTGTATCCTGCCAATCAATGAAGCTTATGATCTTGCTGGAATTAGGCTCTAAGATGATGTTTGGCAGGCTTAAATCTGGATGGCGGAGGGTGGGTTGACAGACTGTTGTATCTTGTGGGACTAAGAAAGGTGCAGCCAGAAGATATTGGGAGAGAAGGGAACTATGTTCTGATGGATCCAGAAGCTCTTGAGTAGGGAGGATGAACGTTCGTCGGCGTTGTGGGGTAGCAAATCTTCTGATCCAAGTTAATTCTCGAGAGGCAGCTGCGGTCATTGCATCCTTGGGCTGCGTCCCTATTGTCCACATTAGCGACCAATCCAGTAGAATGCTCAAATAAATTCATTGCAGTATATCATGATGGTGTACGTACAAGGGCCTCTGTCAATATTCAAATCCTGACGTTCATCAAACCAAAATACTCGCTTTGCAATAGGGCCAATACAGAACCGTTCCGCACTGGTGAGTGGTATGCCCATTGGGATATCCTCGTTATAGTAGAGGCTTCCGAAAGCCGGGAACCTATAAGAAAATAGCCTTTCTTCCATTCTTGCTAATTGATTCATCACGCCCTTAATCTCGTTGGTCGAAAGTGTGAGCCACCGTGAAGCTAGGCTTTCTCCCCGAATACGCTCCATAATAACATATTCGGAGCCAACAGGGTTATCGGCTGTGGAAGAGTGAGCAAGGACCTCAGGTATCGGTAAATCAAGGATAGTCCGGAGAAAGTCCATGGTTGCCACTTCACTAGCAGTGGAATAAAATGGAGTTCCGGCAATCGGTGTAGGTATTCTCGCGATCACCTCATTTCCATTGTCCATTGTGAGAAGAAAAATTTTGTTAAAACCACCTTCAGCCATTTTCTCAATGTGAACACAATCGCTACCAACAGCTCTGGCAGCCGTACGCATAAGCTCCTGAGCATTGAATCGGACATAGCGCTCTCTTAGTCGCTGATCTTCATTGAAACTGTACGAGTATCAGTGCTTATCACAAGCACCACGGAGTACAGTATATAATAACCTACATCCAGCGTCTAGACGTATGCCGAAAAAAAGATTCGTCGGAATTTGATAATAAAGGTGCTTGCGAAGTGGATTCTGTAAAATGACAAGAATCTTGTGAGAAAGCATGGCGGAGAAACCGCACGGGCCGTACGGCTTGGAATGACCCGCGAAAAGTTGATATAATCCGAGGGAACATGGCGGAAAATCAGAATTTTGTTGAGATAGCAGTCAAGGGCAATCAACGGAGTATGGGGGTGCCCAGGTAGGGAGGTGTTTGAATTGCAGTACCACTCTAACAGACGCGTAGTTACCATAATAACCAGATTATTGGCCTATTTGCGGGCACAAGTTAGGCTTCATGTTATATGGGCCCCATATAGACTGCCAGGCTGTACTCCATATGTAGAGTGTTAGCCAGCTGTCTCGCAGGCAACAGTATGTTTGTAACTATTATTCCGAAAGTGAGCCCTTCTGGCGGGACTAGAAGGCGGGACGGATTAATGTATGTACGAAGCCTGAAAGGAGGCTGTGAAGTTACATAGTTTAGGCACTTCGTATAGGACTGATTTCATAATTCCAAATTAATGGAGACTCCCCGGCGGGCCCAACCTTCTCACCCAGAGATCACAGTGCTTGAGGCACTTTACACCTTGTCCATTGTTAACAAAGGTTCTATTGAATAGTTACTCTTAGCCAACTTTCGTTTTAAGAAAGACTACATCTTCAGCTGCAGCCCAAACGAGGGCGCCTAGAGCATGGCCCAGGAATTTCTCCTTGACGCGCGCAGCGACTTCGCCGCTCTAGAAACGCCCCGCGCTCCCCATAAGCTTCAATCGCTCACTGCACTTTCGCGCTTCGAATTTGAAGCGGGCAAAGGAAATGAGGGTACCAAAATCCTGATGGTGGAATGGGAAAACGATGACATGACCAGATCGCCCGTCGGCTCATGGCACGTTTCTTGGGATAAAAAGCACATCGTTCTTCCAGCAGATGATCGGACGAACGACCACGTCAGACGCTGTTACTTCTTGTTGCCTCCGGGCGCGACCATCCCGCCGGTTATTAGCCTTACTTACGAACCTCCCCCGAACTCCGCAGAGACTGTTAGACGGGGCGGTGACTCCATACAGATAAATCCCTTGCCTGCCATATTTCCTCCGGAGCTGGGTGCTACGGCGCGGTCAGCCGGGAAGAAGGGCGTACTGCACACTATTTGGGCAAAGAAAAGGCTCCAAGTCCTTGAACGAGAGATCAAAGAAGAGTCGAAGCATAACCTGGAGGGAGTCGCACTGGCGATGGCACTGCAAGAAAAGGAGTGGATAGAAGCGAATTTTGGAGTTGCCGGACGGCCACCGCCATTGTCGCAACCGCTGAATCTGTCCATCAATGTTAGCTCTGCCCCTATGAGCCCTCGTACACCATTGTCGCCAGGCGGAAGTAAATTGAGTGAAAAACTAAAAGGCTTAAGACTGGAAACAAGCGAGAAGGATCTTACCAGAAGAGCCGGTAAGAACGTAGTTCGAGTATCTCCAATCGGCTGTTCTATGGCTCTTGACACTAACGTCGGTGACACATAGGCAACATATCAATCCCCGGCACGAGCTTGGACCCGGGCCTTCATCCTCTATCGCCTGACGAACCTGATGTAGCCATATCCTCTTTCAACTCTTTCGCCAATACTCCCATTCGCGCCTCTCCTGAGTCACAGCCGCAGCAACCCCAACAAGTCCCCAAAACCGTTTCACACGCGCCTCCAAAATCGATACAGCAGCACCAAGCGCAGCTTGACTCGTTTGCCTCAATTTCTATGCAGCCAATGCATAGTATCAGACAAAACAACACTTCAAGCAGCTTAGACATGGATTCCGGAGACGGCCTCTTTGCTAAGGCGCTCAGTCCTCGATCTCCAGATATTCCACGCAGCCCATTCTCATTTTCACCTGAGGAAACACTCCCCTATGCAATGGGCACAAGCAGATTCTGAGGGAAACCTTTATGCACTTTGGCCTTCTTTTCCCCCATTTCGCTTTAGTTGAATAAATTTATGCTGGATGATATAATGAAAAGAAAAGGGTCACGAACACATCACAAGGCTTGGCGCCAAGCCCCGACATAGCCCCAGCGTCTTCACTGCGTTCTTTGCTTACATATTGGCTTAGCCGCTGAGTCTCGTCCAATTTGACAACGTGGTTTTTTAGGTCAGCGATGATCAATAGCCCTGTATATATCTGATACAGGACCACGTATACCTGGCACGTCAGCCTCTGTATATATCAACTGTTCGTGTTCGGAGTCAACCATATAAAACGATATCATTTCCTGTAGAAATACAATATCAAAAATCTTCTCTCACTGAAAGCATATCCTTGATAGCCAAGATATTCATACACCTGCACATCTTATCAAATCTCACCACCTATCGCCATTTTAACTCCCCAAGTAAAACTAGAACAAAATAGCTCCAGATCACTGTTTCTTTTTCGATAAACTAGGCTGCCTTGCCACCTTAGGCGCCTCTTTCTCTTTCTGGTCATTCTTCTCCTCGCCCTTCTTATTGAAATTGTCAACTTCCTCCTTCTCTTTCCTCTCGGCATACCACTGGCCGGCCTGCAACACCAAGACCCCAACGAGCACCAAGGCCAAGATTGTATTACTCGCTGCAAGCACCTTCAAACTATCCTCTCTGCCAAGAATCTGTTCAGACTCTTCCCCAGTCACACTCTTACCGTAGTCGCCAGCTGTGACGATGCGAAGACCTTTAACGATATTCGAAATGTAGACGATGACGCCACACATATAAAGAACAAGACTTGCGCCATCGAAGAGCATGTTAGATTCAGAGGGACGGTAGAGTTTCATGATAAGTCCAGCGAGACCGAGGAAGATGACGATGTGGAGGATGCGAGGAATCAAGGGAGGCGAGGCATGGAGGAATTTAAGGTGGGCTTCCAGGTAATCGAAGTGAGATGCTGGGGTGGCGACGGTAGACCATAGTAGCGGGTAGTCATAGGGAAAGAGTGAGAAGATGATTCCGAGAAAAAAAGATGTCGCTACACAAATCTAGTTATGAGGTGCAATTCCTAGTAGTGTGATGGGGGTTTGCGGCGAAACATACGACAGACAATGAGGAAGGTCGCGAACGACCCATTTGAAAACGCCATTGCTAAGATATTTTTTAGGCGAGATAAGAGAAAGGATTCCTAGTTTTTTGGGATCCGTTGCGGCGAGTTCAGCTGCAAGGGTAACAAAGAATCAGCTGTCAATGCCAGAGAGCTCAATAGAGAGGCTGGGTGGAGCTTTACTAGGTGATAACACAACAAAGATTCAAACTGAGGGCGCAGTCACCACGCAGCGGTCTCTCGACTTCTCAGAGCTTGGCTCTTTTCTGGCAGCAGACAAAGAGTGATAATGCTTCTAAGCCTGAGACGAGGTGTTCAAATCTTCTAGAAGGCGGTTGGGGTGCTTGGCATTGCAACCCCACAAACTGTATCTTACATAAGCTATGGATTAGTAGTAGACATGTGATCGGCTATCTTACATAAGCGTCGGCGACTGATTCACGTGCATAGGCGACCCGTACTCCGTAAGCCGAGCCTCCACACGCGAACCACCCACCGTCACCGCGCACGGCCACGCCGCTGGTCGCAAGAGGCCAGCCCCCGTGTGGGAAGCCAGCGAGAACCTCGTCGCAGAGCGAACCGAACCCGCCCCCGACAGCTGTCCCGGCCAGACCCCGCGGTCTCGGGAGTCAAACCCCCACTAACTTTCGTCTCTGAACAGAGTTTGGGCGGACTGGAGAGTTAACTAACTCCTCCGTACTCCAACAAGCGCGGACGCTTGATGTGCCACCACCACCAGCCTTTTCACGGTCCGTCGAACTTCTTTCAAGCGACATTCCGCATGATAATCACCGTGCATGGCCTGTTCCATGGAATCGCGAGCATTTGACAGCTCCATTACTAACCCCTAAAGTATTAAATCTCTTGCAGAACCTGCCTCGCCTCAAATTATCCCACTCTTTGACTCTACACACTTGGGACGGTTCACCGGAAGACAAGCATCAACGGTTCCGTTGAGAGCCGTGGCACGGATATCATTTTCTAGCGTGAGGCTGTTTCGGGGCGCGAAACTCAACTTATTCAGATCTTATACTCCGTGCTGCTTTTATTATTATTATCATCATTATTGTTTTTTTTAGCGTTCTGCCACACTCTGAATCCTTCGTCCAACCCTCCCCACAACCAAGACTTCAAATATACCCCCCACCTTTTGGTTAAACAACAATATGACTAGCCTGCCAAAGATAGAAGGGGATCTTCCCTCGATCCCAAGTGCCCTAGAACCTCGCGAGTTAGGCCCGTCTGGACAGCACGAACATGTACGAGCAAACCAGTCTGGTCCTGTTTAAAACGTCAGTAATCTAACTATAGATGATTTCTCCGCTAGCTTGAGGTCGACCACTCCCAGGACAACGACTCGGCATACGAATCTTCCATCGCAACTGATAGTACCTCGTTACGTTCCTCCATAACCAACTATCAGTATGAGAATGGCCGTAGATATCATGCTTACCACGCAGGAGAATACTTTCTCCCAAACGACGAGGCAGAACAGGACCGACTGGATCTACAGCACCATCTTTATCGGCTGCTTTTGGGCGGTTCATTGTATGCTGCTCCAATAAAAGGTCCTCAACGTGTCCTGGACATTGGAACAGGAACTGGTGGGTAGCAGGTTTTCCGGGGATTATAGCCACAGGCTGATGTGGATACTGTTTAATTAGGAATCTGGGCAATCGAATTTGCCGACGAATTTCCGGGGGCCCTGATCATCGGCACGGACCTGTCGCCCATCCAACCGGGATTTGTCCCGCCCAATGTAAAGTTTTATGTTGACGATTTCGAGGCCCCATGGGAATTTGGCGAAGAGAAGAAGTTTGACTATATCCATTGGCGCTCACTCTGCGGAAGCACAAACAATTGGGAACGGGTATACAGCCAGGCATATGATAGCCTTGACCCCGGTGCATGGCTGGAGGTCCAAGAATATGATGCATGGATATACAGTGATGATGACCCACACCTGAAAAAGGCACCAAACACACTTCATTGGGTGACAAAATTGAGTGAGGTCAGCGAACAAGTCGGCAAGCCGCTGAACATCGCTCAATCCCACAAAAAATGGATGGAAGAAGCTGGTTTTATTGACGTCCAGGAAAAGGTTTTCAAAGTAAGCTTTTTTCTTGATTTGCTTGTCTGATCCTCTCTGGCTTTGCATTTCTTTTTTCTTAATCTGCGTCTGATATTAGGTTCCTATTGGCTCATGGGCCCGCGACAAGCGACTCAAGGAGCTTGGCCGCTTCGAACGCCTTCACATGAACGAATCCGTTGAAGCTCACTCGATGGCGTTTTTCACGCGCGGTCTTAACTACTCTGTCGAACAGGCAAAAGTGACATTTGAATTGGTCAAGAAAGAATTTAATGACAAAACTTTACACCTATATACGATATACCGGTTTATAACCGGGAAGCGTCCGTGTTGATTGACTTGGTCTTACTGGAGGGGTTTTTTTTATTACAGCTGTTCGGGTTCTATACTTGGCTACTTATATTTCTTCTTTTTCTCTTATCAAAGAGTACATGTTGCCCTTCCAGGGCATAAATAAAATTTCAGCATGACGCCCTTACACTGTTTACCTTGTTCTGCCCGTCCTGTTTAGGATTTATTAATTTTAGGAGGCTGATTACCATATATATGAACATCTAAGGTAGAAAAGAGCCCAGCGTAGCCAAAGACGTGCAAAATGCATATCGCGCTTTCTGTTGAAAGAAGCTCGGGGACGGTGCGGGTGAACCACTCTGCCGGGTCAACTCATGTGATACGGCGGCTATTGACCGGCAACCTCCCTTCACTTTTTGCGGATATATTCAAAGGTTAGAAAAACCTAATAACACCCAAAAGATTCTGCCAGGGGTTCTGGACACTGTTGTTGGGGAGATATTCCCGCTGGCAAGCTACATAGCCACCACGATTTCCAGATCTTGGAAAGATTCTAACATCTAAGCAGCCAGCACCGACGACCAGTCTTCTTTTTTCATCCATTCTTCTAGGGTCGTCATTGGGCAATCAATCCCGGCCTTAATGAAGAGTGTCTGGTTAGCCACTGCATCTGCCAATACTAGAATGACACTTGGACTCACAGCTCGAAGGTCATCTGCCCTCAGAAGCGATTTATCGCCACCATCATATCCAGGATCGGAGGAATATGCAAACATATCACCAACCTCCCTTCCAAACTCCTTATCTGGAGAGGCTTCCTTCATTTGCTCCACAGTCACCTGCTCATAGCTCGATGCAACACCGGTAACCCGGCTCCAGATGCGCATATATTCTTGCCAACTGCAAAATGTACCGGCTGCGATATAACTCTTACCTGGTGGCATTTTGCAGACAGCAAAGACGAAATTGCCAAGATCGGCATTGACGGCTAAATGGGGGATCAAGGCCTTAGGAGCCGTTGCAAAGCTCATCTTGAAACTGCCGTCAGGCATCTAAAACAAAAGTTCCGACAGATCAGTTCTATGGAGAAACTCAAAATGAGTAGTGTGAAGACTCACTTACCTTTCGGAAATAGGATTCAGGAACTAGCTTATAGCTGGAATTGAAGAATCCTGTTTGCACACAGGACATCTTCTGTGCTAAAAGTGGGTGCTTTTCTTCCACATAGTGTGGGAAAACATCTGCTTTTGCATCAAAGTGATACAGCTCCTCGAATATTCTCTTGCTGCACCTCCCTGCATGGCTCAGCGTCGAAGCAATGAAACCGTTTTCATCCAAAGTATCAACCACTGTTGCAGCGGCATCTGCGATGTTCTTCCCTTGTTGATACTCGACATCATAGGCGTACTTTCGACAGGATACCCCCTTTTGTTCAGCTCGTTGACGGCAGTCAGGTCGGAAGAAGGGCTCCCAGTAGTTCGTGACGCTGAATATGATATTTGCGCCGGCAAAAGCGGCAGTGAGAGTATTTACATCGTCAAGGTCGACTTTGACGAGTTTAGCACCCTGGTCGGCGAGCTTCTCGGCGGCGGGTGACTTGGGATTACGGGTGAGTGCACGAACCCGGTAGCCTGGTTCACTGAGAAACCTGCGGACAACAGATCCGCCCTGATTTCCAGTGGCGCCGATCACACAGACAATCTTCGACATTATTTTTTTCCGGACGGTAGAGAGAAGATCTCGGAAAGAAGAAAATAAGACTGGTACCTTTTCCGAAAGGGAGTGGAAAGAACGGGGTAGTCTTCCAATAAGAAGAGCAATGATAATATATAACGAATGCCATCATATTAAAGGAAGGCAACCAACTAACCCATGGCCTTTTCCTCGCCAAGCGAGAGCCACGAAGGTTCCGGCAATTACTGCCCGAGTAAGATACGTTTAAAGCGCTCCAGGCGGTTTATTCTCGTTCTCTTCGAGAGGGGATTAAGGTTCTTCGACTACGACTTTGTTAGTAGGAAGCTGAGAGTGGACACCCCCGTTCTTGGCTCTCATGGTTCCATCGAAGGCATCATCACGACGGCTTCATACGAGACTTGTGAATCATAATGGCAGGACTATGCATGTTTGCCAGCGGCTGGCCATTCTTATTTCCCTCATAGCTGGAAGTGCAGCCGTGCGCCTCGCGAAAACGAAGTATATTCTCATCTCACCGTTCTAGGAAGCCCACGGAACTCGCCCCGGGCCGTGTCAGACGGACAGTGAACTATCCGCCATTATTCAATCCACGCGGGTGACCGCCTCTTTTACTCGTACTCCATACATCTTTACATATTTGACTTCAGCGGTTCTCGGCATAAAATATCACATCCGCCGAACCAATCAGAGCCGTTGCTGATGCTGGAGTTGCCCGAAGAAGACTAGCCTCATTTGTGCACTCCTGTCCAGCTTGGTGTTATGCGCGGATTAACATTGTATTATGCGCGCTGGTTTTAGAGTGAGAGTCGGTTAATGTCGCAATTGCCACGTTGTTGCTCTTTGTCCTGCAGGGCTGGTGAAATGGTGCGGCGCCCATCCTTGTAGCCTCCAGTTGTGGCTGAACACTTGTCGAAATGGGCGGAAACCAGTCCTCCATATATGCTGCTTAAATGTCTTCCGGGACCTATCCCCATACCACTCTCCAATTCATTCCATCAAGCCATAGTTCTGACATGAAATATCGCAGGCCGTCGTCCCCGGAGAGAAGAAAAGCCCCGGTCACCGAAGCACTCATTGTTGTTGGAGATGGGCATGCAAAAAAATTTCCTGCTCCGTTGATTCTTTCTGGGACTGATTTGGCGGATAGTGAAATAGAAAAGCCTCAAAGCACTGACCACTGACAACATTCGAGTGACCGCAATGAAGTCACGTCTCGGAGGCGCACGATTTATATCGCCAAGCCATGCGGTGCAGAACATGAGATCAGCCCGTTGATGGATCTTTGGTAAATGCCTGTTAAGGATTCAGATATGGATATGGTGCCGCCTCCCTTCCAAGACATTGTCAACTATGTCGAGGCATTCTACCATAACCTTCCTTTGAAAACAGACAACCCGCTGCTGTTTGGCGATTAGAATCGGCCTAGATCTTCATAGGAGGTTCGAATCCGCATAACGACTCCCTGGAAATCCATCGGGCTACAACTAAATGGTCAGAATCCGCGTACGCCTTTGTCGTGATGGTGTACTCCCATATCAGCTCAATTCCGACGATATCCTCAACGCCGCTCTCAATGTTTTACCGTCGGATCCGCATGTTTTAATAGTTATTGTGGACCATGACCTCTACGAAAGATGATGAGGACACCTTTATTTGTGGCCGGGCGTAGGAGGCAGCCGGACTGCCGTCATATCTACGGCAAGGTATCGCCCAGGTTTAGTTGAGCTTCAGAAAGCGAATAGGGAACATCCATGGCTTGCGTCCCGCTATTAGGCATATACGGAAGCGTGCTGCCTTGAGGGGCCTTCTTTTCCAAAAACGAAGCGCCGGAAGACTGGCTCTGAGAATCGCTCGACTCCCAAAGAGATTTCTATCATAATGAATTTGATCGAGAACGCCTCCTCTTCTCCAATGCAATCTGCTTTAGCGACACATCTAGCTCTACCGCAACCAGCCGCATCGAGTTCTGTGGAATCTATACGGCGGACATGGCCAGGACGCGTTTACCGTACTGTTTTGGCAGGGCTCATTGTGTTTATTGTGCGTGCGTTATGCAGGGCATTGGGTCGATCGCTGAAGACACCCGGCAACCCCTTGATTTTTGCCCTGTTGATCTGTTAAGGATCATACATACCACTAAAATCACACTAGAGGGAAGATACAAGAAACTCCTAACATTCTGCGAGCAACAGCAAAATATTCATCTGTTCGCGGCGTTTGCCGCTTGGATTCGAGGGAGGCTGCATGAGCTGGAGGGCTTATCAAGGCCGAACTAGAATGTCCTGACAAAGCAAGCGGATGGATCCTCGTATTTGGCCTGTATAGTGCCATATGTAGCATTCAATGAATTGCAATGCCAGTGCTACAATATCTATAGGGCAATTTGGTAGTTCCAGACCCAGCTGTGAATCAACAGCCTTTGTCTCTTCACCCTGCCCTCCACGTGATTGCAACTAATTTCCCAATCAGTCACTTGCCAACGCGTGAAATCGACCTGCTGTGTTCCTCCACCTCCATCACCATTTCGCACTCATGCCTTTGCATCGAGCTGGCAAGTGCGAGGTGTTTGAATGCGTGAATTACCTCTCATGCTGTTCCTGCACAGCTTCTTGATGCTTGACATCGAAAGAGCGACCATTCTGCTTTAAACAACAGCATCTCCTTGTCTTTAAGACATCACCCTCTTTGTGTGTCCTAGTCCCACACCTCTTCCTCATTGTGTCGATCTCAAATTGTGCTTTCCTTCCCTATCTAATTAGAGCAGAATATCAAAAGGCCCTATCAATCATGGATAACAACACAGATACTGTTGAAAAGTTCTGCCAGAGAGAACTGGATTATCTCATTGTCGGTGCTGGAGTGTCAGGGCTCATCTTAGCTTCGAGGCTCTCTGAGAATCCTTCTATCCGTGTGGGAGTCCTGGAAGCTGGAGAGTTGTACACTGACAAATCAGCTTTTGTTGTAACGCCAACAGGATTCCATATGATGCTGGACCTGAAATATGAATGGAATTTTAAAACGGAACCCCAGGTGTGTGTTTTCCTTCTCTGGTATATAGACCTATGCTAAATTAACCGTTTTCAGTACGGAGGAGGTGACAGTGGTTCTGATATGATTCATGGCAAATTGGTAGGTGGCTCGAGCTGCCTAAACCATGGTCTGTTTCTTAGAGGCTCTCCACTTGAGTATAATGATTGGGAGACGTTGGGAAACCCTGGCTGGAACTGGAGGGGTCTCGCTCCTTACTTTAAAAGGGTAGAGGCGTTTCTCCCTTTTGAAGAGAATCAGAAAACAGTTGCCATTGACGATACGACCAAGTATTCTAAGATTTGGCGTCAAGCTTGGCTTGAGACAGGTGCTTCAGAGACGGGTATTAGTTCTGGGCGTCCAATGGGTGTCCATTCTGCAGAACCGATCGCAGATTCTATTTCAGGGGTGAGGGCCAACGTCTTTGAGACCTACTACCGTCCGATAATGACGAGAAGCAACCTGTATCTGTTGCCAAATGCACTGGTAAAATCCGTGATCTTTCGCGATGGAGAAAACGGAAAATTGGTTGCCACTGGGGTTCAATTCAAAAGTCAGGACAGAGACTATACATGCTCAGCTAACCTTGAAGTTATCATCTGTTGTGGCACCATGATGTCGCCTGGTATCCTGGAGCGATCAGGTATTGGCTCGAAGTCTATCCTCGATGAATTTGGCATCAAAACTATTGTCCACAATACTAGAGTTGGGGAGAATTTGCAAGACCATAGCTATTCCTATGCCATGGTAGAATTCAAAGACGAACCCTTAGACGAAGCATTTGACAAATTGGGAATAGATGAGACAGAGGAGAAAAAAAGAGAATGGCGCCGAGCAATTCGTCCCATGGACAAAAAGCTTTCTACTTTCCTGACTTTTGAACAAGCCTCAATGGGTCGTGTGGAAGCGCCAGACCTGATTGATATGGACATTATTCGCCGTACCCCATTGCTGCGAAAGCAGTACGAACTCATGATCCGGCGGATTGAGAACCCCCAAATTGCATGCTACCATCACGCACTTATTCCCTTCAATTCTGCTGAAGTGTTCAGGAGGCCGTATCGTGAACGCATGAATGATTTTGGTGGGATAATCTATTCACTGTCGACGCCTTTTTCGCGTGGATTTGTTCATATACAAAGTGCTGACCCAGCGAAACGCCCTTGCATTGACCCTATGTACTTTGAGCACCCCCTTGACTTGCTCCTTTTGAGAGCAGCAACAAGGATAACCCTAGACTTCATGAACGCAAGCAGCTTCGCAGATATAGTCAAACGACCCCTATATCCCAGGAAGAAATTGCGAACGGTGAAAGATTATGACAAGCATGCATATGAAACCTGCGGGACATTTCAAGACACGATTGGTACCTGTGCTATGGCGCCTAGGGAGGACGGAGGAGTTGTCGATCCCACATTGACTGTTTATGGCACGACTAACCTACGCATCGTGGATGCAAGCATCATTCCCTTGCACTTCTCTGGCAATACTGACTGGACTGTGTGTGCAATTGCAGAGAGGGCAGCTGATATCATCAATGCTCAACGACTTCTGAATGAAGGTAGACTCTGAATAGGATACCGGTAGGTTGTGCCAGGTAATGAGACGTATGCGGTGAGGTCTTGTATTTACTTATCGGCTTCAGAGATTGACAATTTCGTTTATTCCTTAATGCTTTGCTGTCTGCTGTTGCCCAAGGAAATAATTTGCTCTGGTAGGGTCTAGGCAGCATGTTTTAATGAGGAAGGAATAGAATATGCTTGATTCAAAGCTAGTGTTACTCCGTGGATTCTACTATCTGAACGTACCCATTTACGTAAACTCACCGCATTTGACTAAAAGTAACAAGGACACCCACCTTTCGTCCTACCCTATCATCGAGATAACAACACCCAGCCATCCATCCGCATACCCGGCACACCTCACAATCTCCTCCACCGGCGCATTCATGGGGACCACGGCGCCATGCAGCACCGGCTTGGCCAGCATGGGAATCCGCTTACTCGGAAACAAACTGGGCAGCAAGGCGTGGAGCGCGGTGCCAATGGTCTGCGTTTGCGGCGCGGCGGGCCGCGAGGCGGCCGGCGCCGAGGCGCTGGCTGACGATGCTATCATTACTGGAGGCGACGGCGGAGCAATAATGAGCGGGGGCACCGGCGACTGGATGACCCGGAGAGCGGGGACGGAGGAATCCGGCGGGCTGGGCAGGAAGATGCGGATGGGGATGTTGCGGAACGGCGTGGAGGGGACGAGCAGGGTGTTGTGGATGCGCTGGTAGGCGGGGAGGTCGTCTAGTTGGGAGGGTTAGTTTTAGGTCGCCGGTTGGTGTATTTGGTGTGCAAAAAAAAAGCAAGCCCAGGCTGGGAGGATCTGTAGATCCCATCATAGAAAGGGGAAATGGGGAAAGAAACACGCACGCTCTTCAACGCTTTTCCACAGCCCGGACGAATCCTGCTTCGATAGCGTCATGATCTGCTTCGCGGTTCCGTTCCGAAGGAAATCAGCCTCCTTGACGCTGTTGACGAACGCGTCGTGGAGCACTTTGCCCTCGGCGTCTAGGCGGATGAGGTCTTGATCCGGCCAGTCGTGGAAATGGATGGAGACCGTCCAGGGTAGCCCCTTGCTCTTGCTCTTGCTCCTCCTGCTGCTACTGCTACTGCGGGCCTCCCCGCCCTCGTCGTCCGGCGGCTGCGTGCTACGATACAAGCGGAGCTCGGATTCCGAGTCTGGGGTCAGAGAGGTCCTCGACGTGACCGGGTCCGCCCCGGCGTATAGGTCGTATAGCAGACCCACGGGGTAATGCCACCGCAGCGGAACGCCCTCGAAGGAGAACCAGCCGTGGTGCGATTCCACGTCCGGGTCAATCAGGGACGACGAGAAGAACGCCAGGAGTCTGGGCAGTAGGAATGGCAGATACGAAAGTCGCGAGACGGATATCTGTCGCCGGGTCATAGTCAGGTCCCGAGACAGATAGTGAAAGGGGCTGGGAAAAAGGCGTACGATGTATGGATCCGTCTGGTCAAACCGTCTGGATTCAGACGGCGAAAGGACAATTTTCAGCGGGACCTGCCCGGCCCATACTCGCTGCTGGATTAGATTCGCTGATGGCGGAGGCGTGGCCATTCTTCTGGCACGGGCCCTCACTACCGTGGGCAAATTGAGCGGAAGATGAGGTCCTCCGTCGAGCGCAAGGCTATGGGAGATGTTAGCTAGGCTTTTTGTGCCTGGGGTGAAGGGTACATGTGTACTGCGGTGTCGTGGGCGGCCTATCTATTCTCCCATGACGTTGGGTGCAGGTACGGAAACAAGTAGCGGCCCGACGTAGAAGTTCGGAGTATCGCCAATAATCAGGGCGGCAGTGGCATTGGATCCTGGCGGGTGGGAGCGAGCAGTAGTTGCATGCATGTACGGGCCAATATTCGTTGATGGTGCTTGAGACTGGCAATATGGGATGAGGTTTACAGTTTAACTGTTAGTTAATCCAAGGTTTCCTCTGGCATGCATAGAAGTGCATGTAGGAAAGGGCAAACAAAGCCTTCCAGCTAAACCGAACCGAGCATTTTGCTTCGCAGGCGCGACGCGAGGTCTAAAAACAGGAGATGCTATAAATTCCTCTATTCTATACAAACGGGTAATAGTCGTTGTCTAGTGTTCTACAAAAGACGCAGCACTCTCCCCAGGCCCAACGATCACTCGAACCTCGTCAAAAAAAAAAAAAAAAAACCCCCTCCACTCCAGTCTGCAGAGAAATTATCTAGAAAGGCTTTTTACATCAATCCTCGTTAGCAAACCACATCCACTCCATCATCACCATCCCCCCTTCAGGACAAAGGAAAAACTCACATTATCCTCGGGAGCAATCTTTCTCTCCCAGTATCCGCCGATCACCGGGACGTTCATGAGAATATCCTGGCGCACACGGGGCACCTCGCCGAAGAAGAACACGGCGAAGATGCCGGCGGCAACGCCGAAGCCCGATGCGATCACGCCGCTGCACGAAAAACAAATGGGGGAGACGTTAGCCGAAGGGAACCTATTGGGTTGGTGCAGTTGGGGTAGTAACTTACGCCTTGGTGGCCTGGGCCAGCGTGAAGCCGTGGAAGTTTGGCGCGATGGTGTATCTAGAAATATTCCCGAATCTCGAGTTAGTACAGCTGCTGCATGCGATGCGGTCTTTGTGCAGCAACAAAATCAGATACATATATATATCGCCATGGCGGGTGTCCCCCCGCCCTCACAAGATGCGAATCGTGCAGAAGCGGAATATATCGTTCTCGCAACGCACACACAGCGAGTTCACGATTTGTTCCCAAGGAAAAAAAACAAGACCATCGTCGGCGGTTGTCGCAATCCAAGGCATAGCGCCCTTGGGTCTCTTTCCTGCCAACAAGCATCCCCATCTCAAATCCCCCATAATCATCATCATCATCCACCAACAAAACCAAAAAACGTAGATATCAAGACGACCTAAGAAACAAAAAAGGAAATGTCCCGCTCACCTCGGCGCAAACGGCGATCGATAGGTGCCGAAGGCGGGCGTCGCTCGCTGAGGGGAAACCTGTCAATCGAAGCAAGAAGAGCCAGTCAGTCAGTCAATCGGTCAGTACACAAACTTGCAACAGAAAAAAGCATCCCATAATATCCGCCCTTTCCTCCTCCTGCTCCTCTCCGCGAATTCCCGAACAGCCCCAACAAAATCTCCCCTCCCGCTACCCAAAAGATCTAGAAAAGAAGAAAAAAAAAATTTATAGGACGTACCATGATTTTCTCAAATATAACCACTTCGCACGCACAGTCTCTCTCTCTCTCCTCTGGGGGTGTTTATGGAAATACGTCTTATTCAAGAGGTTTCTTTCCGAGTTCTTGCGGTAACGATTGTTTCTCGCGCGCGCTGATTGGCTCCCGGAAGGGGTCACGTGCAGGGAGCGAAAGGAACCTTCCAACTTTCGCATTTATAGTACGAAGTAAGGGGGTGAATGGGATGCTTTTTTTTTTTTTTTTTTTGTCTTTTTGTTGATGGGTTGAAGAATTCTAAGAAATGGATGATTTATGTCTATGTCTAGTATTCGCGTAAAACAGCAAGAACTTTTTTTAAACAGACTCTAGGGAACGGGAGAGAAACACAATGAGAGAGGGAAAAAAGGGCCAGAATGATACGCTCAGTTGTCTCTCCCTCTATTATTTTGTAGTTTGTTTGTCTAGAAATGAAAAGTAAGGGAGATGTGTACTCCGTACATACCCAGAGATCTAGACCCGGAAAAAAAGGGGAAAAGGAAGATGGGATAGTGAAAAGATATAACTAGTTAGTATATTATTGCTCCGATAAATGTTTTATTTATACCCCCAGGACAAGAAAAGAAAAGAAAAAAAGAATTTATTCCCCCGATTCTTTTTGTTTTTTGAGGATTAAGGAGAAAAGAGAGAAAATATGAATATATATTTTGTTGGTTCAATTTGGAAATAAGGAGATAAAATATATATAAAAAAAAGGAGAATCTAATAGAAAGCAAAAAAAAAAGAAGAGTTGGAATTTTTGGTAAGAAAATAATTAAGAGTGGGAAAAGAAGAAAAAAAAAATATGCTGTAGGAGATTGATAAAAAATAACACACATAGAACAGACCAGCGCGAAAGCAAATAAGTCACGCAAATAAATAAAAAAAAAAAACAGGAAGAAAGAAAAAAAAAAGGAGAAAAACAAACGCGGGCCACCGCCACCACCACCGTTCCGTAAATTTATTGTAAGGAAAAAAAAAAAAAAAAAAACAAGAGAACACTCAAACAGCGCAGGTCAAAGCAAAAGTCCAAGGCAAGCGAGCAAAGCATAGGATCACGCAGACAGAACGACAGGGACGGGAAAAGGCGACAGAGGCAAAATAAAATAAATCAAGACAAGAGGAAAACAACATGAGTTTCTTCACGAGATGCAACCCACACATGGAAAATATGCCCCGAGTCTATGTATAAAGATGAAAAAAAAAAAAAAAAAACAAATGTGATAAGAGAGGGAGAGAAGAAAGGGACAATGCTGGGATTGGAGAGTTGTGGGATTTTTTTGGCAGCGAGGGTGGGTTTATTCTGGCCCACCATTGGCTCGGTTCTCTTTCTCGAAGAGCCCGGGAGGAGAGGAAAGCATCGAGGGAGGAGTAGCAGTGAAACGGAGGGATGGGGGGAGGTTGTGTGGTATCGAGTCTGCGGAATTGGCGGTTGGAGGATGGAGAGGAGTGGTAGTAGTAGTGGGTGAGGGGAGGAAGAAGAAGAAGAAGGAAAGAAAGGATGAAAAAAAAGACGATTTTTGCCCGCCCCGGTTTTTGGTTGATTTTGCGGCCCCGTAAAATGCAGGAAGAAAAACAAACACAGAGAGAGAGAATGAGAGAGAAAAACGCTCGCCCAAAAAAAAAAAAAACATGGAAAGAATGCCAGAGAGTCGAACAACGTGACCAGGCAAAGAGTTCCTCCGTTCGCCCTCACGTGGCCATTACCCTCACATGCCATCCTCCTCCTCGCCGCCAATGCTAAGGTCCGCGCGTGCGCGCTTTTTCAAGCAAATATTCCTACCCAGGAAGTAGTATCATGCCCACCCATCCCCCTACCCACATACACAATCCGAATGTTAATTGCTGGTTCGCTAGACGATATATCCGCCGTACTGTTTTTGCACTGAAAAAGTCCCTCCTCGCGCGCTGATAGCGTGGGTGAGGTGGTTTTCGAGAGGTAAGAGTTTGGGAGGAGGAGGTAGTTTTTGGGAGTAAGAGTATTCGTTCCGAGAGGAAACATAAAGAGTTATCGTTATTGCCGCGCTGCTTGGACGGTGCCTGTGTTCCGAAAGGGAAAAAACCCCAAAAAAGTCAACCAGGTGATTCCCTTTCCGCTGTTTTTTCAGGGGAACGCAATGTGTATGTGTTTTTTTTTAAAACAAATAGATTTATGTATGTATCATTCAAGACGTGTGCATCATGATCAACATCATTCAAATCTCTATTTTCTTCATCTATGTTTTTTTTTTTTCTTTTTTTTGCATATTTTGTTTTATTTTTCTTTCTTATTCTCTGTTAAACTTTCAAACGAGGTGGAAGGCCCGACGTACCATCTCCGCCCAGGCTCGTTGACGCAAGATACAGTCCATTCAGCCCGCCGCTCTCCCCCGGATGCCCGTTCGTCATGGCCGCCACCGTGGTCGCGGCCGTCGTCGTCGTCGGCCCGTAGAACTTGCCGCGCTCGCCGCCGTCCAGGTGCTGCCGCAGCGCGTCCGGCGGTGGCGCCATCGTCGACGGAAACACCCCCGGCGTCATGTAGTTCTCGTGCGAGCCCGGCTGCAGCATCGTCGACCAGTCGATGTCGCCGTTCCCGCCACCACCGCCGCCGCCACCACCGCCGCTGCTGCTGTTATTATTACTCGTATTATGATTACTGGTGCCGTTGGGGCCGCCGGCGGCCGAGACGGGCGGGCGTTTGTCCGCTAGGGACGTCGCGGGCGCGTTGGCGGGCGGCTTGTTTCCGTCAATAGGGGGCAGGTCGACGTGGTTGAGCTGGCCCACGCCGTCCGGGCCGGGCTGCATGAGCATGTGGTTGGGTTTCGACTGGTCGGCGGCCATCCAGTGGGCGCGCGCGTGGTGCGGCGGCGGCTGCTGGTGCTGGGGATGGGCGAAGCCGTGGTCGGGCGGTCCGCGATTCATGCCGTTGGCCGCCGCGGCGTGCATGGGGTAGCCTAGGTGGTGGTGGTCGGCGAAGCGGGGCTGCTGGGCCGGCGCGACGGAGACGCCGTTCACGGACGGTTCCCCAAACGTGGTGGCCACCAGGCCGCTGGGACTGGCGAAGGAGCTGGCCACGTCGGTGGCCTGGACGGGCTTGGGCACGATGCCGGCAGCCTGGGCGCGCTTGAGGTGGGCGTGCGGATGCGAGAGATGGCTGACGCCGGTGGGATTGCCGCGGCGCAGCGAGCATTTCTGGAAGTGGCGCTTGAGGATGTCGCTACGCGAGAAGGTATCTTTGCACAGCACGCACATGTACGGGCGGTCACCGGTATCTGGCAGAGGTTAGCCATATATATCTTGGTATCAGAGGCGCGACGGGGAGGGATCGACTCACGGCGCAGCAGATGACGCTTGAGGTGCTTCGCGTGCAGGTAGGTCTTATTGCAGTGCGGGCACGGGAACTTGCCGTCGGCGTCCTTGGCCGGAGTGACGCTGGCCTTGCTGGCGCCGTTCGCACCGTTCGCAACAGCGGCGCGACCAGGCACGCTGGGCAGGATGCCACGGCGGCCCTGGGTGCCGACGACCTGGGTACGCTCCTTGGGGATGAACTGCGCGGGGTTGGGCGGCAGGTCGGGGGCAACAGCGGCGGCAAAAGGTGCGAAGTCAGGGCGGCGGTCGCGGGGCGGGGCGGGGGCAATGGGCTGCGGGTAGGCCTGGGCGGCGGAGGCAGGTGGCAGCATAGGGTGTGGTGGATAGGGAGACTGCTGGTGCGGGTGCTGGTGCGGATGCGGGTGCTGTTGTTGCTGCTGGGGGTGCTGCGGGTGCTGCGGGTGCTGCGGCGCGTGGTGTTGGGCGAAGGGTGCGGGCGGCAGCGCGTGGGCGTGGGCGTGGGCGTGGCTGTGGGCGTGGGCGGGGGCCATGAGGGGCGCGGAGGTCACGGCGTACACGTCGGCCGCGCTGGCAGGCGTGGAGCTGGTCGGGTAGCGCGGCAGGTCGCTGCGGAAGGGCGGCTGGGCGAGGTAGGCAGCGTGCGCGTGCTGTTGCTGCTGGGCATGGTGCTGCTGCTGCTGCTGTTGTTGCTGTTGCTGATGCTGCAGCGGTGGGAGGGTGTGCGGCTGGGCGAGGCCGTAGGGCGAGTGCAGCTGGTACTGGTGCAGCGTGGCCAGCGGCGGGCCCTGTGGTGGCAGGCTAGCGGACGGTGGGCGCGACACCTGCGGGCGCAGACTGGGATCCATGGCGGGCGGGCGGGTAGCGGGCAGGGCCGGCGACCATCGAGCGCAGGAGAGAGAGAGGGAGGGAGGGAGGCAGGGAGGCAGAGACGGAGAGAGGGAGAGAGAGAGAAGGCACAGAGCGAGAGAAAGAGAGAGAGAGAGAGAGAGACAGAGGGCGGGCCTGCTGGGGTTAAGAGCGCGTTAGCGGGCGGAGAGCAGCGCGGCGAGGGCGGAGCACGACGCTGACAGCGCGGCAGCAACGCGCCGTTTCGCGGGCCCACCGGGGGAGCGCACCTGAAACGAGGGCGGTTTGGCAGAGAGAGACGAGAGAGTGGGAGCGAGAGAGTGAGAGAGCGAGTGAAAGACACACGCGAGAGAGAGAGGGAGAGAGAGAAGCGCGTGAAGCGACAAGCGAGAGAAGTGGAGGAGAGGTACGAGCGAGAGAGAAGAGAGAAGAGAGAAGAGAGAGAGAGAGAGAGCGAGAGCGGGCGAGGGAAAAAAAGAAGAAAAGCGAGGCAGCAGAAAAAGCTTTTGGGGGCGCAGAATTTTCCCGAAGGCGGTGGAGCGAGCCGGGCGGCGTGGCGATAGCCGGAGGATCGCGAGAGTAGTAGTATGGTAGGTATTTTAGTTGTGAAGTACGCAGGAGAAGGAGAGGAGGTTTGTTATGTGACTACGCAGTCGTCGACCACTCCTCAGTACCAGCAGCCCGCGCGAAACAAAACCGCATCCCCGTCACATCCCATCGTATTCGGGCAGCCTGCCGCTGCCACGGCCTCCCCCGATGCCGAGGATCGCCAGCGCAAGTATGGTTATTTCCACCCTGCTACGCCTACCACCACACATCGCCCGTCTCTTCGTTGCTCCCATCATCGCCATCCCATCCCTTCCCTTCTTCTACGCTCGCGGCCCCGCTGCCCACGTTCTGCCCTTGCAACGGCCTGTCCCACCACTGTTAAGCTTAAAATAGATGCCCCAACAGACCATCACCATATTACTATTATCTACATCAACCTCCCCACGCCGCCCAGCACGACTCGACTCGACTCGACACACGCGCTCGCTCGCCCGCGCGCCCGTCGCAGCACCACGGTAACCAACCAACTAACTAACTAGTAAATTATTATTATTATTCTGCTCTTTTCCTCGCCTGCTTGGCTCGCGATAGACTTTGCTGGCCTGCCCGCCCGCGCAAGACAACCACGCAATGCCGGAGATTAAACAGAGTCATGTTGCGCTCTTGGGGGGGCCCGCCCCCCGGTCGCCTGACAGCATAGTAGTCATCACAACAACACCATAACACTCTTACCTACCGAGGTCGGAAGCGCAATCGATCTCTTTTCGCCCCCATTTACCAGCAAAAAATGCAGTCGAAAGAAACGGGAAAAAGGGGAACCGGACGGCCAGAAAAACCCAATTTTCCTTTTTTTTTTTTTTCCGTGTTTCATCCCGGTTCCAGGTTCCCCCCCGAAATCACCATCGAAACAACAAACATCATCATCGTCATCATCATCATCACCATCATCGCAATCGAACTCGTAGCTTGAGCAGAATAAGATCGAACTAGTTCGTTACTAGGGGGGGGCCTCGTCATCCCCTCCCCTCCGCCCGGCGCCAACTCTGGTCCGCTGAAACAAGCCCGTGAGTTTAACGCGTTCTTCTTCTTCGTCGGCTTCTTCTTCACCTATCTTTTTTTTTCTGACCAAACGGTAGAGCCCACGCTAACTACCAGGTCCACTAGTTAGTTTCCCTACCGCCCGAGGTTTTTTTTTTTTTAAAATCAATCATAATATTTCCCTCCCCTTCGCCGCCGCTAGCCCAAAAGCCTGTTGCCCACTTTCTTGTTCGCAACAAGGGCAAGGAAAAAAAAGCCAAAAGCCTAAATGGCAAAAAGGGTTAAAAAAAAAAAAGGGTCGGCGAAATGCCCCAATCGACGGGTCCTCAGCCCGAAGCCAGAGCCAAAGAAGCGTAAAAGTCTAAAGATTAGCTTCACGCGAAAAAAAAAAAAAAAACCATAAACAATAATAATTGCTGTCAGGGCCAAGAACGACTACTGGCTCAAAGGCTATCGTTTCGTCCCAGGACCAGAGAGTAGTAGCAGGACGGAGTACGGAGTAGTAGCTACCTACCTAGCTAGCCGCCTAGCTACGCTGACGGGTAACGACTCAATAGTCGTCGTCGTCGCCCCAGGCGGGGAACACGCTCACAGGACAAATATCCAAAATGCTTCTTCATCCGCCCGGTTCTTCTTGGTCTATCAGATCGGGCTCGGGGAGGTTCCGGACAGCCGCAACGCGCGCTAGGCCCGGATTGGCCAACGCCCTGGCGGTGGCGGGCGCAAGAAGAGAAGCGCGGCACACTCCCTCTTGTTGCCACGCCGCGCAACGTACACGCCGGCTGGCTGCCACCTACGTCTGTGTGTGTGATCATTTTTTTGCCAGCGAACCTAGCTAAATTACTACTACTAACTACTGGACAACGGCCGCGGGTGGTTTTTTAGCATTTTGAGCACCTTTGGGGCCAGAAACTAGCTACCTACTAGGTAGGTCGGGGCCGAGACGACGACGACGACGACTGACGACGACGGCCCGGCGGCGTTAGTTCATTATTGGTAAAAAATATTAAATCGATCATATTTCGACCAACGAATAAAATGAAGCCCGTACAATAACATCGAACTATGCGCACCGGCCGCCGCCCGATAAGAGCGGCTATCATAATCAGGATTGTTGCTGCAGATTTGCAGATGCCGCCGCCGCGGGCTGGCTGGCTGGCTGGCTGGCTGGCTGGCTGATCGGCCCTCATGATGTTAGGCGAGCGATGCATGCAGGCTGATATCATGCGGCGGCGGGCAGTCTGATGTCTGTGATGGAATCAACGCACTAACTCACTACCAGAGAAGAGCTGCATGCCATGGGCTGGGCGACTCAACTCCCTTCTCAGCCGCAAACCGCGTGTGTAAAAGCAGCTCGCCCAGCTACAGCACCGCCGGCAATTATTATTATTATTCTTATTCTTGGTTGATCGTGATGATAATAAGAAAAAGCCGAGGGTCGGAGCTACATCTGGGGGGGGGGCCGCGGCGCGGTGCGGTGCGCTACGGCATTCCGGGACGCAAAGCCCTATTTTTCCCCTCCGCTCGCTCTCGTCCTTCCTTGATTTTTCTTGTCTTGGGGGGAGTTAGATTCTTCTTGTTGTTGCGTCGTGTCCCACCCATGGGACCCTGCAGGACTTCAAACTTTGTGGGCTGGCCCCCCCCCGACGCCCAACCCAATCACCGCAAGACACACCGAGAGAGAAAACAGCAAAAAGCAAACCGGGCCATATTCAAGCTTTTTTCGTGGGTTGCTTTTTTGGGTCCCCTTTATTGTTTTTTTTGTTTTTTTGTTTTCTGGTTGCTGGTGCGTGTCTGTTGCGGGTTGTGGTTCCACCGGCGCGCGTTGGAGTTAACTGGATGGACGGGATATGGTTGTGAACGTCTAAGAAAGAACACTGACCGAGCATTATTATTATTATTGACAAGGTCAGGGCCGCGCGCCATGCCCTGCCCTGCATGCGAGCATGCACCTGTCTGATGATTTTACGGTGCTATTTTGCTCTTCTCGCGCGATACTTGCAGCTTTTTCTTTTTTTCTTTTTGATATTTCTTGGTCGCCGCGGCGTGATTGGCCGGGGTTGGATTTCCCTTTTCTCGCCTTCCCCTGGGCTTGGCGGGGGCTTCCAATAACCGCCAACCGCCAACCAACCACTCAATCGATACAGACATACATCACTTCACCACCACTACTACTACTGCCCGTCCTTTTGAATCTATCAGACACGCTAACTGCCCTCCACGCAAGCCCGCCAGCCCGCCGAGCCCGGCTAGCTGGTATCTGATCCGTGCTCAAAAAAAAAAAAAACCAGGCCGCATTCATCATCGCCCATCTTACTTACATACAATTGCCGGGACCAGCGCCTCAGTCAACTCCTCATCCTACCTTCTGTCGCACTACTACTACTAAGCCCCCATGTTCCAGCCGCCCGGCCTTTGCATTTTTCAATAAGAATCATTTATTCTTACTACTGCTGTCGCAGGTAGGGTCAATAGCCGGGGGGCCGGGCTAGCATAGAAAGGATTATTTGCGATTGCGCCATAATAACAAGCAAAAAAATAAACATAAAAAACAAAAAACTCTCGGCCGTGTCGATTATCATCAATTTGGTTTGATTACCATAATAGCAATATTAGCACACTCCACACTCGAAAATAACCTCTTTCTTCGGCCGTTCTTCTCGAACCTGCCCCTCCTAAACCTTCCGACTTCTGTCTTCTTCTCTCCTCCCCTCCCCGCCGCCCCGGGCGCCAAGTCGAATTCAAGAAAGGGAACGCGAATCCTTCGAAAGGGGCGGCGGGCGCGCGGTGGACTCTTCTCTCTGCCTTGCCCGCTTTTTTTTTTTTTTTTTTTTGCTTTTCTTCTTCGGTTTGGCTTTCATCGTGTCCTCTAGTTCTTCTCTCATCTTGAACTACCTCGGGACCAAGCGCTGTGCGCCATCGCCCAGCGAGAACATACAGAGAGGGGGGTGGGCTTGCTGTCCCAAGCCTTTCCTTGCGCTGTCTGTCTGCCTTGTTCTGGTTTTGCTCGGCGCGAGTGCTACATCTGGTTGGCTGTGAGCGTTTCTTGCGAGTATTAGATAATTTTGATTCTGATTATTAGTATTATTATTATCTGCACATATAATCTCCGCCGATCGCCGATTTCTAACTAGCTAGCTAGCTAGTTCTCTCAAGACCCACGATCCCTTGACTCAGGCCGCGGCGGGGGGGCAGGACAGGGCGCGTGACTAAAAACGCGCGCAGAAGAAGAACAAGAAGAAGAAGAAGACCCAAGGAAATTTTAAAAATCATCCACTATGTAATTCCCCGAGTCTGTTTACGACAAGGTTTGGGCGCGACTATTTACCTGGGCGTTGTTGTTCTTCTTGTCTTTTTTGCTCTGTGTTTCACCGCCGGCAACTGCCACTACTACCACTACCACCACCACCAGCCAGCCCGCCAGCCTCTCGACTCGTCGTGGGAGACCGGCGCGCTTCGTGAGTTTCCGCCGGTGTAGTCTGCAGCTTACCTAGTTCGTGAGTTAGTTTGGTGACCTGCACGGGACGACGATGACCCGAGGCTTCACGTCCCTCCCATGCCCATCCTGTCCACCACGTCGTCCTTTTCAGTCGTCGCCCGCATGTCGCATTTCGAGATCTCGCGTCTCTCTTGTTTTCCTTCGACAAGAAAAACCAATAATAACAGTGTTGCGTCATGCATCCTATGCCCGCAGGCATGGCATGCACTGCCTTCCGCCGGGATTTGTTGTTGTTGTTATTATTGCTGTGTGATGTGGCCTATGGCTGGCAGTTCCTGGGAACTCGCGCTCGGTCGAGTCGCTAGTTAGTTAATTAACTAGCTGGCTGACTGGCATGTCTTTCTTTCTTCATTATTGTTATTCTTCTCTCCCAACGCGGCCACTCTCATTTCCCAGCAGAATCAGAATGTCTTTGTCCCGGCCCGTCGTTTCTTTGTGTGTTTAGAAACCGCGCTGAGACTGCAGATAACATCACAGTACTATACTATACCCAGCCCCCCGACCGCTGCTTCTGGAAAGGCGGGCACACTTTTTATTATTTGGTGGCTTAGAAATCCTGCCCTCCTGGAAAAAAACAAAACAAAACAAAAACAATCCCCGGCAGGATTTCGGTTGCGCGCGCAAGGAACACATCCGAGAAAGATGAAAAGCCGGAGTCGGGGCGGGTGGCGCGAGAGAGCATGGCCGCAAGCGGCGGTGCGCGATCGGCTCTCCAACGCCCTCACCGCCATGTGCTGCCGCCGACGCCGTGGCGGGCGGTGTGGGAGTGAGAGTGTGAGTGAGCGTGTGCTTTTGGTGCGTGGGCTGTCATTTTTTTAAGCTCTCGCGGAAGACGTCCCCCGGCTTGCTTGCGTGAGGAATCATGATTATTGTTGAGAATGGCCTGATCACATTTGCAGTCGCGTGAGCAGAATTATTTTATTTTTTGTTTCTTGTTTATTCTTCCCCAGCGTTTGTTTCTTGATTTCCTTGCCGGCCAGCCTAACCTACCCCGAGTTTGCTCTTCTTACGCGCGTAGAGAGTTCTTGTGTGCAGCCCAACCATATATTACTGGAGCCCGCCCACCCCAAGCTTCTCCAGTGCGGATATCCCCATCGTAGGGCCCCTGGCATGCCAATAATCATAAAAACCAAAGCGCCCACCCGATTGACTTCGCACCCGCGTGTCCACTGCGGGCTGCTCTTCGCCCTCACCCATCATCCTCGCCCTCGCCCTCGCCCTCGCCCTCGTCGCCGCGCCTGCGGGGCCGGGGCTGGCTGCGGGGTTGCCGTGGTGGGGGAAGCTGCCCGCCTTGTGTATAATAATAATATTAATAGCTATGCCTGCGCCGCCGTTTTCGAGCGGTGGTTTGCGACATAGTTCTCACTGAGAGGATTGGCATCCAGCCCAAGACCACAAACAGAGGACCGGCCAGTCCTCACTACTACACACCTCCCTCCCCTCACTGTCGAGCCATAGCTAACTCCGCCACACCCCTCTCCCTCTCTCTCTCTCTCGCCCCTCGCGCCCGTCCCTATTTCCAGGTCCGCACACAAATACTCCGACTGGCCGCCAGCACACACACACACACATGGTGCGACGTGGCACGGCATAACTGCAACGGGGAACCAAATTTCTCGCTTTTCGCCTGCACACCGGTCGGCCCAACGATCGACCAGCCCACTCGAAACAAGAATGCAAGATTCACTGGCGGGCGGCGCATGATTCCGCTGGCCCGTCGCGGACGATCTGCGGCGTTAGGGTTTATGTGCGTTGGATCAAAAGAGGAGAGAGATGGACAGAACAACGCTTTCAACAAGCTCAGTTAGTTAACTAACTACCCGCCGCGGCGGATTCACCGCCGCATGTCAAGCGCTGATGCTCGAAGACCGCAATAATATGGATAAGAATGCTGCTTCTTTCAAGCCCAGAAACACGGCGTCTGCAAGCTTTGCGGTGTGTCTAGTATTATCGCAGGCATGAGCGGCGTTATTGCCCGCATGCCTGCTTAATATTATTATGACAACAGACGAGGAGGGAGGGCTGCCCGGACATATCTCGGCTCATCCATCCGATCTTCTAGATATACCCTAAAAATAAGATAATAAAATAATGAGAAGCATATCCAAGCTTTCCCCCCCCCCCCCCCCCCCTTTCCCTGGCTTCAGCTTCAGCGTTTTCCCCCCATGTTCCTGACAAAGTGACATCAACGACTGGGATTCGCGGTTCGGGGGAAAACGTTATTCTTATGATTTACAACGGTTTTATTATTCTAGGTCGTGGGTTGTTTTTTATTATTTTCTAATTTCCTCGACCGTATGAACCAAATGCTACCCGCCCTTGCAACTCGCGCAACGTTACTTTCTAGTGTTCCTCTTTGAAAAAAGGGGGGGGGGGGGTGGGAGCATCTTCGACGGAAACAGAGTTGGGAGGAGGGAGAGTATATGGTATCTAGCATTATTATTGGTGTCTCAAGAGGAACGTGGTAGCGGTGGTGTTTGATGTTTCTGGTCAATATACTCCCTGGACTTTAGGTATATACCCCTTTTTAGCGATTGCCTGCAATAAGGCCTCTAAAGATGAAAGAGCAAGAATTATTTGCTCGAATTTTATCTAGAGGATTGCTTTCCTATGAAAAATTATCGAGAGACTTTCATACATACGGAGTACATCCACACAACTTATAAGATTTTAGATATAAGAAAATGAACACATGTATCGAGCATGGAAATCCCATGCGTTGCAGTTAAAAACTCGCTTCAATATACATTATTGATTCACTACAAAATCACTACTTCTACGGAGTACACAGCATCCACAGATCTTGGATCCGGGACGGTGAATGCAGGCCATCTCCATCTCCATATACCTACGTTATCGTCAAGTCTCACTCCCTTGCTCCAGACTGGCTCTACACCCTCGCCGGCACCGTCCCTGCCAGTCCTTGTTCTTCAACGGGCACAAAAGATTTCGCCCAGCGAGGCGAATCTTTGCAGGATATCTCCATGCTTTCATATGTTCCAAAGAGCCCACCAAGTTTAGTTACCGGTTTGGCTCTATATGGTAGTGAATATCGGTTCTGGATGGATTCCAAAATAAATGGCTAAGGATGAATGCTCTTCTCTCTCTCACCCCATTCATAAACAAACACCACCCCGGAGTCCAGAAGAGAAGGACACAAATAACCTGGAGTGTTATAGATCTGTATGTTCAGGAATCGGTCTCGAATTAAGCCTATATATCTCTATGCCTGGCACAGATCTACATACTGTATAATTATAGTCGTATATAGCAGCATGTCCCGCCATCCCAAAAAAAAAAAACATGTGGCCGCCACATCTTGACTCTAGGTGTCAAGGTTGGATGTATTTTCTGCGCATGCTGCGCATGTCCGCGAAAACAAAAACACATGCTTCGCGCGCACTGGTATCACATCGAAGAGGAAGAGAAGAAGAAAAATAAAGGAGGAGGTTTGTGTGCGCGCGAAAATATACCAGCCCAATTCCAACCAGCTTCTATCCAAGAAAGCTTCCCCGAAAAATCAAAGTATATAGCAAAAAAAAAAAAAAAAAAAAGGGTTTTTACCCTCCATTTTCAGACGTGCGGAGGGAGGGAGGGTGCGTGAAATTATTTCATCCGAGAGCTCGTGCTCCTTTTTTGAAGCTTCACCCGGAAGCGGAGTTGTGTGCAGGTATGTAGGTAGTAGCTCTCTGTTCACTCTTCTCAACCCCAAAGGAGGACTTGACACCAATGTGTCCTCGTCTGGAGAATTCCTCCGCCGGGTTTTCCCATATTATATATTTTCACTCTGCCGCCTAGAACGCTTACGCTTTGCGGTACCAGTTTTCCTTTGGATCACCGAGACACTCTCCAACGGTCACCGCTAAATAAACAGTTAGCTCCACTAACCCCACAACAAAAAGATCTACCAGAAGGATAACACATACGTCTCAAACCCCGCGCCTTGACCTCATCCAGCATCTGCTGCGCAAGCAATTGAACCGTGGTCTGGTGGACATCGTGGCTCAGCGAGATGGAGCCACCAGCGTCAAGCTCGGCCTTGAAGAGACGCATGCTCTCTGGGACACCTTCGGGGGTGTTGTGCTCGAAATCCTTGGTGTCGACATTGGCATCGATGACGTGGTATTTGAGGTCCTTCATGGTCTGAAGCATGACATCGCTGTACGCGAAGAATGGAGCTCTCATATACGTGGGGCGGTTGCCAGAGAGGATCTGGGCAACCACGTCATCGAGGCGCGTCATTTCAGTAGTAATTTGATCGCGGTTGAGATCAGACAGACGGGCATGGCCAAAGCTGAAGAATTCGTTAGCTACTGTACCCCGAAGGCAATAGCTCTAGGAGAGATATCACTCCCCAAGAGTATGATTTAGACTTACGTGTGGGATCCAACTTGGTGGCCTTCGTTGACAGCTCGCTGAATAACAGGGCTAAAGTCAGTGATGCTGCCGAAATTCTGGCCATTGACAAAGAGCGTCAGCTTGGCATTGTTCCGAGCAAAGATATCCAAAAGCTGGTTGGTAAACTGGAATGGGCCGTCGTCGAACGTCAAGGCAACCGTGCCGGGAACCGTGCAAGCCTCAATGACTTGGCCAACGGGGATCACGCTACCAGGGGCGTTCGTTGGCGATGGCACGGAGGAGCTTGTCGGCACGACGGTCTGGGAGGGTGGAGGCGTAGACGAAGGCGAGGAAGAAGCTGGTGGGTTTGACGGCGGTGCACTTGAGGAGGGCACTGGGATACTAGTGGGAGCATTGGTAGGAGTGTTTGGCGGCGTGCTTGGGGGGTTAGTTGGAGCGACTGTTGGAGCAGTTGAAGGGGCATTTGTTGGCGTGGGCGGGACGGATGGTCCGTATGTAGGAACGGATGGTCCATAGGTAGGAGCGGGCTTGGTTGTCGGTGTAGGGTTGGGTTTGGTTGGCGTGGGGGTCGGCTTTGGAGGGTTTGGTTTAGGGAAAAAGATAGGCCATCCATTGCGGAATGGCCAGAAGTAGATAGGAGGCCAAAAGTTATGGAGAGTCCGTGCCTGATGGACAGCGGGAATAGCAGTTGCCAGTGGACTAGCTGCCAAATGGCAAGCAAGCAAAGACAGAATAAAGAGTGTATATAGTCGGTGCAACATGGTGCCAAATATGAACAGTATATTTGGGTATTAACGAGAGTATGTATAAACGAAAGGAAAAAAAAAAGATTCAACACGATGAACAGACAGGCAGCGTCAGATATCCAAACAGCATTTATACAACAGAGCCGACAGCATTGAAGAATGTCATGGGGCTTTAAATCCCGCATCCCTGCTCTAGTTCCGTCCTGGGCCGCATGGTAAGCATTGGAACATAGCTTGTCAGAGACATCCAGACGGACCGATAACAAAAAAGGTCGAAACCAAATCCGCCTAGTGCAGCCCCCCAAGGGGATGGCGGCGAAAATACTCGGGGGGAAATGAGTATCGTTTTCGCTTCCAGGCTAGCTGCATCATTGCAGTTTTGAATGAGACATGATAGGGAAGAGCCACCGGGAGCCATGGAACCTAGCCGGACTTTGGTGGGAAAAGCTGCACGGGGAGAGCATCGATTGGACAGCCTGTCGGGCCGGAGAAAGAGCAGAGCCAGCCTCCTGTCAATTGAGGCAAGCGGCCGTCTTGCCGGGCCGAAACCAGCCATCCTACGGGGGGGTTGATGGTTGGTTCCTGGATGGGGTGGCATCGATAGTAGGGGGTTCCCTTCAAACTGGCGGGGACCAGGCAAGTAGGCAGGCAGGCACAGAGCCCCCCCTAATCCTATCCTATACCCCCCCCAAAAAGCGAAATCGTCAAATGCAACAGTTGTGGATTCTTTGCTTTCTCGCGCAATTCCAAAAGAGACGGGGTTGGGCGATTGCAAACGGGCCACCGTTTCAAGATTCGGAGAAAATGGGCTCGCTGGCAACAAGCGCACGCCCCCCCTCGGACCAGAGTTCAAGACCGGGGCATGGTCGAAGATTCAATAACGCAGCCCAGGGCGACGGACAGCGCAGCGGCAAGACCATGGCACGGCGCGGGTGTGACAGCAGCAGAAAGGCGCGGGCGGCTGACTCAGCGGGCTGTGCCTGTGCCTGTGCCTGTGCCTGTGCCTGTGCCTGTGCGCGATTGCCCATCACCGCCTAGAGTAGTAACCAGTTAGTTACTCTACCTCGATACGCTCGCTCGCTCGCCAGGGCTGGCCCAGCGGCCCCGGCTCGCCGCGGCCCACTCGCAGTTCGTCCGCCCCGGGAGTGAAAGGGACTGGACTCCTCGGTGCTCCGTAATTTGACGCCCGCCCGTCGATCTGCCCCCCCTATCGACAATACCAAGCCTGTTGCCACACCTCTTCGCTACCAGAAGACGCCGGCACACTGCTCGTGTCCACTGCGCCGCCCAGGCCCATCAAGGCGAAAATGCTTCTGCTTCTTATTTCGACCGTCGTGGGTGACGGCCTGCAGCTGTAGCTGCAGCTGCAAGCGGACCTGGCGAGCAGGGGGGAGGAGTGAGTGGACCGGACTCTGAACCAGCTCCTGAAACCCCAGGGCCGAAATAAAACGCATGGGCCAGATTGGCTCGACGAGCACTGCTAGATATGCATGGGCGAGAAACGTCCATTATTGAGGCAGATTTGCCTTCAAATTTGCCAGAAGCAGGATCCCAGCAACAACATGCTTGCTGCGCCTGCTTGCGTTCCGAACGTGAACCACGGGAAGCCGCATATTACTCTCTTCTGTCTTCATTTGACTAGCAGCTCTTCTGGACGCTTCGGCGGCAAGCAATAATAACAATAACAATCGGACAGTTGTTGGACGCGGCAAACAGCGAACTGGGCAACAAGCTCCACCCTCCCTGCCGCCCTCTCCACTGGACGCCAACCTGCCTTTTGCTCGCAAGGGGACCTGCTATTTTCGGCCCGGATGTGCACTAGAGCCAACGCAGCCGGTGATCGCCGCCGGGACAGGAACCAGAGCAATGCTTTTCTAATGGTATCGAATGGCATCAGTTCGGAAGTCCGTTGTTGCCTTGATTCTTGTTGGCCAGGCAAGATAATAACGAGATCGGGCTTGCTTTGGCGGTGAACGTGGCTGCGTCTCGTTCGAGCCATTGGCCGATATCCCCCCCGAATCTTTGAGAAAACGCCCGTGCCCAGCGGCCGCTTAGGTCTCCCACGCACGACACCCAAAAAACGAAGCAACTGACTCAGCCAGCTCGGAGTCCACCTCAACGTCTCAATAATGCGCAAACGGAAGGTGATTGTGATGGTAACGGGCTCAAGGAGGCGAGATCAGAATGTACCTCGTATACTGGGTGCTCCGTACATGCTCAGACATACATACACCTTCGGCGGCGCCGCCTGTTTTGGAAACATTTCGCCACTGGTTCCAAGCATACTTACTCCCAGCTTGCTTAGGGGGTGCTGGGAGAGAGAGGTCCAGCTTGGTTCTCAAGCCGCCAGCACCTCTCTCGCGTACTCGTACATACTAGTAGCAGTAGCTTGGACAACGGCGAACTCTGTTGGCCAAGTGGCCATGCGGTCGAGAGAGGAGGGACGGTTTTGCCTATCTTCAACATCGGGCTGTCTCAGCCATATAATCCCCAACAGAGGCCAATATTGGAAAAAAGGGGGGGAATGAAACAGGAAAGGTAGGTAGGTAAAGATCACTTTTCATCCAAAAGAGAATCATCATATCAACGCTATGCATTCATAAAACGCCCCATCAAAGCTTGCAAGCGAGAAAGCAAAAAAAATATTTCGTAGATTGTACATGCCATCATGGCTTTCATCTAATCCGTCCCAGCAAATGTCCCGAGTGCAAAAAAAAAAAAAAAAAAAAAAAAAAACAAAAAATAACATCCAAATAGGGTGCGGCCGTGAAACAGGCACCATCATATTCCCTTTGTTCACCCTCCCCCTTCAAAGACTAAGTTGATCCAGACTTCCCACCCTATCACTCAACCGCCCTCCACCCTTCGTGACCGCTCCCAACGGGTACAGCTTCTCTTCCCCGCCCGACGTGCGCCCGCCTATGTACCACTTCTCCGAGCCAAACGCGTCGCGAAACCCGCCGCTTCCACTGCTGCTGTCGCTCCCCCGCCGGCCTCGATTGTTGGACACGGGGATCGGGATCGAGGTCGTGGTGGTCGGGGGTGTCGCGCTCGACGCGCCGCCCAGCGCTCCGCCAGACGCGGCGTTCAAGGCTGAGCGGGTATGTGAGCGGGAAGACGGCGAGACGGAGTGTGAGTGGTGGTGATGGTGATGGTGGTGGTGGTGGTGGTGATGGTGGTGCGAGGAGAAGTGGTTCGAAGACGGGCCGGTGGCCGTTGCGGCCTGCACGGTGGGCGCGGAGGCGTTGGGATTGTTGGAATGGCCGGCCCGGCCTGCGGCGGCTTTGGAGGTGACGGTTCGCGTGCTGGTATTTGCCGCAGGGCCGACGTGGGAGGACGAGAGCGACGTTGACGGGCCCGGGGAAGGCGGTTTGGCGGATTTGTAGTTGGACTGGGCGCGAAAGGCGGCCAGGAAGTTCGAGAGGAACGGCCGGTTGGTCGACATCGTGACGATTGTTACGTGTGTACAATGGCTAGATCGGCAACGTTGTTAGGACGATCCAAGCGCTGGATCATGAACCGGAGCGGGTGCGATTTTGCGACTTCAAATTGCGTGAAGGAGGGGCAAAGCTCTCTGGGGGGGTTTCTTAGAAATGCGGAATCTGGGGTTGGTGGAGAGGAGATTTCTCTTCCTGGCGCCCAAGAAAGCCAAACCCCCACTCCTTGATATCCCCGGCCAAAACCGTTGGTGTATGCAGTGTTGTCCTATTATATAAAAGATCCCGGCCCGAGCGCGACTGATATTGATTCTCGACAGAAAAACGAGTATGAGCCCCAAGCCCGGTCGGAAGGAAGAGGTAGGCGGGGTAATCAACACCGCAGCTTCGACGGTAACAGCACACAAATTAATGCGTGAGACCGACTATCCAGGCCGACAGAGGCTCAAGCGTCGTGGGATGCTGCCGTATAGAAAAAGGCGGTGCCTTGCGCTGGTCTTCGTGGTTGACGTTTCAGAGGACTTCGCCCGTCGCTGATTCCAAAAGCAACTTTTTCGGCTGCGGGGAAATCCCGGAACGGCGCGCCATGTGGCGTCGGGCGAAACCGGCTGCGTCACGGGGCCATCGATACCGGAATATCAGACGTTCCGATTACTATCCATGACCGCTTTTTCGTCTTGTAACATCGTCGACGACGGAACTCCGTAGGCTCAAACATTGCGAAGAAAACGCATTTATATAAAGGACTTAGTGTCAAGGAATAAATCTATTCATCTAATAACTACACATTATAATCCCCAGTCAGAAAGTAATTCTTAGTTCGAAGGAATCCCAAATACAATTTTGCAAGTTATCGCCGTCATACCCCGATTTGCCCCTAACCAACTTCTCGCAGAAGCTCAATGGCGTATAGTCTACCACAAATAGATGTTTCCACGATATAGGTAAGAAATAACCTGATGTTCGCACCGCAGATTTTTCGAGATCCCTCCTTTCAGGCAGTCGTAACCGTAAACTCTCGATTCTTTCAAGTAGTATGAGTAATGTAAGAAATTATAATAGTCGTAGCAGCAATCAAATCAACCAGTGGAGGGGGTGACTGTTATGGGGTACCTTGTGCCATGTAAACTTGCACTAATGTTGAAAACGAATTGCCATCAATATTTTTTAGGATATCAAAAAAGTAACCACTATATATTTATTAAAAAATGTAGGCTATATAGATTACTGGACACCCGATGAAATTCAACTTTTATAACTTTATAAGTACCCGCTAGTGGGGAGGGTGTATGGCATAGTTGGTAAACGTCTGCAGGAATCCTTCTGGCATGGTTTGTTGTTTTTGGGGAACAACCACCTGGGAAAAAAGGTCACAGATTGAAATCCTGCTATCTCCAAATGATATTTTACCAACAGAGAAGCCTCTTCTCTGAGTGGAGAGAATTCTTTCTAGAAGACAAGATTATTGACTGCTGGGAACTAGGAAAGTTTAGAGTGGGTGATGGTATGAGAATTACATAAGCATATGCTAGATTAAGTTATATCAGATGATTAAGCAACCTGACTATAAAGTTGACCACCTTAGAGATCATTCAGCATTAGTCATTGTCTGTCTGTTCTAACAAGTTAATAGACTGGGCTTGTCAGTCTTAGTGTGATCTTATACATCTTGTTCTGATTTTCTATTGGCTCTTATCATGTTTAAATATACCAGCTACACCCTAGGTTTTGTGAGGGTTTCCCTGGGGGGGATGATCTAAGAGAAGAATTTGATGAAAAGTCAAATAAGGAGTCTTGGCCCCCCCTGGACATGCTACAGAATGGAGTGGTGGGAGACTGGGAGTCCAGATATTAAGGATAACACATGCTGTAACTAAGCCAAATTAGGGAGAGTGGCTCTTCATAGTCTAAGACTCCATAAGAGCCTATGAAAAATAATGAATAATAAACAAACAAACAATCAGTACCCGCTAGCATTTCTGTAGCATTGTACGGAGTAGCATCCAGTGAATCGAGTCGTTTGGACTTCAGGTGCACGGACCAGGATGCTCTCCATAGTATGAGGATCTACTGGAGGTGGGACGACATCAAAGGGAAACGAGAAATCTAACTCAACAATACTCAGTATTTACCCATGAAGTCTGAAGTTTGAGGGGAAGAAGAGTTTTGACTGACCATACAAGCAAACCTTGTCAATGACCTCTCGTTTGATTTTCCAAGCCCAACCGTCACTACGAAGCTGGTATGGCATGCCAGCCTATTACCCTTTTCTTAGTCCATTGCCTTTTCTCCTATATCAGGCGGCTCTACTTACCTAGATAGAACTTCGGTTGTTTTATTGGATGAACCAGGCCTTGGCTTACATTCAGACTAGGTCACCCAGCGCTGAGCAGCCTACAAGGGCATCAAAGATTTCCCCTCCTTCCGTGAATTCATGGTTTGAACTACATCAAGCACTATTTCTACATTCATCGTCACATTGAAAAAGATGACTTTTTAAAGACATTGTCCACTTACTGGTGACATTTGGAATTCAAGACCATGCCTGAGCGTCCGACATCGACACAAAGCCTGGCAACGGTTGGGCTGGAGAATTTGTCCCCACCTCACTTCGAGGTTTTGCAACAGGCCTTGTGGACAATCCTCTCCACAGACCTGGCCATGGAGACATTTGCCCAAGTTGTTGACGGCCGCCCCACGCGTGATGTCTATCAAGATTACGTCTACGAGTTTCGCAAAAGCTTCCACAACAATATTCATCCAAGTGATGCAGCTTTGGAGGCAGTCGAGTCGTGCCGTCGAAATCTGGATCTTGGTAGTCTTCAAATCAGTGCAAAGGTATAGTACATTCAGAGCCCCAAGCTTTCTATTTTGGAGAATGAATGCTAAAAAGTCAGCAGATTGCGCAAGCATTCCAAAACACTACCCCTGGGTCAAGAGAATCCCACTTACGTCTTATTGAGATTCTTGCTGTCCTCTGTCACGGCATCGCTGTTCACTTGTATCAGGCTTACGATGGAGGCTTTCATAAACCAGAGCCCCCCGACCCCATAGTATGGCCTGATGAACTGCTTTGGCCCAACATGCCACCCCCACCATCCCTTCAAGCTCTACCAGCGGAGCTTTTCCATCATTCTTATGATTTCTGGCAGCAATATCCTAATGGGATTGCCGATATTGTCGGTTACTGGGCGGAATATCGTCTGTTTGGGGGGGTTGTTTTGTTTGATCGTGGGGAGATAGGGCACGAAGTAAGAGTCCCATACTTCCCATACAGACTCCTTTTGCTTCTGAACCGAATTAATATTCCCTAACTTTTGATCTTTTGCCAATCTTAGTGCAAGGATATCTTTATCCACCCAGTGGGCGGGTACATGATCTTCCAACTCTCAGAAGCTCAGGTGCACGCCTACATCAGATTCCTGCAGGGCGGGCAGCAGCCTCCAGGCGGAATTCGCTTCAAGGCGGAAGAATACGCACGTCGTGTTGATGAAAACTATGCCATGGACATGAACATTTATCGCGACAGGTATGAACGGATTATACCTCAGAGGCGGGCCCGTTGTGTAATCCGCGGTGAGGATCTTCCAGGATATGCACAAGCCATGGAAGATTGGGCTAGGCGAACTGGAAATTGAGAATATTAGGTGGAAGATAGGAGTGAATTTGCGTAAATTATTATGTGGGCGCCTGTTTCTTGTTTGTTGTACATTGTATGCGAGTTTCTATTATCCATTGTAGCCAAAAATCTGTCGGTCTGCCTGTTTCGTGGGCTGGGTGGGGAATATGAGAGAAAGAACGAGAGCATCATCTATTATCTACATGTGTAAGCTAATTTCGAGGTGATCAAGTGAATCCAACGGACTTGCGCATTTCAAGACGAAGAAAGGCCTGTTTGAATTCCGGGCGACGGGCCGCATGACGGTTGATCGTGGAGAATATTGCCCATTTGGTAGCTTTTGGAATCAGTACCAGCTCCCCAGTGGGTTCACAGTGACTGAAGGCATATCAGGAGCTGGAGGAGAGGCTTGTCTTCCATCATCCACTGTCGGCCGCCCACAAAAAGAATATGCGGGGAGTCTTCTGCCACTTGTAACATACACACAGCTGAGAGCCAAGGACTCGGGGCAATTCAGCTCGAAAGTACAAAGGAGACGTTTTATGTCATGCCTGGTGGCCGGAGATATGGAGAGAAGCATATTTTGTGAGGCACCTATGTTAGCTTGCCCTGTGCTATCACATTCATTAAACGATATAGGCCTGAGTTGAAGGAGCTCCAGGGTGATCCTGAACGCCTTGGTAGGTGATGTAAAACAGTGTTTAAAGAGAAACAGTGAATGCCTATGAGCTCCTAGTGTATGGAAAACAGTGTTCTGTGCCTTAGCGCCTTCATAATGAATTCTGAGGTATTTGGGATTGTAATGCTTCAAGTGAAGAAATGTGGCTGCCTCAAGAAGGATATAAAACTCCAGCTTTGAGTGAAGAAATGCGGTGCCCGATAGTTGCCCTGGGAGGATATCAAAGTTTAGGGCTGTGAGTGAAGAAAGGTGGCTATTCTTGGGGCGAGGTTTGCCTCAGAGTTAAGAATTGATGGCCCACTGGAAATGTGGTACTCCTAGGGCAAAAAGCTTGTCCTGGGGCGGCAAGCTGCCTTGGTGTTACAAACCCTGCTTTGACAGTTGAACCACGCACGCCATTGGAAGGAAAACAGCGGGCGGCAAGTGGAGAATTCTAGGGTCCCCAGGTGCCCAGGTGTGTGGTCACCAGGTGTCTTAACTGGTAACTGGTTCCAAACATGGATATTACCAGTGTGCAATTGGTATGATGTGGGTTGAACTGTCCCCAGGCATTGTGAAGTGACTTAACAGATCTTGGCCTTATATAATTGAATTAAGTTATCAGATATTACTAAAAGTATCAGAGAATCTTGAAAAAACTCAGAATGTAGTAACTGTAACAAAACAGTCACTTACAAAAATGCTCAGTATGATGTTATAAGATGATAGATGACTGTACTTTTCTACTATCTGATTACTACTAATAAAAGAAAATTCAGTAAAAGATTTCACTGAGTCTGCATAATAATAAGATAAACAAAATATAAACTTATTTACTTTCTATATTGATTCTCTGAAGAACTCATTTAAATGCAATTATCTACAATAATAACTACAGAAATCTGAATGACACTAGATGAGAATAATGTTATAACAATGAAAGAAATTTAAGAATGATTTAATCTAAAAATAAATGAAAAAAGAGATGCTTACAGAGAACATTAATTTATTCTAAATAATTTCATCAGATATAAAATACTACATCTTTCTAATCATCTACAGAAAGCTCATTCAGCTTATCTGTGAGTATTAGAAGTAATGACTGAAGATTGTCTAAATCTAACTTAAATTGATGATACTAACATACTAGAGCAGAATTCAAAGAACATTTTACAACTATGAAAGAACTTTACATTAAATCAAGAATAATATTCTCAACATTAAATTAAAATATATGCATTAATGTAATTAATCATGTCTACTCTAGCTCAAAAGAAGTTTCTATACTCAATGACACATTCTAAATTTATTAATAAAGCAGTTATTGAAAAGATGATCTTGTTCTTTAACTTTCTCTACTATAATTATCAATTCTAACTTCATATATTCAGTACACATGCTTTCAGTGAGGACACTGCTCTTAAAAGATATTCTTCAGCAACTGACATGAAATTATCAATGTACATAATATCAGAATAGTTAGTTAGTTAGTCAGCATCTTGAGCTTATCCATGAAGCTAGAGGGAGAATAGAGCATCATCTTCTACTACACAACCAAAATCACATGGACATTGTGTAGCTCCATTAGACCAGGTAGCAATGTCCATTTCAGCACACAAAACATTCAGAACAGACAATTGTATTTTAATTCTCATTACTTCAATCACAACAAAGAGGTTAATCGTCATCTGGATAATGCACAACTATTTCCTGCCCATAACTTCAACATTCTGCCTTAGGTGCTTGTTATGTATAGGTGTAGATGTAGATGATGTAGGGCCTTTGTCTTTGGCACCCTCCTTCTCCGTTAGCTGGACTGGGCCTTGATCGGCTATCAGGAATGGAAACTTTCTGGGCCCCGTCCGCATGCGGAATCGCGTCGTCCCCGTCCGGCCTAGCGCCGTCACGCCGTGCCCCATCGGCCCACGGCCTCGCCCGTTCGGGGAAAGCGCCCGACTGACAATAACTAAAGTGCTTGTCCCTTACCAGCCAAGAACATCTTATATACGTAAGATGCCTCGAGATGCAAGGAGCCTGGTCGATAGTCTTGCCGTGAAGATCGCGCTCTTGAATCTAATTGATAGGAACCCCGGGGAGCCAAGAGGCACACTGGATAGAGATAATATTGAGAAGAACGGGCGGACCAACACCCTTCTCCCACTAGATAGTGAGATATCGGTTACGCAACAGCTAGCTTTTATCTCCGCATATTCAAACGATGCCTTGCACGTCACGGCTATCTGCGTCGAGGAAGTATCCGAAGACACTGTTATAATCAGATTCGCCGCGAATACGGGTTCCCACGATGATCTCAAGAGAGGATTAAGGGATGTGGCGCGGATCCTGGAGAGCGAGGCACGCGGCGGTATACATAACCCGTTCTTTCCTTTTCCTCTCACTCGTGCATATCGCCAGTCACTTACTGGTTAGAGCAGTCAATCGATCAGGAAATGGTCTGGCGCTCCTTGGGGCGGTGATATCACTGAACCGCAAACGTATTCTCTGCCGGCTCAGATCGCGACATGCTTCTTCTCGGAAAGTCAGGGGCAAATCGTCGTTGCTCAGCAGGCTTCAGGAAGCCCTTGCTCTACTACCCAAATCTGAACTCTCACCATCTACCATTAACGATCTTTCCAGGTACATTACTGAGATGCAGGGCCACTTCGATCAATTAGAGGGAATGGGTCGTGGCGATGCCCTCTCTCCATACTCCAACAGTTGTCTTCTGGCGCTGGTCAACAATATGAATGCCCTGGGACGATTTAAGCCAATCCTACATCGTATACCTGACAAACGTGGTAGATGGGAGACCAGCATGACGAAGGCGCTGATGCATGGAGTTCAAAAGTCGGGTCATTATGTCGATGCTTGCAATGAACTTCTCAGAGCGGCACGAAGATACACCATATTTTCAAATATTGAGGTAGAATTTGTCAACCTTCAATCATCAACGGCCGCTGTGTCCAATCCCGATGCGGCGCTGGAAGGGGTTTCAGAAGGGCTAATACACAGAATCTCAAAGCGCACCGGGCAATGTGCCGGGAATATAAAGGAATGTGTGAAACGCAAATTAATGGAGAAGTCAAGGCTTCATGCTGAAGTCCAGCTGGTCATATTTTACGAGACACACAGCAGACCTCATCGGCCCCGTGTGATCTGCTCTAGTAAAAGCGCGTGCTACTTGTGCCACCTCCTTCTCGCAACGCAGGGAAAGTACCTTGTTCCAAGCACGCACGGCAGACTTTACACCGCTTGGAAGTGGCCAGAGCAAGACCTGCGGTACTTGCTCCCAGAGTTCACCAATCATATTGAACTGAAGTTACAGGAGAGCGTTAACCGAAAAACCCCGTCACGGTCGGACCCACTTGAGAGCACTGTTCACCTTCTGCCAGCCATAACGCCCTCTAATCAGTCTGATATCACCGTCATTTCTCAGGCATCCGTTCAGACAAGAGCCAGACCAGCGCGGAGAATTAACACTACTAGTCAAGACTTCACTTCAAGTGCCCCCACGGCATCAGTACGCGTCGTCACCCCTTCTGATGATAAATCGCCAAACGCAGGGCGAGGCACAGAAGCGGCCAAAGTACAGCCGCATGAAAACAGAGGTGCCATCAAGAATATCTGCCACGGTCCAGAAGACCAGCAAGACGACATTTCACGGACGGTCCATCTGATGAGAGGCGCAGTTGCGACACACTCTTTCACCAACGACAACCGTACACTCCGTGTGTTAACTCCCAAACTGCATATCCACTGGGAGTGTGACATATCCACCTTCGAAGATAATGCCTCAACAGCACCCCAGCCGAAGACCGAGTTCCGACTACAACTGGAGTGGGTAAACACCGAGGCTAGCAAGCAGAGTGGCGAGCACACTTTGGAGCTGGTCGGTGATTGGGAGGATACTCCGATTCCAGACAGCATACTCTTCACAGCTAACGGCCTGCTTCTCAAGCGAGGATCAACGCTGGTACGACTCCGTACCATTCCGACGTAAACATCCGTCAGCCTCTAGGAAGAGAAATGGGTTGTACACAATGCTGGGCATATGAAACAGGTTGAGGCCGAAGGGGGCAGGTTTACATCTGCAGCTGTTTGTTGAATTGGATCATGCACCTCTAGCTCATGTGTGGAAGGCCCAACTGGCGAAACAATTTAACCAAAGTGGTTCATTGATCTGATGAGAGAACAGCGGCACCAGACGTCAAAAATATAACCGATCGATCGATAATTAAGCCCGGCAGCCGCTGAAATGTCCGAGGTCAAAGTGCTGGAAGAATAAGGTTGTAGAGTTCTCGGTTATCTATACTATTCCACAGTTTTAGCTGGGAGGCCAACAAGCAAGGGAATGGAGTACTGTTTCAACAACTTAACCCAGCCCGCGTTCATTGAGGGAGACTTTCTCGTCCATGAAGATGTTTGTTTATAACCGCTAGAGTTTCAGGAACAGGGGGAGATCTGGGTTATCTCTAATTAGGTTGGCGCAGTTTGGCATTAGGGCTTGGGAAGCTCTTTAAATGTGTTTAATGGTGACGCAGCATTCGGGAAGTACTGTATCAGAATAAGAAAAAGTTGCATGTTTCCAGTCTAGGCTTCAAAGAAATCAAATTATGCTCTCAACATTGCCTGTCTCTTGGTCGTCGCTGGACAGGAGAATTGGATCAATGACCTCTATCATCCACTGGCCGGTGTGGCCTATGGTTGACAGCCGGCAGACCACAACAGCTATCCATGAATCACTAGGAGGCACAGATCTTATTTTGTCCTGTACTGTATTTCCGCAATTGTGTCTTTATTAGTTTCAAGTCAGCTCTTATAAGTCTATTATGGTGATTTGATAGTATTGCTCACTATGAGGCCGACGTTGAAATTCCGGGCTACGCCCGTAATGGAGACGCCCGCGGGTCCATGGACGGCTGTATACGGACCAACCGGGCCCGCAGGCTGTCAACTCCAATTAACTCTATGCAAGACAACATTGCGAATACCAACTCAAGTTGTGGCAACCAAAAAAGGTAATATTACGCAATTGTAGTTTCAACGTTGTGCTGAGTTACTGCGTAGTGGTTACCCATGGCTACGTTGCCACTACCGTAACATTACGGTATTCCACAGATCTGGAATTCCGGTATGGATTTATGAATCCCAAATGACATGGAGCATGATCATCTAAGCATCAAAGAGGTTTTACAAACCTCTTTTGAATGATGGGATGAATGTAAGGTGGCCGCAGCGCGGAGCCTTACAGCCGCTGAGATATTAGTACTGTAGTTAGGCGGTCCAGGCGGTAAGACCGCGGGAGAAAAAAAAAAGCCCTTGGTGGTGGGAAGAGTTAGTGATGGTGAACCAACTATAGGCCTGAGCTCTTGTTTTTCGTCAGCGCTCAGAATGGACATGAAACATGCCCTTCCTGCCTCCGCCGCCGCCGCCGCGGCGGCGCTGTGCGATGGTGAGATGTCTGGTTCGTAGGCTGAGGAGGAGGTAAGAAGTCAGCCATGGAGTGGTGTTTTTCCTGAAAGAATATCAGATAGATATCCGCGAGCAACGGGATACTCTCTGGAGGGCAGGAAGGAGGTGCTGGCGCGCACCCAAGCTTTCCAAACGACACGCAATGCCGCCCGCTCGGCGGCGCTGGGCGGTCAGGTCAAGAGCCTAGAATTAAGGAGTCACTTGTTAGTTCACGAAGCGCAAAAATAGAAAATAATACACGGTTTTGGGTAAACGTTTGCATGATTGACAGCGAAGAGCCGCATATAAATAGCGGGTGCTCCCGTTGAACCGCTGCTGCACTGTGCCAATACCCGGAGATTTTTTTGGGGCCAGAATGACGTCACGTGAACGCTATTCTCGGCTCGCCCGCCGCCCCCGAAAAAAAGTTCACGACGACCAATGCACCTCGACAGTCAATTAATTGCTTCAGGTGGCAGCCCCGTGCCATTGGCCGCAGTCGTGACCTGCATTCGATTTGCTGGATGTTGGAAGCCATGTTTTCTCGACGAATACCTCTGCGCTGCGGCGCGGCGTCGCGACCGCTCACGTCCCCATGCCTCCCCCGCGGCCACCACCACCACCACCACCACCACCACCACCACCACAAACACAACAACCCGTGCGCCGCCCGCCGGTTCAATTCCTCCGACGCTACGTCCTCGGCGAAAAGCGAAGCCGCCGCCGCAGCGGCGGCAGCTAGCAACACGACGAAACGGCCCAGAAAACGAGTACGCCGGGCGCTGTGGACGACGGCGGCGGTGCTGGGACTGGGGCTCGGGGCCGTGTACATGACGGACACGCGGGCGAGCGCGCATCGGTACGTGGTGCCGCCGCTGGTGCGGTGGGTGTATCCGGACGCGGAGGACGCGCACCACGCGGGCGTGCGGTTGCTGCGGCGGCTGTACGGCTGGGGTCTGCACCCGCGCGAGCGCGGGTGTCCCGACGGCGATGGGAAGCTGGTCACAGAGGTGCGTACCATACGTCGTTGGTCTTGAGTGGATTGAGTTCCCTTTTTTTTAATTCTGTGGTTAGGTATTCGGCCACACGCTGAGCAACCCGATCGGGATCTCGGGCGGGCTGGACAAGGACGCCGAGATCCCCGACGCGCTGTTCGCGCTGGGCCCGGCGGTCGTCGAGGTCGGCGGGTGCACGCCGCGGCCGCAGGACGGCAACCCGCGGCCGCGCGTGTTCCGCATCGCGTCGCAGAACGCGCTGATCAACCGCTACGGACTCAACTCGCAGGGCGCCGAGCACATGGCGGGGCGGCTGCGGCGGCGCGTGCGGGCGTTTGCGCGCGCGCACGGGTTTGGCGCGGAGGCGGATGTGGATGAGGAGGTGGCGGCGGCGGCGGTGGCAGAGGCAGGGGTGCCGGTGGGCAGCCTGGCGGCGGGGCGGCTGCTGGCGGTGCAGATTGCGAAGAACAAGACGACGCCGGACAGCGACATGGCGGCGGTGGAGCGCGACTACGTGTGGTGCGCGCAGCAGCTGGCGCGGTACGCCGACATCCTGGTGGTCAACGTGTCGAGCCCCAACACGCCGGGGCTGCGCGACCTGCAGCGCACGGCGCCGCTGACGCAGCTGCTGACGGCGGTGGTGGGCGCGGCGGCGGCGGCGGCGGCGGAGGATGGCGGTGGCCGGCGGCCGGCCGTGATGGTCAAGGTCAGCCCGGACGAGGACAGCGACGAGCAGGTGCGCGGGATCTGCGCGGCGGTGCGGGCGTCGGGCGTGGACGGCGTGATCGTCGGCAACACGACCAACCGGCGGGCGGTGGGTGGTGGTGGTGGGCTGTCGGCGGCGGAGCAGCTCACGCTGGGCGAGACGGGCGGGTTCTCGGGGCCAGCGCTGTTCGAGCGCACGGTGGCGCTGGTTGGGCGGTACCGGCGGGTGCTGGACGAGCAGCAGGCGGGCATGGTGCTGTTTGCGTCGGGCGGGATCACGGACGGGCGGCAGGCGGCGGCGGTGCTGAACGCGGGGGCGAGCGTGGCGATGGTGTACACGGGGCTGGTGTACGGCGGCAGCGGCACGATCACGCGCATCAAGGACGAGCTGCGGGCGACGCTGTAGGTCTCGTCTCGCCGCTTTTACGGGGCGGGGCGGGCTGGGCGCGAAAGCTTGCGCAAAGCTTCGGGCGGGCGCTGATCGGGCGCTGATCGGGCGGGCGTCGTGGGGCGGGAGAGCATAGGGGAGGGTAGATAGAGTAGCGTTAGGGTTGGGGCTGGGCGGCCGCGGGTTAAGGCAGCGAGGGGCGACTAACTAAGCCTTCGCCCAAGCCAGGCCGCCGCGGGCTTAGCGAGGGCCAACCGCAACGACGTTCTCCTGACGGGCCTTCACTCAAGATCTCTCACACGCTCCCACACACACAGACACACACAGACACACGCTCTCTCGCTGAGATCCCCCGCTCCGCCATGGCCGCCCCGTCGACGCCGCCGCTGCCCGCCCGCTGCCGCTCCTGACCTGCCGCCCACCTCTCGCTCCCCATGGCCCTCGACGCGCCGCCGGGCTCGCCTGCGCGCGCGCCCTCACCCTCGCCCTCCCCCTCCTCCCCACCGCCACGGCCGCGGTCGCTGCTCTCGCGCTTCACCGACCGCTTCGGCGCGCGCAACCGTGCGGTGGCCGCGTTCCACGTCGAGCCCGACGACCCGTGGCGGTCGTACGCGCCGGGCGACCTGGTGCGCGGCGCCGTGCGTCTGACGGTGGTCAAGCCGCTGCGCATCACGCACCTGGTGGTGTGCCTGCACGGCTCCGCGCGCGTGTTCAAGAACCCCGTGGCGCCCGCCGACGCCGCCGCCGCTGCCGCCGGGCTCGTCGCGCCGGGCCGTGGCCGTCGCAACGGCGAGTACCGCGGCAACGGGCTGGCCACGCTGTTCGAGGATGAGGTCGTGCTGTGCGGCGACGGCCGTCTGCGCGAGGGCGTGTATCACTTTCGCTTCGAGCTGGCCTTCCCGCCCTACAGCCTGCCGTCCAGCATCAGCGTGCGTCTATCTTTCGCGAACTCCATCTATATCTACATGCTAACACCCCCAGTTCGAGCGCGGCGCCATCGCCTACGTGCTCACCGCCACGCTCACCCGCCCGACCACCATCTCGCCCACCATGACCTGCGACGCCAACGTGCTGCTGCTCGAGTCCATCGACATCGCCCACCTGCCCGTCCCCAAGCCGCGCGTCATCTCGCTCGAGCCCGTCGCCCGCCGTTCGGCCCTCCCGCGCACCCGCTCCAAGGCTGCCTCCGACGAGCTGCCTCCCGCCGACCCTCCTCCTCCTCCTCCTCCTCCTCCTCCGCCGCCCCCGCGCAGCCCCGTCCCCAGCGAGCGCAGCCACAACTCCAGCTGCCGCACCAACAGCACCCAGAGCTTCCACATCGTCAGCGAGCCCAGCTCTGCCCGCGGCCTGCCCGCTGCCCGGCCGGACGACGCTGACGCCGACCACGACGACGGCCTGTGGCCCACCGCTGCCAGCCCCGAGATCACCGCCACCGCCCGCGTGCTGCGCGCCGGCGTGCTGCCCGGCGACCTCCTCCCCATCACGCTCGCCATCAAGCACTCCAAGCCCGTCCGCAGCGCCAACGGCGTCATCATCACCCTGTACCGCCTCGGCCGCATCGACATGTACCCGCAGCTGCCCGTCGGCACGCCCGAGCACGGCAAGAAGCCCGTGTTCGAGGACTACTACCCCAAGTCGCGCACCGGCCTGGGCGGGCTCAGCTTCGGCGTCACCCGCACCACCAGCGTCTTCCGCAAGGACCTGTCGCAGGTCTTCTGCCCGCTCATCGTCGACCCGACCTCCATGACCGCCGACATCAAGGCCTCCATCCGCATCCCCGAGAACGCCTTCCCCACCATCACCCGCGTGCCCGGCGCCATGATCAGCTTCCGTTACTACGTCGAGCTCGTCGTCGACATCCGCGGCAAGCTGACCGGCCACGACCGCTTCCCGCTCCCGCTCCCGCGCATCAACATGACCGGCCACCACGGCCTGCCCGCCGCCGCCGCCGCCGCCGCCACCACCATCCTCGACACCGACCATGTGCGCCGCGACAAGAGCGTCATCTCCTGCCTGTTCGAGGTCACCGTCGGCTCCAAGGACAGCTCGCGCCGCCAGCGCCCGGACGAGTCATCACTCCCTGACCACCCCCCGACACCGCCACCGCCCGCCGACGAATACCACCCCCTACACCCGACCCACGACGAGCCACCCGTCTTCGTCCCTCCGCCGCAGCCCGAAGAGACCGTGGACGAGAAGACGAGACTGCGCCGCGCCGAGGAAATGTTGCTCCCCAGCGTCCCGCCGCTCTCCGACGACGACGACCCCGGCGGGCCCTCCTCCTCCGCCTCGCTCCCGCCGCCCTCCGCGCCCGTCCTCGACGACTGTTCGGAATACTTCCCCTCCGACTTCCCGCCCCTCGACCACCACCACCACCACCCGCGCAACGCCTCGCCCGCCGTCTCCGCCCCGTCCACAGACACCATCACTCCCACCTGCCACCACTCTTCCTCCCCCGACCCGCACCACACCTTCCCCTACTCCCCACCACCCGCCAGCCCGCCCCCCTGGCCCCACCCCACCGACGACAAGCAGGAGCTCGAGCGCCAGCGGCTCCTCGCGCAGGCCAGCGCGCCGCCACCGGACGACGACGACGACCTCACTGCGGCTGCTGCGGCGGCGGCCAGCGAGCACGGCGCCGGGCCGAGCAGCGAGGTGCCGTCGGCGCCCGTGCTCACCGAGGAAGATATCATGGGCCATCCGGTGCTGATACTGGAGGAGGAGGAGTCGTTGCCGCGGTATCAGCGCGGGAATTGGGATTTGCATTCGAGGGTGAATGTGAATGTGAATGCGAATGGTTCGTGAGGATTATTATAGATATGGATTTATATAAGAAAAAACAAGAAGATGCAAAAAAAAAAAAAAAACAAGAACAAAAGATGCAATGCGCGTAATGTGCAAAGATATAAGATTGGTCTCTCTCTCTGTCTCTTTTTTTTTTCCGTTTCTGTTTTCTTTTGTTATTGCTGTTGCTGTTCCGGCGATTTGGTTTAAGTACATACATATATGAGAGAGAAAAAGGACCAGACCGGGCCTGGGAGGCAGTTAGGGGCGGCGGCGGGTGCGTTGGGAGGGGGAGATGGTGTTGAGATTATTCCCAATTTTACTACTTTATTTTTTATTCGTCCCAACCAGGCTTGAAAGGGTGACGACGATGACCAGATATCTTCTTATTTTTTTTATTTCTACCAGTTTGTTTTTTTTTTTTAATGACTCCTCCCCCTCCCCCCTTTTTGGCCTTACCTACCTCCCTTTTCCCCCTCCCCACTGTTTTGAATTCGCTTCGCCTCCCTTCCCAAATATCGTTCACTATGTGTGTATGTATGTACTGTACAAACCTCCTTGCCGTTCTTTCTTTCTCCCTCTCTCCATGTTTTTGCGACTCTGTCTGTGCCTTGTTTTTATTAAGAAATAAAACACAAACAGAACAGTGAGGAGGGAATGAAGATATCAATACTAGTCACTATCTAGGGGGGCGTTCTTATCAAATCTTTTTTCTTTTCTTTCTACTCTTTTCTGTCTCTTTTTTTAATCTATTTGTATTCCATCCCTCGCTTTGCCACCTGGTTTTATACAAGCAAGTAGATCACTCTCTGCCCTCTTGCAAGTAGTTATCTATCTATCTATTTCATTTCACACTATACAATTCTCTTCCTACTATCTTGATCTTACTACTTCCGTATATTTTGCAGCTCTGTTTTTGTCGCTGGATATCCTGTCGGGGTATTTATTTCCTGCTATATACTAATCCGGAAAGCTATACATCACCTGCCTCTCGACACATGACTAGCTACGCTATTTTTGCTATGGGATCACGCTTTTCAGGCCCCGATGGTTGTGGAGGAGGTTACCCTTAGGCGTACTCCGTATACATGGCCGGCCATATCGCGTGCATGTTACGCCATGTTCCGTATTGCTGCCTCTACGGTTTTACACTGCCAAAGATAGGATCCAGGCCCTATACCAGTTTCCATATCACGCCCGATAACTACAAAAAAGAGCGATACGTCTGCATCCAAAAACTTCTTGATATTCTTCAAATTACTTTCAGTTTTCATCCCCCCCCCCAACACACAAAAATGCCGATATCGATCCCAATTTAAAGAAAGAAGAGTCCTCTCATCTCCAAAAATAGTGCTACCCCAAAAAAGGATATCCCCGAGAATAAATGACAAGATACTACACAGACTCCTCTTCCTCTGCCGCCGCCTTGACGATCCCCTTTTCATCGTTCGGATCCCCCCGGGCTCGGTCCAGCATGTGGTGGTCCAGATTGACCCGCGGGCCCTTGAACCACTTTCGCGCGTCCACCACCCACCAGATAAGCACGCCGAGCATCGGCCCGCCATACACCACCGCGGTCCAGTTCATGTTTGCCGGTCTGGACGTTGCATACACGGTCAGCACTGCATCACCAAGAAACGGAGGGGATATAAACCTACGTCAGCTTCGAGCCCGTATACGTCGGAAGACACAGGATCGGCAGCATCAAGATCACAAACGCCACGCCCAACATCCCGATGATGGGGCTGTACCGGCCCAGGCTCCACGGGCCGGGCCGGAACTTCTCCTTGACGACGAACACGCGGATGGCAATGGGGATCGCAAAGGCGACGAACGAGGCGATGGCGCCGATGGAGAACAGGGCGCCCATGGCCAGCTCGCCGGCGAAGATCAGCAGCGTCGCCAGAATGCCGATGGCGCAGTTGATCCACACCGCGTTCACGGGCGTCGTCGTGCGCTGGTTGACCTTCTTCCAGACGTCCGAATACGGGAAGCAGCCGTCGCGCGCGTACGCGTACGTGACTCGCGACGCGGCGATCATGCAGCCGTGGCCCATCGAGAAGCCGCAGATGATGGTCAGCGCGAGAATGGCCACGGCGATTTTCCGGGGCATCACCTGGAAGAGGAACGACGCCCAGGGCTGCGACAGGTCCGACTCCATCACCTCCCGGATGTCCTTGACCGTGTATGCTACCGCCACCTGCAGAAGCCAGCCCGCAATGCCGCCAAACGTCGACGTGAGCACGATGGCTCGGGGCGCCGCAATGTTGGCGTTGGAGCATTCTTCTGTGAGATGGAAGGGGGAATCGTATCCGGACATGGTCCAAATCACGCTGACGAAAGACATGAGGACGGCTACCCCGTCTGGATAGGAGGTCCCCTTGTACACTTTCTTCCAGACGTCTGCAGAAGAGTTGAACCTTGGGGAATTTGTGGTCCCAGCAGGGATAGCTATAAGGACAGTGATGAGGGCGAGAAGGTTGAAAGCTGAGCCATAGGAGCTGACTCGTGCGATCCACTTTGTCGGCAGGCTGGTCATCATTCCATGGATTATCATGATGCAGGTGGTCAGGAGGAACGTGTGGTAGTGCTTCGGCACGTAGCCAGGGTTATAGATCGAGCCCGCCGCGAGAATCATACCCGCAGTGCCATAGTTGACGGACGGCGCTCCCATCACTTGACTCAACCAGCTCGACCACCCTGTTACCCAGGCCGCCAGTGGTCCCCATCCATCAGGGGCTAGAACGGCAGCGGTGTAGTAGAGACCACCACTAACTCGATTTATTATTACTCCCATACGTCGTTCGAGAATGCACAGACAGGACAGACCTTGTAGGCATCGACGAACACAGTTCCGCGATATTTAAGGCCACGCATTGGATAAAGACCATGGCGAGAATCCAGCCCCATACCATCCCTGCTGTGCCCGCGTACCCCATGCCTTTGAACCACGCTCAGCCATTCCCTCTCGCGAGCGAGTGTGACCCGAGAACGGAGAAGAACGAGTACTCACCATACCAGATGGTGCTCGCGAAAGAAGGCAAGAGGCCTAGCACCGAGAAGCTGACGCCAAAGGTCGTCCAGAGCGAAAACTCGCGCTTGAACTCCTGCTTGTACCCAAGAGACGTAATAACCCGCTCATCTTCGTCCATTGCGAGATCCGGCGAGGTGTATCGTTCAAGACCAGCAGGAGTTTCGCTCTTTGCTCAGCAGGTCGACCGCATCGTGTGCGTGAAATGGGACTGGATTGCCGCGTTAGAGGGGGAGGAGAGAAGAAAAAAAAAAAAAAATTGGAACAGAAAGGCTTCTTCTGGAAGAAGGCTAAAACAAGGTAGGACCCGCCTTGCCAACAGATTCGGGCCGTGACGTGTGTTCCTACACGGTAGGAATTAATTATAGTGCAGAGTGCTGAGGAGGATTCGTTGCCCAGCACGCTGCCCTGTGGAGACCGACCGGCCTGGAGATTGGGGAAGGTCAAGCCCAGGGCGGGCCGCGGGAAGACACATATTATTCTTATCGAAGGCGCAGAGGCGGCCTGCCCGCCTCCCGCCCGCCGTCGCTTCCAAGAAACAGCACCTGGATGGCGTAGGTGTAGGTGTGTATGGAGTAGCGAGGACTTATGGCACTGGCCCGCCAAGCACGCGGGTGACACCGACGAGAATGGGAGCTGGCCAATGTGGAGGTGGCTCCTGGGGAAAAGAGTGCCAGTGTGTGTATTTTGCCTGCGGTAACTATACGATTCAAACCTGTCGAGGCCACCTGGGCTATCATTGCCCGTTCCAAAGCGCTGATCCCGTGGGATGGAGGTGTGAAACAACGCTGGGCTGCGTTGAGCCACAAGACGCCAATACAACCGACGCCAACGCTCAGGATTTCCCTCCGCATTTTATCCGCTCTCCGGCTGATCAAAGGCTATCGGGCAGTTGCGTTGCACAACGCTCCGTGTTCTCCGGCATCTCATTATGTGCCCGTGGGTGGCAGCGTCCCGAGGAGAAGGGTTGAGCAGCGTGTGGTGTGTGTGTGTGTGGGATCGCGGGTATGGAGAAGTCGCAACCGCACTCGGGTGGCAAGCAACGGGCCGTGAGGGAGCTGCAATGTTCAACAAGCAACAGGAAGCCGGGATTGTCGCGGTCGCGTCTGCCTGCTGGACGGGCTGGCGCTTGCAAGACAGCGAAGGCGCGTTGAGGCTGTTGTTGGCGCCGTGATGGGCCCTGGTGAAGAGCTTCACGGCCACACAAATCCAGCCCTCGCCGTATCTGAAAACTTGAAATTCGGGTTTTTGGTTACGTGTATGATCAAATGGAGGCCGATGGCTTGCCAGAATACCCCTTGAGCCGTATTGATGAAAGCCGCGCCAGATATTTCGACCTCGGGAGCGGGCCAGTCTTTCCGCAAGCGGCCGCATATTTTGGGCATGAAGCCGTGCCAGCAGCGCTTACAGAGCCTACGGAGACCAGCCCGCAGCTGAATTGCATCCCGTCGCCAGTGGACCTGACATACGTAGATGGCCTGCCTCCCGAATCGAACGTCGATACTATTAAGCTAAGTGATATTCTCGGCGACCCGGCAATCATCGAGTGCTGGCAGTTCAACCATCAGTTTGATATTGATTTCTTGATGCAGCAGTTTGATCCTTTTGTGAGGGGCGTTGTCGCAGTTAATGTCATTTATGGATTGGATGAATCTTCGAATCGCGACCATATTGAGGTGAGGAAACGCCCCTTCTGCACTTCGTACGTCGGCATAGCTGACACTGCTTTACAGGAAGCCTGTCTTCGTTACCCGAACGTTAAAGCCTTCGGTGTGGACTTACCATATTCCTCTAGCATTCATAATTCGAAGATGATGATTCTCAAGGATCTTCACGAAAGCATGCAGTAAGAACGCGGCTCCCTGTACATCTTCATTCCTAGTTATAGCTAATATACAGCAATGTGCTAGGATTATTATCCATACAGCAAACATGATTCCTGGCGATTGGAAAAATATGGCTCAAGCAGTATGGAGATCTCCACTACTTCTACCACTCTTGCCAACCGAACACTACGACTCCTCGATTATTGGCACCGTTGGAAGCGGACTCCGATTTAAGAGAGACTTTCTAGCCTATCTGAGCGCATATAGGGTTGGAATTAGCCGGCCCTTAATTGGTCTGCTAAAGAATTATGATTTTCAGAGTATTCGAGCTGCGTTAATTGCCAGCGTCCCTACATCAATCATTCGCTTCAGAGCTCGGCAGGCAGGGGTGCGATGGGGCATAGAGGCAATGCGGCATCTCATAAGCGAAATTCCTATATATCAACAATCGCCCTATGATATAACCCCGGGGATTGTGGCTCAGGTCAGCAGCTTCGCCGGCACGAAAGAGTTTTTATATTCTAATCCAAACACAGACCTCATCCGTCACTAACTACTCCAGGACTCAAAATTGGTTGGGGGATATTTTCTTTGAATCCCTCTATTCGTCTTCAGAAATTAATACCCCTAAGTTCTCTATTGTATATCCTACCACTGATGAGGTCTCCGGGTCTTTGAGGGGCCTTGCCTCCGGCAGATGTATCGCCATAAAAATATCGTCAATTTGCTTGGACTATTTTAAATCCTGCCTTTGCCGTTGGACAGGTGCCGGCAGCGATAGGGATAATTTAGATCAAAAGTCAGGTGAAACTTCGCAACCAGATAAAGCAGACCGTTTAGCTGGTCGTCACCGGGCAACACCAAATCTTAATACTTACATCCGCTTTTCAGACTCAAAACATATGCAAGCAATCGACTGGGCAATGGTAACTTCGGCAAGATTATCCCCTGCGGGGTGGGGGGGCCGGCGCCGTCCTTTTATGAGTAACTGGGAGATTGGCGTGGTTGTGTGGCCTAACCTATTCATTGACCAAACAGGAAATGATAATGGAAGCGAAACAAAAAGTAAGGAGTATTCGCGGATGGTACCCTGTTTTCAGAGAAACACTCCTAGTCAATCGGAAATTGAGCAATACGTACTGGAAGCGTCATCAAAAGACGATACGTACCAGCTCGAATCTTGTACTCTGGTTGGATTTCGGATGCCCTACGACTTACCCCTCGCGCCGTATGCTCCCAGAGATAAACCGTGGCAGGGTGATCCGTGTTTCCGAAAAGTGGATCGCTCTATCTAGGATAGCTTACAGCTCAGTATATTTCTAGATCGATTCTTCTCACGTTGTTCTCATCAATCGCCTTAGTAAATAATGGTATGACTCAGCATTGGCCAGGTTTTCTGTGAGATTTGAATTAAATTCCGTTTGGGACACAGCAATATGCCGTCCCTCCTAGATTTGCCTGATTTCTTACTTGAGGAAGTGCTTGCGATGGCTATTGGTTATGTTAATTATTACAATGGTTCCAGGACGCAGAGAGGGACCAACGAAGTGCTTTCCCTAGCATTGTTGCTTACCTGCCGCCGCATAAACGCACTCACGGATCGTATTATCTTACTCAGAGGCGTATTTCATATCAAAACAATTCGAAGTTCTCAGAGTCTCGTCGATCTGTTTGGGCATGAAAGACTGAATCTGGTGAGGTGGATCTTTATGCCTCTAAGCAATGTTAATTTGGGAAATAATTCTCGTGAGGGTGATGTTGCGACGGCCGGAGACGGATTTGAGCAAGGTATATCGTTGATGAATTCCCTTTCTCCACGTCTTAGTGTCCTTCTCCTGCGCTATTCCTCCTGGGACCAGAACCCCGTGGAGCGCAACAGAGCTCACAGAATCATTGCACAGGCTGTACAGCGGTTTGGTGATTTAAAACACCTCGGCTTCCTGTTTAACCATGAGTCGCTACCCCTTTGCGTCTTATCATCGTCCTCTAGCTCCTACGTAGGGAGCAGGGCTACCAGTCGTGCTTCTGTTCCGGAAAGACCAATGTTTTCTAAACTCCAAGAACTACATCTGGGTGGTCGGCTTCTACCCCATGTTACATCACGGCAGCTGATCGAAGCTCTCTCAGAGCAAAATTTACCCTCTCTCAGAAAGCTGGATCTTGACCAGATTTACCACAACCCTCAGTCCAATGAAAGGTTTGAATGGATCGTGACTCCGGAAGTGTTCCTAAATATGCACCCGCTTGTTCACCTTCGTTGGGTTACAGAGTGTGATATTACCGGCGCTGAAGGCTCTGTTCCACATCCTCCACCTACAAAAGACCACTTAGTGGCTCTCCAGCAAAAACACGGCCACACTCTCCGGGGGGTAATAATGCACTATGCCACTTGGCTTGACGAAATCAGTGAACCGGCCACTCTTGGATTCACCAGGGATGATGCCGCTATTTTCTTACAGAACTTGGACCTTGAAGCAATGGTCCCCATAGTCCCACACTTAGATCTGTTCCTAGTGTGGAGTACCCCAAAGACAAAGCTAGAAGCACTTCGGTCCATAGGGATCAGCCCGTAGTCCGATGAGGAGCCGTTCACGTGGGTCGATCGATGGTTTCGCGGTTAATGCCCGCTCAATATCTTTCAATGAAGCAGATGCTTGACATTGTAAATGAAATCTACATATAATCAGAAATGCATAACACACTTACTGTAGTGAATGTACTCCGTACAGTCAACATACATGCAATACTGAGCCTACGATTTTCTGCTGATGTTACATAATTGTTTGGAGAATACATAATCAAACAGTATACCAAACGGTCCAAACCTCTAGGATTCTGATATGGAGATTTTTAATTTTATCTGGACCATATAAACTAGACTTGACTTGCTGCTCAAGATAGGCCGAGGTTAACATCAAAAAAGGATTTAGCATTAAGAAACATGATAGGCAGGCACTCCTGGGCCGATATGAGTCAGCCCTGATAGCTCAGTGGTAGTAGCGCTTGACTTGTAATCAAGAGGTCCGCGGTTCAATCCCGCGTCGGGGCATTCTCTCATTTTCGAAACATTTTTTTTATTCCTCTCACCTAGCCAGAGGTCGTAATATAGCGGCTATCAGGTTTAGAATAAGCCAGTTCTTTGGGATGCTTGGCCTATTTTTACGAGCTGGGTTGATGAAATATGCTACAGCAGTTGATTGACAACATAAAGGTCAACAACAACACATGACATATTCTCTTTGCTGGGTGAGTTCAAAGGAAGCGGAAATAACAATAAAATAACCATTCATCCGCTGAAGAGAATGCTTCCCCAATCCAGATAACACATAATCCTCTTATCCCCCTTTTTTTTGTTCTGTTAACAAATCATAGACGGGAAAAAAAAGTTACGAGTGGATGCCGATGTTCTATGGTCATACAGGACACGAGGAACAGCCTATCTTCCAACCTGCTCTGGCTCCTTCGACTCATCGTATCCGTACTTGGCCTTGAGTCTTTCGATCAAGTCAACGTACTGCTGCTGCGCATCTTCCGGAGTAACGCCAGCATCGACGAGCTTCTTCCACTCGTTGTACTTGTACTTGCCCTGTTTCGAAACAGTGTTTCTGTTAGCAAACGACTATTTGTCATCGCGTAGGCGTGGAATAGGGCATCTATTCTGGGAAAAGAGAGAGTTGAAGGAGTACCTTGAAATCAAAAGTTCCGGGGGTGGGCGCGTTTTCAAACGAAGGGTCTTGCATGCCTTGCTTGAAGAGGGCGTAGAGCTATTGGTACGTAGAGGAGAAGGGAGAAAAAAGTCAGCCGCGTCTATTCATTTACGATGGCTGAAAACGGAAGGGCATACCATCAAAAGCTCGTCGTCGGCCGGTTTGGCGAGGAGTTTCCGGCTGGCCTCCACGGCAGCGTCGAATTCTGGAGTTCTCGCACCCATTGCTGTGATTTTCCTGATCAAATGGTTTGTTTTACTTAGGTGGAGAGGAAGAAGATGCCCTGTGTTGAAAGAATTCTAGAGGGATTTCAGTCCAGGTTTTTGCGGTTCCAAAGTGAGAGAGAGATGGGACGGGAGGGATAGATAAGGAAGGAGTTGGTTGATGGTGTGCACTGAGAGGCAGTGGGGAAGCAGGGGATCCAAACAAGAGGGGTCAGGGCAGGCTGTGCAGCTGGGATGCAGTTGAAGGATGGTTTGCGATGGGCCCTACCTGGCGTGTTCTTGTGCGGCATGAGTGTGTGGACGTGTGCGGTCCTGCCGGCGTTCCTGGTGATGTTGGCGGGGGAGGGGTAGCGTCGGGGTCACGCGGCCCTGACCGATGATGACATCGTTTCGTCTCAAATTTGGTCCGTGGAAGAAGGCAAGACAGTGGGCAGAGCTGCTACGAAAGTTCGATTTAAGAAGACAGGCAGCTTGTCCAGTTACAGCCCATGGATATGCGGGCTTTGCATGTGGTTGATTCTGTGTTGATAGCGCCGCCCAAGCCACAAGAGCGGAAGAATCCCGAAAACCACAAAATCCATGCCCATGGAAAAAGGAATGGGGCCACAATGCAACTCAAAGATGGCTGTTAGATGCAATGCTTTTGCATTTTCAAAAATGAGGCTTTGCACTGTGTTTGTGCTGAACTCATGCTATGAAATGCCAATCCGCACCGGCCAAACCAGCCAAAACCGCCTGATAAACAAACGCCAGAAGCCATGCAAAAATTCATCAAGGGTATACATACAGACTCCAAGACAGGGGTAAAAAGGTAGCCCCCAAAGCGGGAATGCCAGCCGAGAAAACAACGGTAAAAGAAATCGCTCAAGAATCACCAGTCCACCGCCCACCCATTCTTTTCCAAAAACTCCTCGCACGCCGCTTTCAGAGAGTAGTTCGGGCGAAGGTCCTTGATGGACATCGGAACACGCGTGATGGGATCAAATGAGTTTTGCTGCAGGTGCTTGAAGATGCTCACTCGGTCAAAGGACTGGCCGGACGGGGTGACCACCGGGTCGTGCATGATCTCAAAGCTGATGCTGTCAATGAGGTAGTCGGGGACGATCTGTAAAGCCCAGGCAGAGTCAGCTCTGTATGGATGCACGCCCTGCACATCAGGCGTGGGGGGAAACGTATTGGGAGCGGTCCGAGCTCACTCTTTCTTTCATCTCACTCCCCTTCGCTGCCGCAAACACCTCCCGAACTTCATTAACCTTTCTCTGGGATTCTTCTCGCAATATCCTCTGGTCCTCGGCGTATCCAATGGCACCGAGTTCGTTAGCGTCAAATCGCTCACGTAGCTCGTCCATATCCCGTCGTAATTCGGATTCCATGAGTTCCTCCACCTGCCTCAAAGTCTCATCCCTCTCTCGCAATCTCGCGGTTTCCTTCACCGCCCAAGTCGCTTGCTTGGCCCGTAGTATTGTTTTTGACAGCGGTTCGGCATTCGGATTCATGAGTTCTATACTGGTTTTGTAGGCAGCTAGGGCGACGTCGTAGGCTTCTGCGGGTCTTCCAAGCCCTAGTAGCGCTTGGGCGAGATAGAAGTGGGATTTAAGTGAGGTGGGATTGTCAAGGCCATAAAGATCGATTGCAATGCGTGCATCATGTTCAGCGCCGGCCCATGAATTTAATTTGATTCGAACCAGGGCGCGGTTGCTAAAGAAAGCGGGCTCATGCGAGTTCTTCTGGATTCTGGAAGCATTTTGGTTGGCAAGGCCGTTGAGATTAGATACAGCGGCTGCTTACGCTTGAGAGTAAAATTCTTCAGCACCTGGGAAGTCCCCCTCTTTGTATCGCTCATTGCCTTTGTTCTTTAGCTCGTATGCCATGGTTCCCGTCGTTTGAATACAAGTAATAGCTTGGTACAGGGAAGGTCAGTTATTGCAAATGAACGGCAGCGCGCAGCCGTACTCTGTAGGCAAGCTGCAAGTAGTAAAGGAATGGAATGTTGATTGTGATATAAAAATCGTTTTAAGGCCGCGTGGCAGCCTTATGACAGACTGCCTGTCGATATTTCTCAGATACAACGGCGGTGCCAAGTCCCCAAATATCGCCCGCTCCTTTCCAACGGAATGACTCAACGCTTTAACACCATCTCAGCAAACAAAAAGGATTGTACTCAAAGCCCTCACCATGAGGGGCCGTTTTCACGCTTTGATCCGCGTCCGTATCTCCTGCGACTCTCGGAGCCCCCGTGTCCACAGACGCCCAAAGAATCGGATGGAAGCGGTTTGGGCTTAGGTGGGCAAATAGCTTATATAAGCTGTCAGGAACGGCCAACCAACAGCCAGATGAATCACCACTAGTACAGATTCAGTTTAGTTTGCCAACGGCCTCGGAGTTACCGGGGATTCGACGTATGCTTTGAATTACAAAATAAACGATGGTCACACAGCACTTGATATGGAACACCATCAATTCTAAGTCAAATTTAATGAAAATATATTCATTGGAAAGCTCTTGTTTCATTTAGTTATTCTCTCCATTTTTGCCCAGCAATTCACTGTGGTGGGTGCAAAATCTCACACCAAAGACTGAATTGCCAGTTTTGACTACTCAGGCACTTTGTCTGGTCACCACAACACAACCACCTCCACTACAGCTCTGAAATGTTGGAAATTGATTTGTTTTGTGTTAAAGAATCTATACCCAAGAGGAAAATACTTACATTCTCAAACTGATTAAGAATTCACTCAGTTTTGATGGCTCTCCATCAGTCTTTCACAGTGAAAAGTTTTTGTGTTTCTGGCTTACTAAGCCTTAATCAGCAACATCAAAGCTGAATTGAAGTCTGAGCTTACATAATTTTTCCATCAAACTCTATTATACCCCATCAAAGTGATACAACTGCAGAACACAGCCAAAATTCCAGCAGAACATAGAAATTTAATCACAACTCAGTCAAAACAAAATCTTTTTAAATTCAGTTGAATATCTCTGATTCTCTGATCAATTCTCTATCTTTCTGATATTCTATTGATTTTCTCTGACCCTGATTTTCACTTCCAAAAAGTCAAAACCATTTGCCAGTTGAGATCAGCAAAGATAAATTTAATCACAACTCAGTCAAGACAAGCTCTCTTCAAAATTGATATGATATCTCTGATTCTATGATCAATTCTCTATCTCTCTGATATTCTATTGATTTCCTCTGGCCCTGATTTTCACTTATGAAAAGTCAAAACCATTCACCAGTTGGGGTCAGCAAAGATAAATTCAACCACAACTCAGTCAAAACAAAATCTCTTAAAAATTGATTTGATATCTCTGATTCTCTGATCAATTCTCTATCTCTCTGATATTCTATTGATTTTCTCCAGCCCTGATTTTCACTTCTGAAAAGTCAGAACCATTGATCAGTTGGAATCAGTAAAGATAAATTCAATCACAACTTAAACAAAACAACTTTTCTCTCTTTCTTATTTGTCCCAAAGACATAGACTCTCCCAGTCACTGATTCCTGCATCCATCAGCTAGTGATGGTTAAAATTGCTCTTTTATAGTTAGAATAATCATACTAGACTTGTTGATTTTCTAGCAAAGAAGAAGACTTTTTACTTACATATCATAACAGTTTCTTTCAGTTCTTCTGCAGTTGAAATTTGACTTTGCCTTGAGATACATTAGTGTCTTGCAAAGAAGAATTAGAATTGTAATCTGAGATTGAAAAAGAATTGAGTTATCTTGAATCTTAGATATTGATTCTGAGATTCTGATAAAGTTGCTTGTCACTCTTCAAAAAGACAAGAAGAGGTTTTTTTCTGAGCTTGACTTCTCAGATAGACAGAAACAGCACATAAGTCATTCATTTTCTGTGATCAACATAAGATATAGGGACTAAAGTTACACTCTTGAAGTGTGAGACTAGTTGATATATTGAACTGAGATTACAAGTGGTTTACTTAAGTCTTCTCTACCAAAAAGACTTTCAGTTTGACAATTCTCTTGAAAAATTGTTAGTGGGTTCTCTTATTTAAGTACATCTACTCATCTGGCTTCACAAGTTTTCTTTTGTTATCTTGCACCATTCCCCTCAGTTTCAGAATAATCTTAAAATAAACTGCTCTAATAGTTCAGAAATGCACCATCTATTACTGCTATTTTTGTTCAGGGAATTTTGAAAACTTTGGCTTTTTCTTGACTGATTTCTGCCAAAACTTAGTCTTAGTTTTCCTGTTCTCTTGAAAAACTGGGATTAGTTTTTGGGAGATTTCTATTCTGGGAGAAAAAAATCTCTCTAGATAAGTTCTCAACTGAAACAAATCAAAATGTTCTCTATCTCCACTTCTCTCTCTCTGAATTCTGAACAAGAACTTAAATCAGTTCTCAAAGTTCTTGCACAAGAATGTCAGAAAGAAAATCATGTTCTGATTCAAAAAGAATTAAACTCTTGCATTCTCAGTCTTCAAAAGATTCTCTTCTTTCAAAAGGAAAAAGATATTTCCTGTTTTCAGTTTGAAAATGACAATGACAAGCTGAATCTTTTGGAAAAGAGACTCAAAAAGTTGGAAAGTCTGTTCAGAAGTTCAGAATCTTCAGTTTCTTCTTCAAATTCCATCTCTTCTGTGTCTTCTCTGTCTTCTGTGACTGTGAATACAGTTTCAGGGAAATCAAGTGCTGGATGTAAATTCAGTTACTCTGAAGCTGTTAAGCAAAATCTACAAAAACAGTCAACAGTCTCTTCCTCTTCAACTTGTACTTCTGAGACTGGAAAATCAAAGTCTGGTTTGAGAAACCCAAGAGAAAACAGACTGATTTTTAGAGTCAATTCTGAAATTGCTGAAAGAATTCAAAATAAGACCTACTTTATCAGAAACAGAATCAATGATGTCTTTGTGAATGCCAAAATTACTGAAAAATCAGTGATCTCCTCAGTTGTCAAATCTTTTAAGGGACTTTCAGTGATTCTGATCACAACAGATCAATTTTCTGCAGAATTTCTTCAAGAACATGATAAAATCTGACAATCTGCTCTTTCTGATGTATTGACTGACTGTCACTTTGATTTTTCTCAGTCAAAATATCATAAAGATGAACATTGAGAAGTATTTGTTGTTCATGAAATTTCTACTGAGATTTTCAACAATGACAATGGTCTTGATCTTTGTAAGACTCTGCACTGCAGCCTCCTTACATTCATCCCATCATTTAAAAGAGATTTGTAAAATCTTCTTGATGCTTAGATGATCATGCTCCATGGCATCTGGAGTTCATAAATCTCATAACTGATCACATGATCACACTAGCAAAGCTGAGCACACAAAATCTGCCACAGACACTTCTTTACAAAGATCAGTGGCAACATATCTAGAGACTCTAGATACTGTTGTAGCAATATAAGTTATCTCTCTCTCTCATGCTTAGATTTCTTCATAACCACTTCTCACTCAATCTAATCTCATTTACAAAGACTGTAAGTCATTGTCATGTTATCTGCAACCATCTGATCCCCACAGTTTGTCACTTAAATAAGCAGATGGCTCAACAATGATTTTTACAAGACAGAACAATCAAGACCAAACTGAATTCTCAACTCTTTTCTCAGTACCAGAGTTAGCCAAGACATCAAGTGCAACAATAAATCTGAATGAAAGCATAATTCAGACTGAGAAATTATCTTCAGAGAACACAGAATCTCTTGAGAACTTAAGAGAGTGAATACATTTCATGAAAAGAATTCAAGAACTACAGCAGAGTTTATGAACTCTGAATAGAAAGCATGAGTGAACAGAATCACTTGATGTTCTGATCTCTAACTCAAATTCTTCAAAGAAGAATTCAGTCATCAAGCCTCCACAATATAAGATCAACTATCAGATCAAGAACTATGCAGTCTATCAACAGTTTATCTCTTAAATAGAATTCATCTGAGATGCTAGTGGTCTGAACAACAATGAAACTCTGAAGTATGCAGTCACAGAATTGAACTATAATAAGAAAGATCTTTGGAAATCACACTCAGTTCAGAACTCTACTCTGAACATCTGAACTGAACTTAAACAATTTCTACTTTTACAACTAGATGATTCTGAAAACCGAATCTGATTGGCCTGGAGAAACCTTTTCCACCTTCATAAAAGAGATGATGAATCAGACTTTGACTGATTGCAACAATTTCAACAACATTTGCAACAAGTGAATGAAGAGACACAGAGTGTGAATAAGTTCATCAAACATCTTTTTCTATGACAATATGACAAATCTATGCACAACAAGCTGAATGAACAGAAGAATCTTCCAGAGAAACTGAATGAGATTCAGACAGTTGCAATGTGATTACAATCTAGTGTCAAGAGCTTCACTTCCAACCCAAAGTCACAATTCATCTCAGAGATAAATATCAACTGTGATGGAACATCATTCTATTCAAATCAAGCTCATGGATCATGAGATCAGAGTTATAGAAACAAGATTTGAATCTCATTGTGACAGAGAGAAAATCAACATCAGAGAATCTCCAATTTTCAGTTTATGAACTCAAAATGGAATGGAAAATTAGATAAGAATGCTTGCTACAATTGTGATGAGACTAATCACTATGCAGATAAGTGCATCAAGCCAAAGAAGAAATAGAAGTTTGAAGAGCAGTATGTAGATAGAATAAATATCAAGCAATTGAAGTTGTCTAAGTTACAAGCTGTTTTCTCAATTACATTGTCCATCAGAGTTCATAACTCTAAAGTAGAAAAAGAAGTTAAGTGAACTGCTGTGGCAGACTCACTATGTTTCTTTCTGATCATAAGTCTGAAGCTTGCAGTAAGACTGGGTCTGAAGATTCATAAGATGAATGTTGAGATGGAGACTGCAGAAAAGAATCATTTAAAGTTAG